ACCCTAACCCTAACCCTAACCCTAACCCTAACCCTAACCCTAACCCTAACCCTAACCCTAACCCTAACCCTAACCCTAACCCTAACCCTAACCCTAACCCTAACCCTAACCCTAACCCTAACCCTATATAAATCTACACTTCTTAATGCAGCTCTTATAGTAAAGGCCTTAATACTACTAAAAAAAAAGTATATGCCTGTAGAACGTGCAAGGTTTAGACTAGAACTTGCTAGTAGTAAGAAACTTAAACTACGCTAAATTACTACTAGTAAAAACAAAGTGTAGCGTGCGTACAAGGGCAGTAGTTATAGCAGTATTTACTTTCTACTTCTAAGTAGTAGAGTAAAGCTTACTAGAGACTACTATGTGCGCTTTTAAAGCAGCTAGCTAGTAGTTATATTTAGCTTTCTGCAACTCTACTACTTTACATATAAGTAAAATCTAAAATCTATAGTGTGCTGCACCTGCGCTAGCCTGCTAACTATATACTATACTGTTTAGAGTAAGAGGTCTTTAAGTAGCCTAAAATGCCTCTAGCAAGAGCCTAAACTTCTAATAGTTTATAAAGGTCTGCTCCTTAGACTTTTTAGCTAATAACATAGCTATGCGCCACTTTAAGTTATTAATATACTTAAAAAGGTGCTTCTGCAACAGAGTGCTCTGCTTGTTTTTTTTAGTTTAACTAAGTATTTAAGCTTTTAGCAGCTGTTTAGTTGCGCCTAGCACTTCTAAAAAGAGATTAGTAAACAAACTATAACTCTTAATAAGTAGGTATAGCAGTTTTTTTTTTGTGTTGTACACTTTTGCGTGCATAACACTATTATTAAAGTAACTATTACTCTTTTAAATTTTAACTATAGCAGAACTAGCATTAGTTTCTGTAAAAAAATAGTAGGTGCTTTAGTAAAGCTAGCGCTCCCTATGCTAGAATGTAGCTACCTACTCTCTGTTACATTAACTTTTGCGTAAGGTAGTTATGCTAGAAGTGCAAGACCTAGTTTAGATGCCTAAATTTTAAAAAAATTAACTTAAATTAATATACTAGCTGTTTTATAGGCAATTAATGTGCTGCTTAAGTTGTTTATAATAGTTTTTATACAAATAGTGCTCTCTAAGGTTACTAAGCTTTAAGTTATATAAAGATACTATAAGAACAAGCTTAGCAAATACCCTAGCACTAAGCAAAGTGCCTTAAATACTAGCACTTAGCGCTAGCTCTTTTACAGCTTACTAGAATAAGTTTAATAGCTAGCTATTAACTTAGCAGCGAGTATCTACACAGAAACTAGTATTATTTACTTGCTTCTCTAAATTATTATTAGCTTTAAAATTAGCCTTTACCTGCGCAAAACTCTTTAGGTAGTAACTAATAGTAATAGAGTAAGCTACACGTCTAAGTGCTAGTATAATAACCTAGTTGTTTTATGCTTTTATTGTAAGGTTGTCTAAGTGCTGTAACTAAGCTACTATATTTCTACCTTTATAGTTAAGATACTTTAAAGGGAAATAAAAAAAGAATATGTAACACTAATAAAAATTACATATTTTAAAAAGGATATTGCGATGTGTGTTAAGGCTAACAGAGCTAAAGAAGATATGCTAGTTTCTAGTAAACGCATTAGTAAATACAGGTAAAAAAGAAAGCAAAAAATTATTCTAAAAGACGCTAAGCAACAACAGGCTAAAAATAATACTATTAGTGTTAAACTACTAGGTAAAAGTGTAAGGTCTAGCAGCAGCAAGAAACATAGCTTTAGTGCAGTTAATACTAAGGCTAGGGCAGTTTACTAAGTTGTTATTGTTATTAAGTCTAACTATAGATTTTTGCTACTTTAAAATAGAAGTTGTTGCAGTGCGCTTATAGTAAAGAAGAATGTAAAGCAGCTGTATTAGTTAGAGGCATGCAGAATTACCTAAAACCTAAGAGCTAATAGTGTTTTATAGAAATTTAGTTATCTGTACTATAGTAAAACCCCTAAATTAAAGTAAAGAATTACAAGAGTACATTCTTAATGCGCACTTTGCTAATATTGTAGTAAATAAATAGTTTATAGACATACAAACTAACTTTAAACTAAACTACTGTTAGAAAAGATAATAACAAATAGGGGGGGGGCAACTATCTAACATCTTCTAAAGTATTTAGAAAGTTGCCTCTTTCTTCCTTAACACTAAGTAGAAAAGTAATATTTATATTTAAAATAAGGTTGCACTTAATAGCAGAACAGTACTTTACCTTACTTTTCTTTAAATTATTTAACTGTTTATTAATAAAGGGTTTAGCATAAAGTAAAAGTAGAATAAGTTGTTGCTTAAAGTCTAACGTAGCATTAAGTTTGCTTGTTTGCTCTTTTTCTTGCGCAAATAGTACCTTTAAAAGTATAAGTTAGCGCGCTTGCTTTTGCTAACTGTAACAGTTTTTTTAATTTTAGAGATTTTATACTTATTAAGCCTCTATCTGCTCCTTTGCATTAGCATACTTAGGCTAACCTATACTAGATAAATTAAAGTGTATTATAGAATTACAAAGAGAGATAAAATGTAAAAGAGAAAGTTAGTTGTTAGTTCTATATATTACTGCTATCTTGTTACTACTTATTACTACTTTGCTGCGCTAGTTACTACTTTGTTACTACCTATTACTACTTTGCTACGCTAGTTACTACTTAGCTACGCTAGTTACTACTATTCTATTACTACTATTACTACTTATTACTACTTTGCCGCGCTAGTTACTACTTTATTACTACTTATTACTACTTTGCCGCGCTAGTTACTACTTAGCTACGCTAGTTACTACTATTCTATTACTACTATTACTACTTGTTACTACTTTGCCGCGCTAGTTACTACTTTATTACTACTTATTACTACTATTTTGTTACTACTGTTACTACCTGTTACTACTTTGCCACGCTAGTTACTACTATTCTATTACTACTATTACTACTTGTTACTACTATCTAGTTACTACTTAAGAGAGCTAATTACTAGTTGTTACTACTTATTACTAGCATCTTACACTAAATGTGCAGCACTACTTCTACGCAGTATAAAAAAAAAAGCAACTTTCTAAACGCTGTAAAATATGTTAGAAAGTTGCCTTTAACCCCTTCTTAGTTACTACTTTGTTACTACCTGTTATTGCTATTCTGTTACTACTTGTTACTACTTCTTACAAAAACAGTTTTTTTTTTAATTTTCTTAAAATCCTGTATTTCTTTAAGATTTATTGTTGTTTTTATAACTATTTTTTTTTATCTTTATACTATAATAGCGCACGCATTTTAAGAATGCATATAATAAAAATATATGTAAAAAATACGCATTACTTTAGAGAAAGTACTATAAAGTTTTTAAAGTTTATTAACAATTATAGCATAAGTAGTAGTAGTGTAAAGGTAAAAGTTAGCTGTTTTAATTTTCGCTAAGTCCTACGCTTTTCTACCTAGACCTAGAACTTCTTACCTACTACTCTCCTTAGTTACTACTTTGTTACTACTTGTTACTACTATCCTATTACTACTTGTTACTACTTCTTATAAAAATAGTTTTTTTTTTTAATTTTTTTAAAATCTTGTGTTTCTTTAAGATCTGTTGTTGTTTTTATAATTGTTTTTTTTTATCTTTACACTACAATAGCGCACGCATTTTAAAGATGTATATAATAAAAATATATGTAAAAGATGCGCATTACTTTAGAAAAAGTACTATAAAGTTTTTAAAGTTTATTAACAATTATAGCATAAGTAGTAGTAGTGTAAAGGCAAAAGTTAGCTGTTTTGATTTTTGCTAAGTCCTACGCTTTTCTACCTAGACCTAGAACTTCTTACCTACTACTCTACCTACTACTAAAAATATAAAAACTAAACTAAGCTTACTTTTGATAATATATTCTTAGTTTTCTTAACTATTAAATATAGTAATAGCTTTTATAAAATAAAATATATTAATAGCGTTTATAGAATAAAATAAAAAAAGTATATATTGAAAATTATATATAATTTTACTAGTACTTACTAAGTAAAATGTAAGATTATAGCTTAGTATTTAACAGCTTTTTCTTTTTATATCTTAAATAATAAGCGTTATAGCTAGAATACTCGCATAGTTATTACTAATAGAAAAAAGCAAATAGAATGAATATTCTTTTTGCTTATTACCTCTCTGTATATACATTCTACACATAATGCTTATCCAGAGCCCCCTAGCGTCCACTTGCTAAAAAACTTTATAATAATATTTGTTGCATCAAAGGTGTAATGCCCCATAGGGCACTTCGGGTTAAGAATAGTAGGGCAATCAATATTCGGGTCTTTGCTTGCCCATGCATGCCCTAGGTTACTCTCTTTGTAATGCTCAATTAGGTTGCTGAATCCTTTCCGGCTCCAGGACCTCTTCTCAACGAGGCCGCCCGAAAACAGGGTTGTGGTGTCTGGGACAGTGGATTTTGAGATGCCGTTGTGAGAAACCCAATCCTTAAGCCAATCTTCAATAGGGAATGTAGTGTGGAACAGTTCCACGTCGGCTGGGCTCTTCCAATCATGCTTGCCGTCATCATGCTCGAAGACGTATGTCGCATTCTTACCTGTATACGGGATGGTGGTGTCGCTAGTGCCATGAAAGCTCAAGAAGGGAACTGGCCGTCCGGGCGAACAATTGCGGGCAAGCTTGTCCTCGTAGTAAGCGCCACTAACAGATGCGAAAGCAGCGATCCGAGCATTGGTGGTTGGGTCGCAGGCCAAGAGATTGACAAACCCTCCACCGTTGCTCTTTCCAGTGGCGTAGATCCGGTTAGTGTCGACACATAGATTCGACTCCAACCAATCGAGGACGTCGTGTGTGTAGTCAATGTCGTTGGGAGAGTCTACAGAGGTTCCGGGATGGGACAAGAGGTGGTTGCCGATGCCTTTTGGATACACTGCGATGCCGTTTGGGTTGAAAGCAGAATCGGAGAGGCGGCTGAGGGCCTCTTGTGCCAAGGGCCATTTACTGGCGCCATGAAAGGAAAGATACACAGGCGTAGGCGATTTGGCATCGTATCCAGGCGGTAGGTGAAAGTGGAAGAGGCGGCCGGAGTTGAGATTGACGGTATGTGTTGCATCTTTGGACACAACACCAGCTGGAAGGCTACCAGAACACCCGTCTGCAAGGCACACGGAGCTTAGCAGACTTGAAGCTGCGATAACCACGCTCCACTTCATGGTCTCGGGTGCTGTTGACGAGAATCGCCGGCAGTGTTGGTGCAAAAAGATGGTGTAAAGCTGTCACAGATAAGGCTATGATAGCACGAAGACGACAATGATTTGAAAGAGCGGGTGAAACTGTGGATTAAAAGAAACTATCTGAAAGGAAAAAGGCCCGAAGCTATCTACAGAACCTGACTGCACAGACCTTCGCCGCTGCCAATTGGAGTGCCAAGGACCAACAAATGTCCCAAAAGCAGTAATGTACTCGTTCTTTTTTCCGGGAACAATTCTCATTTCTGCTGTTTTCACTCAGCGGATAAGCTGATATCATCTGGTATCGATGGTGTTTTGCTTTGGCATGATTACATCGATTGATGGTTCTAATCAGCAGACAAGCTGACGGTACCTGGTCTTGATAGCGTTCAACGTTGCCTTAGCATACCTACATGAACAAGCTGACGGTATCTAGTGTTGATAGCGTTGGCTTCGCATGACTACATTGACATGCTGACGTTACCTGGTGCGAGTACCATGTAAGCGGCTTTGTGCGAGTTGTGATTGGCGTTGCTTTGGCATGATTACGTGAATGAGCATCTCGCCCAAAAAAATCCAGATGATGAGCATTTCTGCTCTTGACGAACGATATACTACTATTTTGGTCGCAGGCTTCTGATGATGCAGGGATGCTAAAGAAACCGATGCTAAGAAAACAAGATTTCTTGTCATTATCTCGGCGATCAGGTACATCAGCCTCGGCCATATGATTAAGTCTTGCTGACTGGATACCCTTTCTAGATCTGTAGATGCTCTGGGGCGACTGTAGCAGAGGTTAGTTCAGACATCAGCACAGATCAAATAATATGTATTGTACTTCCTGACTTGCTCGCTCAAGCGACCAAATATTTTCTTCCAATTTGTTACCAGTTCGATCAGAGATGAAATTGCCACTCGCAAACGTCCTTGTAGGAGTCTGGTTGCTACGGCTATCGCAGGTAACATGAATCATCCCCCTGGAAAACCTGCCTCACAACTGACATGCTACCTACAGGCAGCGTTATTACCGCGCGACAATGGGGGTTGTGATGAGATCGATTGTAATGCGCAAGGCTGCATGGGATTGAACAACCTCGGTGGACCAGTTGCTGGAGCTTATTGCACGGCTGGCGTATGCGCCGGCCAATCCTGTTCACCCCTGTGTCCTGCCGATGCCATAAGTTGCAATGAGTATAGATTCCCACCCTAAAAGCTGCCATCCGTAGGCTAATGCGATAGTCCAGCTCCAAGTGTGTTGGTCTATACGGAGGCAACGATGATTCCTGGGCTTGTAGTATCGGATCGAATGCTGGCTGCCCGTGCCAAAACTCCTGTCCGTCACAATTTCCCGCTTGCAGCGATTCCGCATGCGTCGGCACGTCCAATCCCAACAATGAGCACGGCATCTGCACTTCGAGCGGCATGGCCAACTGCTTATGTACCAATAGCTGTCCTTCGAGTCCAGTAAGCTGTGGGTCAGACTCCTGCAGAGGCATTAACAATCCCAACGGGGGTAACTCGATCTGCACATTTGGCACCTCTGCCGGCTGTCCTTGTACGTCCAAGTGTCAGGTGGACTTCTGTGACACCACTCCTGGCTGCAATGGGTACAATACCAAAAATGGGGCAGCTCACTGTACAGTAAGTAGAAGCATAGACCAAGGATACCGTAATTCAGGCTGACATTTCAACTACAGGCAGGAGAGTATGCTGGGTGCTATTGTATCTCGTTGTGTCCTCTCAAGCCTGCTGCGCCTTTGTCGTGTACAGACTCGGGGTGCGTAGGGCTCAATAACCTTGGCGGAAAGGAATTTTGCACGGCAGGAAAATACCAAGGCTGCAGCTGCACGTCAGCTTGTCCGTCCTCCAAGCCAGCCTGTTCAAGTTGCGAGGGAGAAGAAGGCATTTGCACCACCGGTGCAGCTTATGGCTGTGCCTGTTCAGGCAGCTCCTCGAAGCGTGAAGCTCAGAACAGCAAAACGAGGCGTGACACCTCCCAGCAATCCAAGTACGTGATATGTGATGATTCACGCTACCACAGAATACATATACTGACGGTCATGCTGCAGCCCGATACAGAGCTCGCGCTATGTGGTCACACCTCCCGGATTTGGCATCGACAGTCCGACAGCAGAATCGTACCGGCGAGACCAAATTCAACAAGCTCTATACGATGCGGTAGTGCTTTTCAACAATGGAGAAACTATCATGGCCGCGGGCGGCGAACGCTACCCTGCTCCAATGTTCTTCACCGGTCCTGGCTTAACGACTGTTCGCGGCGCTTTGCCAGCTGGCGAGATGAATCCCAATGACCTGGTGCAGTATCCAATCGCTAAGAATGGCGAAGACAACTATGCTCCCTTCGTAGACGGTGCCACGGTTGGCCCAGATCGCGTAGTCTTCCACGGTACCAGCGGGCAATTCGTTGCCCTGATCACGCATAGAGGCGAGACGCAAGGCTACTGGCATGCGGCCATCGCACCTCACTCGAGCAGTGCGGGGCTATCCTCAGACCAAGTCGCTGTCTCGACACTAGACCAAGACCCGTATCCCTGGTTCTCCCAGATCTGGGCGAATGGTGCGTCTTCAAACCAGGCATGGAACATACCTCTGATGCCTGGTACTGTAACAAACACAACGACCGACAACGAAGATGGAGATTTCGCAGGATGTCTGGACCAGGATAAATACAAAACACTCGACGACGTGTTGGGTGACCTTCAATTTCCCGTGGTCTGCATGAGCGTATACGTTCTGAATGCAGTGTCCACAGTAATGTCAGACGCGCTGGAGAAATTCACCGCAATCATGGCCGATGGGTACCAGGCAAAGTACAACGCCTACAAGATTCTCGTTCACAACCAAGCCAAACTTGCCTGGGAGAACCTTCGGAATTCCCACCTGGATGATCTCTGGAATTGTTTCGAAGTGCACAATGGAGCCAACCAGTCGATCGGTTGTGGCAGATTCAATAATGGAGGCAACTACTACTACGTTGAAAAAGATCCCGACAATTTCTGCCACAAATTGGACATGGACTACAACCTGGATTGTTCCTGGATTGTGCAATCGGTCATCAGTTACCGGGATCCTGCCGTGAACGGCGGCGCGAACTGCGAGAAGACTGGCGTCAACTGTCCTATCAATGGACAAATGTTCTTTCCCGACCTGGACCTGAATTTTGCCGTCGCAGACCCTGGTGCAGCTATAAGTCAGTCACTTGGGAATTACACAGACCTCTCAAGCTGGCTAGACGACTCTGCGATCAGTTCTGGGTTCGGTATGTTGGGACCTCTGGAAGACGACATTATCGACGGTGCATCAATGACAGTATTCACAGTGCAAGCTGCCGTGGAAGCAATGCAACAGGTCGCCGATGTTGGGGAGGAGGCTGCAGAGGAGCAGAAGAAAGAGACCATCATGGCCTTCATCTTGGCCTTTCTGTTCGTTGTCCCCGGGATTGGAGAAGCGGTAGAAGGCATCGACATCCTGGCACAAGTTGCAACCATTACGCGTCTGATCGACTTTGCTGGCAATACCGCTGTAGATCTTTATGGCATTGTCGAAGATCCTAGCAGTGCTCCAATGGCTATTGCTGGCATCTTGCTCGGTGTGGGCAACCTCCGCGACCGCAATACAGATGCTTGGGAGGAGGCCGCTCAGATTCGTCGGAAAATGGACGACGCTGTAGTAGGATCCATGGGCAAGACAGTGTCAGACGGGATGGGCAAGATCAAGAAACTTGTGAAGGAGTGTTCCCTCTAGCACTGCAGACCGTTCTGCTTCTACGACCGTGAGATTCGCGGTCATTTGTACCATCGGGCCTGCCGCTTGTCAAACTCTCAATTGCCCTCCCCAATGGAAGGCACTGAAAGAAATCCTGGTTTCTCGATATCTACGTGATGATGATCTTTATACAATATACGTAAGCTTCAGCATATTATAAGAAAAAAATTCGATAAAATCAACAGGTGTCCTTAACTGGGCGCAGTTCAGACACACCCGTACCATCAGGTTCATTCGTGTTCACTCATGTAGCTTCACATCCTTCCGACCCTGTTATGAATATATAGTTTTGTATGAGATTTCGAGTTAATGATTGCACTCGTGTATCGCATACAGTATTACCACTCTAAACAGTAGCCTAGAGCTAGCAGAATGATCCCGTCCTGCCGTTCCAAGACCACTGCAATCAAGAGCGAGTCACTCTATGACTATTCTGTTGTCAATACGCTGAGATGTGGTGATCGTTCCGACACATAGTATGCCATACATATGCTGAAGACAGTGGTTACTTCTGCACAAGGTAAAGCACCTGAGGGGCAGGAATGGGTAACAGTCGAATTCATAAACGAATAGGTGGTGGGTGTAATGTTTGGAGAGAATTCGCTGAGTGAAAGCGAAAGTGCTGAGCAGCAGCTTTTTGTATGCGAATGAATTCCTGCGTACCGTGGTTCACCTCTAGGCAGCCGCTCTACAGTCAATCAAGCTTTCGCAAATCAAATCACCACATCTGCAAATCAGCTCACGATTGGTGAAAAAACAAAGCAAACATATCCATTTCTTGGATAAAGTGTCCCACAGTGACCACGTGCTCCCTAAACCATCCTTCTCCAGCACTAATATTGACTAAACTTCGCTACTGATTTTGCTCGCGACCAGGCGACAGCTATCAAGTCATTTTCCAATCGTCAGAGCGGCGCTCTACCCTCGCTCAAGAGTTTGCGACGGCTTCTACCTTGCACCCCACCTTCTTCGCAACTACTTTTAGTGCAAAATTGTTCTCACTATGCCCTTCGTTATCGGGCATATACACCTTGGCCCTGTCCTTCAGTATTTTCTTCTGCGATCTGATAGCCGTTGCTGAATCCCCTTTCCATCCTAATCTCTCCTTGTTCAACTCACGTGTTGCAGTCCAATCGACCTCCTTGTACGTCGCAGATGAACCTTTCCACATCGGTCGTTCTTTCAGCACGACGTCGATACCTTCGTCCAAATTGAATAGATTCATACGCTTCTTGTCGTTTTTGAATGTGTCTTTCAACCATTCAGCGCTTGTGGTCATGCGACTGCGATACGTGCCTAGTACGGCGTTTTGCAACGACCGCAATACTTCTGGGTTCTCCTTGGCAAGTTCCATGTTGCCCGCAACGAATTGTCCTATGCCTTCGAAAACGTCGGGGAGTTTTCTGGCATCATCCCACATCCTTTGAGGTATGTAATCTCCCTTTGTCCATCCAAGAGAATCGAACTTCTCGGCTGTGGCGGCGACATCCGTCGGTACACCCGTGAAGCCAGCATCGAAGACGTTGGGGAGACTTTTCTTGTTGGCATCATCGATGATCTCTCTTATGAGGGCGTTATCATCGGCAGGGCGTTTCAGTCCAGGGACAACTTTGTATCTTCCGTCCCATTTGCTGCCTGCCTTTGCAATCCGGAGGTCGTCTAATGCCCTGACTATTACGAACATGGTTTTCTCCCAGCCGCCTGGCAATCCGCGGGCATCCACCAGAAGACCACATTCAAAGACTGGAAGGAGGAGAAGCAGAGAAGAGAGATGCATTGTTGGCAGAAATGAGCTGGGTCGAGAAAGTCAGTGAGACCTGCAAGTCGAACGCTGCCATGCTGAGCCACGGCTATAAGTAAGGCTACCTCACTAGGACTGCTCCCAGTGCCGCCCGAGCGTTGCCATCGCGCAAAGCTGGCATACAGGGGTCTGTCTCTGGAAGACTTGTGTGTTGTGCTGACAAGCTGAGTCAACATTTGAACAACAGCACGTGCCGCCTCATGCCCTTCTCGATGCTTACATTGCTCATCCAAGCGTCTTGGCATAGCTTCAACGTTGAGCTTGTTAGTCACGCAGGTACTGCTGACGTCAAATTCCAGGCTTGATGATAAGGCTAGCTGTGCATCAGGTCCGGTGTATTACAGCACTGCTGGCGTCAATTAGGTTTTTGTACGCACTCGCCTACGGAAAATCTTTATTCTTAGAAGCCGATATTTGATGTTTTTGATAAGATTCGCAAAAGCTAGAATCAGTCTTTTACGTGCGTCGTAGGATTTGCGATATAGGAACTTAGTCGCGCGAAATGTGAGGCCCTAGAACTTGTCTCTAACTATAATAGTTAATTTGTCTAGAAGGTCGGAGTCAAATTCTAACGTCTTGTCATCATACATGGTCTGCACAGTCGCTTTGCCTTCCAGATTAACTACGGCTTTTAAGCCTGCCTCGTTGACCGCTTTGTTTAATCAAAGAGCGAACAAGCCTCCAAATGATTATTACCTATGTACATAGCTACATATGTAGAGAGCGACTTTGCACGTGATCGGAGCTTAGGGTGGCAGCCTTCAAATGCTCTTCTGCTGGGATCCATATTTCCCTGCAGCCCCCACAGAAATAGTGCGCTAACGTAACAGCGCTTACTACATGAGGCTAGCGGTGGAAACATAAGCTTTAGGGGAAAGTCTTAGCTGCCGCTCTAACTCGGTTAACTCCTCCTCATCCATTAACTCAGCTGCCTCATCTACAGTTACATACTTTGATGTCCGCCACTAGCAAACGGATGTCCCCTGGATTCATGCCACAATGGCATCAAACAATGCCTTAAACATCCAGTCATGCACCGTTCAAGACGATGACGTCTTTAGACCTGTTGTCGCGTCCTCGTGTCGTGGCAGCTTCGACTTCACGCTGCTCTTCGAGCAAGCCATCTTCTCTTGTAGCCCTTTAGCCCTTTTTCTGCTCATCGTACCCCTCAGAATTATCTGGCTCTACGGACGCCCTATTGTCACATCTCAGCGTCACTGAGCGCTACTGAAGAAAACTGTAAGCGCTGACCACTGTTATTACTGCCTAAAATCGCTATATATACTTATGACTTAATTAATCTCTAGGCTGCTATAACGCTTCTAGTAGCTGCTTAACTAATCTTGTTAATACTGTAGGCAACGAAGCCTGCTCTGCGAACATTGCTGTTAGTCCCCTCCGCCACTTTGTTGTTTCTATGCGCTCTGGCGATGTACCCGCTCTCCTACCTTAAGCATACTTGCGCTGTCCGGCCATCAACCGTGCTAGAAGTATATCTAATATTTACGCTACTACTTAACATACCACAAGCCCGCACTCTCTTTCTCTGGAGTAATGTCAACTCCATTGCCGCGGTTTACGTCGTCGCCATGGCTGCCATAGTCCTAGTATAGTGGTTAGAGTCCCGCAAAAAGACGGCTAACCTAAAGGAGCCCTATAAAGGATACCCCCCAGAAGCAATCACCGGGGTCTAGAACAGGACGTTGTTCTTATGGCTCAATTCGCTTTTCCTCAAGGGTTTTAAGAGGTTACTATCGCTCGATGATCTATAGGAAAATCCTCCAAATCTATCTTCTAAGAAGTTACGGGATGAGATGCACATCACATAGGATCGACGATGTAGGTTGTTTCTTTTTTACACACCAGAAAGATGGCTGCTAATGATATTCGAGGTACGCCGGAGCAACGCTATGAATTAATCTAGGCTTGCGCAAAATGCCTTCGTTAGTCGTTACTCTCTGTTGTTCTAGCTCAACTGTGTCTAATTAGTTTCAATTACGCCTAGCCTTTCCTTATCACCTGCATGATTGACCTTGTCAGCAATCCCCATAAGTCTGAAACATACGATAGCGACAGTCTAGGGCTTATCGCCGCAGCGGCCTTAATCTATGTTGGTGTTGCGCTGTCTACTGTGCGATACATGCATGCCCTATACTAGTTAATAACAATGCTACAGGAAGGGTTAGTGGGGCTTATTTTCAACAAGACTCTGATCTTGCGAGATGATGTTTATGATGAATCAGCTGCCGTTACCCACATGAGTACTAACATTGACTGAATAGCAACTAGCATGCAAAGCATGAATAAGGTGTGGTCACAACTTGTTGAAGTTGCTATTGGAGTCTGGCTACTATCCATTCAACTAGGTGCCGTCTCTGTGATACCCGTTCTTGTTGTTCTCCGTAAGTGAAAGAAGAATCGCACTTCCCTAGCTAACCTTCCATACTGATGATCCTGCAGTATGCGCTAGTGTCAATACCTATGCCTCCAAATTTTCGAGCGAAAAGCAGAAGATCTGAGGCGGAAAGATCCAGACCCGTATTGCATCTACTGCTTCAATGCTAGGTGCTATAAAGAGTGTCAAGATAATAGGTCTGGCCGGGCTATTGTCGAAAAGTATCCAACGCCAGAGGGCTGAAGAGATGAAGTCTGCCAATGGTTATCGGTGGTTGGTCGTCTCAACCAATATGATCGGCTTTCCTCCCCACATTTTCGCCCCCGTACTGACCTTCGCTGCCTACGAGATCAAAGCACGCGTCCAGGGATCTGATAGTCTTTCAACGAACCAAGCTATCACGTCACTTGCCACCATCACCCTTTTGACTACGCCAGCCTCTACCTTCTTAACGGCTATCCCCAAGACAGGCGCGGCTATTGGCTGTTTCGCACGGATTCAAAAGTTCCTTGTTGCTCCTTCGTGGAAAGATTATCGCCAGCACAACAGGCAAGAAGAAAACTCGTTGAAACGGCCTTCTCGATCCGGTGCCACCGAAGGCGTCAAACTCCAATCAATTCGCAACGCTAATAGAGAGTTAGCTTCTCATAGTGCTAGTGGAGCCGACAAAGCTGCAATTGCTGTTCGAGAAGTCACAGTAAAACCTAATCCCAGTGCTGATGCTGCCATTAGGGACATTAATATACAGTTTAAACTTGGCTCGACCACCATCATCACAGGTCCCGTCGGGTCCGAAAAAACGACCCTGATAAGGGCTGTATTAGGGGAACTTCCTTTAGAACGTAGAGAGATCACTGTATCCTCATTAGACACGTCATACTGTAGCCAAAGCCCATGGATCTTAAATACAACTATCTGACAGAATATATGTGGTCTAAGCTCGTCTGCATCTTCTAGCATCGACAAAGCGTGGTACAATTTGGTACTGCAAGCTTGCGCACTTGACCAAGACTTGCAGCAGCTGCCAGATAGAGATCTAACTATCCCTAGAAGTCGCGGCATGACACTGTCTAGGGGGCAAAAGCAACGTGTCGCTCTCGCTCGTGCTGTCTATGCTAAACCACGCACTATTCTTCTCGATAATGTAATAAATGCATTAGACAACAAAACCGAGAAAGTAGTGGTTGACCAGTTGATGGGTCCTAATAGACTCTTCTGTAAGCTTAACTCCACCGTGCTGTTGATAACTCATTCCTCTCGCCATTTCCAGCTCGCAGACTACATTGTAGTACTTAGAGCCGATAGCAAGGTCGCGCAACAAGGCAACTTCGACCAACTTTGAGAACAGGAAGGTTACATCAGCAATCTAGTCCTAGGTGCAGACCAAACCAGGAGTGAAGCAAAACCAGCAGAGAAATCTGGGCCTAAGAAGAAAAAATCTCCAATCAAAACTGTCACTGCGACGGACGTTTCGGATCTGACACGGAAGACTGGGGATTTCGCTGTGTACAGATACTATTTCAAGTCTATCAGCCCTATCGGTACTTTCTGCTTTCTAGCCTCCACGGCCTTATTCGTCTTCACGCAATTCTTTCCGCAGATATGGCTGGTCTGGTGGACGGAAGCAAACGGCCACGAAACGGCAAAATTTATGAGCGTCTACATCATCCTTGCGGTGGCCTCGTGGATCTTCAGAGCCGGACTGCTGTGGTGGATCCTGCTCTGGATATCGCCTCGGTCTTCGATCAAGCTCCATCAGATCCTATTGAATACGGCAGTGAAAGCCCCCCAGTCTTTCTACGCCAAAACGGACACCGGTGTCACATTGAACCGCTTTAGTCAGGATATTGGCTTAATCGATAGGATGTTGCCTCTGGCCTGTGGCAGGGTCGTACTAGCTGTTTTCATGATCTTTGCTCAGACTGCCTTGATTGCGCAAGGATCCAGCTACATGGCAATCGCCATCCCGTTTGTCGTCGTTGCTTTTTATGGCCTACAAAAGGTCTACCTTCTCACGTCTCGACAGCTCCGATTCTTGGACCTTGAAGCCCGGAGTCCTGTCTATACTCATTTTCTCGAATGCTTGGAAGGCTTATCTACAATACGCGCATTCGGTTGGGCCAGCGATGCTCATATGAATGAAATCGATCGGTTGGATAGATCCCAACGCCCATACTATCTCCTCTATTGCCTCCAGAGATGGCTCTCACTGGTCCTCGACTTAATGGTAGCCGCTGTCGGAATTGCAGTTGTCGCGTTAGCTACAAGAGTGCCTGGTCAATCGAGCCGAGCTGCTATAGGTATTGCATTGAACAACATCCTAGGTTTCAACCAATCTCTTCGACTCCTAGTAGAGAGTTGGACCCAGCTTGAGAATTCACTTGGGGCAATTGCTCGATTGAGGAACTTTGAGCTAACCACTCCCCCGGAAGACAAGCCCGAAGAGCGAGAGACGCCACCTGCTGCATGGCCTGACAAAGGGAGGATCGACTTCAAGGATCTGACTGCCTCGTACGGTCCTTCGGCACCTGCTCTTCAGAACATATCTATGACTATTATGCCGGGACAGAAGGTTGGCATTTGCGGCCGCACTGGCAGGTGAGCATTCCATGACTGCGTTCGCATAAAATTCATCTAACCGGCGCAGCGGAAAATCTTCCCTTCTTCTGTCTTTGTTTCGCCTTATCGAAATTACGGGTGGTAAAATCGAGATCGACGGTTTAGACCTTGCTACCCTACCGCGCGAGACGGTCAGGACGCGCTTGACAGCTATCCCCCAAGACCCCTTCGTCTTATCGTCTTCGGTCCGCGAGAATGCTGACCCATCGGGTTCCTCCAAGGATGAAGCCATCATCGAATCTCTGAAAAAAGTCCAATTGTGGTCAATCATCGAGTCCCGCGGTGGGCTCGACGCGCAAATGGAAGCGCAGCCACTCTCGCACGGCCAACAACAACTTTTCTGCCTTGCACGGGCCATGTTGCGAGAAAGCAAAATCTTGGTGCTTGACGAGGCAACAAGTAATGTGGATGCTGAAACAGATACACTCATGCAACGCATCACCAGGAAAGAATTTTCAGGACATACCATCGTCACGGTCGCAAACAGACTCAACACCATTGAGGACAGCGACGTCGTGGCTGTCCTGGACGGTGGCAGGCTTGCAGAATTTGGTTCTCCGGCGGAGTTATTGGCTCGTAAAGATTCATTGTTCAAACAGTTACACAGTGGCTGAAAATGGGTGATTTGGCTTAGAGTATGGTGAGAGGATAAAGCGAGTGACCAGAGTTTACTTTGGACGAGCTATCAGATCAGATGCAGACAGGCGAGAGTGCAGTTATAATAGTTTACTATGATCATATATCTGCTCGCAAAAAGGGTCTTTCTGGACTACTACGCTTAATGTCCTGCTTAAGCTACTAATCATCCTCGTCATCACTGTCATCCCCACCTTCACTACTCGTCTCCTTATCGTCATCGTCATCGTCATCGTCATCATCGTCATCACTATCTCCACCAGCAGCGCCAGGCACAGCGGCGACGGCCTTACTCGAAGCTGCAACAGGCCCCAAAGCAGTGGCAGCAATTGCGTCAAACTTCTGGGATTTGGCTGCCCCCAGCCTCGCCGTGAACGGACCAAAGCCCCTCTCGTGGAAATCCAAACGCGCCCCAACATCTGTCGCATCTCCAAGCGGAGCCTTTTCGGAAAGGGCCCAGCCCATGACCGCATTTCCGGTGGTATCGAGGCTCAGACCCAGAGTAGGGTCAAGACAGTTCTCACAGAGGAACGTGTAACTCAAGCTCGTGGCGTTCACCACGGTTCCGTCGGGGATGGGACGAACGGCAAAGGATCCGGTGACTTCGGGGGGGTTGTCTTCGTCGGTGGCCTGTCGAAACGAGGCCATGACTCCACCCTTGCCGTCGGGCCATGCGGCGAGTATGAAGTTGCCCTCCATATCTCCTGTCAGACCCATGGCACCCCAGCCGAGCCCGGCTTTCAGTGGAAACGTCATCTGGCCGATGAAGGATGTAGAGGTTGTGTTGGCCGCTGGGAGAGCGAAGCCGAAGCCGAAGGATGTTCGCGCGCCGAAGAATCGCTCCATTTCGAGCCCCGTGGTTTGGTCGACAAAGGGCTCGGATAGTTGGGATGCAGTCGAAGTGGCGTCGTCACCAGCATAGGTGAATGTAGAGAGTAGGCATGCCAGGAGTGTGATGGAGATGATGTCATAAGCTTTGACGAATTGATTACTTATGAGCTGTCGCTGGCAACTGCCCTTTCGTTGCTGAAAATACATGATGGAGTAGGGAGAGGGAAAGATGGACAGGCCTCTTGAAAGTCTGATGTTCAAAATAGAAGCGTGAATCTAATGAAGAATGTGATGAGCGAGGCGATTTAGAATGGGTTCTCCAAGGTGCTTTTATGGTGCAGAGATTGAATCTGAACGATGAGTTTGCGGACGTTGAAACGTCAGCGCCACACCCTGCGACAAGCGTAGTACGCGCCACATGAGGATAAAACATGGTGTACAAAGCGCGGGAACATGGTCACTGGACCTCCTACCGTATTGGGGATTCAGGAACGTTGAATGGGGTTCAATTCGTGCTGTTGGATTGGTGGTTTTTTCCATGATACATCCCCGCAGTCGGTCAAACAAACCGTGGATGCTTGACACAAAAGCTTAGGCAAGCTTGGGTCGAGGTGTGGAAAGGCGTGCCGAGGGATGGTGGGTACCCTGTTTCGTGGGGTGGTGCGGAGTGTCCCGCGCATCATACGTGCTAACCGCGTTGAGTTTCCACGTTAATGGGTGTCGAAGACATTGGTAAATACCGGCAGACCGGCGGGAGGGTTTGAACAGCTTGCCAAGAGATGTAGCCCGGTAAACTCGGATGTTGGGGACATGTCAAGTTTCAGATGACTACACGAGAATTCTAGCGCGGAAGAAACTAGACTGTTTCGCAGTTTACCGAGTTACACTGCCCGCGCGCGTCGCCGGTGAAATAAGACATTTATCCTGAATAGACAGTGTGAGGGATTTCATGTCCATGTTCTCCAGATGGAAACAATAAAAATTGGGATGGTGAACCGGTGGCGTGTCCATGAGTTTGAAAATAAGGTGCTGCCTTTCTGGACGGAATATTCTATCCACAGGCTACATTGTGACATCCCATCGACTGTGAAGCAGTCCTCCTTCGTGTCCAATAACGGTTGCAGCTCGACTGCATCGCATACCTTCCAGCTAGGCAAACTTGATCACAGCGTCAACCTCTTGTAACATGTCTTGCATATGTAGACGTATCAAGACTTGTATCTGCAAAGCGCGTAATTCTCAAAGACCATTCGAAGCCGAGATCCTTCCATTCAGCAAGAGAATCGCCACTTTCTCTCAGGGTGTCGAACACCCTAGAGGCGCTAGCGTGTGTAGCGTTTTCCTCGTGTTGCTGTGGTTCCGAGGCAGATGTTGAAAGACCAGCGACGGATTCCAGCATGTCGAATATAATCAGTTCACGCGAGTTGTCCTGCGGAATTTGGCGCTGAACGAAATGAACGGAATTGACTACGTTATCTACAAGCAGTTGTAGAAGAAACCTTGTCGCGCTTAGAATAGCGAACTGACCACCACTAATGACACTCGGAACTTCGAGTGCGATTGTGTGCAGTGAGCGGCATCGTGCCTGCAGAACATCCGTGAATGGACAACTTCCCCCGTAGGGATCCCAAGCATCTATACCGCTCCTTCTGGCAACGCATGCGCGTGTGATGATGACGTTGCAAATACACGACGTCATACTTTGTGGGATATTTTTGAGAAAATCGAATACGGCATTTGGGTCAACATCCAGCACAAATCGACTGCGGGAGCAGATGTCTCGGAAGACAGGGGAGGGCGACACTATGCGATCGATATGAATGGTGGATCGAATAATACCGCGCCATATTGGTTGAAGTCTTCGCAACACCTCCTGCGTCTCCTGTCTGATATCTTTGGATACAAAAAGCAGAGGGGTGAAGGGGCGGAGCTTGAAGGCAAGGACATTTGGCATGTTGAGGCCGGTATCTGCACCACTTTAGCGACTATCGCGACGCACAATCAACATATCCTACCGTTCGAAGAGCTCATGGTAGGCAGAGAGAAGGGTGGACGGATCTGCTTCGAATGCATAAGCCAAAAGTCCGCTGTGTGCTCAATGGCAAACTCGTAGATGCGATCGCGCAATTCACGTGGAAGATCGCCCAAGCGACACCTGAAAGGTTGGTCACCCAACATCCACATATGCATACGGAGTGCGAACTTACGGCTCAGCGCTCGTCGAATCCGCTGTTTGAAGAACGCTCATGTTTGATCGTGATTAATGCTTTAATAAGGAAAAGTGTACAACGTGAGCACTGAAAAGAGGACAGAATTTCGCGAGAGAGGGGCGTAGTTGTTAGCGCCGCTGTGTCTGTCTTGGTATAACGTGATTACTAAGCGAGCCGGCGGACGCCATCTGATGTTTGACAGTAAGCTTGAAACAAGAAAGTCTAAACACAGAGCAGATCAGTACGTTGTTGAACAAAATTTATTAGATTTGCTTGAGGGCGTGGAACGACAGGTAAACAGGCTATTCATTACGGATTCTATCTGCGGCTGAGATGCATGCATTAGCATCGCAACCTGCCTCCTCACGACTTCTCTTCCTTGCATGACACTGTGTGTACCTGTCAATTGCATGAAAAGATATACTTATGCTGCTTTACTGTATTTAAAATACTGGATCCCTCTTCCAACATACCCCTAGCTTTGGTTAGTCCAGTCGCGTCCTGCACTTGGATTTGTCACTAAGTATATAATTTAATTATCGCATTTCCATGCGGCACAAACACTAGGTATTAAAAATATAATAAATCTGCCTTTGAGCTCCAAGCAGGACATATGTTCCGTGGTTCGCAAAACTTATATTTCTATCAATAATGTCTCTCGCCGAGTGATGCAAGTTGTTCAGTAAACATTGATTGGGTTGACGAGTCGACCTTAGTGTATCTGTATCTAAGGATTCGCAAGACTCACACGGCATGGATATCTGTCTGCAGGGTGGGCACCCGATCTTGCCGTTTGATAAGCACGTTCTCCTAGAACAGTCTTCGGTTCCTCGCCTTTCAGACATAAAGTCCTCATAGTCCTAGTCCAGGTACCTTCTCTTTCGCTTCTCCGAGAATCCCACTCATCGTAGGCTGGCTTGATGTCGAACTTACGGGCAGTCATGATAACTGCGACGCGTAGCTCGTTATTTACAAGTGTCTGTGCAATACAATTGCGAGGTCCATGCTCAAATGGTCGATAGGAGGTTGTTGGTGATGTCGGGTACAATTCGTGCCTGGGTTCGACAAGCCAGCGCTCTGGAATGAAATCGCGAGCGCGCGGCCAAAACCTTGGATGAACGTGCACATAGTGATGCACGGCGGTCACGTTGAGGTTCTCAGTGGGGACTAGATTCCCCTTACCGTCGACAACAGAAATACCAGCCGTACCATCACGGATGGCCGACGCAGGTGGGAACAGGCGAAGAGTTTCCTTGATGACAGCCAGTGTATAGCGACACTGAATGATGAGTGCCGGCTCTTTTCTGAGTTGATCACCAGCATCAAGTTCGGATTTAAATACTCCATCGTGCTCTTTGCGTAGTTTATCAAGAGAAGAAGGATTCTGTGAAAGCAGATGGAACGTATACACAAATGTAGTAGCTGTGGTATCATTCCCGGCAAAGAGGAACATTCTGATCTGGTTTGCCGCTATATCAGCAAATTGAGCATCTAGGTCCAAGTCCTCAAAGGTCTCTTCGCTGTCCTTGTGCTTTTGGGATATATGTTCCTCGATAGCTAATGCGATGACTGATTTGGCCGTCTTCCTCTGATAGGAAGAGTTGGTAGCGCGCTCTTCCTTCATCTCATTAAACCGCTTTTGCAACTCTTTTTGATGAAAGTATCCATGAAACGCCCATGGTACCATTGGATTGGAAGCCTTAGCGGGTTCAGAAGGATTCGAGGATTCCAGAAGGAATGCCAGTCTAGAATAATATTCAGAGAGCGGGCAAGTTGATGCTCGGCACGCTGATTGTCCAAGTCAATGTCGAGTGTTGTCTTTATGATGATATCCATAGAAAGACGCATCGCCATGTCGTCCAGATAGAAAATGTCTCCGTCAACATTATCAAGCAATCGCTCGCAAAAAACATCCATGGTATCGACCAAGCCAGGGACTAGGCTGAGCATATGCGATGGACTGAACCCACTGCTAAAAAGCGATCTCCAGAACTTCCATGGTGTCCCGATCATGGTGATGAGGCTCGGGCCCCCGACCATGGGTTTGAAAGACTCTTCTTGGCTGGGCGGTTTCAGTAGATCCTGCTTACTAGAAACCTGAGCGGAAATCTCGGGGCTGAAAGCCATCAAGACAGGCTCAAATACAGGCCAGTAGTCCATGAGAAAGTAGCCAGTATCTTCGTAATCCTTAATCATGTCCTCCATGGCGATGTGCACGTTCGCGTCATGCGGCAACTTTTCTAATTTCTGATCGAGGACGAGAAGATGGCCAAACCACCAACTCCATCCATCTGGCATTGCCTGAATCATTCGGGATTAGTTAACAACCGCTATAAGTAGTAGATTAAAACTCACAACGCCCTGCTGACTTAAACGATAGATCCTGGAACGTTTCTGATAGCCAATGTAAAAGACATATATAAGCATTGATGCAAATGGTGTGCCAACGGTAACAAATGATTTTAGAAGGCCCATTTTAAGGCTGTGGAAAGATATCCCAGTAGGCAACGCGCAAGTGGGTTTGGTCTGAGGGACGTACGTCCGAGTGACTCGTGAGACTGATGACTTGGAGCCGAGACACCCTTTCGATCATGCGAGGCGTACGCTGATTGCGTTGAGCAGGGTCAAGTGCTCTCACGCCCCTCTCTCGCTCCCGCTCCCGGTCTGGCCTGGGCGCTTATGTTGTCTATGCCTTTTGCCTTGCCTCACTATTCGGCTTGATATTCAGATGCATGCAGTCAATAAATGTAGTGCGGCACGGCTGCAGGACCCGGGGTTCACAACTTCACAGGTAGCGGCGATGCACGCAACTGCTTAGTACTAAAATCGTCAAATTGTGTTGGAGATTCGTAACAAGATGTAGATTTTTATCAATAAAGACATTGAACTGACGCTGCGAATAGCGTGTATTTATTGCAACATTTGAACACAGCACATTTGCACCACGCTGGGATTATCTCTTTTTATCCTAGCGCGAAAATCAAACTTGGAATAAACGCTAACGTTGCGCCCATGAGTAAACGAAATATGCTGATCGCCACAAAAGAAATCTTCTTCAGAGTGTGGAGATCAATGTCCCATTAGGAATCTCGTAGCCGTCCAACCAGATATCGGAGAGTGCCTGAAAACTGTGGGGTACCACTTCATCTGCGTGCTTGACATCCATCCGTCTCAACTTCAGAATCAATTCCGGATCTTTGATGATGACATGATACGGTCCAACTCGAGAAATCGCAACTAGAGACATTAGTTTGGTGAGGACTTTAGGGTTCACATCAGGACTATACCTCGATTCCCCTCTTGCTTTGTATCCGAATGCACAGATGGTTCGTTGAACCAATGCACAAGAAGTGGAATCATGCAGGCTACCCTTAATCCAACGGTTGCCGGAACCACTGCCATCATTATGCTTGCTTTGATGGCTGAGCCCACGATAGGCAGAAGGCGGTAAGACGGCATATTGATGAATTTTTGTGAAAGACAATGGCAGTTCGCTTGACAGATAAGAATATGTAACAGATCGTTGACTTATGAGGAATGGGAAAGATGCAGAGTAGATCGTCGCTTCATATGATTCGAACCAACATGTCACAGATTGCATGGTTGCGCCTCTGGTAAGGTAGCTTGCAACACAGTTCTGCGCTATACTATGTAGTGCTTATGCGGCGTAAGGCATGCATCGATCGCTTAGACACCCTTCAGAGTAGGCAAAAACTCGACCACTGACAATCGGGAATGAGTTACATCTAACACGCCCAGCCCACATCCGTAACTTGTGTCCCGCGTCGCAATCAACAACCAGTATATTGGAAACGGACCAATAGATCAGGTTCCTGTATGTGAGCCATGTGATGATGCCCAATTTTGTTCACTTTTCCCAAACGTACCCCAGTGTGCGAATAGCGCTTAAGCATAAGAGTACATATCAACTTGTTACCAGCGATTGGTGCCTTCGGGTCCATCGCTGTTGGTATTGCAAAGTGAGTTGAGCTTCGAACCAATCTGGACACTGAATATGAGCTCGATCTTTACAAGAAAGGAGAGCAATAATGACATTCATCTGAGTAATTCATACTTTAGAGTAAAAAATCCTAAACTAGTAACTACAAGAAGACTATTCTATAAGCGAGAAAATAAGGCAGAGAAATAGATCTTGTGATGGTCTGCTCGTGCATCTCAATTGCGCAGTAATCAAACTGTAAAGGAGGCATTGTGCCAACTGATCTGCTTTTTCCTGTTGCCTTGACGATTCGCTCTAAGCTGTTTATTTTGCCTGATACAAGCGGTTTCCACATCAGCAGCAAGACCTTCCGGCCCAGAGATGTACACGAACGTGCTGTCTGCAGAGTCTGGTCGCGCCTCCATGAACTTTTCCAAGACTAGTCCGGGAAGCAAGCGACCTGACTGTGAAGAAACATGGATCTGCAGATCAGCTGTCTGCTCCAAGTCTTGAAGACGTTCCTGGAACGCACGAACTTCGGCAATATCAGCCATCCTGGAATCTCGAACACTCCAGACGATCTTGAGTCGTTGTTTGGTTGGACGTGTAGTACATTGTCGGGAAATCCACCAGTTAGCTAGTGATAAAGCACCGGTGATGCCTGTTCCACCTACAATGGCAATCACATCATTTTCAGGGCTGAGCCCAGGAACTGAGGTGATGTACGGACCCTCGACGCGAGCCTGTTGGCGGATTAGCCACTGTCACGGAAAACGCCGCCCAGTCAAAAGATTACTAACCTCAATATTCAAAGGATCCTCCATAGGGCGTTGGTCGACCATCGCACCTAGCGACCAAGTCCATTCTTTGTCGCTAGCAGCCACTTTCTTCTTGGAGGGACTCTTCTGGAACAAAATAATCGGACCAGACGAGGATGTCGCCGTCGCTACCGCCGTGAAAGGATGAATTTGAACCTTGCTAATTGCACTCAGACGAACGTAGTACGTCTCGAGAGGGTAATATGGCTCCGAAGCATTCTGCGCAGCAAGACCTTTCTCAGCCGCTGAACCATCGTCGGTAATTGCGTTGGGGGCGCTAGGAAGCCGCATGCGGTACCAGTTGTTGCCTGCGCCTTCTACTTCAATTGTCTGCTTGGAACACAATGCATGTTGTACCCGGTAGCTCCAGTCGTATACCCAGAGGAGCAAACCCGGAAGGATGAAATAGAAGTTGGTGCTTGCGTGCAGGCAGACAAACACGAGAATGAGTAGGGCGAAGATGACGTGAATGTAGTAGAAAGTATTGTAGTTGTTCCTCCGGATGTGAGGCAGCGCCGTGATGATCACAATAGGGATCAAGATGATGCCAACGACGGCTCCTGTAGGTAATGGTAACCAACCATATGGGCCGATCTGTTCAATCTGCTTCCAAGTATAGAAAGGATTATCTGGGTTGAAAGCGTCATGAACCAGCTCTTTAGGGTTGGCGAGCCAAGCAGCAAGAAAGGACTAGGAAGCAAGTCAGTACACAGATCTTGAGGCAGAAATTGTAAGTTGTTGCGCACGTACATAATAAAGCAAGCCGTGTATCAGGCCAAACGCGCACAGCGTGTATGCAAGCAGCTTGTGCGCGACCAGCAACGTTGAAGTCTGTATACCGAAGGCATCAGAAATGAGACTGTTCCTCCCGACAGGTAAGAGAACCAGTCCGAACAGTATGTCGCACCAGTGGCCTGTCACGCCAGCCCATGTGACACGGAACATGTACTGCGTCCAGTCCGCCTCGAATCCTTTGGCGTACCAAAATGCGTGCTCAACTGGTAGCCAGTACGCCGTGGTTACCAGCGTGAAAGCTAGGATCCACGCCGACAAAAGTGTCCCGCCGAGAGAAAGTCGTATTCCGATCAGAGGAAGCGGCTTGTCGAGGAGATAACGATCTGAGAATGATCTGATAACTGTAGACTTGGACCATCCGGCGATATAAATTGCAGCGATACCGATTCCACCGTAGAACACTGCGATGTGAGTACGAACTTGCGAAGGAAACCAATGTTCTACACATATGGTGCTGTGGCATGGAGCAAACGTGAGGCCAACGGTGAAACCTGAGCAGACAACGAGCAGCGCGGCGATAGTGAACTGGCTGATCGAGCCCGAGTGTGCGCGGGAGGAAAGTGAAGTTGCTTTCATGATAGATGTAGAAAACAGGCTAGTAAGGAAATGTAAGGACGAATCAACTGATGCCTGTGATCAAAAAGTAGTGCGGTGATTCCAAGTCAATGAGACGTCCATGGCCAATTTTATATTCGCTGAGCAGCAGCATATTGAACGAGGATTCTTGGTGGTCTGTGACGACCTGGATGTATAAACTAACCGGGTACGATCGATTTTGCGATATGTCCGAAGCATCGTGTTGTTGTGTCGCTGAGATTACCGCAGTGCCAAGCCATATGATGGCTTGGCACGATGACAAAGATGCCCTTGTCTAACCCTGCTCGCAACGTCTACCGAAACGGACATAGCGGCAACGCAAGCCTTCAGCTGGGCGGCATCCGATGGGCTCTCTGTGTTGTACCTTTTAACGAATGTGCGAGATGTGAACAGCTCGGATCACGTTCCCCCAGGTTCCTAACAGACACAATCGATCGAAACCTGCAGATACTGTACTCCGACTGATGTGGCCGACGGCCAGCGCCTCATCCAGACAAGACCATGGTGAACCGCGGACCTAGCGCTGGCTGCCAAACATGCAGAGAGCGCCGCGTTGGGTGCGATAAGACGAGACCAGCATGCAGAAAGTGCACCATGCGTGGACAGATATGCCCTGGATACCGTGACGCCAGCGGTATTGTCTTCAAGGACGAAAGCAAGGCCGTTTTCGCACGCCACAGCAAGCGAGCACCCGCGAGACCATCTATACTGCCGCGACAGGTGCACTCCAATCCATACGACGTGACAACAGCCTTCTTCTTCCGACACTGTTTACTTCCAGCCCAACATGATTGGCCGTTGGGCAACGAATACTTCGACCATATCTTGCCTCTATACAACTCTGCGGCACCTTCGTCTGCTTTGTCTCTCGCCGTTTCAGTCATGGCGCTCAAAGTTGCCACCATCCACCACACTCAAGATTATGTGCAGCATTTAGTCACTGGAGCTGAGCTCGCTGCTGTTCGAGCAGTTAGTACAGCATTGTCAGATCCACTCCAACGTTTGAAGGACGAGACGCTCATGGCAACCCTATGCCTGGACTTTGCCCAGCAATACCGAAATTCTGCACTCCAGCATGGTCGCCCTCACCTGAGAGGCGCTCTAGCACTAATCCAACAGCGGGCATCTACACCCTTCGACTCAAAAGCGTCGCAATCTCTCTACGTAGCAACCAGAGGCCATGTCTTGCTGATCACGCTATGGTCAACCAACACAAGCGAGGACCAAGATCTGATTTTTACATTGCCTGAAGTGGCATCCGCGCGTGAAAGCGTTGCGTCCGCTGTACAGCACATTTTACGGCAGGTTCTGTGCCTAGAAAGACAGGTCCTCGCCTGGCAGCCACCAGACGCGAGTTCGCCATCAGAAGAGGATCGCGTGGCCTCGTATGCTACCTGGGCCCAAGCTTTGTGCAACTGCCTCGAAGGAATCAAGTTTGAAGTATCCTGGGAGCTTTCATTACCCTTTGTTCCCTTACCTTATGGTAGCTTCGAAAGGTCGAGTGATGTATTATTAGTACAGAAGGCTTTCGTCTTTGGCCAATACATCTGCACATACGTGCTAGTCCTGAAGCTTCTGTACTGTACAAGATCTTTCCTACAAGATGACGATACACAACATAAAATCGCTTATCATCGTGCAATACTCGACCAAGCGCAAAGTCTGTTATCCTCACTCTGCGTGTCTGTCGTCCCAATCTTAGACCGTAGCCGCTTTTTGCGCCCGGGCGAGGGAACTGTCAATCGCATAATCGTTACAGAGACCAGACCAGAACTATCGAATGGTTTGCCAGACGAAGGGCTCGCTTCCACTAGTCGTTCCCATCTGGTCTGTATCACTACGTGGATTTTGGGTATCTTAAGAAAAGAGTTTCTCGGAACGAAGGAGTTTGGAATCAAATCTGACGACATTGACTATCTGCAAAGTATACATAATTCTCTATTTCAAGTTATCTAGTCGCGGGTAGTACAAGAAGAATATAAATAGAATTTGCTTATGATACCACTATTGGTTTGAGGCGACTTGTTCTGCAAACGAAGGGGGGGACCAGGAATTTCAATCCGGCAGTCTTGCACTACGAGACTTCTAAGACCAGCGTCCATGGCCTCAATTGCAGGTACAATTGTGGTGGTGGAGATGGTCGGAATACCATGAATTCGAGAGAGGATGTTATGTTTGACGTTTTGAGGTAACACACCAAGAATCTCAGTGCTGCTACCACAATGCTTCCAACCAATCCCCACTCATCCATTATAATGGCCGCAGCTTGCAGGATTATGTGCACTATGGTTTATAGTATCAATCTGCCCTAAGCATAATACATGGCTAATGTATTCAATCATGCGACTTCTAGCCGAAGCGCATCATACTGCAAGTAAACACTCTCTGGTAGTACCGCATCCTCAGGCGCTGTTGCCTTCGCCGGCAAACTCAGTATCATCTCATTCCCACCCTCTCTCAGGAAGCCGGCATTGAACTCAAATTTATGCCCCGTTGTATAACATGTCGCTGCGCTGCGTACGGCGCAGCTTGAAGAGTGCTGTGATGGAATAGTCCAGGTGGGAAGCTGTTTTCCATTGACAACAACAGTATATGGCAAGTCGTTCCACGCTTTATCGGCATGGTCGTTATTGCCGGCGGAGGTCTTGACACCCGCGAGCTGAATTGTGAGCGTTGCATTCGTCTTTCCGGCAATCTGTTGTGGTGTCACATCAAATGCGATTGTCCAGTTGTTGACGTTGGTGTAGTACGGATCTTTGCGAATATAGTTCGCTTTGCCCCCAAACACGCTCCAGTGCACGTAGTTGAAGTCTTTGGTGAGGTCCGAAGTACCAATTTTGTATTTAATACCGTTCGGGAAGTCGTTCGGGAAATCGTGAACGGCCCAGTACTCGCGGTATTCGCGCATGCCGAGGGTCTTCGAGGTGCTTTTCGCGTTTCCATGACGAAATTCGCCACAAGATTTGTCTGGCGTGCCGATGCGCCAGAGCTCGGTGCCAGCGGTCTCAGAAGCCCAAGTCACTGTGGCTGCATGAGTCTGCCCAGCTTTTATATCAACCCCGTCCTGTGTGTATTCGCCAAAGATTCCGTCGGCGTAGATGGTTAGGCGGTATGTGCCAGCTTTCACCGAACGTATAGTGACAGAGCCGGTGCTCTCTATCTCACTCCAGTACTGATACGCTCTGCTATCTTTGTTGTTGTCCTGGAAGTCGGCACCACTGAGAGCAAGAACGGCCACCGCGCGGGTAGCACCCTTAGGAAGGGACACAGTGCCTTGGAAAATTCCGCGGCGGGAAGATGGCAACAAATTGGGGACATGTTGGGCAATCGAGTCGTAAAACGGAGTCCAGTTGGTGGTCACGGTCTTTGCCGCATCGCTGCGTAGCTGCTGCAAGGTCGTTCCTTTTGCGCCCTTGTTGAAGTAATAGTATTGCTACCCATTTGATTAGTGGGGGTGATGTAAGAAGATGGTGGTATGAAGTGACCAACCGGCCCAAAAGTACGATCGAAACCGTTGGTCATCTCAGGTACGCCGTTCCCATGATGGTTTGAGACTGCCATCGCGTTAGAGCTAGTTGTTTCCGGAAGCAAGATGTTGCGATGTTACCGAGATAGTTGTACACGATTCCGTCCACGGTCAAATCAGAGTGCGTTGGACCCCCAAAGTAAGTGTCCTTCGTGTTCATGACTAGCCATGCGCCGAATGCCGATCCATCGTTACTCTTGCTGCCGTCTCCATACATGCCATGCGCAATCTGGTTCCGCCATTCCTCTGAAAACATGTATTTGGTAAAGTAATCTGAGACCTGTTTGACATAAGGATGATCCTTCTTACCGCCTACATACCAAGAGGCATCTTGTACTGTCGGAGCACCGCTCGTGTCTGGTATGGGCCCATACATTTCATCGCTTGACGACAGATGTGTCCACAGTGTAGAGGTTGGCCGGAACAATTGACGCATCTCGCCCAGGTCGCCACCGCTCGGTACACGCGAATTGTTGTACGACGCACGCGCGAAGACATGCATGCCTGTTTCGCCATTGCGCAGGAACCAGTACTGCTCCAGCACCTTGCCTGTGTTTTGGTAGTCGTGGCTCATCATCGCGCCCGCATATTCCTGCCCAGCACCATCTGTACCTTTGAATAGCTTGTAAGTGGCGCCATTACCTGGAGTCCAAAATCCACTGTCGACGCAATGGCAGTCAAGATACGGACCCCGACCAGTGCCTAGCAAATTCTGACCATCGAGTGAAAGTTTGGATACGGACCCCGAGCTTTTAGCGACCGAAAATGAGAGGCGATCGTTGGAAATATTAATGGCGCTACTATCCTCTGAGGACTTGATTGCTGCAAGTGCGGCTGGGACCAAAGGCAAAAGGGTCGCAATGGCGAAGCGGAACTTGAACAACTTCATGTTTTCGGCACCAAAGCAAATCGCGATCTCATGATGCTTTATTTGTGGATTGCAACAAGAATATATAAATCGTCAGTGGGGCTTCATTCGTCATGATCAACGTTGCTGGTGCGCGACAAGTGGAATAATGTTTCTCCCACGTATAATGCGGGGAATTAGCCTGATTCCCTGAGCGTAGGGATAAAAAGCATACATACTACAAAGGTACACATGTGGACTTCTACTTCTAGACCAGTGTAGACTATACTTATAGATATTAAGTATAGCTTCGCGCTATATAACCCCACTTGTTCATTAGTCTCAGCCACTTGCCTCGCCCCACCGGAGGACATTAATCCTGCAGTGCCTGGGTGCTTCGTATTATACTGAAATGACGTATTGCGTGCTTGTAAACCGGACCTCGTTCAACAGGAGCCACCCATTGTGAAATAGCCACTGCGATTGGGAAGCAAAAACTTTTATGCGGCATTAAATAGATGTGTGCCCACCGTTGAAGTCACTGGTGACCAAGATTGATCAGGCGCATAACTAAAAGGCTTTCTCTGCACCCGTACCTTTTCCCCGGTGTAATTGTAGACGAAGTGTTCGTGCCAATCCAAAATGCGATGATTACGATCTTGAAAAGTAGGACTAAATGAGCTACGTGACTATCATGGGCACGCTTTGGGTGCTGCTATTTCTACTCCACTACGCAAAGCTCCCACTGGAGGACTTTGTTAACGGATGTACTATGTAGCTGAGATGCAGCTGAGAAGCGAGTATACGAGCACCTGAAACATTCTAAGCGGATCATCTACCAATTACGCTTTGAAATGCATGCAGGGGGCCACATCAACATTCCGATGTCCGACGCCATAATGAACTTGTTGCGGGGGCCTTTTGAATGCGAAGTCTGTACGATCACCGGAAATTAGCTTTACTATGTTCACTAACCCAATTTAAGCCTTGCCCCTTGAAGATCATGGTGAATCTCGTGTACAGACTGTCAGGTACGAGCGGCTAGCTATGCACCTGTGTCGGCGAACATCGTATAGCAATACGTTGATCGACCGTTGTGCTTGTAGACCGCAGGGCATTAGGAAAGGAGAAGTCGACGTTCGTGAAATGTTCGTATCCTAACGATGCAGGTTGTGTATAAGATGACCATCTTCCGCTCTTGAATCTGGTCAACGCACTCTGTGTCTGTTCATCGTCACTCCTTCAACCCTCACCATCCATCCGAATTTAATACCCCTAACAAGATACCGCCATCATGCGCAACGTCATATTTCTTCTCGCGTCGGCTATCGCCTTTACAGGAGTTTCTGCATCCCCCACCGAGGCTATTTTCGGCCGTCATGTAGGAGATAGCTGTAAAGGCGGCGAAGGATCCGGGACCTGTCAGGCAACGTCAAAGTGTAACGGGATATCATATCCACTTGGCTGTAGGCTCCCCATACCAACCCCATAAAGCGAGTAGGACTACAAATACTAATAATGACTCAGACTGCCCTAACGACCCTGTTGATGTTCAGGTACGAATCTTCATCATATCTTCGAGTCGCGATTGTGCAAGCCTAATTTGATCAAAATCTACAGTGCTGTGTTGAAATTGCCTGCAAACAAAGTGCTGGGTTTTGCAGAAGTGTTTCCAACAACGGATGTTCCGGCGGTAGCTTTGAATCCGGATTCTGCCCTGGTGACAACGACATCAAATGCTGCATCAAGAGCAAAGATAGCTCTCCAGGCACACCAACTCCTCCACCATCGTCCGGTGGTCAACTACCCGGCCTCTCAGCCACGTCATCCAAATACGCACATATCATCGCTTCTCGGGTTCATGCCCTGGGGCTGCCAAAGCGCGCATGTTTGGTCGCGATCGCAACTGCGCAGCAGGAGAGCGGCATACGCGTTTTGGCAAACACGGGCGAGCCAGCTTCATACAACTATCCCCATGATGGCGAGGGGAGCGATCATGACTCGGTGGGCATCTTCCAGCAACGACCGGGGTGGGGAACAGTCAAAGATCGCATGGATCCAGTACGTGTGCTCAAGCTGTCATGCTACTAGAGAGCGAGTTTCTGATGTATCAGCAGGCGTCTAGTGCAGACAAATTCCTCAATCGTTTGAAGACCGTTAGCAACTGGCAGAGTCTAAGTATCGCACAAGCAGCGCAAAAGGTGCAAGTGTAAGCCATCTATTCTCATGAAGCTGATATATATATCTTGACCGATTTATCTGACTTTCGTGTTGCAGGTCCGCATTCCCCGATGCCTATGCCAAATGGGAAACTCTCGCAACAAATGTCTGCAATGCTGCATTTTAGTCTACTCCAAAGCTAGATACCGTGTCACTTCACAAATCGTACATCTGGATAATCATTTATCCTGTTATGGAATAAATCTTCCCCGGTTCCTTTCAACACTGAATCAAACCACCCGACTGAGCCTCTCCATAGTATCTCCCTCTGTCTCTCAGGTGCAATGACCCCTCCAACAGCCTCCACGTTCTCTCTATATTCTTTCCTCAAGCCTTCTACATCCAGAACGATTGGGAGGTCTGTGAAACTTAGATGCTGTGTTCCGTTTACAGCTACCCATACCTTTTCCCCTTTGAGTAAATTGTCCCAAGCGAATTCCCAACCTTCGACATGACCTGGCAACGGGGTCTCACGGCCGAATAGAAATGCTGGAACAGGAATAGAAATGTTGATCTGCGACGAGAAAATCTGGCCATCCCAATCTATCGCGGCCGCGATTCGCGGGTCGGATGATGCAGCCGAGAGAGCGGCAGCGCCACCAATAGAGTGACCGAAGACACCTATCCCACCTATTTTTCCTTCCTCGCCTGTTGATTTTGACGATAGTTCCAAACCCGGAACCTGTAGCTCGCCATTCTCAAGAGCGTCGATGACAGATGAATAGTCTGCAACCCTAACCGGAAGACTGTCGTTGGGTCCTAGGCCGTCTTCAGATATGCCCGTGTTGTTTACAACGGTTGATCCGTCCGGAAATTCGATGATGGGGGTCTCAAAAGTAGAGTCCATGCTAATCACTGTATACCCCGAACTAGCAATTGATGCAAGATTGAGCTGGTAGGAAAATCGACTGTTTTGGTATCCTGGCTGGAAGAGGAGGATGGGAAGTCGGGGTTCCGCAAGCGAGACGAGGGAAGATGAAAGCGCGCAATATTCAACCTCGAGAGCATTGAAGTCCAAGTCAGCAATGGGAGAAAGAGGAATACCGGCGGGTTCCTGGGTTTTCATCACGGACGCCGTGCGGGCTGGCATATATGGCGTGTAAGACGAATTGTGGCATGCGAAAGTATCCATCTGGGGCTGTAAAATGGAGAGCATGAGACGGCGTTTTGTTCCTGACTGGGGAGCGAGGGCATCATCGCGACTGGTTTGGATGGCTATGTTGGATACCGAGACAGGGTAGGGGCCAAGTTGGGGCTGAATACTGAAGGCAGCAGCATTGGGTAACAAAGCGCCTGCAAAGAAGGCGAGCGCAATTGTGATCGGACTGTGGCGGGATTTCTGCATAATGTTTAACCAATATGCAAACGACAGAACGCAGTTGGAAGGGCCGCGTATATAGTTATAGGTTTGTCGAGGTCATTGTTTGGGACCCGAGCGCAGGAGTAAGGCCTGGCCAGTCAGCACAGAGAGAAACTAGGACCATCTAGGCAGTTGTTCTCGGTGAATTTGCCAAATGTTAGAGGATGAAGCTTGTTTTGAATAGGCGCGATGTTTGCGCTTCGTTACGAAACATATTCAATTATCCTCCGCGGTTCTCTTGAGATGCGAAAAAAAAAAAACGGATCATAGAATCTTGCTCAATTTCCGACATCTGTCTGGAGTGAAGGGAGGTTCGTAGCGAGTGCAGGCGTTCTTCGCACTGATTGGCTGAATCTATATTAATAAAGCCAATAAAGCCAATAGACATAAGAGGTCTAGGGCAATGCTTGATCTGTACTGTTTTCTCCTTTTTCAGACTATGGGCTGCTCACATGTCTCATTCGAACACAACGGTCAGCGCGTTTTCAGCATTGCCAGAACCAACATTGAAACACGAGCATGACGTCACAAAACTATCCAAACTCTGTGCTGCCTTGTACGGTTGTCATTGGTCCCGCGTCTCTATCAACGTAGAAAGTGCTGATCCTTTCCAGGGTAAATCTTGGCCCCTTCTTAGTCGCTCTCTGATAGGCCATACGGAGTCCGAGCGCATTTGGTCGCCGTGAGGGTCTCCTGTGAATACAAACATCTGTCCAAATGCGTTTATGGGTGTTGACGATCTTTTCGTATTCGAAGCAAACAGTTCACGCAACCGTTATCTCGACATACTTCAGGGCTCTCGGGGTCTATGTACGCCTACTGCATGGAACTGTATCGCTCTGCAGCTTGACTGCGCCCATTGCGTCATCGCCATATTTACGAACTTTTTTACGACCCCAAGAGGGATTGTTCCCTTAGCAAGACATGTATAAAAGCTATGTTGAGCGGGTGGAGAATTGTTTGTCTAGCATGACTCGTAATTCCACGTCTCCTAAGCTCAGTGGACTAAGTGTGCACGTCCAGTGTTCATCATGACTCTGTATGCTCCATCCACAATCATACCCATTTACGGTGTTTTCACCGCCGTGGGGATACTTCTCACTATTCTGCGCTTCTTCGTCCGAGCTTTCGTCTCGCGAACTAGTCCTAGCCGCAATCCTTTCGGCTGGGATGACTTATTCGTGCTCATCGGACTTCTCATCGTTTCAACATGCGCCGGCATCCAATTTTATAATTCCATCCACGGAAATGCGGGGAAAGCAACATCTACTGCGACGAAAGACCATGAAGCAATTCTCGAGTATCAAATCGATTTTGCCATGCTGGTGATTGAGAAGCCTGCTTTTGGCGCGATCAAACTCTCGCTTTTATTCTTCTATGCAAGAATCTTTGGGCACTGGCCGAGCTTTCGGAGAATCAACAGATGGCTCATGGCCATCATCGTGCTATGGGCCTTGAGCTTCATGTTAGCTGACATATTGCTGTGTGGAACGCATCCCGAATATCACTGGATCCTGGATCAAGTACCCAACAAAGCACGATGTGGGGACAAAGGATTGTTGCTCATTCTGTTCGGATTGACCAGCGTGATTACCGATGCTTTTGTCGTTGGTCTGCCTCTATTTTACATCCGCCGGTTGCGGCTCAGGCGAAGCAAGCGTGTCGCGGCCTGCGGCGTGTTTCTCTTGGGCGGACTGTATGTATTCCCACAACCTTGACCGTGCTTGGGCTGACGATTAGCATAGCTCCACTTTAGCAGGTCTACTCCGAACAATCTTTCTTTGCGTGGCCTATCCGCGCGGGAGATTGACTTGGGGGTACATTTCACCACCCGAAGCGAAACTGCCGCTGGCGCTGAAAATCATCAATCCAACTTTCTGGGTCATGATGGAGATGCTGTTTGGGGTATGGGCCGCCAACCTTCCCACCCTCGCTCCTCTGGTGCGAATTATCAGCAATCGTTATCGTGCTAGCAAAGCCTACCGGAAGTTTTCAAGGTCAGATTCCACTGCTGATAAAGCAAAATTCGAGATTTACACCAAACCGTCGAAGACTGCGGATGACAGCCGCAAGGACTCGGGGGTTACCAGCGACGAATCACTCCCATGAAAGGGGTGCGCCCCGATCCCTGCTTACTAAGATTGTGTGAGGGCGTCGTTGTTTCAACTTTTTGGTAATCGCTCTTCTGTTGTACCTTTTATCGCTTTAACCATCTGTGTGAACACCTAACCTCCAACTCAAGATCAATCTCTCCCATGATCAGAATTTCCCTATCTCACGATCCTCTCATATGTCTTGATTATGAATTAATTCATCGTTAATGCTTCTTTAATATCAATCCTGTGCTTTTCCATTCCAAGTAGAGTAGTGACATCTCATGCTCGTGATTGGCCGGCTTCCGACTGTCAGTACCACTCCTAAAGTTTCGAAGCCATTCAAAGAACTTCGTCTAGATGTTTGTGCCGCATATAATTTGCGATAATCTTGTTTCAATGTCGCAATTCAGTATTATAGAGTGCGAGTGATAGAACATGTCTGCGCGGTATAGTCGCAGCAGCGGGGTGCACGCTCCGGTGGGGGCTGACACGGCGGGGAACCTGCCGGCCTTCGCCATTTGAATACACATTTCTACCATTGCTCTACCTTGATTCGAGCTTGTATATATATCATTAATGAAGGCCCATCGGAATGAATTGTCTGCTTTTCGGTTCCATCACTCACGGATGGTCTCAAGCTTGATACACGATCGGTTAGATCTGACATAGCACGATTACAACACTCTAGCGATCCACACTACCCCTCAACTACCTTTATGTCCCTTAGTTTCATGCCGTGAGTGGATATGAGCAACAATGAAGTACTATATCAATATTCAGTGCTGATAAAGCGTAGATTTCTGTGTAGATATATTGTTCTGCACTCGTTGGCTATGGCACCCTCGCAATATCAAGCTAGAGAACCATCGCTAAATAAAAACGGGTATGTTCACACTTAGAGGTAGTATCGGCACTCAGATCAAGAAATCTCAATCCCCCCAAAGCATAGTGAACAGATATCGCACAATCTGTCTACAGCTTCCAATCACTACAGCCAGGAAGCTGTCAGCGGTACATCTAAATAAGAACTACATTTAACTGCCTATTTGGGGCGCAGCTGACAAGCGTAGCGTAGCCGCACAGACCGTACTAGACAGATATTGCACTCGCCCACCACTTTCAGCTTGCGGGTTGATTGCTCTAACGTAAGCCCAAGATCTCAAACGCCGCGTCTAAACCAATACAGGCTGTGCTATACTCGTTTGAGCGTTCCCATTCCTCGTCGAGAACTATTACTCCCAAGCACAATTTACCTTTCATGATCAAGCGCAAGGTTATCTAAAGACAGATACCAAGACTTTCACCGCAGCAGCAGTGGGTCGCGAGGCTGGTGTTGGGATTTAGGGCTATTTCTATAGTTAAAAGTGGGTGCAGGCCACCTTGGCATCAGATATAGTGCTTAGACGCTAAACTCCGCCACTAATTATTCTCCTTGGATTACCAGAATAGGCCAATGAGAAACTTGAGTACAGCTGAGGCGATGCACGAAGATACATCGTGAAATGCAATTGATAGCGTTGTGGTTGAGAATGGTGTTTGTATAAAACCCAGCTCTTGCGCTACGATAACCCACCATCACAACACACTTCATTCGATCAACTACAACAATACAGCAACTTTTCTCTCACACAAAACCACACAACACCTTCAATTTCTCCTATAATTCAATTTCTTCCATATCCAAGATGCAATTCTCCACCATCGCAGCCTCCATCGCTTTCGCCGCCACCGCAGTAAATGCATCTCCCTGCGTTGCCCCCCCACCTCAACCCACTCCCGCAACCCCAGCACCAAGACCAGCATGCCCAGCAGTTTCCTTTTCCGATACCCTCACTGGCTCAGTAAAAGCGCAAGTCTACGACATCATCCCCAGCGACCCCGAGCGCGCCTCCACCCCAACCAACAAACTCAACGTCTACAATATTTCCAACGACGTCAAGCAACAAGCCGTCGTCTTCCGCGGTCTCCCAGAAACCGCATACGCCTGCAGACTATCCTGGAATCTCAAGTGGCCTCGCCAGCAATTCGCCGCTACAAAGAACACGGCGATCAAGCTGTACGGACTCACTGAGATCCCCGATACGTTTTCTGCTTCCTCGGTGACACCGCTCGTCAATGTAACGGAGTCGGCTGCCGTGGGCGCTTTGAAGCTTGGTGCGGAGGAAAAGCAGGAGAGTATTGGTGAGGCTGCTGGGTTCCCGCCTTGTGCTACGGAGCTTGCTTACTTGGCTTCTTTGAATACTGAGGCTGGGGGTGAGGGTGCGCTTTCGATGCTTCAGGATCAGGACAATGGGTTTTCTTTGTATTACAATTACTGCTAGGGGTAGTTGAAGATTCAGTGGCAGACAGGAGGATTTTATGTTTTGGGAATGGCGGAAATTGTGGTGTTAGGGAGTATCGACTGTACTTTGAAAGCATACTTTCTTTCTCATTTAGCAAGCGTTTATAGAATATTTATATATATAGAGAAAACTGTATGCTAATTCGTTGTCGACAATTAAAACTAATTGAATGGCCTCTTGACTCAGTACTCATGAAAGATGAAACAGGTTCCTTGCGCATCGTATGATATTCTTTGAATGCGTCAATGCTAACGAGGGAGATACTCATTAGATTCACGCGGAACTCTTGTCCTGATACAGATCCTTGAGAGCCAAAGTCTCCTTCTCTGACCCCTCCAGATATCCCTTTTCCAGGGTGTACTTCAAAAAAGGCGTGTAATTGAAAACAAGATCGCGAAGCCAGGCCAGAGGCCACGGAAGCCCATGAAAGATTCTACCCATATAGCGTGCGAATTCCATATTATGGTTCACGTAGCCCACGCGCTGTTTCTCGTACAACTCAAACCCAGCATTGACGGCGTGAATATCCACCAAATCCACACCTCGCAGCGCGTTCGCGAGGAAGTACCCATCCTCGATCGCCATACCCATACCATACGCTGCGTACGGTGACACTGGGTGAACAGCATCTCCAACGCATACTACTCGTCCCTTTGACCATTTCTTCATCGACGGCCGATTATATATTTCCCAGCGATAGACCTGTGTGTCGAAATCCGTGCATTCAAGAAATCGCGGCATAGGATCAGCCCAGTCCTTCAGGATACCCTGAAGATGCGCTTTCACGTCCCGAGGCACTGGTTTACCTTCCCAAGATGGCTCGACAACCCACCACTCAAATCCTGGTTTGCCATTATGAATCATCGGGAAGAAACTGGCTTGATACTGCCAGTTGTGCGAGATGTAACCGTAGTTTGGAGGAATGTCCGGGATGTGATCGCACCATGCTAGCCAGAGGCGTATGCCGATGTGGAACAGTTGGGGGTCTCCGAATGCTTGTTTTGATACATTTGACCGGATCCCGTCAGCGCCTACGAGAATGTCTGCCTCAACTTTTGTGCCGTTGCTGAAGTTCAGCTCTATCGTGTCGTCGTATTCCGTGTACGAGTCGAATTGGTGCGAAGTATGGACAACGCCTTGGGGGATTTTGCTGAGCATCTTCTCAAAAGCGGTGGACCTTAAAACTCCATAATGCCAGCCCTTGATCCCTAGTCTTTTTTCGATCTTCGGGTTGAATGGTAATTTCGCCCGTTCCAAGCCCTTATCGTTCTTGAAATACGTGACCGTAGGCGCGCCAAAGTTGTCGATATCGATGCCATAGGAACGCAATACAGCCAAAACGGGAACACTAAGTAGTACAGCACCGCCAAAGGGTTCGCAGGTCTTTTGTCGCTCGTAGACACGGACATCGTAGCCTTGTTTCAAACAGGCTAGAGCGGTTGAGATCGCGCCAGGACCGCCCCCAACTATGGCGATGCGCTTGCCTTTGCGCCACTGGATGCTCATTGTTGCTGTATTTTGACTCTATACTTCTACCTCGGAATCTGATAACTTCTTCCATTTCTCAAGTCTCCGACCGGATGTTTATATTATCACGTCTAGTCGCCAGAGCCCGATCGAGGGGCCCACAAAACTCGGGATGTGGGGGATCGTAGGTGCCGCTAAAATGCGTCAACTGAGCCAGAATGATTAGTGCAGCCATTCGCATACGGGGCTGAGGTGTACAACAGTTGAACTTTATAGTGGCCTCAGACCAAGGCAGTCGTCATTTCCTGTAGTTTCTTCGGGGCGTAGAAAATCAAGCAAATACAGGATTGAGGGGCTTGAGATGAACGTGTATCGTTGCACACTCTGCATGAAATGTTGCTGCACGAACCCACAAACAATATCCAAAATCACACAAAATACTTTCATGTATTTCTCATAATTGACTACGCAAATCACTGATGTAGATCGAAAATCTCTCAACGTCAAGAACTAGGTGAACGGGAGCACAATATGACTATCATACTCCCCACCAAAATGAACAACATGATTCCCCTTGTTCAACGAGTGTGCCGTACTTCCAAAATTGCTAACTCCAAGATTCCGCCCGCTAATCGATACCCTCAGTCCTTCGCCAGCTTCATACTCAATACCCATTGCCCAGATTCCGATATCCAACCGTGTAATTGTACCGGGGTCGATCTTCTCCTCTTTCTCATGCGGGTGGAATGGCCAGTGTGGGTGCATTGACTTCGCCTCGTCAATAGCGCGATGTGATGCGCGTAGGATACCAAGCGGGCCTTTGTAGACCACCACCTCGGTGAATTCATGTGGCTTTACCTCACCGAACGAACTGATCGGAAGGTTTTCCCAGGGGATATTGAGGTTGAGCATAGGGTTCCCGTTACTGTCGATTTTTTCGATGAGAACGTACACATCCATGTCGTCGAGATCGTCGCATGACATGTATAGTACTGCTTTAGGGAGTCCGACAAGACGAGTGGGTGAGTCGAAATGGTATGAAAAGCTTACACCATGTGGCTCTTCGGATGCATACGACACTGTTTGCGCGGGGCCATGTTCAGGGTCGAGGGATAATCGTTGATCTGGTGCGAGATACAAATTCTTGTAGCTCGTTCTAGGTAATGGGAAGTCGTCTTCCACGATATTTTCGTGTGCTTGGGGCGTCTTGTTGCCGAATCGCAAAGTCGCCATCCTCACACGCGGTGTGCTCGGCCAGCTGTTGTCAATGCCACGAAGGAAGTGATCGAAGAAAGATAGCAACTCGCTATCAGACTGTGGGTTTCCCCAAAGATCATACCACTCTTGCCACGGATGCCAGCGTAGCCATTTATCTTTGGAATCGACTTCCAGCCACGCACGAATGGCACCCATACCGTGCATAGTGTTCGTCCAAGTCCCGGTGATATACGTCGGAATATTGATCTTCTTCATATCAGGGCGTTTGTCGTTCCACCACTCATTAGCAAGTGGGCGCTCTTTGAACATCTTGCGAAAACTTTCCAGTCCATGACGTCCCTGTAGCATGTATCTTACTATGAGATTGTCGAAAAGGTCTCCAGCGTAGATTCCCCCGCGGGCAAATTGTTCGCGATAGAGATCTCCACAGCCCTCGAATGGCGCAATGGCTTTCAACGAAGGTGGCCGCTGAGCGGCGATGAACCACTGAGCGATAGCAAGATGCGAGTTTCCAGCCAATCCGACAGAACCCGAACACCATGGCAGTTTTGCCACTGCTTCAATGGTATCGTATCCATCCTCAGCTTCCTGCGTGCCCAATATGGTCATGCGGTCATCGCTGTCACCCACGCCACGCGTGTCTACATTCACGATTGCATAGCCACGAGGAACCCAAGTAGCTGGATCGAGCCCTTCGAATTTCTCAAGACCGGACAGCGTACCAGATGGGATACCGAGATTCCATGGTGTCATTAACCCAAGTGACATAACGCCATTAAACTTCTTCCCAAAGGGAGACCAGCATAGAAGTGCTGGCACTTTGTCGTCCGGGTCGGGTGACCGGTAGATGTCAGCGTAAAGTTTTGCGCCGTCGCGCATGGTGATTGCGATGTCATGTTCTACCAATATTGCGGATGCCAAGGGTTTGGTGTCTGGGTGATCGTATTTCCATCCAGCTGGCAAGACTTCCGAATGAGGATTGAATCCGACATAGCCGCCTTGACCGATTTTGGGAGGACTAACTTCCTCGAGCGGGATCTCAACGCCGTTCTTCATATTAGAAATTCGATTTACGATAATCAAGATGCAATGCGATGAAGAATCGGGAATGTTTGAGAGAGCGATGGGATGAGAAGTGATCAATGTGAAAGAGGAATATCGGTGTCTCCAAATTCATTAGATAGTGCTAACGTGAACCAACTGAAGCTCCCGTTAGAACAACATAAAGGCATGCCCGCAATGTGAAGTGGGGTCCAAGTCAGCACGCGTAGACCAGGGAAAAAGATGCCGAGCCGATAGCTGCACGATAGGCTCGTGATATGTATTCACTGGAGTTGCCGCAAGGTGGGTGACAGGGGAGTACGGCAGCACCGCGTCGTGACCACTCACTAGCACCCTACAAGCCGCCTCTGAAAGAGCCTAGGCAACAGCTAGTCGCACGGGAGTTTATTTAAAGAGGCTAGTGATACATTAAAAAGAATTACCCCACACAGCATAATTGCCCTGACGCTTCAGCTAACTGCCGAACCGATAGTCACTTTCATGGTGCCGAACCGAACCGAGCCGATGCAACTGGAATTGCCCGCTCAATGCTAGCCAAGCGCATTCCAATAAACACCAGCTCGAATATAAAAACGAATATAATCAAGAATCGTTAGATCATCAAGATTGAGCTAACCTCCTGTGTTACCATCTTTGAACAATCTCCATCATGGCCACTGCCACTGAAACAGCTTCGCAAAACATCATCAGCGCCGTCGGTGCTTTGACGCCTCAACCTCCCGGACCTCATCGCCTCTTCGCGGAGAAAGACGTCAAATATGGTGATTGGCGAGATGAGCTTGTCGAAAACGGTTTTACGGTTGTGAAAGGCGCTATTCCACGTGACCGAGCGGACCAATACGCCGATGACATCTTGTCGTACCTCGAAAACTTGTAAGTCATTTCACCTTCCCCGTAAGATATGTGCTTATCATCATCTCACAATACGCGAACAGCGAGGGCGGACTCGGATTCAAACGCGATGACCCTTCAACCATTAAAGAGCAAAACCTGCCCATCATCACCGAGAAAGGCATGATTCTCGGCTACGGCGTGGCTCATGAAGATTTCACCTGGAAAGTTCGTCAGGAACCCGGCGTCATCGAAGCATTTGAACGTGTCTACGATACCCCAGACCTCATCGTCTCCTTCGACGCCATCAATGTTGGATTCCCGAACCGCAAAGACGTGAAGCCAAATAAACCCTGGCCACACCAGGATCAGGATCCTCAGAAACCTGGGTTCAGGTGTCTCCAAGGTCTGGTCAATTTACTTCCAAACGGCGATAAGGATGGCGGATTGATCGTCTGTAAAGGCGCACATCTCCTCAGTGAAGAGTTCCACGAAGAATTCAAGGACGAACCGAATAAGATCTGGGCATGGACAAACGAGTGGTACGGGTTCACGGACGAAGGTATGGCGTGGTTGGAGAAGAAAGGTTGCAAATGGATGAAGGTCAATGCCGAACCAGGCGATCTATTGCTCTGGGATAGTCGAGCTCCACACTACAATCTCAGCGCCACGGGGGACATTCCCAGGGTATGTACATATACTTGCTACATGCCGGTCACGGATGCGTCGCAGGAAGACCTTATGAAGAAGAAGCATGCGCTTGAGACGACGCAGAGTACCACGCACTGGCCCAATGCTAGGCATGTTGGAGGGATTCCCGTGTTGCGTGATGGTGAGCCTTGTAAGTACAATACTGGAAAGCCAAGGAACCCGGTTCAATTGAGTGAGCGGGGCTGGAAGTTGACGGGCATTCCGTACATGTCGGTCGCTTGAGAGGAATACAACGATGGCGCTTGGGGCAGCGCGGAACATCTCCTTAATCATCTATTCACTCTTTTCTGGGTATTCGGATTAGGACGACAGACACAAATAGAATACCAAAAATGAACACGATCTGCGCATTGACTACCTAGTGAGCTACTATATTACAAGTTGGAAAACATTACAGTGGTGCTTGCGATGGATCTTCGTGCATTGCTGATGTGAACAAATGTGAGAATACCGACCAGTCCCATCCGAATTGATCCTGCATATGTAGATCAAATGTTTCTTCGACACCCTCCCAAGTGTTGTTAGACTCAAGTAGATTTGCCTGGAAAATGCGATTTTGCTCAAAATCATGAGGTAAGTTGGTAGAAAAGGGAGTATCGACATTAATCGTGCCTGGTGATTTTTCTCTACGCGTAGTGTTATGTGAGTTGCTTGCTGTCTGCTCCGCGCTTTGCACATTTTCGTGGGACAATGCATTTATCATTTTTCGGAATGACCGTAAGGCGTCAAGAAAACTATCCGGGATTTGCCGCGAAGTTTCGTAGGAATCAACCATTTGCTCGATAGCTGCCACAACGATCTGTTTTTAAGTTAGTCCCTAAGGTTCAACTAATCGTTGGATTGGACGCCTTACAGCCTGGTTAACAACATTCATTCGCGCATGGGGTTGCCTGATCATATGAACGTAGAGAACAAAACATGCGTGTAGCACCATAGACAATGTTGGTATTGCGGGTTTGAGATTGTGATCTGCCCCTTCGACCATGATTGTGAGAATCTTTCTCGCAGAACTTGCCGTAATGGCTTGTCCCGAATGGATGTAATGCTCCCAAGGCTGGTCCTTAGCCATGACTTCTGAAGCTACTCTTATCGATTCCTGGTCGATCAATAGACTGTTTCGGGTGATCATCAAGATTCTGTTTAGTGATTCAAGTCAATTCAGAGCTCAATGACGACAGTGAAAAACATACGCATTGTGATACTGTATGGCTACGAACGATTGGAACGAATAGCCGCGCTCGCCGAAGATGGTATCCACGGTGACTCTGTGCAAAGTTTGTGTTAGAGTAGTAAACATTAGTAGCATGCATACGACCTTACCTGTATCGAGGGGGCAGCTTTTCAGCCCACTCGGATAGTAGCAGGCAGCATTCACCAGTCGCCTGTACTTTGGCTGTAATAGCGGCTTGGAGATCTTCAGGCGAACTGCTGTTGTCCTCTCTGATACCTACCCGCATACAGCGGTCATAGATCTCACTCAGAACATCGGCTAGACTAATGGTAACGGCGAGACACACGCATTCTTCCGGTACATCTTCAGCAGAACACTGCGATGAAAGGTCTGTGGAGTCAAAAACTCTGGTCAATTGTGAGGGACGAACAAGCTCGAAGGCAAGAAACTTCTCGAAACCATACAGGCTCCACCAGACCCGGTCTTCAGGTAAATTGAGACTGAGGGGCAGCGGCAGTGTACCCTGAGACGCAGATGGTCCAGTGATCCCGATGGAAGATGCAATAGAGATGCTCTGTGTAAGCGTTGCCATTGCAGCATTGTCGTGGCCACAAAATTTGAAGTCAAGCGCTAGCAATGCAGTAGCGATGACAGTATCGAGATCGCTCTGGAGTAATGTGTGACCGGATAAGGATCTACAGTAGTCTTCCACTCCAGCCAAGTATTCTGGCGACACTACCTGTGGACATGAATTTGCCTAACGAAACAATCGCCAAAGTTAGCGCGAGTGAGGGATGGTGCATGATTTGACAACATCGTAGACTTGACGATACATCGAATGAAGTATGCGGACTTTAAGACCGAAGTACATACCCCAAGCACCAAGATCAGGTACATTTGCATGAGCAAGGGCAGACCATATCGCTCGGTGAAATTCTCAGGGCCGTGCTGTCGGGCGAAACCAATCAAGTCATAGGTGGAGTCCTTGTCCAAGAGCGGATAAATGAAGTGCACGGTGCGAAAGTAGTTTTCAATCAGAATCGAGCATACCTCGCTCTCGGGAAGTTGATGCGCTCTCGGCAGGTGCATCGGCATACCACGGGGAATGCAGACAAACCCGGAGACAGCGTGCGCATCCTCTCTTGGTCTACCCAGGCGGCGCATAGCTAACTCCAGCCATCTGGTTAGTGTCTCAGCTGAATTGCGTGCAGGACGTTGGGCGATGAGAGGTAATCGTCCTTGGAATCGGACGCCACGTGACTGTTGCGTGTCTGGGTTCTTATCGGACCTTCTATCATCCCGGGGTAGATGGGGTGGACTTGGGGCGGAGATGGTTTCAACCTCGGTAATTGATACTTGTTCGACAGGGGCGGCGGCATCTTTTTGTCCTGCCGGTCGGCGCTCGACTTCGGTTTCTGGACGACGACGATTTACAGTTATCTACGTGTCACCACCTTCCAGTTAGTTCTTTTAATGTGTAGTAGATACAGTGATAGGCCACCAGATTTCTGATCTATGAAGCTACAGCCGTAGTAGGTTTCCATTGCGAGACAACACTGTAGAAAACACTCACGCATGGCACTCCCGCGATCTGGCACGCGCGACACGATGGCTGTTGTTCATCACAGCGTGTCTTCCGACTGCGGCAGTAGTTGCATGCAAAGTTAAGACGCCGGCGTTTTGATCTAGATGCATGTTCAGGCGTTGTTGGACTTCTCTCCCGAACCGATGACATGGAGAAGCGAACCGAAAGAAAGATACCGAAGAGTGAAGAAGTTGCCGATGAACAGAACGGCGGGGAAAAGAGAAGGAAGGATGGTACTTAAGAGGGTGTGATTGATCTGGATCGCCAAGACGCGCTACAGTAGTGTGGAGTAGGGACATATCTGGGGAAATTCTGTGGGGAAGCCTGACTGTGCTCCACTTACCGACAGACGTCTGCCAAACTCACTTATCATATAATTACGGAGTGTCTAGGTCAGGGAAAACTCATCATCGCATTCTTGTGCGTTTTGGCTTTACAATTCCCCGCAATGCATACACAACATGACGCCAAACCTGACGCTATCCTGGTAGAGGATATCAGGTTGGGTCAGGACGACATGAAATCGCAATCCAGCCTTGGGGGACCTCAACTATTTCAGAACGATGCTGTCGTTCTGATACCCACACCCAGTCCTGATCCGAAGGGTGAGATATCAATGGTGTTCATCCGGCACTGTTCATCTAATTCCATGCAGATCCTCTCAACCTCGCAACATGGCAAAAATACTCCATCATCGTTATCGTGGGTGTCTACTCAGCATTTGCCGTTCTAGGAACATCTGGATTGGGTGCCGTCTACCCATACGTCATGGCTATGTATCCACCAGAAGAAGCTACCAGGGCCACAGACCTGTTGACCTACCCCACCCTATTCATGGGTATCGGAAACCTCTTCAGCATGCCACTCTCCGTTGCGGTCGGCAGACGTCCCATCTTCCTAGCGTCGCTCGTGCTTCTTCTGGCCTCAAGCATCTGGTGTGCCACTGCGAAGTCTCTCACCAGTCACATCGCCGGTCGCAATATATTCAGTCTTGCTGCTGGACAGAGCGAGGCACTTGCACCTCTCATTATTGAAGAGATCCATTTTCTCCACGAAAGGAGCGCTAAAATCTCCTGGTTTGTTGGGGTACAGACCGTAGGTACTGCTGTCATGTTCATTGCTACCACTGCTATGGTGCCTACATTGGGTTTGAAATGGTGGTACGGTGTTATCGCGATCGTCACTGGAGTCACTTTGATCGCAGCTTTCTTTCTCCTGGTCGAGACAAGATTTGACAGACCTGTCGATGCGGATGGTCAGTCATTACTCCACTACTTCGTAATTGATCTACTTACTCCAGTGTCACAGGTGGTCTTGTTCACCTCCAGTTTGATCAGCAGGGCAATGTCGATCCAAAGGGGGACGAAACGCTTCTATACCAGGTCACTACTCGACAGAACCATGTTTTGCAGCCCGAAGTCTTTGGACCAAGAACTTGGAGCCATGACCTGCGGATCTTCCACTTCAAGCCCGACTGGAATTCCACCTTGACCTTCTATAAAGAAACTATTTATTGTCTGCTCATACCTAACGTCTTCTGGCTTCTACTGCTGAACGGGACATACCTGGGCCTCTATGTCTACCAGGCATCGTCATTCGCTCAAGTGTTGATGGCACCTCCTCATCTCTTCACAAGTATGCAGCTCGGCTACGTGCAACTAGTGCAAGTGGTCGATTGCATGATCTTAATTCCTGTATTGGGTTATGGAGCTGACTTTCTGGTCAAGACCATGAGCAGATGGCGTCAAGGAGTTTTTCTAGTACGTCCGATTCAATAGTCCTGTCCATATCTCTTGTACAATGCTGACATAAGAGAACGTAGCCGGAATACCGTCTCATCCCCCTCGCTTTCCCCGCAGCATGCGCAATCATCTCAGCAGTCCTGTACGGGCGCGGCGCCCAGCACCCTGAAAACTGGCCATGGATGACGATCGTTGGCCCATATCACCTGGGCTACTTCGCTTTCATCGGCTGTAACGTGGTCAGCATCGCCTATTGCGTTGACAGCTTTCCCAGAAAAGCCGGGCCGTTGCTTCTCGTGATCTGCGCTGGGCGCGGCTTTATATCGTTCGGTTTGAGCTACACCACCGTCCCCGCTATTGCTACGCTGGGCTATGATGGTGCCATGAATATTATTGCCATTGTTGGTGGTGTGCTTGCGATATTTCTTGTTCCCGCATTCATTACTGGGGCATTCTTCCGGAGACTCTTCACGAATAGATTCTTTGGAGGGGAGTAGCGAGTGCACTTGAGACCTTTAAACGGCTCGACGGACAAGTAGTACATGTTATCCTATACGCGTAGTATTCCTAGCTTGGAACAGATCAATCAGCTTGTAGCGCCGCCACCTTGTCAATTGGAGCCACAGCTCGACCGATTGCATTACCCGTAGCCGCCATAGGCGATCGCGATGCACCGACAGAGTAATCTCTGTTAAATTTTCGAGCACATGATGATTATCAGAACTCTTTTTTACTTTGTTCAGCCTGGCGGAATGTCTTCAAGGTCACCATGTTCTGATGCCCATTATGCCTTCCACTTCGTCGTGTGACAGTTTTCTAAAGAAGCGAGCTAAGGGAACATTTTGAAAGAATATTGAGAGTGTAAACTGATAACAATCCCCACCAGTGTGAAATACCAGACTCATAACGAACGAAGCAAATTAATGTCTATCTCTAGCCTATCCAACCGACTCGCAATGCGGTATGTTATTGCCTTTCGAGGCGGTCGCACGATGTCACGCGTGATCCTGATCCCTCACCGCACTCCCATCGAGCGAACCGCAATGCTGTCGTACTTGGGCTGATTGTGCCTTACTCCAAACACTGATTTTTTCAATGGTTTAAAATGACAACACAAGGGGCGCCTTAGCAATCACCACTGAGATGGGGCTAATCACAAAGCAAAAGCCTAGAAGTCTATGATGCGGAATGATTGGATCGCGACCGGCGCATTCGGGGACAACAACATAGTGGTATCAGCCTGTGATGTTACGCAAGTGCTAAATCTCTCATTCCCGCAAAATAATGAAATAATATTGTTGTTCGTGAGCACGTGTGTTGTAATGCGTCACGCCTTATAAACCCAACTCATTTGTCCGCGCCTAATGCGTGGTCCAACACGACGCAAATTACATACTATTCCACCCGTAATCCATTCTAATGTCTTCTGATACTGGCAGATTATTTTTGCCGATCCAAACAGTGCCATCCTTGTACGTTGTTTCAAGGCGTGTCGTCACTATTTCGGCCCAGCTGGTTGTGCGCAGCTCGACCTCGAAAAATTGTAGCTGCGGCAAAGTCTTGGTCGCCGCTCGCCAAAACTCGGAATGCTTGAGGGCTTGTCGAAGAATCAGTCGGCGATCATAGTAGGATGATCCTTCTGGGATCTCTGATTCGTAGAGCTCTTTCTGGATGTGCAATATAAGATCGGATGACATGAAATGCGCGGGCTCAGTGTGACTGGAGTCTTCGATCAAGTCGTATGCACTGGTATAACGGTCAGCACATATATCCATTTGCGAGAATTGTGGGCAAGGTCCTACCTTTCCGGCAGATGTTCCAGTAGGGAAGTATGGGGCCAATAAAAACCGCTCATTCCAATCACAGGTTGACCCCAAGCGTTCCAGATGAGCCTCTTGATGCCGTTACCAAACACACGAGCAATGACATCCACGAGCTGTTCAGGAGATTCGAATTTCGCTTCGGTACCCTCATCTGGGTGGTAAGTAGAGGTGGTCACCATGACAGTCGGCATATCAGTCAATACAGGCTGCTGCAGGATCGGTCTGTCTTCGGGTAGCTGGCGATCGATGACCGGGAATAAAGTCACGAATTCGATCCGCGCGCGACAGAACTTGGTCACGTGAGCGCGCGCCTCGACACAGGCGGTGGCCATGGAAAAGCGGTTGACCAATGTGTGAAACTCATTTTCCCCAATTTGCAGCTCGTCCGTTTCGTTGGAAACGTAAACATAGAGTCGCAGAGGTCTTCTCTGCTGTTCTAATTCGGGCGAGTCTGTTGGTATGCTACTGTAGCCTATCAATGCTTGTCGCTGACGCTCGGCCTTCGAAGTGGGGCACGGTTCATCAACGATCCTGCAGTGAATGAACGAATTGCGTCAGTATGGCTCTGGGAGGGGGAAGGGCAGGGAATGCACGGATATCGTGTAGAGCGTAGGTACTGACTATGGGACGGTTAGCAAACGGCTTCAGAGGGGTACTTGGTCACCGTTGCCCAGAGACTGGGTGCACGAACCTGTTGACAACGAAAAACCGCAGCCTCCGCCCATATCTGCTGGCGCAATTCCTGCGGTAGTTTGCTGAAGTAGGTAAAAGCCATGATGCATGCACCGGAATGTGCACGTGGAGAGTTGTTTAATGGAAAGGAGTTTCGTACGATAGAAGTAAGATCCGGTGGGGGCGTGTAGAAGCGCCAACGATCTCAACACGAGGCAGCGCCAAGAAGAAGCATGCGGTCGGTGTAGGAGATCAGGATATCAATTTGAAATGATGAAACAAAATGGTAAAAGCCTTGGCTACGGAGTTGGAGGGCCGAGTTCGTTTGAAAGACTGGGATCCAGCCAGCGGACGTAAGCGGGAGTGTATTGCTAGGGGCGATTGGTTGACATGGGATCAGGCGCTGTTGTTGTCTTGTAGGAGGCCTGACACGACGACGCCAAAAGTATAATTAGATGACATAAGATTCCTTTTCTCATGATACGTCTCACTCGATCTATACATTTAAGGCCGGCGGCGCAGTTATTGCACGCGGGGTTAAGGAGGCGCAGTGGTCCCGTTAAAATACCGCAATAGGCCTAGACTCGGCCCCAAAGTGTACATTTTCGACCCCCGGTGCCCGCAAATGGCCAACTCCTGAGTGAAATCTAGGCAAATCTTGATAAAAGCAATAAGCGGAGAGCTTGCGATTCCAACCTGCCCAACGTAAGCTGAGTCGCAGAATACGGGCGCCGTAATTCGAATATTCGCGCGCAATCGTACGTGACGTATAGAGAAGCATTTTGGATATAAAGCAGAACAACTCTGGTTGTTCTAGAAAGTATCACAGTTTTTTCCGTTCTTTCCTTCATTCATTCGTTTGTTCGACTACACACGCTCTTTTCCGTAACTACATTCGTTACTTCCATTCTTTTCAGCTCAATTTCCATCTTGACTTGCATACTAGAACTTCGAATTTGCATTACGACTCTTCTGCCCAATGCGCTACAGTTCTATCCCAGCCCTCGCGGCTGTTCTCAGCCTCGGTGCACCTGGAGTGCTCTCCAGTGTCATCCCTGTCACCCGTGGTGTCCAGACCCTTTCCGATGAAGTCACTCTTTGCATCAAGGACCTCTGTGCTTCCAAGGGAGACAAATCTTATGACACCGCGCCATGTGGTTCATCTATCCTGACTGTCACTCGTCTTGGAGCTCCATCTTCCGTGGAGGAATGCGTGAGCACATTCAGTGACCTCATCGCCGAAAACCCTGAGAGTGGTTCTTCCGAGACCGATGCCGCCTTGTATGAGATCTTTGCCGAGGGCGACAGCGAGATTGAAGTCATCGAGAAGCGCAAGACGACGAAGAAGACCACTACTACCAAGGCTGCTACCACCAGCAAGACCTCCTCTACCAAAGTTGAGGCCACTACGACCTCTTCTTCGTCCAAGTCATCTTCCTCGTCCAAGAGCTCTTCCTCTTCTGCTTCTTCTACTTCATCCTCCAAGAGCTCTTCCTCTTCTGCTTCTGCGACTTCATCCTCCAAGGGCTCTTCTTCCTCTGCTTCTGCCACTTCGTCCTCCAAGAGCTCTTCCTCTAAGGACTCTTCCTCCTCAGCGACCTCCTCCTCAAAGAGCGCTTCTATCACCGCCTCTTCCTCAGGGGGTTCTTCCTCTAAGAGCGCTTCTGCCAGTGGATCTTCTTCTGGAATCTCCTCCTCGATCAAGCCCAGTGGCTCATCTATTTCCTCCAAGATAAGCGGATCAATGTCCGCTTCTTCTTCCATCTCCCGATCAGCCACCAGAACTTCCATGTCAGCATCGCAGAGCGCTAGCGGCTCAGCCTGCCCTCTTCCCAGGAAAGACAGCAATGGAAAGACTATCCAAAGACGATGCGCTGGTGATGAGTTCTACAAGAAGACTGACCTCATTGCTGGTAAGGTCACCCACTGGAGATTCAACACCATGAAGGACCCCAAGGACTACAATGCCGATGCTCAGGCTAAGAAGGTTCTCACCACCATGAAATCTAGCGGCCAATTGGATGTAGTCAAGATCAACAGCGGTGAGCTCACCGTCATCGGCAACGTCGAGGAGGGAGATAATGGAGGAACCAACCCTAAGGACTTTACCAAGAAGGGTGGAAACTACATCCTGACCAACGGAGGTTTCTTCCAGCACATCGGTGACCCAGACCACGAGCTCTACGAACGCAGGTACGCACCAGCCGGCGAGGACACCAAGATCAAGACGGCCGATGGCAGTGTCAAGACCTACGCCAACCCCTTCCCTGTGCCTGAAGACTACGTTCCCTACTACACCTCGATCTCCGGTACCGAGGGCACCAAGGTGTGGTCTGGACCTGATCTCAAGAAGAACACCCCTGAGATAGATACCAAGCAGGGTATCTGGGAGTACAAGACTGGTGGCCCCGTCGGTAGCTTGAACCACGCTGCCGAAAACAACGAGCGCCTCGCCGTTGTGAGCTTCGGCGGAACTTTCTACAACTTCGCCTACACCTCTGACGTCCGCAAATCCGGTCTCTCCACCAACGCATTCAAGTCCTTGATCGACCTCTTCTTTAAGGAGATGGGCGAGACTGGCAAGAGCATCAGCGGCTCTACCCAAGCCGTCTGCCTTGATGGTGGCCCAAGTATCTCTTTGATCTGGAACGAGGGCAACGATGCACCCAAGTATCTCGCCCTTGGCCAGAACGGCGACAGCACTCCTCTTCCTGGTGCATCCAGCAAGGTTGTCAGCAACTTGATCAAGATCGGTGTCAAATAAATTTGACGTTGACAATAATCGTTTAAGTTTATTCGCCATTATTCTTTTTTCGGCGGAGGGGGGGTGGAAGGCTGCATTAGTCAGTCATGCTTTTGATGTACTTGTATGTTGGGAAGATTCGCTTCGTTTCTTGGGAGCTCAGGTTTCTAAGATAGTCCTTTAGCGTTTTTTGATAGATGGTTATTTGAGCAATTACATGAATTCTTATCACCAGTTGAGCTGTAACCTGACGATATCTGACTATGATGTTCCTCCCTGGTACTAGCGCGTGGACTAGCGCCTTGGCGAGCAGGATTTCCATCACATCCCCATATATACTCGCCCCCTCCTTCAAAATGTGCTATCATTCATTCTATAGCTGCCGATTCATGTGATAAAAGATTTTCAGTCGGAATATTGAGGCAGACGGGGTGTTATAACACACTCAGCAGGCAGGCTATGGCTCTACAAGTGTGAGGCATGTCTCACCGTTCGATACTAGCCGGGGTGCGGACTCTACAGAAGTGGCCCAACCTCTACCCCAAAGGACAAACACAAGAGCTGCAAATTTTCAAGGTTACCAAAGTGGAGACGATTGGTAGTGAATCAAGATGCGCCGCTGTGAAAACGAGAGACTGCTGCAGTTATCCTGTGAGATTTGTGATCATCAAACTGTTGGAACACTGAGCACGCAGATTACTACGGATGTGCAACTTTGCCTCAAACGTTATACCAAGCGCATTGGGAGAATCCAAGGCCACAGTGTGATCAGTTGAAGAATTGAGTCCTTCTTCCGAGCCCACAGCTTTTCAGAGTCCGCCGCGATGATTTGTGAATCCGCGCGGCTTAATCGATGTAGTGAATCGTCTCACGTGGGCTCACGAGAGATCTTTAAACGTAGTTGTGTTAATTGCCTAATGCGATAAACGATCTGATATCATCATCTCTACTGGGTCGTGCAACGGAGTATGATGTTAAAGGGCGGAGTACATTTGATTCCGGTGCCAAATGGAGAAGGTAGCTGGAATAGCCTGTAAACTCCATCGAGGAAAATGATTGCAGAACAATGCTCCCATGATAGAAGAAACGAAGACATGTCAGATTTTGGGAGTGCAGGGTGGTGCAGAGCCGCAGCCAGGCTTGAACCAACGAATATCCTGCGTCACGTTCAACCGGTCCAGCCTTATGAACAATAAACACTCGCTATCTGCCTTGTCTACCATCGTTTTCATTGTACAACGAGCAGTCTCAAGTGTATGTGAGACTCACAGAAGCTAGGCGCTGGTGGAATCATGTCCAAATAAGCATGCGCGGATTCCACATTCTCTCGGGCGAGAATACTTATAAATCCTCCGCTGGGAACTTCTAAACGCGCATTGCTCATCCTGCGCACAGCAAATCCTACTGTTCCCTGTACGATGTATTGCCTCACTCCATCAAACGTAAGATCACGGATATCGCCAACGCACGACGCCCCGTCAGCACGTCAGCATCTAAACGCTTATTAGATCGACCATTCCCTCTCACAGCCATCATCGGCACCGCTCTGCTAATTTGCGCTATTCCTCAAGCTACCAAACCCACCGACGATGTGACTCTCGGTGGCACGATTGTCATCCCTGACGTCTTCCTCGACGGCCATGTCAGATGCTACATCACGAGCAAACCCGGTAAAGACTGCCAATATTCTGCGTTTCCTGTGGCAGGGCAGTGCAAGGTCAGCAATCGCGGAAATTGTGTTTGGAAGGAGAAAAATGCGCTCAAGAGGCCTTCTGGATGTTCGGACTGCAAGTGCAAGAAGAAGTTTGACAAATGAGTATCGGGATTTTGGTGAAGGAATGCGGTGGGTTAGGGAGTGCACACTAGTCTTTTGATGAGCTGCTGGTCAATTTGATGCTTGATTCTGCTGCTTTCTTTACGTTGTGGCCAGACGTTACAATCTTTTGATAGGGAATCTTGGTTTACATCTTGATACCTCACGCATACTTTGACTTACTTAGAAAGAATTACATTGAATTAGATTTAGTCAGGTCCAATATCCAAATGAATTTCTCTTGAGTTTTGATTTATAAGTTCCATCCCACTTTGTGATCTAATCACATCAAATGGGTGGTATTTGTTGAAGATCTCAGCGTGACATACTGTAGGTTAGACTACATGGTAGATGAACGGATTGTCCTGACTGATAAATTCGCTTCTCTCCTGCCAGCTCAAGCATTATGTGGGTGGAGGAAGTTTTTGTCCAGAACTCCCTGGTCAAAATATCAACCGACAGCCTGAGATAAGAGACAATTCCGGGCTGCTCTCGCGGTATCACTTGACGCTCGCAGATATCGACTAGTAAGTCTTTGTGACACTTTTTTACATTCTTATTGCGTCAATATCTGCTCAGAACATGGCCAGAGTGGACTTAAAAGTCTTTAAATTGAATCTTGCTATCCAAAAGATAGCATGCTGCAGACCTTTCGTTAGTCTCTCGCTGTGACAAACATGCAACGTGGTGCGCACGAATAGAAACTACGCTGTACTTGCGCCGACACGCTATGCACTAATCGTGTCATGTATAGTTACAGAGAGGGTCTAGCAGCGACACACTTGCTTGACGATGTATGAGACATTATTAACACCTAAAGCTGGTCGTCGCATCTGTATCGCAGTATGCACCATGCGGGGGATTCGAAAGCTGGAGTAGGTATCAATCAAGCACGTGGAACGAGACTGAGTAGTTGACTTTTCTAGGTCAACTGCCCTATCATAAAAGAGTGGGAAAGCGAAATACATTTTACTGCAGGGCAAACATTAGTGCTTAGGGCCCACCTGCGTGCTAGCTTAGGTATCAGACGACAAGTATGGAGTCATTCAGGAATTGGTCTCGCCACACCTTAGTTCGGCGTTATTGATGTTGGCTCTTTGAGTAAAATATATCACCTCCGCAAGGGCATATGGTTAAGGAGACCCAATACTGTAAAAATGGCGTGCGAAGAGAGAGAGAGAGATCGTACCAACTTATACGTCAGGCCAGATTTCTTTTTCTTCACGCTGATCTTTGAGTGAATGAGTCAGCCATGCAATGATCTAAGTTCGCTGCGAAACGACGAATGTCGTCAGTTTCATACAAGTCAAGATACGTGCTAAACTGTGGCGTTCTGTCGACCCATGGTTGGCCGGCGATAGCGTACATCGAAAGCCCAGTAGTCGCGCGGTTGAACCTAATTTGATTTCGTTGCCGAACACTATTCGAATTGACAACACCGGTGTGTAAGAGGTGTTTGAGCCGCAATCGGGAGGCAAAATTCTGGCACGCGCTCACAAACTTGAATTTTCTAGATAAGCCGTAATTCTTCAATCAGATTCGTCTAACAAGTCCTTCTTCCAGCAATCCCCTCATATCCACTACTGCTTACCATGGCACAACTGAGCGATATAGGACGGAGCAACTATGCAGCATGTATCACAACTTTTATAACAGCGTCGATTTCGGTGACAATTCGTTTCATTGTACGAAAAAGTCTGGCCTAACCGCCTGCTGTGGCAGAATGGCTGTGTCTGCTCTCGCTCTGCTTTTTCGGCGTCTATGTGGGAGTATCGATTCATTGTAAGCTTTTCATCCATAGTTCAAACCGACCACTCACAGATCAAAATATAGATATTCGCTACAGCTCAGAGAATGGAGAATTCTATCCAGGAAGATTGTCTTCGATGAGGGATGCTCAATCTCTTCTAAAGGTACGGGGCACCCGATCACGGCCAATAGTCTACTGATGATTAACAACTCCATGTCACAGACACTATTCATCAGCGAACTCCTTTTTGTGGCAGTCATAACTACAGTCAAGATCAGTATTCTGTCGTTCTATGATTCAATCTTCTTCGCCAGCGTCACGTTCCGTCGCGTTCTATTGGCGACCGGTATCGCATGTCTGGCATGGTTCATCATCATCACGTTTGTTGTCATATTCCAGTGCACTCCGGTTGCAGCATTCTGGAAATTGTGGGTCGATCGCAGCATTGTCATAATGGTGCCAGGACTCTCCTTGCTTACGAATTGACCAACCTTGTTGTGGATATATTTATACTGTGTTTGCCTATTGGCATGATACGAAAGTCAGGACTGCCTTACGATCGACAGTGTGCCGTTTCACTCATATTCCTGCTCGGCGGCTTGTGAGTATGGGCCGCCATCGAAATTTGTCTTGTGACTAACTGGAGTAGCGTATGCATCACTAGCATGGTTCGTCTGCGATATATGTGGATTCTACCTAGTCCAAAAACCGCTTTCGATGTTGGAAACGTGATGCTTTGGTCCACAATTCAACTTGGTCTCGCCATCATCTGTGCCTGCCTACCAACCTTCGGTCCTCTGTTGAAATATCCGGGCTTCCTTGCGTCGAGATTCAAGCACTCCTGCCGCTCTTTCGTATCGAGCAAGTCTTCCTTGGACAGGTCGAAACGGTCATCTCTACCAAGTGCGGGCTGTGATTTGTCTCAAACTCATGCGAGTCATACCAACACCAATACACAAGAATGGAAGTATGCCGGTAGCCATTATTTTGCTCCTGATGATGGATTATTCACCCTGCATAAAAAGAATAATCACGAGTTTCGTATCGGAGTTCTACCATCCACCAGGTCGAGTAGCACTGAATGAGAGAAAGGGGGCATGCAACGATAGGAATATCCCTTCACTGTTGCCATGGATGGCTACCACAGTGAATCGCATGAATCCAACAACACCGTATTAGTTTGCTGCTCTTCTTTTTGACCTACTGGATATATGGGAGGGGGACTGCCGAGAATGCATCAACGTGGTCGTTATTTTTGTTGATGCCGTTGGCTCACGTTCTATGTATCTATGGCATTGACCCGAGTGAAGTATCAAGGCTGTAGACGTCCGGCTCGTATCAAGTTCGTCCACTTCTTCCCAGCGATATGAGTATCTCTCCCACTGTACTTCCAAAATCCGACACCCATTCCTCCAGGATCTTTTAGTAGTCCCAGAAAAAATGGTATAGGAGAGTAGGCGATGAAAAAAAGTCGAATCGACAGAGTTATGATGATGACTGCGGCAAAGGCCACGCGATACTAATAAGTGGCTAGTGGGCTAGCGTAGAACGGCCGTTGGATGCGACATTTGGGGGTCGTGCGCACAAGCAATGAGGCGTCTATGTCCTACTGCGAATTGTCAACATTGAGCAGATCTGGCAGACACTATTGGAGATGGGGACAAGAGGGACTGGAATCACTGTATCGGCAGAATGTATGAGAGATTTAAGATTGTATTCAATTTTTTTGCCGGCAGTTGATCTTAAAATTCCGGTCTAAAGGAAGACCACAACGAGGTCGGGTAGGATAAGTCGTCGATGCAGTGTGGGTATGGAAATGGGAAACAAATGACATTTCGACCTTGGGGGAGCCGAGTTGTGTAAATATGAGACCATATTGGTTGATAAGAGCAGCCGGCGGGGAATACATGCGCGCTCAAGGTGATCATCGAGGCATGAACAGACATCAGGCTCCCAATTTCACGTTCGAATAGTAGACGGTTTTGCTCTGCTTTCGATCTGCGTAGCAAGGGGATTATGCCAAAAGTTGCCCCGGAAACAGCGTCTCGTGATGTGCGGACGATCAGGCGCCGGATAGAAGTTCCATGTAAATGAGGCGCGCGATTCCCCTTGGTCTCCCTGTCGCATGGTTTTCAGACAACGATTCTGAATCTCCGAATCACCAGAACCTTCCCCTCCGTTCCTTTTCCTTCGTCAACTTCTCCAATTCAGCGCGAATACCAGCAAGCTCCTGCTTGTGTCTTCTTGTGGTCTCTTGCAGCATAGTCTGATGCGATTTGGTCATTTCGTTGAAGTGTTCCTCGAGCTTCTCATGCCATGGGTAAAGAACGAAGATCTGGAAGCATAGCGCGGAAGATCCGATGACGAAGTTGGTCAGAGAGAAGCCGCGCGTGATCAACATCGCTCCAGGATTGAACCTTCCGCTGTTCCTTTGACGACCGGTGCTTCCAAGAGAGAACTGCTCACCGCAGCGGAAGGGAAAAGAAAAATGTGACGAGTGGGAAATGCGTGAAAAGACGTAGAAAAGAATTGGGTAAGTGGTCCTGATGAAGAAATGAGGCAAGTGACACATGTAAGAAAAACAGGTCCGGAATTGTGGTTCCACTTTTCAGCTTGGATGGGGTGATTCTACGGGGGGCCAATTCATGTTTAGGCCGAAACTCGGCTGCCTCGGAAAAATCAGCCTTGGATTTCTTGTGACTGGGACATGTTGTACTTTAAGCGACAAAAGGATAACACGCCATGCTTAATCTACCATCATGAATAGCGGGCAGGATACTGGGTATATCATGCTTTAGCAAGCTGTGCTTATGTTCATAGTAGAATGGCTGCCTGTGCATAAATTTGGCGGCGGTGGTCTTCGCGCACTACAGTTTGGATGATGGAAGTTAACGTGCTGGATAAGAACCGGCACAAACATCAACACCATTAAAGTGTATGTCGACCATTCATTGATTTGCGATGATCAACCACAATATTGTTCACGTGGTCTTGCCCCTGTTCTATGGGCTCGATCGCGGCTTTTCCGCTGCGCAGTGAGGCGCGCCGAGTCATTTTTCCGAACAGGATTGAGCGATTTTATGTTTGATCACGCCACTTGTTCCTGCGCGTATAGGGCTGAGAATGCGGAATACTAGCGTACCCATCGCGTGTCGGTGTAATATCTCGGCAGTGTATGTAGGGTATGTGCGCGAGTGTGATTTACCTTCGTCAAGTGACCTATACTCCACACAGCACGCGCACAAGTGATACATCGTCGCTCTGCGATATCTTCACAAACTAACACATATTCTGCCTACTCGGACTTTGGTCGATGAACCTGGCATAGAAGAAGTACAACTGTTCGAGTTATATCCTCATTCTCCATATAACAACATTCATGACTATTACCGATTGTCTGAACAATGATTGGGAAATTGGTGCTTCTTGGATTGAACAGTATTTGATTACAAGGCAACGTTGTTTGTGACATCACTGTACTTAGGTATATTCTACTCGGACTTGCCGCCAAACCCGCGACCACCATCCCGGCCTCGGCCTGACGCGACTCTCAACACATATGCACCGCGCTCAAAAGTGTTTGCAACGATGTAACCGGAAGGGAATTGGAACTAGATAGTGAGATGCGGTCAGTATATTTCTCTCTAGGATCGAATTCTCATGAAAAGACGGAAGTCAACTTACATTTCCCCATGACCCGACAAAGTCCAGCGAACCACCAGTAGCATCGTCTTCTGGGTGCATATCGAAGAATGCCAAAGTCTTCACCTGGCTTCCATCGGGGTGTTCGGCGATCGATCGCACATCCTTGACCCACACACCGGCTCCGTAGTTAGACTGGAACATGGTTCCATCTTCGATGTAAAGGTTGTGGTCCACGGCTTTATGGTCAGTGCACTGGAAGGTACCGGTCTAGAAGATGGTCAGCCAGTAACCAATAATCTGCCGTGACTAATCATAGGATAGTATGTACGTACGTGCTTGGGTTCGGTAAGGTCAGTCAAATCGATGATATGTGTGATGGGAATTCCGTCCTCAACTACGCCCCGAACCTCGTCAAGCTCATCATTCAGCAAGACGAACTGGTGCCAGTTGCGCTCAGTCCACCATCCCTGGTGAGTGTAAGTAGCACCGGGATACTCAAGACGCCCCAGCATCTCCGAGTTAGCCTTGTCAGTCGAGTCCCAGATAGTGATGGAGTCCTCGTTGTAGGCAACACAGATATTGCGACCAAGATATCTGGAATCAGGACCATTGTAGTTGACACACTGCGCGTCGTGCGTGTAGCCGTCCGAGCTCGCGCAACCGGGCTTGGTGGGGTTCTTAGGGTCGTCCAAGTTGATGTATTCAAGGCCAGCAGCGCAGGTCTGGTTGCGTGGTTGGGCACCGACAGCAATCGCATACTCGTTGTCCCAGTCAATCACGATATTGTGGGCGCGGCCAATAGGAAGACCGTCGAAAATGCTCTCGACATCTTCGCGTTTGAACGTGACAGGGTTCTTAGGATCGATGGCAGCGACTTTGTTCAAGTCGAAGATCTGGACGTAGTGGCCAACCGCCTCAGATCCGATGATGGCGAAGTTGTTCAAAACTCTGATTTCGCGCCACGATGATCCGATCGGGTCTTGCGAAGGGAGTTTTCCAAGGAATGTCATTTTACCACGTGCGTCGATCTCAACAAATGCTGTGCCAGTGTGCTGACCAATGAGAGCAATCTGACGTCCTTCTGGGGAAACCCATCCCCAGACCGAAGAGCCTCGTCGGTTTGGGTATTGTGGGTCCGTCTCGCCTCCACCCATGTCATCGTGGTTGAGAAAGTCATGAAGATCCATCTAGATACAATGTTAACAGACGTTGCTGCAGATTACGGAGATATTGGGAGGAGATACTCACGTTGTTGCAGCGGAAAGTCTGCATTGGATTGCTCTCCTCTGCGACGGCGAGACCGTCTCTGCACTGTAGACGATCTCCCTTCACACGACGATCAAGTTTGTCCCAAGTCTTCCACGATGGCCATTGACTGGAGTTGAGAGCACCGGCAGCCTCAAGAGCATCCCATTGCGCCTAGTTGAGGCGATGTCAGCAGGATTCGGATAGTCACTCTGGAGGACGGGGGTCAAGTACATTCTTCATGTCCAGGATCATCTGGTGCACCTCACCAGAATCATACTGAGCACGCGAGAAATGGGCAGCACTAGCCGCCGCGGGTAACGCCAAAATAGCTGAAGTAACTCTCATCTTGAAGGCAGAGATTGATCGTGGTGAGCACGATTGAGCAAGTTCTCATCCTCCAGAAGACAGACACAGTACTTATAGCGACCTCCCCGCTCCAGTTTCCCAGAAAACATTCTTATCCTCTTTCCTACTTTTACTACCAAGAAAGTCTGGGGTGAGGGCACGCGTTTCGCTCACCTGCCTGATTTGGGTATGCCCAGAGACTGGCGATCTGCCAAGACGATGGACCAAGATGCATGGCGCGGTGCGATAACTCCTTTGTTCGTTACCATTCGCACGGTAGTCTAGATAAAGGTCGGCGGTACATCATCTAAACGTTTACCTGCTGGATCCGATCGCTTGACTCCGCGCCGTGCCAACTGTCTCACATCTTGGGTGCGGATCGTCATGCCGGCTGGGGTAGCTGAAGGGGACGGCGAACGGTGGTGATAGATAAGAGGTGGCGCAAACCAGGAAACAGAACATTCGCTGATTGACCGAAGCCGTGAAATTAAAATATCATGCATCAAACGGTCGGACGGGTCATTTCGGTCGCGATCTGGGCTAGTCACGTGACAAAAGAGACCCCCAATCGCAATGCCGTCCATGCTTTAGAGCTGAGCCACTTAATTAATCAGTTTTATATGTCTACTCCTTTTCCTTCGTGTGTCGGGACCCATTGTTCTGTATGCGCATTGAGCTCGAAGTATACGATCAATTGATAGTCCCAGTGATCGATCGTGCACACGAAGGAACAACATTAACAGCCCGTGAAATAAGCAGCGGGTATTCAAGCGAGGCATAAAATTTTAATAGTACCTTCATATCTAATAGCCCCGTGTGTGTAAGGGTGGGTGCCATAGTGAGGATTGATAGAAGTAGAAAGCCTTGTAAGAACTCTACTGTAGCTTTGTTTTATAGTAAAAGGTAACAAGCGTACTATAGTTCTTAACCTTAACACTAAAACTCTGTACATTTTTACTAGATTGTGGGGCGTTGTATACGTTACTACGTCAAATGCGCAGTCTATCTAATAGCCTAGTGCTTTGGTCCGTTCTTCACCTAAAATATCTTCTAAGCTCACAAGCTTGAACGATGCTTCTAAGGCAGTGCCTCCTTCTGCCAGCTCGTTGGCATCGTCATGCGTGACAAACAAGCCCCCCGGAAAGTCACTATTCAATCTATCACCAACGACAGCGATTCCATCCGTATTTGACACATGGTCTATTCCCGCCTCCCTATTGTCTACAATGGTGAAAGTCATGACATACTCATGTGGCGGTGCGCGATCATAGACAATGTACGAACTAATGCCTTGGGAAGACACGAATATGTAGCCCGAGCCTCCGGAAGTAGCTGGGACCAATGCGATGCCTTCAACGTCGGCGGATAGACGACCATCGCCGACCTTGGCGATTTGCATCCCTGTGTCCGAGCCTAGAGTTCAGTATGTCAGAAAATTGCGATCCCATAGGGGGACGTCATATACGTCACTAGGTCGAATGTGCAGTCAATCTAGGGTGGATAACTACTCACCGTCTGGCTCAGCGTCATATCGCCAAACACCCTCCGGCTCTTCTCCTAGGAATAGGAAACCCGCAGCGTCATCAGCCACACAACCTTCGACTTGGCCACCTGAGCCTCCAATGAACTCACGGACAAGCGTGGTTTGTAGAGTTCCGTTGGCCGTGGAGGTCAGCTCGTATTGCAAGTACTCTGCATCTTTGTTGTTGACGAAGAGATATTGCTTCCCCGTTTTAGTGGAGCGGAACGTGCATGAGCCATAAACTTCATAGTCCTCGGGCGTGGGCTGAACGCCGCCAGCAATCGGCGAAAGGAATCCGGTGGAGTTGATCGCGAAAAGACTGCGCAATTGTTAACAAGGAACAGTTCTCCCAGGAATAAATGGGAGAGCACCTACCACAGCGTGTTATCACCCCTGCACGCCGCGAATGTGAGATCCGTCTGTTTGTCGCCGAGAGTGAAGTTGTAGATGACATCGACGTTATTCGGCTGTTCCGCGGGTGTATGCTGCAACAGCTCGCCTTTCAAGTCGAAGACAGTAAATCCTGCACCAGCCTCAGATTTAGTGGTTGTGACAATCTTGCTCTGCGAAGCATCGGTGGGATGGATCCAGATCGCGGGGTCGTCACCATCTCCTCCGTTCGCTGCTGTCTCATACTTCGCTTGCACGGCTACGAAAGAGCAGTCGGGGCCTTCCCAGCCTGCATCGCACTGGCAAACGTTCGGACCTGCGCACTTGCCGTGGCTGGAGCAGCTGTTTTTGCAGATGGTCTCGCTGCAGTCGGAGCCGGAGAAGCCCACAAAACATTGACACGAGGAATACCCTGCATCAAATCCATTTTCAGAGCACTGTTTCGTAATGGTACCCTCGCAATCATTGCATGGACGGTCTCGAGGGTTGAAGTCCGTATTAACTTCAATTCCGACGGCAGCCAGAGCGCTTTCGAGGGGTCCGACGGCTATTCCAGCAGTCTCCTCATCCTCGAACGCGAACGCGATCGCACCGGAAGGGAATGTAGATGTAGATGCTTGGTAAATAGAGAGACCCCCTTGGATGGAAAGATCAGGGATTCCAGTCAAGGATATGCTGCCCACAAGACCTAACTTCTCGTCATAAACATCAATGACTTCGTCATGCGCCACAAAAAGGTAGTCACCGGAAATACGGTAGTACGTAGCCAGGCCAATGACCTCTATCTCCTCGCTGACAGTCGTGATCTCCGGCGTCACCGTAGACTCGGTTGCCTGGAATGAATAAAGTGGCTGGTCTTCTGCGGAGAAATAGACCAGACCGTTAGAAAGAACCGTGCAAGCCTCCCCTTCGATTGGTATCGGGAATGTTTGGATCTACCTCGCATCAGCATCGTCTACAATTCCGATAATTTCCGATAATGGTACCTCGAGAATCTCGGTGCTGTTCTCCGTTCCTCTTACTAGAAACTGCACGACCTGTTTCTTGCCAAACAGAAACCCATAGTTTTCCCCGCTCTTTGCGCTTCGCCACACGCATAGTGTCGACCAGTCGCCTAGAAACTTCTTTCTCGCCTGCTCGACTCCCGCAACCCCATTCTCGCTGACTTCGAAAGCTCTCAATACGGAGTCCGGAGCAGGGATGTTCAGAAGCAAATCACGACCACCGACGTCATATACAGGCGTGATGATCTTGGACCGTCCAGTCTTGAGATGCGATGTTTGGCTCCATGATGAGTTCGCGCCGGCATTGAATACCCTGAAGCCACCATCTGCAGCGCTGCCGTCATTCGCGAGAACGAGTGGGTTTGATGCGTAATAAAATGAGGCTCCATCGGCTTCGAATCCGGTTGCCGCTGGGGCCAGGGTTATGTTTGCATTTTGAGCGGAAGCGACCGAGAGCCCCGTCAATGCGCATGCGAGATACGTGACGTATGAACGCATTGCGGCGGCGCGTTGGCGGAATTGGAGATGTGTGAGGAATATCGTCCAAGTCTACAGAGAAATCAAAGTAGATGGGTATTTCGAGGACTTTATAGCTGATTGACTTCACGCCAATATTAGACAGCCTTTGGGCAGCCCAATAAACCACGGGCACGTGCTCTTGGCAGGAGCTCTACCCTACTACAATGAAGTCAACATCGCGAAAAAGAGTCTCCCATAAAAATCTCTTCGATGCCTATGCGAAAGGTGGAGATTAGCAGATCTTTCTTGTCGCCTGCTCGATACAGCGTAGCGCCATCATGAAACGCACCAAATCAAGTGCTCTCGTTAAAGAACGTGGCAGTCGAAGTTCGATGTGAAGCTCCATCAGGATATTCCATAAAGTTTTCTTGGGTCTACTAGTATGTTCGGCATAAGAGCAAACGTGGGGGCCAGTCATATGTGTATGTACACATTTTGTGGAAGTCAATGATCTGCATTGTGCTGTAAGAACCAATCCCGCAAGAAAGACAGCTGCCGTTTCACAGGCGGAAAGCTCGGACATGCTTTGCGGCACAGTTGCCGCCTCATCAGCCTCAGCTTTTCCCTCATATGTCTAGCCATCCAATTTGCAACCACTATTATTTAGCATACTAAGTTAAACATGAACGCCGATAACCAAGGTCCTGATGCTGGGTTTCCCAAAGAAGGTAGAATTCCAGTCGACGATTTCGAAGAGTACACGTTCCGCGCGCCGCGCCCTGGGTTCTTTGCAGGCGATCTACCCAAGAATCCTTTGCCTTGCCCACAATTCGAACTCGAGCGAATCAAGAAGAAGGCCATCCAGAATAGTAATGCGGATGATAGCCCTCGCTCCCGAATCTTCACTCTTCCAGTCGAGATACTATGTGCCATCTTCATCCAACTCGATATCTGCTCGCTTTTGACTTTGGCCAGACTCGACTTTTCCCCACCCGACGCGCTTCATCTTCTACAAATTCTTCAAGATTGGCACGTCTTTGCGAAAATTGCGGCCTTTCCTAAGCTCCTCGCCGTGGCATCTGCACTGGAATGCAGGCATTGGACAATCGGAACAATCTTCGACGTCATTCAGGATGAGCGCTGCGTTATGTGCGGGTACTTTGGCGACATCTTGGACCTCATGACGCCAGAGCGACGATGCTTTAGATGTTTCATCCACGACGATATAATCAGAATGCAATCGCTGGAAAGCATTTCAAAACTGCAGAAATGCAGCGAGGACAGCATCGAGCAACCGGAGGAGCAAAGGAGCACTCTATTGAAGATGCTAGAGGAAAACATTCCCGTGATACGCCTCATAGAGGGTAATTACGGTGGCGATGGAGACGGAATTGCACGGTCCCGACATCAGATGTTCGACATGATTGCGTTGAAGACAAAATTCCCTACCGAATTTAGGGAGCCCGAAGACAACTGGTCAGTTAGAAGTCGTTTGCAATATGCAACTTCGATCCGCGCACCGTTCTATGATATGGAAACTTTGTCATACAAGGAGGGGTATTTCTGCCGCGCCTGTGCAGCGCAGGGGTGGACACACCGTAGCCCATCGTGTATGTATTTGCACGATTTTTGTGTCTGACAACCATCTCGTACAGATCAGCCACTAACATACTACAGCCTCTCGAACCTACTCTATGTGCGTAGATGAGGTGCATGAAAAGGCTCCAACATGGGGGCTCCCATACAGACGCTACAGTAGAGAAGGCATGAAAAATCACGTGAACCAATATGGTGGGGTATTCAAAATCGAGTGGTCTATCGGGGAACACCGCAACTGGAAGATGGAAGACAAAGAGATGAGGTATATACATGGTGCAGATTTTGAAAGGTGGGTATGCGATGAACCTCGGACGTTGAGGTTGATCTGGCCGTTGCTGGTGCGATTGAGGAATAAGCAGACTGAGCTACCTGAAGGCGCCACTTTTGTGAGCAAATGGTACCAGGTTAGGGATACTAATCCAGTCTTCAACAAGGAAAAGTGGTGACTTTGCCGTTGGTTGACGGGTTGATTGATACGGTTCAGGGGAACCTTTGCCACTGGACTATTTTGTAGGTCTAAGAATGAGCTAAGGATAGAAGCTGATCCAAACTCGCGTGAATTGGCATATTACAAAGGGTTGCTTTCGACCTCATAGGACGTGGTCTTTCCATTATAATCCTGCAGCACTTGACCGAAAGCTGTATCCAAGATGCGTAGAGCGTCGTCAATTTCCTCCGCAGATACGGTGACAGGCGGGGCCAATCGAAAAACACCACCCATACCAGGTAAGTTCACTATATTGCATGACAAACCTATATCAAGAGCCACCTCGGAGACATTTGCACCTAGTTCCGGTCCTGGTGCTCGCGACTTCGCATCGGAGATGATCTCGATCCCTTGCAATAGTCCGCGACCTCGCACTTCCCCAATACACCAGTACTTCTCTTGAAGCTTGATTAGACCAGCGCGCAGTTGATCTCCTCGTTCCACCGCCATCTTGGAGACGTTATCACGCTCGACTATTTCAAGCACCTTGTTGCCTATGGCCGCAGGCAGAGGGTCATTGAGGTGGGTAGTCAGCCAAAGAAAACTAGCCTCCTTACAGCCTCTTTCGATTTCCACAGTAGTGGAGACTGATGCCAATGGAAGTCCGCAACCCAGTGTTTTAGAAAGCGCGAGTATGTCTGGTACTATATCGTCGTGCTGAAATGCAAACATCTGCCCGGTTCTACCGACACCAGTTTGCGCTTCATCCATGATAACAAGCATATTGCGTTTCTTACATTCTGCAACCATGCGCTTGATGTATCCTGGGGGTGGTTCCAGTATTCCTCCAGTGGATAGGATAGGCTCCATGATGAAGGCAGCCAGGGAACCCACACTTTGCCTGTCAATCATCGACCATCCAAAATCCATCTCGGTCTCCCAGTCATATGTCCCGTCGCTTTTCCGGAACGGAGACCGGTATCCGTAGGGCGCTGGGAAGGCAAGTTGGCCCGGCATTGCTGGACCACCGTTCTTGCGACCGGCGGAATAAGTTGCCGATCCAGATCCTGAAGTCAGACCATGGTAGCTAGCAGAGAAAGCCACTACCTCGAAATTTCCCGTGTAGCATTTGGCCATTTTTATCGCTGCTTCTGTGGTTTCGGACCCGGTGTTGAGGAAAAATGACTTTTCGAGTGGCGGTGGGAGTAAGCGGCCTAGACGTTCGGCCAAATCCACGACGGGTTGTGTGATCATGTTGCTCAAAAGATGGTCGAGGTTTTCAACATAGTGCTTGACGACAGCCACGATCTCGGGATGCGAGTGTCCCAAGAGTGAGCTCATTTGGCCAGAAGTAAAGTCTAGGATCTGGCGGTCGTGAATGTCGTACAACTTGGTACCTCGTGCCCGAGTTATGATAGCTGGCGAGAACGGAACACCAGTCGACATGAGATGCTGATCAGCTTTCTTCCAAAAGGAAGCCTCCGCTTCCTTGGTGTCTGTAATTCTAGCAGGACACATGCTGGATGCTGTGTAGTGGCAAGCAGGAATGGTAGATAGAATAGTGGACAACAAAGATATGGGGGGTATTGTGTTCGAGCTGTCACTGGGCAGCGAGAGGAAGTGAAGAAAAGATCAGACTGAAATGGGGTATTTGTATCATACTCTTATCACGAATACGAACCACGGATAGCAATGTCAAGATGTTGGGGGGCTATCAGCCTAAGCTCCGTTCCGCGGGAATTAGAAGCTCCGTTCCGCGGGAATTAGAAGCCCCGCGGGGCGGGGCACTTAGTGACAGGCGTACCATTTCACGATCTCAACGCATACGCTCAATAAGCTTTTCATTCTCCATATACACCAAACAATGCCTCCAAAACCTGTTCCACCGTCGTATATCTCACCCAAATCGACCGCGGTACGTAGACGCCGCCCCGGGCAAGCAAGTTGGGCATGTCTCGCCTGTCAAAAGCGAAAATCGCGTTGTGCGACAGAATCAGCAGTCTCCCATCGATGCCAGATGTGTAGGTTCCGCGATACCGAATGCATATTCCCGGCATCAGACAAACAAAACGGAGCTCCTTCGGGCATCCGACGTGTGCGTACACCGCGGGATCGGCATCTGCAGCCCACTTCTTCCGTCGTCCATGGGAGCGGAGGGCAACCTTCGATGTGCAATTCCCGCGGTGCTGAGATTCTCACTCCTGGGGACACACCATTCCCAGGTCCCTCTCGTAACATTGCAGAAGATGAAGATGAGATGCATGTCGTCGGGCCTGTCAATGATACTGACACCCGACTAATCGCAGACTATATTTCCAACAGTTCTGCTACAGGGTTTCTTTTAGGCGGGTCGAACTTCACAAAGACAACTCCTATATATTCCATGGGAAACCATGATCCGGTGGTTTTCAATACTGTGCGCAGACGTCCGCTAGGCGCTATGGTCAAAGAAAGCCCTGCATCCATGAAACTACACATCATAGAGCAAGTTCTTGGCGCTTTTTGCGGTGATCTACTTGAAATGTATGTAGCGTCAGCCTTGATTCCAGAATCGCCATCAATTCTCTGATGTGCAACTACTCTCTGACCATTGTGGATCACAGATACTTTCAGAAAGTCCACGTCTGCTTCCCATTGCTCGACGAGGTATCATTCAAATCGCAATATGCGACGTCCAAGAGTTCGATATCACCATCCCTACTGGCTTGCGTGTACGCTAATGCAGCAGTCTACGCGCGCAATTCTGCTTCACTTCCCGCGCATTGGGCTCCAGACATCATGTTCATATGGAACCAAGCTAATGAAGCACTATACTCGGAGCTTCATGTAGCACCTAGTATCTCGGTTCTGATTGCCATTCTTCTAAATATATCTGGGCGCCCACTGACATCTGTCATTGGCAACGGCATTCTTCTTGGATCTGCGGTGGCTATTGCACATGGGTTGGGTTTGAATCGCAATTGTTTAGATTGGGAGATTTCGGTCTCAGAGAAACGCTTGCGAACTCGGTTGTGGTGGGCTTTGTTTATATATGACAAGTGGTGAGACTATCCAGCTAGGTTGACGTGAAGGTTGAAAGGCTACTGATGTCTTGCAGGTCCAGCGTTGCCTATGGCACTCCACCGCACTTGAAGAGAACTGAGCACAACGTATCGACCCCGAGTGCTGATTTACTGCACGAGGGTACAAATGCAGCAGACAATCCGACTGCGACATCAATATTCGTTCAATCAATCACTCTTACGCAAGTGCTGGACAGTTACCTAGAACACATCTTCCACCTGCAGCAGGATGTCTTCACCAATCGCCCAAAAATCGAGAACAAGCTCGCCAATTGGGAGTACTCTTTGCCACCAGAGCTTAGACGCATAGTGCTCCGAGGTGTAAACCTTCAAGACCCGGGATCTTCCAATTTGCGACTCGCATATCTATATGTCAGACTTCTAGACCGACGCCTCGAAGCAGATCGCCTCAGTCATCAAACAACTGCACTAGAAGCCCTAGATCCGAACCGTATGCTAGAGGCTCGTAGAGTCGCACAAGACATCGTTTCCCTGGTCCAAGAATTGGATGGCGCAGCCCTCACCGACTTTTGGCTCCCGTTGTGCGCATTCGTCTTATCCAGTACTGTTGCTTTCCTGCTCCGGTGCGCCTTGGAAATCGAGCACCACGACGTCGGGCTAGCGCAAAGTATTTCTTTGAAGCTGGCTTCAAGTATGATTGAAGCGTTGAGGATTCATAAACAGGAGTACGGTTGGGATATTGGGGATATATGTCTGGCTCAGTATGCGGATGTGACCGACAAGTTGACGGCGGCGGAAATTCACATTGACGAGGCTCTGCAGCAATTTCTTTTTACGGAGTTTTCCGGCGCGACGGATATGCATGATGCGCATCTGAACTTGTGGGATTTTGCTTGAGGTGATCATCCTGTAGGGTATAGGACGCAAACCGGGGTAAAGTCACCTCAAGAGTGACGGGAGTGAATGGCACATTTCTTGCTTCAGTTCTGGTCTAGCTACTGTGGGCGAAACTTCTTCGCTGAATGGGTATACGCATCACTCGTCTATAGTAAATTTAATTGCTACATCCGCGCATCCAATGCAGTCCTGAATTCAGCCGCAAACAGCTCCGGATCGACGTTAAAAGCGACATGCCCACCTCCAAACATATTCACATCCAACCCTAACCTCTTCCCCAACTCAACATTGCACAAATACTGCGGTGTTTCAACGTGCGTGCCCTTCCCATTAACCAACACCAATTTCCCCTTCACCTTCTCAAGCGCATCAAAGTCGAACTCAGAGTGAACATACCCCAGCATCTCTCTCTCAAACCAATACATAACATTGCCGGCCAAGTACGGATCTTCACTGACATCGGGCACAAATCCAGGATCGCCTTCCGCATGGACAATCTTGTAAAACTCTCCCATCGCAGCGACATGTCCTTGCCGGCGATACAATTCGTACACAGCTTGCTGGCGCGCAGCCCAGTGTTCGCGATTGGGTAGCAATGTAGTCACAGGCGGCTCGTGTGCAACCAACGCTGTGACAACATCGTGATGGCGTACGAGTACTTGAATCGCGACGATGGCACCGGAGCTATTCCCCAGAACGGTAGCGCTTTGAACCGGTTGTGCATTTTCTTTGTCCGCGGTATGTTTGTTTAGATGTTCTATCAACGCGCGTGTGTCGTCGGCGTCTGTTGCGAGACGAGCTGCGCCAGTGCTGTAGTCTTGTGGGCCGGTGAGCGCGGAGCGGGAGAAGCCGCGGCGGTCGTAGATGCAGACTCGGAAGTGTTTTTCCAGTATCTGGGCTATGGGTCGGAAGTAATCTAGGTTACCGTTGCCGCCATGGATGAGGACTAAGAGGGGCAGCTGTGGTGCCGGTGTGTTTGGGAAAAGCTCGTAGTAAAGTCTGGCGTTGGGGACTTTGAGAAAAGGCATGTCTGTGTTGCGTACAATTCCTTAAGTTTTAGGTACGGTATATGGTTTAAATATTGACTTGGAAGTCTTTACGGTTTTAATAAATGTGCAAAGGGCGTTGTCGCTGCCCGGTCCGCCCTTCGGTACCATCCCATATCGCGTTCTTGCATATATTGGTTTAGTCCCTCCCGGAGATCCAAAGTAGCGAGGAAACGATCATGCTTTGAAACACTTTTTGGTTGGTAATCGCGATATTTCTGCAGGCTGACTCTTTAGTGACCATATCCAGGGCGAGATGGACTGTCTTCATTGGTCCATTCGCTTAGCTGCGCTATTTGCAGTTTCACATGTAAGCGCATCTACAGGATTGACGATGAACACAAGTTGGAAGCTAATAGTCCACGGCATATGGTCTCGTTGAATTTTTCCCTCTTAAGTTTACAATCTTCCTCCAGAACATCGTATAATGGGACGCCGGAGTCTTCGAACACATCTATCGTACGGTTCGGTGGCTATCAAATCCCGAGCTCGATCGCTAATTGAAGTCCGAACAATTGGGAATAGGATCCAGCCGAATATTTATTTGAATATCGTGACCGTTACCACAAAGTTAACCTCGCTCTTTTCGCCTACTTCAGCGAAGCTAGAGCGAAAGGAATGCTCGGATTCCCGGTAATGCCGGATCTCAATATAGCCGGTGTTTGAGTCTCATCACGTTTCAACAATAAACATACATGTATTGACTAGCATTTAATGTCAATTAGGATCAAATTTCCGAGCATGCGAAGGATCTGGGTACATTTTGAGATGGCCCGTGAGCAGGAAGACGCGAGATTTGACCGTTAGGACGCAGGCCGACAAAAAATACATTTTTGGTTCATTGTATTATGACCCCATTAAAAAAAATGCATTCACTGCACTTAAGCTACCAATAATTCATCCCTGCCCGCAAGTTTCGTCATAAGAAAAATGACGCGGCACAGGCAGCAATGGTTCATAGTCCTTCCAACCAGTTTAATTGCATCAATCATAGGACGATTATGATCCTGTACCATGCTCTCAGACAAGTCCGCCCTCAATCTCCCGAATCATGCGTTCTTCGCTTGCCACATCTGGTCTGGGCAAATTGCTCACCTCCAGGATGAGATCATCTTGCTCGAACGCTACTCGAACTACTTCCGTACCTGGTGTGCTCGTGAATAACAATTTCAAGGTCGCCGCAAGATCGGGTTCGTTGGTGAGCTGAAGTAGTGTTTCGAAAACGGGTGTCGCATCTGCCTCGAAGTCCTCTCTTTCGAATAGATATACCCCGTCAATGATGAAGAAAAGCGTTATGGTTCGTGGAAGCTGCCGAACCAACAAGACAAGTAGGTTGATCCATGTTTCCATACTAGCACCTTCCAAAGCCCGGATGTCGACATGATTCTGCAGGAAGTATGTGCTATACTCGAACTGTTCCAGAAGCTGGTCAACCAGGCTTAGTATCATAGCACTCCCTCCAATTCTTGCTCCCGGTTCAATAGCATCCGCGTGACGACCACAGAACCATGAAATCGAAATAAATCGATCACTGAATCTCACAGACTTTGCCAACGTCATACAGAATATCGAAAGTGGCGAGACATTTGCTACCTCTTTAGGTAGACTAGAATTCCAGTGAACCAAGAGCTTCGCGGATGAGGTCGACATAATCCAGTTGGCGAACAATTGGGTCTGTACGATCTGCTCAGCTCTGGCCAGGTCCTTTGCACGAAGCTGCCTAATCTCATTTCAATCTGGTTAGCAGATTTCTCAAAGTGAAGTAGAGTTATACACTCGGTCATACTACTGCGTAGATCCGTCACGTTTAAGTCTGGAAGAGAGCTGACTGTGTAAGGCCAAGCAGTAGACATGGCATCGTCCGACGTATTAGCTACGTTCACAATTGGGGAGTCATACTTTTTCTTTTCTGCAACAAAGATCCAATCCGCCATATCTAGCTCAGAAGAGTTGGTGATAGTCCGTATATTATTCTGATTGGTATATGGATACATTGCCGGCGGGGTTATTGTCTGCGATGCGGTGGCCCATTGCTGCACGGTATATGTCGACGCCATCATAGCATTTTGAGCCAGTAGTTCCTCCTCTCTTTTGATCAAGATCTCTTGTTTCAGCTGGTAGCCGTTGAGGAGGTGTTCTATTGAATTGAATGCAGCGACTAATACGTCTGCTTTCTGCAACATGAGCCTGATCATTCTCTGCGTTTCTTGCGAGTACATGTGAGACGCAAAAACATGGGACTTGAGAGCTTGCTGGACGAGGTCTTGGGCTTTGGCTTGGATTGCTTCAAGGCTTTCGCGAAGCCCTTTCTCATAATCTGCCCCACTAAATATGGCTTTCCCCCCACGCACATATTCATTGCCAATGAAAAATCCAATGGTGCCTTCGATGGCAAAAAGAGTAGTGGCAACTAGCTCTATAGAGGCTAGCTTTATGATTGCGTCGTCGGGAAATGTGCTGAGGAATGTCTCTACATCGGAGAAGATTGGAATAAGACCATCCAATCCTGTTAACACCTCTCCACGTACTGTTGCTGCAACCTTTATGGCATCGAACAATACCTCAACTGCACCAACAACAGGTGTTGATAGTGGGTCCTGTGGAACAACTTTAGATGCTATTTTAGCGGATTCAACCCCTGGTGTGATGTTATCAGCGACCTTTCGTCGAACCTTCCGAATCCAGCCCACGCGACCGCCAGTGTCTTGATATCTATTGCGCGCGGACTCAAGTGTTTGGTATATCTCGTCCCAGTTTGATTTGTCTCTTATATTGTATTGCGTGTTCGATCGCCCTTTCGGTTCTTTCGTTGCCATAAATCGTGCCATAGACTCTGGAAATATGCGGTTCCAAGATTTCATGGCATTGATGTCTGTCCAGTATGGCCTTGGAGGTAAACTGTTTTGTGGGTATAGGTGTGAAGAAGGCAGAGACACAAGGCTGTTATGAGTGTTCGGGCTCAAGGCGTGATTGGCTACCGCCGAAATGTATTGCCCCGTCATCTGATCGTACTGCACGGTCTGGGAAGCAAATAATGGATGATATTTTGCAAGCCTTTGGTCAATGAAGTCGATACTCGGTGCCCTTTGTGTGACTGGTGGTATGGGTGGGTTCGCCATTGTGAAGTTTCGTACAAGAAGTGAGGGGAAGGGGCTATAGGCGTACTCTACTTTCCTCGGAACCGCCGTATTCTTGACCATGTCCTCAGCCTGATATATCTTAGCAGGTAACCTCAGCATTACGAGGGATACGCAATGATGGCTTGGGTTCAGATAACAGATATCCCGCTCTTGTGTGTCACCTGCCATTTCCGGTTTCTCGTGGCACAGAGAGAGCTAGACCTTCAGATTAAGTGCCGTTATATGGGCGAGGCTGAACACCACCTATCACTCTATTCGTCATTTGGACAGTCTCATCCATGGCATCAAGACGCTGGCAGATGGGATGAAGCAGATACGAGGCGCTTATGGTCCTAACTATAGACAGTCGTGCTTGACGAGGCAGTAATAGCAATGAAAAAAAAATGGAGATTTGGCCTTGAGAGAACGAAATCGCCGATCATAGGACAGGTGAAGTGCCGGATGCTACGAGTGTGGTGGTCGGCCCCCACACCAAACCTCAGCTGAGCGGGGTCGACAAGGATTTGCAGTCAATGAGTTTCAGCGCTAGATAATATGAGCTCCGAAAGGTCGCTCCAAACTTACTCCATCATCCAACCCTCAATTCTGGATAATTGTTGTTTTCAAACGACATGCTATCCATTCATCCAGCCTTGGTGTAAGATCTAACCCTTTATATCGACAAGTTTTGAATCCAAATCAACCAGAAATCCACTTGAGTCTTGAAAATTGTATTCTAGCATTCACCTGTGCATCGGGTGCCTGTTTCGCAGCTCTAATAACGTAATGGCGGACGAAAAGCATGAAGATCCAGGCCTACACCAGGATGTCAATGAGACTGCCGAAAGTGCGGACCTGCCCGACGCAGGAACTGAAATTAAAAAGTCTCCATCCCAATTGCCCGAGCTCTCTAGTGCCTTTATGGATGACATTGACGGTTTAAAAAGAAGGATCTTGGAACTTGAAGCACTCCAAGCTGAGGCGAGTGGTGAACATGTCGAAAGGCAGGAGAAAGATTCTCAAACACTTGCTGAAATCGAGCGGTATAAACGGATGGAATCATGTCTTTACAACCATCGGAAAGAGTGGGAAATGAGCGGTGGGCCCGGCACTTGGTGGGGAACGACGGACGCGACACGCAGAGTAGTCGGCATCGGCGAACACGGCGAATACGGCGAACATGAATGGACCATGCATCATCCATTTCTACATCAAGATCACTATTACACTAGGCCGAATGTGTTTGATGCGGATCATGATTGTAATCCTCCCATAAACAAATGGCCCGGTGGTAAGGATGAGTATGACAGGTATGACAGCATAATCGACTGGGGAAACCGTCGAGACAGGTGTGTACAAATTTGAGTTGACATAAAAAATTGAAAGAAAAAACGAACGAGGACCCGGAGCTCCTGCTCTACCGTCAATTTATCGAGAATAATATCTTACGTATATCTGACTAATCATCTATGCTTCGAAGGTTACGGAAGAATTTCGAATGGCAGATGGACCGACTGTTTCTAGATGAGGAGCTCCAGATGAGAAGGCAAGGAAAATTCAGGGCTTCTATGAAGAAGAAAGAGCCGGATGCCCAAGTGGGAGATCAGAAGAAAGAGCCGATGGAGCGACGCATGGCTGAAGCTGATGGCCAATTGGCAGATCAGAGTACTGACAAGAAAGCCGCATCTGACCATGAGGATACCGACGAGGATGTAGAATCTGAGAGTTCATTTGGAGTTGCTAAGCTGAACTGGACGGAATGGTCCCAATTCACGCAACTGCGATACTTAGACGAATGGGAGGCATGTGTGGTTGATGTTCTCATCGGAGATCCTATCATCGATGACGATGCTACCGTTAATCGACTTTGGTTTGGGTATTCGGGACACAGAGCGAACAAAAGTTCAGCCAAAACTAGGGGTCAGAAGCCATTTGATCCTATGAAACCAGGACAATCGCCTTTGCCGGAGAGAATCCGAATTCAATCCACTATTCTTCTACGCATCCTTTCTACTATAATCGGCCCCGAATACGGGGGTTACCTAGGTTCAGAAGACGCGGCTGCTATCATAATCCGTCCATTCAAAGCATTGGCCTTTACGGAGCAAGCATTAAGACATTGGTGCACTGCGCTTGAAAAGAAACTGGGAAAGAACTCGACATTTCAAGACCAGATCCCGGCTGTCGACTTGTCTAGTGCGGATGTCGAATCAGAACAGGGCACTGATTGGAGCAAACATAGCAAATCAAATGCAGATCTCGATGACAATGGCACGAGAAATCCAGCCGATCCTCTTACCATCAACCTGGAGACAAAGACGGAAGCAAGGGAACAGCAGACGGCGGATCTTCATCAGGTTGCCGACCAATTGCGAGTTTCGGACGATGAACAGACTCCAACCCAGGGGAATGTCGAGATATCGGATGTTACAACATCATCGGTCGCACTAGATCACTTAAAGTGTCTTCTCAAATTTATAGATTCCAGCGTTGTAGCCAAACGCGAGTATCTTGACGGTCCGCAATGTCGAAAGGTTTTCTTCTCCGACCTGTGGCATCTATTTCGTCCTGGGATTGAAGTCATAGACAGGGAAGGAAAGCAGGCTTATAAAGTCATTGGTGTGAAGAGTGCTAAGCACCGTGTCACTCGGGCCTGGGAAAGATGGTCATCAGATAACCCACGAAACCCGCAGAAACAAGAGTCGCCTTTCAGCGTTAAATGTGTATACATTGATTTCGATGGTAAGAATATCGGACCAGTCATGAAAACTTTCGAGTTCAAGCGATTTGATAGCGAGAGAGAGATAACTTCTTTCGAGATCTATCCCCTGCGCCTGCATGTTCCCGGACCTTCAGAATACAGCGATGTGGAGTGGCGACATGTACAGAAATACCCCATCGAGGAGCGATATCGGCAGAAACTAATACTTCGAGGGGCAAAGTTTCTTGACGCTGCTGGAGTGAAGCATATGTATTACGCCGGACCTACTCTAGAAGCCAAAGAAGAGGTGGAAAGCCCGGTTGTTGTTGATTTCGAAACGGCCTTTACTACTCGCAAAGATCTACCACCTCCACGAGCGCCTGTGGGAGGTTGGAGAAATCGCGAAGAAGCAGAGATCGCCGAACGCGAACACATGCAGCAACAGTGGAAGCCTGTGTTGATCACCTTGATAGGATCGGTCGTATTTGAAGAAAGCGATTTGACATCCAGTCGCACAACGGATTGCCAAGGCGATTGTTGCCGAAATGAATATGTACACGATGATCAGTTCGTTGATCAGAAGCAGAGTACGGACTATGTCAACAGCCTCCTTCCCAACGAAAGCAATTTAGACGAACAGCCTCCAATCACGATAATACCGCGTCCTCTCAAAGAGCTGCAGACCGGTTCGTCGAAGAGCATCACATGCCCAGAAAGTGAGATGGTGATCATGTCGTATGTGAGTAAATATGCCCCAGAGAGTCATTTTAAGATATTGTATAATTTGAAGAAGCTGTGGAACCCCTTGGATCGACAAGACAGACATCATGCGTAACCTGTTTACCCATTCTGACATATCCATTATAGCGCGTGTTTGGTTTCGTTCTCCGGAGTCGCAAGTGGGGTAAGACCTCTCATGCAGAGCCCATTTATGTCCTACACGTCCACTAATACCGTTCATAGCCAAACTCGATTTATCATATTTGAACGATGTTGCATTACCCAAGTTTCCTCCATCTACCAATACGAACGTAGAGCTTAACTTAAAAACTGTCAAACAAAAGGATGAAGACACTTCCCTGACGCTAAATCGTCTGGTGCTCGAAAAAGGGCATCACTCTATGATAGTATCACTGATTGCTCAACACTTCCGGGACAAAAGGTCAACTACGGGCCAGAGAGAGGAGTTTGACTTGGTCAAAGGAAAGGGAAAGGTAATGAATATTCGAAAAGAGATAAATGACCCGCAGCTAACTAGAACCTAGGGACTGATCATCCTTCTTCACGGTGCCCCGGGAGTGGGCAAAACTTCCACCGCGGGTCAGTAATATCTGTGATTAAAATTACTCAACTTACGACTGACTTTTTTGCAACTCAGAGGGGGTTGCGGAGATGTTTGAAAAACCTCTTTTCCAAATTACATGCGGTACGAATTGCTCCTAGTGTAACATAGTGACAGGTTCTTATTGGCTGACTGATTTTGCCAACTACAGGAGATCTCGGAACAACTGCTGCGGAAGTCGAAGTAGCGCTAGAGAGTACCTTCTCGCTGGCGAACAAGTGGGACTGTATTTTACTTCTAGATGAGGCAGATGTCTTCCTCGCTGAGAGAACCAAAGAAGACTTCAAGAGAAACGGGCTCGTTGCAGGTCCGTTCTGTCAACCGTACCTATTGTTGTAATGTGACAACTGACATGAGACTTAGTGTTCCTTCGGCTTATGGAGTATTACTCTGGTATTCTCTTCTTGACAACTAACCGCGTTGGCGACTTTGACGAAGCTTTCACGTCGAGAATTCACGTCAGTCTGTTTTACCCGGAACTGAATGAAGACAAGACAGTCAAGGTATTCAAAATTAACATGGATATGATTGAGGAGCGCTTTAGAAGAAAACAGCGCGTGATCAACATTGATCGAATGGAGATTGGTAGCTTTGCAGGGAAATACTTCGCCGAGTATCCCAACGCTCGATGGAACGGGCGGCAGATACGAAATGCCTGCCAGACCGCCTTAGCCCTCGCAGAGTTCGAGGCTCAAGATGGAAGCTTGGAAGACACAGAGAACTCTGACAAGCCGGTGACTTTGACTGTTGAGCATTTCACGATTGTGAGAGACGCATATCTGGAATTCACCAAATACATGCACAACTTGTACGGTACGACATCTGCGCGACGAGCAAAGGAATCAAGATTGCGAGCTGTATGGGTTGACGAAAACAACAATTTAATTGACGCAGCGAGTATGGGTGGTCCAAGGGACAAGAAAAATGCGTTCTTGCGTGCCTCACAGAGTCAAGCACCTCGGCCCATGGGTCAAACGCCACAGCAGAGTTTTCAGCAACAGCAACAGCCGCAGCAACCATCCTACTCACCAAATTTTGTTGGTGGCTACCAACAACCTGATCAGCAGCAGCAGCAGCAATACCAGAGTCAGATGCCGAACCAGGCATTTGGCGGAAACCAACCACAATTTGCCAACCCTCCTTCTGGATATCCTCAACGAGAATCATACCCCGTGAACCAGAATCGGAACAATCAGAGTCCAGGACCGTATTTTCTAGGTTCTCAGCCTTCTATGCAACACTCTGCTAGTGGATCCCCGTTCGAGCAGCCATTGCAACACAATGATCCGAATGTACATGGCTGAGTGCAGATATACGCAGCATTGTACGCAGACGCCAGTCTCGAAAAGCCCTCTGGGGATTGAGAACTAATGTAGGCTTCATGCTGCTCATTCAGTTTTTTGGAATTGGGTTTCCAGTATTCCATATTCAACTCACATTCGCTACCTTCAATCTCTTGTTCGTAGCTCGTTTCTTTCCCAGGATTCGATTCTTCGTTATCCAGTCTCTACCGCTCTCTACTTGTTTTTTTCTTCAATATATACATCAAACAGAAACCAGAAATGAAAAACCTGTGTGGAAAACAGTACTTTACATCGTGATCCTCTAAATTGAGATACTCCCCTGAAATTCCATGACCGTCACACCAAATCTTGTCCCGGCCCCACTCATACCGCCAACGTTCTGACACCACTGTAACTCTCTTTCAGCACCACAATGGGTAAAGAACTGTCGAACAACCCAGCATGGGTAGCATTCAATCTGTATCCCAAACGTTCCCATGCGAGGGCGGTGGCAATATTCTATCGTTTGACAGAATAGACGAGCTATTCTCACTCCTTCGGTCTTGATTGAGCCAAAACCACTGTATAGGTGGATGAATTGTGGTGGAACGATCGATCTCTCTTCACTATGTTTTCGGGTGATGCAATGCAATACAGTGAGAATGTGTAACTGGAAAGCCCATGACATGATGAAGTTGAGCGCTGTTTGTACGGAGTTGAAATGTATAGATGAGGAGAAAAGCTTTGTTCCGTAAACTTCGTCGGTGGGGTTGCGCAGATTTGAGGGATGAAATGTGTATGCTGGTGTTGGACACAAAGCGCCGTATATAACCGCTTGCCATGCGTAGATATCTCTGAGGACACTCCACAAGGCTGCGATAATTGTCATGCCATCAGTGCTCTCAAATTGTCTCCCTGAAAAGGCGTCCACGGCTGACCTGAGGAGTTGAGGCAGATCGCAGATGATGCCGAACAGCTGGTCGATCGGATCTACGGAATGGTTCTCAGGCATGAAATCCGCCCACTGAGCACCATTAACAGATAATCTCTGTTCCCCTGTGAGTTGCGATAGGATCTGATTCACGATTAGTAATAATTTACAGACATCTATGACTCTTCAAACATACAGCGATAACCCGTAAGCGTGACCATAGCCTTGTCCAGATGCTTGACGATATGTCTGTGAACGATTGCTTCAAGCGCAAGATATCGGCGATGCCTTGCGCATGAACTCGTAAACTATCGTCTGTTGGGAAGCAAAAGAACTCGGCTGTCGACAAAACTACAATGCACGCAAGGAGGCAATGTAGCTGCCGCTCTTCTCCAAGATTCAGCGCATCGGACAAGCGATCAAGAGCGAATTTATACTTTTCGAGACATTTATCACGTGATGCTTCATCTCCATTCGTAGCTGCGATATGAACCTGAATAGTACAGAATGCAATAAGCGCATGGTCGAGCGTAGGGCAGTAATCCTCAAGCTCGCATATAGCGCCGAACCAGGTCGTCGGAATGGCATTATTCGGACTGTTGTCCGTACCTTCGGGTCGCGGGAGGTAGATCTTCTCGATGAGGCGGTAAGCTTGCCCTCGAAAGTAACGAGGGGAATGCGTCGATGAATGTACGTCGGCATTGAGCTGTGACAAGCTTTGTAGTGCGTCTAGTTCAGGCTGGATCGAGCTTCCTCCCGAATCTTCCAGTCTAGTTCGACTATCTTTCGCGAGCACACTCGGCGCCGATACAGCAGGATCTGCAAGAGTCCTGTTGACGAAAAACGTTCGTTGGTTGTAACCCGAACATTGTATGTGAGCTTTGGCGCATCGAAGACATCCTGGCCTCTCAAACCCACATTTGACGCGCCGTCGCTTGCAATCGTTGCAAGCTTTCGATTTTCCAGCCACCCCAACCATCTGAGATGTGATTAGACGTGAGATGCAGTTACAATATATAGATGATGTTGGCGTAGCACTGTTTCTGTGTCGACGCACACTTTGTACAGTACTCGGTGCTCGCGTCTAAGGAAAGCCGAACTCCACAAAAGAGGGCACAGGTCACCCGAATTCGTAGACAGTAGGCCAATCAGATGCGTTTGGTTCTATATCCGACACAAGCGAGACAGCCATCTGAGTCTTCCGTTCCGAGCAGACAGTGCGCTATTCCCAAAACGTACTCATCATTCGAGGTTCCCACTTATATCATATCCACCACTGAGGCTTGAAAAGTTGGTGAATTTCTTGCTCTTTGTAAGTGGATTTGACGAGCAAGAAGAGCGGAGACATTTTGCTATACATGAATGCAACAGAACAATCCTACGAGGCATTCATCGTGTATTGCTAGTCATAGCGCTTCTTCCGCTTTTAACCGCGTCGGAAATACGTCAAAGTTATACCTGAGCGGAGTCGGAAAATGGGCAGTAATACTGTTGAAAGAACTCGCAAGGTTGGTTTCACATACCATAAACCCAATTTCAGTAGTAGCAGCGTGGGAAGACCCCTGAATTAGGATTTCATTCTACAATCTAACGTAATTTACACACTAATTTTACAATCTCCAGCGGTGAGAAGGAGAGATCCTTAACTACTCGGTGACAGTCTATCTGCACATTCCATTTTCTCATTATCCAATCATGCTTTGGCCATAAGCTTCCATCCCGTCAGCTTTACTCTGGAGAGAATCAGGAAAACAGTTCCAACAACCAGCAACAAGCCAGAGAAAAGTGTTAATCCCAGAAACCCATTCCCGTCTCCAGAGGAGATGACGCCTGCAATCGGACTGCCAATTAATACGCCAGTAGCAGCTACCACGTACAAACTTCCTGTTCTGACTCCAAGTTTCGAGAGATCTGGGGAGATCTTTGCGATCATGGCCGGGACGAGAGAAAAGATGCAACCAGACGCGAAGCCGTACACGATCGCAAAGACGATGATCAAGGCGTTTGTGTTCTGTGCGGACATAACGGTGGTAGGCAACCAGAAGATTATGTTGGCGAGTCCTCCTGCAAGAGAAAGTACAATCATGACGTTAAAGACACCGAAAACATCTCCGAGATGCGCTGGAATGATTCGTCCGAAAGTCGAAGAAGCATTGAGGATGGATACGAGATAGCTTGCAAGATGGTCGGACATGCCCTGTGCTCTCGCTTGAACAATGATGAACGTAAAAGGAATGAAGCCGCCGATGTAGGTAATCCATACTCCGATGGTGAGGAGCAAGAATGGAACCTCTTTGTAAGGTGCGATAAAGTCTCGGAGCACAAACGGTTGCTTCGATGGCGGAAGTCTCGATTTGACTGTGATGATGGAAATGGTGCACAGGCCTAAGAACAGAAAGGCGACGGATCGCATAGCCCATCCAAATCCGACCTCATCCACAAGACTGGGGGATTAATCAAGAGATTAGCTTTATCTAGTCGACAGCCTTTGGTGATGATTCTTACCGGTTGACCATGATGGGTAGCACAACTCCTCCTACACTTGATCCGGAAGCCATGATGCCAATGGCAAGAACGCGATGTCTCAGGAACCAGCTAGCGCAAGCTGTCATGCCTACAAGCGGAGGTAAGTATAAAGCTTGGACAATAGTCGACCACCAGACATACTCGGATAGAAGAGAAAGCTACAGCCAATAGCGCTAGTGACAGACTGCGACAGAAATATTTGGTAGTATTCTTTCGATATCGAAGCCATCATGAGGCCAAAAACGTGCAAAAAGGTACCAATGACAATCGGAACGCGCGGGCCCCAAAAGTCTGTCAATTTCCCTGCCACCGGTCCCTGTTCGAGGTGTTAGTGATTTGTGCGCGATGCTTGGGTAGATTGCGAGGGAGCGTACCCAGAAAAACATCATGAACGATTCTGTAGAGGGGACCCAGGCCACACTACTCGACGAGTAGCTCGAAATCAGATTCGACTGATAATAATTCTGGAAGATGCCGATACCTATCACCATCATCAGCATTCACTCTTGATCGACTTCGCAGAAAGTGATTTACAATTTATCCAACCAAAGCTCGCGAAGATGGCGCAAAAGCCTCCGGCAACAACTAACCATGCCTGTAAGCCGCCATCCGGAAATGCTTTCGGGTCGTGAGCAGCTAACGGCGGCGGCGAGACTGTCTGTACAGTTTGGCCACGTTCCGTCTCCTCGAGTGGTGAACTCGTCTTTTCCGGTGTTGAAGTCATGATTGAGGCTGAGAGTATTGTTGTTCAAGCTATCTGGATGTTTGGTGGTGGTAGAGCTCATTTATAATGCGGCCCGATGGCATCAGGGGCGCTATGATTGGCTGGTCAGCGAAGTCATGGTGCCGAAAGATGATACCCGAAACAGACATTTCGCAGGATCGTGCCCAAAATGACTATCTCGAATAATGATACCCGAATTGGTGCCAGAGCTTTGGACACGAATGAAGGGCATTTGTCAGACTATCGGGTGCAGATCGGATGTTTCGACAGCCACATTCTTCTGGTGAAGGGAAGACTTCGGGCTCGCCCTCACGCAGATACCACAGATCTCAGCTCAGCGGCTGAGGATGAGAGAATGCACATCCTTCCAACAATCTTTAAAGATTACCCACTTAGGTACATATGTACGTAAGTAGATGCCTATGGAGTGTTCAGAATTGATCACTACATGTAGGGGTCAACACGGGCAAGAGAACCAAAATAATCATGACGAAACTGTACTCAAGACGATTACCTAAATTAAACTGTTTCAATTAACGTATTCAGCATACCTGGAAGTACATAGATCTACACAGACTCAAATTTAGATGACCATGTATCTGACACGTGACAGATTCCCACATCACGTGACTAACCAGCTGTTTGTACGGCTGGCACCAACAGATAGTAAGGATGTCTCCATCGACGTGCATCTTATTTATATGAGGTTATAATACCACTTCTAGTTATATCGTTTGACAGCGACTGAGATGCCGAATCATTAGCTGGAGTAAGGGAATAGTGATCATGCTGGACTTGCTTGCCTTATCACCGACAATACGTCTTGAAATAACTGATCAGTCGCCTAGACACAGATCATCGAGTCCGTAAAAAGTGCGAACAGATATATTTTTTGGAAGACGAGGCTAGATACTAAACCAATCGCCTGTACATACATAGGTAGTCGACTGCACCGCGCACTTTTCTACGACATACCCGCTTGCTCTAATGTCCATATTGGAGCGAAAAGCTACACGCAGGATTTCTTGCGTCAATTGATCTGATGTCCGCAACTGCTGTAGTATTGGTCATTCCAAGATATCAGATATCGCATCTTGAAGACCTAAGTTTTGCGGCTGAGCATGGTATGCTGGTGAGAATGTCATCATAAACATGTAGAGGATGTAAAGAGCAGGTCACCAAAAAGCAATGTCACTTTTCAGACCATGTAGGAAATAAAATCCTATAGCAAGATCAAGTTTACGAGTTGAAGCTAGCTTGTGCTCTATCCTTCGGGCAGAGCTGATGACATAGAGAGCGATCCTACAAAAACCTGCACATGACGCCTACGACAGAATTCCCGGCCTCCTATAAGTCAACTCCGCATAGATAATTAGCCTACCTGTTCTGATTTACGTGACAAGCAGGCGCTAGTAAATTGCTCGATCAGGACGCCAAGGAGCATTGCGCATCGGAAATTAAAGCTTGGCGTGAATGCCAGAGCTCGGCTGTGACCAGAACAGGAAGGTTCCAATTAGACTAGTCAGTTAGCAATATCATTTCTATATTTCTATAAGAACGATCAAAGACCTACTGTAAACTACTGCGTTGAGCATTACCTCCTGAGTCCCGGTTCACGATCAGCATCATGAAGTTCTTCACTACACTCCTCGCTCTACCATCGCTCGCCTTGTGCGCTCCGGCCATATCCCCAGAGGACGACTTTTCGAGCGTGCAGATTGTCGGAGGAATGCCAGCAGCCGCTGGAGACTTCCCATCGATCATTGCTTTCTATTATGAAGGCCTGTTCAACTGTGGCGGCTCTCTGCTGAACGCTAATACTGTTCTCACCGCTGCACACTGCGTCGTTAACCGGGTCGCTTCAGGCATGACTATCCGCGTTGGATCGCTGGTAAGCTCCTTCAATATTGGCATTGTAGTCCAAAGATATCTGAATAACAGCTGATCACCGCCAACTTAGAGTAAGGAAACAGGGGGAATAGTAGCCAATGTTTCTTCGTTCAAGATGCATCCTGGCTACGTGACAGCAACGCAAGATAACGATGTTGCTATTCTGAAGCTTTCGACGGACATCGCGCAGAGCGCCAGTATTAGCTACGCAAAGCTTGCACCTACGAACTTCGATCCTACTCCAGGTGCTCTGCTCACTGTCGCTGGCTGGTAAGTCTTGAACTCGTTTTTTTTCCGAAATATCACGTTGTTAATATCTGACCTGTGTAACAGGGGACTCACCAAGCCTTCTGGTGACTTTTCTCCGGTACTACTGAAAGTGGACGTCCCAGTAGTATCGCGAGCGCAGTGCCAGACTAGTTACAGAGGCCAATTGGTTTCCGAGAACATGATTTGTGCTGGATTTGCACAGGGTGGAAAGGATTCATGCAGCAGTGATAGCGGTGGACCGCTTGTGGATTCCTCTAAGACTGTAATCGGGGTCGTCTCTTGGGGGCAGGGGTGCGCTGAGGCAGGATTTCCTGGTGTCTATGCGCGTGTTGGAACAGTGCTCGATTTCATCAACAGTTCCCTATAAGTCTAAGACTGCGGATGTCAGCGAGAAACTAGATACAGAATGCCCGATCGTCTGCAATATATGATAAAACGTTATTGATCCAATCCTACAGTATCAAGGTCCGAAACATCGACAGGGCTTAAATTCAAATCTACCGATAATCCCCGATGACGGACATATGAGATATCTGAGATCGATTTATCAGTGTAAAAATGGGGCATCAAAAGCACGGGAGCAACAACGAATGCTTGAACCGACAAAGGCTTCGGGGCACAACGATCGAGACCTGGCTCACCAAAACCCACGATAAGAATAGGAGCTCTCTCTCTCTCTTGATTTGTCCTGCCGATTTGAAAGAAATTGGTAATCTCTGTCCAGGGACTCCCTCTCCGGTTTGAGCTAAGGGACTGTGCTTATTTCCATGTCCTCTTCTTTAGGAAGTTGATAGGGGCAACGATCCAGTATTGTTCGTGTCGTGAGGTAACGGCGCTGTATTACGCGCCCGTCGTTATCTTGGGAGTTCTGTCTATGAATGTGGGATTAAGGCGTAGTGTTTTGCGTTAGGGTGGATCGCATGTTATAGTGATGCGTAGTGGAACCCTGTGCTGCAGTTGGCGCGTATGCGAGCGTTTCCGGATGAACATGACTGTGCCTCACCCTTTTTCTCCCAACCCAATGTACCTAAGACGTGACGATGAATTGAGGCGCTTTATTTCGATACAGTAGGTGTTTCTTGTTTTCTATGCTGCACTTGATTGATTGGCTATTCCATGATAATATCCATGGGAACCAAGCTTTTACTGTTTTAATCAACTCTCTTCGGTCAGCTTCAGCCTCCTCCATGGGTTCGTGCACGCTTGTTGCCGCCGAGTATGCTCAATGGCGAGATGGTGGGTGGTACAATAAGCGCTTCCAGGCGATATAAATGGAAGCGTTGCTGGAGATGCTGGGTAGAACACATTAACCTTCCTAGTAGCTCCTACTAAACTATTCTTATAATCTGATCTTTGTTGCCACCACCACCTTCTTTGGTATTCAATTTCTATTGCATCCAAGGGAAAGGCGGGACTGTACCAGTGAGTTGAATATGGGAAGTTAGCACCGAGGTTCCCAGTGACAACAACATAGAAATGTCATACTACCTCTCAATCGTCGTTGACGGTCCTGGTGACGATCCAAATCACCGCTCCCACTGGGCCTTCGCTATCCATGCGCCCGGCTCCCAGATCGGCAACGTTCTCCATGTCACTCCTCTCGATCTTAACAAACTCATATATGCTTTCGACAAGCGCAAAGGCGTCGAGGTTCAGTCCAAATCATCTGAAGGCTACTTTACCATCGCAACATTGTCGCTAGAGCAGTATCCTCGTGCGGATCGGATCATCAGTCAAGAGCCGGCTCCAAATAATGGGAGTGACAGGTGTCAAGATTGGGTACAGAATTGTATCATTGCACTCGAGGTGGAAGAGATTGTCCCGCCAGGAACGAGTGAGTGGCTTGGGGGATTGGTGGGGCAGCCAGCAGCGACGGTAGCGAGTAAGATCGGGACCCGCTGGGTGCGTACCGCTGGTTAGAGACGCCTTAAGCATGGCTGTCAAGTACTGGATGGTTCCAAGTACGACATTCGACTTAAAAGCCACTGTATGATACAAGTGTGGGATCGAGCTCTTTCAAGATATGGTACTCCGTCTTTGCATCTTCAGGGAATACATCATTGAGTAATTCGATCCATTCGGGTTTTCGAGCACGTAGATTGGCCTCTAAATATTCTCGGCCCGGTATTCTGAAGCCGGCTGAGCCCCAATCAACGATGGCCATAATCTTGCAGTTACCATCGACTAGGATGTTGCCGAGGTGGAGGTCGCCATGAGAGAAAACCTTGGCGTCTTCAGTCAAAGCTGAGATTTTGGCGATGATGCTGTTCTCTGATTCCCCAAGCTGGCCTCCTGGACGGGAATTGACCAGAGCCTTGACTAGCCCTTGATTATTTTCGGTTCTTGACTTGAAGGGACCGTACTGCTTGTTGTCGTGTGTTTTTATACATAAGTGTGAGAAGAAGATATCTTGACTAGGTTGATTCCAAAGCGCGCCATAGAAGTCCCCGCGCAAATCGCGAAGCGCTCTCACGTATCCTTGAAGCTGATCTGCAACGTATGCTTTGCTATCGTCCGACAATGACGACCACGTCTCCCCCAACTGTGATCCTTCAACTTTGCACATGTAGATGTACCCCAGTCCATTCTTTTCGTACGCTTCATAAACTTCAGGTACGGGAATCGAAGTATGGCTAGACATGAATTGCATGGCCCCAGCTTCAGTCATTTTCACACCTCTCCCAACTTTTTAGATTGCACCTCTGTCCGGCAAATAGAAAATTCTCGGTCCAATTTTGCGGGGAAAGAGATCGATAGCATTCAGAGGGATTTCCGCTTCGTCTCGCGTAGATCCAGGTGGAGGAGAAGGCGGGTCGGACATTGTTGACCTGAATGAAGAAGAGTGACGGGGAATGTGGCGCCTTAGATCGGCCCACACTAAGAACGCTTGGACCACGTCACGTGAATCCTCGATGACTTCACTTTCAAGTGCTCGCAAGGCATTGCTGCTTTATTTTCCGCGATCCGCCCTTTCGTTTATCATTATCTGTTTTCTACGCAGAAGGCTCTCCAAGAAGGAGCCAGAAGTCCTGAGAAGAAGGTTACTGTGGTGATCATGTGATCTGGACCGAACGCTTCAACCTTGAGATACACGATAACATGCTACAATGTCTACAGTGCACTCGAAATCCAGTAATAGCTCGTGGTCCTCATAATGTTGTTGACACCACCTCCGAGTCCATCGCCAGATAGAAATATATGAGCGGCTGTGCCGCTGCCTCCGTTGAAAGCAAAGAGACCGCAGGCTATGGTGGAACCAATAGCAAACGAGAAAAGACAATCGGCCGGGAAAATGTCACCACTTCAGGTAAAGTTGCACCGGATCACAAACTAGAAGGCCAGTTCAGGCAAATGGTTGTAGACGTAATGGACTTCCTTCCGGGCTCCTAGTCGCCTGTACTTGCTGTAAGCAAATGCTTCTGAATACGAAGTGATCCTGCAAAAGTGACATATCACGAACTCATACATGATTCCGATCGAAATCCTGAATGAGCCCCACATGGTGTCAATCACCGTGACCAGTGGGAATTTGGATCAAGTAAGTTTTGGTTGAATCTCGCGGTTTGAGCAGAGAACAAAGCGTTCTTTCTCGATATATGAGACTTCCAATTCAAAGTCGTTACAATGTATGCATTCATGGAGATGTTTTTAATCTTATAATGACTCCATAAACTCGACGCTGGACTGAAGTCAATGAATTTAGTGTCGATATGGGTTGATTTCAGGCTGCGAATTACTAATTCGATATGTAGCATCCATCATTCATGGGCTTATTCGCTCATCATCTTATCCCCCGTGGTATAGATTCTAAGTTCCCGCGTTATGTAGGAAGTGCGACTTGTATTCTGCCATCACATCCCAGCCCAAGTGTTTGAAATAGCTAGCGATGACGATCGATTAGCACTTCTATCCTTGATATCGCATCTGCTAGAATTCTGAATGGTACAATCCGCGAGGCCGCATAATATTACGCAACACGAGGAAGCAGAAAGCTACACTCCATGTGGATCAAAGGTCATGAAACAATATAATATCATGATTTTCTAGTTGACATTGTAACATGCATCACATTTCCGTAAATCGCGCCGATACTTGCGAAAGGCGATGTGCGAGTATCACGATCAGTAGATCCAGCAGCACTGGAGTAGAAGCGCAGAAACAGAATTACAGCACGCTAATATAGGACTAAAAAAAGAATGTCAGGCGAAGTTTTAATTGGCGGCTATGCATATCGAGTGAGGAAACGACGTGTCTTGGAAGCAGGAAGATCGGGATTCGAAGCCGCGCGGGATAACACCTCAGTCATGCAATCTGATTGGTCAGTGGCCTGAATGTATTCAACATCCCGCGCGGACATTGATGAGAGCGAAACCAGCGATATTCAGAGTTTTCATAACATCACCCACGCGCAGAGAATCTGAATAATTGCAAGTATAAAGGTATAATGACATCTCCTTACAGGTTTTCCCGCACCCTCTTCGGAAGCATCAATCGATATTTGAAATAGTGCTGACTTACACATCCCCCCGTCTTTCATGAACTTGAGCTTTTGCCAACTTTACATATCGCGCAATACAACTTTTTGTAGCAAATTCACTATGCTCGAAGATATAATGTCTACACCGCAGCGCACACCCGTCTACTTCCTCGGCATCGGCGGCCCCAACTTCATCAACAACACCAAACACCCCGCATACCAATCCCTCGCCAGCATCGGTGAAGAAATCACCAAAGTCGTGAAACCGAGTGCCGTCGTCGTTTTTTCTGCGCACTGGCAAGCCGGCCCAACAACTCTGCAGATCAATGCTGCTGAACACCCAGATTTGATCTACGATTTCTATGGTTTCCCAGACGAATACTACAAGATCAAATATCCATATGTCGGGAGTACAAAGGTTGCAAACAAGGTATCGGATAAGCTGAGGGGCGAGGGCATGGATGTTGAGAAAGTAGAACGAGGACTTGATCACGGGGTTTGGGTGGGGTTTTTAGCAGGTCAGAAAAACCCTACATTCCTTTTTCTACGACGCTGAAAATACGTGGTCATATAGCTTTCGATCCCCAGAAGAACCCTTTGGGCGTCCCAATCGTCCAGGTCTCGCTCTTTGGAAGTGAAGATCTCGAAGCGCATTACCGCGTTGGCAAAGCACTCGAAAGCTTGAGAGATGAGGGTATTCTCATTATAGGTGCGGGGATGACCGTCCACAATCTCCAAGATTTCAGGAGATCGATGTCTACGGGAAGCACTGCACCTCAGTCGTAGGTTATGATCTATAGTGTCTTGAACAATGCGCCCAGTTAATGTTATCACACAGATACTCAACCACATTCGACAATGCACTCAAAGATGCCGTCGAGACAGAGCCTAAGATACGCAAGAGTGAGCTGCTTTCTCTGATGAATCGTGAAGATGGGAGACAGGCTCATCCCACGCTGGATCATATACTACCGATGTACGTGGTTGTAGGGGCTGCAGGCTCGAGTGCTGGGCGCAGGATTTGGACTATGGCTGAGCGAAGCCTCAATTGGGCTTCTTATCGGTTTGGAGATCTTGATTGACGCTTTTTCTATGCTTAAATCTCTATCATTTTATTAGTTCGCACGGACAATCTCGATATTCGCTATATTGTCAACTATGCTCTGTTCAATGGCTCATCTCAATGGGACTTTGAAGCGTTCGGAGTTCATAGCCGCTGGGCTTTTCATAGTAAGTGAATCTCTCGTGCTCACAGTAGCCGCGCGCATTGTACGTACCCTATTCACCTGTGCTATCAAGAAGACGGCACCAGGCTCCTACGAGAATGTTCAATGACTTTTTGAAGCCTGCCTATAATCACCACTCCGGACTCGCGGATACCTCCTGACTACTCTTATACCACAATTTAATATGCCTTACTGCTGTCATTGTTGTTGCGTTTTCTAATACTTGAGCTCGTATTAAGTGCTGCCCCTGATCTCAGCGGGGGGAAACGGAAACATTGGAGTCCTGCGAGATGATCAGGCATGAGTGAGGAAGGTTGGGCCAGGCCACGGTGGGGGTTTCGGTTGACCTCTGCCGGCTGACTATCCAGGTACTTACTTTATGTAGGTATATAGCCGATAAGCGAAGCCTCGACCTCAAGGTAACGAAGCCCGCACCACTTTCCACAAGACCTTACTTCGACAAATGGATGCTCATACCAAACAAACTCCACTTCAAGAAAAGCCTGGTCGCTTCTGCTTCCGCTTCAAGCCTCAGGATATTCCCGGTGAGCCAGGCGCGCGTTCAATAACAGTCGCCGATGCCTTCATGCAACAGAACTACGAGAGGAAATTCGACTGGGAAAAGGACTATGTCTATACACCAGCGGGGATAGATGATGAGGAGATAAACAGAAAGTTATTCATGTTCCTTGATGTTAATAAGAACGCGGGCCATGCATGCCACAGTCCGCGCTGCTACCGAGTTGAAGGGTCTCCAATGTATGGTTTCCCCTCTGCAGTGTACATGCATGTAGCTGACATTTAATATAGGACATTTACAGAGACTAAATTCAATGGCGCAAGCCATTATTCACTTATGTTTCCATGGGGTGGGCGTGACAGGACGCCGCTTGAATGAGCAATAGACATGCATCTAGTGTGCCAGAAAGTTCATGGGTCAGATCTATTGCAGCACAAGGATGTCGAATTTCGAGTTAGTGTCTATCGAACTCTCTTTCACAAGGTCCTGTAGCGCACTGGCAAAATATTTTCTCCTGATCTGCCCTTTCCACGCTTCTTCGTATTCTAACGCTATGCATTTCTAATGGCTTCGGCATCCCCCTGCATGTTACAGATGATTTGGTACACGCTAATGTTACCTATCATGCCCATGTAACTTTTTCCACCATTTGATTAATGTTCTAGTCACACATTTGATGGAAATTGTCTCAGTCGCCAAATAACAGTGATCTATTGATTTAAAAAAAGATGATATCAATCAAAACCTTCAACCCACGCTAAGCCGCCATCCCGCGTGAAGGATCCCTCCCATAAGAAAAACAGATGGGTAAAACACATTAAAAATGCAGGTCATCCACTCCTTGCTTTTCCGTCCGATACACAGGGAAAAAAAGAACGCTTCCCAGAAATCAACAACAGCTAAAACCTAGCATTGTCGCCACACGAGTCCCCAACGCGCCTGCTTGAAGTCATATTTTCCCGAGTTGCCCTGCACGACCGGTCGGAAGTTGACATTGAGAATGCCCGGGTTTCCGTCCGAGCCTGTGCATTTGGACCACTTCAGGTCATTCGTGCTTGACTTGACTGTTACATAGTCTTTGATATCCGGGCCGGCGCATGCAAGTGACGCTCTGAGAACGGCCTGATGATGTTCACTCGATTAGCTAGAAGCTCGCACAAAGTATTTTTTTTCTCCACGAGAATAACTCACAGTGTTACCAGCGTTTTCACTCCAGAATGCTTGCGTGATGGCATCGAGCTGGCTTCCGCTGCTCAATTGCACATCTCCACCATATGCCACTTCTTTGACTGCTACTTGCCAACCTTGGCTGGCACCTGAAGACTGTATATGGATTTCGCAGTTGCTGGTGTCGACGCCACGTAGCTGACCGAATGTGAAGGTCGCAGAGTCGGTGAGAGTACCGGTTGTGCTCTTTACCGAGTTGGAATCATTGGGGCATCCGGAACCAGATATCTGGAGGGAAGTGATGCGCGGCGCGGAGGGAGGTGATGAGGCTAGTGCGGACGATGCCAAAACGATGAGGTGGGAAGCACGCATTATGATGGGAATTGTGGGATAAAAGTAGTTTAGTGGCTTGGGTATAAGAGAGGCGTCTGTGTTGCTTCCGTTGAGTTCTTCTTGCAGAGTTGAACTTGGGGGCTCGGTGAATGAAGAGGTTCCACCTGGTCTCTTATATACACCACCGCCGTGATCCTATATCCCTTTTCAGCATAAACTCTTTTCTGTACTGCAGTACAGCCAGAACGAAAAAAAAATGTCCTGGCTCAGGTCGAAAAAACATTTTTGCCACCGTGCACTACATCATAGAGGCCCTTAATCATCAATTAATGAACCCCAGCCTTCGAAGTTTGGGTCGAGAGTCACTGTATATTTGGACCTTGGTACCGCCAATTTAGCCATATTAAGAGGATTGGCCGCGGCTCACATACATCGCCCCAGCGACTTCGCCGCCCCGCAGATCACCAAGTATGATCAGCGTTCACATCATCTATTCTTACCTTAAAATAATGTTCCATACAGGATGAATTGGTTCGAGATGCGGATGCACGGTTGCGCAAAGTGCACTGTTGTATTCAAGGTTTGAAGTGTAGGATTCCGTAGCCGGCGTTGGGGTTATTCCAGAAAAATTGGCTCGTGTTTGTCATTTAGCGACGGCAATAGACCGAGAAGAATGGCGCCTCGATAATTCTAGGAGGATTCCAACGTCTGACAGGATCAACGCGCGTTGAAGCCGGTGACTTAATCGATACGAGATAGTAATTCGCAGTATTAGCAGGTGATCTGCCCACTGACCATAGCCGCCAATTCAAAGTCGCTGAAATCGCCGCTGTTCATCACATTATGTATGATCTGTTGACAAGAATCGATGCCACGACCTGGTTTTAGCTGTTGTCTTATTGTTTGGTATTCCGAATAGATGCGAACACCACGGGTTGTTCGAGAAATGCATGTGCCCAGCAGATCTCCCGCCCCAAGTCTCTGACAGACCATGTTGACTTCGCCTGGGACATCCCATACTTTTTATTCAGAAGAAAAGTAACGTCGCATTTCTGTATGAGTGGAGCTGTCTTTCCAGGGCCCAAAATTAAACAAATTTTGGCTTGAATTTTAGGCTTTGAGTCTATTATATCATCATCGTATTTCCTATGCGGCACAAACACCAGGTGTGTTAAAAGATCACACGATAAACCGCCTTCGAGCTCCAGGTCGAAATCTCAGGCTCAGTATCCCCCATCGAGAATCAACTCTTACTAAAACAAGCGTCTTTGGCAGTCAAGACTAGGGAATTGGTGCGAGATGAGAGATCATCAGATAGATGTCCACAGTACAGAAGCTCAACAATAATAAATTACGGTATCATCATTATCGGAATTCCATCTTCCGTTGAGAGCAGTTTTTGACACCCTATATATCCCATACGCGACGGAAAGGTGGTAATGTCGCCGTCTCAGTAATCCAATATTCGTCCCCAGAGCCTCGAGAGCCATCTACCACCATTTTCATCAATCGCCGGAAGTCTCTTGCAGGAATTCGTACTCATTCCTTGATATCCTGATTCAAAAAGTGTTTTACACTTCGAGTGTCATCTGGAAGAGTCACTGAGTCTGCATCGCGCATATGCATCTCGCCTTCCTTGCCTTGCGTCGTGGTGAATGCATCAGGCGGAGTGATGATAATTCGTGGTATGTTCGCATTCTCCTGTGTTTGGACGATGAGAATGTGAGAAGGATTATTTTGCTGCAATTCAGCAGCATGACGTCTCTATTTTCCGCTCCCTGGTGGTAGCTTCACCACCAGAAGTCCATCTCAGATGATATCTAGGGCATATTTGAGGGTTTTTGTGGGGAACTTCGTTGACGACGCTCTGGGGGCTGTGAGAGTATGGTCACGTGATCCCATCGGGAGCACGGACCTATAGGACCATATAGGCCTCAGGCATCACTAGCTAGCTACACAATCATACACATCACCCCTATAGTTTGTCCATACTGCCGTGTCAGAGGCTCTCGGCCCCATAGAGAACCCAGATGATGAGCTCTAAAGCAATGCAACCTATAGACCAAATATCACTTAAACAGCTCCGAGTGGGCGTTCTTAAGCTAAGAAATGTGTTGTTGCTCCCTTCGAAAACCTCTGGTGGCTGATATTGCTGTTGATATCTATATCCATAGCAATATGTGGATAGGTTAGTGGGTACTTGTAGCATAAGCCGGGTCACGATGAGCCTGCATGGCTTGACTTTTCTGCGTAAGCTGGGCTTTGAGATCTGTGGTCCTTTTACAGTATATATAACAGACTTTTTAAAGACATGTTACTTAGAATTAAGAATCCAAAGCTTTTCACTTTAATGAGATTATCAAAGTAGTTCTAGGTAGTTTTCTATTTCATTTTATATCTTCATTCATATAGGGTATAGCAGATATAGGCGTAATGATTCTCTTCCCGTTTCAAGTTTATGTATAGAGGGTTTTTGTTTTTTAATGTTTCTACTGCATGTTATTAAAATCAGCTATAAACTACTCGAAACAATAGTAAAAGGGTACTGAATCATTTTATAAGAGAGTTCTTGATAGGAAATCACTGTGAATAGAAGAATTATATCGAGCAAGTATCTGGTTAGCCAGCAGCCAGCTATGAGCGGGTGTGGTGGGCAAGCTTTTTGATTGATCAGGAATGAGAGGCTAATGCCTCGTATCCGTATCTGAGGGCTCACCGGTGTCGCTCAAAACATCGATATGCAGATCAGCTCGCAAATGGCGAAGTAGCTGATTGGACGAATCTTTGCCTATGCATAGCCTTGTCAATACTACTCTTGTTGATAGCCAGCTTAAAAACGAGCCTCCCGCCCCTTAGCTTGTCGGCGTCGCCTTCTTTTCACTCAACCCTATGCTCATAACCAAACCATCACACCTTCCCATCTACGAAACTCTCGCGCAGACTTCATCAGCATCATATCTTAAGCTCATTTTGATGACTTCCTCGGCGTTTGATCACGGCGCGTTGAATCAGAGCGTCCTGACGCCCGTAGCGAAGTAGGGCGATCTCGGCGTCAATCGAATACCTTGGATGACATGTTCGCGGGGTTCTCCCCAGGAAGAAATCACAAAAAGCCCTTATAATCATGTCTCTGGAAAACAATGCGGCACTGCCACTGTATAGTAATGAAAGATATACAGTGGGTTGGATTTGCGCAATCCCGACTGAGTACGTCGCAGCCCAAGCATTCCTCGACGAGGTCCACGACCGACCGGAATACGTGCATTCCCATGATAACAACGACTACACTCTGGGGAAGATTGGCAAGCACTATATCGTCATAGCTGTCTTGCCTGATGGAGAGTACGGTGTCACATCTGCGGCAGCCGTGGCACGGGATATGCTCCACAGCTTCCTCAATATCAGAGTTGGGCTTCTGGTTGGGATTGGCGGTGGCGCACCGACCCCCAAGCAGGACATTCGTCTGGGAGACGTTGTCGTCTGTTCTCCTCGTGACGGGAAAAGCGGTGTGTTTCAATACGACTTTGGCAAAACAATCCAGGAGAAAAGTTTTCAATCAACAGGGTCATTAAACCTGCCTCCTATGGTTCTCAGGACTGCCGTAGGCGGACTCAAGGCTAAATATGAGAGTGATGGACATCAGCTCCTCGATGCTGTTGAACGGGCTTTGCAGAAGAAACCTCGCTTGAAGAAAAGGTACAGCCGACCGAATCCAGATAGTGATAGGCTGTATCTGAGTGAGGTAACTCATGGAGGAGATGGTGAAGAGTCGTGTGCCAACGTTTGTGGCGAAGACGTTTCCAAACTGTTTCCGCGAGGTCCAAGGACGGAAGACGAAGACAATCCGGCAATTCATCATGGCACAATAGCTTCAGCCAACCAGCTGATGAAAGATGCTTTACTTCGCGACAAGTTTGCAAGGGAAAATGGGGTTTTGTGCTTCGAGATGGAGGCTGCGGGACTGATGAATCACTTTCCTTGTCTCGTCATTCGTGGTATATGCGACTATGCCGATACACACAAGAACAAAGATTGGCAATGCTATGCAGCTATGGTTGCAGCTGCATATGCAAAAGACCTTCTCCTTCGTATCTCAGTCACTAAGGTAGAGGCCGAGACAAGATTAGCTGATATCTTGGGTGATGGTTAGTTATATGTCTACTTTCCTTAATCAAATAGTTCTGATTCGCAATTATTCATCTTATCCTGCATATAAACGCTAATAGAAAAAAGTCAAGGAAGATGTACAAACTGTCATACGAGATGTGAGAGGTATTCAGGAAGACCAACATCGTCGTAAAATCGCGACTTGGCTTTCCTCACCTGAACCATCCACAAACTTCAACAAAGCTCGAAAACAGCACCAAGAAGGTAGTGGCGGGTGGTTCCTTGAAAGTAGCGAGTACGCTGCATGGAAGACAGACCGCAATTCGTTTCTTTGGCTGAGCGGCATTCCCGGAAGCGGCAAAACGATTCTCAGCTCTACTATCATCGCGGACTTGAAGGGAAACTCGCCTCAAAAAGTTCTCTACTTCTACTTTGATTTCAGCGACAAGAGCAAACAGATCCACGAAAACTTAATTCGGCAGCTGGTTTTACAGTTGTATCAAGATGGAAAACGCTATGAAAAACTGGACCATCTCTATGCAAATTGTGGTGAAGGACGGGAGCAGCCAGGATCCAAGGAGCTTATCGCAGTTCTATTGGACATGATAAAGAGTGCTGGAGAAAGCTGGATAATTCTGGATGCACTCGATGAATGTTCCCTAGAAGACGGTGGATTGTTCGCATTGATTGGCGAGCTTCGGGACGCTGATTTGAATATACATCTTTTGATTACGGGCCGCCCCGAACACGCTATTGTGGAGGCTGTTGGAGTTTGGGGATGCGGGTCAAAAGTGATATCTCTCGAAAAAGCTCGCCATCAACATGATATCGATGCATACATCAAGACGCGAACTAAGAACATTGTCAGATGGAAGGAAAGGCCAGACATACAAACGCAGATTGAGAACTCCCTCTCAGAAAAGGCACATGGAATGTGAGTGAATCGACTAGTGCCATCTACCCCTCCTGACTACTGACTGAACGATAGGTTTCGCTGGGTTTCATGTCAATTTGACACCTTAGAGGCTTGTTTGGACCCCCCAGCAGTGCGTGAAGCTTTGTCTCAACTTCCCAGGACCTTGGATGATACGTATGATGTAATTTTGAGAAGATTACATCCCGACCATCTTCGCTACACAACTCGACTTCTGCAATTTCTCACATATGCAGAACGGCCACTCCGCCTTAAAGAAGCTGTAGATGCATTGAATGTGGATATAACAAGGCGACCTAGTTTTGATATAGCCGATCGTATGCCAAATCCCAAGGAAATCACCCGGTATGGTGGAGGCCTATTTATCCTCGTCGATGCAATTGAAGATACCCAAAGGGATATTGCAGTTGTACGGATTCTACAACTTGCGCACTTCTCTGTCAAAGAGTATCTTCTTTCAAAACGACCCAAAGCTGTTTCGAAAGCTTTCGAGGACGCACTTCGAGAACCAGAGGCCTATCAAGCTATGACTGATGTGTGTCTTCGCTACCTTTTGGATCTAAATCATCATGCACCAGCACATAAATTGACAGAAATATATCCATTCGCCACACTTTCTGCATCTAGTTGGACAAAATATGCCCGAAAGGCCGAGAAGTTCACTAAAAAAAGCCTCGATTCCGTTTCAGAGTATCTTTCATCACACTCTGCATTTGAACTAGGACAAGTTCTGTCTACGCCAAAATGCTATCAGGTCATTTTGTATCACCAACCGCTGATCTATGCAGCATTTGAAGGACTTTATTACCTCGTGAAGACACTGATTGGAGATGGTGCTGACGTGAACCTGAGGGATGTCCATTTGGGACATGCCCTCCAAGCCGCTTCATACAGAGGACACGAGGATATAGTACGAATGCTTCTTGATCATGGTGCCAATGTGAACATGGAAAATGGATATTACGGCACGGCACTTCAAGCTGCATCCGCAGGTGGTCACCATGGTGTTGTTCAAACACTCCTCGCTAGAGGTGCTGACCCTAATGTTGAGGGCGGGTGGTGCACAACAGCACTGTTAGCTGCAACAGCTGCGGGTATACATCAAGCTCAGTTTCCATACCACAAAAACATATTGGAGGCCAACCCTGAAAACCTTGGGTATTCCCTACAAACAGTGATCGAGGATTCGTCAAGAAAAATAGATTATACGGAGATCGCGAAAACGCTCATCAATGCTGGAGCTAGGCTTCGGGTAGGAAATAATAGCCTAGGAGAACCTTTGCATCTTGCCTCTGCCACAGGATTGATAGAGGTAGTACAACTGCTTCTTGATAAGGGTATTGATGCAAACGTTGCGCACCGAAAGTACGAAACTGGGGTCCAACGTGCGACGGGGAGTGGCCAGAAACATGCTGCGGCGAGCACAGCTCTGCATTACGCAATTGGAAATGGGCGGACAGAAATTACGCAGCTTTTGGTTGATTCAGGTGCCGACGTCAACTTGCCCTCAGCCAGAGGTGAGACACCACTGGGGATAGCGATATCCGTGCCATACGAAAGCATCGTCAGAATACTTCTCGCGGGCCATGCCGATGTTGATGCACCAACTGGTTTCGGCATGACGCCCTTACATATGACTGTAGAGTCAGGCTTGACAGGTATCGTCAAGCTACTGCTGGATGCGGGAGCCAATGTGAGCCCAAGTGGCTTTATGCCCTTGCACATGGCCGTAAGACAAGACTACGCAGCTATCGTAAAGCTACTTCTAGACGCAAAAGCCGATGTGCATGCAACAGACGACTCAGGCCAGACGCCCTTACACCACGCTGGACAATACGCGCCCCATAACCGTACACAGGAGAGGGTTAAGATCATTCGATTACTACTTGAAAATGGTGCAGATATCAATATGCGTGATATCAACAGCGACACCGCCCTTAACTACGCAGTGTACAACGGATATAAGGCTGCGACCCAAATTCTGCTAGATCATGGAGCTGATCTGAATATCCGCAATCGTAGCGGTTATACCGCTCTACAAATAGTTCACCCAGAGAACAAGAAATTTCTGCAAATCTTGCTAGACAAATGGGGAAAAGATACTCAAGAGTTGGAGCACAGAAAAACACGCCCGGGAACGCGCTGGAGAAGTCTTTCTTTCACGCACCCTGTGTTGGCCCCAGTCTTTCGACGTCCTATAGAAGGCTTTTATTACAGCGACGACTACGACGACAGCTATAATAGCAGTGACGAGGACTACGACGATCACTACTCTATCATGTCATTGTAAAAAAAGAATCATAACACTCAATCAAACCCACCAAATCCATGCCCTCCTCCCAATCCTCGCTCTCCTACTGTGTTTCCTTGTGTTTTACAATCTAGCCAGGCAGGCAATTATTCAAGTCCAGTACAATAAAAGAGATAATCCTAAAACACAAGCGCGCAATCCCTACTACATAATAATAAACAACTTCCTTTCCCCTATCTTACAAAGACATGCGAAAAGCTAATTATAAGCAAGCAATAAAACTACTAGCAAGGTTAATAATAGTAATATTAAAAGTATAAAAGGTAGAAGTTTAAAAAAAATAAGCAGGTATATATATAATTAATGCAAAGAGGTAGAATATGTTAAAAGTAATAATAATAGTAAGGAGTAGGAAATAGAGTTTGCACTGTCTTTAAGGAGTTTAAGTTTAAAGAGAAGGATTTAAAAGAGAAAGAATAAAAAGAATAAAAAGAAGAAAAAAAAGAAAAAGAAGAAGAAGAAGGAGAAAAAAAAATATATATTTAAAATTCGGTGCTAATTTATTTTAAGATAATCGTTACAAAAAGCAAAAAAGAGGAAGAAGATGAAGAAGGCCGTAAGCTAAGGAGGCGGAGGCGGCGGCGGTAACTCGACTTTACTCCACCTCTCCCCATCTCCATCCCCTCCACGATCCTCATTAATAACAAGCAACTGCCTAGTCCCACAGAACCCACCCGTCCCCGCAACACGTTGCACATGTTTCCATTTCCCCATCCACTCTCCATTGTCATCAACGATGTTGGTTGAGTTGCGCGGAAGCGGCACCCACTCGACGTCGCTGACGACATGGCCTGGGGTCTCGGACCTGCGCGGGTTGAAGCCCGGGAACCCGACACAGCGGTTTAGGATGTCGTGGATGAGGGCGTAGAGTTTCTCTGGGCGGCGGACGAGGGGGAGGTAGGATAGGGTGGTTGGGTCGTAGGCGACGCGGATGAATGGGTTCATGTAGATGCGTGTATCGTCGTCGTCGGCGGGGTGCGCTTCGCCGGGTTCGGTGGTGGAGGAGGATGCGGTGGGGAGGTGGAGCGGGGAGGAGGAGGATTGACGAAGACGGAAGGCGAGGTCGGCGTGGATGAGGCAGCATTCGCTCGAGTCCCAGAAGGGGTCTGGGTTGTATCTGAAGCGGAGCGGGGCGGCGATTTGCATGCCCGTCAGCGGTTCGGGGTTTGCTGTTGCGTTGCCGGTTTCGTTGTGTGCTGGCTTTGTCGCTGTCGCTGTCGTCGAGGTGCTATGTCTCGCGTCCTCCGCTACCTCGTCATCATCGCCAGTACCAGATTGTGTCGTCGGGATTCCCTCCTGGAACCACCGCGCCTCGAACGCCGTCATGCCGCCCCAGCAGCTCTTCACCCGCACTGCGTCCTTGCCGGCAAGTACATCCTTCCTGCTCTTTCCTTCCCCCTCGCTCGTAAACCACGGGAAGAAAGGGATGCCCGGCGGATGCCCCTCGGTGTCTCTCAACGCGAAGCGATCGTAGAACTTGAAAGCATTGATAAAGTCGACTGCGCACGCGGCGGCGTAGTTTGCGCGGCCGGTACGCGGATCGCGGTTGGTAGAGAGGAGGAGCTGCGCAGCGTCCACAGGATCGAAATTGACGTCGTTGACGTAGAGGAGGCGGTCGAAGCGTATGCCGGCCTGCGTGGCGGTGGATAAAGGCGCGAGGGCTTTGTTGCGGACGTCAGCGAGGAAGGCGATGCGTTTTATGCGGGGGGCGGCAGCGGGGTTGGGGAGGGCGACGCGCGGGAGCGAGTGGAGATCGAGATCTTCAGATACGATAGTCTTGTTGCCTACATTGCACGCAAACAACAACAAGATGTCAGCAAGAGTTCTCCAGATATAAATAACAGAAATCAGGCCCTTGGACCCCAAATTCGTACAGTACCCCGGGGGGTTAAGTGGGCCTAAGCGGGCTTCCAAGAGGCTTGGAAGTCCTCCCGCTACCCAAAAGGGAAAAAAGGCAGAGGGACGTCGAAAGGAATGAACGGGATCGTCACAACGTACACGGAAGATTTCGCTCGAAGCGGGCTAGGGACTGCTTCGTGAGGCCGTCCGCATCGTTTTCATACAAGCTTAAATGGACGTTCTCTGGGCCCAGCAGATCTACGAGCTCGCGCATGGAGTTTCCCCAGGCCCCCGATGTCAAGGCGCCTTCTTTTTCGTATATCGACGCTGCGATGAAGACCTTCTCGTTGTACACGTTCGCGCGCCCTGGTTCTCTGCTGGCCTCCGCGCGACGACGCAGCTCGGTGTAGTGTGGTGGATGGTATGTGTACGAGGGGAATAGAGTGGCGGCGATGAGGACGAGGAAGAGACAGGCGTACGGGAAGGAGAAGACGGTCCAGTAGATGCAGCGCAGCACCGAGCGTTTTCTCCGCCGCGGGGTGAGGTAGTGTGCGTAGATTTTACGGTTCGTAAAGCCCTTGACGGTAGGTAGAGGAACGCCTCCTCCCAACCAGCCGGCCCACGATGCCTTCTTCGATCCTCCTCGCCACTTGTCATCGTAATGGCCATCATCATTGTCGTCGTCGTCCCATTCATGGCCGTCATCCCCATCTCCAAGCTCAGTGTATCCTCTTTGCCCTGCACCCCTCGAGTATGTAAACCCCTCACCCACGCTCGAAACCCATGATGGCGTCTTCACTGGCCGTGATGTGTCTTCGTCGGGCGACGCAGTTTGTGGATGAAAGGACCCATGGTCATCTTCTTCCTCGACGATATCATCGATGTCGCGAATGGGGAGGGGCTCGTAGCGGTGATGGTGCTGCCGGTAGCTGTGTAGCGTTGCGAGCGACGATCGCTGCATGCGGCGCATGGTCGAAGTTGGCATGGATATGGACACCTGCAACGGTGCAACCCACACGCCTAGGGCGGCGGGGACGAGGGAGAAGGTGTACTTGGCAACGGTGCGGGTGGCTTCGCAAGCTTGGTTTTGGTCGAAGAGGAGGGAGGGAGGGAATAATTTGATGGATAAGGGGACTTGGTGATGTCGATATCGATAGATGGACGGATGGGTGGGTGGTTGGTCGGGTGAGTTTGTTGATGAATTACTTGCCGCCGATCTGTTGGGCCACTTTTTCGACTTGTTCTAGGTTTTGCCCGAACCCGGTAGACAGGTATGCAGGTTATGTAGGGACTGTATGCGAATATGTACCTGTCTATGTGAGTGATTGTAGGGGTATAAGGGTGTTGCGACAGTGATGCCTTCCCAAGAGAGAACCGGCAGGACTAAAAAAAAAGATGCAAAAAGAATATACAGGGGAAGAGTAGTAAAAGAAACAAAATGTCGCAACAAAGTCCCCTTTAGTCGTCGTCTCAGCCGACGGACGGAGCTGAAAATGCTGTGGCAGAGGGACAAAAAAGAAGCAGCCAGTGCCTCAGCCTCCCTGACTTGCGTCGCTCCACGTCCACGTAAACCTGGCTCCATCAGTGCACCCCATAGTTGTATGACTTAGTGACTTGTCGGTCGAGAGCTAGGGAATTCCAATGGCCCCGATCGGTGGATGCACCAGCGCTACTATGCCCCTTGCAGAGACCCTGCGCCGTAGTCGATACAGCTACGGTTGGAAGGGGTCTCTTTTCCTCCTTCAATTGCTGTCGCCAACAAAATAATTGAATTGGCTGTCCCATCATTCAATCATTCATCCATCAAAATAGCCGCGCGTGCTGATTTGACCGTTATGCATGCATGACTGAGCCCAACACGGTTGCGTTGCGCGTTCGAATCTTGGTGCGAATCGTTTGTCCGCCTATAAACCACAGGCTGACGGACTCGTGTAATCCTTCGGCTCGTACGTACCTAGGTACCTATACGCACCTGCGTACGTACCCTCTCTCTCCCGCTCTCTCGCTCTCTCGTATAAGCCACCCCACATGCGTATCCGAGTGGGACATGGCACGGGCTAGCCCAAACTTTACATGTGCCTGGTTCCACCCGCCCGATCCACATATGCGCCAGACGGAATTCGAGGGCATGACAGCCTAAACCGTTGGAATTAAGCCCAATAAAGGATCCAAAAACACTGGTCGCCGAATGTGTGAAATGGGAACGTTAGCTTTGCAAATGTATGTGATTCTTCATTGATGGGTGGGTGGATGGAGAGGTAGCTAACATATCCCTGCTCGGGCTCGAGCATCCAAGCCTTGGGACTACCAACCGTGACCTATCAGTCGTACCACCCGTACCACCCCATCCGCATCGAAGCAATTATTCGATCCTTTGATCCAAGGTCTCCCCATCATCCTTTTTGACATCCGCAAACATCCGCAGACGTTTGGAAGCCCTGACATCCTACCCCAGTCCCACCAGTCGCTAGGCCTAAGCCACCATACACAAAATCGCCGAGGATGAGCCCGAGGATTGCGGCGCTGCAACACCGTCAGATTCGAACGAGCCTTTGACAATGACCTTACCATTGCCCTCCAAGGCTTCCTTGAAATGCGGTCCCGTGGCCGCGTCGCAAGGATCCTGCCCATACTGGATGTTGCACGTCTCCCAGTCCTCGTCGCTCATGAGCACACGCTTGAAGCTCATGGCGTCGTAGATGTTGCCGAATCGGAACTCGATGTAGAATTGCTGCAGTCCGTCCTGTTAGCATCTTTCGCGGGGCAATCGTCGACGGACCAACTTACACCCTTGGCGTCCTTGCCCGACTTGATAATTTCCACCTCGCGCTTCTTCTTATCGCCCGTCTTGCGAGCCAGGCTCATCAGCGCAGCCTGTCCCCAGTCTTGATCCGCGTGGTAAGCCCGCACACAGCGCGTCACATCGCCCGTGATGCAATTGTTGACGACATCGTTGGTCGAGTTCTTGACTGGCATCTGCTCAATCTGAACCACAGTTCCATTGTGCACGATTCCATTTCCAGTGGCCTCAAAATACTTTTGACAACCTTGTGGCGTGAGGAACTTGACAAGAGCAAAGGAAGAGTCTTCGTTGTCCTTGGAGATGGACTCGAGCCGACCGCCCCACACCAGACCTTGAAGCTCGTGAAGGTCCTTGACGGAGCCGACGCCTTTGAGCGTGCATGTACGCATGCCAGGACCTGCAACCACGTTAGTAAGGACGAACTCGTCACCGCATGTCAAATGGATCAACGAACCGCTCTTGCGCTTCTGTTGGGCAGGCCAACCATCTTGACGATTCGTAAAGGTATTGTCCTTCGAGGAAGAGATAGACGAGGCAGCGGCCTTGCCATTGGGCTCAGTCTTGGACTCGGAGTTGGGTTGTGCGACGAGGCAAGCCTGAATGGCCTTGCAGAGACCCACGACGCCGTTCAGATTCTCAATGGTGATTGTTCCAGCCTGGATGAACTGGCTGCACAGATGGAGAAGGTTTCCGTTGGTATTGTCTACAGTTTGCTTGACTTTGTCAACGGTGACATTCTGCGCAAAATTCTGAGGGAGGCTGTTGAGGAAGGTGTGGATGGCAAATACCAAACGACCTTTGAGTGCATCCAAATCTTCCTGTCCGAGGTGAACACCAGGCGTATAGGAAACAGCCAACTTGCCAGAGACCTTCTTGACGAGATCGGCAGATGGAGTCTGGCTGCCGGTTGGTAGAGCGTCGAGATACTCTGCGGCCTTGGACAAGTAGAGATGCTCCTTCTCGTTTATTGCTAGACCCTCTCCTGACTTGGATTGCTCGGCCTGGACTGAAGGAAACTTGCTTGCATTGGAGTCTTGAGGCTGCACATCGAGAAGATGGCTGTCAGCGTTGAGCTTGGGCTTGTGAGATTGCAAGGGGACTGCTGCCTCCTTCTCGCGGACTGAAGCCTTTGCCTCTGCTGTCTTGACCTGTGGGTTACGTCCATTCGTGAAGTCCCCAAGCACCTGGGCTGGGGCTGGGGAAGGTGTCTGAGGTCTACGCTGCGGGGTAGAAGAGACACGACCAGCGGACGGAGTTGAAGAGGAGGTGGCCGCCTGGGACATGACACGAGCAAACAGTTTGTCCAACTCGTCTCCGCTATCGTCGCGCTTGTGGACAGAAGTAGCCGTAGTGGCAGGCTGGGAGACAAGAGCAGGGGAGCCGTCTTGGAAGCTGCAAGTAACATCATGTTAGAGAAACTCTCGACCAAATCGCAAACACACGGATGGATACATACCCGTCTTGGACCTTGGGAATCACCTGCTGGACAGCACCTGAAGCAGAAGAAGCCGGAGTGGCTGGGCCAGCGGCCGAAATAGTAGAGGTGGCGGCAGACGCGGCGGCAACGGGGGCACCGACGACGCGCACGGCGCGCTTCTTGAGGCTCATGTTAGAGACGGGATGCTGAGTAGGCTGAGGCGTCATATTCTGGCTGCCTCGAAGATTGGCGTCTCCGCCGCGAGGAGGGCCAGAGCCAGTTGGCGGGTTGGCACGGAGAGGCGTGTTGCCCGGAGCCGCATAAGGCGAAGCGCCATGCTGGGGGGCGTATCGAGATGCCCTCATGGTGACGGACGGACGAAGTGGCTGAGGACGGAGATCAGCAGCGCCAACGGGAGTAGCAATGAGACGGCGAGACCCGTGAATGGTGTTTTCCTTGTCGTCGTCGTCGTCCCCAGAGGTGGCGGGGGGATTTTGGGCGGGAATGTGGGATTGTGACGTGACTGCGTGTGGGGTCAAGTCAGTAAGAGGAAGGAACGATGGAGAGACGCGGGGAGAAGCAGAGAGCAAGAGAGAGAGAGAGAGAGAGACGGAGAGAAGGAAAGAAAGAGACGACAGGTTAGTAAGGCAGCTGCAGTCGTGGTCCTGCAAGTAAGAGGGTGGTGATGCTCGTCGTGTAGGCAGTGGTGGTGGCGTAGACGCGGGTGTGTCGCGTGTGTGGAGGAGAGAAGGAGAGAGAGAGGGGGGGACGTGGGTGGAGTAGGTAAGTAAGCAGTCAACAACCCGACTGACCTCGTCGCTTTTTGGGGCTTGTAATCGAGAATTGCTGGATGCCTTGGGTACACTGTTCAAGCACGGCGTCGTACAGCTTGTGCTCTTTGTTGCGTCCTGTCACCATGTTAGGGCCTTGTTGGCTGTGTGGGGGAGGAAAGACGAAGACAGCCGGCGTTGTTGTCGTGATAGACGGACGGACGGACGGACGCACGCGCCCCGACAGCCACGTGTCGAACCAGGCAGAAACAGAAAGAACTCTAGACAGCCTGGATGCAGACAGTCAGATATACAAACAGTGAGGGGGGTCCGAGTTGAAAGAAATGCCTGCAAAGGGACTTCTGTCCAGTACACAATGGACAGTAATACCTAATCAAGTTCAATTGCAATTAGGAAAAGCCAAGAGACATCTATGTATATACCTAGGTGGTTTGATGCATATATTCAATCCTCGAGATTGTAAAGGGAGACCGTCAATGGCACGTCCAACTGATCGCGGAGTACATCCCATACATATATGTACAGCAGCACCACATCGGAGTAAAACACGTTGGCAGATCAATCAATTTACACTGCCATGGCAGCAAGCAGACAAGCCCAAGCATCTACAGGTGCTCCCTTTGGCGGCCCATGCCTTGTACAAATTTTGAGATGTGGAAGCATCGATTTCTATTCCGTGAGAGTGGGAGCTATCCAAATGCTACGGGGAACCTTTTAACCCCTTCCATGCTCCTATGCAAACACCACTCGAAACCCGTCACACTCTGCCATCACGCAGTCAACGCACTGCTCAGTCCCAAAATACCCATACCACAGAACGCGCTTATAAAGCACAGTCGCCTCGAGAGCGTCAGATCCAGACTCTCTCCAAGGAGCTGCAAGCTGACCATGGCCATTATGCCTGCCGTCACCGCAAACATGGCCCCGTACACCGTCTCCCCTGGTTCGCCTGCTCCTTCGCCAGCACCCACGCCTCTCTTTGCGATGCGGAACCACAATGCGGCTACTCCCGCACCAAGAGGCTGCGATATTCCACCCAGCAAGGCGGACCAAAACATGGCTTTCCACCGGGAATTGATGGCCAGGTATAGGGGCAGGGCCAGCGCAAAGCCCTCGGTGATGTTGTGGATGAAGAGGGCGAGGAAGATGGAGAAGCCGAGACGTGGATTCGCGTGGTTGGTGGCGTACGTGATGAATCCCTCGGGGATCTTGTGCAATGCGATAGCTGTACTGGTTTGAAGACCGATGGAGAGAAACACATTGGTGGGGACGTGGTGGTGATGCTGCTTTCCGTGGCTGTGCGTGGAAGAAGTAGCAGAAGCAGACGATGAGGATGTAGATGCGTGTGATGAGAGAGAGTCGTCGCTATGCTTCTTATGTACTGTCTGGCTCTTGAACGGAGCAGAAGAGTCACTATGTGAGCTCTCCATAGCGGCAGGGCCAGACACGGTAGGCGTAAGGGGACTCGATGTAGCGGCACTATCCTGGAGAAGAGGCTGCCGTTCGCCTGGCTGCGTCTGAATTCTGTGACCGCTGGGACGCACTGAAGTTTTGGTCGAAGCGGTGTGAAGGGAGAGAATGGAAGGCCGCTTTTGGAGGAAATTGTTTCCGTAAGGATCGGCACAGCCAAAACACTGGCCGTTGACGTCACAAAATTGCTTATGGCCGTGGACGAGTTGCGACACTTTTGAGGATATGGCTGTGTGCAACGAGGGTCTCCGAGCCAATGAAGGAGAGGGCTGATACTCATCCGTCGCGCCATACGAGGAATGGCTCGATGACATGTGGGTGGTGCCGTTACTTTTGGAATGGCCGTTGCTTTGCTCGCCGTGGCTGCTGTGGGCATGGTCGTGATGGTGGTGATGATGGGATGCATGATGCTCGTCATCAAGTTTCCCTTCCTCTTCGTCACCATGGTCGTTGTCGCAGTCGACCACCGAATGGGGAATGTATCGATGTAGGATCTGAGATACCACAGCAATACCGAGAGCACCAGTCAGGAAACACCCAATCATGGTGAATGTCGCAGCTTTTGGGGTCATGCCGCCCTTTTGCAGATAGTTTTTGGAAGAAGGAAGCATACTATAAAGCGAAGAGAATATCTTTGGTTTGTGTTAGTGGCATGACATGACGGGTAGATGCATAGACGACGGGAGACAGGCAGACAGACCATGACGCCGAACGAGAGACTCAACCCGGAGGATAAAAAGGCATTGCTGTCTTGGATTCGAAAGTCCTGCTTCCCAGGAATTTGCCGGATCAGCACATCGACACATATTATCGATGCTAGAAGGTTACACGTGCAATATTTAGCCAGGGATCACGTTATGGGTGGTTCCAGATTGGGGAATGTCAAAGTACCCACCTCCAAATGTGCAGGCTGCCGAGAAAAATGGGGGTTAGCGAAAGGGATCAGCGAGGTCCTGCGGGTAGGCTTCTTACCTATGCCGCTCACGGCGGTCATGATCCACCCCCGGGCGTCGTTGTCGAGCCCCATGATGCTGCTCGCTGGATCGGGTAGGGTATGATGCGGCCAAGAAAGAAACGTTTGCCGTGTGACGTAACAAAGCGAGAGTGCAGAGTATGTGTTCTCAAGCAGCAGTGTAGTCGGTGCGATTAATAGATGCTGAAGAGAAAATAAAATCGAAGCGAAACAAGAAGGCGATGGGCCAAGTAAAGGGAGATGGCGATTGAATGAATGATGAATGAAGACGGACGAAGGTTGGCATTAGAACATTAGCACCCTGATGGTGGAAGGATGAGCCCTGGCTTGGCGCTGACAGGGTCCTTTCTCCCGCGCCGTCATTGGCCAGCTTATTCAATACACCATGATCCCTCGACGACATGCTCCAAGTCTTTCTTCAACACTATGCGAGTACAACTTGAAGATGGACAATTCTTGTTCATTCACTCGCAAAAACGCCCTACGCGTTTGGAAGAATGTGAAATTGCTTTTTCTCTGCCAGGATTCGACTGTAACGAGCCAGACAGAATGGACAGGCAGAGACCTAAATCATGGGACGCATATTCTTTTCCGTCTCCAATATTTCTAATGTGAATAGAAAAATCTAAACATTGCAGAGCCGTAGACTTCAAAATTCTTATCAGTATACTGAGACTTTCAAACTTCAGGACGCGAAGAAAGATGACTATGTATGTATGTATGATTTCATACTGCAAGTCTAACCGAGCCCATCGCGTCATCTTTCCCTCATCAATCATCACAGGTAACCTCACCCGTCACCGGTCAGCAACATCAACACCACAGGCCCCCTCTCTGGCACAAATAACAAACAATGCGCCGATTTGATCCTTCATAGCCCAACCTGCTACTACGCGCCATGCTTCGACCCGGCCTCATCTCCTTCCGCGCCGCCGCCCGACCGATCCGCAGCCATGTTCCCTCGCGCCCATACCGCCAACAGCGCTTCGGCGACAATAGCCCGCGGTCCAGTCGCCAATTCCTAGGCGGCTTCTTTTTACGCTGGGCTTCCCGGCCCACTTTCTATCGCGACATTGCTGTCATATCCGGTGGTGCGGGCGCTGCTTACCTGTTTAATCTGGAAGAGGTGCCGGTATGTCGTCGTCTCCTCTACACAGTGTACCAGCCATGGATTGCACACTATCGGATAATGAGGTACATTTGAAGAGGAATAGTTCAGGTAACTGATACGAATAAAACGAACAGATATCCGGCCGCCGCCGCTTCAACATTGTCTCCCCCGCCATCGAAGCCTGGGTGGGCAAAACCAGCGTCGACGCAGTGAGAGAACAATACCAAGGCAGATTCCTACCAGAAACAGACCCGCGCGTCCGCCTCGTACAGAAAGTTTTGGACAGACTAGTTCCGTATGCGCATCGCGCAGGCCTCCACGATGTAGACTGGGAAGTCAACGTCATTGACAGCTCCGAAGTGAACGCCTTCGTCGCTCCCGGAGGCAAAGTCTTTGTCTTCACTGGGATATTACCAATGTGCCGCGATGAAGACGGTATCGCTGCGGTTTTGGGCCATGAGATCGCTCATGTGGTAGCTCATCACTCTGCGTATGCTTTCCTCCACACCCCCTCCCATTCACCTCAAAACAAAACCCCGATGTCCACTAACACGAAATACAGCGAACAACTAAGTCGATCCCCGATTGTCGGCCTCGGGGCTCTCGCCCTCATGAGCATCGACCTTTCCCTTGCTACCAGCATGATGCTCGTCAACCTCTTCCTCTCTTGGCCGGGAAGCAGAAAGCAAGAAGCAGAAGCAGATTACATCGGTCTCCTCATGATGGCCGAAAGCTGCTACCGCCCCGAAGCCGCCATGGAACTTTGGAATCGCATGGAGAGGGCTGCGGGTGGAAACTCGCCGCCGCAGATTCTGTCAACGCACCCGTCGAATCACAATCGTGAGGAGACAATCCGCGAGTGGATTCCTAAAGCTAGAGAGCAAGCGGAGAAAGCCGAGTGTGGCATTACTGCTGGTTATGCGAATCAGTTCGCTGCTACTTTTGGGCAATTTCAGCAGTTCCCCCGTTGGTAAGATGACTGTCGTCAAAACAGTCACGGCAATCTCAGGGAGAGTTCACATCATTTGATCTCCTGTTCCCTCGTCAGAGCCATATATGCAGCGGGAATTTTTTGCTATACGATATTGTGTAGGCTTCCCTTCCTCTCTCCTCTCCTCTCCTCCCCTCCCCTCCCCTCCCCTAGCCCATCTGTCCCTATCTGTTATATCAACGCAAACGAAACGAACGTAATGAATATACAATACCTTGTACTTTTATTTATACTATTGTCCATTCATGCAATACAACAACAGATCACAACCGATTTTCAGGTATATATGTTCGATGATACTGTGCGGAAAGGTAAATGGAGAGTTCAGGGGGGAAACGGGTACAATACCGAGCATCACAGAAAGAACAGAGTGTTCTTTACAAACATGTCACGAGCGGAATTTCCGAGAAGCGTATCATGCCTGTTCTGGAAAAGTCTACGCGCGAAGTCTGCCCAGCACTAGCGTCACGTGCTATATCCTTCACTGCATCCCCATTCACTTCTCCGGTCCTCGAGGCTGTGCATTTTATCCCGCTCACTCCGTTTGCTCGCCTATTCACGAGTTTGATATGATAGCAAACACGCTACACTCCTCGCCTACTATAAAGCAGCACCACACCCTCGAACGTGAAGAAAAACAACAACAGCAACTAAACAGGCTTGGCTGTCTTGACCACTCTTTTTTTCCAAGCCCAACGTTTGGACTCGAATTACACCAAGTCAAGTCAACTCACCAATCACCTTTGGAACCAGCAATGGACCGCCTCGTAACACCTGAGAATGAAACAACCTGGACGAGGGTAATCACAATCATCTTTATCCTCCTCTTCTTCGGCGAAAGAATCTTCCAAAGGGCAGTCGCGCAGATCGTCGGCTACAGACTCCCATTGCCCTTCTCTATCACCTCCTTTCTATCCATCGCACCCATTCCCTTCTCCGCCGGCTGGCCAAGCTACTGCCTTGAGACCACATTGCATGCTTTCGAAGACAATACCTACGGGCCGCGCCCGGAGAACGACTGCAAACTCGTGAATTGCGGGACTGGGTTCGTGACCGATGTCAAGTCGTGGGTCCTGGCGCGCTTGCTGAGTGATCACGAGAACAAGAATCCTCTTGATCCGATTGCGGTTGAGGATGGCGGGCGCGGGGAGACGATGAGAATCGACACTTTTGAACTCAGCGATGATGTTTCTATGCAGCACCCTGGGCGTGGTGCTGCATGGTGGAGCGGGTGGATCGTCATTATTGCGCAACACTGCATCGCTGCGGTTCCTTGGGCGTTGTATGGTCAGGAAAGCCTGTTCAATTTAATGCTGAATGTGACGTTGTATGCGGACATGACGATATCGCTGCCGCAGTGGATCGGGGAGATACGGACCGACAAAGCCTCCGCCGAGCAAACATTCGTTTTGACCCGCGGCAACGGTCATCGCCATATCATGGTGCTCATTTGTCGTCCTGGGGCTTGGGATCTCGAGAGTTTGGCGCGTGGGAACCCTAAAATCAAAGGATGGGGTCCGCGCTGCATACCGGCGATGATTGCTGTGTTATGGGCTCGAATTGGGTGGTGCATGGTTTGGATGGCGTTGGATCCGAGCCTGATCGGGTGGTGTATGTGTGGCATTGTTGTGATCGGCACATACCAGAATGTCTACGCTGCTTGGAAAGCTCGCGAAGCTGGCACTGCGGGGTTTCATCTCACTCCTTACACTCGCGCGCCAACGATCATTGGTACATGCGAGGCTGTTAAGCACGATGACAAAGAGAGTATCGACTTCGCCGAAACCGATGTGGAGCTCGTGGAGCTTGCGAAATGGGTCGCAGACACCCATCCCGCCAATAACCCACTCTCCGCATCCGACACCACTACCACCACCACGTCAATGCCGAAATGGCTCACCTCCATGTCCAAGAGCGATGGTGCTCCCGCCTGGCTCGAGCCCGTCAAGCCTGCAAATTCCATCGCGTACGTCGCCGGTGGTGCGCAAGCCGCGCTTGTCGAGCTTGAGAAATGGGTTCCTTGTGCTGGGATCGCGAATCTCGTCGTCTTTTTCCCCATCGGGCTCGGCCTTGACGCTGGAAAAATGGAGAAAGGTAGCACTTTCAAGGAATTCTGGAAACGTGCCCATCACACCGTGGAGGTACGCGAGAAGGCGGAGTTGAAGCGGAGGATGGAGGAACAGGCGGGCGAGGATTTGAAATCGGACCATGGACGCAAGAGCCGCGTCGGGGGGCATTTACAAGTAAGCGGCTCTTTATCAGTGGTTTTACACTGATCTTAATGGTCACTTGTTTGCAGCATTGTCTGCGTTGTGGGTGGATCTCACTTCCGGGTTCTACGGGATGAGGTACTTGGACTTCGGATTTGCTCACTCGGTGAGAAATCTATGTGTTTCAAGATTGCTTTGCTACAGGGTATGACCATAGATTCGGGACATTGAACATGGTCGGTTAATCCAAAATTTAACTTTGCGGAGTGCTTTGTGCTTTTTGGGTATGAATCATGTAGAAATATTATTCGAGGTCGACATAATTCACCGCGATTAGTAAGCTGCACCCAAACCTCCTTCAAACACAAAAAATACATTTAAACATTATCGTGATATGGCGAACAATTACTCCAGCCCCACCAGGAAAAGACAATTCCCATACTGACTTACTAGGATCATCGATTATCTATCGGCGAGCTGCCTTCCATCTCATACGCTATCGACTTCCCCGAAACCTCAATCGCAATGTCTTTCCCCGCAACCTCGCTGTGGCCATGATACTCTGGAAGCTCCCCAACCATCACCCCACCCACTTCCGACTCGCTCCTCAACTTCATCGACTTCTCCTGCCCCATCGACTCGGCATCGCCGTGCCCCCCTCTCCGCCGCCGGAAAAATACATACCAGACAATCGCTACTAACATTCCAGCAGCTAATACCGCTCCGATAGCCGCACCGGCGATCTCGCCCGCGGACATCTCGTTCTTTTCGATCCGTGAGCTCAATTCCGCAGTGTCGTTGGCGGGTCTAATGGTGACGATGTCTGGCTCCGGCATGGGCGTAGCAAAGCTGGCCTGCCCGATATCAAAGCGCTCCCGCTCATAATCAACCGCTATATACGCCTCCTGCAGAAACGCGCGGCCAATCGCAAACTGCGAATCGTTCGCCGCCCTCCTTATCGGGAAATAACGCGTCGCGTTGGCGAAAATCGGGTACGTCGCTTCCAGGTCAAACGCCGCGTAGGGCAGGTCGATGTTTGTTGATTTCCCGCCGACAAGGCTATCCGCGACGGTGAAGGTGAATGTTGGAGATAGCTCTTTGAGCTTCTCCCGCGTGGAAGGGGAGATGGCGTAGCGGCCCGATGCGTTTTGGTACTCGAGGCTGAAGAGGGATGCGAATCTGTCGCAGACGGGTTCTGGGAGCCAGAGCTCGGGGACCGAGGAGTCGATTGGGGTGAGGATTGCGTCGGTGAGGAGGGAGAGGGTTCCGTTTGGGGAGTTTGAGACTACGATTTTTTGGAGGGAGAGGGAGACGGGGTTTGCGGTATCTTTGCTGAGGGGGATGGTGATGGGCGTTGAGATTCGGGTTTGGTCGTAGCCGCCTAAGGTCAGGCTGGCTGGGATTTTGGTGGATCCTGGATGTTGGTGTTAGATGGATGGGAGTAGACGGTGTGGTGGATCATGGGAGCTCACTGTATGAAGCTCCTGCTGTGTACCCGAATGATTCACTGGGGATGATTCGTTTTTCTTTCAGATGCGAGATGAATGAACCCACGCGCTCGCCCTCTCGATACGTTATACTCGACCCTCCTAATCCCAATAACCCGACCCAAATATCCGGCGTCACATATGCTGTAACGACTTCACCGTCCATCACTTTCCCTCGGTCCGGTACTTTATCGTCGTCGCCGAAGCCGATTGTCTCGTACCCCGTCACGCCGTTTCCCGACCATGCCAAATTCTGATTTAAGCCAACCTCGTGGAGTCCAATGAGTTTCCAAGTGGAGGACGCATTTGCTTGAAATCCTAGACTGCGGGCATTATCAAAAGCTCCTACGCCCCGCGAAGACGCGCAGTCGAATCGAGGAATGCGCTTGCAGTCGTCTGCTGCTGGGATGTAGATATGCTGAGCGTTGGTTGCAGGCAAGACGGTGAAATTTTGAGGCGGTGTTCCGACACTGATAGTGAAGCTTCAACGTTTCCAGTTAGTGAAGTGTCCATTTCAGCGTGGTTACAGGTGCGAGTGTGAGTTGGGCCATTGCAATCAATGAGATTTGGCACAATGCAGGTATAACAGGGAGAGGGAGCAGAATTCGGAAATATGCAATACCCAGACCAGATCCCATCGCTACCCAACCATGCTCCCGATGGCTCAAATGCCAATGCCGAAAGCTCAGCATTTGAAGACGACATTGATTTATGGTGTTTACATCTTCGCTACATTTTTTGTTGTTGTTCATCAAGTCCGCAGAATGTCTACGAATATGGATGCCAAGGCCTACCCCGAGTTATGACTGCGTTTACGCGGTAAGCCCAATATATAGCCCGACAAGGTTTGCACGAGCTTTTCGCCGTTTTTGGCTTTCAAGACGTGGGGGCCATCTTTTCGATAGCCCACCATCTACACCCGAGTGGACGCCACGACTACTCGATATAAACCGGAAAGATCCATTAGGTAGGCACCTATATCACAATTACTAGCAGCGCACGAGAGCATGACAAGCTCAAGGATCGATTGTGGCGGAGTCGACTAGGGATAGGGAACAATCTTCTCAAAACTCAACGGCGCCGCACTCCTTCCACTGAACATGCATATGTGACTCGCGATAGGAGATTCATTCGTTTTTGTTCTTTGCCATGGTGATGATGGGGGTGACTCCGGGTCAAGTTTCGAGCAGTACGTCTTTCTCTGCATGGAGTGGGAGGAATTCGTATTCACGGCTAACGTCATCAGACTACAACTCGTACTCTCCTATCGACAAGATACCGAGTACCACTTTCTGCACGTCGACGACTACTGTCAATGTCACTGTCTTGGCCTGGCGTGTTACGGAGACTTTGACGTCTACTTTCCACAACTTGACAATTATCCCCGAAGTCACGCGTTACAGCAATGGCACGAACGTTACCAACATCATCACCGTGACGCCGACAGAGACTCCCTCTATATCCCACCCGACAGTCTCTTTCGGAGGCTCAATATGGTGTGTTCGATTACATATCACTCATACTTTTGCTAATATCTGCAAGTGGGTATCCTGACATTTGCGTCGAACCAATCCCGACATACGGGCCCTGCCTGGTGCCCCCAGCTACAGCTCCGACGAGCTACGTACCCATATCCGTTACATCGCTAGTAGAAAAGCCCTGGACAGAACCAGTCAAGTACATACCCGAGACAACGGGGAAATACGCCACCGCGGCGTCGGGGCCAAGCCAAACGGCTGCGCGAGCGCCCCCCGGGTCTCCCTCCCAGCCTTCCCAGACTCCAACATCGAATGGCGCTGGGAACGCCCAAATTCCACAAGGTAATTCCACCGATCCAACTTCCTTATCGTTTCAAGACCCTCTAACGTCTCGCCAGCTTCGAAGGTATCCCCGTTTGTATCAATGTTATTGCCATCAACGACATTGAGACTTGAGCCGGGCCAAAAGACTGGAGTCAACGACGCTCAAATCTCTTTCGTCGATGGAGGCTCTGCAATCGTGATAGGTACACGGACGATATCGGTCGATGTAGGGACGGAGGCGAAGACTCTGACCTTGGGTGGAAGCGATTTATCGATAATCTCAGGGACGCATACAGCGAGCCCGAGCGTTACCATAGTGATTGGACCAGAAGACCAATCCAAGACAACAAGTCCTGCTAATTTCACAGGAGCTGCGACGAGGCATGATTTGGGGAGGGGAGGTTGGTTATGGAGCGTTCTTGCTCTATTGCTTTTGTAGAGCTTTGGGGAGTATGGAGTCTAGAACCTTGATTGCTCGGGAGAGGTTTCAGACGTCACAGGGTGGTGCGAAAGAAAAAAGGGAATAGTAGATTCGAATCAAGCATTGTTGAATTAATGGTCATACCACGTACTAAGTACGATCTCCTGCTGCAGAGCACCATGTTATCCAGCGGCTGAGCTAATTTTCATCACGTGAGTAAGAATGTATACCAATATCCCGCGGGTGGAATGAGCTTTTCATACCTGAAACTGGCTGGTCCAGGCATCTGCTGCGAATTACCGTGTCACGTGCGTGTTTGTGAGCGAGATAACACTCGATTGATCAGCTGCAAGGGTGTAGTTCGAACGTCGAGCTCGGACGTAAAGAGGCCTGGTTCCATCTAAGTATGAAACATGACTTAAGCTGCCTTCAAGTTCCCATCATAAAGGCACCCAAGTACTTTATATCTGCGTCGTCCTCGACAATGACTCTAACCCTCTCCCGTAACGCCTCATCCCAGCGAAACCCGTACTAAAATAATATAGCAATTCGTCTCGCAACCTGAATGGCTCTCCACTTCCCCTTCAAAGTTTCGCCAATAGAGTCTTTGAATGTCCGCCAAAATCGATCCTCCTGTTCCTGGTAGCCATCAAAGTAGTGTCATCCATTCCTTTCCATGAATCCTAGTGTATTTTCCAACCCCCATAACGCACATCCAAATGGCAGAATTCCTGCTTCAGCCCAGTCAATGGCGCCCATTAGATGATCCGTTTCTGGGTCAACCAAAAAAGTTCGTTTCGCATAAGAACGTAAGCTGAGATTGTTGCGAAGCTCTTGCACCAAATCATAAAAGCGAGAAGGCAACTTTTGGGCGAGCAACTAGACCTTGCACATAAATAATTCCTGGACCAAGCGGGCCTCCAACAAGGGCTCAGACAAGCAATCCTGACTTTGCTCGAGGATGTTGCACCAGGAATCCAAGGCGCCTACCACGCTATTGTTAAGGACCGCCCAGATGGAGCCGAAGAGCGTCCCATAATCATCGTAGAAGAGGGTACGCAGGATGAACCAATCACCCCTTCTATATCTGCTTCCAAGTTCTATACATTTACATTTGCAAAGATTTGTGTCTTACCTTATACTTTAATTTGTCCATTGTCGAAGTTAGAGACGGACTTTAACAGCCTAGGTAAACTGTGTCTAGAGAGCTCTGGTTGAATAGCTTCCAATTTGAACTCTGTAGTACATTTGAATGGAAACGCCTTTAAGGCTTGAATATTAATTCAGCCTGTCTTATGTCACTTGGGCACTAGACCTGGATCATGTTCTAAATAATTTGAATCCCAAATGATGCTTATATTAATCGCTGCTACACAAACAACTGTTCTCATAGAAAGTAAGCCTTGCTGCCCTTTCTTGCGGTAGTCTAAGACGGGGTTTATACACATTCATAAGCACAGAGTCTGTGTGCACGTATAACATAATACAATCTACATTGACGTAATCATCAATAGGGCAGGCTCGAAAAAAGCCCTCAAGCTTCAATGGATTGCAAAGATGCGAAAGATTTTGATCAATTTATTGGCATAATCTTCTCGCGCTCTGCGGGAAACCTGCTATTTCTTCTTTACCTAATCCTTCAAAAGTCTGGTCAGCCTATTATAGAAAACGATACGAATGAGCCCCTCTTTGTCTATTATTATTATAGGAAACGATGCAAACGAAACTCTACCAGCATATGACGGGAAACGAAATGAACGGACCTGTCGCTTATTACGGAATTGGATACGCACGAATCCCCCCTGTCAGCCTCCTGTCAGATTTCAGCGGCATTCAAGGTTGGCTCTCGCACAGGATGCGAGTTTCACTCAAATATTGATACTATTTACCATGTAAAAAGGCTGTATTTTGTATGGGAAATGAGCTTGTTCTACATTTGGCGTGGGTTTGGTGGTTCACGCGCGTCTGTCTCAGCGTCCGGGTGATCCGTCCGTCCGAGAGAGCCCATATGTTTTGTCAGATTTCAACAGCGTTCAAGGTTGGGTACGTTGATATATAAAAGGATTCTGCGCACATCCTATCCCATTGTGATACAACCAGTTCTCTTCTTACCTTCCCTACACTATTCTTCGAAATTTCAACCTTTTCTTCTCGTCACTCGCTCAACTACGTTTTTTTATTTAGACACAACTCATTACCATCTTTTTATTTTTCCATTCATTATCGTTCCTCGACGAATAGCTCGCCGACAATAGACCTTTTTGCCTTTCATATCTATTTCTAGCTGGCACCAACCTATCTAAAAGATAGGACACTGTCTGTCCTGTCAAGCTCTTGGGTTTCATTTATCAGTTTCGAGACGGTACTCACTATGAAAATCTCTAAATTTTCCCTTGTTGGGGCTCTTTTGGCCTTCGGAGTGGAGCAAGCCTCCGCACGAACAGCTGTGAACTGTCGTGAGCCAACAACTGGGAGACAAGCCAGCGTACAAAGCATCGAGGCTGACCGGAGCATCCGTCTCGCTCTTGCTCAATCTGCTTCCACTCTGAGCAATGCGCTTGCCAGTCAAGACTATCTCGAGATCAAGGTTGACCCCGTAGTGCTCACTGTTACTGTAGTGGAACATGGTGTCGAGCATCTTGAGGACCCTGCGGTTTCGTTCCGTAGTATACAAGATTCGTGTGCTTCCGATGGACAGTTCTGGGGCGGTTCAGTTCTAGCGGATGGCTTCTTGTATGAGATTTACAACTCGAATGAGTTGGTAGCTCCCAGGGCTACGAAGGTGGTTGCAAGGACAGGAAAAAACAGGAGAGCGAAGTCTACCTCAAGACCTAATACAACTATCAAACCGAAGACAACTCTCAGCACAAAGACAACTGCAAATCCTACAACGACCACGAAGCCGACTAATTCTTCCAAATCGACCGCGAAGCCGACTAGTTCTTCCAAATCAACTCTCCAAGCAACCCCAACTCCTACTCCAGCATATATACCCAGTGTCAAGGAAATCCAGGCCCAGTACAATGCGGCATATCTCAACAAAATAGTCTTCTGGGCCGGTCCTTACTCTTCTGTGGACGGTGACTACGGTGAGAATGCCAAAAAGTGGGCAGCGAAGAAGAAGAATGGTTACAGAATCCTGGATCAAATTTGGAAAGATCCAAACTGGAATGACAAGTATCAAGGCAAAGACGTGCCCATGCCAGACGTGAAAGAATTTTGGAACCGCATGTCTGTGGCACTAGCAACAAGTTGTAAGGGGAAGGTATACGTCATGCTCCCGCCAGACACCAGAGGCACGGATTGGTACAAGGGGACCATTTGGGACACGCTTGAATGGCCTGCACTCCAGAAAAATAAGGCTGTCACTGAGATTTGGAGGGTGAGTCCGGATGGTACCGAAGAAAAACTCCGCTAGTTCGATGGCTGTCCCGTCATTGTCAGTTCTACTTGCTCGTAACCCTCATGTTTTGTAGGAACCTAATACAGAACCAAGTAGAGATACTGAAATATGCTATCGCGCACTTCTGTAATATCGATTACTTTGTCAGATGCGTGATTTTCCTATACAATGTTCCTTGTACCTTGTACAACCAGATCCATCTCTCAGATCTACGTCTCGCACGAACTGCCCTCCGGGAAGTTTCCAGTATCGATTACACAGATGCTGATCTCAGATAGCTAGAGTCTGAAAACACGTGTCCTCCATAAGGTGTATTGACTTGCGAAGAGCAAGGAGCTTCTCCAGGACACTGTGTCATTATTTGCCCAGCGGTTAAATCGATTTTATTGATTCTTATAGAGCAAAAATTTTTGTATTGTAACAGTATTCTAGTATCTGAGTATCCATTATCCCCACATTTCACTATCATCTTGCGGCACGTTTTAGAGTTTTAATTCTAAGCCAAAATACCTTCCGTTGCGGCCTTGCCACCAGATTAGATTAAGATAGGGCAGGAACATGAGTAGGCAGCGTGAGACGACCAACAGTAAAGCTAAGATTCTATAGTGTATCTCTTTTTGCGGTGCAATCTAATTATTGCATCAAGCTTCCTGGCCCTCCGTTTCTCATGCGCAGGATTAGCCCCTGGTCTGACCCCAAAACATAAAGGTCAGCGAAGTCCGGAATTTGGTCTAGACTGATCCTTTAAAAAAAAAGATATCTCGCTGATCTATCACTCTCGCTATCTGCTTCCATATAAGAATCCAAGAATTATTTACTGGTAATTACCAAAAATGACAGAACATGATCGAGCCACCGCTCTCCGCGAATTTATTGAGACTGAGAAGCGCCAGATCGACCCTACCGCTTACAATCAAGTGACCACGAACATGCATATTGCTTGTGAAAACGCTGCGCGATCGAATGATTGCGATGCATTGAATTTTCTCCTTGATCACGGATGCACCTACACCACGGACGTTATTCTTGCGGCGCTAGAGAACGGGTGTACGGAAGTTATAGATACCCTAATCGCTCGAGGTTGGAACATCAATACAAAAATCAGACATGCGGGGGATGCGCTAATGTAAGTGTCAGCTATATATCAAATAGAAAGTGGAGGCTCCAATACTAATTTTTGAGTACATTAGTCTGTGTTCTGGTAGGGACAATTTGAAGATGGTGCAGTTCCTACTTTTGCGCAACGCCGATCCCAACGCGAACACAGACGGGCACAACACGGCACTTGAAAAAGCCGCCGCGACTGGATCGATCCCAATCTTGGAGGCTCTACTTGAAGCTGGAGCGGTTATGAAGGGCCGCTCAGCACTCGTTAAAGCAGCCTATCATGGAAGAATCGACGTCATTAACTATTTGTTGGATAAGGGAGCGATGATTGACGAAGTTCCACTCAACGAGACAATCGTTGAGAACCAAAGAGAGCTTGAGTCAAGAAATCCACTTTCCACAGCTGCTTGGCGTGGGCAAATTGAGGCGGTGAGGCTTCTTCTCGAGCGGGGTGCTGATCGGGAATTGAGGGACGCCTATGGAAAGACTGCGTTAGATTTGGCACGGGAAGAACAACATTGGGATTGTATAAGTCTGCTTTCTTATTTTTAGAGGATCATAAGTTTATTGCACCTGTCTTGATTAACGGTTGAGATTTATTTTGTGGTTGATAATGGTACGGCTGAGAGCAATTAGTATTCAGACTCTTTCACACTTTGGGTATCAGCTGGTCCATTTGATACCACGGAGCAAGAGAGAGCTTCACGCCACATCTGTCTGTTTATCGACTCTGAATTTTCTGCAGGTAAGACACTGAGAGACTTTACTTAACTGGAGCGTGTTGCTTCTGGTGACCTCCACTTGTATAGAAGAATTGGTATTGGTTGTCTCTTTGAAGGAGATGTGGAGTTTACCAGAGCAAAGGTGGAGGGAGTGCGTCTATTTTGACAGACAAAGATTACATGAACCGGGACAAAAATCTAATATGCTTTAAATCTAGAGACGCAAAATAACAGTTTACGTTTAACATATTCAACGTGACAAATGGCAGAATGACACAGAGACGTTCTATCTACTATAGATAGAGCTAACGACAGTCGAGAATATTCCAAGGAAACACATTTAGAAGATACTAACCAGAATCTCCAGAAAATAGATAAGATATAAGATGATCTAGTCAATGCATTGAAAACGCGAGTAGGGACTCCAGAAGTGCCGAATTCCAAATCCTCAAACAGCCTCACTTCCGCATCATGATGGACAAGGGCCTTATATAACAAACTAGCTGTCTCTCTTCTACTAATAAGACTCTATAGATGCATTATTAGTAAAACTAGAAGAGCATATCCTTATAATTAAACCCTATTCGGAGTGGTCGTCAGAGCCCAAAACGCAATCCGTCGCCCACGCAATCTATATATTCATCCTCACATAGTGATCCAGCAGCGTACTCTATTTCCGGGATCGGACTTCAAAACCTAGTGTCAAAGAGCTGCGGAAGCGAGTGCAACATTCATACAGCATGATATATCACACAATATTATATGCGATACTTGAGTAAATAATTCGCGATCAATAGATCCGACACAACACAACAGCACTCCCATCGAGCAAGCATAGTGACGACACGAAAAGGACGAAAACCGCAGTATATCCACACAAAACAAATCCCTGTATCACTGTCTACCCCGCTTGCTCCCAACCTTATCCTCAGTCACATCGATTCTTGCTGTTGAACAACCCCAAGTCGCAGGCCCTCCCCCGCGATACCCACGTCCAAGGAAATAGCAGGACCACGAAAATCACACGATCCTAGCTAATAATAACATTCCCGGACAACAACCTCCAACACTTATTCCAGAAGTTCCGACGGCGTGGGTGAGATTCAAGGGCGATGTAGCATGTAGATTAATGCCATCACATCGCGATAACATTTTATAGCGAGGTGTATGATAGGTAACAGGGGTTCTGATACTGATTCATGCATACCACGTGTGTGGCAGCGGAACGCGAGACTGGTACTGGTAACTATATGTGATTTGTATTTTGGTTAGGGGGGGTGTATGCATGTGTTAGGGTAACATGCATGTTGTATAAAATGATGTTATATGTGCTTGTATAGGGAAGGCGAGATCCAACGCAGTGGCTTACTACAACCCCAAAAGGTCGCTGCGCAGAGTGGATATTGAACGCACGTGTGTTATAAGCACGCCGCGAAAAAGGCGAAGATGAGTTTGCTAGAAATATAGGAAGCTAGATTATATGGTCTGATGGCGGGATTGTGAACAACGACCCAAAAGCCCTTTTTTTACCTCGTACATGTATCAAAAAAGAGATGATGGATGGCCCGGACGAACATGCCGTTACTCAAATCATACTCCCCACATACGAAACAGGAAGTCGAAGAAGGATTCAGACAAGATCTGAAAAGACTAGCTTCAATCTCACATGAGAAATACATGCCAACCAGCCCTAGAACCATCTGCCGCAAACCCTTTCTTCTTTTACCCCACTCCACTGCATCAGCCCAAGGGTCTTAACATATACCTAGTCCGCAGTGAGCGGATAAAAAGGGTCGGTAGCGCAGGATACCTCTAGCTAGTCGAAGAATACGAAGCGCTGGAATGGGTTTGGGTTAGGACGATGACGCGTGATTCTACGCTTCTTCTACGGTGCAAGTCGGTTCTATGGAGAAGGGGAGGTGAGGTGACGGCGTGGCGGAGGGTAGTATGGCCAAGGGGGAAGGAAGACCCTTTTGCTCGGTGGCAGATACTTATATGTATCCCAACTTCCCCCGCCGATGTAACGGTATCAGTGCAGAACTAGACACGAACTTGTGTTCATCAGCGTCATCTACTTCTCTGTTTCCATCTATCCATTCTCCTTTTCCTTTTCTTGAATCACTACTTCTAGCGCCTACAGACGCAAACGCAACATCCCATACCACCCCTTTCTTTATCTCCCAAAATATCACCGAGGTAATAAACACGTGGGAATCACTACCGCTACTGCTAAACCCACGGCACTAGCACCATGAAGAAAACAGCGTGCAGTAGCCCAGCCCCATACACGCGTGCAGAAACGCCACGATGTTGAGCCGGCTCTCACGCCGTCGCGTATGCGGTAGCGTGGCTGGCTTGGGAAAACTAAGGAGATGCAGACCCGCTTGACGACATTACGTCGGGTATGCTAGCTCCTGTGACTTCTGTTCTCTTAGGGCTTGGGTTGATGTTTTTTTCGGATTTTCGAGGTTGGGAGGGAGAGGATGCGGAGATAAGGGGGAGAAGATGCATGCGTGGGCGAGGGCAAGTGGTTCTGGAAACGGATGAGGAAATGGTAGGTTTTGCCGATATATTTTCTTTTGGGGATAGATGGAGGTATGGTCGGGAATGCACGGATATACATGTACATAGTTTAAGTGAGAAAAGAAGATAGGTCATCCATTGATGAATTTGCTTTGAGAACACTATCAGAATTATACAGCACCTATCTGTGTACCTCTCTCAGCCTGTATAACCAATCGCTCCTCTTCCTATACCAAAACCCCCCAGTGTCGAATCCACGCAGCTCGAATGTAAACAACACATCATCACATGATTATTTTTTTCTCGCATCCCCCCTATACATCTTTTCGATCAGCCACCCAGGGTCCGTCCCTCTCTTCCTGCGGTATCCAGTACGCCGGCGCAACCCCGGCGCGTGCCAAGTACAAGACAAGTGTAGCGCGCACGCGCTGCTTCTGGCCATGTTTCCCTCGATTCATGGATTCGATAGTACTGCATGTACAGCTCACTACCGAACAGCGCGCGGAGAGATAGCGGTTCGCGTTCGCGTCGAGATGCGAAAATGGGGTTTTGGATCGTGAATCGTAGACGCATAGAAGAAGAAGAAGAAGAAGAAGCGAAGAACCACAACGCCGACTTAGCGGCACCCTTGGACGTGATTGACGCAGGTATAACATAGCTAGCCATTTGCGCCAAAACAAAATATAAAGATAAAGAGGGGAAACAAAAGGGGGCACAAGATATAATTGAATTGGTTTTTTGTAGTTGGAGGGAAATAAGCTGGCGTAGCTTATCCGCTTCCTTTCTTCCTCCCTCGCTGCACTTATACTTCACTACCTACACTACTCTCGTTCATACATAAGTTATCTACGATTAACTAGCGTACACACAGTAAGAAGTACTGTGAATAAACACATACAAACTTCTTCTCTTTTAGAAGACGTGGAGGAGGCAGATGACTTCCTCTTCTTCTTCTTCTTCTTCTTCTTCTTCTTCTTCTTCTTCTTCTTCTTCTTCTTCTTCTTCTTCTTATACTTCTGCCCCTTCCGCTCAACACCATCCCCATTGCACCGTCGTACAATACTATCACATCCTATTTTTTTTCCTTTCTAATTCTGCGTCAAGAACGATCAATGAGGATATTTACCGCAGATTCAATACATTGATTTGACAATATCCAGCCGTTGGCACACACTCCTTTCTTCCTTTATTTTTATTTTTTATTAAGTATCTAACTTTAACTTTAATGTTTTGTTGGTTGTTGGTATACAGACATTGTAATAATATGTAATTCGTTAGTGAAGGGGGGGGGGGGGTGGCACAGCAAAACAACACAGCAAAGGCAGGTACACACTCGCATCGCATCGCATCGCATCGCATCCAATCCAATCTATTCGTTTACATAATCTAGTCGCAACACCAACCCCCCCTTCCCACGCACGCGCGCGTAGACAAAATAAACAAAACATTAATCCTAACTCACCTTTTTTTATTTATGTATTTAGCAGCAGGTGTCAGTCCCGCCGCTCCACCTTCCCTTTCCCACGTTGTTGTCTGTCTGCGCGGGGCTGGGCCTGGGCTCTACATACACACACACATACACACACATATATATACCTATCTAATCCATCCAGGGAAAGAAAGAAAAAACAGCTGACCCACCTACTTACCTATACAATAACCCCAAACTATCATCACTGATATGCGTCGAGAACGAGGGAAATAAGACGGGATGTTTTAATATCACATTACGTGCTATATAAGTAGCACTGTGATAATATATATATGTATATATATGCATATGTGTTGGGTGTAGTTAGAAACCCGCAATCACACCGCCCCCCGCTCGGCAGACAAAGAGGACAGGGAACTTATATGTCTCGGACCTTCTTGTTTTGGCGGGTGATGGAGAAAGAAGGATTGGAGGTGTTGTTTGCGGGTCTAGCTAGCTCTTTGTGTGTACATATACCTACCTACCTACCTACATACATATATGAGTATATATGGGGACGATAATAATGATGGTGTGATGGCTAGATAGCTAGCTAGCTAGCTGTGATATCAATCACTTCAGTCCAATCTAGGTCAGATCAGGTCATTTTCGGGAGGGGGAAGGAGGATTCATGACATCCCGCGAACGGGACGGCAATATTGAAAAAGGAAGGGAAAAAGGAAAATGGGGAAATGGGCTGAGGAGTTGGTTAGCTAGTTGGAAGGAATAGATATAGGATGGATGGGATGGGACGGGAAGGGGACGACGGGTGGGGCGTTATATGTGATTGATTTGATTTGAACGGTTTTGTTTCCTTTCCTTTTTCCCGTGTGCAGCAACGCAGCAGGTGGGTTTAACTTTTGTTCGGAAAACGCAACGCAGGGGGGGGGGACAAACAAATACAAACAGTGGGGAAAATTCTAATTGCTCCTATCACTGTTTTTGTTTGTGTGGACTTATGGGAGAAGGGGACGTTGGAGGGATTTTGATTAATGAATGGACAGTGATTGAACTGTGCCACGCGGGTTCCCTTCGCAAGAAAGACTAGGCTGGGCTGGGCTGGGCTGCGGTGGTTGGGAGAGCGAGCGAGCGAGCGTGCGTGCGGCGTTCTCTTCTTCCCAACGACGTGTTTCTGGGTTAAAGTTCGGGACGGGGTATTACTATTGGGATGATGGTAAAACCAGCTACCCGCCCCCCACCCCTCGCTCCAAGGCAATAGAACGAGAGGAGGGTGGTGACCAAGACTCATTGTGACAGAAGAGTGACGGAAGACGAACAGAACAAGACAGACGGTGTCTGGAAGCATGTGTGAAGTGTGTGGGTCGAGAGAGATCCTTCATCATGCACGCGGGTTTCGAGGGGCTTGTGTATAGAAGGAAGAAGGGTATGTATTATAGACTGGGGGGGATGTGGATGCTGTTGTGTTATAACGGTTCATGGATGGGCCGAGTATAGGCCAACGGGACGGGGAAAAGGAAGGACATCAACGGCGAAGCGAAAAGAAGAAGAAGAAGAAGATGGGAGAAGAAGACGACGGGAGGATTCGATGGAGGAGCAGAGAGCGTGTGATGGAACGTCGCGAACCTGCATTGGTTGCCCATACACTTCGGCTGCATTTGACATCATCATCATCATCATCATCATGGTGCTTTGTTTGTTTTTTGGCCGCGGGCTCGGGTGACGATGAGGGAGAGGGAGAGGGAGAGAAGTGCCAGGATGCCGAAAAAAGACGGGACTAAACCCTGACTCGTACAAGCGCAAGGGTGCTCGGCCAATGACAGTGCCGATCTTTTGGGAAATACGTCTGATTGGCTCGCTTACGGGGCTCGCTCGCGTTTTTGCCATGAGATTGATGGGGCCGCGCGGATCCTGGCCCCCGGTCAATTCACCTTATCCCTCTTTGTCACCCTCCACCACCACCCATCCCCTGTCTGATTTAGAGCCTTGGATCCGCGGCGGACGGGGCGTTTTCTCGGCCATGCATGGAAAGAAACAAGGAACGTTCAAAGAACAGTGTACCGCGGTAGTGAAGAAAGGGCAAAAACAACGACGAGGGGGGAAGCGGCTAAGGGGCCATCGATCGAGACAAGGGAGAGCGGGGAGCACAAGGACAAGGAGAAGGAGGGGGGACCTTTTTGAACAGACACGGCGAGAGAGAGAGAGACAGAGACCGAGACACACAGACACAGACACAGACACAGACGGACGGACAGATGGACAGACAGGGGCTGTTCGGGCACTGCCATTGTCCGTCCGCGCTCCCTTCCGCTTGCATGTTGCCTATGTGTTGCCTCTTCTCTCCCTCTCCCTCTCTCTCTGGGTGTGTGTGGTTGCTGCAGTCCGTCCGCCTGTCTGTCTGTTGGTCTCTGTCTGAGCTTGGTAGTTCCGTACGTACATCTCTGCGCCATCTATCCATGTACCCCGAGTGGACTTGTCCTGCACGTATATACTACCTGCAGAGAACGTGTAGATGCAGAGTGTACAGTATATGCTGTTTCTGGCTGGCACGCCTGAAGGAAACCGGCTCTTCTGTCGCGCGATTCGTCCTTGTTCAATAGCTACCTACTATGTACACTACCACCACCCACCACCCACCATCGATTCATTCATGCTGCCCATCGTCATTGTCCTGACCCTCCTCCACCCCCCCCGTTTGCCGACACCGTTCAATCCATTGTATTGCCAGTAGTCTATATGTGAGTACGCGTACGAGTATTGAATCAATGTCCATCGCAATCCCACTCCCGTCTTCACAACATTTATGGAGACGATGGTGAAATGGTCGAGTGTCAGAACATACATTCGGTACTTGGCTGCACTGCACGAACAATGCCTATATTTGCACCATGATATAATGAATGCGTGCGTGAATGAATGCGCCGGCCGCATGTCCTGCCTGCCTGCCTGGCCCCCCTCCACCGCACCTCAATCCGTGTTTTGCGCCATCAATAATCCCCACGGGTCCCTTGTTCGTCTGGTTCTCCTCGGTCCGTCGCCGCCCCCCCCTCTCTTTCATCTCTTTCTCTTTCTCGGGCTCTGACAAACCCTGAAAGAGATGGGCTGGCTGGCTGGCTGGAGGACTGACTGCCTGGAATGACTGACTGATGGGCCCATCCTTAGCAAGTCACCTCACGGTTCTGCCCGCAAAGGCCCTGATCCAGGGAACAAAGATTGATAGACAGGCACCCAGTCGTAGCAAGTGGAGAGGCAGTAGGCATCAACCCGGTCGGTTAAGTGGGAGGCCATGAGGTAGTTGGCGCACCAAGGAAGAACGGTCGCATCGCAACGCACCAGCGCCAAGCCCGGGCCAGGACTGGGCGTCGCGCACAGAGGCACACGGACGGATGCACGTTCGACGCACGACGATACACACAGACACTGATCCATCCTTTCTCGCATCAGAGCGAGGCGAGAGTCTGCACTTCACCGAGGGAGCATCGTGAGCGCACAGCAAAGGCCGCTCGCCGCACCCCAGCACATACTCACGACACCCTCCCTGTCGCCCCCCCCTTACCCTTCGCCTCAGTCTCGCCTCGCATCCATCCACTCATCAGTCAGTCCGATTCCTCAAGGTCAATCAATCAATCAGTCAGTCAATCAATTCAACCACTCAATCCGCCTCTGCCGTATCCATACGTACGCAGGCAGGCAGGCAGGCAGTCATCATACATACATACACACCACATCCATCCGACCCGACGACCTAATAGCCCTACTAGCCCCCCCGTCACTGTCCACTTTCTCAGCCTGCCATCTTCCGCTTCTTCTGCCCTTCTTCTGCAAGTCTCGATGCTGAAACACGCCTGAAGCTCAAGCGATCCCACAAAAAACCTTCATACCCCTCCCCCTTCCCAGCCCTCTACCACGTCCCATGTCGACCGCTCTGTCTGGCCGTTTCAACTTTACCCACCCGTCATCTTCCTCCCCCCACGATCCTCGCGACCGTCGCAAACACGACAAGAAACACCGACAGCCCGCTTCTGCTGCTTCTTCTTCGTCCACCACTTCCCCTGCCGTCATCGAAGCCAACCTTGTTTCCCTTGGCCTCGTGAGCAGCTCCCGCAAGTCCAGGAAGAAGGCTAGCACCAGCACCAGCAGCAAGCACTCCAAACCCTCTTCTTCTTTCAAACCCAAGGCCGTCGGGTTTGGATCGCCGCTGGCCACTTCCTCTCCCAGTACATACTCCCGTAGTGCCCTTGCTAGACTGTGTCTTTGAGCTCAGACCCACTCATGTCTTTTCTAGGAGGCCTTCGTCCCAGCTCTCGGAATTCAAATTCCAAATCCCACAACTATCACGCCTCCTCCAACTCGCTGCAATCCTTTGGTGCTGCTGGTGGTAACCACTCGTCGTCGTCCCGCCACCACCAGTACTCCAGCAGCAACAGCACCAGCAACAACAACAACAACAACAACGGCTACTCGAGGTCCGGCGGCCACTCCCACTCGCCCAGCTTCGCCTCCCACTCCCCCCAAAGCGCTGCCACGCTTGACGCTCAGCGGCCGGTCCGGTCAGCCAGAGGCATGGCCGGAGTTCTCGACATCGAGAGGTCGCGCACCCGCCGCGAGCGCACCTACATTGGCTCCGAGTGCACCGTCTGCGAGGAGAGCCTCGAGTACACCCTCCGCGGCGAGCGCATATTGCAGCTCTCGTGTGGTCATGTTTCGCACGAAGCCTGCTTCTACGAGTACATTCGCGAGTTCGAATCACAGCACTGCCCAACCTGCAATGCGACATTAGGGCTGGATACCAGCCGAGGAGGCAATGTGCTCAATCTAGGTACGTGCTTCTCCTTTTCATTCAATCCTCCTCCCTTCCCCCCCTTTTCTATTCCATCTGCTATCGTCCGACTCTCAGTCGGAGCATGTGGCTAACGAAATGGCGTGATGATTAGAAAAATTGAGTACCATGGTGCGCTCTGTACAGTCGGACAATGGCTCCTCACAGGGACAGCGCAGCAACCAGAACACCCCCACACCCTGGGAGACGCAGACGGTCAAATCGGGCCCATCGGAAAACACCGGACGACCTCGAAACGACAGCGACCTCAGCCGCGGCTACCAATCTACATATGCTTCTTCCAGAAATAGGGACATGGACGGCAGCATGCACCACAGGGACTCGGATCGCATACCAGAGAGAACCAACTCGGTGTCGACGCGGCAGCACCACATGCGCAGTGACAGCGGCGCAACCGGGGTGGCTTCTTCGGCGGATTACTCCAATACCCACGATGGCCGCCACCCGTACGATCTGCAGAGCATGGAATCCTCCTTGTCTCCACGCGGCATGATCAAGAGCCCCATCCCACCGCCCACGGTTACGGTCCGCAGCGAATTCCCCACGCTCAGCAAGTCACGGCAACAGCAGAGCCTGACGTGTTTGGTGACGGTCGAGGTGGTAGACGGCAAGTGGCGAGCTGATCCGGATGATATGCGCTCTGCCCCGCCGATTCCCTCATCTGCCGCAGCCCACGCGGGGAGCGCCAACCGCGCCAAATCGCCAGGCCAGCCTCGTCCCTTCGACACGCCCTACGAATCCGACGAGGTGCTGGAGGAAATCACAGAGGACTTGCACTCTCGCGTCGACAACTGGCACGGACTGGATTTCTCGCGCTTCGGAAAATTGAGGCTCCATGGTCACGTGCGCGTCGGCAAGGACCGCCAGTCGTGGCAGGAGCTCGAGTGCTACCTCTTCTCCGAGATGCTCATCTGCGTCAAGGAGAAGAAGGTTCTGCAGCAGGCCCAGTGGGAGGGCTCCTCGTCTTCTACCAAGAAGACAAAATGCACACTCAAGGGCTCCATCTTGATCAAAAAGCATCTGAACCAGGTCGAGCACTCCCCCGACGACGCCATTCTCACCCTCAGTCTATCTGTTGCCGAACTACCCTCTTTCCACCTTCAATTCCAGAATCGCAGCCAGCTCGAGCTCTGGAGACGCGCCCTGATGGACATCCGCATGGACTTCCCGCAACCGAAACGCACCAACAACGACTACGACCAGGACAACTCTGGGACCGAAGACGAGGATATGCGCCGTCCCAAGCGTGTATCGTCCGTAGCCTCGTCTTACGGCGCGGCCAGATCGACCGTCACAGCACCTACAGAATACACAAACTCTCGCGCAGGAATGCCCGACCCCCGCCCTTCCGGCGCCCTGCATGTACCACTGGACATTGTGGTGGTCATCCCCGTGTCCTCATCTATGCAGGGCCTCAAAATCAACCTACTGCGCGATACGCTCAAGTTCCTAGTGCATAGTTTGGGCGAGCGGGACCGTATGGGTCTCGTCACCTTCGGATCCAGTGGCGGCGGTGTTCCGATTGTCGGCATGACGAGCAAGGTTTGGAGAGACTGGCCCAAAGTTCTGGAATCCATCCGACCCGTGGGCCAAAAGAGTCTGCGCGCCGATGTGGTCGAAGGCGCTAACGTCGCCATGGACCTGCTTATGCAACGGAAGTCCAACAACCCGCTCTCCAGCATCTTGCTCATCAGCGATTCGTCCACTTCGGATGCGGAGAGCGTCGACTTTGTCGTGTCTCGTGCGGAAGCTGCAAAGTAGGTTCTATAATATTCCATCCCCTCGACCATCAATGCTATGCTATACACCCGTGGAACATTAAGAGCTAACTATCGGTAGGGTTGCCATCCACTCTTTTGGTCTCGGTTTGACCCACAAGCCCGACACTATGATTGAACTGTCCACGCGTACAAAGGCATCTTACACCTATGTCAAGGATTGGATGATGCTTCGTGAATGCGTGGCGGGCTGCCTGGGCTCATTGCAGTCCACATCGCATTCCAATGTCAAGCTCAAGCTGCGCCTCCCCGAGGGCTCGCCCGCCAAATTCGTAAAGATCAGCGGTGCTTTACAGATTACCAAACGCGCCACAGGCCGGGATGCCGAAGCGGCCTTGGGCGACCTCCGCTTCGGTGATAAACGAGGTACGTCGATTGAGATTGCAGTCCTGCCCTGCCTACATGCCTTGGTATTCCAACAGTGCTGACTCTCTACAAATAGACATTCTAGTGCAACTGGCAATCTCGCCAGACACCGCGTCGCCGGATCAGATGCCCCAAGATCCGTGGGAGACGATTGTTTCAGGACTCGAGGCGCTGGGCGGACCCCTTGACCAGGATGAACCGCGCAACCTTAGCGTCGAAGAGGTTCCCTTGATCCAGGCTGACCTGACCTACGGCGATATACTAAGAGAAGGGTCTATTGCGCACCTCCCCCGCCCATCCTTGCTCGCCATCACCATCCTCCCCTCGTCCAAGAAGAGCGCCAACGGACGCCCCCCGACGCCACCCATCCCGCCCCATCCTCATGTCGTGCAGAGGCGCATGGAACTGCTTACCTCAGACATGCTGACACGCGCCCTCACCCTCGTGTCACGAGGCCAGCACGAGCGCGCCCACCACCTCCTCAAAGAAACCCGCAGTATCCTCAAAGGTCTCGGCAAAGGCGGCCTCCCACCCCTCCCCCCTCCCGGCCACCGGAGCAACACAAACGACCTCCCAGGCAGCTCAGCAAGCAGCACAGGCCATTCCTCCCCCGTAGGCGACAACAACGGCAACCGGCCCCGAACCCCATCCCCCCATACTCCCGCCGAAAACCCATTCACCCCCGCCGCCGGCATCGACGCCACCACCATGCACGCGCTCGACGCCGAGCTCGAGTCCAGTCTGGAATGGATCAACCACCCTGCCGTCTTTGGCCGCGATTCTAGGAAAGCCGTACTCCAAGCCATCGGCGTCATTTCGTCGCAGCGCGCGTATACGTTCCGCACGCAGTCCGAGTCGCTGTGGGCCGATCGCATCACGGGTGTGCGACGGTTATCGGAACGGTCGAGGGAGTGGAGAGAGTCTGGTGACGATCAACCGCTCATGGAGGAGAATTGATCTCTTTCTTTTTTTTTCAACAACGAAACTACATTCTCTCCGGTCCCTCGCATGAGATCTACGCTGTGGCTACACTGCCTGGCCTACCCACACACCACCACCACTTCCTCCTCGGATTTCTCTTTCCCTCTTCTTTGTCGATAACCATAAAAACACGTCCTTATCCCACGCATTTCCCCTTTGGTGTTGTGCAGCGCGTATCGGACATGCCTTCTTTGCTTTTGGCTGGGGAAATAAAACGACTGTTGAGATTCGCTCACGCTTACGCTTGTCAAGCAATCTTTTTTTTTTTTACTTCTTTTCTTTGTTTATATCACGGCCGGTACGGCGATATGGGTTGGCGGGGGGGGGATATCACTATGACTTTGACTTTTCATTCTGTTTTACACGATTAGGAGGAGGGACAGGGAGAGGAAAGGAAGAGTCTCGTTGATACTTGCTTTGGGGGGATGATATATAAGAAGGAGATGTAGGCGGAGGAACATGTCCTGGACCTATCCCTTTTCTTGGCTTTTTTATTGTTTTTTTGGCTTCATCGGTTCGGATTGTAAACGGCAGGATCGATCCCCTATCCCTCATCCCTTCCCCACCTTGTTTTCAAGAGAGAACCTCTTTGTATTCTCTCTATTTTTTTTCCCAACCTTTTGTTCTTGTTCCCTTTTTTTTTTAGCTTTCAACGGAAGATACCACAACAACAACCCCTTATTTTTACGCGTTTTCTTGTAGCTAGCTAGCTATCCCTCGATCTATCTATCTATCATATCCATCCTATTTTTTTTCCCCTCCACTATTCTAGGCTTCACAGATACTTATCCACCTCCCTCTCACACCACTCCACAAACCGATCCGCAACGCCGGTCCCGCCTTCCTCCTCACTCTTGATCGCATCTTCGACATCTGCTGGCAAATCTCCGAACCTGCCCCAAGGGTAAATATACGCGCCGCTTTTCGCGGGCGTGATTTCTGGGCTGAGCGCGGCGAAGAGCTCGGTGTAAGCGCCGTATCTGGCGGGAAAGAAGAAGAATTTCTGCAAGATTTATATTAACGTGGATAAAGACAGACGGTTCGAACGCGACAGCGACTTTTCTCAGACCTCTTGAATCGACCGCTCCACCCACCCAAAGCATCATTTATTTCCTCAAGCAAGGAGGACAGAGAGAGAGAGAGATAGTCAAAAGACAGTACGTACCATGACCCACATATCCCACCCCCCCAATACCTCTGCAACCCACTCGACAAATTCCCCGGATTAAAACAAACATGCACGACCCCCCCATCTTTCTTCTTCCCTCGCTCCGCAAACTTGCGGCTCAGAAACACGTTGCCGACTTTACTAGCTCCGTAGCTCAGCAACCCATCCTCCCCATTCTCTTCGTCGTGTGTAGGCCGTCCTGATCCATCGATCTTCATGCCCCCCGGTCTCGGCGCGCTGACGTGCACGGCGATGGAGCCGGCCCATAGCACGCGCACGCTGGCTGTGGGGCTCGACGCGGCGGTGCTGGTTAGGAGGGGGGTGAGGAGCTTTGTTAGGAGCGTTGGGGCGAGGATGTTTGTGAGGAGGTGCGTGTTGTGGATTGGGAGGGTGGGGTGGGATTTTAGCATGATCTGTGAGTCGAGGATAGAGGTTAGAATAAGTGGATAGAGGGAAGGGGGAAGGGGGATGGATGGATGGATGGATGGACGGATGGACGGGGGAGTTTTGATGCTGCATTAATAAATCCATCCATCCCCCCCATCCCCCCCCCCCCCCCCCAAAAAAATAAAAACTTGAAACCGACAAACAACAAAACAAAGAAATAACATATATATATATATATACTCACCCCAGCATTATTAACAAGCACATCCAACCTCTCTTCCCTCCCCAAAAACTCGTCAACCCCACCCCGCACACTCCCCATGTCCATGTAATCCATCTCCAAAAACCACAGTTTTCCTTGGCTGTCCGCCGCTGACCGTTCAATCTCGCGGATTGCGGTCGCTGCTGCCGTCCGCGAGCGTCCGGCTATATACACGGTTGCGTTGCGCGCGTACACGATGCGGCACAGCTCGAGGCCGATGCCGGAGTATCCGCCTGTAACTATCCATACCTAACGCCTCATTCATTAATCAAGAAGATTTCAAGAAAAGGAGAAAAAGGGGGATAGGGAAAAGGAAAGGAAAGGAGAAGCGTTACTCTGCCTGTTTGGTCGGGACATGTGGAGGCGGTGAGGGGAGGGGAGGGGAGGAAGAAGGATTGGCTTAATGCTGCGCCCATTTTCCTCTCTTCTCTTCTTGCTAGTTTAAAATTTCTATTTATTTTTTTGTGTGTGGATTTGGAGATTTTGCGAGAGGAGAGAGAGGAAGGAGGTGGTGCGCTCTTTTTTCTATTGTTAGGGGTGTGCGGGTTTTGGGGGAGGGTTAGGTATGATGACGCGATTGATATTTCTTTGGGTGGTTGTGGGGGGAGGGAGGGCGTGCGGGGATATATATGGATGGATGGATGGATGGATGGATGGTGCTCCGTTGGGTTCGGATTGGATGGACGTTTCATGTATGATATGTACCTAGGTATGTAGCTCGTTGTTTGAGTGAGAATTCTGGATCGCTGGGGGAAAGAAAACCTGGGTTTTTTTTTCTTTTCTTTTCTTAAAAACACGACTCTTTCTGTGAGTGTTGTAGAAGAGGTGTAGTGCTTATTCTTTGCTGGGGGTTTGATAGATGTTATTGCGAGTCTGTGATACGTTGTAAAGATGATGACGATGACTGTTCGTCGCGGAATTTGGTAATCAGCAGAGAGGTGTAATTGTGAGGTTGGAATATAACTTCAGCTCGCGATAGGCTTTTTGGAGTTGAATTGCCTGCCTGTTCTCCCTTCTGCTATTGGATGTATGATAACTGTAAACTGGTACTAAGCGTTCAAAGATCACGTGCAGATATATGTGGATAGCCCTGGAGTGCCGGTGACACTCTTTTCTTGAGCTTTATTCAAATAATCAATACTGCAAAGGCTCGTCAGGGCTATGGTTTAAATGTGGACAAGGCTAGTTGTTTTAGTTTGTTTTTTGGCTAGTTTCCAGGAAATGAATAGGTAGGTTTTGGGCATACACGAGCAGGTGTCTTTCGACAGGTACGATTCGTCAAGGGGACTGTTTTCCGGTGTACGCTATAGTGTCGTTTCATTGCTACAATATGGAGACTGCTTCTGGCTATATATTCATCTGTGTAGTTGTGTCGAATGGTGCAAGTGGTTGTTCAAGGTAGTACTCGTAGGGTTATGTTTCATCTCTGTGTTTCTCGCGAGTCGTGACTCCGCTCAAGCTACGAGCCTCATCAAACTTTCCCGTGAATCCGTCCAAACATATTATTCAAATCAGCTACATTTCCGAATGCATATTGCATTGACATGAGTGATCAATCGCAATTTGAACTCCTTTTATTACTGTCATTCGCGTCATGTTACTAGCGCAGCTGGGTCGGCACGAGAAAATGTTTGTTGTTACACGAATACCCGGTGCATCTTTCACATAGGCTGTCGACAGAAGCACCTCGTCCGTGCAACGAAGTAGCCTTGTGTGTATATGCGCTGGCAAGTCCTTGATCTACCGTTGTTTGCTACGCTATCGAGCGGGGTGATGGCGCTTCACTTTCACTGTCAGCACAGTTGTCGGTCCATTTCATCTTTCCATTTACGTTGTTCTAGACATCGTATAATCTACTTCATTGCAGAATCTCGCTGAAGCAACGAGCTATCGACATGTCTAACGGAGCCACGGTTGGCGCAATCCTTGCCGCTCTTGCGTCTGTGGCAATCATCGGAGGAGCAATATACTACCTGAGAAAGTGGATGTACCACCGCTGCGTACAATTATTGAATTGGTTGAAGCTTTTGTCCCATCTGAGATCTGCTCAAGCCCTCGACGAAGAAGCTGGTTATCTCAACGGACGCGAGAAGAGAATGTTTGTAAGGAGGCCGCAGCCTTTTGAGTCACGTTTCAGACCAGACGGGATGGTAAACATGATAGATATGCAAGCCATACGTCGTCGTCAGTTCATGGAAAATGCCGGATGGAGATGGCTGAGATCGATAGGACGGGGAACCCACTGGAGATGGGATGGCGGCTCGAACAGACACAGACCAAGGACACGAGTAGGACCGCATGATATCGAGCCTGCAGTCGGCAATGTTGATTTGGGGAGGCTACCACCAGCTTCGATGGCGCCATCGGAGTCTACAATCAGAGATCTTAGTTTGAGAGGGCCGCCAATTGTTCCGAGAGCAATATTCGAGCCTCCGATTGCAGATTTAGGATTCAAAAGACCCCCGGTGTTTCCGAGAGCGAGGTTTGAGTCGGTCTACGGGTCGAGAAATACCAAGATTGATCCTTTTATGGCTGGAGGACCGTCCCGCGGGCTTTGGCCTGAGATACCGCGCCCGAGACACCATTTCGCAGTCGGAGATGTGCGGAATCATCAACTAAGACACGTTTCGCGATTCCAAGTTCCTCCTGAAATGTCCCCGAGAGTCTTTTCTCGAATGGATAGTCGAGAAAACCAGTGGCCCCTTCATGGTTATCCCTTTGAAGGCACAGGGTTTGGTACAGGGCCGCCTTTTGGGAATTTCACTGGACGACCATTAGGGCGCACTGGGGGCGATTTTCCGGACTCCTTCCGGCCACTTGGTAGATCACAATCTCTACCGATTTCCAGAAAGAACCCCTTCCTATTCCCAAAAGGAGGGTCAGGAATGATGCCATTTGACATGCCATCGGCAGGCCAGCGACAACGATCTTCTGGACATTTCCCGAGTGCAGGGTCAAGAATGATGCCTTTTGATGTACCATCCACAGGTCAGCGACGACGGTCTTTAGGGCCTATGCCGGGTGATCGGACGCGAGACATGCGACCATTTTCTATGCGACCACCTTACCCCTCATTCAGTCCCAACTATCCAGAGCCGCTACAGAATATACAGCGCAACGGTGCAGACAACCCGGATCTTCGGTCACGTTACAGCGATGTGGAGCAAGCCGGAGATGTCAGAACAATAGTGAGCAACAATGAGCAAACCAACCAGCCAAAACTAGCCAGAATGGATTTCATCCACATATGTGATGAATACCCACCAATTGTCGCCGAAGCAGTTGGCCGTAAGGCTACCTCTGTAGCGACATCAACAATTCCCTCGAATGTCACATCGACTTCTGTCACGTCATCTTCCCGCAGCAGTGATCAAACTTCAAGGGCCCTGACATCAATCGCAACAACCCGGAACCAACGCGAACCCCATCTTAAATCTCGACGTCGAAGTCACCAACCCAGACAAGTGAAAAATAAGCACGTGCCTGATAAGCAAGATGTTCAAAAACCTCCAATTCGATTGGAACATTATGCAAAAAACGCTGACGGACATCGAGGAGGAGACACTGCTAGGTATGCACCATCTATGAGAGCGAGCAAAAGACGTAGCAGGGAGAGTTCCCACCGTCGCCATCACCACATACCAATTGATTCGTTCCCACCGGAACATGAAGAATACGGCGCAAACAGAATCAGACCGAGTTCAGAACGCAGCTTTGATTCGGTGCATCCACTGACTTTCCAAGGTCTGACAGATAACCGCCCCGCAAGTTCTCGCACGCGAAGACATGTATCCTACAAGACCCAACCCAGCGGTGACGGCGGAGAAATTTCATCAAATGGAACATCGCAACGTCAAACTACCTATTCCTACCTCGAGTCCCCTATCACTGCAAACAATGATATATCACAGTCTCTTTCACGCTCGTGGTCCGAAAGCGACAGGCACGAAGATACGGAATCACCGCAAAGTAACAGAGTGATCATCACTCCAGATTCAAGAATCGAAACGCTAAGCCCTACTATCACACTCCCAAGAAACGACATAGAGCCTCCTACAAATCTGCCTATATTTGTTCGCCCAGTCATTCCGCTACCTACATCCTCCCTATTGACATCGACCTCTTCTTCGTCAGAAACTCTGCCGTCTCTGCCACTGGCATCACACACTCCCCCTGCTCGGCGACAAAGTTCCCCAAGGCCTTATGTTTCTTCAAATCCAGCACAAGCAGGATCACAACTCTCGAGTCAGAATCCTCCTGCTCCAAACCCACCTAATCTCGGCCCTCAAATCACTCCATTGCCTGAATCACCGCCCTTGCCCCATGGACATGTATATACTCTTCCCTCTTCTACAACATCTGCGCAGGGAGGACAAGGGGACATTAACGACCCAAAGGCCGTATTCAGTGTACATACCGACAAGCCCATACCACCAGATTTTCCACAGCCGCCGCAGCAACTAGCGTTAATGGCACCGCAACCCCATACGGCGCGCATTCCAACACCGCAGCCGCAGCCGCAGCCGCAGCCTAATTCACCCAAACCGCCAAACCAACCCCAAGATCAACAGAGTCACGCGCCTCCACAGCAACCGACGCCACCACCCCCGGCTCCATTATTTCACCCGACACAGCAGAATCAACCCCAGTTGGATCCACCTGATGATGATCAAAAAAGACATCAACGAGCGGACCATCAAGATTCTCAAAATCTCAAAGCAGAGAATGGAATTACGCAAGGCGTACCACCACCACCGCCCACACTATTAGGAACGAAACATTCGCCATCGCCGCCAACGTCGGGGATCTCGACGTTGAATCTTTCGCATGCAGCGCCATTTAATCGTCCTGAAGCGGCAGCAAGGAACAGGGCATCTTCACGGAGGAATGAACGCGGGAAAGCGAATGAGGTCATGAAAAATTATGAGGCGGGCGAATGTCAATGGAAATTATCTCGTTGTTCGCAAATTGCGACACCTTATGTCGGCCGCGATCCTTTGACGGAATTTGGCATTCTACGCCACTCCAGTTTTCTGTGATCATTTGCAACCTGTACATCAGTTTGGAGAGGTCTTCGATTTCTTCTATCGCATTCTCATCTTTCATCAACTACAGAAGGTGTGCACATGATATAGGATTGGTAGCTGTTTGACAAGTCCCCATGCCACAACATACACACTGTCACCTTTGAAACAAGAGGATCAGTACAGATTTGACTAAAGATCTAACAGCCAAAGTTCAACAAAGTTCGAGTGGATTTCTATGCAGCTCACACAGGACCCTTTTATGCACGTGATGGATGCAGCCCCCACAGCCAGCCCTAAAGCGATCCGGAACTTGCCGGGCCTAAGTTCAGCGGGACGTTTTCCCCTGGATCTCGATAAGATAAGAGTTCCAAGAGTCCGTAAGGCGCGTCCGTCATCATCGTCTGGTTGTTTCTGCTGTTACAACTGTGGCCTATACTACATGCCATCGCCAAACAGCTCGAAAGCGTATTGTTTCTTCAATTGAGAGATTGACATTCGAAAGAACGAGCGAGCCTCAACGCCTTCCCAAACACTCATAGTGTCCATCGAACGCACCGAACGATGCCACTCTCCCCCATCGTATCGTCCTGCCTGCTCTCGCTCGGCATTGGATGCGCGTCCAATATCATCGCCCAACGTCTCAAAGCATACAACGCCGGTATACCCTTCGTCTTCGATGATGGCCTCTTCTTCCGGTTTGCCGTCCTGTCTGTAATCACCACGCCGGTGAATTACTACTGGCAGATGTGGCTGGAGAAGACGTTCCCCGGATGGAAGACGGCTCCGCGACAGCCAGGGGCAGCGAGCGAGTCTGACGCGGAGAAGGGGCTGTCGTTCAAAGATGACGACAAAAAAGACGACAGCAAGACTGTCAAGGTCCGCGATTGGTGGAACATCTTCAAGAAGTGGTTCGCCGACTGCATCACTCTGGGCGCGCTGCTCAACACGGCAATGTTCCTGATCCTCATGGGCTTCATGGAGGGCAAGAGCCAGGCGCAGATTCAGACCAATCTGCAGGTGGATATGTGGAAGATCATCTGGGACTCGTACAAGATCTGGCCCATTGCCAATTTCATCAGCACCACGTACTGTCCGGTGGAGAAACGCATCGTCTTCCTGAGCTTCTGCGGGTTGATCTGGAATGTCTATCTGACGCTGGTCGCTACAGAACTATGATCCCCTTCTACGCTCTATATGTATTACCATCAAGTAGCCTTGCGAGAAACCATTCAATCAAACGCTCCGTCTCTACTCCATCTATCCCACCCGTCCACCCTTCTCCCACGCCCTCAATACCGCACCCCAGTACTTATCCGCATCCTCTCTAACATGCCCAGCGTGCGCACTCTTCTCAAACCTGACCCGTTCTACATCCCACCCCTTCGCCGCCGCCTCATCCGCATGCTCCTCCACCTCCTCCCACCCCACCATCTCATCCGCCTTACTATACAGATACACCCTCGGCGCCACCCTCCCAAACAACGTCCCGCAATTCATCTCTCCACACATGATAACCATAGAGTTCTCTTTCCACCTAAGCGTATCAACCACCAGCACACAAAACAGCAGCACATGCACCGCGACGCCAAACACGACGCTCAGAGCCACAGAGCGCCGCGGCAACGACGCAGCAATCGCAGCATGACTCCTCCCCCAGTCCCCCTTGCCAGGCGCCGAATCCACAATCTGCGCACGCATCGGCATCGTCTCTCCATACGCATCCCGCCACGCCCGCGCAAACTCCACAATCTGCGTCCCGCCTCCGTTCGAAAAACTATGGCATAGTACTTCCCCGCCTTGCTGCGCGTGCGCGCGCACCACGTCGAGTGCTGGCTGCAAGTTGCGGGCCGATGTCGCCGAGGAGCGGAACACGTCGATTGTGAAGCAGCGGATGAGCAGGATCCGCGCGGTCGGGAACAGCGTCGTGTATGTGTTTGTGTATTTTTGGATGTGTTTTAGGGCTGCGGCGTTCCAGGTGAAGAGGAGGATTAGGGGGGATTGCGGCGTGTAGGTTGCTGGTGTGTAGAGGGTTGTGTTGTGGCCTATGGGGTCGAACTGTGGGGTTGGAGTGGCCATTGCGGTTATGATTGAACGCGATGAGGGTGTCGTGATGGGATGGGATGGGATATTGATGGACTGTTTAGTTGTGCAATCCTTATGTGTATATATATGTTTCGTTCTTGTTGCCTAGCATCTTAGATCCTTTTCTTACTTTGTAGCGTTGTTAAGAATGATCCTGCTCCTTGCTTATCCTCATGTTTTTTTCTGGGAGCCGAGGTTGTTACTGGAATTGAATTAGCGGTACGCGTAATATAGCCGCCTGATTGCTTATTCTTTAGCCAGACCTCTTCCACGACATGGACATTCAAGTCATCTATCATTATGAGATGTATGCCTAGTCATCTGACCTTTTACAACTAGCCTCAGTTACTAGGGACCATACCTATTTCTTGAATTCAATGTAGGGGTGGACATAGTAGTTATCATGGCAATCTCGAGTGCGTGAGTGGGACTATGTAGTATTTCACAACACTGTCGATGAGCGTCCTACCTCGAATTCTTTCGTTCCCCCCAATTTAGCTTTGTACTGCATTGACCCTCTTTCTTTTTGCAAGTCTCTATATCATTGTTACCATCTAAGATTAACTCTTTGGCGAAGGATGGATGAAGGCTTCTGGACTCGAATACGAAGACGACGCAGCCGCGTACGAAAGGACACTGAGCATTGATTATTTCCAGTAATCCTTATCACGATTATATTCTTTACATTAGCATAACGCCAAGTAGAGCAGCTGAATACAGTCAGCCGGCCAGAGAAACCCCGACGGGAGAACAGGAGACCAACATTGCCGTGTTCGCTATTATATATATTATAGATCAGCGGGGAGGTGTCGTGTGATAGATAATATTGAGCGTAGTACGCGAATTGACGTCTTTCATCTTCGATGCTTCGGCTTCCCAGCCTGCCTTGAACAATGGACACGATATGCCCAAAGCTCTTGTAATATCGATAGCATCTTGGGAAATTCGAGGAATTAATTCAATGGAAAATCCTTTGGCTGCGTGGTTGCAAACCAGCTAGAGTCGTATACTCACTGGGCAGTCGACAACCACAATAATGGGACAGAGTGGTGTATATCTTGTCTGAAGACGAGATATCGCTACCTGTGACAAGTTTTACAGGGAGAGTCGCAGAACTAACTTCGATCGTTTGTTTAGGCACGTTTCCAGTCCTAGGTTTGAATTCATCGCCATGATGCAACTCGTAATTTTGTGAGCATGTTTTGCACATCACTCTCTTGTCGACAACAGGAAACAGGATTTTACAGTAAAGACAATGTTTGGTATCAGTCACAAATATAATGTATCTAGTTGATGTATCTGTGCAGCTATTGGAAAACCTGACTATGTATAGCTTACACGTCTGGCTCTAGCTGCCGTGCCTACCTTACCCCGCTTTTCTGGAATAGAAGTTATGATTCGTTTTTACCCCTCTAAGAAGATATCATTTTCCAGTGAGTCGATGGTGTATTATTAGCATCAATTTGCGGATTGCGTTGTACAATCGGCCACTCGTGGCTGATTGGTGGACGTTTGGCCCCCATTCCGGTGTGGGCGTTTGTCTGTCTGAGTTGCTAACGAGTGCGAAAGCACTACGCGAGTCTCGTATTCCTTTGATAAGATAGGTGGCATGGCTTTGAGTTTGGCAAGCTTACATGGGCCATGATGACTGATTCTGCCCTAATGACGACTCACTTCTGACTACTTTCTTCTATCGGATTCCGTGGGACTCTACAGAGGTCATCTGTGTGGTTGTCGTCGGATTTTGAACTGGTCTGACTGGAATGACGGGAGATGTCTTTGACACAAGTATCTTAAAATGATAAGTTTTGATTTCTATTATAATTCGTTCCCGCCCAGTCCCTCACTAGTCTGCTCTAGCTGCGAACCTCAAATTGCACGCTTCGTGTCTTAGAGCTTGACAGATAGTCTAGAGGAGAAAATTTGATAGTCGCAATTCATCGTGATCGAGATCAGATCAGGTTGTAGACTGCGTATTCTCATCGCACACTATAATATTCAGTTGATTCGAGCTTGAAACGCCACAGAAAGCATCAATGAGCATTTAAGCCAATCATCGTGAGTTTCCTAGACCTCTTGAGGGCGATTTCCATACAATCATGAGTGTTCTGCCTCTAGTCCCTCAACATCCGCCATGCCTTTGCTAATCTATATTTCGCGCTACATTGATTCGAATTATGTTCAGATCACTCCGAAGGAGGCAGTTCAGCCTCATTCCCGACATTGCAGTTTCATAGAGGGTCCTCGGCGCGCAGTTAACGAGAAAAAAAAATACTACCGAGTTACCGATGCTGACAGACAGCATAACACGAGTCCTCGTTTACATCTACGGCGCCACTGTTGTTCGAGAGCCGAGACGACGTCTTCAGCTCACACCTTTTTACCTTTTTCGCACATCAGATATCTCTGGGCAAACAATGTCCTCTCGCGATAGGTGGATAGCATAGGTCCAAGCCTGGGCGCGGTGAGCATATATGCTGACAGCGTTGAAGGTGGTTTGGACCCTGCAGAGTAAAGGGTGTTATGAGACTGATGTATTCAGCTTCACACAAATAAACTAGCCGAGAAATAATTAAAAGGGAATATATCTTGAGGTGCTGCTGTCTGTGCAGTGAGCTACAACGCTACAACACTCCAACACGTTTCTGTACAACCTCCATTTACGTCTGAAAACGTGATCGGTAGCTCATTATCATGTCTCATGCACACGCAGTGAAAGGAATTATCTTTGACCTCGGCGATGTCTTCTTGAAGTGGTCTCCTAACACAAAGACTAGCATATCGCCGGAAGTCTTGAAGAAGATACTGGACTCACCTATTTGGCATCAGTATGAGCGCGGGGATATCTCTCGGACAAGTTGCTACAGAAAGGTATCCCACGAATTCGGTTTGGAAGCCTCGCAGGTAGCAGAAGCCTTTTCCCAAGCCCGCGCTTCGGTACAGCCCGATCAGGAAGTTGTTTCCTTTCTGGAGGACCTCAAGATTAGCTCATATATTCGGCTGTTCGCCATGTCGAATGTTGGCAAGGAGGACTTTGCAGATGTAGAGAAGAAGACGGATCTATCGCTTTTCGATCTCGTATTTACCTCTGCAGCTGCCAGAGCACGGAAACCCGATCTCAAGTTCTACCATCAGGTTCTGGAGAAGATTGGCCTGGCCCCTGAACATGTTCTCTTCATCGACGACAGAGAAGAGAATGTATCCGCAGCCAGGAAGGTCGGGCTCAATGGTTTTGTGTTCGACGGTAATACCGTTCAGCGTTTGCAAGAGATCCTCGATGATCCGGTGACTCGCGGGTTTGACTATCTTTCTCGAAACAGAGGTCGATTCCGTTCGATCACCGATAGTGGTATCTCCATTGATGACAATTTTGCGAAGCTTCTGATACTGGAGGCCACAGAAGACCGGTGCGTAACTCTCACTCTAATACGTCGCCATGTTTGACTTACGAGTTATGTAGGAGCCTAGTAGACATCAATCCGAGTAAGGACGGCTATTGGAACTTTTTCGCAGGTAAATATCCTTGTAGTGGTAGAATTTAGATAGTATTCCGTGTCGTAAGCTAATCGATGGTGCCAAACAGGAGAAGCCACGCTTGTTCCTGAAGGGGTTTTCCCAGATGACCTCGATACCACTTGCTTGGGCCTCATGGTCGAACCACCCGCAGACTCCCAAATCATAAACAACATTTTAGATCGAATGCTGGAGTGTGTGACGGCCGATGGATCGATCTTGGTCAGTATGCCAAGAAGATATCGCAAAGTATTAGCTAACAATCGTAGACATACTTTGATCGCGAGAGGCCTCGGACCGACATTGTCGTGAGTGCAAACGTGCTGGCATGCTTTTATCACTTCGGACGTGGCCACCAGCTACCACGCACCCTGGAATATATCCACAACGCTCTATTACATCGGCGATATGAAAATGGAACTCGCTATTATCCGTCGCCCGACTGTTGTCTAGGGTTCTTTGCGCGTCTGTTACAATATTCGAAGAACGATGCTCATCTTCAAGCGAAGATAGGTGGTCTTCTCAAGCCCAGAGTGCAGGAACGTATCGGAAAGGATGGCAGTGCTTTGGACTTGGCAATGCGAATGATAGCTTGCACTTCTTTCAGTGTAGATTGCAACAAAGAGCGGGAGAGATTGCTAGCACTACAATGCGAAGATGGAAGCTGGGAGCCTGGGTGGATGTATAGGTACGGTTCCACTGGGGTCAAGATCGGCAATCGTGGGGTGACAACAGCCTTGGCCTTGAAGGCTCTGTCAACAAAGACTTTGATAAGATAACTGGAGTTCATTGGCCATTCTTGAATAACACGTCGACTTGAAGTGTTCTGTCATTGGATCGGCTCAGGGCTACCTCGTATTTGTGGCACACTCTCTGTGCTATTCTAGCCTAATCTATCCGTGAAATGGAAGCGTTCGGTATCCAACAGTCAACTGACATCAGAAATTGAGATTTATAGATATCAGGACCTAACATAACAGTCACCGTTTATTCACTAACGAGTCTATTTTCAAGCGTCGAGGATGCTTTACAGCCTGGTCGACCCTCAGGCTACTCTGTACGTGTGCCCGTTTACTCGTTATTTCAACATTAATGAAAATTCAATGTTACAACCGCAATTCTCCGAAGTTACTTTCCACTCTACAATGAAAACTTGACTCTGCTCTTGACTCTCAAGCGTTTTTGAAGGATGATTTGTTTTACCATTTACCTCTTCGGACCACTGATTACCGTACCGATACTTTCTTTGGGGAAATATCAGTAATTTCACCGCATGTACGATTGCATGAAACCAGCTCCACAAGGAAAGGTGCATAATTTCCAGAGATCAGGTCGAGAAAGAGATATGATGATCTCTCGGTCTTTCGCTTGAGGAGACGAGCTGGGTACTGACATTATTCTTCAATCCCAACTACGATCTAGTGCGGATGGCAAAATCTAAGCGTTCTAAGCATTCGCCGCGCCGTCAACGTCCGCCACTGACCAATACTCCAATGTGGTGTTTGTATTTCGGGCTTTTGATGGCGTGTTAGCAGCAATAATAGCCCCGTCGCTTTTCAGCTTCTACACGAGTGACAATGACCAATGAAATTCAGACATTGAGATGAGTGGGTCCTGCTTTCAAGAGAATGACGCCACATGCAGACGTGAAGTTACGATTTCCCCCGGGGAAAGGGTCCCTAAGCTCACACGTGGCGAGCAAGCTGAACAATGTGGCTGCATCTGAGTTCTACCTGGAATTGGCCCCATCACCAATCCACTCACTTATACGGCCCAGACTCTGTTACCACACACGCCCAATCTGTAAAATGGGGCTACTATCAGCCCAATCCAGGCATTAAGAATACAAGGTAGTATTTTCCATCGGTAGAATTGAGATCTAACTTCATGACAAAATATCGGGGGAACTATAGTACGCTTGTCGCCCTCTTCTATAAGAGATCTTACAAGGCTTTCCACACATATTAACCCCTACCCACCTGAAGTTACCTACCTCAAGATGGCACCCACCCTGACTCCCACGCTGCGCGAGGTTCGGGGAATGTGGCTATCTATCACGGTGACCGTAATGGGCCTGGGCTTTGTCTTCCTTGATTCAACGGTAGTCTATGTGAGACTGTCGCGGTGCCGCCTCCACAAGCCGCAGCCCAAACCCATGATTAAAAATTTGAGGCAATGTAGTTCGTGTGACCTGATTTCAGCTATGCACTGCACGAAGAAAGTTGTACCTCCAACGAATAATTTGGCTGAGGTAACAGGTGATTAATATTCTGATAACACCCGTCACTACGGATAAACGTTGGAAGCTGTTATCGAAGACCCTTAAACGTCAAATTGCCGTCTGGTGGCGGGTGAGGGGTTGTGCATCGTCATTTCGGGCGTTATACAAAAAGGGTAATGGAGATCTGTAGGATGCGCACGTGATGACGCATACACAAGGATTCAATCTGACAACATCACACAAGGCGTGAAATCTGCAGCATGCGGAAGGTCACCCAGCCGCAGTTCGCGCCATCGTTGTACAGTGGACAGGAATTAATTCTCGTTGCCTTGAAAAATGCAAAAAACACATGGCTTACATGCATGAGCCTTGCGGATACATAGGGACGAGTTAGTTGGCGGAGGGGCTCGGCCTGTACATCTGAAGCATGATGCCTTTGTATTTGGGGTGAATGGCAAGACCGTTGAAATAGCATTCTGGCACCCTTGAATAATTAATGAAGACCGCAAAGAATACCGTTCTCGCGGTCAGCCTGAACCACATTGCAATCATGGTTCGCAAGTTTCTGGCGCCGCTCGGCGCTGTCTTACAACTAAGCGTCAGTGTAACTTCATCCTTGCAACTCGTATCGTCCCTGCCCAATCGTCTCAATGTTATTCAGTGGCAGGTCAGAAAGAAATCCGATAGCGAATAGGATATGAGTTTCGGAATCCGTACACGTTACGTACAATGTCAGATATGGGAATGGTCATAAGTCTCGAACTCCATGCGCACGTTATTGGCCTGCATTGCCTGCATAACCAGCAAATGGTGGAGTGCAAACATAATATAGTGGCTCTGCGCCCTTTCTCTTGGCCCAGAAGCCTATCTGACATTCATGATTCTCTGCATATCGCTTCTCAGACTTCCTTTCGTCCGTTGCCACTCATAGGTCTTTATTGTCTGACCACCCATCCCCACTCCACTGAAAGCGAATCATGCCAGACCTGAGTCAAAGATCGCCAGTTACCAGAGAATTGGTTCTGATAGCGGCTGTGTCCGAGAGTTTGGCTACCGTGGTCGTGTTGTTGCGTTTTTACCTGCGCATCAGCTTTAAGTAAGGGGCTTCGTACAATCCTTTCGAGATAGACTTGAATACACCTTTTTGCTTTCCGATCACATCGGCCGAATCCCGACCGAATCCCTACCAGTCGCCTTTATTGGTTGAAGGATAGGCCATTCAACAACAGCGTAATTTATTCAAACGCTTTTTGTAAGCCATAAATGCCTGGGAGTTGTGACTGTGCAGTCATGCAGGAATTAGCAATGTGCTGACTGCGGTTGCTTGAAATTACGTCGCTCATCACAAGTGTTTCTTCTTTATAAAATCTACGCATCTTCTAGCATAGGACATAATTGAGCAATGACCTCCCCTTAATACATTTTTGCCACCGGAGCTCTCCACGGAAACAGAGGCCTATAAGGGTCAGGCCCCGTTACCTCGTTCTGCGGCTCTGATGAAGCGCCTTCTGCCTCTTCGCCTACCGAAATCTCCAAGGATATAGGAACGAAAACCTGAAAGAGGGAGGATAGTGTTACAACCTAGCAGCAGGGCGCAATCGAGAGGTTGGCAAGTAGCGAAGGTGAGGTCCACACGGGATCGGTAACCCCAGGATCACGTGACCTACCATCCCGCTATAATAAACCACCTGGGATGGCAGGAATACACAGGAGTATATAAGAAGGCAATTCTCCTTTGTGGGTGAATTGTGGTCAACCTGATAAATCAAATACAAATGGTTACCTATCCCGACCTCCACTCTTCTCATATAGTACCCTCTATACTGTGTTGGCACCCCGTCCAACGAGTCTCTCTCATCCGCGAAAACCCACCGGTTGACCTATACAACGATCTTACAATCCCGCTAGGCCTTCACAAATTTCTAGGTTCAGTATATGTTGAACATGGTATTCGTGCCAGTATCAAAGTCAGTTCCAACAGAGCGGAGATCTTGCTGGCCTTGTAGGCTACAGGGACCAACGTATCGATAGCAGCTATCAATTTGTCGTAATATGACAAGAGATGCAAGGCCAAATATAGTGCAAACAATATCATGCTGCTGTAAATGGTGAAGACTCCAACCTAGACTGCCATCTTCAGTCGTAAAAACATAGTGTTCGAGAAGGTTTGCACCCAACATAGCCGCTATGGCAAGCACGGGGTAGCGGCGGTCAGGTGAAATAACGGGTGCTGATGGGTCGACTCCTGGCGGAAGCGGTTCATTTAGTAGCTTTTCGGCGACGTCGCCATTTGTCGGAAGTCCCAACCAAATCATAATATCCGAGGCTGGATGAGAGAATCGGTATGAGAAGGCAAGTATGACGGTTCCCAACGCTTCCAGTACTTCGTCCCAGGAAGATGACTTGAAGATTAGGGGATTGCCCGAGGTAGGATGTTTATCGTCACAAATCAAGCGCAATAAGAGCTGAAGCCGGCGGCTCTGGGTATTGGGTGGACATGCCGGTGGGTCCTGAACATAGCTAGCCAGAAATGACCGAAAATTCTCTGCGTTGATGGACTTATCCCATTTGACTGTTGACATCTTGTATCCACGCAGAAGTAGACATCTACCGTCAATGCGCACGGTACTACATGTGAAGCCAGCTTCGATTGCCCCTTTCCGTATGGATATTCCCATTTTATTCAAGCCTGGTGAGAGTGAAGTCCAGCATGGCACCCATGATGGGAGCTGGCATTGCTGGGATTCGTCACGATGATTCGCTTCAGGACAAGGCCCACCGGCCCCAAGAAGGAAGACAAGGCCACCCGGTTTAGCTAGTCATGTTGTGGCAAATTGATAGTAGACGTCTTCGACCGTAAGCTCGTAATTGGCCTGAATACCCAATTTCATGACACCAAGAAGCGAATATAGCATATCTCTGGGATCTGTCGCTTGCACAACTCGCAGAGCCGTATAGAGTGTGAAGAAGGCCAAGTCCGTCGTCTCCATCACTGTATGATCCCGGGAGGTTAGTTTCAAGAATTCTAGTCGTTGCAAGTGATCTTCCATTCCGAGAAGATGTCGAAATGGTGTCTTGGCCAATTTTCTCCAGAGTGAATGGCTTATAAATTCTGGCCGAACTTGGTGCTCAAAACCCTTCCACCATTTCCATACGTATCTCATATGAGATAAGAGAGCGACTGCCCTTCCATACTTGAATATTACAGTCTTGGCGAGTGCAAATTCTTGTTGAATCCATGCACGAACCCAGTATTCCACGGCGAATAGGTTTTGCATACCGTTCCAGGCCACATTTTGGTAAGTGCCAGCAGCACTATCATCCTCAAGGTAGAACTCCTCAGGCCAAGCTTCCTTTGTCAGATAGTCGGTCGGATTGTCCTCGTCCAGAAAGCTTTGGACGTGATCTCCAAGCCTAACTATTGCCTCCAGACCATATTCGCAGCTTCTTGAACCTTGGCCTAGCCAACACATTGCTGCTCTGGCCGAAGGATATATTTTGGACATCAAATTTACTTGGCTGGCTCGTTCTGACTTATCTTCTTGATTAATGCATATCGCATCGATCCAAAAATATGTATCGTATATCTCAGGTCTATCTTCTCGAACTGCGCCATTTCGCCACTCGTGTAGAAATGCCTCAAGATTGACGGTAACCATTCGTTCATGCCCGTTGATAGTGATCGGCTTTCGGGCCTTCGCGTCACCCCAAGCGTAGGATAGCGCAAAGTACTGATCCTCAATAGCATCCAGTGATACCACTAGCATGGAGCACTCAATTATCTTCTCACTGGATTCGTCTGACTGAAGGTGCTTGACTTTGATAAGGCGTATCTCGGGTACTGCGTCGTCCAATCACTTGTAAAGAGGTCCGTCCGGGTGATTGCATGCATTATGGCCATCTGCCGCGTATCCTTCTGCCTTTAGGTCCATGATATATGATATGTCGGATTTGGTGGGTCTAGATATCATGAAGCTATGAGGGCAATGAAGCTGTTGCTTGTCAAGTCCACCGTGGTCCGTGTACAGTCTGCAGGACTGCCCACGTGTACTCGTAGGCGATAATCGACACGTCTCATTGGACGCGTTAGCAAGGATCTACGATGATTGCCGGTGACGTAAGACTGCGTAATGCAGAGAATTACTGCATGTGTTGTATAGATAGTGAGAGCCCTTTAAACGTATCGTTACGTTTCGCGAGTATCATGTAAGCAGCCCGATTTCCGCGCTGAAACACGGAGTCTACCGTTGGAAACGGGGAAGCTTTTTACAGAGTACGTTTGCTCACAGTGCTTCTACACCCCCGAGTCTCCGCACATACCAAGACGAGATGTACCCTAAACAATGTCACTCTCCTACTCCATCCTACATCTTTACATTGTGTCAGCACACGCTCATCCCTCGACGAGCTTTTGCGTTGTTCATGCATGCCTATGTATAGAAACTTTCACAACTTCATTGTTAGTTTCTTCTTGTGATTGAAGAATCACGAATATATAAACTTTTATTCGCACGAAATACTGAATTCATACACACTCGCTCATACTCACTTACAGTTTTAACTCACCCTCCAACAAAGATCAACAACAATTCTGACAGCAAAGCCAGGAGATTTTGCTATTTTCAATCTCAACACCTATTTTCTAATCTAAAAAGCCACGTCACTATCAATAACAACCATGTCTGACAACGGCTACAATCCGCACTCCCCAGTCTCCGACAACGACGATAATCCAGATTCCCCAACCAACGGCAGACGCCCTCTACCAAGTTGGGCGATCGAGGGCCGCACCCAATACTATCCATACACTGACGTTCCCTTCCGCTACAATTTGAGGAGGGCTAAATTTCGGGCGAACGAGTTTCTCGAGACTGCCCCAAAGGCAACAGCAGAGCAAAAAGGGCGCGATGATTGCTTCTGCGGTGAGGCATACGATTTGGCGAATCACGTTGCGATCGTGCTGCCTTGCAACCATGTTTTCGGCCGGGACTGCATACGCGAGTGGCTCGCCACCAACCATGCATCCTGCCCCATGTGTCGTGCAGAGTTGTACGAAGACCTGAAGCTCCTTACCGACAGCGATGAATCGATACTCGAAGATGAAGAGGGTGCTCCTCCGGATTGTGTGAGGTTCGGAAACTTCTACAATTCGGAGGCTGGGGAGCAAATTTCCAACGAGTACTCGGATAGAGTGTATTTGATGGATATCCTGTATGGCAGAACGAAGTGGGACAAGGATCTGTTGGATGAAGAGGAGGCAATTGCGCTGACGAGAACTCGCAAGAACTGCGAAGATGAGTGCACAATAGTCTGTACAACCGATTATCTTCGTTGCTACAATCGAGAGTCAGATATGGAGTTCAGTTTCATGTTGCGTCTGAGATGGAACGAATCCGAGCACGCTGCACGCGAAGCTCGTATGGCTGAATTCCCCTCGTGGCAAATTCGTGAGGCCAAAAACTCACGAACTCATATCAAGTTTTTGCTCCAGCGCATATCCACAATCGAGTACAGGGAGGATACCAGGTATCCAATTGAGACGTTGGAAAAGTCTCTTCAGAAACATGAAGCGCTCCTTCGTGAACGTGGCGAGGAGCTCGACTAGGGAATCTGTCTAGCTTTTGCTGAGCAAGACGTGTCAGTCAAACGGCTCATACCATGAAGATTCTTACCGTGCATGTTCTGGGTTTTCCTCGTTCTTACTTCCTGCATAGCGTAATCCCGACTACCACCCTATCCCGTCTAATAGCACACATGTAATCCATTTGAACGTTTAGTACCAAACCTGTCATTCCAACACTTATTGATTTTTCATAATTTGATTGCCTCAAGACTTGGTCGACTACGTTTTTTGTCCGTAATTATTGTTTCCATGTGTCTCATCAACGATAAGACCCTCAAAATGCAATCCCACATTAGTTCTAGACATTCAGTCAAAGTGTCCACAATGATTCCTCGCGAGTTCGATTACAAGTATAGAGATATTAAACCAAATTCTTATTTCTAACTATTCCTTTTCCACGCATTAAAAAAAAAATCTGTCATAGACGCGGAACAAAGAGAATTAGTTATAGCTAGATCCTCTCAAACAAGCATGCGTGACAATGTACACCAAAACATTAACTACAGTCTTTTTAGTAATCGCCCGTCATTTTGGTAAATTCCTCGTTTTAAACCATCGCTGTGTGTAGGATCACCTAAACTCCAACTCAAAAAATAAAAATAAAAATAAAAATAAACATTAACCACTAAAAAAAAAAACGCGATAATGAGCCTGAACAGAACAAGAAACTCTTAGAAGGAACAATCTACAGAAAACGCACTTACTGCAGTCCCTATCTACTGCACTACCTCTCGTAAAACACACTTTCAACATCACCATCTCAATCCCGCTCCACTCTATATTCTCGCTATCCTAGCATTCTAAACAATAACCTAACAAACTCATAAACTATGAAAATACCATCACTATAAACACAGCTAATTAAACTATTACACACCGCGCACTCTATTAACCTATCGCGTTTCTACAAAAGACCTCATAGTGTATAGACTCTATGTCGTGCACAAACATCTGCCCCTTTCCTCCGTCCTATCACATCCAACCAAGTCAATCAATCTAAGTAAATAACCAAACTCAATCATTCCTTCAAAACAATACCGCCGCCGCCGCCGCCGCCGCCGCCGTCGTCATAGAGCTAAGTTATCCATATATCACAGCATATTACCAAAGACAGAGCCATGTTAATCTACTGTGAATCTATTGGTTCTAATAGAGAATTGTTAACGAGGCTGTGAAGGATATGCATGGATGGATGGTTGATAACTGTGTGTACGTGTGTGTGTGTATGTCTTCCATCCAAAGTCTCGAATACACAGAATCCAAGCCAAACAAACACTATCATGGATTAGCTCCCACGATATCTATCTAACTCTTAGACTGGCTCAATACACATGATTATTGTAAAAGTAACGCAAACAAGTTTGATGTGTATGAGGATATGTGTGTAAGGTCGATACGAACATTTGAAGGTAGAAGGATTCAAAGAAAAGGGTTACTTCAAAGCCCAAACCCAAGCTCATCAGCAACACCACTAACGCCCCGCAACAGGGTCAAGATGTGTTCTTGGAGTAGGGAGGTAGCTTTGTGAGTCCACAGGAGGTGGATGGGGGCGATTTCAGCACCGCCCTGCGCACCCGCCCCAGCCAACTTCCCCAACAACACCCTAACCTCTTCCCCTGCCTTCCCACCAGCTAAACCGCCTCTCCACCCCACAACAACACCCGCGACGAAAATCCCGCGGAGCCCGAGACTACATACATCACCGTTACTCTTGGAGCACCACCCCAAGGCCTGCCCGCCATCTCCTTGTTCCCGCGCGGCAGTGAGAAGAGCGAGTAGAGCGTCGTGTGTCCATAGAGCTAGATCTTCGCGTAAAGGAGGAGAGATGGAAGATGGAGGAATCGACGAGAGCACGCGAGACCAGAGTTGCGCATCTAGCGTGGCATCGTGGTATAGGTTCTGCTTTTCGGTCGCGAAGAGGAGGTTTGCGCTCTGTGCTGCTCCACTTGTATTGCTGTCGTTGGTGGTAGGAGGAGATGATGATGATGCAGGGTCGTTGAGAGAAGATTGCAGGGTTTTTGAGAATGGAGTGAGTGAAGTAGTGGATTCGGAGAGCGTGAGGCGACGGATGACTTCTTTATGCAGGAACGGGTGCATGGGGAACGTCTTGACTAGAAAAGAGGCGAGATAGTGCGATGTTAGGATCGGGACTTGACGTTGTTCTAGAGGGGTGGAGGTGGAGGAGTGGATGAGGCGGAGGGTAGCTGTCGAAGCCGCGTCTCTGATCTCCTCGTCGTCGTCGTTGAGGAGGTCGTAGAGGACGAATGCGAGACCGAGTGTGAGGGAGCTAGTGGGGTTAGTAGTGCGTGGCATGGTCCAGAGATGGTGGAGCGAGGCTATGGATTGGACGGCTGCGAAGCGGTCGTCAAAGGGGTTTGTGTCGATAATTGTGCGGCGGAGCAGGCGAATGTAGCGGGCGATGTATGGATAGAGGGTTTGGTGGTGCTGGGGATAGAGGTAGTGTGTTTGATCAACGAAGTGGGCCAGGAGACGGAGTGCGCTTCGTTTGTTTGATGGGGCGCTGTTGAGGCAGTGGGATTCGAGGGTTGAGAGCGTTGGTGTGACATTTTCTTCTGTGAAGGTTAGGTTGTTGGAGTGTTGAAGTGCATCTGCTAGAACTTCTTGCGCTTTGGATAGGACTTCGATGTGTTTGGTTTCGAGGATGAGTCGGAATAAGCCTTGGACAAGATGAGGTGGTGGCCAGACTGGCGCACAGGGTGATTTTAACTGAACGAGTTCATCCAGCGTATCTAAAGATACTAAGCAAGTGTCGACATCGTCTTTGGCGAGGAATACAAGAGCATCTCCAATATCCTGGGTCAAGGGAACATTCGGCTCGTGACACTGGAAGTGCACCCGGTCTATGAAGAACACCCGCGCTACAGATTGCCCAAAAAGAGCACTGTTGGCTTCGTAATGAGCTCCAAGCTCATACTCTGATCCAATTGAGATTTTATGTGTCAATTGTGCCCATGCCGCGCTCGTAGCCACATTGACGGGCATATTGAGCATCGCTACTCCGCACGAGCCGACGAGCTCTAGGAACGCGCTCCTATTTGGTGGGCATCTGCGTGACATGTGCTTCTCCGCTACATCATCAAGGCTGCCTATAGTTGCCGTAAGGACCTGGTGTTCTACTCGGCTTTGCAACAATCTTCTGAGCATATACTTGGCACCAAGCAACGATCCATGCTGCGTATTGGTCGGCTGATCGTAGCATTCTAGCAATGTCTTGATAGCCTGTTGATACTCATGCGGATGGTGCAGGGTAGTCACCGTTCTAGCAGCCATATCCCGCATATGCCAATGCGGACTGCCCAGTAGCTTTGTGACTGATTGCAGAATGGCTGGTCGATTCTCCTCGGGAGGAGCTGCTTGTCTCAATATCTGCAGCGCCGGGAATACTCCCTCCGCTCCGTGCAGATCCATGGGCGAGTTACTGTCAGGGGTATTTAACGATTCTTTCAATGGACCTTCGGGATCAAGAAGATTTTGTATGATGCCGATCAGGGTCGGGTAGCTGTCGAAGGAGAATCGTGATGACCGCACACCTTCGCGCTCTTTCCAGTCCTGTGCTTCATCGCTACCGAGCAGACGCTCAATCAAGGCTTTGAAGAGCATGAGACTGCAATTTCGGATGGGCCATCTAATTCAAGTCAGAAGGGTATTTGTTGCGATTTCCATGGGAGTCTCACATTTTGGAATTCAAGGTTCTTGCAGCGAGCTCTACGCCTTCTCCTAGGTACGCTTCAGATGCAACACTCAGCCGCGAAGACATGAAGAAGTCCTTGATACAGTTCAGCGCATGCACTTGGGGAAGTCGACTTTCTTCAATATTTGAGCTCTCTGCGTCTTGAGAAGCTTCCTTGACTAGATCCTGCATTGCTCGGGAAAACAGTTTTCCTCCAGGTTGTGGCTCTGCTGCTACAATGCCCGTCATAAGAGCAGGCAGACCTCCGGATCTTCTGGTAATCGTATCTGCTTTTGCTTGGATAGTGGCAAGCGTCTCCTATTGGCTTGTCAGTCAAGATTCTCCGAAGAATGACTGACCTGTACTTGCCATGTACCACTTTTCTGGCAGTGCACGGAGCGCGGGCTCCTCAGAAGAAGCGCAGCGACGGCAAAACGCCGAGAAAGTCTGCGCAACCGTCGAGAACGCGCCACGATGACGAAGCTCGACTAGTTGGTTAAAACAAAGATTGCCATACTTCTCAACCTTTTCTATGTCAAGAAGTGCACGCTGATCCTTTCTGATGGGACATTTCGTGATGAGCACGCGCAGAAAAACACTATAAAGTCAGTGTACATCACCGTGTTAGTAGGTTATACACTAACCTAGCTTCTTTCAAGCCTCTCCATGAATAGCTGAGAATCTCTTTTGTGTCCAGGCTTACTTCCTCTTCTAGGTCTTCTGGAACATGACCTTCAGGGGCGTCCGCACATAATATATTCCAAACGCAGGACCACAGAGACTCTACGCCTTTGAGAACTTGATCATGAATATCCCGCCATGTACCAAATTCCTCCGTCGATAAGGTATCAACATCACTGTAGAAATTTTCTTGATCAAGAATATAACTGCGCACTGTCAGATGGCGTCGACAGAGACTTTCGGGTAACAGTACCTTATCGCTGCAAATGTCCCATGAACCGGACGGCCGTTGACAGCTTCCGAAAGATTCTCAGTGGCGATTGCCAAAGTTTCTTTCAGTTGCTTATTGAGGTGGGTCAGAATCGCGAATTTCGTAGTTAGGCCAGATTGGAGGCCGCTGTCATTGCCAGTGATCTGGGAACTACTTGAGAAATACAAGGAGTAAGCCCTCGCAACACCATCTGCTTGATCAGCGCGACCAGTCCGCAACATCATCGCTTCTGCGCGATTGATGAAACCTGGTAGCTTGGCGAGTGCTGCTTTTCTTTCGGCATCCGGGGATGCTTCCAAGCATAGCTGTAGCGCTGATACTGAAGCGTCTCTGATATCATCAAAGGGATCAAGCATCAAATCTAAGAGTGATCTGAATAGCGTCGGATTGGGGATTGACAAACCGTGCACCCAGCTCAATTGGCTCTGTGCTCCCTTAGAAAGTAAATGGCGAGGCACGCGAGGATCGATGCCGGATTTGAGCACGACGATGAGTGCCCTTACTGCTGTTATGCGCCGCTGATAGGAAGCTTCCAACCGCAGGTCCCACTCTAAGACTCGAAGATACCATGTGATGAATCGCAGCGAGTCCAGCAATGGGTCTTGTGATTGGGAGGCATGGCTTGAACTTGAAGCCTCGGTGGCCTCTTTCGGAAACGGCAATCGCTCGCTGCCAGAAGTCTTTGTTTTGGCAGCTTGTCTCGCAAGTGTCGCGGTACTTCCTCGCAGGCGATCAAACAGCTTCTGCACATAGCTGAGAAGCTCTCGACGGAAGTTCGCATCCGAATCAGCGTGGAGATGAATGATGTTCTTTTTGAGTGCACTGAAAACGCCACCAGTGACGGGACGAGTGGCTGCCGAAGAGACAACGCACAAGTACAATCCGGCGAGTCTGACTTCCGGCTCTGGGTGGGACAGCCAGCCCCCGAAGATACTGTCGGGTATACTGATGGTATTTTGGTGTACCTCAATCGAGTTACTAAGTCGATAGTCTAGATATCCAGTCAGATTTGATACAAATTGAAAAAAGAGAGGAGAAAATAGGAACTGTTCAAGTACAGACACGAGAACGAATGTCTGGATAATGACGTACCGACATCCTTGACAATACCCAGCTCTTTACCAGTTTCAATAGCAGCAAGAAGTAATCGAAATTCTTCAGGGCTGCCATTCGCCTGGGAATTCTCTACCAAACTCAGAGACTTGAGCTGGGACGGCAAGCTACTCGTAGAAGCGACATAGCGATCAAATTGCAGATAATTAAGGAACTGAAGATATTCCTTCATATGCGGTTGAAAGCAATACGGAAAAACGTGAGTCTTGAACTCTTGTTTACGATCGGACCAAACGCGTAACGTTTCCACGACTGGCTCGATCCAAAAAGCGATAGACTTTTCCTCGGCATCCGGATTGACGGTTTGTAGAGATTGACGATACTGTGCTAGGAAGTTCCTTATGACGTGTCCAGCAGATAGGGATGTGTCGTGATGAACAATCCATGCCAGGAATGTTTTGAACAACGATTGGAAACTTGCAGTCTGCGCGTTAGAGGCTTTGAGAGGTGACCGTTTGAGCAAGTCCGCATAGCTCTCGACAAGCTGGGATGGAGTGACGACACTTTTTTGGAGGAAGTGGGATAATCCCTGCAGCGCAGGCTTTACCCTCACACGGTCTTGACGCTCGCATATGATATCGAGGAATACCTCGACTGCTCTGGTCTGTAACAGGGATGATTGCTCGCCTGGATTCTTAAGTAAGACGTTGGTCAAGGTGAGCAATACCTGTCGGATAGATTTGCTTTTGGCATTGTCGGAGCGTGTGAGGTAGATGTTGAAGAGGCGGTTCCAGATGGTGTCGTCCAGGAGTGCATCACGTGCATACTGTGTGGTGGAAGACTGGCATCTATCGATGATGGCACAGAGTATGTTGTACGCCGCCGCGCGATAAGATTGAGAAAGATCAGGTGAGTCCGCCGTCGCAAATAATGGCTCGAGAACAGCATGTAGGCCTCTGTAAACGAAAAGATTGTTAACGCTTCTGTCTCCAAGCAAGAGCATATGTACTGAAAATGCACGGACTTCGTTTCCTTACTTGACACCAAGAGCGGGCTCTGTTGTTGAAAAATCCGGAATGACGCCAGCTAGGTCTCGAGAAAGCTCCCGCAGAGTTCCCTCGGGGATTGGGACCGGCGAGGTCTTGATTTTATCAGCCATGTTGAGAGTTCAGTCCTCAAGCGCAGTTTTCCATCGCTCTGCCCGCATCGCGGAATCAGTCATCGTGAAGGAAAATGTGAAACGCTAACCGATTTTGGTGATGACTAAGCCTTTCCTCCGTCTATCCTATGCACCAAGTTCTTTTTCCACGAGACCGGTGATTTCCTTTTTCCTTTGCCTGCTAGTTTCATTTGGCTTTGAGAATTATTGAATGGCCTCTTGATCCAAGTCAAGAGGAAGGCCCCACTCCTCGCCATTGGCAAACCAGTTCAGAAATTGAATTTCTCCTACTTCATTATCTGAGCGAAATTGGTATAGAAACTGAATAGCAAAAGGTATTAATTCTCCAGCACTCTCCGGACTTGCGATGCATGCATGTCATTACTTTACAACAAAATAGCTATCTACTGATCAATAGGGATATCGGCCTGGATGTTGCCCGCTTCGACTTTGGCTTCCTCCCACGCGGCCTGACTACGGCGTGCCCAATCTATGTGGCACTGTGCGAATTCCATCTGTAGCAAAGAAAGAGTTAGCGTATACCTGCTACAGAATAGGGGCGGTGAAAACATACCATGTACCGCCTGAGATCGTTTTCTTTTTCCTCTTGGAAGCGGCGTAAATCTTTAAGTACGCCGGTACTTGCGTCTTTTGTGTCCTTCTCCGCAACTTGCAACGCTTGTTCGAGCTGTGAAGTCTATTGTTAGCAACAACTCAGCCTGATAGGTTTTGGAAACAATAAAGACGCACCTGCTGCAGACTTTCCCTCGTCTTGCCCATCTGGTCTCTCCGCGTTCTCTCCGGGTCTACATCCGCCATGCCCCTGAACGCATGCGTTATTGGCCCAAAAAGCTTGTTGGTTACAAAGTTGCCGCTAGCACTTTTTTTGTGCGGACTGGCAGAAGACGGGGGATCAGGGGTGCCTTGCGAGGCTGAAGGGTGAAGGTCGCGATCGCCATGGGTAGGTGGGAAGTCGGAGTCGATGGATGCCGTGTCCTCTTCAGGCCGGCGCTCTTGGTTGCTACGCTGCGAGCTCTCCGACGTTGATCGCGCGCGCGGTGGGTTGTAAACGCTGGCCCCGCTGAGGTGCTCTTCCAAACGCTTCGCCTCGGCTTCGCTCCGTTCAAGCGAATCTAAGAGCGCCTTCTTCTTTTCCAATTCGTCTTTGGTCATTTCCTCCTGTATGCGCTTGAGAACGCGGTACCTGAGCACGCTGCGCACCACACCGGCGAACTGCGCGCTTTCGCGCATCGGCTCAGCAAAACTGGCACTCAGAGATGATGAAAGTTCTGCCGTCGCAATGTAGGTTGAATCCACCGCTTGCCCGGTCTTCTCGATCGATGCCGCAAGGGACTGAGACTGCTCAGAAAGCGAAAAAGCGTTAAAGCGGGCGCCCAATTCTGCCAAATCATCACCCAGCGCTACGAGATGTGAGAGTGTGCGCCGATTCATCTTCTCCATGCTGCCTTGCAGCAAGCTCTCCAGCTCTTTTGAGGACGATTCAAAGTTGACAAAATATGGATCTAGTTCCTCCTCGGATAAACTCTTTGTCTCTGGGGGAAAGCGGCCGAAGATTTGCGGACCGGTGATAGTATGGGCGGCGACGGATGGCTGAGCGGCATAGTTCGGCGGCGAGGTGGGGGTTCCCGACGATGAGGTAGCGCTATTGGACTTGAGCTTCGCGGACGATGAGGGGACAGGGAGGTAGCTATGAGCTTGAGATGGGTTTGCGGTGTCGAGCGGGGGTGCTTTGAGGACCTGTTTGGGGATGTTGGAGACGGGTGGTGAATTGAGGAGCTCATTCTACAGCTTCGTATCAGCATAAGTCAAGCACGCGCCATATGAAGGAACCCTACCCAGCCAGTGTGAGGATCAAGGAAGCGCCAAAACACGCCGTCGTCGAGCACATCGAACATCTTGCGACAACGATTCAGGAAAACGGCGAGCATGCGCTTCCTCAACTCGATGATGCCTGCATCCTCCTTTGCTTTTGTAGGTTTGGCAGCATAGTCGGCCATGGTGTGTTTCTCGGGTATAGGAGGGATGATGAGGGTTGGGTGAAGGTTGACCAAGGTTTGGCGCAACGAGGCGAATTCGGAATATCTGCGCCGCACTTCGATGCCCTATACCGCAGCTCAGTTTCGCGATCTTAGAAAGGGAACAATGTCACATGAATTAGTGAGATAGAGAGGCGCATACCCCTGTGCTTATGGTGTAGGCAATATATCCGCCGCCTCCCTCGAGATTCTTGCCGGCATAAGTGATGAGGATGGAAGAATCGGGATTCTCGTATAGCCATTCCTCGACGCGGCTGTCGTAGCGACCCTTTCTATGAGGCGGGTGGGCGGGGCCAACGGTTGCGCCGGAGCCTTGCTGATCGGCGCCCGAGAAGCCCCCATCGTCTTCGTCGTCGTCGTAGTCGACATCGCTCATGGCGCGTTGAGGATTGTAATCTGTGGCATCGAAGGCGGGGGAGTCCGGGTCTGACGGCGGCGTGGCGGGGCGGTAGGGCACTGATGATGAAGAGGTTGGTTATTGACTGTGGATCTTGTATCGCAGCATCGCTATATCTTACATGAGCTGGGGGAGGAGAGGCCGGGAACATGGGAGGAATTGGAGTCGTGGCGGGCAAAAGAGCCGTATGGGTTGTTGTCTTCATCGTCCCACATGGCGACGGCAGCGCGGAATGTGGTCTTGCCGGTGGGGGGTGGAAGGATGCGGATGGAGCGGGATCACTGGGCAGATGTGACAGTAATGAATCTATGGCTGATTAATACTATCTTGGTGGATCGAGGTGGTTCCCTTCTCTGCTGTTGCGGGCGAGGATGATATGATGCTGCTGATGGTGAGCTCCCAGCCTGGCTGCTTGCTAGCTATTCCAGCGGGCGAATGACGTTGGCCTGGTCCGAGCGCTCGCTAAACTTAACTCGAACCTCATCAACCCTGTCCTGTACACTCTTCCACCACCTCTTCACTTGACCTCTCTCATCTTTCCGACACCGACTCTTACAACGCCCCCGCCTCGAATCCCTGCAGTGGAACGATTGCATCACAGGCGCGAATGCCTAAACTGACTTGTCTGGAGAGTTTTTTTTTTTTAATCTCTCCTTTCTATTTACGGCAGATCATCAGTCCTCAGTCCCTTTCATCAGCCTGTCGAGGACTGCTAATGCACAAAAGTAGATATATCTGCACACGCTACATAGGCAGTAGGTAGAATACTACTAGTCAATAATCAATGTCATCATCAGTCAGCTCAGCCTTCGTATTTCAGCGGACTGAACCTCTCCTCCGACAAATTCATTCACCTTTCATGCGGTCTCTTCCTTTTCCAGTCTTCCGAGTTACTATGATCGCCTTCCAATCGCTCTATTACCTTTCCTATCATCTTCGCAGCAGGCAGCAATCACTGACTCATTCAATTAATTTCATCGTCCGCCTTGCCATCATGACACAGCCGCACAGTTTCTTTCCGTTCGGTTCCTTGACACCCTACCTTTCGCCTGTCTCCGGATTCGATTCACGTTGAGGCGGGGGGCAACCGGCTGTCAACTAATAGAAATGACCTTATAAAAGAACATGATGTACCAGGATCTACCCCTTAGCCTGCTATCGCACTGACCGATAAGTCACCTCCCACATACCGTGTTAACGTGTTTCCCTTTCTCCGGAGTCCTCTTTATCATCCACTAGAGATTGGGATTGGCAGCAATACCCCAGCTACCAGATGTTTCTATAGCATCCATACAAGACGTGCTTGTATCCGGAACTACCCAAACTTCCCCATTATTACGCATCGGCTTCGAAAATTTACACGTCCAATTTTATCTTGTCATACCAATCGCGGCTGGTCAAGTCAACCGCCAGTCAACCGCAATTGAGAGGGGTGAGATTGCTGATTTCTGGGATGTCCTACCCAGAAGAAGCAAGCAGCCGTCGCCATGCGAAGTTCAATTGGGACGTTGAGGAAACCCAACCTCTCCCGCGCGAACGTGCAAGGAGATTGCATCCACGTAATACCAATCATGAAGATTACTCAATGACCAACCGCAACCCTCCGTGGAACGACTACAACACAGTATGTCCATGCCTTGTACAACTTACCTTTGCCTAGTGCTTTATGCTGATATTTCGTAGCGGAACGAACCGAAACACCACAATCCCCAGACGAGTGATTTTTACAATCCTCACCACGAGTGGCCTTTATCATACTCCGATTCCACCACTTCCCCATATCTGCAGCAAACCTCAACACGCCCTGCTGCCAAAAGCTCCTTCACCTTGCCGTCCACAGACAACACCGGCTACTCGGCGCCAATTCCCCCACGACTCAAAGACTCTAGGCGGGCTACATTCTTGTCTTCGGCAGGCACTGAAGAATACGACAGGTCAGTATGGCATCGCTCTCAGGCAGTGCAACCCATGCGTGAATTTGACCCTTCTATCCACCATGGCAAGTCGCAATTCATGCCAGACTATGTTGACACGCTGCAAAGCCAAATGAATCTTATAGGCTACGCTGAGAGTGATGACGACCAACCACATCGCAATACGGGTCAGCAGTCCGCATCCAAGCACAGAGGTGATAGCCGTCATGCCTCATCAAAGAAGGAAGATATACCTCGGGTTGCCAAACCAATGTCACCATACGAGAGGGAAGTTGCAGATGCTCACGAAACACTCGGACTGCTTGATGCTACCATTAACAAGGAACTTGATATGCATCATGTGAAGACCATTGTCAAGGAATACATGCAAGCTTTCCCGTCCGAGACAGAGAGATTCGTATCGGCATTCAAGACTATCTGTCAGTTCCAAAAGATGAAATTCGGAAAGGCCAGTTCGTATGAGCGAGCCGTGCATAGCAGATCAGTGGCTCCGTCTTCGCGCGATGAAGGTCCTGATCATCGTTCTGCTCCTCGAGGGGAAACACAAGATAGGCTTAGGAAGTCGCAGGCACCTCCGGGAATCAGGAGAGAAGAGCTCGCTAGGGACTCTCAGTCATTTCATGCCGATACAACACAAAATCCTCGAAAGCGCGGGCCCTTCCGTGACTCTTCCAGTGAAGACAGGACACCGCCTGCAACTGGCACATCGGAGCCCAAACCACCAGTCAGTCCACCCAAGAAGCGTCAAAAGCTTCTGCCTACTGGCACATCGGGCGAAGGGAACATCAAATCACTACTCAAAAAGAAGCAAGATCTTCAGGTTACGACAACCGAGCCTGTCAAACCAGTGGAAAATGCGATTACATCTGGGGTAGGTATGGTTGCCTCCACCCCGGACAAGAAGGACTCCCCACGAATGGCACCCTCGATTGATAAACAAAAAACGGATAATCGTCCGGGTGGAACCACAAACCCTTTGATACCAGGCGCACGTACGGTGGTGAAGCCAGTGGCAAATACGCCTTCAACTACCTTCGCTAATCTATTGGCTGCCGCACAAGGTAGCAACTTGCAGGAAACTCAGGGGAAAGATCAAAATGTTCCGTCGACGAGCAAAGCGCAATCCAAGCAAACTCCTACAGCAAGTCCACCAGTGACCGATCCGAAAAAAGGGACTTCTAAGACCACGACTTTCTCTACTCAGAAGCCATCTAGCCCACATGATTCACCGAAGAAGCCCTCGTCGGCTTCATCATCTCACGCTGAAAACGATCCGAGACAGGTAAAAAAAGATGGTTCTGGCAATGAGGCACTTGCAAGTTCCTCTTCACCACCCAAAACTCGTACTGAGCGGCCTGCATCTGGGAGTATGCTCATGAAAACTTCTCAGACTCAGCCCGATGCAAAGTCTACTAGTCAGGCGACTGCACCCAGCTCGACAAATTCCAAGGTTACATCTTCTGTTAAATCCACTGCTACAACTGACGGACCGCCAATAGCCGGCAATCTGTCGAAGCTTGCCCGGTTGAAACAAAAGCGCAATGAGCGACAGAATCGATCTCCGGACGCCGCTACATCACCACAAGCGACTCCAACATCATCCGCTGCACAGAAAGAGAAAAACAGCACTACTCTACTAAATTCGAAGCCTTCTGTCCTTGCGAATGAGAACACTCCCGGGAAACCGAAAAAAGGGGCTGTTTTGAGCATTGCCGCGTCCAAACCAGGCAACACTACCGAAAGCACTGTCGTTTCGCACGGCACCGCTCGATCCGAAGGCCCCGATGGTGTAATTCAGACTCAGGCCAAGTCTTCTTCTCATCCCACCCCGAAGACCACCAAGAAACTAAATCCAAGTAATCCATCCTTCAAAGCTACACCGAGTGCCCCCAAGACTTCGCCCAAAACCGGCATCCGTCCATCTACCGTGGGAGTACAGCCCTCGGAAAGGGAGTTGCAGACTGTATACCGTGAACCGTCTGAAGTAGTCCATCTCAAAAACGTCCTACCAGCACCCATCAAGGATGCCGAACCCTACTTCGAATTCGCTCTTTACGAGAAGTTTTGGTCTGACGATAACGGGGACTCGCGCGTCATTGCAAAAGAACCGCCTGGATACCTCGTCACATCTGTAGAAAATGCCAACCATCGCGCTAAAGATTACTTCATGGAAACCATCAACCACCACTGCAATGCACTCCGTGTCAAAGTCATGAACACTAAAAGCACTCGCAGCAACGTCGATGATTGCATGACTTTCAACGCCACTATGGAGAGCGTGGACATGCCGGATCGCAAATTGTACCTTGAGGTTGCAATTAAAAGGTACTTTGTTGATGCCGCCACGGCAAGCATGCGGCCTCCGCCCCCCGACACCCCTTATATTGCGAAGATGATGTATATAGTGAATCTATACCGATTAGTCGAGGTCCCCGAGCAGCAAGAGCAGACTGCCGATCGAGCTACTACTAGTTCTTCTTCACGCTCGCGCTCATTCTCCTCCTCATCCTCCAGCTCAAGCTCCATCTCCAGCAGCGGAGACGAAAACGACAGCACTTCCTCCATGTACGCCAGGCGTCACAAAGAAAAGCTTGCAAACGCTCACAAGCGAAAGCGACGTTCGACCACCAGTAACGACAATGATCAAAAACACACATCCCAACCATTATCTAAAGAACCTAACTACCTCCGAATCCATACCCGTCCTCTACCTTCCAACCGCTGCGAAGCCTATACCACCCGCGCAACAGCTAATGCCGCCGCCTTCGCGGTTCAGGTTGATCTCAGTCACGACAAGGAGGCGCGCGGCGCGAATGCGAGGTGGCAGGAGCAAAATGTCAGAGTGTTGAGAGAAAAGCTTGATGCGTTGCATACCGAGGAAGAACAAGATGATGGCTCAAGTCATGAAGAGGGGAAGGGATGCTGGAGAAGCGAGTTCAATGAAAGTGGGCTTGGTGGAGCAAAGTTTGAGATTGTAGTGCAAAGAGTCGGTGTTTGTGGGCCTAGGAATGTTTAAAGGAATGAACGGTTATTGGAGCTACAGTCGCGGAACAGTTGGTGATATGGATTTATTTCTTTTCCTGATTGTTGACTAGGGAGTTCTTGTTTCTTTCGGCGTCTGCGAGCGATTCCATAACGACCGGAAGTGATATATCTCACTGTCTCTTAACATTCTTTCTCCTCTTCACGGATGAGACATTTCAGATATCTATTTGTAACCTTCTGTATATCATGTTTCTCATATGTATAGATGAATTGCCTCTCTTCTTGGTCTTATAGTCATGAGCAGGGGGCGGCGAGCTACTCAAGAGAGGTCCCGAGGATTTAAAACACAATTATTCAACCTTCATTCGAATCTCCCTCTCCCCTTTCTCTCTCCTTCTCCCTCTGCCTCGTCTCCTCCCTCACAAACCGTTCCTCCCTCCACCTCGGCCCAAACTTGATACCGGCCCACACCGCTATTCCCCCAACGACCCCAACCACACCCCCAACAATCGTATAACACCACCCTAACCCCACCCCGTCAACAACCACCTGCACAATCGCCGTTCCCCCCGCGCTAAGTGCACACCTACACAGATTCACCGCCGCCGTCACCGTCGCGGGACTCTGCGGATACATGTCGATCAGCAGCGCCTGCTGCATGTTCATCGCCGCGGGAATACACGCGCCGCCGATGAAGAGTAACACTAGTGGCGCGGCGAGCGAGGTGTGTGAAGAGAGCGTCCAGCCCCAGACTAGAATCACGAGGGAAGAGATGAGGGTTGGGAGGGGGAGGTACTGGAGGCGGGCGCGCTCTATAGGGACTTTTGTTTTATAGAGGTTAGTGTTGGTGGTGTGGGATGAGGTTGGTAAGTGAATGGGAGATGGAGGAGACAATAGGGGAGATGACATACAGTGGCGGAGATCGTGGCCGCGGCGCAGATGGACAGGATGGTTCTCGAGATGCGCTATCCGGCGGAAATTCCAGTCTAGCAGTTTCCCGGCGGCGATTGTGCCTAGGACTGACCCGGCGCTCATGGGACTAGTCATTTGTTTCGTCAGATCGATATCGACAACGTGATTGGTATGTAAGGAAGGGGTTATAAAGCCTTGGAGATTGACGTGTAGTAGAGGTTGGGGACCGGCGAGAAACCGAGAGGATGGTGTGCAAGGACATAGACAGGAGACGTACAGATAACACAACCCAATCTGAATCTGATTGAACCCATACACGTCGGCGAAAACAGACGGGATGGGAACCATGAGCATGTAAAACCCCGTCGTCAACAACGACGTCAGCAACATGGTCAGCGCGACATCCTTCTCCGCAATCACGCGCAGCGTCCTCAACGGGTTCGGGATCGCGAGGCTTCTCTTCCCCGCGAGCTCGTTTTTCCGTGCTTTCCGCAGATTCTCATGGGATTCGTGCTCGGCACCTTCAGAAACCTTGATCTTGCGGTCGAACCGCGCGTTCCAGATACTCCTGTTCCAGTCTTGCGGGGGGATCGACCCGTTCTCGACAATCTTCCGGCACGTCTCGGGGACGAAGGGGATGTATAGGACGAGGTATGTTCCGCTGGCGATGGTCAGGAACCAGAAGAGCGCGCGCCAGCCGAGGAACTGCGTGAGGACGCCGCCGATGGTAGGTGCGATGGCGGGACCGAGCATCACTTGACGACCCCCAAACGTTCCAAACACGTCAGCTTTCTCATCAATCACTCCCCACAAAAAACTCAACTTCCAACAGCTGGATACGCATCGCTGGACACGATGATAGGGGGGAATGGGGTGGGACTGGACTGGACTGGACTGGACTTACTCCCCGCCTGCACATAGCTGATATACCCCGACCGCTCCGCAGGCGCCGCAATATCAGCCATGACCGCATTCCCCAGCGCAACAGTCCCACTGCTCCCCGAACTCTGCAACGCCCGCAGCACAAGCAACGCCCCGTAATCCGACTGCGTGGCCAGCCCGATATTCGCAGCCACGTAGATGGTCAGCGTGGTGATGTAGATAGGTCTCCGACCTAGCTGGTCCGCCATGTCGCCAAAGAACATGGGCGCGAGCGCTTGTAGAATCATGTAGGTTGTCACGCTTAGGTTTATGCGGGTGATGGAGACGTGGTAGTAGTCTGCGAGGACGTCGAGGGCAGGGAGGTAGATCATGGAGGAGACGGGGGAGAAGAGGCTACTTGTTGCCGACATGAGGATGATGAAGAGCTTGAGGTGTCGGGAGAAGATTGTGTATGGTTCTTCCTCTTCCTCTTGGGGCTGAGGTTCCGGAGGAATACTTATGGTCGTCATTGGATTGGTAGAGGTACAAGTTGTAGTAACGACAGGCGCAGCGTCTTGAACGATGCAGTCACTGTTCTTCTCCGGATCTTTTGCAGTTGGTGTTGGTGGTGCCATGATTCCTGCGGTTCCTTTGGGGTTGTTGAATCCAGAATTCTATGTCTATGTCTATGGGAATCACTAAATTCGAAAAGACGATATATTTCTCAAGCTTTTTGGGCAAATGACTATGTGCCACCACGATCGCGCCGGGTTTAACTTAACTCCGTAGTGAGATAAATATCCTATGCCGAGCCCCGCGAGGGCTGCATATACCACATCGGGAAGTAATTGGCAAATACGAACATTGTGCAGTGCGCACTGGTATATTTATTTCGCGTTGTGAGATTTGATCGAACGGCACTGATTGTGGTGATTTGCGGGAATGGCGAAAAAAAGATTATTGAGTGATTGCATTTCTACTCAGCCCCTTGCTATCTAATATATCATTCCTTTTTTGAGCAACTCAACGATTGACACAATATTATGTTACAATTTTAAAGCTCTGAAGATTCACACAGTTTGAGTGACCGCCAGGCAAGCTCCGCAGCGCCCCTTGCAGTGACATACTCGGGCTCCGAGACCAGCAAATCCAGCTCAAATTCAAAGGCCTGGACTGCTCTCTTCACGGCTTCCACGATTTCATCGCCTACATCTTGACCCGTTATGATAGCTAACATCTTCCTCGGGGCCGGACTCGCCGTACCATAGTACCTCTGTAAAAACAGCAAGATTGCTTCAGGAAGCTCGTCACCCCCGTCTCTCTGCTGGCTCCCAAGACTAAAGTCAGCGTAGACGCTGGTATCATGGCTTCCGAGATCGTGAGCTTCGCGCATAATCTGCGCGTTTAGGAGGAGCGCATTATTGGTGTACTCCACAAACAGAGTCTCGTGAACCGGCATCTGGAGACCCTCTTGCCTGCAAGCCTCCTTGTCTTGATACGTCTCGCAGAGACCGCGGCCATGGCCAGCGAATGCTGCGACCATATTGCGAGGCTGGTAGATATGCTGGCCGTATAGCGTCTTGACGCCGAGATATGAGGCGGCGTCGACGATATCTTCCTGTGACAAGCCGTACATGGCAGGGAAGCTGATCACTACTGGAAGTTCTCGTAAGACAAGTCCCGGTGTATCAGTCGGCAGATCGAGGAGCTGTTTCAGCATGTTGCTCAGTAAACCCACATCTGCGGACGCTGGCAGTCCCAGTGCTTTGCGCGTTCTTCGGCGCAACTGGCGTGGCCAATCTTTCCAGAGCTCTTCCATCGTGTCGTAAGGGGGGCTACAATTTGGATTCAATTAGCATTTGCTGCTTGCATTTCGGTGGGCTGCAGAAGTTACCTGGGATGCTTTGCATCTCGCGATGATAACTTCCACATCATCTCGACGTATTCTTGATCGCCTTCGATACGACCGACGTCTTCAAATGATCCATCCTCTTTTCGAAGAGAAATCACGGCATTGTCAACCGACAAAGAGATGCCAACTCCCGGCATATCCTCTGCCAATACACTATGGGGCTCACCGCCGTGAAAGGGCAGCAATAGATAGATGAGGACGACAATCGGTACCAAAAAGTAAAGTTTCGGGGGCATCATGCTAGGCTCGAAATACTGCGTCTCCCAGAATCGACTTGTCGAGGAAATTTCAGTGAGTGGCTTGCACGTAGACGCCGACAGATTGTTGTAGGCAACCAAGGAGGCTTGAGCTATTCTGGGAAAAGCAGATCGGTGGAAGATGCGGGGGCGGATCTACCTATCTATGTACTCATGCAAGAGCGAGTATGTTGGTACAGTAAGCAGCCCCCAACACAATCGCATATACCAAACATAGTAGTAAATTGTCGCAATTCTATGCGGCACAAGCTCTTGGTAGTACAAAACACAATAAATCTGCCTTTGAGCTCTAGGCAGAACACCCAAAACTGATGAGTCGTTACTTGAAATGGCCGAGTGCGGATTGGGTTAATGAGGACCTCAACGCTACAACTTAACAATCTGAATCGACTCTATTCAATAATGAAGAGATTTTATCTACGGTATTGCGTGAATACGATGATAATAAACATATCACGTCATCCAAACCTTTAATCTTAAGTGTGGGCAAATCAAAGCTTGTTGTGATGCTGCGGTCAAGTCGGAGTTCCAGTCATCAATCTTATGATACCGATCCAGCCACTAATCTTATAACACCGATCGATCCGCACGTGGCCATGAGGTATCAGGCGGAACTTAGGCATCCTACTTTTTTGTCTGTAACCAGCTTTCAGGGGTGCGATACAATCACTCTATTCAATTAGGCATCCTACATCTGAAATAAACATCGTGCCTGGTTTCAGCGTCTTGTTGGTGTCGTTGCGAATATCAAGAACATGAATAGAAGCGTGTACTACGACGAAGTCGTTCGTGCCGTCGAAAGACTATAATAACATACTTGAATCACGCATATCATGTCGCATTTTTCAGCAGAGGAACACAATCTTTGAAACTTGTCTTGACTGACTCTACTTGTCTTTACATTCACTCTTTTTTTGCCTTTCAAACATGGTGGTTCTCCAAGCCAACGCTATCTTTATTCTTTTGTCGCCCTTAACACGTACTTAAAAGCAAATAATTCCCTAAGAGTTGCATAGCGTCCTACACTAAAGGGGTCGCGCTTAAACAGGCTAGCAGATTCTAAAAGGGCCAAGGCAGTCAAGTTAATGTTAAAAATAAGCATCTTATACAGCATAGACATAGTCCTAAGGGTAGCTTTAGCTTTAAAATAGAGAATAAGAGTTTAAACTAAACTTAAAAAAATAACCCGCGTTGCAAATAAACATGTGTAGATCCAATTTAGCTAGCGCAAGAAAGATAGCAAAGAACAATGAGAAAGATTGATCCTCCGCGTTTGAACACCTACGCCGCCACTGTCACTTTAAAAGTAGCACTCCTATCTCGTTCCGATAGTCTAGGTGCACGCACCCGATCAACTAGCATATCGTAACGTCATTCAATCTAACCATTCTTCTTCGTGAAAATAAACGCCAGCGGCTTGATGCTTCCGTTATTGACTTCAAGAGCGACGAATTCGCCTTTGTCGCTACCACATTGGCAAACCCAGTAGCTCACAATTCTTTTCGGGCTCTCTTTGGCACGTATGCAGATGGAAGCCTTGTCCAGAATGGGGGATTCGTTCTGGTCATCGTCAAGCTTCGAACTGTCGCGAAACACAAAAATAGTCTCAGGGGTGGTATCTTTTGTGCAAAGAAACCTCCACTCATGTCTTGGGAAGTAAGGATTTTTGAACGCGTCACCACGACTGTGAAAGTCGAATGACAAATAGAGTTGAGATTTTGGGTTCCAGATACGGTATTCCGTATTGTAGAGCGGCTAAATTAAGTAAAGTCTCCGTTAGAAACACTGCTGCCATGGTTTATTTCGAGAAAAGGTATTTAATAAAGGGGATGATTTCAAGCATACCTCACTCACTGGTCCTCCTTTCTTCGTCTTTAAGATGAATGCAAGGTCCTCCGTGTTTCGCTCTTTCTTGATTGGCCCAAGTAATGCAGCGCCTATGTCGAGATATTTATGGGGAATGGGAATCCTCTTGTCATTGACGGTGGTATCCGCGTCAAACAACGCAGCAGCATCCTCTTCAAGGGATTAGCCAGCTATGCTGAAAACAAAAACACGTAAATCATCGAAACATACCTAGGTTTTTGATTTTCTTATCGCAGGTAAGAAGATAGCGACCATTTTCAACTCCGTCCAAGTTCAGGTAGAACTCTTGCGGTTTAATGGGCGTAGGAGGCGTCATTTTTGCCGTCCATTTCTTGACGTTGGCCGGCAGATCTTCCCAGCCCGGCATTTCACCGATCACATCGAGTATATGGCATACATGATCACGCTTTGTTTCTAATCAGCTAATTCATCCCAAAAGTCGGGGTATACTACCACTAACCATGGTGATCCTCCAATTCCAATGGTATGCAACCGATGCAGCCCAGGCACGGGGACTACACAAGCGACTATTAGTGAAGCCGCAGGCAATATCGGCAAGCCAGGCTCTTACTCGTTACATAACAGGGTGTCTCCACCATTAGCTTGCCAGGTTTGGGTATGCAGTAAGTTTGCATTCATGCTCGAGTTGTTCGAACTGGAGTCCGCAGCGTGAGAAACAGATGCTGAGCCACCGAAGGAAGCAACGGCCCCTGACCCGCTGAAGGACACTGAAGCGGCCGCTTTCATGGATCTTTTCAATGCCTTGCTGGTTTCACCTGAGGTTTCATCAACCTCTTCCGAAGTGAAGAGTCTTCCTCCCAGTTGAACCCGCCGGCTATAGAACTCCCCTGGTAGAGTCAATCAGCAGATTTATTCTGTCAGCATTTAAGTCGCTTACCATATTTGTCGAGGAACTTGGTCAGCGATTCGATATTATCCACTTTTTCCAAGGCTTTCTCGCACTCCGGAGTGAGTCCGATGCTGTGTTTGTCTAACAAGTCTGTGACTCGAGGAAACTAGACATTACCTAGTGAGCTGAACGATCTGGAACGAGGGTTCGTAGAGATACAATATATAAGTATCAGCGACATCACTTACATTGTAAGCGAGAATTATCTGTTTTGAAGCTTTCGTAGTTGCAGCATTGGTTGAGTCGCCGCCTGATTGTTTGTAACTGGCTGAACCCTCTGCGCTGAAACCAAAAGCGGACCCGGACCTTGTATAACTGAGTGAACATTTTCACATCGAGCATGGAAATTCATCTTACGCTGAGACTGATACATCTGTTTCACTAAACGACGACATGGCCAAAGATGCTTGAAAAGTATTTGTGGTTTCATACACAGTCACGTACGACTGGTCGTCGACGATGTAGTCTGGAATGCGGAGGAACATCTAGGGAGGAACAGATGTTAGTAACCAGTAATACAATGTTTTGAGTAGTTTTTATATATTCACTGACCTCCACATCCTTGATTGGGGTGCTGGTAATTCTATCAGAGAGTAGAGTGCGCTTTTTCAGTCTGAAAGCTGTTTAAATGTAAATAATTGTGTACGCAATGACGATTGAGCTGTGACAAACCAGGAAACTTCGCTCGCTCAACACCGGTCAGCAGTGTTTGATTCTCAGGTGACTCCGTTGAATCAGAAGAACCGGTCATTGAGGAGTCAGGAACAACGGTCCTAACAGTCTTTCATGCAAGCTTGGTACCAAAGCACAGTGCGTTATTCTCTGAGATGATGGACCAATCTTGCTCTTCGAGCTCGGCAGTATACCTAGAGATCAACAAGTTACTCTAGGCCTCTGCTATACACACGTTGTTTGACGTACTTGGCCGCAGTTCCCGTGATGACCTTGAAGGTCGTGTCATCGAATGCGGCTTTAAGACGCGAAAGAGTCACCGGGTCTGGCTTGTAGGTTAAGGCGTCCCCGTTAGGCTACCCCATATATTAATACAGATGCGTTGATGTCATATTGCGTAAAATATGACTTACTGAAGCCAGCGTATCGGCGGACTTTCTCAGGTAGACATCAATCACAGGGGCTTTGTCAGTTTCATTGGCTGTCTGTAATATTTTCTCTTGATATTCAGAAAGCAGAACAGTGTCGGGAACGATAGCGCCATTTCGAGAGCAGAAACTAAGCGTCGCACTGACGAATATAACAATTAGCCTTCTTTCAACGCTCTCTGTAAATGAGCGGAATCGGGTCTAAACTACTCACAATTCTTGCTGCTCGCGTGACTTGGCGATGGAACGCCGGATTTGACCCAGGTTCGCATCACTCAGCTCGGTTGTGGTTGTTAAAATGTAAAAACCCTCTTTGGGCATAGTACCATCATGCAGAAAGACCTTAACATATCGGACTAAAATAGTGAGAAGCCGTTTCATTGCGGGTGAGTCATCTAGCCATCGAATTGAAACCACTCACCTTCTCCGGATGGTTTTACTATGTTGTTGGCAGAGGCAATACTGCTGTCGACTTTTACACTTGCAGCCAAATTAGTTGCGGTATACTATGATTGAGTTGAATGTTTCTATCTGAATGGATCAGAATGTTATGTAGGTTAATGAGGTGAACAACCTCTACTTTATACAAAGTTGCTTCTACACATGCGTCAGCATGGCTGATTCAATTTTCTACACAGAGCGGCACTACTAACGAAGGATTCTCCTTCACATAGCCAATCGTGTGCTGTAGGCAGGGATACGTCACACAAGCTAATCTAGATGGTGTACAGTATTCGTTCATAGATACCAGTGAAACGTCAACTCGTCATACATTTTTCTTTTGACTGACTGACACGGGAAGATATGGTTACTTTATGAGAGTGCGATCATTTTCACGTACAGTTGCGGGAACCGGGCGCCTCCGGACACGATTTGTATTGGTTGTTCGGCCCTCCTCAGTTGCAACTCCGGGACCGGGCTTCTCTGAACAACGAAGGATTCTTGATTCGGGGCTACCTGCGTGAAGCAATCTGCATACACACGACAGAAAGAAGACCAATCAAAGTTCTAACTTATATAACCATCCACTGATCTGAATCTCAAGCCTGTCAGAAAAATCGGGTTAAGGTTTCCACTAGCTGCTGTCACCACCCAGGCCACGCAATGCTTTGAAGTCAACCAAACTAGACACTTCAGGGGCCTGCGTAAGTTCTCCTATCTGTGCGTGAATAACTCTCTGTTGTATTCTGTCTTTTCACATCAATTCAGTTCTCGAATGCATACAACGTTGTATGTTGTGCTGTTTAAAGCGATGGGACTGATCTATTTGTTGTTCTCATTTCTTTCCCACCTAAACATTTAAGCACCCTAGTAATTTACCAACTCTATTAATATTTAGTAGAAATTTTGTAGAAATATTCTAAAGTTATAAGGGTTTTATTACTACAGAAACCTACCCCTGTTCCCCTAAGACTAACACCTACTCCTGCTGTCTCGCGAACCTGCTCTGGAACGGGGGACAGCCATTACATCAATCGAGAGAGCATCATCAAGGTAATTGACGGCTTCTGCGACGAAGCCGCAGAGCAGGGAACGCTCGATAAAGATTCAGGCTCGATAGCGCGGACGTACAACAAAGATACTCCTGAAGAAGTTAACATCTCAATGGATTACTCGCCCGGGTTGGACTGGTATGTTTTTTTTTTTCTTTTCTTTTCGCTGGCAACTGTCTTATGAGATCGTACTGACCGAGCTACTTTAATTCAGGCACCCAATGAAGGACAAATGCGTCGAGCAAATGATGATTGTTACCGACAACTGCGACACATTCAGCAACCACTGGAAAGGCGGCGGTTCCCGCAAAGACACGGACGTAAAGCCATCCCCTCCACCCCGTCCCATCCAACCCCCAAACCCTCGTAATCCTCACCACCTCCCAACCATCCCAATCTCACAAATTCTTCACCCCTTCCAACCAGCTTACCAAGCCCACATAGGTCACATACCGCTGGTCCCCTGCCAAATCCCGTTCTGTCCCCGTCGAGCAGGCCACCGTCTGGGGTGGATGCGACGGAACCACAGGAGGCAGCTACACGATCTGGGGCGCGCACTGGGCCACCGACGATCACGGCAACGAACTCATCAATAATATCAAAGGTAAAGGCATCAGTCCTACGAGGTGGGAATTCCACTATGGCGGTGGAGACGATCATCGCGAATGGACTGCCAAGTTCCAGACTATTATTCATGCTTGGCCGCAGGTTGAGGCGTCGATGGAGAGCGTTGGGGGGTGGGGTTTGGATATTGGGTGTCATATCCATTAGAATTGGGGGTAGGTGTTTGAGGGGTGGGATTGAGAACGAGGGGGGATTTTGTTTTCTTCTGCTATTTGATATCCTTGTTTTCTTTGCTTTTCTGCTGATCGGATATGGCTTTACAGAATTGGATACCCGAATATATACATACATTCCGCGCATTAGTGACGCTAAACATATTTTATATGAGGAGAAAAAACTTATTTGTTGGATAACTAAAAACGCGTCATATAGCCAGCAGGTAAATGTTTGCTTATTCGTGTACGTCACGACAAACCTCGCCCCCTTTCCAAGGGAAATAAGGAAAAGTAAACATGCTAAACCGAGATAGATCGGGTCCATCTACGTCACCCGCTCGGTATATCCCGTACCCCCTCCAATATATCTTTTTTGATTCCTTTTTTTTTTTACAGGATCTGAGATCTACGTTACTCCCCGAAGGACAAGATCGTTATGCTAGGATGACGAAGGGCTGAACGTGCGCAAGGATGATACATGAAGCTGAGCAGAAGAGGGATAAAAAAGGAGGCAACAAATGCATCAATTGATAGAAGTGGGAAACCTTGTGAGAACTCTGCTCGTTTATAGCGGAGGGCGACGAGCGTACCATAGTCCTTGAAATCCGTAGATCACCACTGGTTGTTGGGACGTCGGATACGTTAATACGTCAAATGCGCAGTTAATGCATTATCTTTTGAACATGAGACAAAGATGGGGTGTGGAAAAGAAAATAGCAGCTACATGCTAAAGGGAGAGAAAGGGTACTTTGAGCGATCCGTCTTTCATGCCATCTAAAACCAAGTACACTACTGCAAACCTATTCTTTCCAAGGCCAATCACTTAGTCTTCGACACGAAATACTGCACGTTGCTGACCTACCTACATTCGCCATCAACAAAAAGCTCTCAACCATGAACAATCGAACGATAAATAAAAATCGCACACACGATTTCTTTTCCGCTCCAAAAAAGAAACATGCAAGGGTCTCTGGTTTTAAATGAAAGCCCACTGCGGGGTAAGTGCAGGTGCCGATGAATAGATTGCTTGGTCCTTGCAAGAGCCGGTGGTGGGTGTGCCAGGGATTATTCCAGAATTTCGTGGGATGTATATACACTATCCCACAACCATTGCTGGCTCTTTTTTTTAGATTAATGGGTAATTATGCGCAAGTGGAGATTGCGAAAGTTTTGTTCTTTCTCTCTCTGGCTCTGAATGAGCATGTGGACATGGACGGAATCAAGTTTATACTACACCCAGTTCGCGGTTAATCAGCAAGCGAGAAGCGTGATTGGCCTACGGGCGGAAGAATATAGGACGAGTCAGTTGACAGGTGGGATTCTAAGGCTAGACTGAACGAGCGTTGGGTGTTTTAAGATGGGCTGTGCCGTTGGTGTTGAGGAACGAGAGGACGCATGGGAAGATGAGGGGATGGGTATGGAGATATGCCTGGATATGGCTAGCTAGACTCTCCGTGTCTTGGGTGTGGGGTAAAATCCTTTAATTTGAGCGAGTTTTGGGTAACGTTGTGAGAGGTTTGGGATTGAGATTGAGGTTGGGTGGGAGAGATAAGCTAGCGTATATATTAGACTTGAAGAAGATACGCGATGATTTGTACAATGACGAAAGAAGTGGGTATAGGGTCCCTCGCTCGGGAGTCTCCTTTTTTTTTTACTTTTCGTGAGGTGAAGAGCGGTGAGTTTACAGAAGAATAAACTATTGCTTTTCAAATGTGCGCACGAGGATGGTTAGTGATAGACATACTCGTCATCTCTTTCGTGGCCGGGGAGATCAAGGTGAATTGAACGATAAGCCACAGTCAACCAAATTCCCTATTTCTCGTCCCTGCGCGGCAATCCCGCCATCCGAACACACATGTACCTATCTACGTGTACCCAGGAAATTGCACGATCGACGACATGTTGAAGATTGACAAAAAGAGCCGATCCCCGCAAAAACCCAATGCTTGCTGGTAGCGGTTCCGGTCCGTACAGCCTACGCGAGCGAGGAAGAGCAGGGGTGCCGGCTATGTGTGGAGGAACAGAAAGGTCGAGAGTTTGAAAAAGAGGCCATCTGACCTACTACCCCCTCGTAAATTCTCATCGAAGATTCGGACAGAGATTTTTCTGGAACCTTTGCCGCTTTTCTTCTCCTCCAACGCCCACCTGACAGGTGTCGCAGCGCGCATGAAGTTTGATGAAAAAGTGGCGGCTTCTGGAAGGCGAGCGTGCGTGCTAGGTAACCTTTCAGCTCTCATCGGTCAAGTAACTCAAGCTTGAGTCTTATCCCTACCGGGAAGTCAGGAGTCATCTCTCGTAGCACCCAGGCTGAAGCGCCTAATCTTACCAACACGAGCAAGTCCCACTCGCAGGATCTCTGGAGGTCGATTATGCTGCCTTGTTACTTTTCCTGTCACTGTCAGCTTCCACACAGGGCCCGCAGTCTGGCCGATGCGCCCACATGGGATTTTCCGAAGATGCGTACGTGATGCCTGACTGGGGTTCCGTGCCACGATGACCGATCATCCCGTCCGCGCAACTGTGAATGTATATGGACACGGCTCCACGATTATTCTCGATATGCATATCCCGTCCTGCATATCCGGAATTCATTAAGACGACGCTCCAGACAATCTGGTAGCTCAACGCGCCAAGAGGGAGCAGCGGAAAGGTCGGGATGCAGATTGCGAACTGACATAACGCCACAGTCACACCCCCTCCCTGCCTCCATCTCCCGGGCACTCGCCCAGACCTCTTGGACTGGGCCATGGAACAAGATGACGAGCCCCAGGAGCATTGCTGCTCGAGCGCACGGTGCGTCGCTTAGTTGGGCCAGCCAGCCGGGTAAACAAGTCGTGGCTTTTTCTCGCTGCGACTCCCTTATTGGCGAGCTTTTTGGTATTGAGGAGTAGTGATACGAAGTATGACAGGCTTTTTGTGGTGAGAAGCCAACCGGGATGGCCCTGGCCTGTCATGGAGGATGGATGGATGGGTTGTTATTGCGCTGTCTCTTGACATGTGTACTTTGCTTCCGCCGGAGGGATGCATGGCTTGGACGATAAACCCAGAGGCGTCTTCATTTATCACGGACGGCTGTTCTCAGCTTCGCTGCATGAATTCTCTTGATCCCTTTTTTTTTTTTGCTTTCTTATTCTTCGGCCGCGCAATTGCCCTTACGCACGCTAAACTTTCTGTTCCTACAAGTGTTGTACCTTTGCGCACCTCGACATTGTTTTTCGACACCCTTGAAACCGATCGAGAGATAGATCATCATTTACCCCAGATTCGACTTGTATAGCTACAACACTACCACTGACTGGCTTCGGCACGGGACGAGACGCTATTTGAAACGTTAGGGCCCAGTGTAGCTGTCCTGGAAAATCAACTAAATAACGCCAGAGGGCGGCACATCTCCAGCCCTACTGCACCCTTCATCGCACACGACTCGCGTCCAACACGAGCTTCGCCAGATCCCCACAATGTTGAAGTACCTCAAGAAGGCGCTTACGCCGTCCGCCTTTGAGCCAGAACTCCCACCGCATTTTCTAGAACAGTACAATGCAGCACGAAAACTGTCCTACGCGTCGTCGAGCGATTCATCGCTGCCTGAGTTCGACCCGCTCACGGCCTCGGCATTCGAATTGTCGGAAATGCTGAATGCAGGCGTGATCACGAGCGTCGAGATTGTAGAAGGATACCTCCACCAAATCGAGCAGCACAACAAAAGAGGAAGACAGCTGAGAGCTCTGATATCAGTCGCACCAAGGCACGAGCTCATGAGGATAGCAAAGCGCTTGGACGACGAGAGATCGAGGGGGAAGAAGAGGGGACCTCTGCACGGAATTCCCATAGTGGTCAAAGACAACATCATGACCGACGCCAATCTGGGCATGGACACAACCGTTGGTGAGCATCCCTCTTCAGAGCTTCGCATAGAAAAATCCAATACTGATCGTTCCAAACCAGGCTCTTACGCTTTCGTGGGCTGCATTCCCAAGAAGAACGCCACAATAGTCGACCGTCTGATCCGCCGCGGTCTCATCATCCTCGGAAAGTCAAACCTCACCGAATTCTGCGGTCTCAAGAATCCCTCCATGCCACCCGGCTGGTCCGCTGTGGGGGGTCAATGCCAGTCGCCGTACGTGGCGCGCCACATTGCAAAAAAGAAGCTTCACTGGGAACTCTCTGCTCCTGGAGGCTCGTCAACAGGATCGGCAGTGAGTGTAGCGTCCGGGTTCAGCGCGCTGTCAATCGGAACAGACACAATCGGCAGCCTAATCACACCTGCGAATCGCGCGGCGCTGTACGCGTTGAAACCTACCGTGGGAAAGGTACCGATGGATGGTATTTTCACGCTCAGCAAGAGTTTCGACGCCGCAGGTGGAATGGTGAGTTTGCATCCATCCTATTCACTCCTGGAACGGGGAGGACGTGAGGCGAGTTTTTCGTCAACGAACAAGTCACTGACAAGTCACAGGCGCGATCTGCGAAGGATCTCGTGGCCCTCATGGACATCCTGCTCTCCCCGACCAACAAAGAATTCGGCACCGGCCTGCCAAACACGGGCTTCAAGATCAAAGAGGACTGGAGCAACCTGCGGATTGGCTTCACGGAACCGACCATCTGGACCTCGTGGAAGAAGAGCGGTCGGATCAACGCCGACGCTGAGCGTTTCATGGTACGTTTGTTTATTTTTAACTACTGCCATCCTTTCTCCTTCCCTTTGTGCACCTGCTCTCCCTTTCAGCTGCATTGCATGATGATTGATGATGGGGAAGGTTTCGGCGCTTGGGCTGCACTCCAACACAGACCCGGGACAGAGTGTTGGGTCTGCAGGGGTGCGGTTGCTGGGTCGATTCCTTCGGAGATTGCTAAAGACGAAAATGGTCTTGCGTGGCGCATGTCACTTACTTGGACGTTACCTGTGCTGACCCTTGCTCTCTTGTGTTACTGTAGCTTCAGAAATACGAAATGGTCGTGCAGAGCTTGATCGAGATGGGCGTCGACGTTGTGTACCCTGTCGAGCTGCCCAGCCAAAGCAGTCTCAACTTGGATGGGAAAAACAGCTTTGAGCCGATTGTCTGTAAGTACACGCTTCACCCTTCATTGATTTAATGCTAGCAAAGCATATGGACACGAAACAGACTGAGCATGTGTGGGTTGAAGGCTAACGAGTGACCCCAGACTCGGAGTTCAAAGAGTGCCTCTCGGAATTCATCCGCCAATTCAAAATCACAAAAGTCCATTCTCTCGCAGAAATCATAAACTTCAACCTCGAACACCCGGAGCTCACGCTTCCACCTAGTAAGTCCCCATCCATCCATCCACCATCCCTCATCCATACCCACGCCTTCCCCCTCTCCAACCACCCACCAAACCAAAACCACCCCAATCGACCAAACTAACACACCCCCAGCCTGCCCGCACCAAAACGACCTCCTCTCCGCCCTCTCCAACCCACACTCCCGCTCAGACATCCACACGCACCTAACCCACCTCCGCACGACGGCGGGCCAAAACGGCCTAGCGCACCTCTTCCACACCGAAACCCTCGACGTGCTCATCGCGCCAGGCGACTCAGCCCTCTCCTCGCTCGCCGCGGCCGCGGGCTACCCAACCGCCGCATGCCCGTTATCAGCGCTCAAACTCAACGGGCAGCCCTTCGGCCTAACCCTCACATCGCCTCCCCACACCGAGCACAAGCTGCTGCACTTCCTCACCGCATACGAAGCCACGTTCCCGCCGCGCGCGCTGCCGCTGCCGCTGCACAGCGTGCCGTTTCCCTTGCAGAGCCCCGCGGGGAAAGAGGTCGTGGTGGGTCAGAACGGCGAGGTCGTCATGTTGCCTGATCAGCCCATTGTCGATTTGATTCTCAAAGAGTGGGATACCAGGCGGTTTAGCTGCAGTGCGGATGCGCTTGCCGAGTGGCTCAATAAGCGGTGGAAGAAGAGCGGGTATATGGTTAGTGCGGAGACGGTGCTCGAGGTTTTGAGGGGGAATGGGAGGATTGCTTTTAGGGGGTTGGGGGATGTTGAGGAGGGTGCTTTTACGAGGTAAATCTTTCATTTGGATTCCCTCTTCTCTTTTCTTTTTGTGGATTGGTCTGTTAGCGATCAATTGATTGTATGGGTTGGTGTGTCATGGAATAAGTTGTTGTTTCCGGGTGTTACTTTGGTGTTGGGCGTTTCTTTTTTTTCGTTCATGGTTTTTTTTTGAGGGGTTTTTGGTTCTACTTCTGAGATATCCCCTCCGACAAATTCGGCAATTTGCATGTTCTTTTGTTTCTTCCACCTTGGTCTGCTCACTTCAAACATACAACCCACTCTGCTCTCTTCTCAAATATAACTAGGTACTTCGTTTTTATACAACCTTGGTACAATACAACATCAGTCAGTGATCACAAGATTCTTACTCCACTACTTACAATTTCGTTGGGTTGATGTTTTCACTGTACCATACAACAATGAAATTTTTGAAATATGTTGATTGATTGAATGATGGAGCAGCACGGCGGACAATGCTTCTCGTATATTGTACGGGATATTGGTCACGTGACCAATGAGCGTGTGCTGTCTTCAAACAGAGTTGACTATAACCTGTACTATGTGCTACTTCACTAAATGCATCTGGTCCTATATTCTTCCCTTCTTTTCAACGTACTGTGTCGTACCGAATCTCATTGATCGCACTCACATCAACACTAGTACTATGATGACCTTCCACCCTTCATCTACCTCACCCACATACCAAACTCAAACCCAACACCTGCCTCGCTCTCCACTACGCCAACCTTACCAGCCTCACTTTCCCCAGTCCAAGACCCCCATTCATCATTATTGCATCTGCTCCACCGCCCTGCCTCGCCGTTCCCGCCGCCGCCACCGCCTTCCACATCATCGGAGAGTTCCACGGGGAAAAACGTATCACACTCAAACTCCTGCCTTATCCTCGTCAGGAGAATCCGATCGGTCTGCGGAAGCGCAAGGGACGCAGTATAGAGCTGCGCGCCGCCGATGACGAAAGTGCGCGCGATTTCCACGCGGGGACCAGCCTCCCCAGCCGTCGAAGAAGCGGATGCTAGCGAAGAAGAAGATGAAAGGGATTGCAGAATCTCGAGAGCGCTGTCGAGTGTGGGCGTTATGATCGGGCCTTCTTCCCCTCCTCCTTCCTCTATTTTGTTGTTTTGGGGTGTTTGTTGGAAGGGGTTCGATGATGCAGGGGACGGGGGATAGGGAGTAGTAGCCTTCAACGTCCTGGAGATGACAACATTTACCCTCCCTTTCAATGGCCGGAACTTGGCGGGTATGCTGTCCCATGTCTTGCGCCCCATAACGACTGCGTTTATCGTCTTGATCGGTTTACTTCCTCCTGTCCCCGCGGAGGGAGGGACGTACTTTGTGACGCGTGCGAAATAGCCCATTTCCTTGCGCAGCTGGGGCCAGGGGAGAGTCCCGTTTTTGCCGATGCCGAGGGAGGGTGTGGCGGCGAGGATGAGGGTGAGTTTGAGGGAGTTTGGTTGGGGCATTTTGTCGTTTTCGGGGTTGTTGGTAATGGGTGTTGTTGTTAGAGGGGGAGTTGAGGTGGACATTTCCTTCCGGGGAAAGAGGAGTTTTTTTTGGTTGCTTCTGGACGATGGCTTTGCCTTTTTTTTTGCTTTACTTGCGGCTGTTTCTTGTAATTCCTAATATTATACCCTGGATCAAAAGAACCACAGCAAAATGTCTGCTTATAGTGGAAGTCCGATAGTCCCCTCTTGTGTTGTGCTTCGCAGGAACACACAGCCCAGGAGAAGGAATCTCAAGTTCAGTCACAACTTCCTTCTAATGCGCAAAAGCAGGATTCCTAGCAACGTTCCCTGGATTTTGCAAATGGAGCGAAGGCCTTGCGGTTCGTTGATTTCAGATTCAGTATGGAGGTTGAATGATCCGACCAAAGGAGTTCAAAAAGAAAAAGGAAATCGGGGAGGTTCTGCCGCAAAACGTGGGGGCGGGGAGGCAAGTGTCATAGGAAAAAACACGCTAAACAGTCGACGCGTTTTGGCGCGATCTTTTCTTAACGCCAGCGCGCGGCTGGCCCCCACAATGATCAAAGTAGACTGTGACGAGAATGACATTTGATTGGGGTATTTTGATTTTACTTTGGAATATAGCGGACAAAAGAAAGTGGTAGAAAGCGAAGGCGGTTATGTTCCCATCTCGTCCCCGAAACTGAACATGAACAATAACGAATATGAAGCAACCACTTCCTTGAGATTTCCATTCAAGTGACCGACTTGACCTTGACCTGACTTTGGAACCTTTCCGAGGATCCCCTTCTATTTCGCGCCCTCGTTATGTTATGGTATGATTCGGGTGATAGGATATGATACAATAAAGAAGGCCCTTCTGCGAGTTCAATCAAGGGAGCAAACTCCACGCATATGGACCCGGGAGAAAAACGACCTTGGTTGGCAAGCGCGGAGATCCAAGAGAGGGAACAAAAACAATGTATAACGAAGGCAAGGTCTCTTCCCTTTTCCGATTTCACGTGGACACCGGACCCCGACCCCTTCCCGAAAGACGCCGTATGAAGGAAGCTCCACCCATCCGCACTCTTGGTTCTGGACGAAACAAAAAAAAACAGAGAAAGCAAAAATGATTCCAGTCGAGTTCTCTTTTTCCCCGGTCATCCAACTCGTTTCCCGTACCAGGGGTATCTCGTGAAATAAAGGTGAGCAGCAGAAATGATGAATGGCGCGGAGTTGTTCCCTCAAAATATCGACCCAATAGCAGCAATGGAACCTTTCAGTCGGCATCGCCTCCCTCGCCACCACTTTTCAGGGGGATGGAAAGGGTGATCTTCTTCGGAGTTGTATTTTCCTTGGCCGAAGCGATATTGGGATTCTTGCGCCGCAGGCTCTTCAAACTGGCGGTGCTGGAGTTGCTGTTGGTCGATGCACGACGCTTGATTCCAGGAGAAGAAAGACTGCTGAGAAGCTCGTCCTCTTCGTCGTCCTCTCTACGGCGCTTTTCTGATATCCTTTCGGGAGGCGAGTCGTTGCTTGAGTTGGACGTGGTCGGCGAGGTCTGTGTTTGTGTTGACGTAGAAATGATTTGCGGCGACTCCGATGGCGCGCTTGTGAGTATATCCACCTCATCCTCGTCTTCAGGGTAGTCGACCAAAGCTCGCACAGGGGACGCTCCGTTGAGCGATTTGGCAGTACCCGGAAAATCGTCTTCGTCGTCTGAACCGCCGTTGAAGTACGCTTCTTCATCTGCATCCACCTCTTTTAGACCCTGACCCCACTTTCCGCCATTGACCATACCGATATGCCGAGAGGGCGTTTCGCTTTCCACGCTAGTGAAAGAGTGATCGAGCTCCTGCGTCGGGAGCGAATTCTGCGTCGGGGGCGGATTCTGCATCTGGTCGTACCTGAGTATCAGGCCATGGAACGTATCTACATAGGTAATGCTCTGGAACTTTTCTCGGTGATTTTCTACGAGATGCTGAATGAGGGGTTTGATGTTGTCGCGCCTGATGAACTCGAAGAACTCCAGGCACGCGGAATTCAGCAAACTGTCCCGGGGCATCGTCTCGAACAGTACATGGAGAATTGGATCGATCAGGTTATCTCTCGTGACCTGCTCTGTAAATTGCTCCTCTGACATCGTAACAACAGAACGTATATACTTGAGGGCGACTGTCCATGGTTAGCCATGAGTTAGACACAGGGACGAAACGAACGTACTGAGCTTGAGATGCTTTTCAGGACAATCCATCAGCTGCGCTACCCGTGCAGTGTAGTGCTCCCCAAGAAGGAAACTTTTACAGCGCGGTGAATGCTGTTTGATGAAATAGCAGAGGACCTCGACGAGGTGACCGTACAAAGCAACATCTTGTATTGACAGATCGGCCACTAAACGCATTAGAATCGCAGTCTCTCACTTCAGGTCTGAACTTACTGGATGTCCGCCCCTCGAGGTCCTTCAGCGGCTGGAACAACTTCCTCGCTGCTCCTTCGTAGAACTCCTGAACCCATAAATCGATCGGCGGCAAGTGGCCACGTACCTTGGACAAAAAGTCGCTGTTGGTACGGCCAAGCGCTTCCATAGAGGCCGTGTTCGCGCCCGGGTCCATGAGGACTCTAATAGCATCGACCATTTGCGCCTTGACCCCCAAATCGACCTCCACCAAAAGGAGCTCGATGAGTGTGTCGGTCAAAGGCTTCGACTTTTCCTGCACTGCCTTGAAGATATAACTGCGAACCATCAAGGCATCGTGGTCGATAAGAGCCAAGAGCACATCGGCGCCAGCCACTCGAGCGGCTGCATCTTGCTGCCTGAGCGCGTATTGGATCACGTTGAGAAGTCCGTGGTGGATGAAGTTTTGGTACATCTGGGCTCGACTTTGAGCTTGTAGACTCTTGGCAATGGAGGTACATTGTTGAATGAAGAGCACGGCGTCCTTTCTTCTTTCTGGTGTTTGTTCCGCCGTTTCGAATATCCCAAACAACTCCTTCAAAAAGGGGCCGTTGGCTTGGAGGTGTTGGACGATGTCGACCTGGTGGAAATATATGAGAGAGTTGAGCACGCCAAACGTGGGATCGTCCAGAATGCGCGCGAGAACGACGTCCTTGAGGTACTGTAACCGGTACGTCCAGTGTATCTTTTTCCTGATGGCGTCGTCTTCGATCGGGACCACTTCCTTGAATTTGGATTCGTCGGAGAGATATTGTCTGTGGTTCGCTTTATGGAGAGGGAAGTCGGGATCGTCTGTATCGTGATTAGCGTAAGCGCCAAAAGATGTGTGGACTGAGCACCTACATTCTAGAGCGCCGACAACACCAAGAATCACCTCGTCCGTCACCACGTACTCAATGATGGCGGCATCATTGAGAAGAATCAGCATCTTCATGATGCTGCACAACCTATGCAAATCCGACGCGCTTTCCAAATCCTCGGCCATCTCGATCAGAGGAATCAGTTTGGGCACATAACGCTCGGCCAGCACAAATTTAGCCAATGCTTCGCGTCCGCCGGGAGTGCTGTTGGCTGCGCGCATGTGGTTTTCGATTTCGTGGAGGTTGCCGAGGTCTGGGTTTGGTAGCATGATGGGGGGGCTCGCGGCGGTGGGATCTGGAATGTCGTCGGACATGCCGTCGTCTGAATGAATGTTAGTCGGTTGTCCCCCGAAATTGAATAGAGATGAGAACGGGCGTACCGTGAGCCATGGACTGCAAGCGCGATTGTACATCATTCACAAAGTCCCTGTCCCTATATCAGCGAGTGCCTGACAAAAGCCGAGCGCATAAGCATACCATATACTCGCGCAGCCCTCGGGCTCCTGAAAACTCAGGGCCATATCGGTGCCATTCTGTTCGGTCCACACAATCAGGGTATCTATCGGTTGTCAGACAAGAAACCACACCTCGGTGCAGGGCTGTGGTCTGCGGCATACCTTGTTGCTTCTGATATCCATCGTCCTTTGAGATTTTGGTTTCGAGCAGCTGGCGATTGGGGTCATCCTCGGATGCGACGAGGATCTTGGCTTCTTCCTAGAGAATCGCACACTTGTCAGCTTTGGACCGCACGACGATACTTGAGCAAAGCGCGTGAGGGGGTTGTGGGTGGACAGGGACAATGACAAAGCCGGCGCGCAGGCGGAAAGCACACGTACATTCGCGATCAAGCCTCTACAGAAACCCGTGCCCCGATCAAACCAGTCGTTGTTCTTGAGCTCGTAAACTTTTACGCGCTTGCGATCGTTGGACGGAGGCGCCATGGTTGAGGCAGACGGTCGTCACCTCTCCCAGTAGGCAGATGCCTCCGGAGAATCAGAGGGTGTGTATCAGGCGAACGTGTCGGTTCGGGCTGCAAATGCGTCTATCGCGTTGACGATGGGCGAGGAGGGGTTGGGCGGAGTGGTGGTGGTGGTGGTGGTTGAGGCGCGGCGGGAGAAGTGGCGCGGGACGCGGGCAGACAGGCGATGGGTAGGTAGATAGATAGGAGGGCGGCCGGCGCACAAGTCGCGGGCGCGGCGGAGGGACAGTCGCGGATCGCAAAGACGGATATAGATACAATGAAGACTCGGCGGAGATTGTTACAGTGCGGAGGGGATTGCTGGGGATGCACGCATCGGCGTCCTCTTTGCGGTGGGAAGAGTGAGGTGATGAGGTCTATGCAGGTTATCGATGCGACCGAAGAAAGCGGTTAGCCCCGTTGGTTAGTCATCATCCCGGCACGACAGGGGGTGTCCGGCCGGCGCTTGACGGTGACAGCATATCCATCCGAACCACCACCCACTTGCAGACATACTGACATACATTACACACGAATCATCCAGCCATTCATTCCATCATTCAGTCAATCCGACGCCGAGAAGCACATACGACGTACATGCTCGAGCAATTGATGCCATGTTTTCAATGGATACGACGCAATCACTACTCCGTCTGCAAGTACATATACACCAACAATACGCACAGACTGGGCTTCAAACTTGTTACAAATGCACACCATTCCAGTCGACATCTTACAGTTCCTCTCTCCTTCTTTCTCTTTCCACTCGTTGTTCTCGCCCACTTTCTCGGTTGTTACTCTCTTCCATCACTATTTGTTGACCACCCTATGACACCACAGCCATGTCCATCACCTACTTTCCCCAACATTTTCTAAACATGTCAACCTCCATCCATCATAAAACCACCATAGCCAAACTTTATTTTGCCACTCGTTCCGCCGCTCAATCTTGCCCTCTCCACTAGATTGCACCCTGCTCCACACCTCACGCTTCCCCACTTCCGTTGACCTATGCGCCTGCTACAACTCACCACTCGCTAGCACGTCGTCAGTATGTAATGGGGTCTACCCTCATTTCCACGTACAGTGTCATCCCAAAAGAAATGCGTCACCCTGCATTCACTCTCCCTTTGACGAGCTGCCACATGGGTACCGCAGTGGCACTAGTGTGTCTACACACATCGATGCACCTAAAGGCGCGAAATGCACACCATATCATCAGACCTCTTCCGGTAGCCTCCTTCGACTTCGAACTGATATCTGTCAGCATGATTCATTCGCATTCAACACTTCGCCTTTTGCTCTTCACTAACTTCGTCTTCAGTCTATCGAAAGTAATGAGGGAGCAAAAGAGAGTTTCTGGTTTCCCCAGTGACAGTCACAGTGGGAGATTGTTGACAACCATCACCTCTGGCTCGTATTTGGCTGTGCTTGCTCTGATTCGTCCCAGCCCAAACGTTACAGAACGACATCCAATCCCGTCCCTTGAATCTTGTTTTCAACCATGGACATGGTTCGGTTCACGTAACATCAGTACGATGGGATCATCTCCATTCACACACGAATGGCAGAAGCGTCGTGTGTTTATTTGCCCCATATGAGTCGGATTTGCCAACACTCCTATAAACCTGCCATCTCATCTTACTCTGCTCATGGTACCCCGTCGCTAACATCTCATCACCAACATATCGTCACCACAATGAAGGAAGAAGCTATTCAAATCCATTCGCATATGATGTCCATGTTCTCCAAGTTCAAGAAGAAGATGGTAGCAGAGAAGGACAAGGACAAGGACAGAGAGAAGAGCTCAGTTGCAGCACAGGAAGACACCATGCCAAAGCCAACGCCAATGCCACAGCCGACGCAATGTCATACCTGCGCTGCCCGGGAGTGCCTACTTGAAACATCAGCAATTCCCATTCCGCCAAAGTCTTCACGCAGAATTCCTCCACCTCTCATGAGCTATTCGCCAGAAGAAGCCCAGCTAAGAATCGCCGCCGTGAAGAAACGCAAGAGCGAAATGTCGTTGAGGGCGACAACTCCTCCAAAACGATTCTATGCCCAGTCCAACATCAGTGCCGAGTCTCTCGAGCCCCCATCTCGACCATTACTACGAGTGCGGAGCAATATGTCCATGCGTGTCTCTGTTCCCAAGGAGACCGCTCGACAAGAGCCGGCCCGACCCAAAACATCCTCTGGCGCCTCCACCGGAAGTCGACCGGCCAATCGATACATTGACAACTACTCCTTCTATGCTCATAACCAACCTCTTCGCGAGTTTAGTCCCTTCCCACCACATGCAGCAAGAGCAGTATCTGCACCACAAGTCGCTAGAGCTAGGACTTCTGACAACAGCGGTACCAGCCGTAAATCGCCGAGAGCGGCCAGCCTGAAGCGACCCTCACTATTAGACCTGACCATGGAAGAGGGTATGTCAGACACCACCTCTCATTCTGATTCCAAGTATCATATACTGACACCACACAGAGCCCACAGAGTACCGCTCCAGCGAGTCTCAACCGTCACGCTGCTCCGAAGAAACATCCAGTCCGTATCTCCCTCCACTCTTCCCAACTTCCTTCTGACACGATTCCAGAATCAATCACCGCTCCATACCCCCCTTACGAAAAGCTCCCCCGCTTCGCGAAAATGCGGTCCCTCCCCGCGCTTCGTATGAAGCGTCCCTCCGGTCTCCCAAACATCAACACGGATCTAGCAAGCTTGAAAACCGAGATATTAAACATGAAACCTGATATGTCAAGCCTCAAAACTGAATTTGCTACCTTCAAAACTGACGTAATCAATATTACACCCGACCTGTCAACCCTCAAGACCGATATGTCAAACCTCAGAAGCGAAATATTAAACATCAGACCGGACATTCTGAGTATCAACACCGATATATCGCCCAGTCACTACAACGCCTACAAATCACACTACTCTTCTTCGAGCCACACGCCTAGATCTGTGAGGTCTCCCAAGTCTCCACAGTCGCCGGTTCTTGGGTGGCGGTACGAGGATTTTGGGTCCGCCCCGCCGGTGCCGAGTCTCTCGACAGGAACTGGAACGGGCATGTCAAGCCCATCAGCTCTATCGTTTTCGGGAATCATGACGGCGTCACGGAACGCTTCCAGGAGTGTGTCGCGAAGAGCGTCGCTTTCTTCGTTGTTTTCTAAGAAGAATGGTAGTGCTGTTTGGGTGCATTGAATCGTCGTCCAACTTTTTCTTTTTCCCCTGTTGCTGCCTTCGTTTTGTCTCTGTATTCCTCATCCGCTCTCTTTTTTTCTTTCCTGTTATTGTGTTCTCCTATGTCGAACCCTAGTCTCTCGTGGCGTTGTTTCATTTTGGTCTTGGTTCGTTGTTCCGGTAGTCAGTTCATTCGTTATTACCCCTTTCCTTTACTCGATCATTTTGCCATTGTCATTAGTTTTCTGAAGTGTAGGCTATATATGATGGTAGCTACTCTCATTCACTACTCCTATCCCCACTCAACCTGCATTCACCACATCTCGCATGCGTCGTTTTCGACCGTTTGATCCACCTCCACCAAGACAAACTTGGTTGATGTACTACATCCCAATCTCCCCCTGATTTGCCCAATGTTCGGTTGTGTAGAAGCAGACAATAAAAAAGAATTCAATTGATCAGATATGAGTACTAATGAGCCAGATCCCTATGCCCTCCTCTCCCTCGGCCCCCTCTTATTTTCGTTTCATTCCATTCCCTACTACAACACAGCACTAGTATGCAAAATTCGCATGACGGCTAAAGCTACCAGACCACAAGAAACCATCATCATAATGATTTCCTTCCTCTCATAACCCTGCAATCAGAAACACAGAATATGTGATTGAGATTACACACTCAATCTGCGTCTCAATCTTTTTTTAACGGCTCCCCGAAACGCAATTCCCGCTCCCAACACAACAACAACACGTTAAAAAAAGCACAGCAGAAGCCATGGTTGCACGGGGCAACGCCGCGCGCATCTGTGGAAGTTAGGAAGCTCGACAAAGACTGACCAAGGAGCCCATGTATATTGTGATGACATGCATCTGGCGTGCTTGGTGTTAACGACAGATGGACAAATAGAGAAAGGTTCTGTCGTGGGATGGACACGAGGATAGTTGTCGGGTTTGTGAAGAAAGAGAGTATCCATCGCATCGCCAACCTTTTTTTTTGGACCTGGACTGTTCTTATTCCCTCTTTTGACGTATTATCCTGTTTACTGCAGAAACCCATTGATGCGAAGTTGTTATTCTTTCTACTAGCTAGCTAGCTAGCCAACTATGTCCATCAAAAGCAAAAAATAAAAATAAAACCATGGAGAAGTCAAGCACACTGAGTTGGTCGAACAGAATCCCTCTCTATAACGTACGCATTCCATCTAGACCAGCAAAAAAAAAAGGAAAAAGAAAAAGGGGTTCAAGGGTCTCTCTCTCCAACCCACGACCCACCCCAAAAATCCCCCCCAAAAAAAGAAACTCACTAAATCATGTACGGAACGGGCTGCGGCACATGCGGGAACAGCCGAAGCGCGGCTCGAACTGGGGGGAAGAAGAAAAGAGGGAAGAAAAAGAAAAAAAACGTGCCTCGGTGTTTTTAGCACGTCCACGCGACTTGGCTAGCTAGCTTCCGCTATCGTTATCGATAACGCGATAAGGAAGTACGTTGGCCATCAACGTCAATCGTCAATTCATTATAGCTACTTGTTCTAGCTACTTACTCACCACAACGAATCTACGCGCGCACGATCACGACGACACCGGAACCGCCTCCTCGAATCCCAGCATCCGCGTGAATACAAAGGAAAAGCGAGTAGGAGAGCAGGGAGGAGCAGAAGAAGAAGAAGAAGAGCAATGGACCCTAAACACCGCAATGCCGCCGCTCTACACAGTACGTCTTGCCGTGCTCGTCTTCCCTACCTTGCCCTGCCATACCTTATCTTACCTTACCCTACACCGAAGCAGAAGACTGGGAAAAAAAAAACATCACACTTCTTTCCTGTTCTCTCCTCTCTTACTTCCCCGTCTCTCTCCCTCCCTCCCCTCCACCCACCTACCTACCAACTCCCCCAACCAAAAAAAAAGGAACAAAGGAGGAAAAAAAAAAAAAAACTAACATCGCGAAAAAAAAAGAGCGCGCAGACGACCTAATCCGGCTCTTCCTACAAAACTACCAATCCATCCTCCAACGCATCGGCCCATCCTCAACGTCCATAACCAGCAACAACGATACCAACAACAACAACAATGATGAGGACAGCAGCAAAGTAAGACAAGGACAAGGAGAAGAAACACAAAGGCAAACCCCATACAGCGAAATCGCGTACAGAGAATTATCTATAAAAGAGGATACCATGAATATTGTACGTCTCTCTTACTCTACTCTCTTCCCTCTTCCACTAACATCAAGGCACGAGCGATAAAACAGATCAAAGCGGCGCAATCCTCATCAACCTTAATCCGCGATCTACAAGAGCTATGGCTCTTCGGGAGTCTAGATACAGTTGCGGATCCCGCAGACTTAATCGAAGAACGTGAAATGGCGATTCAGATTGCCGATGTGATTGCGGGGTTGGCTAGACGGGGTCCTTCTTTTTTTTCTGACTGACTGATGAGGGGATGATGAGTTGAGTTGAGCGAACGGAACGCGCAAAGCGTTGTCGCGAGGGGAAACAGAAGGGAGGGGAAAGGAAAAGGGGGAATGAATGGGATGTGATGGGTGGTTTTTTTGATTGGAAGTTTGACGATGACCTACTAGGCTGTATAAGAAAGGGGGGGGGGGGGGGGAAGAGAGAGAGGTTAAAGCCATCAATTGATGCTTAGCTAGCACACACAGCACGCAGGAACAGCACAGCATACTATGGTACAGAAGAGAGAGAGAAAGTTGTAATTATTTAAAAAATAACAAAACGTCTCTAAATTTGTCAAGCTAAAAAAAAAAAAAAAAAAAAAAAAAAAAAAAACTTTAAATTCTCTTCTTCTCCCCTAATGGTAATCTATACAACAAAAAAAAACCCCCCATTTAAAAAAAAAAAAAAGGATCCCCTTCTGTAGACACTGCCTTGCCTTGCCTTGCCTTGCCTAACAATAACGATACAACAACAGCAACCTCCTCCCACCCACCCAGCCAGCCACTTAGTTCCAAGCCAGAGAGAGAGAGACAAAGGGGGAGGGCTGAGAACCCTTTCCTTCCTTCCTTCCCTCCCTCCTTCCTCCTTCAAAAAAAGCAGCCCCAGCCAGCCTCTCTCCAAACGTCCGTGGTCGAAAGAGCATAACGCAAAGGAGCATGCATGCATGTCGTTTTCTCACATCCCTCCCTGCCTCTCTCCCCATCCAGCCCCTCAAAAAAAAAAGCACAAAGCTCATTCATGCCCCCGGTCATGCATACATTTTTGGATTTCCCCCTTCTCTTTCGTGTGTCCATGAATGCGACTCCCCCAAACAGTGCGGAGAAAGAGGGAAAAGAATATGAAGCAGAGAAACGCTCGCTCATGGGGTGGTTGTGGACAAGAACCAATGGTATTCCGTAAGGACAAGAAAAACAGGGACAAAACACAGCAAGAAAGGATGGGGGACAAAAGAACAAAAAAAACCTAGACGCACACATGGGGAAAAGACGAGGGCCCGAGCAGCAGAAATGACCAAGGAAATGGGGAGAAGACGGTTAAGATAGAAATATAAACTCCGCTGAATGCCGTTATAACATGAATGCGTGCGTGTATGTGGGAGGGCCAACTCGTGGCTTTTTCGTCCAAAACGCAACTCCAAGCACCGCGCCAAAACGTCCAAAGTGCTGAGACGGAAACCCAATATCATATCACCTCGTGTCAAACATCCGACACCGCTTTTGTCCACTGCAACTACATGTGCGTCGTCCTGCTCTTCCTACAGTTTTCGGGCGCCATATGCTCCTCTTTAACTTCCCAACAATCTTGTCCAATCTGGGCCACGGCATGTACAAATAAAGCACACCAAATGCATCTGAATCCATGGAAGGCGCATGGGTCTGTATCCAAAATGCAAACCAGACGAGGAGCGTCGCAGGCGCAAAGCACGGAACCAAAGCTGGCGCAGAACGCGTTTATCCACCTTTGCGATCGGCTGCATTCGCTGGTAACGGCTCGCCCGCAGATTTGTTGTCATTTGCCCTATTGCCACCTTTTCCTTTCCTTTTCTTGGTCTTTGAAGGCTGCCATGAGTTGGAATTGTTGTTGTTGTTATTGCTGCCGTTGCTTGAACTAGCTTTGCTGTTATTGTTGTTACTCTTCTCGTTCGAGTGAGCACCACCCTTTGGCTGATTGTTGCGATTGTCCTTGGGAGCAGCGGTTTGACCTGGAGAATGCGAAGCTCGACGAGCATGGTTATTGTTCTCCTTCAATTGGCTCTTGGCACCGTTCGTGGCCTTTGCTGGTTGCGGTTGCCGACTGACTGTGGGTGAAGGGGTTCTCGTCTCGAACACCGGCGATAGCAGGGGCAATGTGGCGGATTGAACCTCTTGCGGTACTGGCCGTGAAGTGCTTATCGTATCCAAGGCTGCCATCCCGTTGCCGTACGGCGCCGGTCTCCACTGCTGAGGCGGTAAACGAGTGGGCGACACTTCCTCTGAACGCTCGGGAGCGCTTCCGTTGCTCAAGTTGTAATTCATCCAGCCATCCGGAAGCGCGGGGAAAGCCTGCTGACTTCCACCAGAGGGTTGCGCCATTCCATTGAGATCCATGTGCGGAAACCCATTCACAGTTCCATTGACAATGCTAGGCTCCAACATCTCATTATGACCTGATTTCTTCAACTCGTTGGCAGGGGCTCCCGGCCGCTCGGGCGAATCAGCCAAACCGTACTGCTCAGGATTCATAAACATTCCCATTCCCAGTCCCACTGCTGGGTGCCCTGGAACATCTACTGATGCCACAGAATCCACAGTCCCACTCCTCGTCCTGGACTCGTGACTCGGCGTCGGATACGATCCATTCACAATGACGGGGCCGTTGTCGAGAGGTGGCCTTACAGAGTCTGTCCGCTCTTTTCTCGTTTCCGTCTTCGCGCTGGAGGATGGAAGTGGAGCATTGCTCGACTGGCTGCGCATGTGGCCACCGAGTGGCGAGGGAGATCTTGAAACGCGTCTGAGTGCCGTGTTGAGGAGTGGCTGGGTGATTTCTGGCGACACGCGCCGCCGCCTTTGGGCAAGCTCGCTGAACGAGGGGATCTGAGACACCGTGTACTCTTGCAACGATCGCGGCGCCGGGGGCTCATCCACATAGTATCCGACATATTCCTTGGGAGTTTCGCTCTCGGACGGCGGTTGGACCTCGGGATAGTTGGGCACGCGGGCGGCCTGGGTTTCAGTCGCTCCTGGCGGGCTGCTTGTCGGGGCCTCCTGTGTGGTCGAGCGTGCGACGGGATAGCCAGCGAACGCGGCGGGATCGTAGTACTGCGGCATCGGCGGGTATCCAGGAATAACGCCCTGAGGTTGCAGCCCACGTGGTGGTTGCGAGTGAGACCGCAAAGATCCGTTTTCGCTCGCATTGGAAGGGCGGTGCACCTGGCGGCGAAGGGTGGGCACACTGTTGGTGAGCGACGGCGAGGAAGGATTGGTTCTTGAGCCATCTTGCGACATGGAAGACTGATTTGCCTGAGCCGGATCGAAGAAAGCAGCGTACGGATAGAGGAAGCCCTGCTGGAAAGCACCCGCTGGTATCACACCGTCAGTAGCCATATGAGGGCTGGATCGCCCATTCACGTAGGGCGATTTTGACGGTGACCCACCTGAACTTGTGCTGGGGGTGCCTCGACTCCGCTGAGCTTGAGCCTGGGCCACAGCCTGGGCATGCATTTGGGCCTGCTGTGCGTGGTGGGCTTGCTGTGCACGCTGCTGCGCAATCAAGTGCTGCTTAAGACTGTTGGATTGCATTTCCAGCATCTGGTACTGCTGGAAGAGTTGATCGTGCAGCTGCTCGTTGAGACCGCGTGGATAGTCGCGCTGGAAGTAGTCCTGGCCAGGCATGGCTGCAATCGGAGGGCTGTGGAGGAACGGAGGGCGATTGAAGGACGCTCCACTAGATGCCCGTCGACCGTAGCTGCCGTTGCCGCCATTCCCCCCTTTCTGGTAGTTGCCCCTTCCCCCACGATGCCCGCCGCCACCACGACCGCTCCGGATGGGCACGCTTGACGTCAGCGTCGTTTTGGTCGGCTGAGGTTTCTTGAAAAGCGGGGGACCAGTCTTTTCCTCGGGCGGAAACTCGTACTGCTCACACGTCTTTTCCAGCTGCTGGCCGTCTGCCAGCAGATCAAACGCACGCCGGAGTTCCTCGTGGATGCCGCGCCATGAATAGTCGTCGGCCGAATTGCCCAGATTTCGCTCCGTGTTGAACGGCTCCTCGACGCACAAGCGATTCAATGCCTCCTTCTGCAATCCCGCCCGATGCCAGTTCTTCTCTTCCCGCGCAAGCAAACACCCCTCACGCACCGAAACGACCGACTTTTCGAAATCAACCTCGTAGCCATACCGCCGGAAAAAGTGGAACAGCAGCTGACCCAGCGATTCCTTGTTCTGCTCTCCATAGCCGACCAGCTTGGTCAAATCGTCGGCAAAGTCAGACTTGGACTTGCTAGGAGTGGAGTCGGCTGCCTTGTGCGAAAGCTTATGCAGCGACGGTATTATTGGCGGATCCCGGGTCTGGAGAAAATTCAAAATCATGCATATCCAGGTATAAGAACTGATGGTTCCTCCGAAAGCTGGAGGAAGAAGAAAAATAGGTTGTCAGCGGCCATGAACACGCAAAAAGGGGTGCAAATGCAGGGAGGGCTAGAGACGGGCTCACCAGCGTCGTTCAAGATGCGCTGTTTTGTCCAATATTTTACAATCATGGCCAATTGGCGGACGCGCTCGTCGATTTGTACATAGGTCTTGATCATGCGGGTGTTCTCGAGGGCGAGGGTATTGTTCACATTCATGTCGCAAGCCAGCTTGAGCACAGGGTCCCAGACCTTGACGATGCGTACTTTGGCTTGGGGTATGCACACGACACGTTCCATCCCATCTGGCAGAGGTTAGCGCAAAGGCACGCAGGTGGGCGAGCGGTGGTGGGGATCAGTACGCTTTGCGAGGGCTGCTGCCAAACCGTGCATTTCCTCGAGTTTGGTCATGGGTGTTTGTATGCACATGTCAACTGTAAAAGGTGGGGTGGGTTAGCAGGGCTGCCCAGTACCACGGGATCAGGGAAAGAACCTCACCATCACTTTCGCTAGTATACAGCATATTGCCCGAGGAACCAAACACATGCACCTTGAACTCGTTGCCGGGAAATTCCGTCTCGAGGATCCACTGCAGCTTCTTGACGAAATCATCCCTGCGCTGGGTGTTTTCCCTGCTCGGCTGTAACCGGTCGTACATGGCGCGCATGTCGCCCGTCAACTTCTTGTCTTCTTGGGGATCCAGCGTGAGCTTGGGCTTCTCCTTTGGTGCTTCGAGCAGATCGGAGCAGATGTAGGGCACTCGGCGGCGGCCGTTGGCGACGTTGGTCTCGTAGGGACAGCGGACGGTGCGGCCCTGCGGGCGCAGGGTGGGCAATGTGCTGTTGGCTTCGCTGACGACGGATCGGGGCGAGTGGCTGCCGTTCAGACCGCCGCTGGGCGAAGGCGAGCGCGATCGCGACTCGTACTGGCGGGCATTCTGGACGGGGGTCGAGGGCACGGAATTGGAGTGATGTGATATTATGGAGGGCCGTTGCAGGCGAGAGGCAAAGGGCATGCCCACGTCTTCGCGTTTGGAGCCCATTGTTTTGGACGTCATGGGCGTGCTGGTGTGCACTGTGGGGGATTCGGCGGCCTTATTCCCATCGAGCTCTCGATGTGCGGGCGCGGGCTTGGAGGGGGTTTTCTTCGCCACTACCGGGCGAGGTGGGACCCGCTCTGGTGTCGGGGTCTGGCGGTGCGGCGACACGGTGGTGGAGGAATGCAGGGCGGCGGAGGAAGAGGAAGGTGGCGACGTGACGAGCGGCGACGACTTTCGGGGCTGCAGCGGGGGGTTCAGAGTATATTTGGCGTGGGGATAGAATGCAGCAGCGGCAGCGGAGTGCCTTGGGGCGGCGCAGGACTGGCTGTGCTCGGAATGAATGGTGGAGGTGGAAGGATGGAGACGGTGGTGATGGTATGGATGGCAGACGGTGCAGGCGCTCATTCGCGTCGAGGGTGGACAATCGAGGTCGGAGAGGCGGCGCGGGACGAGGTCGCTGGAAGAAGGGCGGCGGCGCTGCGGGAGACAGGGGAGGCGGGAGGCGGGAGGGGGGTCGAGGAGCAGAGAAGAGAGGCGGCGATGGGGGCAGAGAGCAGAGTCGGCGGATGGGGGTTGGTTGGTTGGTTGGTTGGCACCTGGGATGAATGGATGGGGAAAGTCGAAGCCTCGGCAGGCAAGCAGGCAAACAAGACAGGAGAGTGGACGCGAGAGAGGCGAAGCGGGATGGGATGGGATCAATGGATGGATGGATGAATCAATCAAACAATCAATCGATCAATCAATCCACGGGGGAAGTGGTGGTGGAGGTCGAGTGGGCGTGGTGGGCGTCGAGGATCGGGCGCTTGGCAGGATCCAGGGCTCTTTGGTCTCTGGTCACGGGCAGGACGGAAGAGAGGAGAGCAGAGCAGAGCAGAACAGTTGAAATAGAGAAAGCAAAGCAAAGCAAAGGGGGAAAAGGGCAAGCAGAGATGCTTGGACTGTGATTCGGCGCGGGGAGGGGGGGGGAGAGAGAGAGAGAGGGGTCTCTTTCTTGTGGGCGGCGGTTATTACAGTACCTCTAGCACTAGACACACACACAGACACAGGCACAGACACAGGCAGACCAGGCACGGGATATATGGAATGACGGAAATATTCGAGGGGCGGAAGAAGAAGAGCGAATCAACGAGATCAGGGAGAGAGACACACGGACACTGGCAGACAGACAGACAGACTGAAGACAGAGAGAGAAACGGAGACAAGGAGGGAGAGGGAACAGAAAGGGAGGCGAATGGATGCAATCTCGCCGAGTTTGCGTATACTGACTGCACTGTTACTCTATTGTATTGTACTGCACCATTGCTGTTTCTATTGTGCTGCGTCGACTGCGCTGTGATGCTGGTCGTCTCAAGGGGAGTGGGAAGGGGATCGAAGACGCTAGTCCCCAAGGGTCACGTTATCACCATCAATCCCCTCCAGCACTTGAGTGTACATTTATGTATCAACCATGTACCATCAATTGATATTGTGTAGTTTGGTCAACATGCATAGCCACTCGTTGTCCCAATCATCCGGAACATTGCAGACAAACAAACAGAGGAGCCTTGTCCCAGGCTCAAAGGCTCATTCACGATGCCGCCAGACCCCAACAACGAACCATCCAGGGGAAAAACGCCTCGTCTTGCCGCTTTTCTCCCCGTTGTCACTCAGTCAGTCAGTCAGTCAGTCGAACGGATAGGGTGGCCGTAATACCTTGCCTGGTAGGGCCCGACGACGACCTCTTCGGGTAGGTGGATAGGTAATAGCATCTCGTCAAAGCTGACCTGCCTGACCTCCGAAGCCTAACATCTGACAATCCATCCTCTTCACCCACGTTTCTTCCTCTTGGGTTTTGCTACAGATCAATGGCAACAATGCTCCACTGTTCAATCGGAAATGAACAACAAAAGAAAAGGAACAAGGAAACGAAGCGTCAGGGACAAAGAGCACCCTTACCGTGACCCCCGACCGGCAATCAAACACTCCCACACACAGACTCAGGCATCATCTCGGACAAGGCCATGCAACAGCCAAACTAACCTCGCGCCTTTCCCTACACTGCTGACGGCCTGGCTCCCCTCGTGACACGCCGGCGCCCAAGTGCTGAGAAGAAGGCTGGATTCCTCTCCCACTCCTCCCCGCAAGCTGAATACAATCATCTCGCTCTCACCCTCACGCAGGCACATGTCTTGAATGACACCAGCCAGCACCACGCCCCGTTCCACGCCAACCCACTTACACCCACACAGCCCCAATCACCAAAAACAGGAAAAAGAACAAAAATAAAAGGGAATGGACGATTGGCCTCGCAATATCCCATTCTCCATCCACCATGGCCTCGGATCCCTAGAATCAAACCATGGCGAGACGTGAATATGCCCGAATTTAGCACTCACCACACTGACATCAGCATCATCATCATCATTATCATTATCCCTCAGCCAATGACGCGCCTGCGATGGGTCAGATGTAGATTTCTTTTGCTTTTGCTTGCTTGCCTTCATCTTTTCTGGTTGTGCAGAGATGCGTACATATGTATGTATGTACATGTGGAGAGCGGGTAGGCAGGTGAAGCAGCACACAGCACGCCTCACGCCTCACCCGTCGTTTGCCCGCCCGCATCGCATCGCAGTGCATCGCATCACCGCGCAGCGCAGTGCATTGCATCTCTCCTCATGTATGACTCTCGCCTTTTCATTTCTTTTCCTCGCTGTATCTACATGTCTTTGCCTTTTTTTTCCCTAGTTCTCACCTTGCGCATAGTCATCCACCTATCCACCAACCACAAGAGAGTAAAAAAAAAAAGAAGGCATCATGTTCTCTCTCTCTCTCTTTATATGTATATACACACCCCATGCCAATACCTATATCCTTCCTGCACAATGATGCGTAAATATGTACCTTTGTATGCGACTGATGCTGCTATGTCATCCCCTGCCATCTAGATCCCCCATCCCCCCCCCCCCGCATATGTACCTAGACTACTTACTTATCTATGTATGCAATGACGCCGCCGCCGAACCCCTCCGTCCTCCGCTCGCTCGCTTGCAAAAGCAAAAACGAGAACCACTACTACTATCCACAACACTCCACCGAATCAGCACAACTGTTTCGACGGCACTTGCATCCCAGGATTGATAGTACTGCGACTACGTCTACGAGGACAATTGCGAGGTTTGGAAGAGGCCCGATTGAGTTTGCGATATCCCACTACCTGCTTGCCGTCAACATGACTCAACCAGAGCCGCGGATTCGTAAGTTATTCTTTCTTGCCACTTTGTTCATGGCTGGTTGAGTGGATATACTCTGGCAATTGCGTTTTGTATACTTATATCTTTATATATATATATACTAACATGTTTCCCGCGTTGTAGAAAATCCGGTGCTGTTGTACGTTCTCCATCCCGTCTGGTTTTTTTTTTTGTTCTTCTTCTTTCCCTTTGGATCCTGTGTCTCGGCAACGAACGAACGAACAAAACCCCGACCACAGAAAAAAAAAAAAGAAAAGAAAGAATGAGATGATCATAAGTTCTTTGATTTCCATCGGTCCCAGGCTAACGTTGATGGTCGTCGTTGGGGGGGGTGGGATGTAGTATCTGCGACCTCCAAGAAAAATTCCGCCCTGCCATTTACGAATTCGACAAGGTTGTTGCGACGACGAGGAAGATGCTCAAGGCTAGTATGTCTTTTTTTTTTCCTTTTCTTTCTTTCTCTTTCTCTCTTCCCTTGCGTTTCAATGTCACACAGCCACCGAAGCTTGAAAGAGGGGGGGATTCGCACTGACCACATGACTGTGATTGAAACAGGTCAGATCCTGAATATACCCGTCGTTGCCACGACGCAGAATAAAGCGCGTCTGGGCGAGACGTGTCCGGAGTTGGGGCTTGACCAGCCCGGAGGCGTGAAGACGGTTGTTCATGCCGATAAAACGTTGTTTTCCATGGTGTAAGTCTTCCCGTTTCTTTTCTCTCTCTTCCAGTCCCGTTTCCGTTGTTCCTTTTCTTGGGTGTTTGGCTTGAGGGGTGGGTAAAGAAGGGGGGGGATGGATACACGACTCTCTTCTTCTTCTTCTTCTAATCTTCTCTCTCCAATCGAAAAAATATCGACTATCCTCGACGAGACCTGAAAAAAAAAAAGCAAGGACAAGAAAGACGAGAGGAACCAAAGCAATTACCATCCCTTATCTAACCCCCTCCTCTAAAACACCTAAATACCAACCCCCCAAAAAAACCTCAAAACGAAAACCCACAACCTCTAAAACTAACCACCCCTCGTCCCCCAACAGAACCCCAGAAATCACATCCACCCTCTCAACCCTCCACCCCTCCTCTTCTCCTCTAACCTGCGTCCTAACGGGCATCGAATCCCACATCTGCATCACGCAGACGGCGCTCGACCTCCTCGCCCTCAACCACAACGTCTACATCCTCGCCGACGCAGTCTCGTCGTGCAACAAGGAGGAAATCCCCATTGCGCTGGCGCGGCTGCGCGCTGCCGGCGCCGTCGTCACCACGAGCGAGAGCTGGTTGTACGAGTGCGTGAGGGATGCTGGGGCCAGGGAGTTTAGGGATGTTGTCGGGTTGGTGAGGGAGTGGAAGGAGGCTACGAGGGGGAGTTTGGGGGCGCTGCTTTGAGGTGTGGGGACAATTAACTGTGTTTTTTTAGAGGAGGAGAGGTTGTTGTGTTTTAGGTTTTTTGCTTGTTTTGTTCCTTTTTTTCCTAAATCTCTTTTTTTTAGAGGGGGAGGGGGGGGGGGATGAGGGGATATATATCGGTTTTTTTTTGTACAAGTACTTCTATTTCAGGATCAATCAAAATATTTGTTTCTATTCGCTCTATTTTCAACTCTTGCTATTCTATCCATCCATCCCAACTAACCAATCACCAACCAGCCCCCTCCCAAAACAACAATTGATCTTCAAACATTTATATTTCCCAATCTAGGCAATAAGAAACAAGTCTCACCCCCTCTCTATCCATCTTACTATTGCAATGATATGATTGTACTAAGCTCTTATGCGAAATAAGCCCCTAGTCATGACGTGCTTTCCATCGGCAACTCGATGACCCTTTTTGTCTGGTTTGGCTTAGGTGTTGTTGCGGCGCAGCAGTATATAAATACCTAAACAAAACCCTACTTCCCTGATTGATTGCTGTTTCTGCACGCGTTGCTTATCCCCCATCTTCCCATCTCATTCTCTCTTTTTTATTGTTGGGGTGTGGGGGGTTGTTGTTCCACGGAGAGGGGAGTGTTTTGATTCGTTTTGAATACATACCTCCATACAGATGAACACTTTTATGATACTCACTGACTTTTTTTTTTGTCTGGAACGGGCAGGTTTTGAGAGATGGGGTACAGTTAATGTCATTTCCATCGAATGAGTTAAGATGGGGATAGCAGTGGTGGTGTATAAGTACGTGAGTTGAACGAGGAATAGATGGAAATGGATGCATGTGCAATAGAGACGGACGGACGAATCCCACCGGCCCGGCTCGGCTCGTCAACAACTACACTACCTTAACATATGTATGCAGGTACCTACCATGATGGATATCGATTCCTGGCCCCGTCCTTGTGTTATCTCACAACATGCATACGCGAGCACGACAACTTTATATCATCATCATCATCATCATCATCATCAAGGAATACCCGCCGAGAAAAAGAGAATAGGGAGTTGTGGGATTCTGGATATTACGCCGTCGGGGAAACGGATAGACTTTGTTCTGGTTGTTCCATTGCATCGCAGCACCCACCACGTCGTCGGGAAAATGAGAAGCACCGAGTATGCAGGCAACCGAGTCGAGTTGAGTCGAGCAACAGGGCATGGTTTTGGTCCGCTGGAACTCGTCCATGGATGATGGGTGATGGTACAGATGGTCTCACGAGTGGTTTCAGCGGGGACGGGCTGGATGGATGGATGGAGAACACGTATATCGGGCTGCACGACAAACAACCGGGGGGTGTATATATACTGTGTTGATGATTTCTTCTCTTCGAGATGGAATTAGCACCGGTCTTGTTTACCAGCGCTTCTTTCCATCAATCTTTGAAGAGGGAGATTCGGATCCATCGCAGCTTCGATCCCGCACCGTTGAAAAACAAAGAACAGAAAAAAAGAAAGAAAGAATAGGCAGTTTGAGGATTCGATTTGGAACGGCAGTTGGTGTTCAGCATCAATCATCCTTGCCTTTTGCCTTTAGCTGCATCGACGGAAACCCCCCGAGCCGAGGCCCCATAAGTTATTTTACTGTCTCTTCCTTGTCCGCGCGCGCGCCTCGTCGAGAAGCTTCTTTGGATCGATCGCCCCCCAGCGGCAAATTTCGGAGATAAAAAGAAAGATATATTCCCTTTTTTTCTTCCCTTTCTGATTGTTTTTCCAATTGGAACCAGCGAGTTTGGATTCTACACCACCAACCAACCAACCAACCAATCTATCTTCCCAAACAACAACAACAAGAACATCGCCACCGTCACAATGGTTTCTCTCGAAGTCCCCGCCGGATACGGGTACGTCTACACTCCCCCATGACCACCACAACCAACACCCCAGACCCCCATCCACCTCCAAAAGAAGACCACACACTAACCCCACCCCTCCAGCCTCGTCCTCGCCGCCGCAACCTCCACCGTCTTCGTAGCAACCTACCTCGGCAGCCGCGTAGTATCCTACCGCAAAGCCGCAAAGATCCCCTACCCGCACATGTACGCGACGCACGAGCAAATCACGTCCGCCCCACCCGCCCGCGCAAAGCTCCTCGACGACTTCAACCGCGCCCAGCGCGGCCACCAGAACTTCCTCGAGTCCCAGGGCTCCGTCGTCCTCTCCATGCTCATCACCGGCCTTGTGTATCCCCGCGCTGCCGCTGGGCTGGGCGCCACCTGGAGTGTCGGTCGTGTGCTGTATGCTTGGGGGTACAACAATGGCAAGGAGGAGGGGAAGGGGAGGTACAATGGCGCTCCGGGGCTGCTTGCTGGATACGTGCTTTACTTCTGGAGTGCCAAGGCGGTTTGGGACCTGGTGCAGGCGGGGTTGTAGGGTTCAAGTTGGTCTTTTAAAAAAGGGGGAGAGGGAGTCAGGAAAAATCACGAGAAATGGGATTTTGGTTTGAATGAATATCGAGGTTTTCTTCTGCTCTGTTCCGAGAGTTTGAAACGTGATAATCTGCGGACACTCTCAATCATCTCTCCTGGCGATTGCGTTTTGGGAGGACGCCATGGTTCGATGGCATCAATCAATTGCATGAATAACTCCAACATTTCAAATCTTCATCTACCACATTTTGCGGCTTTTCCTTAGACTCGTTGGTTACGCACGTTCCACAAACGACGGGTTATAGAGCTTGGCAGGTAACGTATGCATGTTAATTGTGGTGGTGTGATCGGAAAGCTGGTTTCCAGGTGTTCCCCAGACCCTCTTAAATGGCGCGATGACGAAATGTTGCTGCAATGTTTAAGTGTCTTTTTTTAGTCGCAAAGTGCTCCGCCATCTCCGGTGCGTCAAGTACGGTGCTTGCAACAACAACGACATTGTCCCTATACATACTAAAAGAAACGATTGGAAACAATTTGGAAGAGCGTATTAGAAGAGCTAGGAACAAAGTGATCAATCTACACAACGTCAATCTTCCTTGCGCAGACCAAGTCAGGAGAAAGAGAGCCTCGATATACAAAGTCAATCACCTTTGAAGATAATACCGACCAAGCTCACATTGATATTTGAACTATTCACGACTGCTAATAGAGCCACCATCTCATAAACCATGGAGATAATCTTGTCCGTCAACGCGGGCTCAGTGCGTATACCCTCCACCCCGCTCCAACATTCCACCACCCACCAAGCCATCACTGACGCAACCCTCAGTCCAGCGTCAAAATCTCCGTCTTCAAAGCCCCAGAGGACAAAACCACAACAACCCCAACCCAACTCGCCGAAGCAGTAATCTCAGGCCTCACCGCCCCACCCGCCTCCCTCAAATACACACGAGGCACCCACCGCACAAACTCCCAGGACCTCCCCTCCATCACCTCGCAAGAAGCCGCCTTCCACCACATCCTCACGCACCTCACCACCGACGCCGCCCTCCCCGAGCTCGCCAGAACCAAAGACATCCGCTACGTCTGCCACCGCGTCGTCCACGGCGGCAACTACCCCCGCAGCCAGGTCATCGACAGCTCCACCCTCCACCACATCGAGGCCCTGAGCGATCTCGCTCCTCTGCATAACGCCCCCGCGCTGGGGATTGTCAAGGCTGCCGCGGAAATGCTGCCGCAGGCCACAAATGTCGCGTTTTTTGATACTTCGTTTCATAGCTCTATCCCGGAGCATATCTCTACGTATCCGATTGACCAACGCGTCGCGAAGAAGAACGGGTTAAGGAAATACGGGTTCCACGGCATCAGTTATGAATTCATCACGCGCGCGGTAACTAACTTCCCTTGTTCCCTTTCCCCCCTTATCCCTCCCCCTATCCAAAAAGTATATAAACAAAGGCTGATAGGAAAGAGAGAGAGCAGGTATCAACTTACCTCTCCATCCCCCGCACCTCCCTAAACATAATCGCCCTCCACCTCGGCTCAGGCGCCTCAGCAACATGCATAAAATCCGGCCGTAGCCACGATACGTCCATGGGGCTAACGCCGCTCTCGGGGCTCCCCGGCGCAACGCGCAGCGGCGACATCGACGCCTCTCTCCCCTTCCACTTCACGCACGACGCTCTACGGCCCTCGCGCTCTGCCTCCTCATCCCTCCATCTCTCCCGCGCTGAACACATTTTAAACTCAGACAGCGGGTGGCGCTCCCTCACGGGGACCACGGATTTCGGCGTCATCAGCGCGCGGGGCCGCGAGGAAGACGAATTAGCGTTTCGTTTATTCGTTGATAGGATTGTGGGGTTTGTTGGGAGTTATTATGTTAAGTTGGGGGGGAAGGTTGATGCGTTGGTTTTTGCGGGGGGGATTGGGGAGCGCGGGGAGAGGGTGAGGAGGGACGTTGTTGGTATGGTGGGGTGTTTGGGGTTTGGGATTGATGAGGGGAGGAATATGGGGGTTGGGGGGGTTGATGGGGTTGTTGTTGATGTTGGGGGGGATGCGGGGATGGGGAGGGTTTTGGTGGTTAGGACTGATGAGCAGGCTGAGATGGCTAGGGGGGTTGTTGAGGGGATTGGGCGAGTGAATGAGGGAGGGAGGAAGTAAGTAAGTAAGTAAGTAAGTAATAAGCATAGGTTCATCAAATCTATTCTCTGACCCTTCTTCTTCATTCTATCCCTTCCCCTCTAAACTCCTACTCAAAATCAAAAAAACACTATAAATCAACAAACCTACAAATAAAAAACACACTTATCTTCTTCTACTCCTATCTAAGCTTTCTAAGAACCCTTCCCCCCCCCCCCCCCTCTCTCTTTTCCCTCCCTCTAAAGCCTAACAGTAGAAAAAAAAAACCTAGAAAAAAAACTTGTTTTTTAAGTTTTTAAGTTTTTTTAATTAGAAGTTGCAGTAATTCCTACACTTAAAAAAGCTAATAAAAATAATTTAATAAAAAGTAGGCAGGTAATAAAAAGCTTTTAAAAAAAGGAGTTTTGCTTTTAGCACTAGAGGCTAGGGATGCAATACCTAAAAAAAAACTTGTTTACTAGAGAATATAGATATTGTTAAACATAAATCCATGCCTGCAAAACTAAGAGAGAAAGAAATGAAGAATAGAAGAAGGAGCAAGTAAGTAAGTAAGCCAGTAAGTAGTATATTAAATTTTAATTATTAGTTTTTGTATAAATAGAACGCGTTTTTTATTGTTGATACAATGAAGGAGAAGAAGAAAAGGGGGGTTTGTCTAGAAAAGAGGAAGAAGGGAGGGAGGAAGGGGGGGAGATGATATGAATGTGTTGGTGTTATGGAGATGAGATGAGATGGAGGTGAGGTGTTAGAACAAGTTACTATTGAAGAAGCAGCAAAGACGATAACCAACAACGTAGCGATTCAAAACCCTTTCACCCCTCACATCCCCCTCTCGACCCCCATAAATTCAAAAAAAAAAAAAACGAAGCTATCTACTAAACCCCCTCACACCGATCACAAGCACAGTCAAACCCCCAATTCCGCTTCAGAATCCCGACCCTCTTCCCACGACTCAACCTGCGTTCCTCGCCGCTCAGATACGTAATGCACAGCTCCTCGCCCTCCTTTACATCCCTGGCGGACCTAAACTCCCACACCCGCCCGTCGCGCCTCTTCGCGACGCTCGGCGCGCACGAGTGGTTGAAATACGACGCGGAAGGCCAACACCCGTATCCAAAGAACTCAGCGCCCTCGTCCTCGAGCGAGCGGATCCCAAACGAATTATGCGAGTCGCGGCTGCCGAGCAGCCGGATCGACTCTGCAGTAACGTGGGGGAGCAGCGGAAGCGGCAGGACCGCGAGTAGATGCAGATAGGTGCGCGTGTAGGCGGCGAGGTCGTCGGCGCTCGAGTACGGGGTGTCGTCGCTGGCGAGGGCCAGGATGCACGGCCACGCCGACGGGTTGTGGTACGTGTGCAGGATCCCGCTGAGCACGAACGATATAATGTCCGGGTTCAGCGGCTGCAGCAGCGCTTTCTGGACCGCTTTGCGGTGCTGCTTTGTGCATTTGACGCCGCCGCCGTCGTGGTCCACGGGCACGGCGACGCCGGCTTGGTTGGCGGGGCTGTCGCGGTCTGCGGCGCGGGCTACGCGGATCAGGGAGGCGGCCGTGGTGGTTGTATCCCACGCTTCGGCGATGCGCTTGGTGGATGGGCGGGGGAGGTCTGGAGAGACCATTTCCGAGTCTTCTTTGCTGCGTTTCTTGACGAGTTTCTCGACGGCGGTCCAGGCTTGGATGCCGAGGGGTCCGTTGCGGGATTTCCAGGTTTCGAGGCACGATGGGGTGCAGAAGGCGAAGCCGAGGGATTGGTCGCGGATAGGGAGGTCGCGGCCGTGATCGTAGGCGAAGCATTCGCCGCAGACTTCGCGGCGGTATTCGCGGAGGAGGACGTCGAGGGTTAGGTCGGTGGAGCGCCAGAGGAGCGTGTCGTTTGGTATGTCTTTTGTGGCGAAGACGGCGCGGCCACTATGGGGGGTTTCGCGGATCTCGAACAAGGGCGAGGTTGGGGCGCCTGTGGGGAGGGTGGTGGTGGTGGGACTCATGGTGATGAGAACTTGGTTGGGAGTAGCGTTTGGGAGTTGGAAAAAGTTAGGAAAGGGAAAAGGAAAGAGATATGAAAATGTGTGAGTTCTATAAGCCGTGTCCGGGTTGCGGTGGTCTAGAGAGAAGAGGAAATCTATGCACTCTGAGGAATGCTTCTACTGAGGTAGGAATCTATGGTGCCAACGGGTGTCAGTTACGTATGTCTCTACTAGTCCTACCAGGCGTGGATGATTGAGTGAATAGTGCCATGTTGTTGCTGTGGGTGGAGTGGAGAGTGGTGTGTGTGTGTCTTCACAAGGAGTGCTAAAGGAGCAGTGGAGGGGGGAAGGGTTGCAAATATATAAGAGGGAGAAAGATTATTTCGACAGTCCCAAACGATCTAGATCGCGTTGTGGGGCCCGGAGATAGGCTAGCACTAGCGGCGGAGATTAGGATCGGGAATGATAGCGATAAGACTTTGCGTCGTGGTACAGGTACTGACCGCCTATCCCGCTGGTGGTCACTACCTAGGTATGTCTGAACCACCAGGAAAGGGACCCGCTATGCCCATCTCGAGTAGAACTGCTGCTAGCACGAGACACCAAAATCCCTGCAGATCTCTCTCCCCACTGCTTTGATCCCCTCCACGATCCAAAGCTGTGCATTGCTAAACACCAACACCTTACCCGGAAGGAAGGCAAAGTTGTTCGAGTCAACGCCAATCCAGACCTTGCCTAATAGCGTCCCCTGAGGACTCCATACGTGCAGTCCATCGCCGCAACCTGCCCAGAGGTTTCCGTCGGTATCGGTGTGAATCCCATCTGGGAATCCCGTATCCACGTACGCAAACTGAGAGTTTCAAAGTGCAAAGTCAGCAGATTTCACCAACACATGTCATGATGACAGAAATTGTTGTCTTGGGAAGATCGACATACCGTCCGACGGTTCGCCAGCGTCCGCGAATCTTCCTGGATATCAAACGCGTATATCGTTGCAGGGCGGGTGAAGTTCTGGTCGAATTCCTGCGCGCCCGTATCGCTCACGTAGAGAGTCTTGAGATCAGGGCTGAATTCCAGACCGTTGGACTGCGAGAAGCCACTTGCGACGACGGCAATTTCGCCGGTCGAGGGCGTGAAGCGGTATACTTGGTTCGGGATCGTAGGCTTAGGCCGGAAGTATTGGAAGTAGCCATATTGCGCGTCTGTGAACCAAAGATCTCCTGTTACGGGGTGCTGTCGGATGTCGTTGATGCCTGCAAAGCAAAGGTAGAAGGTTAGTAAAGGTTATGTGTAGGTGATCTTTATTTATTTCTTATAGAATATTGAGAAGGTACGCTGGCGTAATGTCACGGTATGTGTTGTATTCAAAGGAAACGTACTCGAGAAATTGCGGCCTAGATAGTTGTTGAGTATGACTTCCGACTCGCCCGTCACAGGATCAACAGAAGTCAATTGCGAATACGCATTGAAATCGCCCTCATCGCAGAACAAAAGCCGCGGCGCCGTCGTTCCATTGCCCTGCTCGAATCCCGGAGGAAACCAATTCGTGCCGCCGTTTGCCTCGTTGACGTCCTTGTACCGTTTCGACGAAATGGAATAGTTGTTGCCGAGATCAATGACGGTGACGTTGATTGGATTATCCAGACTCTGGTAATTCGAAGTCACGTACACAGAGTTGGTTTCGCGGTTATACGTCCCCATTTCATGGAACGCCTGCCAATCCAGATCATACAGCTGGCGCGCCGTGGCATCGGGACCCAGGACATTGGCCGCGAACGTGTCGTTGTAGCTCAGCAGCTTGATGGTGGTCGGGGTTGTCACGTTACTGGGGAGAAGGTTGGAGAAGTAGCCTGGGTTTGTTGCTACGCCCAGCAAATCGACATTGATGATGCTCGACATGCCGACGAGTGTGGTGGTGACGATTTTCCAGATGATGGGGAGACGCACGGTTTCGTAGGAGAGGTGTGCACCAGCGTGGATGTTGGCGTCGTCGTACTCATCGAGCATTCTGCCTCCTTTAACAGCACCGCGCCTGCGCTCCTTGGTATCGATGACGCTCGATCGCTAGTTCGTGCAGGCTCTCGTCGAACCCGGCGATTCGTGAAATGGACCCCTCAATTAATTTTGAGCAAATGCCACTAAAGCTTGTTCATTACATGTAAGCGGGGAAGATATTCATTCGTACCAATGAACCGACCAACCGGCGATCGGGAGCTGGGAAAAGGCTGGATATTCTTGCGCACGGCGCCGAAGCTCGGATGGGATTCAAGGCAGTAAGGTGAACGGTCCGATTCCATCACTCCACCTGATCTGCATCGTGGGTTACCCAATCGGGAATGATCGGAAAATAACTTGGTTCTTATGCGGGTGCCCCACGCGGCATATGCCCATCACTCGATGATATCAATCCTGGCAACCACTGGATCGACAACAACTCAAGGTCACTAAATCATGTGTCCTTGGAAATGGTCGAGGTTCCTATATCGTTGATTGCGTTGTGTCAGTACGAGTAAAGTATCATGTACAACTCTACTTCTACTCTTACTGACTACTACTTCTCATACTTACATGTCATCTAGTAGTACTTTCCTCACTCACAAGCATCCTACACCCAATAACTACCCTGGTCACAACAAGATATTATGCTTAAATTTTAGTGACATCAAGCCTTTCTACCACCACAGTCTCCCTGCGATACTTCTTTTGCTTCCCGCTGCGCCTACATTTTGCACTGCACCCTTTGGACCCAGGAACCCCTCCGCAGCGACCAGTGCCTCCCCCCTCGCTCTAATAGCCGCGTCCATAATCTCCAGGGACGAAAAGTGTCCCATAACACCCGCATCCACATTCCAGCTTCCCTGCACCAGCGCCGCATTCTCGTTCATAACGTTGGCAACACTGTCCCTCACTTCCGGAAGGATATCAGCAGCAGCCCCCATCCACCTTGCCAAAGTCCCCTTGAAGGAAACCTGATCCAAGTTACACGTCCCCGAGCCCTCACAGCGCGTCTCAAACAACGCGCCATCACGCACAAAGTTGCGCTGCGCAGCCTCTATCAACCCCTTGGTTCGATCCGTCCACTTCGAGTCGCCAGTCTGCTCAGCCATCGCCGCCGTCCCCAGGATAAACACGCCAGTGTTGTAACTCCACTGCGGATTATTAACAACCTCGCAATTCTCCGTGTCCTCGACGCCGTCGTAGACATTGAACTCCCCGTCGATAAGCTGCACCCCAACAACCCAATCATACGCCTTCTCAGCCCACGCAAGCGTCTCCTCGTCGCCCGTGAGCTTCGCAAGCCGCGCCGCGAGCTGGAAAAACAGCCCGTTCGTGATGGTCGATTTGTAATGCCACCCGTCTAGCCCGTTGCCGACGTTGATCTTCCACTTCAACCCGCCGCCACACGTCGCGCCGTCGTATCGCGCTTTCTGCTCGTCGAAGACGTTCTGCGCGAGCGCGAGGAACGTCACTGCGCCCGGTGCGACGGGGACGTTTTGCTCCGCCGCCGTGAGCGCCGCGAGCGCCCACCACGCTTGGTCGTCGTTGCCCGTGGCGTCGGCCGTCATGAAGTCGTTTGTGCCCGTGGCTTGGTTGAGCAGCGTGTTGGCTGCGAGCGCTTCGTAGGTCTTGTCGCCCGTTGCTATGCCGTAGTTTAGTAGGGCGTCGATGCTGGAGCCGGATTCCCACCACCAGAAGGGGTGGGGGAGGAGGGCCACTGAAGGGTTTGGATAGGTTGATTTTAGGGAGAGGGCGATTTGCGCGGCCGTGGAGATGAGGGAGGAGGTTGATTGGGCGTTTGCGAGGACGGATGAGGTCGCTGTTGCGAGGGAAAGGTAGTGCGATGGACGCATAATGAATGTAGTTTGTTATAAAAATAACGGATTAGAACAGCCTGTTTCTGTGATTGATGAAAAAAGAATGGATGAATGTAATCAGTATGTCTGAAGAGACCGTTTCGATTGGAATATCAATTGAGCGAATGTTCGATATCCAAATACAAACAAAAAAAAAGAGTGACTGAATATAGAAGATACCGAGCTCAACTCTCAACGCAAAGTAAAACACAAAAAAAAACGAAGGACAGGAAATCCAGAACAGTGAAGGTACCCCCAAAAAAGAGGGCGACACATGAAGGTACTTAAACCACCCGCCTAAACTCATCCCACTGCATAAACACTGCACATCAAACATCATCCTTACCCTCGAACAAAAGAACAAAACGCAGAAACCTGTTCGCCAGCTGCTTATACTCATCTCAGCCGCAGCATAAGAAACACGGCAGCTCCACCCGCCCATTCCCCCCCTTCGAAACGCGATCCTTACCAGCGCTCCCCAAAAAGTAGATAACATGTAATCTCTGCATCCACGGTTCAACACATTCTCTCCAAGTTACAAACCCAACACCTCAATTGAAAAAAAAATAAAAAAGAGTATCACCACTATCTACACACTCGCCATTGTCCCGCGGTACCAATCACCGGCAAAAAACCCTTCCCTCCTTACCCGCAAAACAAAGAAACAGCAATGAACATTCACTAAACTAACACACACGCACTCGCGCATTTTCCCTCTCTCTCTCTTATGCATATATACCCAGGATACAAATCATTAATCCACACTGCAAAATACTCGGCGTACCAAATTGTTGTTCGCCCGCGCTCGCCGCATCCCAGCCCTCCCCTGTCTCGAACCTGAAAATAAGCGAAATAAGATGGGTTTGAAACGCGTTAAAAAAACGGGGAGGGGGGGTTCGGGAATGCGAATTTGTGGGGACTGGAGTTCATGCGCGTGGGGCGAGTGGAGTATTGTGCATTGAGGGAATGTTCTTTGGGGAAGGGGGGGGGGATATTCTTTTTATAGAGGGAAGGGGGGTGTTTAGGGGAGGGAAGGGAGAGGAGTTGGATGGGAGAGGGTGAGGACGGTGGGAAGGCGAGGGATTTATTGGGATAGAGGATAGATGGGTGGGAGGATGATGATGGGGTGGATTGCTGGTGTGGGAGTTGGAGAATTTGGTGCTGTGACAGCACGGGGGCGGCTGGTTCTACTTTGCGATTGCTGGACTCGTGAATTGGGTGAAAACCACTTTATTTCTTCTGATTCTGCATCAACATACAGTTGAACAGCGTACCAGCATGCCTTCTACAACAGTGAAATTCGACATAATCAACATCTTAACAGACTTTTAATAGCTAATTCCAGGCGACAAGCCCTATAATATAAATCAAACCTCACATTTTACTTTCCCAGAACAAAAGACGATTTCTCGAGCCCGTATATCCGGTTCAATCTACGCCCATAGCGTCGTGCAATGTTGTAAGGCAGTTTAGGGCCTGAATGCGGTTGGTAGAAGTTGATGGGTCTATCGACCTTCACTTTTTTACTGAATGAAGCATCCGGAGTGAATTGCCAGCTGGAACCGAATAATTTTTCCGGGATCAGACCGATGGCGTTAAGAGAGTAGACGAAATCGGCCCATGGAACCTCACCTGGTTCGTCGGTAGCGGAAGGTTGGAAAAACAGAGTACTGAATGGCTTGTATGCTTTGCGGTTCAGAGTGAAGAGTCCTGCGGGGAGAGAACTGGAAGGAGAGGTGTCGATTGAGTGTACATTCTCCCAGGGTGGTGTGCGTGCGACTCTGCGAGTGTCAAACGCAAAGAATCTATAGGATTCTGGACTCATGTTTGCCTTCAAGAATCTGTCGACCCTTTGCCAAGTCATTTCCAGATCCCTTTCCGCCCTGCGCATTTCTTCTACTCGATCTTCTGTCCGTTTCTTGTCGACGGGGTATGCCCATAATCCAGCATTGCGAATGCCGGTGATAAAGATCTTCAGTTTTGAATTATAGGAATTCATGATGACTGCAGTCTCTTGTACTGGGCGCATGATGCCTTTCATGAAAGATATCCATTCCTTGGAAGACAGCTCTCTTGGACCTTGCTCCATGCCACTTATATCATGGTCATCGATTGGAAAGACTTTCGGGCAAAGTAGAGACAATTGTGCTCGAAGTTCACAGTGCATACTCAAATTATCAATGAGCTTCATGACCCTGCGTCACGAGTGCAAGGTTAGCTGCGGGTTATCAAGCATTCTGAGTCTTAGAATGATGAGTCGGCGGACTTACAAGGGAGAAATAAGTTTACTGTCATGCTGGACAAGTCGATTGAGCTCTGTTGCTGTCATTTCTTATGGGAACTCGGGATCCGGGATGGTGATGAGCGGAACGAGCCGAAATATTGGAAATTCCTTGCTTCCTTCGTCTTGACGAAGTTTCTCGTGATTTTCCATCCAAAAATAATCTCGTACCGGAGGCGATCTTGGCAGGAAGCGTGCTATGTCTAGGGCTGCGATGTGTAGGCCTTGAGCGTATTGGATACACTTCAGTATGTGCATAGACTTGATGTATTTGGGGTTATCCTCTGGATTTTCGAATGCATCGTCGTAGTAGAGTTCTTTGATCTCTTTCAGGTAGTGCACAATTAAACGCCAACCTGGCCCTGCCTGGTTGAGCTCGTTAACAGTTCGCAGTGCCGCACGATTCCAGAAAACATCGTCCCTTTCACGGAATCTTCCAAATTGGTCTGGGAGCGCGTTATCATCATGGTCACTCCACTGTTTGAAGGTGTCGCTGAAATATCCTGGATCTTCACGCAGCTCAAATTCATGATCTTGACATGCTTGCCAAGCACCACTAGCAAACTGGAGCATGCGTTCAATGTCGATTCCACGGGGTACAAGATAAGGGCGGTTCAAAGACAGATCGATAGCGGATGGCCATTGTCCAGACTTGATGACTAGGGTGGGTGGCTCTGGCTGCACAGGCCCCGAAGTGAGCGAGCCATCGGACATTTTGTCATGCAAAATGCCTTTGCAAAGCTTCACGAGGAAGTCGAGCGTCCTTTCCTGAATCTCCAGTACTATTAATGCTTCTGGCGCATTTGGAACGTCCCCTTGGCTGTTTTCTTTGCTGATGGTTCATACTCCGACACCTGACCGTACTCTTGCCGGGACTCGCCTAAAAGATCAATATAGAGATGTATGATCTTGAGGCCCGAAATGCAACGGATCGCTTTAGTCTTAAGTCCAGTCCGAACACTCTCTTGATCTATGACTGAAAATGTGGCAGGGCTATGGCGACCCCTGGAGTTGAGAAAACGTAGAACGGTACTAGCTTGGGAAAGATCTTCAAGGTTTATATGAGGCCACAAGTAGGCCTGCCTATATTTCGTACGGTGCTGTCTCGCATACTCGGGTTCCTTTTTATATGCGACAAAATCAGGGCGGTGATTCTTAGACATGCGAGGCCAGGCTTCCAGAAGCTGCTTTTTCCGTTGCTCGGGTTTCTTCTTTGTCCATCGTTGGCGAATCAAAGCTTCGTGCCGTTCTAGAATTGCTTGCAGGGTCTCGTAGTTGTCAAAGATGGAAGTCACCCTGTCTTGCGCCAGATTTGTTACTGTCTCTGGTGTAGGGTCGCGCAAATTGCCATTGATACCCATATCGGGATCATTGTCTTCGTCGCTACCGTCATCTCCGTCATCTTCCTCATCTTCATCTTCTTAGTCACTGGAACCAGGAAAATATACTCGTCCAGTTACCACAGGAGTGGCAGTGGGATCATCCAAGTCAAGCTCGATCATTTGCATGTCCCCAGGGGCGGAATTGGGGAAATAGGAAGCTCTAGCACCATCTTTACCGATAATTTCGATTGAAGAATGGTGATTATTTCCGATTGGTGGTGGCATTGTTCCTCGGTGCGACGAGTTTTGTGGTGGTTGTAGAAATTACGTAGTAAAGCCGAGGACTCTCGCTTTTACATACAGGCTGCCAGTGGATAATAACGTCGGGAGGTTGGTCTAAAGTTTAGATTTTAGCTTCAAATCATGTCACATATACCGGGGGTTCGTACATCAGGAGTTTCGTATCAACTCTTTCTTCCAATTGATCACAAGTACAGCCTGTCTCCGTTTAATACTGGTTTGCGCCCCCTTGTGTCAGGTGTTCTTGGCAATCCCTATGACGCAAGTGGCTGAAAAAGCAAATCCTATGACTAATACTTTTTTTTCCTCTCTCCAAAACATGGGGACATTCAGTGATGATTTCCCTGATACTTATAATTGGTGGTGGTGTGGTTGTTGAAATGGTTGAATCCAATTGTACCGTGGATCAATAGGTACCTTGCTAGAAAGGCTCGGAGTGCACACCGAGTCGGTGCGTAAAATTGATTCGACGAAATCAACATGCACGCTGTCGATCAACTAATATGCGAATAGTTGTACAAATATAGCGATCATTCGCTAGGCCTTGTCAAGAAATGTCACCCGTCCCGTCTCTACTCGAACATATCCATTGAATGTAGCCTTATTCTCTTCGGTAGCACAGTGTTTACAAGAGCGTGATAATTCCGCACATTTCGGGATGACTACGTACGCGTCAACAGGAACTTCGTAGATTGGTGAAATGTAACGGTTTGGTCACCGATGCAATTGATTGGTCCTATCATCACTGCGAGTTCAGAGCATGTGATCGTCATTCCGACCATCGGGAGAAACAACACAGGGAGACTCCACTGTGTACTACGCGGTAGGCAGAAGCGCCAGGCAGCAATACTCGAATGCCAGCCATCTTGCGCATATTTAATTCGAGCTCATACTGTCCTTTCATGAACAAGATGAACAAAGCAATATCACGATACATTCCCTAGAAAACTGCGCATTCACCTTTTTGCTCATCATGGGCCAATATTGTACGTCCACTAAAGTTAGCGAGATGAAATATGTTGCATGTTGGCTTGGAGGGTCTGATCACTAATTCTGCATTGCCATGTTTAGGGAAAGTCGGGAGCATCGACCGACGAAGCCATCTCGAGAACCATTTTGGGGTGAAGCTAGGCGATATCTTGATGAATGGGATCCTCGCCGGACTTGTTCCGCTATTAAGTGTCCCAGAGTTTTCACCCAAAGTGGATGCCAAGGCCCAGACCGATTTCGCAGCAGCTTTCTCGAGGAAGTGAGTGATCCTACGGGAGGGATGTAGCATCAGGATGTCGCAAAGCGGGAGGTTACGTGTACCATCTGTTATCTACGGATGGAAGCATGCAGTAGCTTTTCATCAGCTCTTGTATTCGCAAGGAATGTTGTAGTACACTATGCTCTTGCTATATGAGATCCTGATGCGTCATCTCCCTGCACTGATGTGTTAGATTTGTCAGTACTGACGTGGCACAGTGCCGATAGTCCTTTGATACGCTTGCCCCAGGAGCTCATAAACATGATCATTTCCGAGTGCGCCACCGAAGCATCCGACTTGGTTGCTCTTGCTTTAACATGCGGCGTTCTCTTTCGCATGTCAGCCCCCTTCCTTCGCGACGTCTTCACTCAGTCCGCTGCCTGGGCTGGTGATCGATTGATTTGCTTGGGTGACTATGCAAACGGCTCACCAGCTTCAGTGGATAAGCAAGAGATAGACGATTGGCTAGACTCTCTCAAGTCTCGACATGGAGTCACATCGGACGATCTTGAGTTCGAAACCCACAACCCAATATATAACATGATCGGAGAAAACACGACCTCCTTGCGAGCACCTATGCCCCCATTCAAGACTGGCAAGGAAAGCCAGGCAGAGTGGAAAAAGATCGAAAAGGATTTCGAAATGACGGGTCAGAGACCGCCAGAGCGTTGGGCTCAAGATCGAAAATCATGGTCTAGCCACTATCAGATCATGAAAAGAAGGCATGAGAGAGGCGAAGGCCAAAGCAAGCTGGATATCTTGGAGGAAGATGCCCGGCAATTAGGATATACCCGTGAACTCAATTTTCTGCCTGAGACATTCCGCTTTCCGATTGTGTCGCGAGTAGGAGCGGAAGCATTTGGGAGGACTATCAGAATGATGGCGCCGCTCCATCCCTCAGCGTTGTTCCTGCGCAATCTGTCAGTAATTTCCCTTTAAATAAGCCTCGTCATATTGACTGACGTTCATTCTACCGCGAATTAGATCCCGCAAACAATTTGTTCACTGGAGAAAGAGGGAAGGTGAATCTATGAATCGGCTCGGACAGGCGATTTGTAGTCAGATTTGTTGGACATCCGACCCTTCTGGATGTTACTGGGGAATGAAGAGTCAGTGGGCTGGCGACAGGCTCGATATAAGGGGCTCCGCGGCATGGGTTCCGGAGGCAGAAGGATGGACTGATGTGACAAAGACAGTTGAGCAGTTGTTGGTGGACATGGACGAGGACTAGCCAAACATTAATTTTCCCCATACAGTCTATGGACTATTCAGGAACGGAAATTGCTAGTACTGTTCTAGATTGAGATGATATGAAATGTGATACTCAAATGCCACAAGACCAACTGTTCTATGTAAGATCCATAAGCGGGGCATTTACCAATTGAAACTACTTGAAGTATAAGCGAAAGGAAAAGGAGAGTAATATCCCTCGTCTCCAGGATGCAGTGCTATCCATAATTTTGCCACTGTGCCTAAGATCTGCCAATGTATACACAATCAAGATTCAAGAGCAAGAATTTTTTTAACGACCTACTGCATTAAGGCTATAAAGATGAAGAAGTGATGGGCTGGATGTAAATGTCTTGAGCCTGAACGGGCAATGATCTCCCAGCACAGTCCACCAAAATAAGTAAAGTAGTAATGAAATGACAATAACATCGATTTACTCTTATTTTACCTACTAATGTGATACAACGATCTACTACCCTAGATCATACGTCCTTCTCAGCAGACTTCTCAACTACCCATTCAACAACCTTAACAATCATCTTCATGGTATCGCCAGTCCCATGATGCGTATAGCGCCGATTATTGAAACATGTAGGGCCCATCCAATCCCACTCTCTAACACCATCTTCTGTCCCATCGCCCTTCATGACCAGCTTCGCACCATCCTCTCTATCCCAGCTCCAACTGTTTCTTTTGGCATACAACTCCCCAATCACGCCTTCCAACTGCTGCCGCTTCATCTCAGTGTGCTCGAATTCTATGATCACCTTCTCCACAGACTTTGGTAAAACAATATCCTGCGTGCCGAAGAACGGTGTCGACGAGACTGGGTAGATTGCGGCATTGTTTTCCCAAAACCACCAATCGGTGTATCGCAAGGTGAGAGTTACTTCGCGGGGGGCCACTTGATGCATTCTCCGCAGTGATCCGAACGCGCTGCGGATTTTGAACATTTGAGCGTAGATGTGTACGGGGTTGGTGAGAGATGATGGTTGGTTCTCGAATTTCTGCATCAATCGATCGACGTGGCCCGGGACTGAGAGATCGTTTATCTTGCGAATCGTTCCTAGATGATTTTGAGATCTGTCAGTGTCGCTGTAACATGGGACCAGGAAACAGAGGAGGTGGTAATCACAAACGCACTTGGTGGCGCCCGCGTGTTATGACCGAACCACAGAGCAATCTCCACCGCCTTTTCGGGTAGTGCTTTGGTCTCACTCCAGATTAGTTTGCAGGTACGCAATAGCGCTACGTCGACCCTTTTTTCACCCTCCTGTCCGGGACGCCTGTAATATGTGTCTCTCAAGTACGTCTCAGGGGGCTTCACAGCTTCTTCACTCCAGACCGTTTCTTCCAGAACTTGAGCACGCAGCGCCCATTCAATTTGTTGTTCTGATTGAGTGTACTCCGCTATAGCAAGTGAGAAGATCTCGTTGCGGATCTGCAATGGAGGACACCAAGTCAGTTTGAATACCACGTCGTAGATTGTACATAGCTATAGAAGATTCATGATCACATTTCGCGATGCGATACAAATTGTACGACTGTATATATATCTCTGGCTAGCTTACTTCAGGGGGGACAGTTCCAAAGAGTGGAGACTGGGATTGTGGGTTGGCATTGGTCATGTCGATCTTTGCGGTGTTGTCGACCTTTGCGGTGTTGTCGACCTTTGCGGTGTTGTCGACCTTTGCGGTCTTGTCGGAGACTTTTAGATTTTGGACCATCTTTCGAATCCTACTAGAAGAACCGCTCGGTACAAACATTAAAGAATACAGTATAGGGAGCTAGTGGTGTTTATTGAAGTCGTTGAGTTTGTAGGTGGCGGTAATAAGCATAAGTGGTTGCGTTCCGTACGAATAGGCAGCAGCGGGGTCAACCTTTATCCTATTGGACGATTAAGATGCTTACCCCGCCAATGACATAAACCCTCAGAGATGAGGCATAGCTATTGGTCGACTTCAGAATTATTATTGATACATTTGTAGACTCTCATTCAAGTGCATGACATTCTAAAGTATCTTTTCCAAGTGCATGGCATCTCAGAGTATCTTTTGAGATGCATGTACATCTGTATTGATGTTTGTCTCTGAAAGAAGCAGTCGTCCTTACACATAGCACTACCTACGACGTGAAGCAGAGCTTGTAGGCATGCGATTTGTGTTACTTCCTATGAATACAACTTACTAAAAACTGTCAGTTATTGATCGTGGTGCAGGAGATCCTCCGTGCTGCTAGGAAGTCTAGCGGATTGAAGTTGATTAACGTCATATATGTTCGTCTAACAGTTGCCTCGAATTTTACCTGCTCTGTGAGATTAGTCTGACTCTAAAATCATGGACACAACATAAGCTTTGCGGAATATTACTTTTACAGGGCTGCTCTTGAAGTTATACGTACGTACATCGAGGTGGATATCATATGATCATTACCCAAACGCAAATATCGCCGGTCTTCACTTTTTCTCGAATCTCGATCAATAGACCAGTACTTCTTCCATAATCGCCAAAATGTATTCGGCCAATGTGGATTTTTTTAGTGGGTCAGCCTGTAGGCGATATCACGTCATCAGCTAACAGCGTTGTTTGGGCGACAGCACCTCTTTCACATTGATGATCCTAAAGGTGGATCTACAAGAACAAGTGACGCTTTTTTTGACAGCTATACCTTTGCGCCAGTGTCGTGGTACCCGTTACTCGGCTCGCGAATGTCGAACCGTCGCCTGACAACTGAGTTAATGTTAGCCTGATCCTGTCTAGCTCCTGATTGTCTGAGTCCCGCTTTTGTGTGGATTGCCTGCTCTTATATCCGGCCCTTGGACACGACCAGTGTGTTAATTGCGATCCTCACGATACCTCCCATCTTCGTTATCATTCACCCCCGTCTGTCCGCATGAACGACAGCGAGCTGACTCTTACTTTATATGCAGCCGTTACTACCCACAACGGATGTCACTGCCATGCCATGCGTAGATCTCTCGAATCGTGCGATGGAGTCGCTTCAACTTGTTCATCACCTCCTGCTACGGAAAACTCCCCGACTCTCCCTGGCCCCCTTTTTCGGCTATCTCAGCTTGACAATCTTACAGGGCAAGGCTACTCGCCTTGGCTTTGACGTCGGCGACTTTCTAGGATGGAAACACGGGATGTTCGACATGTCATGTAGATCTTCTCCTGTTCCTGTTCTTACCTGTCTCTTGGGAGGCTTGCGACTAGTCTACTACGTACGCATTGTCTACGAGTAAACTTTATATGAGTGATTAATAATCCCTGGCAATACCTGATGCTCTATGATATATGGTCATGTGGATCAAGCTGTGGATGCTGCTCGACACCTCTCCTGTCCTGCACAATGCGATAACCAGTACATTTCCGCTTTCATGCGATGTACTAATCCTCTTTCCCTTCCAGTCATTTTTCTTTCCCTCTTTTGGAACTATTCAGTCCGCAGCACCCGAAAACACAGTTCACCAGAACTGTTGCCGAGCAAATCATCTCTTTGTTGCACTGGTAATGCAGGCCAAGATGTCGTTGAATCGCGTATGCCACATGGCCCTAATGGATTTTAGTGGACAAGATAGCTGCGCCTTAGCTGATCAAATTTTGATACCGCATCACCATTCTCGTAAGCCGTTCTCGTATTCCGAAAGTTAATATTCTCGGCAATTCGCAGCATGCGAACATGTGGCTTGGACAAGGACGCTTGGTTTACGATGTCGTTAAGCCATCCATATGAGTATAAGCACTGCTGCAAGGGGAAATATCCACTTTCTTGGCTGAAATTTGAGATACGAAGTGAAGATTAGTCACAACCGTACTCCTAACCCCATTTGCATTGATGGGAAAACGTCACAACTCCCCAGCAGATGGATCATGCACTTGGGGAGTCGGATGAGGATTGCCATGTGGCTGCGATTCATTCAGCCGCATGCTTGATATCACACTGTTGATAACTGTACATGGAACATGTCAGCATCATCCGATGGATCCACTTGCCCACACAATTGAAGTCGAATACAAGTGGCCCGCGGACAGCACAGGGCTGGACAGCAGCCGATGTTGCGTGATGCCTGGATCCGGGTTAGTAGCAGCGCTGTGGGCCGCTATCTTGCTAAACGAATCTTACTGGTATCAAGGCATGTGCTATTCCCAACAATGTGTTCGTTGGGATTGTGGTGGCACTTAGGTAATCAATAGAGAAGAGGTCCGCATTGTCGAATGTAGGATCAATAGACATGATACTCTGGATCGAATAATACGAATTAGCATGGAGCAGTGGTATAATAAGCCGACACGCACCATAAGATCAACAAGTGGAAATACATAGTATGACCCCAGTGTTTTATTGCAAGGGTCTCGCCACGCGACAACCTAGGCTCCAAAGGCGTCGTTTTTAGGCACGCCATACGCTTCGGATTAACGGGAACGGCGAAAACTGATTCAGGAACGCCGGGCTCAACGCACGTTGACAGCGCACTTGCGGAGACCGCGGGGTTCCCTGAGCCACCAGCGAGTTCGAGACAATCTATGATGAGGTGTCAAATACTGATAGAGCAGTGTTAGCGAAAACTCTAATTTTCTTCTTCTCGAGAACACGGAGCCACGAAGCCGAGGTTAACGATTAAGGCAAGCTCGTGTGATATCGATGCAGGAAATGCGATGATGGCTTGGTGGAGATTATACGTGAATACGACCTTACTCGAGGTGCATTTGAACAGACAGGCTATGGCTGTATAAAGCAGTTTCACCAGTGATCCTCAAGGGATGCAGATCAGATCTACAGTCACTCGCATGTGTCGACGAGGGTCCCTCTGTAAGCGACCACGAGATGTCGCAACCCAAGGAGTTTGAGACCCAGACATGGATAGAGCACTAGTGGTTCTCACCTAAACGATTGGCCACAAAAACAAGATTCACGCCTACGTCCCGTTTCCATTACAGAAGTGGGCGCAGGGAGTCGGGCCGGCCAAGTGCGGCGAGGCAAGGGTTCCGAGGAGCTCACGACTCATATAACCAAAGCAGCTGGAGGTTGGTTTGAAAGGGGCAGGTGCTGACGCTGTATATGATGGTGGGACGGAGAACCCTCTCTCGGATTGCAGTTGTTGTTATTTCCCAACTCCACTGAACGCAACCCCACCCAGGGCCGTGGGGAATCAATCGTGCGAACAACAATGTCGACAGCTACCGATTTCAAAGTCGCTGCTTTGGCTGCTGGATTTACACTGGGATTCGGATTCTTGACAGTGTGGGAGGCCAGTATGTACTGCCCGGAGCAGCGGATGAACGAAGCCCTGTGAGGAGACCTTGACTGACTCTGGCCCGCAACTACAGTCAAACAGACGAGACGGAATCGTAATCCGCTGAGAAGTGGCTATATCTACATGATATGGGGTCAGATTGCAGCCAACCTCATCATCGGTGTCATCGGATGGCTCTTCCTCAATGGAGTACTGGGTCCGACGTACGTTCCATGGTGTCAATCGTATAATCTTCAATGCTGACATTCCTCAGTGTTCCAGTACTTTTCGTTATCCTCCTTTGTTGGGTCTTTGAGATCCAGTTGCTCATGCAAATTATCATCAACCGTATCGCGCTTATTGCTGAGCATCGCAAGACCATCTGGAGGATCAAGTGGGGGACAGTGGCAATAATCACGGCGACGAATATCGCCGTGATGTGTATCTGGATTCCTGCCCATACCGTGCCGCCAGCAAGTCCGATCTATGTGGCGGTGAACAACGTATGGGATGTAAGTATTTTCAATGCCATAAGGTCGAGCATTGAGACTTTAATGGCTTATGCAGCTATAACTATCCGAGCTATACTAACATGAACCAGAAACTCTCCAAAATCATCATCTTGGCGGTCGATGCTGCCCTGAATTGGTATTTCCTACGAACCGTGCAAAACCGTCTCGTCAAACAACATGGTCTCCTGAAGTACAAACCTTTGGTCGGTTTCAACGCCAAATTGATGGTGGTCTCGATTCTCATGGATGTAAGCTGCAATTCATCCCCTTAAACATAGCCTGGTAAATGGGATGGGGTATTATCGTGATTGGTTGCCTCTTTGGGCAACCATCATGTGACCAGCCCATTTCCCAACCCACGACAACCTCACAATGCTAATTCGCGTCTATGCAGTTAATGCTCATCGGTCTCATGTTTTTACCCAACCAGCTGGTGTACATACAGTTCCATCCCGTCACCTACATCGTAAAGCTCAACATCGAAATGTCCATGGCGTCCCTTGTCGTCCGACTCGCGAGAGGTGTACCCGAGAACGACATGCACGAAGAACAGCACTACTCGTCCTCCGGTCCACGAAGCCGCGCTCAGGCTGTCAACGACATGCGAAGACAAACCCACGAACCGAGTGGTCACTTCCAGAGCTTCCAACTAAGCAGCATAAGCAGAGGCCAGAGGAAAATCAGCGAGGAAAGCCAGGTCGGGATCACTTGTACTACCGATGTGAGGGTGGAACGTAGTGACAAGCAGGCGGCTGAGATTGAGACGAAGAGTGGGAGTTCGAGTTTAGCGGAGACGCTGGGGATTGATAAGTTTGGGGATGAGATACCTTTGCATAAGGATGATCCAAGAGCGAGACAGGGAGATCTAGTCTAGTAGGAGGAAGTCTTAATACTACGGATAGAGTAATGCAAGATCCTACCAGGAAAATTCACACGACTTTCATGTTTTTCGTGAACTTGAAATATTCCTACTGTCTGACGTCCCTTCGTCATGTGATCAATAAGTCCGCCACCCTAGAGCTTGCTTTTGACAGTCTTTCAAGGTCTTGAGGTACATTAGATGAAATTTAAAAGCTGTACAAGATATGCTGACACGCTGTCTAACAGTATGCTGTCACAGAAAGTGTAGTTAATACACTGTCCTGGGGTGCGCTAAAGCTCATAACGTGTGTACCTCGATTTGAGAAGCATCGTCTGTCGTGTTGCTCCATTCACAATCCTTCGCCACATCACTATAATAAATTATCTATGTCTTCTATTCTTGCCACTTCAAAAGTCGTACTTAGCCGACTCAACTGATCCTGATAGGAGAGGATGTCGAATCGGCCGTAATGGGAGACAATCATCACTTTCGCTACTCCATTACGCAACTAACAACTTAATTTCGGTCAAATCCTCCTCGGGTTTGTTTCCTAAAGTAATCACCCCGCATTACTGTTACCTCAAAAATAATCTACATGTAACACATCGGCATAGAGCGTTCGAAAGAGTAGGTACAAGACTGTTCCCTGAAAACACCCCCTGCATAAATGCATTCAAGATTCCTTACGCTTTGAAACCACCCTCGGGAAACGCCACCAAGCTAACTTCATCCGTATATTTCACCGGAGCCATGGTGATTGTATAACTCGATTGATCGAAGATGGAGTAAACGCTGCGAAGAAACCCATCTCCAAAGATGAAGATGTCGGAAGGACTCCTTGCATAGAGAAACGTGACACAGGTACCGTCGGGGAACGGGGTTACAAGAGAGCTGAACGGCACTTCGATTTCACCAGCAGCACCGAACTCCACGGTTATGGATCCTTTGGCGACATTTGGGTCGAGGTATTTGCAGTCTACGGGCTGTGTTTGGCGACCCGCGTTGAACTCGACTTCCAGGGCCGGGTAAACAAGGTTCGCGATGGACTCAGGTAGGTACCAGTTCGCGACACCTAAGACAAGGTTTAGCATTCATTCTATCGTGACTGAGAAAAGTCGAACATGCAACCATGATACTTACCATTGTCTAAAAGAACAGGAACGCCAATATTTTCTTCTCCAAACTGCTGGGTGGTCGTATTGCCATCAACATTGACCTTCAGTGCGGTCACATTTGCGCTATTTGTTTGACCGCCAGACAGAGAAGAGTTGAGCGGATCACTCATATTGACGGTGAAAAGATCACCCCCGATTTTGGCCTCGTCGTAATATCCACCCAGAACCATCGAACCCGTCGCGTCGTATTCATCAGGTCCGTGGTATATGCTTACAGCCTTGCGGTCAATTTTACCAGCATCGTGGAGTCTCTCCAACAGATAAGGACCTTCTCCTCCGCAACTAGTTGCGTTGCATACGAGACTCAAACCTGTACATATTAGTCGATGGACAAATAGCAGAGGCGCTTTTATGCATTACCGAGGATTGTCGCAGCCGGTACAGGTGCACGATCTGGGAACCCATATCTCAAAAGATAGCCAAAGTACATGTTCTCCGTCGTGATACCCCCGATGGTAACAGTATCTTCCTGATAATCACCGCTGCCGTGGGTACTCAACTGATCAGCAAACCCAGTGCCACGATAAATTGAAGTTCTAAGGAAATGTTAGCCAGCGCATATAATCAATGCGGTCCTGAAGTACAACATACGACGACGTCGTGTTATCGAAAGCGCCGAATAAATCACACGGCCTATCCGCTCTCTCGCATACCGGATTCGATCTCGCTTGAAACGAGAACGTCGGACTACCCGTATCAATCTTTAGAAAAGCACTCTGAGGCGGCGTGCCAACAGTGAGCTCTGCATAATAGGCATCGAGTTTGTCATTGCGAATCAGGGGAACAAACACAGCTCCGTCTGGAACTTGTGGCGCAACTCCTGCAGCTGCGGCCGCCAGCGCAGCGCTGAGCAGATATCCGTATTTCAGATGGGCCATTGTCAGATATCACGATGCCAAAGTGGTGTTGCGCAAAGGGGATGCCTCTTTAGACGAAACGGCGAGATAATATTGGACTGGCCCGATTCGACGAGACGTTAACCCTGTTCGTATACATCCCCGGTCTCTAGCGGCTTTCCAGAACGCAATAGGTGATATTTTTATTTCCAAGACTCTGAAAACAAGGGAATACGTCATATCCCGGGTCTAGGTAAACGGCATGCTGAATAGTAAATTCTAAAATCTGCGTATGCGCAACTGAAGCGTAAAGTATGTTATTTGCTATGAGGCCAAAGTGCGCTCTACGACAACTTATGTAAGTGATTTCGCGGAACGCTTCGTAAAACTGTCTCAATCTATGAAGCCAACATGTATCATCAAAGAACTATCAGCTATAATTGCGTACAATGATTTCAAGGTTGAAGAAGGGACTACGAACTCGCGTGAATCATGTTCTTCACTCAAAACAAGACCTATGATTGATGATTAGGAAAGAAGCGGATAGATGAACGAATCCTCTAGTTAAACAGCCTTCTAATATCTCATATCTAGGAGTCGCATCTTTCACCTTAGTTCTCAATCTCATATCTCTCCTTAAGCACCAGTACCTCGTTCCTGTCCACTCTAACCTGCTCGGTCCAGAACCTAACCTCGACACCAAAGTCCGTAGTACCTGAGTCGATAAGAGCGCTGGTACTGTTGGTGAATTCGTCCAGAACCACGTCTTCATCGGCTCCGTACCAGAGGATGGTATAAGTTTCAGCATGGTTGTTCGGGACTTGCCTGAACTGTGCGAGGGGTAGGAGGTCAAGCGTTACGTTAGTAGAACCGTCAGGCTGCGCAACCTGGGTGACGTTGTCGATGAGGGAGAGCGGGTTCATGAGGGACAGCCATAGACCTTCAATGCATGCGTCGCAGAAGTCTACGGACTGCATGGTGCGCATGAGACATTTGTCGTTGGTGGGACGGTATGTGGTTCTGTTGGATGCGGAGAACCTGTTCCCGGATATGAGAATTAGGACATTGCGGGTATGTAGTTAGTACTTACGTAGGGAATATGCCATGGAATTCGTCAAAGTCGTATCTGAAAACAAGCCACGGTCAGTAGGAGATCGCATCAGACTGAGGTATGAAATCACTCACACTTCCCCGTACTCGAGGATCTCGGCATTGCAAAGCTGTGCGCTTCCTTCTATCTCCTCGTTGAGTAGGGTGAACTTCAGCTCGTGTGCTCCCGGACTGAGCGCATCATCGAACTTGATATTATAGATCCAACGGTCCACGCCGATCACGGGGTTCACCTCCCAACCTACGTCCTTTCCATCGATTTCCACGAGCAAGTCACTGCTCTGCGTTACACCGCTGACACTGAACTGCAGCATGTGAGTATCGTAAGTACCAGCCGAGCTGAAAGCCGCTCGCCAGCTCCGGGTTGTGTTTAACAAAGTCCAAGGGTACGCCTGGAACGGCATGTTGTTTCGCTGAACGTTTGGCTCCGAAGCTGGGTCAGTGTACCACTGCTTCCATGACACCGAGTTCGGGGACTGGGCTGAGTTGACGCCACGGTAAACGGTGCCTCCATCATACTCTTCACCTACGCCAATGATCGAGTGGCCTAATTCGTGTCGAAGAACCGAGGCGCCGTTACCGGGAGAGGAGGTGGTCACTGTAAATGTGCCACCCAAGCCGCCGTAGAAGGGGTCATTTCCAAGGAGAATGGGGTAATCACAGGCATCGGTCGAGTCGCATGCAGCGCGTGCAACCTCAGGCTTGTCGTAGTATACACCACGTAGCTCAGTGCCGTCACGGTAAAGTCCATAGACGGTGCTGCCAGCTCGGTTAAGATGTGATGCGTCGAACAGGCGCAAAAGGTACTCACTCTAGAGGCTGCCCGCCAACACCGACACCACTCTGTAAGAAAAGTCAGACAACCCTGCCATAATGTGTGAAAGAAGGAGGAACGTACTTCAGCACTTGCAGAAAACCCGGCCCAGAAGTTCATGAGTGGAAGTACATCCGCGAACGTCTGGCCACTTGTGATGTTTGTGGTAAGGGTCATAGCATCCTCGAAGAACTTGTCCTTCTCTTCCTCGGTGTCTAGAATTATGGTCAGCTTGATATTGCAGATCATGTAGGGGTACTTACATCCATCACCGAAGAAGATGAGATCAACCCGATTGCTCGATGGTCCATTCACAATGAGTGGCACGATCTCCAAAGGAGGCGCAGCCGCGTTCTGCCTGGCTTGCAACCTCTTCTCGACATTTTCGGCAGCAAAGGTACCCTCCCACTGGTGCTCGCAAAACTGCCCAAGAGCGAGGGGTGCGACAGCAACAGCAGCTAGAAGGTGCTTCATGATGCTCATCGTGGAGTTGCTATGAGTGAAAATGGGCATTCCTCGCTGGCTGGTTCTGAAGATGTGGTCCAGCACACCCATAAATGCATTTCTCGTCCAATACGTCAGCCAATAAACCAAGCTGTAGATTGTGTAGGAGGAGTGTTACCTTCTATAAGGGGATTAGTTCTACCCATGATAGACTTGGCGATGATGGGAAAAGATAACCACTTTCCCTATTGAGACTATCAGAAGACTGGCACGCGAACACATAACCGCGAAAGGATGCTATTTCCAATGATGCTTCACGCGCAGTACAGAACAAGTCACGATCAAGTTGAACAGTGCGGCTAGGAGCGAGTTTCTACATGCCGTTGACTGGTTTTAGTTTCCGTTCTCCAACTTGTATCTGAGTCAGCCATCCGGAAACGCAGGGATTATCGTCATGCAAACAGTCACTGTAGGGATCGACATCCTCAAACCAAACAGAGAATTTCTACTGCGCAAAGTACTGCCAAAATCCAAGATAGAGTTCACTGAAAATCTTCATTCATTGTTTCCGGCATGTATTCCGTTTCGCATACTTGGCGGCATGACCGTTCTGCTAGCTATAACAGGTTTAGCGGCGGGGTTTCCCTCCCAGCACGACTGTTGCCCCGTTTTGCCCCACGGAGTGAAGTGTCTTGAACTATTCCGCCACTGAAATCATGGCTGAAGGGCAAAGTAATAGAGAGGAGAGCTGTAGTCTTGAGTTATCAAATTTTGAATGTATATAGGCAGAGTTTAGTGGGATTTTAAGCACATACGACCATAGGAACTTGAGAACAAGGCTTCCCGTCCGCTCAGCCCTATTTAAGCAAGTTACCGGCGGATTAGTAGTCAGGTGGGTGACCACTGGCGAATACCTGCTGTTGTATGTTTTTTTTGTGATCCGCCTTTCTAAAACACCAGTTTTGAAACACCAAGTTTTTTGCTTCAGTGCTCACTCAGCACGTGAAAATCGATAGCGCTTTTAGGCTTACAGGACCCTCCGTAAGTAGTTGCGTAGATATCAATAACCGATGGTGTTACTCAGCACGCACTGCCATAGGGCCATCGAAGAGTAAGATCCATGACGCGGGTAGTACAGACCTAGTTCACCATAGTAAGCTATTCGAAGCTTGTGTGAGGATAGCAGCAGCCACGACCTAGTCGCAATACCCGCTAACGGACTATCAAATTTGGAATATTGTAGGATTATAACATACCCACGCTGTCTGGTCCCATCTGAACGAAAACATATCGAGGTATACATCTAGAGTCTAGACACCTCACATTGCAACATCCGACAAAGAATTACTATCCTGTTGCCTCCTTGTACTGTTTTCCCACTTTCATGGCTGCCTTTCTTCGCCTTCATGACAATTTCCTTCCCTTTTACTTTCTTCGCTCATCACTACCAAAAGCTTTCCGCCACTCCTCAGCTTTCTCAGGTTTGATGCGACTGAATAGATATTCTGCTTTCCCAATCTCATGGCCAGGCTGGATCGAATCCGCGGACCAGCGGTCAGGGATTGGAGACGGTTCCATGCGAAGCTGCGCGTTGATTGATCTAGCAGTATCTGGCATGTAGGGAGCCACGATGGCGGCAAGAAGATGAATCAAGTTGATGGCGAGACCAATAACAGCAGCACATTTGTCAGGCTCGTTCAAAGCGAGACTGTTGTCCAATTTGTTTGACTGGAGGAAGGCGTTGCCTTGTTGGGAGACATGGAGGACAGTAGACAAGGCAGAACGGGTTTTAACAGCATCGAGTTCGCGGATGTACTGTGCCAGCAGGCTATTGATGTCTTGTTTCCAAGTATCGAGGGATGCGTCAGAGTACTTCGTCCAGTCTGGCACAATGTTGTTGTAGTGCCGCGAATTGACAAATTTTAGGACACGATTGACAAAATTACCAAAGTTGTTCAGAAGCGAACTATTATTGGCGCTTATAAAAGCGTCCTAAGTGAACTCGCTATCACCTGATTCCGGTCGATGAGCGAGCAAGTAGTATCGCCACACATCTGAAGCAACGCCAGTCTTCTGGGCTGAATCACCAAATACACCAACACCCCGAGATTTGGAGAACTTCCCGCCTTCATATGTTAGATAGTCTGTTGTCGATAAGTGGTGCAGCTTCGTCCAGGTCTCTCCAGTCCCAATCTGAGTACCAGGGAAGATGACGGAATGAAAGACGACGTTGTCTTTTCCAATGAATTGGTGCAGTTGGACATGCTCACTCCGCCACCACTTCTCCCACTGGTCGGTGTACTTGGCGGTAATGGAAACATAACCAATACAAGCGTCGAACCAGGAATATATGACCTTGTCGTCATAGTCTGGCAAGGGCACTTTAGTCCCCCACTTTAGTCCCTAGTTATGCTGCGTGGTTGCAATCCTTCTTTCAGCCAAGACGCTGTAATATGCTGGCAATTGCTTGACCAAGTACCAGTTTTTGCAGATTCTTGGAAAAAAGCCTCAATGTCGGGTTGTAGCTTATCCAGCTCCAAGAAGATGTGTTTTGTATCCCTAGTAATGGGCGTGGAGCCGTCAATTTTGCATCGCGGGTTCTTGAGATTGAGAGGTTCCATGGGCTGGCCACAGAGGTCGCATTGGTCGCCACGAGCATCTTCATAGCTACAGATAGGGCACTCGCCTTCTACAAAACGATCTGCAAGAAACGAACCATGCTCCTGACAATAGAGCTGCGTTGTCAGGCGCTCTTGTAAAAAACCGTTCTTTTTTACCTTGAGGAAGATGTCTTGCGTGATGTCTGTCTGGAGCTGGGTTGTGGTGCGCCCGAATATGTCAAAACTGATGTTAAACCACTGATAGATCTCAGCGTGAATGGCGTGATACTTGTCACAAAGTTCTTGCGGCGTGCACTTCTCAGCAAGCGGCTTCGCTTCTGTTGTAGTGCCATACTCATCCGTTCCTTCAACGGGTTAACCAAAAGTGTCTGGCTGTATGAGAGCCTACAGGTGTCCTGGGATACTTACCGCCAATGTAAAGAGTGTTCAGACCGCGACCTCTGCAGTACCTCGCAAAAGTGTCCCCCGACAGCACTGACCCGATTATGTTTCCCAAGTGAGGCACGTTATTCACGTATGGAAGAGCACTAGTCACAAGTATGTTTCGTTTCCCGGACTCGGGAAGGACAGCGCGGTGGTTGTCCAAGTTTTCAGCCATAGTTGAGGAAAGCTTCACCTGTTTTCTTTACAGATAGGGATTGCTGAGCAAGGAGTTGATTGAGTCATGTAGCAGCACGGCAGGAGGTGCCGCTCATATATGTATTGTGCACGATGTTGGTCACGTGATCAAGACATGTTCGCAGTCACAGGGTTCGTGAGTCACTGACTACAGCCCTTGAAGAACCGCGCATGTGCATCGGAAAGGGGCTATGCTGTGCAAATAAGTAAAAAAATTGCATTGTTTGCCTGCGATCACCTGGTGCATCAACAGTTGGATGAGGGGACGGCAGGGGAGGCGGCGTCTCAATCAGGAGCGGCAGAATTTCAATTAGGCAGCAATAGCTGTAATAGGCGGCAGGATCTTTCTGTGGCGGCGGGAATTTTCTATGGCGGCGGGACTTTTCTATGGCGGCAGCATCTTTGGCGGCAGGATCTTGATTGGATGGCGGCAACATATTCATTGGAGCGGCAGGACCTTAGGAGGCGGCAGGAATTGAGAGGCGGCAGGAATTGAGAGGCGGCAGGAATTGAGAGGCGGCAGGAATTGAGAGGCGGCAGGAATTGAGAGGCGGCAGGAATTAAGAGGCGGCAGGAATTAAGAGGCGGCAGGAATTAAGAGGCGGCAGGAATTGAGAGGCGGCAGGAATTGAGAGGCGGCAGAAACTTGGGAGGCGGCAGGATTTAGGAGGCGGCAAGATCTAAGGAGGCGGCAGAAACCTGGGAGGCGGCAGAAGTTAGGAGGCGGCAGAAATTGTATGTGGCGGCAGAAACTTAGGAGGCGGCAGGAATTGTATATGGCGGCAGGATCTCAACTAGGGAAGCAGCATCTCTACAAGAAGGCGGCAGTCCAATTGGAGCAGCAGCGTTTCTATCAGAAGGCAGTGATATCTCATTTAGGCAACATCCCAATTAGGAGACAGCATTTGTATTTGGCAACATCTCACTTGGGGGAAGGCAGCACTGATTGAGCAACTTGACAGAAGGCGTCGCTCGTGACGTGCCGGGAGAAGGGCTATGCTGCTCAAAAGCGTCTACAGAAATCGCAACAATCGCCCATGCAATACCTGTAGTAGTCATGGTGGATCGAGGTTTCGACCCTTACGTGCATTAGGTGTGGCAGGGGAACGTAACCGAGCCTTTCTTACTAGGTATTGCCCCACGAAACTTAGGTCTCCGACTTACTCCAAGCATCACCGACTACGCTGTTGCTCATTCCAATGATGCCAGTTATTCAGATAAACCCAGAAGATATCCCAAAAGACGAAAATCTCGAACTACGCACGTCCTCCTTTTTTCAAAAGCACAAGGAACTCCCTACACCCGATGAAGTTCGAGCCCGCGCGCGCGCTCAGTATGCTGCTGGCACTCATTGGGGCTGGAAGGAGAGGTCCGTCACCTCTGAGGGCTACCATGGTTGTCCAACTCCAGCTGTGTTCGAGGAGATGGGGTTGTTTGTGAAGTGGGGTAGACTTGTGAAGCTCGTCGAGGGACAGACTCTGTATGCACTTCAGAAGTGGTGGGGCAAGCCGGTTCCTGTCCCTGAGCTCTACGGCTGGCGAACTGAGGGTGATGAAATGTTTATATACATGGAGGCGATACATGGAAGGACAATGGAGGATGCGTGGCCATCATTGGAGGAGGAAGATCGAATACACATTTGTAGTGAGCTGCGCGCAATTCTCCATAATTTACGCCAGATGAAGCTGCCGCCCAATGAATCATTCGTTGGTAAGATCCGCCACAAATTTTCTATCATTCCTTGTATATTAATCATGGATGACATAGGCAGTGTTGCCAGGAGCAAGTACTACGAACGAGCACTTTTCGATGCATCGCAATCTGACTCGGGCCCGTTCAAATCCGTCAAAGGTTTTCATGATTGGTACATATTCCAGTACAAAAGATGGGTAGCAGATCCCGAGACAATACCTGAGCCGTATCGAGAAATGCTACCCGATGACAGCGAAATCGTGCTCACGCATGGCGATCTTCACCAAAGCAACATCATCTTAACGCTGTCTCATCCTCCGCGAGTGGCGGCACTGATAGATTGGGAGCAATCCGCATGGCTACCAGCGTACTGGGAGGATTGTAAAGCCTACTGGACCACTCTTTACACTGATGAATGGGCTGCAAAGTACTTACCACTCATTGTCGATCATGATGAGGACCTCGTAGAAGCGTGGCGTTACTATACCAACCCCGTAGGTGCTTAGGATCTTGTTGTTGCGTCAAGCTGGAGCACGGCTTCTAATTCATTCAGATCGGTGTTTCTTATACTATAAGACACCGAGTTTGCGTAAACTTTGTTGAGATTTCGGTCGCATTATTTCAACGTGCATTTCATAGCAGTTCAATTGCGTCTCTCTAGCTTCCCACCTCCCTTCGTTCATGGTCTTTCTCCATTCAGGATATTATATCTGGGTTCATTATATGAGTCATCGCAATTCTAGACGGCACAGGATACGTTAGCACGAACTGACGAATCCACGTACGACAGTTACTAATCCGTCAGATAGTTGAAGAATACAGAGATTGCTATTAGCTCGTTGAAAGATCGACTCAAACAAAACCGTGGACCATCTTTGACGCAGATGTGATTTAATGCCCTACCAATCCTATAAAGCGGACACCGCCTGCTCCCTCTCGTTAGCTGTCTACCACAAACTGCCTGTATTCCCCCAGCACTCAGAACGAAAAGCTGCGAAAATGGACCGACAAAAGACACGAAAGCCTCTGACGTACGGGCCAGACACGGCCGTGCCGCGGGGGTTGAGCCTTGAGAACCTCTATTCCATATGTCCTTACCGAATCGAATTACACGACAGCCTGCCTGCAGCGACATATACCGGACCGCTACTCTCGCTCCCCTCCGAGTTGCTCTTTGCGATACTGGAACAGCTGCCAATCATATCATTGTTGAAATGCCGAAGCACAAGCCAATACGCACGATACGTCGTCGACTCGATGTCCAGCTTCCGTGGGGTGGTGTGTCATGCCCGTCTTGCCCTCTACAAGTTCTTAGTCTTGAAACCATCGAAAGTCATCACGATTTCAGACCTGTTCTCTAAACTACGCCAAAAGGGATGCGATTCTTGTGGTGCAACAACTGCGTACCTTTGGATACCTACTGCATCTCGCATTTGTCTGGTTTGCTTGCGATCAAGAGCGTCACCTTGCCCCCAGGAAGAGCTCAGTTGTTATTTTAGGTTGAGCGAGGCGGAAATATCTGCTCTTCCTGACTATACAGTCCCAAAAACAATCTACTGCTATCACCGTGCTGGCCGGCAGTCGCATCACTTAGGCCATCAAAGCATTCGATTATTTGACACTGAACGTGTTGCGGATCTTGTTCTTCAACGCTGCGGATACTCCATCTCGAAAGCATCAATGCTCGCACCCATTACCTATGACAATTTGGAATATTCCGCAGCCATTGATGGGGGGAATCCGCGAATTGGGACCATGATACTTGGAGATGACCGATGGATGATGGCTGTTGCAGTCATGCCGACGATGATTGAGGGAAAAGTCGAAACTGGAAGATATTGCGCTACCTGTTTGTACACTGAGTGTCAGGATCGAATGTATACCCGAGAGGAGTTCAAGGAACATCTTAAGACCTGCCGAGCCCGCCCCCGCAACAACGATTGTCGGGACCACAGGGAATCCATGCTTAGAAGGATACGCCACACCTTGAGCGTTGGTGAGGATGATGCAAAATAAGCTTCCGCCCTGTAGACTGAGTTGTACGAGAAGGTAAACACTAAGAATGTTCCTACAAAAATTACTGGGAAAAGCAATATGATTTTTCATTGTCATATTCAAAATAGCGCTGGTATCAGCTACAAGGGCTAGAAAATAGATATATTCTGCAGCTTCATATTAGGCTGACTCATTTGTTTATATAAAAGTGGGTTCCTTGTATAGAAATCAATAGTAAATCATCAATCTCATAACTTTGAACTTGGAAAACCAGCTTAGATTCAACACAAGTGAATCAAAACTTTGTGTACAAGCATCACAGATATCTGTCAGGATCGATATCGGAGCGATGTACTCATGATAATAGTGGAATCTACTCGTGGCCACTTACACGTTCACATGCGCCTACAAAGTATTGCAAGATACCTCATATTCTAGTAAATCCATTTAAATCATAGCAAATGACGTGGTCCCTTATTGTATTATCATCGCAATGCTATTAGGCACTATACAAATTCACCACTGACGACAATGCCCTACAGCAAGCGAGGCAGAATGTATATAGTAGATTGATACAAACACAATAATAGTATTCTCATACTCGTGTAACCGAAATTAGGCACCTTGTATATAGTGGCTGAGCGCCCTAAGCTAACATAAGCCGGCGTAATTGCGAGTGATGTCCCCCCTGAGCAGCATGAGATCTAAAACTCAGCCCCAATCAGCTGATAAGCAGCATCAGAAATACTATCGCGTTGAAACCTGACGTAAGACTGTAGGGATCTTCAAGAACTCAGCTGTTCGGCACTGCGCTAACCCCAGTCAGGCTCAGATCCGTCTAGCGCAGTATTTCTTGCCTACTCCGCGTCTACTGGGGGTCCGATTCTCGATACATGTGTAGTGTTATTACATGCCTCACTATGATAGATGCCTGATTGTTGCGATAGTACAAACAAATTTGCGATGGAATTAGATCAGCGCAGCTTTTTGATCCAGAGTTCACGGTTTGAATCTATCGTTTAGCCTGCCAAATTGAGTAAAATTTATGTTCTTTGCAAGATGATTCCTTTTTACATCACCGATTTCTTTAGAAAATGTTTTACTTCAGTGCTCACTCAGCACGCAAAAGTTACCACCAAGATGATCCGTCTGACGCTCAGCCGAACCAATTAGCATGTTGATTTACCGCTTGTTTTGGGAAATGCATATGTGAAGTTATTACTTCTTTTGGTTTGATGCGAGCAGTATTAGACCCCACGCTACTTGAAACGAGCATTCCAGGATCCCATAATTAGTTGACCTCATAGGTGCTTGAACTGACCTGTCAACGACCGGAACATCGAGTGCGTGACTACACATGGGGCTAAGCAACGGCTTTGATGACTATTTATATATACGTTCCGATTTTTCATTCCGATGAGGCTCCATTATATCACGTAAAGTGGTGTTTTACAAGCCAATGAGAACAGTATGCGTTTCCCGGAATAGCCGTCCGAAGTTCTCTTCCATGGCAAACGATAGGATCATCGATGAAGAGTGCCTTAAACTCCCTCGATCCCACATCAACTCTTGTAATGTAAAAGAATTTCCTTTTGCGGTCGTTATGAATTGACACATGCACCCAGATCATCTATCTTGAAGATGTATATATATACCACGTTCCCCCTTCAAGGAATTAAACCATCAATCACTCACAGTTATTTACCACCTTCTTTGCACCATCCATTATGACAGTCTCTACCCTTCTCCAGGTTCTTTCTCTATCAAGCCTGGCCTTTGCAGGGCCGTTTGAGAAGAACGTTCTCTCGAAGCGCGACCCATGCGACGGTGTCAACGCCACACCAGTTCTCTACCACAAGTACGGAACAGACAAATGCCCCCCCAAGTTCAAAGTCGATTCACGGGGCAAATGCTACTTGAATCCCAACGACCATTGGCCTTGGCAGTCCTGCACACAGTTCTGTCAGCAGGAAACAGAGTTTAAATATACGCAAGAAAAGCCGTTCACGAATGCGTACTGCCACGGACCCCAGACTTGCACAATTAGTAGCACCACCACTCGCACCATCACTGCCAACCTCAATTTCAATGCGAAGTTTGTCGAGGCCTATGGCATTGGTATCACTGGGGGCTTCTCGGAGTCCAAAGCCACTGCTTCTGCGAGGGCATTTTCAGTGAAGTTGGAGCAGGGCGACTGTGGATACTTTACATTTGTACCGGTCATGAAACGAACTTGGTATGCCCTGTTCTTATTTTGTGACTCACGGTGGTATCACTAACAAAGCATCAGTGGCAAAATCGGCGCACCCACGTCCTGCTCAGCCCGGCCCAACATTGACGAAGATAGCTGTGCAGAGCAGCTCCACCGCGATAGCGACGGCTCTGTCGATGGCGAGACGATTTTCGTCCGCACGGACTGCGGCACCCGTATGCCGCTTGCCAAGGATAAGCAAGACCCAGTGTACCAAAAACCCGGCGTGCCAATGGACCGCGGCCTGCAGGAAGCGTTTGCACAGACGTTCAAAAAAGACGATGTCGATGGAGTGGAAGATAAAGAGATCAAGTGCAGCACTTCTGATAGCTCCCCTGAGCTCGATACATGCCTCAAAGTTCTCGAGTCTGCGGCATCCTATCCCGATTTGTGGGTGAGCGCGGGTAGTAAGAACAAGTCATGGTGGTTTACTGTTTGTCTTCCCTTTAACTTGAATATAAATGAATATTTACTAATAAACTTGCAGTACCAAACCGGCTGCGCTGTCTCGCTGAACTACAAGTCTGACTGGCTAGTCGATGGTCCTGACGGAGATGTCGAGAAAGGCATTTGTGGGATGACACATGGCGATGCGCTTATTGCTTCGCTGGGCATTGTTGATAAGTGTAGCAAAGATGGTAAGATTGGTGGCAAAAGGCCGTTTGGCCGAGGCAAATGCGAGGGTGAACTCGAGTTTATTGTTCCCAAGGGTTTACCGCCCAATGGATCGTGAGTCCACTGAACTTGTAGAAACCTGTGCGATTCTTGGGCCTGTATGGACTTCTTTTCTTCTTTTTGATCTTTTGGTTAATGCCTGGCTTTTGTTTCCTCAATCGTTGCAACTATCGCAGCGTGTAGGATCACCCAAACTCCAAATTGGAATTCATTCTTTGACTTATTTCCTTACGATTGTTGAGCCAATACATTCTCTGTTATTTTCATATGACAGTCTTACATATTGGATTAACCACTTGATACTAGAAATAGCTTTGATGAGCTGAATGCGGATTGGGTCCCTCAACTATAGCAAACGACTACACATCTCTCTACATATTTGCCTTCTCCTTAACAGCCTCGCCCAGCGCCAAAGTCTCCGTCCGATACCCTTTAAAGTTGCGCGCCGGAATCTCCTTGTGAAACATTTCGTCCAACTCCTCATACGTCCTCCCCGCCGTCTCAGGCTGATAAAACCACAAATAAATCAAGCAAACAAACGCGAACCCACCGAAAATAAACCCCAATTTCCCTCCGAGGTTCAATTTATCCGGATTGAACAGATACGGGAGGACAAAACTCCACATCATGTTGAGGAGGTTCTGGAGCGCGAGACCGATGGCGATGGTCTTGACGCGGAGCCGCGAGGTCGAGACTTCGCAGAGGATGGTGTAAGCTGTTGCGCCGATGGTGACGTTGTACCACCAGCAGTAGATGAGGATCATGGAGACGGCGACTTTGCTTCCGACGGGTGTCTCCGGGACTGCGGCGCCGGCCATGACGAAGAGGATGGCGGTTAGGACGACGAGGCCGTAGAATGTGAGGTTGCGGCGTCCGACGCGGTCGACGAGGTACCAGGACATGACGTTTCCGATGAGCGAGATGACTTGCTGCACGATCTGGAGCTTGAACGACATGGCTGTTGTGAAGCCTGCAAGCTGCATGTAGTATGTCGAGTACGATGCGGCAAAGGTGATTCCGGAGAGTGCTTGGATGCTTAGAGGGGCGATGGAGATGATGGTGCGGCGGAGGTTGCTTTTGCGGAAGCATTCAAGGTACGTTACGCCTTCGCTTTCACGACGCGCTTGCTCGAGCGTTGTGGTGATATTCGCGAGTTTCTTGTCGGCTTCAAGACCGCGGTGGCCTAGTCCGTTGAGGGCTTTCAGTGCGTCCGCATGGCGGTTCTTGCCCGCTAGCCACCATGGGGACTCGGGCATGAAAGGTGCGAAGATGGCGGCGATGGCGGCGAAACCGTATTGCGCGCAGAAGATTGCGCGGTATGCCCAGCGGTTTGTGTAGACGCCCGTGGAGTTGACGATCAAAGCAACTGTGAGAGGACCGAAAGTGTACGCAAGGGCAGTCAAAGCCGTCAGCATACCACGGAGGGCAAATGGGGCAACCTTTCATAGTTCACGTTAGCACAGTGAAGGTAAATAGGATGCTTCTTGGGTAGAAGTGCCAAAACCTACCTCTCCAATATAGGTAACGGTAACTGAGGCCAGGGCACCAGTTGCGAATCCATTCAAGAATTTACCACCAAAGAAGAGTTCGTTGGTAGTAGCCAAAAATTCCATAGTGATGGCACCGAATGAGATTACCAGACAGATGATGACTACCATGCGGCGACCAAGCCAGTCGGCTAGCTGCCCACAGCCCAAAGCACCCACGACCGCTCTATACACAATCGAACATTAGTTACCACCATTCATATCGGGAAAAGCCTTCCACACGGAATCTGCTGTGAGCCACTTACGAAGCAACCGGCGCCCCCTGAAACGCAGCCTGCCACGTCGCATCCAGAACCCACGTCGACTCCCCATCAGCGCTCTTGACTTCATATCCAAAGTCCTTCCGAAACTCCGGTATACCAATCACGTTGCCTGCGGCCTGATTCTCGAAGCTGACGAGCAGGACCAACCACACGGCGTACAAACTCCACGCGCATGCCCAGGGGTACTTTCTGAACGATGCAAGTTTCCCTGTTTCGTGCTCTTCGGCATTGGCGAGATGGCCTAGTTGCGAGATTTCGAGATCGGTTGATGAGGTGTGCGGTGGCACATGCTCGTTGATCTCTGTCGTTGGTTTTGTATCGGCCATGTTGGGGGGTGATGGATGGGTATATGATGGTCTCTGAGGGCTAACGTATAGCCTAGGAGTTTATGTGCACAGAATGTATTATAGAATAGTGGAGACGGTAGACTGAGTAATAGTGTACCAGATTCCAAAGCTGCGGTTCAACCCCAGAGTTTGACGCCGTTCTTGTGGGTCGCAAAAACGTGGAGAGGATTTGACCGAACTTTATATCCTTTGGTCTGGGGAGTCTGGGGTTAGTTAGTGCGGCGGCTGCAAGGTTCCTAAATGCGGAGTCCCCGCGCGTGTGATGAGAGCATGGCATGACATTCTCCAGGGTTCTCACATCTAAACAGTTAGCGGCTTGAGTGCTGAGTTAGATGGCGATACTGACTATGCACCAGCTTCGTGTAGGTAAATTCATCCAAAGAAAGGGGAATGGCGGCATTCGGATACCATAGGCAACTGACAAGGTTGTTCCTTTCGTGGCTTTTCTTGTAAAACATGCACTACGCAGTGTGGATCTGGCGAGACCAGTTCCTCCGCAACAGACATCCAATCATTTACTATAATTGCAACGAGCCTTGCGAGAAATAGCTAGTCTCTTTTGCTACTCATAGCCGTGGTTTGGCCGACATTTAATCGTTGAATCGTGAGGCAATGGATCTGAATCTGTTTCGGGTAATCATAGCCACCACAGCCGGGTATGCCTCTCCATCAGGCTCGTCGAGCCACCATTGTGTTCTTCTTAGTCTTTTGTATACAAACAAGATGAACTGTATGCATTAGTATCATTTGCTTCCATAATTGCAGAACTATCAATAGAATAAAAAAATGCATTGGGATTCGATGACATCTCATTAATTGTGACGGTGGCTGCAAGCTCGGCGCAACTGTTGAAGAGGCACAGCTCGGAAGATCGGACACCTCTTCAAGAGTGAGTAAAATTGAGTTTGCCCTTGTAAATCTATTGGTATCGAAGTACTGGCGCTGTACTATGGCTTGTTATGCAGAGGCTCTTTTTAGATTATGGTCACCACTTGCGCAAGCGAGGAGCAATTGGAGTGCATAGGGCGTCAACAAATTGATATACTACCGACATATCGAATGATTAGTGATTGATATACCTTGAGGTAGACAGAAAAGCTCTATTTTGAACTGATTCAATGAATTTTCTTGAAAGTCTGCTAACGCGTATCGAGGTCGGTATCCATCTAGTTCACACGGCACCACTCGTCTACCTTCACAGCACATCATCCACCTCATCAATGATTTGCACCTTGATGCTGCCATTGCTTAGATCGCTGCATGTATGCAGCGCGTCCATTGCCTTTTCCAATGGGTACGTATGCGAGACAAGCGACTTCAGATCTAATATCCCTCCACCCAAACACTGCAGACCCGCTGGCCAGGTATCGCGATATCGGTTGATGAACTTGAGATTGATCTGAATTTCCAGCATCAGTCAAAGTCCCGAAAGAATTCACTTGAGTTCATACACATGGAAGGGAGTAAAACATACCTCGGCCAGCGAAAGATGCATGAAAGGAAGATTATTCATAATCTCCCTCCCAACCCCAATCACCATAACTGTACCACCTCTTCTCGCAGTATAACAACCAGTGATGACACTACTTTCCACACCCGTGCATTCGAGCACAACGTCCGGCGCACCATATTCTCCAGCTGCCTCAACATCGAACAATTTGCGAATCTGCTTCGCGTTCGCTTCGGCGTCTAAATCCCGATCGACCTGATACGTCTGACACGTCGGAACCAGCTTCCTCGCGAACTCGAGCCGTCGGGGCTCCAGATCCGTGATGATGAGTGGATGCGCACCACTTGCTCTCGCGGCGGCGAGCGCGATTAACCCGATAGGACCTGCACCACACACCACAGCGCCTCTCCCGAGTGAGAGACCAGCTGTTTTTATGCCGTGCATGACTACAGAAAGGGGTTCGAGCAGCGCGCCTTCAGAGTATGTGACATTGTCAGGGAGTTTGTGACACCATTTGGCCGGATGTGTTTTGTAGCGTTGGATTGTGCCGTCGTAGGGGTATACGCCTGCGAATTGGACGTCTTCGCAGAGATTATAGCGTCCGTCTAGACAGAGGAAACATTGACCGCAGGGAACGCCTGGTTCAACCGCTACGCGATCACCTGGGAGGATGAGTCAATTGGATGGGCGCCCATTTGCGCAAATGTTGCGTGACGTACCAGGTTTGAGGTTGGTGACGCCGGAGCCGCATTGGAGGACGATGCCTGCAGCTTCATGGCCAAGAATACAATCCCCTTCCACCACGAGAGAACCTATTCTTCCCGCTTTCCAAAAGTGGATATCCGATCTCGCGATTTGTCAGTAACTTGGACATATTGCCTGGTTGTAAACATACCCGCAGACACCTGTGGCCTTGATATGTAGGAGGACTTCGCCATGACTTGGAGCGTAAACAGGTGCCTCTATTTGCTTGAGTTTGTGATCTGCTGTCACCTGTAATGAGGGATTGGGTAGAGGAGTAGCAAGCGGGGTGCGTTTCGATTTCTCCACGCCATTTGGCGTGATGACAGTTGCTGGAGACATGGCGCAAATGTTTTCGCGGCCTTTACATATATCGATTGAGATGTTGGTGTGTGACCTTGAAACTGTGTCGGGGAAATACGAAGTCTGACTAGATTATTTTCTGGAAGTCACAAATGATTGTGCGTGTTATGGCAACGCGACATAATTGTCCGTGGCATAGCAACCCGGTCTGCTTCCAACTACCGGTCTCCCTGAATTTCCAACGGCTGCGGGGTTCTTGCAGAAAGTAGAGGCGGTGGAAGCTGGCGCATGACATGGGTATTGCTTCGGTGCGGAGGTACTGCGACTCCCATTGGTCACTAAGGTGGCTCCAAATACTGTGTTGAGTATCGTGAAGGGCCGATGGTTGTGTTTACCCTTTCGGGCCTTGGTCCCCTCCATCGTCTCCTCGGATCTCTCAGATAGGTAACCCCGCAAGGGCTCTGCATAAAACATCTGATGCGAATGTTGGTCATTTGAGAGATCGTGCCAAAGTACTGGTGAAATAAACTCTTTTTTACGGATTTACTTCAAACTCTTGATCCGTATGATTTCACCCAGTACTGACAACATGCACATCAACAGCGAAACATCGACGGTCAACGGGACCAGTCACACCGCATACGGGAAGAATGTTGTCGCAGAGCTCAAGAAGGAGGAGAAAGAAGAAGCGAAGGCAGTGCAAAAGCTGTCGAAGGAACATGATATTGTGTTGAAAACCTTCAGAATTCTGATTGCCGACCTATGCCAGCAGTTCGGTGGTGGCCATCCTGGGTAATTAAGGCCTTTTGAAATTCGTATTATCACATCTAACTAAAGCGTAGAGGAGCCATTGGCATGGCCGCGATTGGCGTGGCTTTGTGGAAGTACGTGATGCGATACGCGCCTCATACACCAGATTATTTCAATCGCGATCGATTCGTCCTGTCAAATGGTGAGCCATGTCGAGCATATGTGCATTTGTCGACTTGAGACTGAACATCACCAGGTCACACATGCCTGTTCCAATATACTTTCCTGCATCTTACCGGATACAAGGACATGACTTTGGATCAGTTGAAGTCCTACCACTCCGAACGTGTTGACGCTATTTGTCCAGGTCATCCAGAGATCGAGATCGAGGGAATCGAGGTTACCACAGGCCCGCTTGGCCAAGGTATCGCAAACGCTGTTGGGCTTGCCATGGCTACGAAAAACCTCCAAGCCACATACAATACGCCCGACTTCGACGTCGTTTCGAACCACACATGGTGCATGATTGGCGACGCATGTCTACAAGAAGGTGTAGCTTTGGAGGCTATATCGTACGCAGGCCACCTGAAGCTGAACAATCTAACCGTTATATACGACAACAACCAGATCACTTGCGACGGCAGTGTGGATTTGACGAACACGGAAGATGTGAACACAAAGATGAGGGCTTGTAACTGGAATGTTATAGACATTGAGGATGGCTGCTTTGATATTGAGGCGATAGTCGATGCGCTCAACCAAGCAAGAGCATCTACCGATAAACCGACTTTCATCAACATACGGACAGTCATTGGACTCGGGAGCAAAGTCGCAGGTGATGCCGCTGCACACGGCGCTGCTTTCGGTACCGAGGACGTTGCAAACATTAAGCGAGTTTATGGTTTCAACCCCGACGAACATTTTGTGATTGGGAAGGAAGTTCGTGACTTCTTTGAAAAAATCCCAGATCGTGGTCAACAACTAGTGCAGTCTTGGGAGAAGAAAGTCCAAGAGTACGAGTCCAAATACCCAGAGCTTGGAGCTGAGTTCCGTCGACGTAGAGAAGGAAAATTGCCGGACAACTGGGAAGACCTTATACCAGCGTCCTTTCCCGAAAAACCAGTCGCATCAAGGGCGGCGTCAGGTCTAGTGTTCAACCCAATCGCCAAGGCATGCAACAATTTCATGGTCGGTACTGCTGATTTATCTCCTTCGGTCAACATGATCTGGAAAGACAAGGTAGATTTCCAGCCAGTAAGTAGTGCTCCAACTCAACGTAGCAAAGACGGACTGACGGTATATAGCCCGACCTTAAGACGCAGTGCGGTATCACCGGAAACTACAGTGGGCGTTACATCCATTACGGCATCCGCGAGCATGCAATGGCGGCCATCTCCAACGGCCTCGCTGCGTATGCGCCAAACACCATCATTCCAGTAACATCGTCGTTCTTCATGTTCTACCTCTATGCGGCCCCGGCGGTACGAATGGGTGCATTGCAGCACCTCCAGGTAATTCACGTTGCGACGCACGATTCCATTGGTACTGGCGAAGACGGCCCCACGCACCAGCCAATCGAACTGGCAAATCTATATAGGGCCATGCCGAACATCCTGTACATTCGTCCAGGCGACAGTGAGGAGGTTGCAGGCGCATGGAAAGTAGCGATAGAAGCGAAGAACACACCATCCATCATCTCCACTTCCCGTCAAGCACTCCCTCAAATACCACAGACTCGCAGAGATATGGTAGCCAAGGGCGCGTATGTTCTGGAGGAAGTCGATGATGCTGATCTCACGCTCATCGGTGTGGGTGCCGAGCTTTCATTCGCGGTGAACGTTGCAGAAGCGCTCAAGGAAAAGAACATCAAAGCTCGTGTCGTCAGTTTTCCCAGCTGGAGGCTATTCGAGGCGCAGCCTTTGGAATACAGGCGCGACGTACTCAGGAGGCATCGTTTCCCGGCGGTGGTCATTGAGCCGTACGCAGCTAATGGCTGGGAGAGGTACGCCAACGCAGGCATCAACATGAAGCGCTTCGGACAGAGTTTGCCTTGCAAGGCTGTTTACAAGCTATTTGGGTTTGAGACCGAGCCAATGACCGAAAAGGTCAGTGCTTACTTGGAGAGACTCAAGAGTGACGAAATTTTGAGAACCGAGTGGGTTGATCTGTAGTCATCACTGATGATGAGGTATGATTCCGCATTGTAGGCGTCGGAGTTTGAGTTGCATTTGACACATCATTGTTGTCGTGAATAGTTTGGATAGCAAATAAGAGCGTGCTTTCATAAGCTTTGTTGTCGACAAGTGAAAATGACTGTGATGTGGAGATGGTTTCGTAACGAAGAGTCGCCGATTGTGAGTTGGACCCACCCTTGCCGTGCCCTTTTAGTGACTCAACTCACGATTCGCATATTGTTTTCATCCAATATATTGCAAATTGTACCTCGAGCTCCCATCAATCCAAACCAGCACATTGAATCAGCGGTTCCTTGAACGGTCGACTAGCTCAGCTGGTTAGAGCGTGGTGCTAATAGAACTCATCTGTTAACGCCAAGGTCGTGAGTTCGATCCTCGGCAAGTGAACTCCATTGGAACAAATTCATCAGGATATTTACTAACATATCATCAGCGTTGACCTGAACTTGCTTCACATCTTTTTTTTTTTTTTTTCGTGTGGTGAGGTTGACGCATGCTGGCGAGAATTTTTGGCCAGTCATAGCGTCTCGCTTATCGATGCATGTGGTTGGCCCAACGCTTCATCACGTGGACCCCACCAGACTTCAACCATCCAGATGTCGGAACATTCATCCCAATTCTCATCAGCGCCATTCATTTTTTCGCACACATGATACGGCACTATGGCGGATGAACCAACAAGTAAGCGCCGCCGCTTCACCCATGATCAAACCGGGTCTGAGGATTATCTGAGCCCTCTTCTCCATCATCATCAAACCCCAACAGTGGAGACGATGCCACATGCATTTGACAACATAGACCCTTTCCTCTCTCCGGCCACTAGTTGGGGATTTGACGAGTTTGCGCACGATCCCAGCTATCTTGCATCCCAAGAACAACTACGGTCGCTTTTGTTTACCACTGCCCGTTCTGCAGCGCCAACACGAGCTGGTACTCCAGTGGAGCTGGAAGAGAATGCGTATGAGACCTCCTTCGACATCAAACAAGTGCTTGCAAATGGTAGAAGAGTCCAGTATTTCAAAAACTACATCTCAAGTGTAGCCCCATGGCTAGACATGTTCGACCGCGATCGCGCTTTCGGCATCCAGTTGACTGCCCTCGCAAAAGAGTCGCCACCCTTGCTGTACGCCATATTGGCCATCGGTGCTCGTCACCTAGAGCGTAAGGAGAAGACTCAATCGTCATTTGACAGTTTGGAACTTTATCAAGAAGCCATTCGCTTGCTCACGCCTCTTCTGCAAGCACGCAACACGCAGGTCATTGCCGCCTGCGTAGTGCTATGTTGTCTAGAAATGTTCTCGGCTAGTGCACAAGATTGGCGTCGACACCTTGAAGGATGTGCTGCTGTCTTCGAAGCTTTCGGCGTGAATGGATTCAGCGGCGATGTCCTTCAAGCTGTGTTTTGGTGCTATGCTCGGATGGGTATTCTTTACTCCACAGTGAAAGACCAATCGTATTCACAATGTCACTTACACATGTACAGATGTTTGCGGGGCACTCATTTCAGATGGGACTGAGACCACTTTGCTCAGCCCTGCGAGATGGCTACCGGAAAATACACCGGAAGATTGCGTTGAGACTCTATTCCGTGACTCAGCCTCTCCCGACATGTACGCCAATTATGCTGTGTATCTATGTGCCAAAGCTTGTGAGCTCATCTCCGATCGTAATAAATTCATTGAATTGGGCCAAGAAAACGGTTGCGACACGGATTCATTCAACAATCGGTGGTCTCGGCTATGGGACCAACTCGCCAGTTGGTTCTTTTATCGACCCAAGGAAATTCTTCCTGTGAATACGATAGACGCCACTCCGTTCCCTCAAATATTCTTTACTTATTGGGCTGCCATATCGTCCAACCAGCTGTACCACACCGCCTGCGTTCTTCTCCTAAGCGCAAATCCTCAACGAAAAGCCTTACTAGAACAATCTTCGACGTCATCGATGCTCTGGCATGCCAAACGCATCTGCGGAATCTCCACCACGAATCCCCATGAAGGATGTTTGAATAACGCTATCCAACCCCTGTGGATTGCCGGACGATTACTCAGCCATAGCTCGGAGCAGGCCCTCGTCGTGAAAACAATTAGACACATAGAAGCCATGACAGGCTGGACGGCCACTTGGAGAGTACGTGATCTGGAACAGACATGGGGATACAAGGTACGATGAATGGTGGCCTACATCATTGACAGCCAGCAGACATTGCTTCACCAATTCACCACCTGCTGCCATTCGTGCTTGAGACTCTCAACATGATGAGCTATACGAAATCCGGTCATTTCCTGGACCTTTTCCAACGAGTTCAGGATTACACTGTGCTGGCTCTGATGAGTTGTTGTTTTGGCAGCGACTAGGAAAGACGCTATGAGACACGGATCCCAACAATCCCACCGGTCATTATTTACGGCGATTCCGCAAACCCTGTGAGACTGCCAAAGCGACGAAAAGGTTGCGGACTGCGGCTGGACATGAGTGACGAAACGCGGTTTCTTCTGCAGCAATAGCAGCATACTCGTGTGGTACAGCTGATTAGCGAGGACGGCCGCCCCATTAGAGAACACCAGGGTTGGAAACTCGTCGTCCGAGAGTCTTCCGTCACTGGGATACAATTCGATGATGGGCTGAAACTCCTGCGGACGATTCTTATACCAATCTTGACATCTTGAAACAATGGTTCTCCACGAATCTGCCCGGCTCTTGCCGTAGCGTTGTCGGTGCCACATATTATCGTCGTCTCGACTAAACGTGGTGGCATCGATGCAGAGCGACACTGCTTCATGTGCGTACCAGAAAGGTGTCTGTTCATCACCTTGAACAGAATACCTCCAATCCAACGTTGTCCATCCAGGGAGCGGTATCATGATCGGATACGTGTTTATCAATGCAATGCTCAGCTCTAGATCCAATATTAGTGTTCAGCGGTGACCAGTCATGTAAACGACATACGGAGTCTTGTCATCAGCCAGTACACATTCGACTCCGGATTGCCCTGACGGACATCAGGTATTAGTGCCTCTAGATTGCATTGCCTGGAGATCGGAGTACGAAGTCAGTAAAGTGTATCTAAGGAGATTACCACGAATTGTCTGGACAACAAGTCATATCAAATCGTAGGGTCTTGAAATTCTACAAGCCGATGTTTCATTGTACTAGGTAATCCGGAAAACGTACCAGGGATTGGGACTACAGGATTGTACCCAGAATGCGGAGAGATCCGCAAGTGCGGTCCCCGTCATGTTCAAAACACCAACTAGTGTGCTCTGTACGTTGGATTCGCCGTCTTCGTGATCCAGATTGATCATCGTGGAGAAGTCAAGATTCTGACCGGCCAAGTTGTTTTGATATGTTTGCTGGGCGAGAGCCAAAACCGAAATCCGCAACGCGAGTGACTCATGTGACAGTTGCAACACTTCGCAGCCGTAATACTGGTGCATGTCCGCTATATCGAGCTGCTACTATATCAACATCGCCAGCGAGTTTTATGATAGAGAATCAAGCATACCCATGGCGCAATCCGATATCGATAGTGCTTGAGCAGTTCATTAATGTCGTGATCTGACGACCCAAAGATGCTCATCGAGCCACCTGGCTGCTCCGAAGCCCAGGTTTGAGCTTTTCCGAAACTGGCAAACTGTACCCTTCCAGCCGATGGAGATAGAAGAGAGCCAGAGGGAAGAATATTTTCGACATCGTCGACCCGTAAATTGTCTTGTGTTGGAGATGCAGATATCGCAGATTGCGCTGGGGGCTTTGGCGACCCTGCGTTTCCATTCCCATTCCCATTCCTATTCCCTAATGCTAAAAGCCCATGCAAAGCATATTCGTATCGCTCTGCTGAGGGACTGACGTTCTCATGTAGTTCAATCAATTGCTCGCCCTCTTTCGGCGTCGAAGTATCTTTCGAAGTATCTGCCGCGGCAGGAGGATAGCTGTATGCTTCTTTACTATTGAGCACCCCGACTTCATCTTTTTCACTTTCTTTTGCCGTTCCGGTGTCTGAAACAAACTACAGCTGTCAATTTTTGACAACATTCACTTTATAGCAAATGCCGAACGCCGAAATCACTCCAGCTTGCTCTGTTCGACATACCTTTAGATTTTTGTACGAAACTTTCTTTGTGACTTCAGGGGTAAAATTATGTTTACCCAGAATCTGAAAAGCCGCCGCATATCGACACTCGAGACCTTTCTGTTTACAATTGTCGCATTGTGGCCTGGCCTCGTCACCTAAAGCAGATTAACCCCGTATCCAACGTAAAGTGTCATTGATGTTACGAGACCACATATTTACATTTTCGGCGACGAGTTCGGCACGTGAGGCAGCCTGTCCGCGATCGTTTCTGCTTGGTCTGCTCCGCGTTCGCCGGTTTCTGGCTCTGCTGTTCGGAATCCATCTACGACTGCGTTTCGGCTGAGTAGCACACCACCAACTTTGGGGATCTTTGGCGGAGGGTTGCCGGATTGCTCTCAAAGGAAATCATAGCCACCTGCGGCTTTACTTCGGGGTTCCTCTTCCGCTGCGGGGGTGGGGACCCATGTTGGCACGGCCTCGGCATAGGGTTTGTGGAGTGGCGCATCGGATGCGGTCATGGTATGCATGGCATTGGTTCATCTCCATGATTTTTCAAGGACGTTAATTCGCGAAAGTCTATACTTCGCGTGATGGGAGTAAGGCGACCATTTTCAGATTATGTGCGTAGCGCTTGTGGGCCGATGAAAAAGATGGTGAATTTCACCTCTATGGCCTGATTAGGAAATTGTAAGAGCCCCGTCAATCACAAAGCACAGTGCTGTCTCCACCTGGAACTTGATCAGTTACAAAAGTGTCGTGACTGCAGAACAGACTGTTGTCAGTAACCCAATTCGACTTGATCTCTAAATTTCCCAGGCTGCCATTGAGACTACTATCTCGTATCCAACCCATTCTCACTTAACTTTCTCATCATCATCATGGCCACTGTCAAACTCGCCTCCGGGCATCAAATGCCCCTCGTAGGCTTCGGGCTTTGGAAAGTTCCTCAGGAATCTGCCGCCGATACCGTATACAACGCCATCAAATCCGGGTACAGACTATTCGACGGCGCATACGACTACCAAAACGAAAAAGAAGCCGGCGAGGGCATCAAACGTGCCATCAACGAGGGCCTCGTAAAGCGAGAAGACATCTTCATCACCACAAAGTTATGGAACAACTACCACAGCAAGGAACACGCCTTACCTATGATGAAGAAGCAGAATGAAGCATGGGGATTGGGGTATATCGATCTATTCCTCATCCACTTCCCTTGCGCGTTGACGTATATTGATCCCGAGGAAAAGAGATACCCCGTAAGCTGATCCCCCCCGGAATTCACCCCCATCATCTCGATTCCCCTTTCCCCAATGTCTCCGACATTCTTTTCTAATTGCAAACCAAACAGGGGTGGTGGATGCAAGACAACAAAACCGTCTCCCCAGCCCGTGTCCCCATCCGCGAGACCTGGGAACAACTAGAGTCGCTCGTGGACGCGGGCATCGCGAAATCCATCGGCGTGTCAAACTTCCAAGCCCAATCGCTCTACGAAATCCACACGTACAACAAACACCCCATCTCGTCGCTGCAAATCGAGCACCACCCTTACCTCGTGCAGCCCGAGCTCATCCAGATGGCGCAGACACACGGGATCGTGGTGACGGCGTATAGCTCGTTTGGGCCGCAGAGTTTTCTGGAACTACCCCCGGCGTTCAAGGAGAGGGCGAGTAATGTGGCGTTGCTGTTTGATGCGGAGCCTGTGAAGAGGGCTGCGGCGACGCATGGGAAGACGCCTGCACAGGTTTTGTTGAGGTGGGCGACGCAGAGGTATGTTCATCCTTCTCTCCTACAGGGTGTTTTAGGTGCTTTGCTTACTGTGGTGTTAGGGGTATCGCGGTTATTCCCAAGTCGAATAACAAGGACAGGCTTGCGCAGAACCTGGATGTTACTAGTTTTGAGCTGAGCGACGAGGAGGTGAGCGCGATTTCTGCGCTGGATAAGGGGTTGAGGTTCAACGATCCGGGATTCTACCTACCCAACCACCCATTACACATTTTCGCGTGAGTGAGTGAGTGGTGGTGTGGAGAAGAGTGTATGTTGTGTTAAGATGAGTGGGGAGTTTGCTACACGAGGGGACCATGGTAGAGACGTCGAAGGGTATGAATCATCAATTTCACGTTACTCATCTCGATAGTCGAGATTTTTTGCGAAAAAAGACTTGCGAACTTCGCGGACGAATTGGGCAGCAAGAAAAATAGAACACACTAGATATCAAGTCCTTCATCCAAAATGAGGTCAAGTATTGACTGGTGGACGACCGCGACTGAATGTGACAAATCCGATGACTCCATGATTGGAATTCTAGATTCTCATGAATCACGGCATGTGCTGTAGGGGGAAACTCTTCCCCATGCCAAGCCTTGATCCCTTTCTTCAAGGTCGCAAGTTCGAGGCTGCAAATGTTGAGGCTCCAGAATTCTCGATTCGGCCCTTTGAACGTCATGTAGCCGATAGCGACGCCAAGAAGCGGCATACGCTAAACGCCTGCGGATTAGCGTCGACCTGTCGACCTGTCAAGCGGGCGAGCTTCTCTTCACGTCCACCATGCATCCCTCTGGCAACCCAGCATCGTCATGTCCAACTCGACACGCAGTATCGGCGGCCAAGGCCCCAGAAACCATTTGCAGTGGCTTGTTCCGAAGCCAACCAGAAAGAGCCTCATCGAAGGGGCCTCGGTATCTGCACATAGCACATGCGACTCCACGAACTCGCCATGTCGCTCCACTGTGCGGGTAAATGCTAATTCCCCAACCCCACGTGCGACTGCAGGTTTTCTAGGTGTTCTCGATCTACTCCACACTTTGACAAGGGGCCGTTCCCCATACCATGATTCTCCGCGGGGCTCCACAACACATTCTGCCAATGGGCAGATCCTCGGAAACAATCCTCTATTGGAAATCTGGGTTCTCCACGCTTGGCTACTTGGCAACCAGCCTTGACATCGACTTTCGGTGCCAGCAATGCCGAGGGAAGGCTGTTTTGACGATACCCACCTCACAGTGTTAAATCCCCGACTTGAACTGCCGATGCGCTGATGGCTGGTCAACGGGGGCCGTTAGCATCTTCTTGGATCCTTGGTCCGGTGTGGTCCCAGCTAACAACACTCCAACGCCCCGAGTCATGATTTCTGGGAAAAGATGGACTGCTCATGGTGTGCATGATGCATGCAGGGCCTTGCTCCCATGGGCAGGGTCTGGAGGAAAAATTGTTTATTAAGAGACGAAACCGCCAGCTTGGATTGCGACAAGAGACATCTGCCATCTCACGATTAATCTCTAATCCTCGATTTCTTGCCAATCACTTCCCTCTCAAGATGGCCGTCTTCAGTTCTATGCGATGGACGCGCAAGGTCCTCGTTGTCTCTTTCATGCTCTCCATGGTGCCTTCGGGTCTATCATTGAACATTCCCCGGACTGAAGATTATCTCCCCTACCGCGATGCCTCGCTCAGCGTGGAAGAGCGTGTTCAGGATCTGATCTCGCGCATGACGGTGGAGGAGAAGGCCGGTCAACTGTTCCATACTCAGATCCAATTGGGAGTCAACGGCACCCTGGATCTCGGAAATGCAACCCTCTCGCGCAACAGCACAGTCAACATGGTCACCGAAAAGCACATGACGCACTTCAACCTCCTAGGCACCGTCGCCGACGTCAAGCAAAACGCAGAGTGGTACAACCGCGTCCAACAACTCGCTCTAGACACCCGTCTAGGTATCCCCGTCACCCTCTCTTCAGATCCCCGTCACACCTTCTCCGACAACCTGGGCGCCTCCATCTCCTCTGGCACCAAATTCTCCCAATGGCCCGACTCCATCGGCCTCGCCGCCATCCGCGATCCAGCCCTCGTAAAGCGCTTCGCCGAAGTGGCGCGCGACGAATACATTGCAATCGGCATCCGGTCCTCCCTGCACCCGCAAATCGACCTCACCACCGAACCCCGCTGGGGCCGCCAGGCCACCACCATGGGCGAGGACGCAAACCTCACCTCCACCCTCGTAGTGTCGTACCTCGACGGATTCATGGGCCCGGAATTCGGAAACACGTCCATCACTACAGTCACCAAGCACTTCCCCGGCAGCGGGCCCGTCGAAGACGGCCTCGACAGCCACTTCACCTACGGCAAAAACGCAACGTACCCAGGCAACAACTTCGAGTATCACCTGCAGCCCTTCAAAGCCGCCATCGCGGCCGGCGCCCGCCAAATGATGCCCTACTACTCCCGCCCCATGGGCACGAAGTACGATGAAGTCGCCTCGTCCTTCAACAAGGGCCTCATCACCGACCTACTCCGCAACGAACTCGGCTTCAAGGGCATTGTCGTCAGCGACTGGGGCCTCATCACCGACGGCTACATCGCGGGGCAATACATGCCGGCGCGGGCCTGGGGCGTGGAGAACTCGACGGAGCTCGAGCGCGCCGCGCGCATCATCGACGCGGGCGTCGACCAGTTCGGCGGCGAGCAGCGCGTCGAGCTCATCATCGAACTCGTCAATTCCGGCGCCATCCCCGAATCCCGCATCGACGAATCCGTCGCGCGCCTCCTGACGGAGAAATTCCTCCTAGGCCTCTTCGACAACCCCTTCGTCGACGTCGCAGCCGCCGCCGCAATCGTAGGCAACGACGACTTCCGCCGCCTCGGCAACGAAGCCCAGCAGAAATCCCTCACCCTGCTGTCAAACAACAACAACATCCTCCCGCTCTCCCCCTCGTGCCTCGCCACCACCAAATTCTACGTCGAGGGCTTCAACACCACGTTCCTGCAGCAAGAAAAAAATATGACGCTCGTGACGGACCCGCAGGATGCTGATCTCGCGCTGCTCCGCCTCAAGACGCACTACGACCCGCGCCCCGGCGGCTTCGAAGCAAACTACCACGACGGCTCCCTCGCGTACAACGCCACCGAGCAGGCCCGCCAGGCGGCCATCTACAGCGCCGTCCCCACAATCGTTGACATCTACCTCGAGCGCCCCGCCGTCATCCCGGAGATCATCGACCAGGCTGCCGCCGTGCTGGGCAACTACGGCGTCAGCGCCGAGAACTTGCTCAAGGTGCTGTTTGGCGAGGCCGAGCCGCTCGGCCAGCTGCCGTTCGATATGCCGAGCAGTATGGAGGCTGTTGAGGCGAGTCGCGAGGATGTGCCGTTTGATACCAAGGATCCTGTCTTCAGGTTTGGTCATGGGCTGAGGTATGCTGCTGCTGGTGCTGACGCGTAGAGGATATTCTTCTTTATAATGATGTTGGAAAAAGTTTCATGACCTGGTAATGAAAATTAATGTATATACTTGTATCATTGTTCAAAATCTATCTTCTTTTTTTCTTGTTCGTGAATCTCGAATCATCCAACTCCGTCTCTACATCCCAACGTCACGCTGGTCAACAAAGGGAAAAAAGCGAGTATTGCCAATACCGCAAAAAGAAAAATTGTATTCCGCTAGCAAAGACTACAAGAGTTTCAGGCCTGGGGTAATGACCCTCAAGGCAGAAAAACCAAACAGTGTGGTCTCTTATACTCATGAATCATCATAACCCAAGAGTCCAAGGGGGAAAAAAATGCACAAACGATACTAATAACCCAACAAAGAAGAAAATAAGAAAAAAAAAGGCCAAAAAGGAGGAGAGTCAATGGCTCCGTCCTGCGTGGACCGAAAGAAAAAAAAAAGGTTGCTCCATCGCCAATTTCACCTTTTCCCCTCAAAACAAGTATTGTCGAATGACCTCGAGTGGAAAAGGGAAGAGATATATACCCGAGCGATGGCGGTCGCACAACCCAAGAAATAAGTCTTCAACCCCACCGTTGTTGTTCAATTACGCCCTGGCACGTCCCAAAAGTCAACATGACACGTCTTTCCGAGGTCTTATCCAGAGTCAACCAATCTCTCCCCCCAGCACATCTCGGTGTGTCTGCAGAACATCAAACAACCGGAATCCGTGAGGTCGAAGGCAAAGGGTAAGATGCACGCAAAAAAAAAACCCCCAAACGCAGGATAAAAGAACAAAACAACGCAAACAGAAACCACTTAAGGAAGAAACATGGAGGTGGCAAGCCTCCAACAAGAATGACATAGAACATACCGCAGTCTCTTGCTGAGAATTAGTGATCGGGATCACAGCTGTTGCAAGCAACCATACCACCCCATTCATTGGCAATTTCCACGATCGTCGAGCCGCAACCTAACTTGCTCTGTTCGACGACACGACCAACTCGAGCGGAAGCCGTTCCTGAAGGCGGGGTGGGATCGGGGAACGGGATGCACTGATCAAGTGGGATTCCGTTTCCCAGCGTGCTCCGCGCAAAGTTGTCGTAGAGACCATTACCAGCGTGACGGCGTGTTGATCGACGAAAGTTTCGGCCGCGAATATTAGGGAAGGTCTGCGAGCTGCTTGTTCCCCGACTATGCCCAAGATCCTTTGCAGAGCGATCAATCTCGTCGAACTGGGCTGCAAATGGTTGTGCTTTTACACTGGAAGTGTCCACGTCGGGTTCTTGGACCGCTTTCTTAAGCGCATCCAGAATCTTGGTGGGAGATGGAGAGGCCGACTCGTTGCCGCCTTGTTTGCGACCGCGTGGCATGGTCTTGCTCTTTTTACCACCTTTCCATGTTTTGGGTAGGTTGCCTACGAACGCAGGATGCATGTGATATAGCCAGGGTATACCATATGCGTCGAAAGCAAAAGGATCCAACGATGAAAGCCAGGTGTTGGTACGGGTTGGTGGGTTTACTTCAGAGGGAACAAACTCGGGGGCGGTGGCTCGCAACTCGGAGAAAGTACTATTTAAAGCCTTGGACAATTGGCTCAGAGTCTGTTTCCTATCATTGGGCTCATGAGCAGCACCGCGACCTCTAACCGGAGAATCTACGACAGCAACAGTCTCGGATGTCTTGGGTAACTCGTGACTCGAAGACGCTTTGCTTTCTAGGTGACTTGTCAATACGGGTATTTACTCGAATCTTCAAAGAGCTATTTGCAAGTACCTGAGCCTGTAGATCTTTTACGACTATAGACGACTGCCGGATCACTGAGAGCCGTATCATCCGAGGTAGCAGTCTGTGCAGCAATTGCATTTGTTACAGTCGACGGGGACACAGCAGGTGACGCTGCACGTTCAGCGTGGATAGACTCTGAAAGCATCTTGCCCACAACCTCCTCCAAGTCTGGCTGTGGTTCCGTCGACGACACACTCTCTGTATCAGGGGAAGTAGTCTGATCAGGAAGTTGCTTGAGATACGAATGTACCAGGGTGTGTGCATCCGGTTTAGGTTCTTTATTTGCCAGGGATTCCCTCGTGATAATTGGGGTGGCTCCCGTACTGTCCACGGTCTTGACACGTCGACTCGCAACTGGAGTTTTCGACTGTGGCATATCTTTTGATTCTTTATCTTTGGGTGATAGTGCCGGCTCGTTTGAATCGTTTGGCTGCTTGCCTGCCGCCAACTTTGGCATGGATTTGGTTCGCAGAATAGAGTGAGTCTTCGGGGAGGATTGCGCAGCCGACCTTTTGGGATGAATGCGAGGAATTCTTGATCGAGTGGGCGAGCCTGAGCTGAGAGTGGACGCCGAACCTACCGCTTGTGCCGAATGATGGTGTGCACCAGATGGGATTGTCAGAGAGAGCTTTGGAAATCTACTCTTGTTCGGTCCATCTTGTTCAATTATCTGCACCATCTCGTCAGCTTTAGCTAAATCGAGATGGGGGATAGCATCATCATTCTCCTCATTCTCCTCAAAAGGAGAACCAAGGGTGCACGAAGTGAAGGACCGACTTGAAGCCCGACTCACCGGCGACTCCTTGGCAGAGTAGAATTCAGCATCCACCGACGATTGAATACTAGACGACTGACAGTGTCCAGAGCCAGAGGCTACCTTCGTGGATGAACCAGGGAAAAGAATTGAGTGCTCAAGGCGGCCTCGCGAAGGTGATTGAGGGAGACTAGCACTCGACCCGACACCACTCCGAGGGATTCGAACTCCGGGCGTGCTAGGCGCGGAAGATGAAGTGGACATGGGTTTGCTTTTCTCTTTGGTCAAGAACGAATTCGGTTTACCCAAATCGGCACAGCCACGTCCGCCTCGAAGTGACTTTGGAGGCGAAGAGCTGTTAGTAGATCTCCTCTTATCACGTTTTGAGCTTCGAAGCTCGGTTTGTAGCAATGGAGCACCACGACGCGTAGGTGGGGTCGTTTGGGCTTGCTGGGCCGTTTGAGTCCACTCGGAAGGAAGGGGCTTCCGCTGCTTTCGCATTTCTACGTCTGGCGAAGACAAAATGCCGGTAGGTGACTCAACCTCAGGTACTGGAGTAAGGCGGCAGGTGTCCGGTTTGTCGTTGTCGGAACAGTTAATGTCAAGAGAAGAGCTGCGACTTCGATTTCCGGGTGTAGCTGGAGACGCCTCACTGTGTTCGCCTTCGGTGTATGTCTCGAATCGAGCGACTAGTTCAGTGACTTTACCGTCATTGGTGAGCTCCATAGACAATGAAGAAGGACTATCCAATGGAATGGCTATATTGACATTGTTGTAGCTAGAAGTATCCACTAGCGCGAAGGACTGCATAGCGTCATGTTCCATGTTTGGGTGAATGGAGCGAGGATGGTGGGCAGCCTGATCCGGGTGGCCATTTTGGGGCATCGCCACCAGGTCCAGGGTATTGCCGACTTTCACAGGCGTAAGTGTTGACATGATGAAATGCTGGCTATTCGAATGGGTGGACGCGGCGGGGGGCGATGAGTATGCTGAGGGACCTGCGGATGTGGCGTTGAGGTTGATGTCGCGTGAATAATGACTGTCTCTTCGAGTATTGTCAGCATGTTCAAAGTTGTGTTTACGGTGCAGAGTGCCGTCCACATACCGCTGGGGCAGACCAAGTTCTATCGCTCTATCGCAGTAGGAAACCTTGTAAACCTCTGCGTGTCGACATCGCGAGTAATAAGTATATCGATAGCGACACATGTTGGAGAGAAGCGGCGCACCAACGGTCGTGGAGGCAGTCACCAAGATGAGGAACGAGGAAAGCGCGAGGGTCGGACAGCAGGAACGACTGGTAGTCCAACTGGCCGGTAGGTGTGAGTGCCAAGAAAAGGAAAGCGTAGTCAAGCGCGCCGCAAATGTATGTAAGCTTGGGCGTTTGGTATATCCACGTGTAAAGTTGTTTGCAAACATTCAAATGTTCATTTGAAGGCGGGGTGCGATAGAGTCAAGGGGACACTGGGCAAGTAACGTGATATCTGAACGCACCACAACCTACACATCACGCTCAAGCATAACATGGTCGACGAGTTTTAAATAGTGCACTGGAGCTGAATGGCACAGATGGTTACCACTCGCTATTAGGGAAGGGTATCTCGCCGTGTATTCAATCTTGCATACGGCCCAAGATCGCGTCTGAACATGTGTCTCACTCCACCACAAATATCGCCAATTCGACCATAGACGGCTCAGTTGCACATCTTTTGGAAAAGCGTCCGAGCCCGCTCGTATGGTGTCAGAATCGCCTCTTCTTCTTACTCTGCACTTGCTTCTTTGCCAAGTCCTCGTTTCTGCGCTTGAGTTCCTGTCTTTTTCGCTCCGCCTTCTCCTCTGCCGTTTCTTCACGATCCTCTACCTGCGGGGCTTGTTCCACCGTAGCAGCCACTGGCGCGGCATCCTGGACGATTGCAGCCTCTGCCTTTGCCTTACCTCCAATCTTGAACGGTTTCCTCGCCGCTTTCAGTGTTGTTGTTTGTTGCTCGTGAGCTGTAGTGACTATGGTCGATTCATCATTTGCCCCAGAAACTTCCTCCGGTGCAATGGAAGGCGTCCGAGATCGACTACCCTTGCCACCAATACGAAAAGGTTTGCGTGTGTCTCGATTCTGTGGAGGTGACGGCTCGACTTTTGGTGGTATCAGATTGGGCGAAGATGGTTCTTTCCCTCGCGCTTGACTTTGACTTTGTTTTCGAGTTTGACTTCTAGAGACGGGTGCGTCCAGATCATCGTCGTCTTCCTCGTCTGTAGTAGCATCATTCGCTAACTGGTCCAACTTCGGGGAGGAAGACGGTTGGTGGGTGTGTTGCTCTAGCTGTACATTGTTTTGCGGTTGTCTGGCTTTGAAATTGTCATGCGTTTCAAACTCGTCTTCGGTCTCGTCGTCGTCAGTCTCCGATGACGCTGGTGAAGCACGTGATGGAGGTTCCGGCTCCTTCCGACGAGGTTTGATACCCTTAAGTTCAGAATCGATCTTGGACCACCAATTGTCTGCTTCATCATCTGAATTAAGTGAGGGTGGAATCTTGGGTGTACAATGCGATAAGGCTTCTTGGAATACGTCTAGAGTAGAAGGTTCATGCTGCAGGCTGGCAGATTTCGACTGCCACGAGGCTTTGTCAAATGGACGCAAGCCGGGAACATGCTTTGCTGCTTGCTCGCGCTTTACAATCTTCCTAGACTTGATTCCTATGCTAGGGAAGGCTGCCGCGAGGTCCATATTGCTGGATTCAAACTGATCCGTCATGCGGGTGATAACCTTGTCTTTTTCTGATATGATTGCGATCAATCCATGAATACTCTCATGCTGAATTTGAGAAGTCATAAGCAATGGAAGAATTAGCTCGTTTCTGAGTGTCGCAGGGCTTCTTTTCCGCAGATGGAATTTCCACTGGAGCGAATCTAAAGGCTTCGGCAAGGCAATAGTGGTGTGGAGTACAACGCCGCCATCTGTAGCATCGGGAGTTTTTGTGACACGGCATGTCGCGTCCTGATGGCCGAGCAGGGGTTTCTGTACATTGTCGAGAAGGATGGTCAGTTGGGCCGTATCTTGTTTGCTGACCTCGATTGGGGATTTTTCGACCAGAGCTCGTTGTACAATACCGGCCAGATCCAACTGCTCACTCCATATGTTGGTGAGATCAGTTAAAAAGACCGTGTATGAATCCGTTTCGAATTGTGGTTTGACCAAAAGGTGAGGGATGTGCGCGTCGTCGAATTCATCGGACAACTGCAATGGACGCCAGAACGACATAGCGCTGTCTGTGATTGGTTGGGAGGCGGGTGCAGTATAAGAGTTGTTCCAGGGCAGACCTGAAGTAAAAACACTTTCAATCAATTTAAGAGTATCTGTTCATGTTCATCTTCCCCAATATATTCCTGATTGTATGCATGTGTCACCTAGGTATGGTGGTCAATAGAGAGATGGTCGATTGCCGTTGGTGAGGCAGCAGCAGCTGACTAAGACCCGCTAGTCCTTTTAGGCTTGGTCTGCGCTTCTACGTCACCCCCAGGAGAGCGATGTGAGGCTTGAAGGTTATGTATCGTCGAGAAAAAAGTTCTCTCGTGGTTGGTAACAAGGAACAATTGGCAACTACACTTTCCTTGAACTTGTCTATATCTTCGAATACTTCCAACAAAAGCAATGTCATCATCTCGTAACCCTCCGCCATGGCGCAACCACCAACCTTCGTCGACAATACCTGCAAAGCGCTCTGCGAACTCGCGCGCTCACAACGAAAACCCTCCCAAACGCTCCATCGACGCACGGGAAGAGGCATGGATCGCTGATGAGGACCGCTTTGTGCTGCAGCAGGCGAAGAAGAAGGCTGCATTGCGCGTCAAAAGCGGCCGTGCGAAACCCATCGACTGGCTAGCCGTTACCCTTCGCTTCGTGGACCCAACCAAGACCATGTTCGACGAGGAAATTGAGGATCACGAACTTGATATCGTTGATCCCGAAGGCGTGTTGGAGGGTCTAGGTGACGAAGACTTTGAGGATTTGGAGAAGGAGATTGAGAACTACCTCACTCTAGAGACCAATCGAAACAACCGCGACTACTGGAATGTGAGACACTTTCCCTTCCTTCCTTCCTTCCTAGAACGCCGTAGTATAATACTGACGTATGCAGTCTCTTCAGATAATCTGCAAAGACCGCCGCCGCAAGTCTCGCGCTTCAGGGGAAGCTCGTGGTACCAGCTCCGTTTCCGCCGACATCGACCGCCTGCTCGCACCCAAAACATACGAACAGCTGGAAACACTCGAAAAACAAGTCAAGACAAAACTGAAATCCGATGAACCCATCGACTATGATTATTGGGAACTGTTGCTGCGCAATCTGCGCGTCTGGAAGGCAAAAGCTAAGCTGCGGAAGGTGTCACAACAGATATTGGGCGAGCGTATGCAGACGCTGCGTAAACAACAAGAGGAGGCTGCACTCACTGTCAAAGAGAAAGTCGAAGCCATGCTCTCTGCCGCCCGAGGTCCAGATCACACTCCGTCCGATGCGCCCCCTCAATACGATCCATCTTTGGATCCCGAACCCTCGCTGAAACTCCGCACCGATGAGAAAGCACTGCCGCAAGTGGATGGGAAAAATTTCTGGGAAAGCGTCGAGAGTGAGCGACGCAAAGTGTTGAAAATGGGATATGTGCCTGTGCAGCGTAAAGCGGAGGATACCTCGAGCAGCCTCACTAAAGCCAAAGTCACACCTATTGGTTCCACGTCTGCCTCAAGATTTGCCCCTGTTGACAAGGAAGATTTCTCGCAGGTCACTATGGCCATGTACGAAAGAGAGGTTGCTCGTGGCGTGGAAGAGGGCGAAGAGGTCTTCACTGCCGAGGAAGAAGTCAACTCCGCGAAGCCGTACAAGGCTAGGAAACCACGCTATTTCAATCGCGTGCAGATGGGCTACGAGTGGAACAAGTACAACCAAACCCACTACGACCATGACAACCCTCCCCCTAAGGTGGTGCAAGGCTATAAATTCAACATCTTCTACCCCGATCTCATCGACAAAGCCAAGGCGCCAACGTATAAGATCGAACGTGAAAATGGCAGAAGACGTGGAGAGTCGTTTGCGCCTGCTGGAGAGGACGATACCTGTCTGATCCGTTTCATCGCCGGTCCGCCCTATGAGGACATCGCATTCCGCATCGTGGACAAAGAGTGGGACTACAGTGCGAAAAGAGAACGGGGGTTCAAGAGCAGTTTCGACAAGGTATGTTGATTATCCAATCGGGTGCAAACCAGTGACAAGCTAACATTGCGCAGGGTATATTACAACTTCACTTCCAGTTCAAGAAGATTTATTACAGAAAATAAGCATTGCCACTCTTATGATAGACCCTTGGGTAGATTTTCACACCGTTCGGTAGCCCGAGAATTTCAGCCTGCAGGAATGAGGCGTCATGGGCGCATCACCTGTTCAATGATGCGATTCAGTATCTTCAGCAGTAATTAATTACATCATTTTCTATGGTATAACCACTTCATACCAGCAGCAGTAAGAACGTCACCAAATCTCACCTTGATGATATCTGAAAGTGATTAGCGTATTCTTCTCCCGTCTTTATATTACGTTGCAGTCTGCGTGGACGCCTCCCCACGTTTTGTATACTTGCTCGGCGGCTAGGAGAAATCATAGTTTCCCGTTGGAGAAAATAAATAGCTCGATTATGAGGTGTGTTGACGGTCAAATCGGATGAGTTGCCATCCCAACGTCGTTACAACGATAGACGAAGCGACACTTCGTTCAACACGAGTGCCTGGCCAATCGAGACCATGCTATGGTGTTACAAAAGAACGGGCAAGGCCATGTAGTCCTTCACCGGATAATAGACTGAGTGTCAGCTTGTGTTACATGGCCGTATGTGGGGCAGCCACAGATACGCCTGCTTCTGCTTTTCATCGAAACATGATGCAGCTCAAGACAACACGACCTCCATTCTATTTGAAAGAGACTCCCCTGTCATGCCTGCAAGACATCAAAACAAAGATGTGAGAGATCTGCGACAAAGTCTCGGTTCACACATGCAGCTTATCTAAGACATTCCATCCCGACTTTGCATCGCTTCAAAGGAACGTCACAAGCGTTGAGATTGTTAAATCCAGCGACCCACTCATTGAGCTATTGTACCATCAATCCATGCCCTTGCAAGCTTCTAGAAGATGTACGAAGAAGTGGGTACTTACAGCAAAACATGTACGGGCGGGAGAAGTGTCTGGCTGCGGATGTTTCTATGTCGTGCCAATGCACCTACCCGTGACATTCCCCTTCAATCATCATATCGCGGGCAGAAACGCTCCACTCCGGTGGAACGACGGTATCGACCGTAACGGGAGGATTAACGTTGGTCGGCGTAGTAGACGGCTATGTGGCGGGGAGGCTCTTCGGCGAGGCCATGAGCCCTGTGATACTGCTACCACTACTACCTGCCGTCGGTCGTGGCCAGGGCCGGCGACCTTCTTTCAACCTGCCGCCGTATGTTTGCCCTGCCTGTGCATTGCCGCGACCGACAATCTCGCTGAGAATCAAGCTTCTGCCAGTGAGTTGGCGACGGGTGCCCGCCTTCGCGTTACAATGGAAGCTTCCGATGTCCAATCCCGCATCGCCAGGCACTCAAATGTCTTGGGTGTCGCTTCATTTCGCCAGTGCCTCAGTAGACTACTTGTACGCTTCCTCCTATCCATCTCTTGTCTCACGAAACGCGTTGGCAGTAGGCCCTTATCGATTCCTAGATCGGCCAGACTCTCAATACCCGTCCGTCCGACACCTTTGACCGCACAACATGCCCCACGCGCACTCACCACTGCCATCCGGCATAGCGGACGTTGCAGACAGTCGGGAGACTGTCGAACCATCCAAGGATCCATCTGCTGTTCAAGAGCCCCTTCGCAGTCAAGACCCATCATCATCCCCTGCGCTCGCCGAAGCACCCCCCGCAATGAAGGTTCCATATTTGCACCCCGCTTCGGTTCAAGACCCAGAGATGCCTCTTGCGAATTTCGACGCTCATAATATGATGGGCTGGGAGTGTGACCGCTACGACGCCATGGATCCCGTCAAGCAAGAGGATCCTGACTTCGCGCCATACCACCCAATGGGTGCAATCCCGGAAGACCCAGCGTACCACCACAACCCTCAATCGAATGCTATGAATTACAACGATAATTACAACATCGCATATTCCAGTCCTTTCCTTTATAATCGTTCTTACTCCTACAACACCAAGTATGACTTGGCTGGTCTATCTAACGAAACGTCGACTCTTTACCCGCCCAATGTGTATCACATCGAGCCTGCAGCCATGGACTTCTCATATTCTAGTATGAACGGACATAACTTCGCTGTTAGAGACGAGTTCGATGGATTCGGTACTGCATACGTGCACGATGAGCTCGCAGACTATTCTAGCCCATACCATTCCGACGTGGCCGTGCGATCAGGAACTCCCAACGGCGATCAACCTCTGCAGCACCATGAATATCGGACCAATTACGAAGACAACTCCAACGACAAAGAACAGCCTTATGCACAACTTATATACCGTGCTCTGTTAGATGCACCGGGACATACCATGATTCTTCGCGACATCTACGAGTGGTTCAAGAAGAACACCGACAAGGCAGCCGATAAGGAAACCAAGGGATGGCAGAACAGTATCCGTCACAATCTGTCTATGAATGGGGTGAGGGAGTACCTCAGATCTTTCTTTTTATTAGTGCTAACGCAACACAGGCGTTCGAAAAAGTTGACCATCCTTGCGAAGAGTCACGAAGGGGGTTCATGTGGCGCCTCACCGACGACGCAATCCGAGGCGGCGTCAAGTCAACCACGAGATACCGAAGCAAGCAGCCCAACAAGCGAGGCCACCGCTCTCAGAACCCGCTCCCCCAACGACAAGCATCAGGCTCAAAAGGCGGAACCGCAGCTCGTCACACTGCGAGAGTCCGAAAATCTACTAGGGGAAACGACTTGTATTCCTACCGCTCTACCCCACGCAACGACCAGCTGGATGGAGTCCCATCCACCTACGAAGCCGAGTCGCCCTACTACAACGGCTCTCCAACTCTGTCAGACATCGACTTTGATTACCCCAAAGATGACACCGCCGCCGCCAGCGCCGTCATGGACCCCAACCAACCACCCACATCCAACTTCGAGCTCTTCTCGTCCGTGCCGACGCAAGCATACAGCCCCTTGCCGCAACTCTTCACCCCGGTCATGTCACACTACCAGGAGCCCATGGGACACTTCTTCCACACCGCCGTCACCCAAGACCACCCGTCCGACCCCCTCTGGAACACCCCGTCCCCCGATAGCGATGAGCCGCGCACCCCGGAGTCGTACCCAGGAGCCATATGGGGTCCGGACGACATGGGCATGGAACCGACATCTTGCCCAATGGGGATGGCTGTTGAAACCACGTATAACGAGTTTCCTAACGGCCTTATGTGATCGCTGCCTGTGGTGTATTGATATTCCTGTTGGTTATACATATAAGAGGTGTCCGGTCGTGCTAGGCGATGTTGGGCGTGCGTGCATGCATGTACGTATGCATATGCGCCGTTCGCCTGCACGTCGTCTTTCTGGGAGAATTGACTTGGCGGTTACGGGAATACGTCGTGTCGAGACGATATTCTACTGGCTCTTTCTTCTAGGATCGGAACGTTGTCTTTCCCTCTCGTCAGAAGACTTGCATTTCATGTGTCCCCTGATTTTGATTGTACTTTGGATTTCCGGCTTCGTTGCATATCGAACCGATTTTGATCGTCATCGCCCCACGTTCTTCTCCTGCGCCTCAGCATCAAACGAACATGATAAGGACCGCACATGTAGGCACTTTCTACAGAACCTGGCAATATCGCCTTTTTGTGTTTTCTTCTCCCGATTGTCTCTTTACTCATGTTATGTCTTTTATAGATCACGATTCCCTATTTGCTTCACTGCACTTTTGCTTTCTCATGGCCCTTTGTTTGCATCTACACATCATCACTCATCACTCATACAGCTCTTTTGCTTCTACTGTTTCGAATACTGTCATGTATGTATGCACGCACGTATGTATGTTTGTATCCTAGCATTTATGGTCCATGAATTATCAACTTGCATATACGCATCAACCACTGAACAGCCTTTTTATTTGTAGATGAAAGTAATGGAAAAATCAAAGCACTAATCCCTATTCTCCCTCTATTTCTCTCGTCCAAGTCGACTTTGTTCACCAGTCCTCCGCATCTACTTGAATCTTTTATTCCTACTCCCGAAATCTTCATACTTCCCCCTCTCCCCCTTTTTTTTCCCACCACAACACCCCTTGAATCGAAAGACAATCGCAGGAAAATCTACACTCTATACATACATCTATCCATATGTCCTACATGACAGCTTGCTACATGACTAAGTAAGGAAAGCAAGTACCGTCACACAAAACAACCCACCCCGCGGATAAGGCGTGCATAATAACGTATGACATGTCCTAGCGCGCATGTCGCGCATAATGTAGCCCTATATGATGCCCTGGCACCGCCGCGTGCGCGGTATGCGAGCGGGAATGGCGTGCAGGGTCTGGGGTCCTGCATATTTTTCTTTTTCGCTTTCTCTTCGCTTTCTCTGCGTTCTGTGGGTCAGTGGCATTGGCAAATGGCTAGCTATCGCGTGAAAGACCTATCTCGAGTATTCTTGGCTTTATTTCCTTGTTTTCTTTTTCTCCCGACGGTAAAGGACGAAGTTCGGCCCGGGTGGGAGAGCTGAAAGTAATGTCATCGGAGGAGATTGAGCCGAACCCACCGAAAAAGTGAGGAATCCTTTTTTTCTGTCTTCTCGTTATCGTCGTATTGGCTCCGTATAGCGAAGCGAATGAGGGGTTTTCTGTCTATCCATGTACTCGGTTCCACTCCTTGTTTTTCCCCCTGTAGTACCTCTTCCCGGTCCAGGGAAAATCGTTGACTCTCCCGGGAACGAAACTTGAGCCAGTACCGACCTCGTGTGTATTTGATTGTCGTGGTTTAGCACGTTACCCTCGTTTTTGAAATCTCGCTCGGAGTGAGAGGGTCATGCAGGCTATGCTGGGGTTTTTGTATGGTTGTGTGAGACGTGACGATGCGAGTTCTTCCCCAGCTTAGAAATCGAGGATCTTATTCCGGGCTAAAGAAAAGGGTGACTGTGAACACGAGCCTCAAGCTTTTCTTTCCGCAGCCCGCACACCGATTAGACACTAGGGTAAGCTTAGGCCGGTTGCTATCTCGACTTGCCTTAATCTTGGTTTATCTCTGTCCTTCTTGGTATCCGTGTGACTCAAACAGTGTAGACTGAGTGGATACTGCAGGGTTGCCCTCGTTGATGCCTGGAAGCCATCTGACCGGGTATTCGAGACGACAAAGAAGTGGGCTTGGGGCCCGGGGACCTGGTAATTGAGTGCAGACAGGCTGTGCGGAAGCTGATTCTTAGTGTATCTATCTTCTTGAGTTCCTACCACCAGTAAATGTTGATAGACGCTTCTATATTAGGCGAAAAACAGGGTTCTTGTAGAGAAAATCCAGAGTTTCGGCTACAGCAATGTACCTAGGTATCTCTTGTAGGAGTATCTATATTTTTGTTCCAGTCATGCAGACACGTTTGTTAAATCTGAGATGAAGGGTTGAGCCTCGTCTTCCAGAGTCATCGTGTACTGTTCAAGCGAAGAAAGTGTTACCCCCACCCTCCCAGAGTCGACTCTTCCCCCAATCCATCACTCCTGCATACGGTCCCGCATACCCGAAGTTACACATATATCCCACGAACCCCAGCCCACTCAATCGGAGACACTAATCACAGATGCATGCTACTGAGTTTGGAACTACTCGCATGCGCAGTTTCGAAGTTCGTGCAGGCTAGGCAGCAGTTTCTCCACTAGATTACTGTGGGCATGTGTGATAGGCAGTGCTCTAGTTGAGGCGGAACCGTTGATGTGTTCCCCGGGGGCAAGGGAAGCACGGGGTATATCGAGATGCAGTCGCAGTTGTTCATGGCTCAAACAAGATATGGAATTAGGATATAGCAGCTTTTTTAGACGTTTGACTCGTGTTTCTCTGTTTTTGATACTTTTTTCGGGTTGAGGAGAAGAGCGGTGGGGTATTGATGTGTCTACAATTTTGGAATTCCTATTGGAAGTTATCTACAAGTTTCTGTTTTGAAGTGCCGCCGAAAAGGAATGGGACCCTAAATATATGGCCCTCATACACATAGCATATATGTTACTTCTTCTATGTGAGTGCGGTTTCAGCATCTATGCCATCAAGACCTTCACCGCTGTTACCACTTCGTGAATTACCCTTTCTCCTACAACTAATGTAACACAACATATTGGCGTACCAAAATGCAATGAATACTTGCAACCGCATCACCACCCCGTACTTCTCCACTTCACGCCGGTTTATTCTCAGATCACCCTACCTCGTCACTTAGCCTTCACCCCGCATATACGAACATCCCCCCACTCATCCCACTCTATCCAACCGGCTCCCGTTGCGTCGACCCGCATCTCCCCCTGCGATTACCACGCGCAAACTTCTTGCTTTTCGATCCAGCACCGAAATTTTGCCGCCTTGTTCACTTCCGTGCAAGATAGCAATCGCATCATCGGTGAACGCCTTGCAAGCCCTTTTTTCAATTATTAGGCCCTCCTTTAGTTCCGTGTTCTTTACCAAGAAAATAGTGATTTGTGGGCTTTTTTCACTGTTCGTCCCATGAATTTTTGCATCCCGAGTAGAGTATCCTAGATTCTTATTCACGCATCCAGACCTGATGTTGCATGGTAGAGGAGAACTATGAGTTAGAGTGAAGCCATTAGTTTTGAATAAGTAATGCGAGAATGAACAACACAGTATTACATTTGAACGATTAGATCTTGGATTACCCTAAAAGTAAATTAGAGCTAGCTCTATCACATTTCACAATGAAGTATACGTTGCAAGCGAATTAGACGTGCTGGCCTCTAAATATTTTACATGTTAGAGCCGCGGAAGAATGAAGTGTTCTTGTCTACTGCACTAGAAACTCTCATCACTTTCCAGTCGCCTGTTCGTCGCGTTTACACAGTCTTTGGCTCAATTTACTTTCAAGTAGCATATCTAGACTGTGCTTCATGGTCTTTCCGACGCAATAGGATAGAACGTAAATGTTTTATTAGTATCACAAATTGATTGCGCAACAATTTTCTTCAACTTAATTAATGGAGCAAGCTGAACAGACTCAATGACAAGATGTAGGAATACTTTTGTAGATGTGTCCGAGACTTTTCCTTGTGCCCTCGTAACAGCGAATATCACTTTAGCAGACGTTCGATCACGGTATCTGTGCACATCTATTGAAAGTCACTACCTTTTCAGTCAAGTATCTTTCATTTTGATGCTGTGCTGAGCACTCTCACTACATCTTAACAAAACAACGAGGTGACTTTGCGCTTTTTCCTCAGAACGTGTGAGCAAGAAGAACGCTCATTTCATAAGTAGTCGGTTCATGATAATAAGATAGCATGAATACCTGCAGCTACTTCGGAAAGCAGATTGGCTAACTGTTCTACAAACACCGATATAGTTCGTAGCTGGGGGCCGGGATAATAATCCTCCACCAATCCTACCGAGCTATGCGCGTCATCTATTCCATCTTTAGACTAGATACATGAAAGCCACATAATGTGGCGAGTAGTGTATGTATGTTTTGCCTCGGCGGATAAATAAATTCATGTTCTCCGCACGCCGTAGACCTGTTCCTGGAGAGGAGATCTGCCGAGTAATTTTATCCAAATGGACATATATACCTCGAGAGCCAGAAGCATTGGAAAATGGAATTCTCTCCCTCTCTCGGACATCTCGGAGATCCGGACAAAGCTCGAACTTCTCGGCAAAGGCTTGAGTCGCTTGATACAACATGTTCATTACCGCATTCGTCGCTGTGGCGCTTTTACAGGCCTCGATAGTATGGTCTTCCGCTTTTGACGATGCCGGAGTCATTGCACCAGGGGGCCGACCTTCGGAAAGACCCAACCACGCTATCGCACCGTATAAAACTGGTAAACCGCTTGTTCCATCGCCCGAAAGAAACAAAACTTGCATAATCCAGAGTCACGGCAACGGTCTGGATGACTCAGATCACATTCTGAGCGCGATTCATGAATGCAACCCCGGCGGTCACGTGGTATTCCAGAAGAACCAAACATACACCGTCGGGACCGCATTGGATCTTACATTTTTGAGAAGCATTGATCTCGGTTAGTGGCCGTCCACAGTCTATTCTCAATCCGCTCCCCCAGCTGAGATAAGCACAGATATTCAAGGTACCATAGTGTTTTCCAATGACACAGACTATTGGCAAGCCAATTCCTTCAACCAAACGTTTCAGAATGCGACCACGTTCTTCCAGCTTGGTGGCTCGGACGTCAACGTGTATGGCGGCGGTACACTGGATGGCAACGGCCAGGTCTGGTACGATCTCTATGCCGAGGACATCTATATCCTTCGCCCCATTTTGTTCGGCACAATAGGACTTCACGGTGGCCGCATCGAAGATTTGAATCTGAGATACTCTCCGCAGTGGTACAACCTCGTAGCGAATTCGAGCAATGTTGTATTCTCGAACATTGATATCGCGGGAGGAAGTCGGAGCAAAAATCCCGCCAAAAACACTGATGGGTGGGTTGACCGCTACGAAACAATAGCTCAAAATTGCATGATTACTGATACATGTACAGATGGGATACATACCGCTCCTCCCACATTGTGATTCAGAATTCTCACATCGACAACGGGGATGACTGTGTCTCTTTCAAGCCCAACAGCACCGACATAGTTGTACAGAATCTGATTTGCAACGGCAGCCATGGCATAAGCGTGGGCAGCTTGGGCCAATACATTGGGGAAGTGGATATCGTCAAAAACATATACGTGCGTAACGCCTTCACTCCTGCACACCAGCAAATCCTCTTCCTTCAAAAGCAAATTACAGTACCGTGCTTCTCGCTAAGTTTTGCTGCAAAATCACGCAGGTCTACAACATTACCCTTTCGAATGCCACGTCGGGCGCGCGCATCAAAGTCTGGCCGGGCATATCTTCCGCTCTTTCCGGCGACCTACAAGGCGGCGGAGGTTCGGGCGCAGTCTCAAACATCACCTATGATGGGATGAAAATATCGAACGTCGATTATGCCATAGAAATCACGCAGTGCTATGGGCAGAAGAACCGGACACTTTGCGAGCAGGTGTGTACTTTTGTCCTCCTCCCCCTTTGCTTACCACATCCATCCCGCTATTCTCTACACTGACCCATATAATCAAAATCTTTATGCGTCGTAAATAATCTGACGGCGCAGTTTCCTTCGAATCTGACCATCTCCTCGGTAAACCTTCGTAACTTTTACGGGAAGACGAGCGAGAAATACGACCCGCTCGTCGGATCATTGATCTGTTCAAGTCCGTCGGTATGCGGAAACATCACAATAAGCGACGTGAACGTCACGAGTCCAAGCGGAACCAACTTGTACGAGTGTGGAAATATTGATGGCATTGATAAGATGGTGGACTGTATGGAGAAGTAGAAGTACCGGGGTCGGGGGTCCGACGACTGCCGACTCGGTTTCGGTGCTGACGATAGATTGACAGGGGTTGAGCTGAGAACCCGTATAGATGCCGCACCCAAAATTCAGTGATGCGCGTGTGCTGCAGGGGCAGTGAGCTTAATGAAAGTAAGATATAGTTTGAGAGTCAAGTACGGTGGCTATGTCAGGGAAGGTTCCACGCATAGAGCTGAGACCAATGGCTGATATTCATACACCATTGTCGCAAATGATATGGAACACCTGCACCTCTTAGAGTACGATTACGCCCCAATGAAGATGATTAGTGTGCCTTTGATGACCTTGATGACGAACTAGTACTGTGACCTGCAAGACATTTGTCGTTGAAGGCAAGGCGCTGCACGTGGTAGCTTGCTTACCTGTGTATCTCGCCTTTTGAGCGCCACTTGGGGCTAATAGTCCTGCCATGTGCGTAAATTGGCAAATGCTTAGAGGAGCTTCATTGGATCCGGCACTTGCCTTCCTACTGGCATACACACACTCTCTCTCTGTTCACCATTCAGTCCCTGCAACCTCAACTGTACGCCTACTTTGAAAGAATGTCGCGACGAGGCTTTGTTTCGATAAGCTTATTCAGGATTTACGGCGAATTCCGTCAATAGTTTTACTCGTAAGCATCAGGCTACTTCATGGCGCACTGTTGGTCAACCGGAGTGTTTCCTCGTGTTGGTCCAGTAGAATATGGTGTGAAGTACACTGTCCACTCAATACGCTCTGCCAAGACGTACTTCCCCTGCAGCTCTATGAACTGCCGAAACTCTGGTTCATGCACATCATCATACCCATTACCAGCGTTAAGCATCAGCCCTAGTGATTGAGCCAGGCAGCCAGCATGGCATTTCCTCGCTCCACAATCCGATTCGAGCTGATTTCAGCCACTAATCTCCCACACGATCCTGGCACATGGCAAAGTCTCAATGCAGAAGTGTTCTAGCAATCCAACGCCCACCAACACCGTAGGCTGAGGCCTAGGAGAGCGCCACAGCAGAGGTCGACTCACCATCACGCAGACCATGTACTTGGTATCGCCGTACCGGTGACCAGGTCGTCAGAAGAACACAATGTCTGACTTATTTTTGGACGAATACGGATAGTGCCCTTGCTCAAGGATTTATTCGGGTTTCACTTTTCACTGAAGTGTTCCTCCGAGTGTGTGTGGCAGTATGAAGGCAAGTGCCGGGTCCAACGAAGCTCCTCTAAGCATTTGCCAATTTACGCTCCGCACTCGCTATTTTTTCCTCGCGGGGTTGACTTCTTTGGAAGGACTCATGACCATGATTTAGACCCCTTGTAGCTGAATACGAAGACGTCTAAGCTGATTCCTGACTAACGAGACACCATTACGTATATTCAGTTCTAGGTGTGAAGAGGCTATGCACGGTGAGCTCATCTAGTAGAGAAAAAAGATATATATATGAGCTACGGCTCACGCGTAGTATCAAGTTACATCAAGACATTCTTTTAGTTCGAACATGTTCTCCAAGATGGGACTTCTAAACCAGGCCTCGCTTTTGGTTCTTGCTCATTCCGCTCTCTATTCTCTTGTATCTGGTGTTTCCTTGCCCCAGAGAGGTCTGCAAACCAGACAGGCCTCCCCTGGATTCACCTGCCATCTTCCGGATGGATTCGAGTGGTGCAATACGGAAGATAACAGGGCATGCTGGATGAGGAACAATGCCACTGGACAAGTCTTTGATATCAACACTGACTACGAGGACTTTGCTCCTGAGGGTGAGTTATAGATCAAGATCAAGATGTTTATGATTTGGCTCTAACATTGTGATAGGCATTGAGCGACCTGTAAGCCAATATATGAGAGACGAGATCACTCAAGGTTAAGACTGACATGCTCCAGTACTGGCTTGAAATCACAGAGGGCGATATATCTCCAGATGGAATGGAAAGAAAGGCCGCACAGCTCATCAATGGAACCTATCCAGGTCCTACACTAGAAGCTTGCTGGGGTGACACTATCGTGGTTCATGTTACCAACAGACTATTTAGCAACGGCTCAACAATCCATTGGCAGTAAGTCTAGGGGTGTGACTACACCCTCACCCAGACGTCATGTGACTTCACTCTACCCACACCTATCTACCACCCTGGGGTGTAATCTATCGAGTGATCAGAACTAACAAAGACAAGTGGAATGCGAATGTTGAACGAGAACAAAATGGATGGTGTAAACGGTAATATCCAATAGAAGTCGATATAAGTAATCAATACTGAGAGACACACAGGAGTCACGCAATGTCCCATTGCAGAAAATGAAACTTTCGAGTACCGCTTTAAACTACGGCAATACGGTCATACCTGGTATCACTCCCATTATTCTTCTCAGTACACTGACGGTGTTGCCGCACCTCTTCTCATTCACGGGCCGCACACCAGTGAATGGAATGTCGAATGGTCGCCTATCATCATTGCGGACTGGTATCATGATACTTCTTACAAACTTCTTCCGACAGCTCTGGCTCGGCCAATTCAGATCGACTCTATTCTCGTCAATGGTACTGGACGATACAATATCAACAATACTGGAAACTACTATGAGCGATCGTTCGAGCCTGGCGCTAAGCATCTGATTCGCCTCATCAACGGCGGTACAGACTTCCACTTCCACTTCTCCATCGACAACCATGTGCTCAAAGTTGTTTCCGCCGATCTTGTTCCAATTGAACCTTTCTGGACGAACAGTCTCTCGGTTGGTATCGGGCAACGCTACAGTGTTATTGTCGAAGCCAACCAGACGGTTGCCGAGAACGGAGCATACTGGATGCGAGCAGAATACACCAATCAATTCGGCTGCAACGCACTATCTCATGACGCCTTTCCTGTCAACGACCCAGACTCACAGCGTGTTGGTATTATCAGATACGGATCTAGTTCTACTGGTCTACCTACCACTTCGCGATGGACCGACCCCATCGGCTGCACTGACCCCGAATATGATCCTCATGTCAAGTGGAACGTGACGCAGCCACAAAACAACTTGGTCACAAACACGTACTTTGCTGGCCTTGGCGAAGTCGCCCATGGATTCTTGCGCTGGGAGGTAGCAGACAAGCCTCTGTGGTTGAACTTCTCCGAGCCGACGCTGAAGAACCTTGACAACACTACATGGAACCCCGAATACGATATACAGCCTGGTGAGTAGAATTCAGAGCACCCTATTAACGCCTCAGCTAACCACTCATATTACAGCGGACTACGCCAACACGGAAGGCTTCGCGTATCTGATCATCAACTCCAGAGGTACAGCTGTAAACGTACGTCGAATTTATACCCATATATTGAAACCCTGCTGACAATCTTTTTAGGGGACTCACCCCATTCATTTACATGGTCACGACTTTGCCATTCTCTCTTCAGGCGCCGACTATATCGATCCCGAAAACCCTCCGCAGTTCAACCTAGACAACCCACGTCGACGAGATGTTGCTATGCTTCCTGACGGGGGACATCTTGTAATTGCGTTCAAGACAGATAATCCGGGAGCATGGCTTCTTCATTGCCATATCGCCTGGCACGCGGCATCAGGTATGTGTCATCCAGTCATTATTCACCAGATCTCGTTATGCTAATTAAGCGGAATTACAGGTCTCGCTCTCCAGATTCTGGAGAACCAGGACAAGATTGTCGACGCGATTGGTTCACTGGATGCAATGAACCAAGGCTGTCAGAAATGGGATGATTGGCTGATTGCGCATCCCGATCGCTTTAACTACGGCATGCAAGAGGATTCTGGCATCTAGTTATCTGCTCTCTTATCTCCTCTCCTTACCCTTTCTTCTTCTTATGTTGATATTCGATTGATTTCTCTAAGTTTTTTTTCTTTTTTCTTTGGGAACAACAAGACGCGCCACAATTTGGTCAATTCCACTTTTCTTTGTCAATCAGAATGGAGTAGAAGAGATAGAAGGTAGAAATTATTCTGCCAGTAGCCTCAGAGGCTTACACAATAGGGATTCACTTTGTCAGAAGTAACTTTCTATAGTACATATACATATTCAATCAGAAGTTGTTGATAGTCTTGAATATCTACAAATCTGTTCCAGCAATTGGTGAAAAGCGGTATCCGTCACTCCGAGAGGGGTAAAAGAGTGTGAAGATACGATTTTCCAAGTATTTGTGCCGCAAACAATATTATACGGTGAAACATGTAGAATCTCGACCAATGATACGAGTGATTTGTGAAGAGGCGGAAACGTGGACATGGCACTAAACAGTGGGACACCATCGAAATTTTTACAAATGGTATTTATAATCTAATAGCTTCTGCAAACTTCCGGTAGCCAGAACTTCAAGTTTTCTCCAAACATTTACGTTCTACTCGCATGTGCTTCAAACAGCAGCACGAAATTAACATGTATGCGCACTTGACTCATGAAGCCAACATGTAGAACTCGTATGAACGGCGACATACAATTGATATACTAAATTATGTTTCAAAGACCTCTCTATGCGAAGCGGCAGGACCCAGGAATAAGCACGAGGTCACAAAGTGCTTATGTCCTTCAAATTATTCATGTGTCAATGAGAATCAGAATGAATTCTAACGGCTTTCTACTCATCAGTTCTATGCAGCCAATAGGCGTACATTGAAGTAAAATAGACAATAAAATATCGAAGCTCAGCGAAATGTGATGCACTCCCAAGAAGGACTAATAAAGCTATGAAAAGCAGATCCGAGTATATGAAACCAGAGACAATGGCAAAGAAGTGGCTCATGATTGCATGCGGGATATAGAGCACCACATTCTGTGTCTAAATCCATCGTTGTCATCCTTCTCGAACTTTGTACTTCCCGTATACAAACTCTCTCGGTCAGTTTTCCGGATTCGGGATCGGGCCAGTCACAATGACTCTTATCATTGGACGCCTTACAACCATTGCCGTGCGAGATACTTATCCTGTGGCGTTCTAGTGTATTTCTCTTGAATCATCGTGCATAGTGAGCATTCGATTTATGACGTGTTCTTCTACAGTCAATCCCGGTTTAACGAATGATAAGGTTCGAGGTTTGTAGAGAATGACGAACGAAAATTCTCCAATATCGTGAGAGGAAGTTTTCGAAAAGCATGAAGTATTTGCCTTGACACATTTCGAGACTAGATTCAAGAACTTCGTTAGCGAATGGAGGGTCCAATCTATAGGGGTCATAATTACGACGTCATTGATATCATTAGTGCTGTAAGCGCAAAAAGGATTTTAGAAGCGCAACCTTCTAGTTTGCCGGAAGTGGAACTTCAATCAATGGATTGATACGGGGACGACTTGTAAATTCATTCGTGGGATTGGTCTGGTTTTAGTCGGCAGAATCATCGTATTTTGATACGGCACAGTGAAATTTGGCACTGGTAAGTTGGCATTTTCTAGTCGAATAATTGTTGATGTTATGGCTAGTAGTCTACTGTAAACGTTGTGTGCAAAAGAAAAAGATACCAATTTTCTTTGTCTAAAATTTCTATCGGACAGCTGCGTTGTATGAAGTGGCAAGTGGCAACGGGTGAACGTGATAATTAACTGTCTGTTCAACTTGTGTCACAGCCAAAGCATGGAACCCACTAGCGCGGTGGGTCTGAATAGTTGAGGCTGTACCAAGATCAATGTAGCTTTTCCAAAGCAGTCTAGTATGTTTGTATACTGCTACACTGTTTGTTGTAGAAAATCTCCATGACCTAAGCATAGATTGAAAGATCGCAGGAAGCGAACATAATGCGTTAATGCTGAAGGGTATATGAACAAAAGAATAATCTCAGATCTCCCCACAGCCATTGCTAAAACCCCCCGTCCCCAGTAGCATGTCCCCCAAATCCAAGCTTTTTCTACGAATCGGTGACCCGCACCTCTCGCGTCATAGTGATACCAGGCTCGTTGATATGAAGAGGCTGTATACTCTCGTCGCTTATTTTGGCACTTTCTATATCCCACGGATCTTTAGGTCTTTGACCCTGCCTTTTTGTGGTAACATGAACTTCGTAAGGACTCTCGCCGTTCGTAGGACTTCCGGTTGTAGTTGGGAAGCTACGAAGCGCGATACTCCTTCGGCTGGAATCCCCAGGCATGTCCTGATAGCCCAGAGATATAGGACCTTTGTAACCTTTGGCCGCCCTCGATCGTCCCCCTGATGTTATTGCCCGTGCTGTTTGTAGGAACCAATTGAAAAGCGGTTTCAGAGAAGGAAGAGAGCCGGCGATGATACCGATGGTGAGTTCCACATAGTTCCAGACATTAAAGGAATCGTGGACGGACCAATCCGGATCCTCGAAGACCGTCCACTGCTGGACGGCTTTGACTATCGCGGCACCACAAGCAAACCATCCAAGTGAGAGAATGCCGATAAGTGATATCTTGGTACGTGTGTTGAGTTGTAGTTTCCAGATAAGGGGAACCGGTAATGTTGCGAAGAGTACGTCGGTGACGATGTTGAACGCTTGGAGTTGTTAGTTGTGCCCTGTAGGTACGTATTAAGTGTGTACTCACCACTGTTCATAAGACCCAAATTCCGGAAAATGATCTGGTTGTAGCATTTTGCTGTTCCCGTTGGCGGGCGAAGGCTGAAGTCCCATGCTGCCTGGACGGGAAGACATTGAAAGATCAATGTACCGGCGCAAGCGAGGGTCATGATGACCATGAACCCAATCACTCCATACAAGAATACCGTGTACGACTTTCTGGGCGAGAGTCGGATGAGACTCAAAGCTATCGAGACCTTCACAGCAGAGACGCCGACCATGATGACGAGAGAATGGAAGTATTGGATCTTTGTAAAAGCCGTGTGATCCTCCTCAGTCATTGCCAATGCGTGCTTTCCGAGGCCATTCTGTGTTTCGAGGACAAAGCACACAAATGTACCGGTTGCGCAGATCTATTCCACAAAGTCAGCAATTGTAAAGTCAGCATCATGGGTCTTCGGCATACCATTGCAAAAATCATGACGAAGTCGTCTGCCCCGATGATACGTAGCATGGTAGCTCGCACATAGCAGCGAAGCAAGACTATCAGTAGGGCCAATGTGAAGAAAGACCCCGTGATGCCCAGTATTTCAGGAGCGTTTGTATACGCCAAATATTCCGGGGTGGGAGGAGGCCCAGGAGGCCCATCAGACTGCCTTTTCTCCATACTGTTTGCAACTGCTACCAAGATTTCGCTGTCCCTGGGGAAACATTGGTAGGTGAGACGGGATCAAATGCACCAGGATGCGCGTACGCAACACTTATAGATGTCTCACTTCTATGGAAACCTGATGATACACCTGGGCCTTAGGGCTGGCAGATTTCCAGGCTGTAGGCATGAATGCAACAGGGGGCCGTACAAAAAGCGGAGATGGGCTGTAAGGGTTTGTTCGTAGGACCGAACGTGCCGAGTCAGTGACGGGAAGCTCCTTGCAGTGTGTCGTATATACACATCGTGTCGATCACGAGAACTAGACTCATTTAGTCCCCATGGTCTGACGTTGCACGGTCACTGTAATTCTGTTCATGATTTGATTAACGAGTTTTGTCATTGTTCCTGTACCACCGGAATATATTGTTCGAGATGTGAGTTTGATGGTCCATCCACTTACGTATTGCTTTCGTCTCTGTTGCGTTTCGAAGAATGCCAGCTCAAAGCCTTCCGCATTGCGATGCTGCCGGCTTCAAGTGACATGGTAGTGTCGGCTGCAAGTGCTAGGCTATCCGCTTCGCCTCGATCATCCGCAATGTAGTGCAGCAACTAACTTTTAGACGCCAGAATAGAGTTTGTCCAGGGGGGGCTAGCACAGGTAGGGGGCTGAAACGCATCAATTAGGCAAACGATACCTAGAGGAACGGCCGATGCTACCTGGTTGTAGCGGAGAACCTCACTCACATATACTACCTACGTAGTTCAAATGTAAAAGCTCTACTGTATGTAGAAATTGATAACATTTAGTTCGTTGCTGATGCTGTGCGGGTATTCGATCTAGTAACAACATCTATTCGAATCCTGGGGCGCGAAGGAACACAATTATAGTCTCGTATTGACGAAATCGGTGCAGCCGACTACGTAATAAGTGTGCATTAATACACGGCTCAGCAACAGGATTTATCATCAACGGTCATTCGCCAGACAATTAGTGGGCGATGGACGATGGAAGACTTCCGTACCTCACTACCTTGTCGAACAACAGTTGATGCACGCGCAATCGTGCAGGCTGCACTCCCTTGTCTTAATTCTGCATTTATTGCAAGAATCTTGGGTGCACCGTCCTATGGAATAAAATTTTCTCTTTGGATAGTCCCCAGATTCTATTGGTTGGCGCTATACGTGGTGCTTTCGGTCGTTCCATCAAGGCCACCCATATCTTCCTTGTACAGTAGTAGTACTATCTCGATATGCATTAGCTTCCCAAATTTATTTCCAGTACACCGCGGTGATTTGGTTCTAATAATCGAATACACTAGAAGACAAGATCAATCATTTATTCAAGCTCGATATCGATACTGATTGAATGCTGTTTACTGGATGGTATTCCATTTAAATCGGTGACAGTGGGCCCTTATACTATTTCAGAGCTCACAACTATCCTGACTCTTTTTTCGCGGCATCGTTCCCGAGAATAGTGCTCTTCTATAACTCCAATAGACGCTCCAGCAGATCTGCCGAATTAGTACCCGAACCTGTTCAGGGAGATCTGAATGTATGAACCCCACGATCTTTCAACTACTACTGTTCAATTGTCATGATGACGACGGAAGGGTTCCACGCAGGTCTTTACATCTGCATCTCTTAATTGTTTACGCTGAGCCTCCACTTGAGGGCCATTCATGTCCTGTTCAGCAACCATCTTCGGCGATACTCGACTGTAATTTCACCAATCCTTACTGTTGAACGACCCTCAATATTCGAGTGCACAGTATAATGCACATCATTGGAGTGCCCTACAGGGAACGACCCTATTTTGCCTCTAATTGTGCCACGATAGATCGTGGATTGCACTGTATGATTGGTTTGGCACGGCGGAGTTGTACCTGATTAGACCGACCCACGGTGGCATATCAAGTGGAAACCCCATGGAATGCCGAGGCCTGGGGCGAAAATATCGAACACAGTACCCTCAATCTTACTCCATCATCTCTCACAAGTGCCGGATGGAAGTTCGGGATGTGTGGGTAGTCTAGTATAGGGCCCCGCCTAGAAAAATAAGCTACTGATTTTCTTCAGGGAGTAGCCCTACCCTAGTGCTTTCGTTAATTCCATCTCCACCCATCATCTCTCAATACGAGCACCTCTTGTGGGGAGTTTGTGGTCTCGAATTCTGTCAGTCTGCTCGCCTTCGGCCCCTCCAAATCCACTATGAATCGCAAGACCGGCATCCCATCCGATGCTTCAAACGAACGCTGTTCCATCTTGTCTTTGACATAAACGCCGCTGGCTCTAAAACAGGAGTTGACGTGTAGAATGCGATGATCACAATGGAGCAAGAGTTGCCAGCTCAAGTGTTGAGTCTATACAAACCTTTCAATGAACGACAACAATTTGCCTCAAAGAATGGATGAGGTTGTTGTAGATTATATGTTCGAGAAATTGTCCGCTACAGTTCCCGTTCCCGTGTGCCATGAGTGGGGGGTGGGTACACAAGCCCTGAACCAATTTTCACCAGGCGCAGTTCGTTTTGTATAAAGTCCTGATATTCCCGATGTCCTGTCGTAAGTCTTAGCATTCCTGCAGTAGCTCTTTCAACCTCGCCCTACACCTGAGGCATACTACTGGCACGCTACCACTTTCCATCTCTTGTCTTCATCTCCGCCCCCCGCATCGACAGTTCCTGTCCATCGAATACCTCAGATTATTTATATATTCGAAGTTTAAACTTTACACTTTCACTAGTGACAAAGAGAAGATCGATTCTTCTCCACCTCTACAGCAATGAAGGCATCAATTGTGGCGGCCGCTGCGTTGCTTAGCAGCGTTGGAGCCGCTCCGCCGCCTCCTCATCCTCCTCCACCACCACCACCGGTACTGTCACTACGACTACCAACGCCATCGCAACCCGGTCCACTGGCATCCGGGCCACCGCAAGCAGAATCCCAGCTTGGAACGGATGAGCTAGCGGACGTTGGACTGCGCAACTTGAGGTTGTTCCTGGATGCCCAGCGTGTGAACACGAAAAATGTAGGACCACCTGGCCCAAAGGATGCAAAGAAGTGCACTTTGGAAAATGCCGCAGTGCGACGAGAATGGTAAGTAACAATCACTCTACCTATGTGTAGATGTAAAGTTTTTCCATGCCACAGTGTTGACTCACTATTGATAGGTCAGCTCTATCTGAAAAGGAGAAGAAGGAGTACATTGCTGCCGTGCAGTGTCTGGCTGAGAAGCCATCAAAGACACCATCGGAGCTCGCACCCGGTGCGAAGTCAAGGTATGATGACTTTGTGGCAACACACATCAACCAAACCTTGAGCATCCATGGAACAGTGAGTGCCTTCTCAATCATCTTGTATGTTACTTTACTAACTTAGTAGGGCAACTTTCTCACCTGGCACCGATACTTCACGTGGGCTTATGAACAAGCACTAAGGAATGAGTGCGGCTACAAAGTAAGAAAATCCCTACTGCACTTGGTCAAGGGTACTGTCTAACCCCCAATCTCCTCAGGGCTACCAACCGTACTACAACTGGCCAAAATGGGCCGAAGACCCTAGAAAATCGCCTCTCTTTGACGGCAGCGACACTAGCATCTCCGGTGATGGAGAGTTCATCGCCGGCCGCAACAACACATGCATTCCCTCGCCCGACGCCTGCGGCATCAGCCTGCCTCCCGGTAACGGCGGAGGATGCTTGAAATCTGGCCCCTTCAAGGAGTACGTCGATCTCAACCCTATCATCCAACCCACAATGAACTAACCAATCTTCTTTTACAGCTTCAAGGTAAACCTGGGTCCTGTAGTTCCCGTGTCTGCCAACATCCCACCAAACCCCCAACCAGATGGGTTGGGCTACAATCCAAGGTGTCTCAGCAGGGACATCTCGCTCAACGCCTCCCAAGGCTGGACCCGCGATTCCTCCGTAGTGCACCTCCTCAAAGAAAACCCCGTCTACCTAGACTTCGCAACCAACATGCAAGGTAACTTCCCTGAAGGCTTCCTGGGTGTCCACACGGGTGGTCATTTCACGATCGGTGCGGATCCCGGAGGTGATTTGTTTGCGTCGCCCGGCGATCCTGCGTTTTACTTCCATCATGCTATGATTGATCGGTCGTACTGGACGTGGCAGAACTTGGATGTGGAGAATAGGATGTTTGCGCTTGGGGGTACGCTCACTGTAGGTAACAACCCGCCGAGTCGGAATACGACGTTAGATGATGTCTTGAATTTGGGGTTTGTGGGTGTGCCGGAGGTTCAGATCAGGGATGCGGTTGATACACTTGCGGGTCCGTTCTGCTACGTGTATGCTTAGTTGAATGAAGTAGTGGACTTTAGGAACGTAATAGTGTGATAGAATAAATTATAATTCGGAGTAGAGCCATAAGTTGAGTAGTCCATAGGAATCCATGTGAATCCCATTGGCAAGAAACCCAAAGAAGTGTAACAATGGAATCTCAGGAATTACAGATCGAAAAGGCTTTCGCCAGTGCATTCGCTTCAATGCAATGGCCATTATCCTGATTTGACGGCGAAGATCTTGTAAGATGCTAGGTGGAGTAGTGTCAGCCATAGACTCTCTTTGCGTACTCAAGTAGATATTGAACAGTATAACTTACCCGCCCACTCGTTCAAATCCACATTCCTGAAACTTGTCTTTACATCCTGCACCACACCTCCATCTACCTTGCTCGACCCACAGCAACCCGTAGCTGAGACTTTCTTCTCAGTTTCAGAAGATTTACAACACGCAGAACCCACATCCTTTGTTTTGTCTTCCACAGGTCCGCAGCAAACACTCCCAACATTCTCTCCATCCTCAGTCTGCGTATACACATTTAGATCCGTCTCCGCATCAACCACCATCACATCTTTGAATCCCGCCTGACCCAGCCAGGTCTCGTACTCTTCTTTCTTACTAGCTCCCGCAATACAACCCACATACAGCGCAACATCATTTTTCATCTGCTCCGGTAAATCCTTCTTCAGCAAGATATCCGAAATTGCCAACCGTCCCCCCACCTTCAACAATCGATACATCTCTCTAAAGACACCGCCCTTCTCATCATGCGGAACAAGATTGATGACGCAGTTTGAAATCACGGTATCCACCGTTCCTGAAGAGAGATTGATATCCGTGATCCGCGAGTGAAGGAAGGACACATTTTCTATGTGCGCTTTAGTGGCGTTCCGCCGCGCTTTGTCGAGCATATCGTCGTTCATGTCGACACCAATGACGCGACCCGTCTCGCCGACTTTTCTCGCAGCGAGAAAGCAGTCGAAGCCGGCGCCGCTGCCGAGATCGACCACGGTCTCGCCGGGTTGGAGGTTTGCGAGTGCGAGGGGGTTTCCGCAGCTGAGACCGAGATTGGAATCTGCTGGGATGGAGGCGAGCTTGCATTTGTCAGTCGTGTTTTCTTCTACTTTTGATGAGATTTCGGGAAGGGATTGTATGCAGACTTGACGTGTATCTTGTTTGACATACTTCTTCTGCGCTGTAGCCAAAGGCCTGCGCGACGGCATTGCCATAGGCGGGCTGAGAGGGCGCGAGAGCGGTGGCGGTATAGCGATCTTTGACGTTCTGATAGATGGCGGTTTGATCTCGTGCAGAAGACATCTTGTTATTCAGGTATAGTTTGATCACAAGTCTTCGATGTTGTATAGGGCCTGGTCGAATGCATTCAATAGATGGTGGGTGAGTGATGCAAGAGTAACGAATAGAGGTACTGATATATCACGACGCCCTCAACTCGATATGTCACCGCCCAAGAAACCAACCTGCTTACCGCCAGAATACCACAGCGATCTTCCATCCAATAATACATCCTCCTCGCCTCAATCAAGACCTTGGCCTGCTGTACCTCGCCACACATAACCCTATGTCCAATTCCGAAGTTCCGAGAACGATTCCGAGCCCCACCAAAACACGTTCAACCAATCAGATCACTGCGTCGTCGATATGTCACTGACACATGACTCGTTTCCCATTCTCTCACACTGAACGTCGCATACCCTCCCCAAGTGGGAACAGAAAGCTTAATCTTGCTTCTACCACTTCTCAAACTCTTGTTTCCTCAATTCCCTCAAAATATTTTGCTTTTGCATCATATCTTGGAGTGACCCCAGGTGGGAATAGCAATCGACACGACAGAAAAGCGAATTCCATCTTTGCAGCTCGACAGAGGCACCTCAATTGGGTGTCTAACCTCATCAACCTTATACGACGACCTCTTACTGAATCGAACTACCCCATTCACCGTTCCAGCTCTCTTTCTTCCCCAAGGACTCCCATCCCTCGGAGAAGGCCAGCAAAAGAAAAGAAAAATCCATCATGCCCTCACGCTCAACAATCACAATCGCGCCCTTCCCCCAGCCCTCCCACGCCCTCCCTTCCCCAACAACATCAGTCTCCTCCTCGACCTCCATAAACTCCAGCTCCACATCGACCTCCACATCCTCAAACCCCCGTCACCCAGGCCCAACGAAACCAACAAAATCCCCCCGCGGCAAACCCCGCGTCACCGCCGAACACACCCTAACCCGTGTCCGCGAGAACCAGCGACGCCACCGCGCCCGCCGCCGCGATTACATTGCAACGCTCGAGGAAAAGCTCGCCGACGCAGAAGAGAAACTCGCTTCTGCGCTCCGGGAAATCGAGGCGCTGAAGCGGGAGAGAGAGGAGTGTGTGGTGGGAGGAGGAGGAGGAGGAGGAGAAGCAGGAGGTGTGGGGAGCAGTAGGGCGATATTCTGCGATCACGAAGATGTTGACGGGGAGAGTAGCAGTGGGGCGGTGCAGATGCGATATCAGCAGCAGCAGCAGCATGAAGATGAAGGAACGAGGGTGGAGCAAGATGATGTTGAGATGCTGGATAGTGGGAGGGGAGGTGTTGATTCTCCGTCCTCTACTGCTTCTACTCCTATTACTACTACGGAAGAGGAGAAATCATCGCCTACCACACACATCTCGCCATCATACACGCCCTACACCCACCCCCTCCCACCACCCGGCCCACCACCCTGCTGCTCAGACCTCGACGTCCTCGCCCTCCCTATCCCTACATCCCCTTCCCTCTCCCCACAACCCCCAACAATTCCCTCCCCCACGCCATCTCCATCTCCATCCCCAGAATGCACAACATGCCATACCCGCCCGCCCCCTCTCCCCACAGAATCCACAACCCTCTGCGCCCAAGCCTTCCACCTGATCCAGCAGCAGAACTTCAGGGGCATCGATGCAGCCACGATTCGGCTGTGGCTGTATCGTGGGTATCGGAGGGCGCAGAGGGATGGGGAAGGGTGTCGCGTCGAGAATGGCGCCTTGTTTCGGTTGTTGGATTTTATTAGTGGCGTCTGAGAGAGTGGTGGTGACGATGTAAGGAGGATTTTGTTGGAGAGGAGAAGAATTAAAAAATGCTCCAGTTTTTGTTTTTTTTGTTGCGTATATACCTGTCTGCTTTTTTTTTATTGAGAAGGGGAGGGGGGATTGGCTAGTTTTTCTGGGGGTTGGATGGCAAGGCAGTCAATGAGATGGGAGTTGGGGAGAGTAATTGTTCTCATTTACTATGGTTCGTTCGAAATGTCGAAGCAATCTGTCGTACACATTCATCTGAAGGAGATTCTAGGAAAGGTAGCATGGGTCACTATAAGAACGGCAAAACAACCGTGGCGTGAAGAATTTGGTCAATTCCATTTTTTTGGTTCTTTTCACTATCTGTATGTTCAGATGAGAAAAAAAGGCTCGATCCCCATTACCTACACACGCTATGCAGTATATATACGCCTGTAATCCATACCGAGAAGGAAAAGAAAACTGAAGTCATCGGATCATGATTTCGGAACACGTGCATCGAAAATAGTTCATAGCCACCGTATTCTATCGAAGCAAACCTCTCTGTTGCTTCGTGTCACTATCGTTTGGCTGGCTTGTTTATCGTCCCATGCGGATTACACCCGCGGCCACCAACTTCTGGATCTTAGCTCGGATACCAGGGTTCTTGAGATGCTCCTGGAGCGCAGCAGGATCATCCTTGGCCTGTTGCAGGATGCTTTGCATGATGGGGTCTTGAAGGATAGCAACGATCTGTGGTCTGATTAGGGTTTGCTCCACACGCATGCATCAGTGGATTGAAACTTACGTCAGGGTCCCTCTGGATACGCTCCATGGTCTGCTCCTCCGTCTCGCCCTCACGTGCAGAGTACTGCGCTTGCATGGCCTTTTGCTCCTGCTCTCGGATCTCGCGGGTGTTCTTGCCCCCCTCATCCGCGGCCATGGCTTCCGTGCATACGTCGATACACTTGTTGTATTCCCGCATAGCGAAGTAAGCCTGTGCCTTGCGCAAGTAGGCTCGAACAAACTTGGGATCGCGCTTGATAGCTTCATCGCAGTCCGTCAGAGCCGAGGGGAATGAAAGAAGTTTGATGAAGCAGGCAGCTCGGTTGGAATATCCACGGGCATCTTCTGGTGCACGCTTGATCATCTCAGAGTAGGCCTCCACGGCTGCGGGCCAGTCGGCTTCCTTGAATTTGGCGTTTCCAAGAGCGCGCGCCTCTTCGGCCTTCTCCGGGTCGATGTAAGCGTTCTTCTCCGCCACAATCTTCGCCTTCTCTGCAGCGCGAAGCTTAGCGAGAACCTCGGGTGTCCGGTGCTCTGTCTGTGCTTTTTGGTAGAAGAGAACGGCATTGGTCAAATCGCCCTGCTTCTCATAGGCAGTTCCAATGCGGGCGAAAGCCTTTGCGATGATTTTGAAGTCGGCCAAAATCTCACGACCGTACTCAACAGCTTGTTGACAAGCCTCGATACACCCGGGGTAGTCGCCCTTCTCGAACTTGGCTGCACCAAGGTTGGTGAGGTATGTAATGTCCTTGTGGGTCTCCCAGGCCTTGTTGTAGTGTTCAATAGCCTGGTCGAACTGGCGCTTCTTGTAGAACTCGGTGCCCTTCTTCTTTTCCTCGTCCGCTTTGGCTTTGGCTTCCTTTGCCGCTTTCTCTTCTTCAGTCTCCTCAACTGGCTCCGGCTCGGGCTCCTTCTTAGGCTCTTCTCTCGGTGCTGGCTTTGCGTCAGGCATCTCGACATCCTCCTCGGCCTCGGTGGCAGCACCGGCTTGCTGAGCACCCTCGGGTGGTTGGCCGAACTGCATATCGATTCCTAGCAGTACGCTCATCACCTGCAAGAACCTAGGGTCTTGCATTGCCATTCCCACATCGTTGGGGTTTTGTTGCAATTGCTGGAGCTTGCGCATGAATTCGGCATCTCCAAGCAAGCCTGCGGTCTTGGGGTTTGCAGCGAGCTTCTGCATCATCTGGGGGTCGTTGAAAATGCCACCGAGGCCGCCCGCAGGGTTACCGCCCACTCCATCGGCTTGTGCTTCGGACTGAACAGCACGCTTGACGGCGTCGAGACCGGATTTCGCTTGTGCGTTGTTCGCGTCGAGTTTGAGGGCCTCCTCGAAGGCTTCGGTTGCTCCGACTAACATCGGTCAGCATATGACCAAAGGTGAGATACCCAGGATACGTACCAAGATCACGTACTCCGTGAAGAGCAGTTCCCTTTCTACCCCAGCCTTTGGACCAGTCAGGCTTGATTTCCACCACTTTGTTTGCGTCCTCAAGGGCTTTGGGGTAATCTTTTAGCGAAGCGTAGGCGCCGGAGCGGTTGGAGTAGAGGACATGATTTGAGGGATCAAGCTCGATGGCTTGTGAGAACTTCTCGCTGGCACAAAGTCAGGACTTGATCATGTGGACCAAAGCTGAGGCGGCACGACTTACATAGACTCCTCAAACTTCTTCGCGGCGAAGAGCTTGTTGCCTTCGGCTTTCAGGGCGTCAGCCATGGCGATTGGAAATGTAGAGTTGTGGAAGCGGGTATCAAAGAATTCAATAACAAGAAATGGTCGTTTGTGAACGCGAAGGAAGGAGAGGTGGTGGAGTAGGTGAAATAAATCTAGAGCACGCAGGCTTCTGGATGTTTCTACAGGCGGAGCTATGAGCGAAGCCCCGCTAACGACCAAATGAGGCTAAGCTCAGCACCAGCGGACTAGGGCTCAAGGGCTACAGGGCGTTCTTCCATCTAGTAGTTAATGCAATCATTTGTACATCAAGTTGGGACGACTGAATTGAGGTAAGTTTCCCACAAACTACAGGACAATCGGAGAGCATACCCATCCTTGAATTGCGCCCTCATACATAACGCGCGCTATTGGTTTCCTGAGCCCCATAAAGTTTTTGGACTTAGGCTTCAAGCTACCCCTCCAAAAGAAAAAAGACGAACACCTAAATTTGACCAACCGTTATGCCGCGGGAAATACCAGAAGGTGTGGATGTCGAAGAGTATTTGAATGCAGTGAAAAGAGAAGCAGAGAGTATCAGAAAAGCCGACAAGATCACTGTTCGGAATCTCCAAGTAACTGCAAATGCCGGGGTCGACGTATGGGGACGACAGAAGAAACAACGCGCTCTGGTCACTGCAACAGTTGCTCTGGCGAAATTTTTCGACACAGCAGCCCAGGCAGATTCGCTGGATGACAGCACCATCCATTATGGAATTTTGAGCAAAGACTTACAGAAGGCCGTGGCTGACAAGGAGTCGGCATGGATGACTACGTTCGATTTCTCGAGTCATCTCATAAACCAAGTCAACTCCACAGCCGGCCCAACCTCTCTTCTTTCACTAGAGGTCGACGTCTTTTATCCGAAAGGAAGCATGTTTGGGGATGGGGTTGGGTACAAGCAGACCACGACTCAGTACCAAGACGGAGTCGAGGAGCTCTATCTGCGTAATTTGAGAGTTCCCTGCATCATCGGGGTCAACTCGAACGAACGGCTCCAGAAACAACCGGTGGTGGTTAATGTTTGGATCGAGAAGGTGGCTAGGGAGCGAATCGATGATTACCCCAAACTAGAGACGGCCGTAGTCAACGTATGCACCCATTGTGCGCTTGCAAAGAAGAACCAAGCTAATGTGAGCAGATCATCGCAAGCTCTTCATTCGAGACACTGGAATCCCTTTCCACCGTGGTGGTGGATGAGCTGCGGAAAAACTACTTTACAGCAGCCGACGAGGGGTCTAGTATCAGGCTTCGGGTAGAAAAGCCACTCGCAGTGCCATTTGCCGATGCGCCGGCCATTGAGATATTACGAGGCGTGGGACGATAATTGAAGGCGGCCAGGGAATTCAACATTGCTCTCGTGTTCGATTGATTGCGAAAAAGGAGGGACGCGCGGTGGAGATGATGGGAGATGAAGGGCAGCTGAGTGACGGGGTCTAGCGCGTGCCAGGTCCATCGGGATGGATGGCTGCATATTGTTCCTGAATGCGTTGAGAGCCGCAGCCATGGTTACCAGGCACGAAAACACAATGGTTGACGCGCATCGAGGTGGGTTGCCAATGTAATAGCAGAGAATGGAGAACGTAAGCTGTCAAGCTATCCGCTTCTGGCATGATTCCACCCCCACGTGAAGCTACGCGGGATGGTGGATAAGTGTGGCGCACCTGAGTCCGACATTTTCGTTTATTTTTTATTTTTTTATTTTCCCCCCCTTTCCTGCCCGTCCCTCCCTCTCCATCTCATGTTCCGACATGCTACCATGGAATCCGGAAAGCCCTGTACTGCTGGCACACACGCTTTATCTCTAGGATCGATCCCAGGATGTTGAGGCGAGCAGGGAAAAAATTCATGATGCGACTCACAGCCAATGGACGGATATGTTGAGCAGGCCTAAGAGGCCAGAGCGGCGCAGAGCTGGCAATAGGAGGCTGCAAAACACGATAGAGGCAATGGAGAGGCGCATCGACGACCACCTAGAATACTGACCGCTCCCTAATCCTTGTTTGCGGGTTGCCGTTCCGAGCTAGGTGGGGAGGGATGTGGTGCGGAGGCGTCTCAGTGTTAGACACAATCGAGGGAGCTATGACCCCCAACAACAAATTGTGCATTCAGCATAGCAACGCTCTTTTTTTTTCTCCCCCTTCTCTACGGTCCCGTGGGGGGGCGAAGAATTGCCACAATTGATGTGAGCTGGATGTTGCTAAAGATTTCTTGTACAAGCGTTGCTAATACTTGTTGCTAGTGGTCTGGTACTACTATCAATGCGGTACTGCAACATGTTGATGATGGAGGGGCACTCGGTGATGATCGGGGAGAGGGGGGAAGGCTAAGAGGGGTATGGATTGACAGTTGCATCAGGCAGAAAGCTCAACGTTGACCGTCACTCGATGATAGGGGGAGCGGATGTTGCATCAAGATGCATCGAACTGTATTGAACAAAGAGCATGGGCAATGCGTGTGGGTGGGTGGACGTGAGGTACAACAACAGATGATGGAGTGGTACATGCATACATGGTGGGTACGTACATACATACATGTGTATATAAATATATGTACATGACCAGCAGCCACCACGGTCTTGGTCTGATTCTCAAAAAGAACCATTTGAAAATATCCTCACGTTGCATCTCTGTACAATACATAGCCTCGCATCTGTTCATTTCTTCTTCCTCTTCGCCGTCGTCGACGACAACACCTGGCGATACTGTCCATCTTTCGCTTCTTCCCCCCTAATCCGAACCACCTCTTATCCAGCCAGTCCTGTTCCCTCTGCATTGATCCATCTCTGCACACCGCTAGCCACCCGCCGTCCTGTCCACTCTATTGCTGGGTCACCGCACGTTCTCGCCTGCTTGTTGCCCCACGTCGACTCCTAAAAGCTTGGCGTCGCCCGCCGCTAGCTATACAAGTACCCGCCGCCGTCCTCTCACCTACCGCTCTCTCCCTCACCCTCGCTCCTCTACAACTCTCCGCCTTCTCCCCTCCTTTTCCTTCTCCCGATCCTTCTCATATACCCACCTTCAACATGGCTTCTCGCGCCATTCCCTCGCACTTGAAGCCCACTGCGGGCGGCAATGGCGATGCCCCGCGTCATCACGGCAAGTCTCAATCGCACATGGTAAGTAGAGCTGCCAATCTCCCCCTCCCCTATCGGCCAATGACCTGCCACGGTCCTTTTCCTCTGTTTTTGCTCCTTGTTTTTCCTTTCCCCTTTTATCTTATCGTAGCAGGAGGTATGTTTTGATCGCAAGATCCTGCTTTGATGTTGTCCAATGCAATGGACCTTTCCTTCCTGTAACCGCCACGAGCGAAGAAGGCGACGTCGACATGGGCTGTCTGTTCCCCGCCCTCACCGCTAGAGCATCCCCGTCTTGTACACACCCGCCCGCTCTACCAGGGGAGCTTTTCTACGACTTTCATTCCGTCCACTCTACCGCAGCTGCAACTGCAACATGGTTATCATGACGCCCCCAATACGCCAACCGCGCCCACCGGGCGCCAACAATTTCGGCAGAACTAACACAGATATCATGCAGGCCTTCGAGAACACCTCGACCAACGTTGCAGCTTCGCAGATGCGCAATGCCCTCAACAAGCTCTCCGATACGGTCACCGATCCGGAGGAGAAGAAGGTACGTGACTTTTGTTTACTCATTCACCCACTCGGGGTCAATCTGCCGGTTGGGATGGAGCTCACCAAACGCAACGCTGCTATGTGCTGCATTTGTGTAGCTTCTTCGCAACCAGCGGCGGACATGACAACACTTCAAAAGTCTCTGGAACTGACCATGGACAGCGTTTCGAAACCGAGATGGACAACTTCTTCGCCCTCTTCCGACGCTACCTCAACGACAAGGCCAAGGGCAACGCCATCGACTGGAACCGCATTGCTCCCCCCAAAGCTGAGCAGGTTGTCAACTACGATGACTTGGCCAACACCGAGGCCGTCGAATACCTGAACAAGCTCGCGGTTGTCAAGCTGAACGGTGGTCTGGGTACTTCCATGGGTTGCGTCGGTCCCAAGTCTGTCATTGAGGTCCGCGATGGCATGTCCTTCTTGGATTTGTCTGTCCGTCAAATCGAATACCTCAACCGCACATATGATGTCAACGTGCCCTTCGTCCTCATGAACTCGTTCAACACCGACTCCGATACGGCCAGCATCATCAAGAAGTACGAGGGCCACAACATCGACATCATGACCTTCAACCAATCCAAATACCCCCGTGTTCTCAAGGACTCTTTGCTCCCTGCTCCCAAGTCCTCCGAGTCGGACATCAACAACTGGTACCCTCCAGGTCACGGTGACGTTTTCGAGTCCTTGTACAACTCGGGCATTCTCGACAAGCTCATTGACCGCGGCATTGAGATTCTCTTCCTTTCCAACGCTGACAACTTGGGCGCCGTCGTCGATCTCCGCATCCTTCAGCACATGGTTGACTCCAAGTCTGAGTACATCATGGAGTTGACCGACAAGACCAAGGCCGATGTCAAGGGTGGTACCATCATCGACTACGAGGGCTCTGTTCGCCTTCTCGAAATCGCCCAGGTGCCCAAGGAGCACGTCAACGAGTTCAAGTCTATCAAGAAATTCAAGTACTTCAACACCAACAACATCTGGATGAACCTCAAGGCCGTCAAGCGTGTTGTGGAGAACAACGAGCTTGCCATGGAGATCATCCCCAACGGCAAGTCCATCCCCGCGGACAAGAAGGGTGAGGCCGATGTCTCTGTTCTTCAGCTCGAGACGGCCGTCGGTGCTGCCATCCGTCACTTCAACAACGCCCACGGTGTCAACGTACCTAGGCGACGATTCTTGCCCGTCAAGACTTGCTCAGATCTGATGCTCGTCAAGTCGGACTTGTACACTCTCCAGCACGGACAGCTCGTCATCGACCCCAACCGATTCGGCCCCGCTCCGCTGATCAAGCTCGGCAGCGACTTCAAGAAGGTCTCGAGCTTCCAGTCCCGCATCCCATCGATCCCTAGGATTGTTGAACTGGATCACCTGACCATCACTGGCCCCGTCAACCTGGGTCGTGGTGTGACTCTCAAGGGTACGGTCATCATCGTGGCCACCGAGGGCCAGACGATCGATATCCCACCAGGCTCGATCCTGGAGAACGTGGTGGTTCAAGGTTCGCTCAGACTGCTTGAGCACTAAAAGGTTTGCGTATCGCGGGTGAGGTCACTTTATCCAGGCATTGCTTTTGGTGTTGGACGGTGCAAGGGCTTTTCGCGGACGGTAAATGCATGAGCATGCTCTCTTTAGAGGAAAAAGGGGAGCGCAGCGGGATGCGTTCTAATCAAGGGTATACATTATAATGAACGAATGAAAGTCCACGAGTGTGGAGATGCTTCAAGTCCATGTTGTCGCGGTTCAAGTAATTGATGGGTGAAGCTAATGCAGGGATGTGGTTGGGGGGATGATGTCAGGGCTAGCTCAGCAAACTAAGCTCTGGCGGGTGTTTGGTGGCATTTACTTGTAAACCATGCCCCGCCAGCCTCCCGCAGCATACGGTGGTGCGTACCGCTGTGTTGCAGGGCGCAGTCAGCCAAAGTCATCTGCCTTGCGCCAGGATTCGTCTTGCCATATATTGACTCTCGTGCCTGAATCGGGTGGCGCCCTCTGCCTTAATTCTCTTTCTTTCCTGCATTTGCCTGCTTGGCCATTTGTTCATATAGCGTTTGTTCCGCTGCGTGCTTGTTTCGTCGTCCCAGGACCAACCCCGCCCATCCCACGCCTCACCGCAATTCGAGCGCACGACCTGACGACCCTCCTCTATAAACATCGATTAGCCAAAGATTAACTGCTGCTGTTGAACAACAAGATCCTGCACAGGAGGTGGGATTTGATTGACCCATCGGATTCATTGCATTACCTACATAGGTACTGTTGGAAGCACGAAACGTCACATGCCGCATCATGGCACCCGACGCAAACGAGGCGAAGGCGCAGAACAAGGCAAATGAAGACGCTGCGCATAAAGAAGCACGCGAATATTGGGGGTATCTTATCAAGCCCGACAAGTGTGGCACGGAACTTTTCAACAGGTTGCTGGAAGGAATCGCTGAAGTGGTTGTGAGTGAACGGCGCATGGGTCCATGGCCGCACGACAGACGGATGCTAATTGCACCAGAGCAAAACCTTCGACACAGCGCAACCATGCCCCGATCTTTCCCCCACGCAGCTTGCAGCATTTTATCGTTCCGTGGGTGGCAACTACGATGTTCTCTTCATTGATACTCCATCCTCATCTATATCTTTCATCTACCGCTCACTTGGTGCCTTCCATTCCCTTCAACCTGCCCCCAACGACGATGGCTACTCATCCCCCAGCGTGCCAGCTCTGAAGAAGAAGGGATTTGTTGCCTGGCAGACGATACAGCTTCTGCTGGGCCCCGAAGAGCATGTGGGGTTCTTGCAAAACGCTGTGAAGAAGTTCGATATCAAAGACCCGCAAACAGGCAACTTGTTTCCGAAGATCCTACCAAAGGAATGCTTACCCCAAGAGCCCGACGATGCCATGGAAGCATGGTACGAGAGCGTGGCAGCGAGACTAAAAAGAGAAGCCGAGGAGGATACTACAGGCAAGGAAGACAAGAATGGACCCCGGGTGCATGTCAATGTCGACGAACATGCGCCACGCACATCAAGCGAGACGTCCGACAGTGATGTGCCAGACGAAAGACACACGGCAGCATCTTACTTTGCCGATCCACTGTATCGTATGCGAGATCGACGGCCACCCATTGTACGCCATTTCTCAAAGGAAGGACGAGACTCGCGGCGGTACGACGAGGAAAAGGAAAACAGGGGGCGATTGATCGACAGCGTGAGGCACATGCTCAATCCGTTTAACAGAGATAAAGAGCGAGATAGACGGAAGAGCCATCCAGCCAGCGGCCGATACAACGCGGCCGACGATGGATACTCAGATGACGATGATAACGACATTACACCCATGGCAACCCAACCTCCACCCATCCCAAGATACACACATGCGCACGCATATTCAGCCTCGCACAAGCGCCCACATCCTCCCCGAAGAGAAAGCTCTATATCGTCCACAGATAGTGATTCCGACTCGGATCGTCCACCAAGTCGAAGGCGAACCCCCGCGTTCGGGCCTGCTCCACGCCGTCGACGCTCTCACGATGCACCATCTGCGCCCCGAGACTACTTCCCCTCGTACTACGATGATCGGGACCGGCGATACTCGCATGATGTACCATCTCCTTCGACTTTCAGCAGCGGGGATGCAGGCGGCATCCCCGCGGGACCCAACGGCGTAGGACTCGGCAGCAGAAAAGATGAAGCTCCCCCCAGCACATATGGCCCTACCAAAGGACCAATCTTCGCCACACACGTTGCGCATATGCAACCGCACATCCCACACGCTACATACTACAACTCATCGCCTTCACCTGGCTCGGATCGCCGCCCTACAATGCCCCTGAGCGGCACGCCATTGCGGTCCAGCTACCGAGCCTCACCTACAAGCAGTGGGGTCAGATACACGGCTCCCCCGCCTCCTGCACCCGCACCACCCCCTCCACCTCCCGCGCCCGTGCCTCCACCGCCAGATATTCACGAACCCGTGTACATGCGAGATCGCGATCGTCCAAGGGACCGCGATCGTGAACGTGAACGTGATCGCGACTATCCCCACGAACGCGGACGAGACCTGTCGCCTTACTCCCCGCTCAGCGGAGCAGGAAACTCGCGACACCACCGCAGGCGCTCAGAAGATATCCCGCCGCGCGAGCGCGAGCGAGATCGGGAGCGCACGACGCGCAGCCACGAGCGGGTCAGAGACGAGTGGGATGAGAGGGTTGGTGGGAGTCGGAGAGGGAGTCGGGAGCCGAGTTTGAGTCGGAGTCGGTCTGATGCTAGGGAGCGCGACCGAGACCGAGACCGTGATAGAGATAGGGATAGGGGAGGTAGACATCGATATCTTTCAACGTCTTCTTCTGCGTCTGGTGGTGGTGGTGGTGGTGGGGTTGAAGGAGGGGTCGGTGGGCGACGATATCCCGTTGATGCTCCTTGGAGATAGAATGTCTAATCATCCATCTATCTATACTCCCTTTTTTTTCCCTCTATTCTTTCTTTCCCCGTTTTAGATTACCAATAATCATTACATTACATACAATGATTTAGTATCCTCTCTCCCCCTTCTTGTCATGACGAATTCACCCTCAAGGATATATCGGCACAATCGGCATTTGAAGACTGAGGGCGGCTAACCCATTACTAGTCGGTCAAACGAAGGGGTTCAGCTCGCAAGTTGTGTTTACACAGCCACAGCAGGTTAGATGGGTTCCAGTGGCTGATGGATGACGGGGCCCACCGTCGGTGGAGAAACGATGATCAGGCCGGCGACCCGATGGCCGGCTTGCACGCGAGCGCGCTTGGAGGAAAATCGGAATCTTAACGATGCTCTGCCAGCTCGCTATCCTTGTTCAGGGGAGTGGGTGTCTCAAGAAGGAGGACGACGAGGACGACGGTGTTCGGATTGGATTGGATTGGATTGGTGGGAAAGCCGATCTGAGAGGATCTGGGATCTAGATTTCTCTGTTCTTCTTCTTCTTCTTTTCGCTCTCGCTTCCAACACGGTCCGGACGAGTGGGAGGGATTTGGCAGGGCAGGGGGGGTGTGCATGTCTGCCCTGGTTTTGGCTTTACCGTGGGGTTGGATTGGATGGGGTGTGTTGCGTATGTTTGTAACCAGGTTATGTGTTGTTCGCTGATGCGGGATTTTAACAGCATCAGTTGAGTGAATGAATGAAGTTGGTCGATTGTCTGTTGGACTAGTTTATTGCTCCGAGATGCTGTAGTGAATAACAACATCGGGCCTTTGACTGCTTGCTTGTTTGTTTGTTTGGCGCTGGGGCTGGTTTTGTCTCCGATCGCTATTACCGACCCTTCTCTATAATGATCTTGGGGATGCAGCATTACGTAGGGGTGTACAAGGAGGATGGGTACATTCATAGCTGGAATATACGCCAACGCGTGAGTGAAATGGTGTTTGAATATGCACGCAGGCTGGCTGATTGTTTCTTTGTGTACACGACGCCGCATGTACAGTGCACACGGAGTGGTGGCATGGCGGGTCGTGTCGTTGGCTGAGGGAGGGTTTGGAGGCGCGGGTGAGGAGCTTGGAGCGAGCTAATCATCATCTAACCTCCTCCTACGCAAGCAGGTTTAAAGCCCTAACACGCACGCACGGCACAAGAACCAAGGTCGGACGTCTGTCAGGCAGGCAGGCAGGCAGGCAGGCAGGACAACACAACACAACACGTTCCCTTTTTTTCTTCTTCTTTTTTCTGTGCCCTTTACACTTGTTCTTCTTCTATTCTTCCTCTCTCACTCTCTCCTTCTTTGAATCGAGTTCCCTTCCTCCCTCCCTCCCTCTCTCTCCACATTAATCCCTTTATCGATTGACAAACACCAATTGCGCGCGGCTATCTTCCGCCATAACCACACCATATACGTAACCGGTACACTACCACTACCTTCACGAGCAACCAGCCCAGACCTGCTCGGCACCACCGTCGCCGTCCGTCCCCACCTCGACCGCTCAGCTCGGCATTCTCTCTCCGCAATTACATACACTATACTATACAGTACATACATACATACATACAGTAGGGGTCCTCAATTCATCCACGCCGCACGCCGCTACTGCTGCACTTCGTCAACCTCCCACCACCCTGTCAGCACAGCTCACCACAACACTACTCTACACAACACTCCTCGGTCCACCACGCCCGCGCCCACCCAACCACGTATTTATAACGAGTCCAGCCACAAGCTGGCCGACTGGCCATCATGGCGACCTCCACGCGCGAATCCGAGCTTAAGCAGCAGGGTGCCATTGAAGCTGCCCAGGACCCCAATTCCGCCGTCACAGCAGAGGCCGCCGAGAACGCCATCCTCGAGGAGTCGCGCAGGGCCGGCGCCGCAGCCTACAAGTTCGATCCCAATGCCACCCCCGCTGAAAAGGCTGCCCAGGCCAAAGCCAGCGTACCGCCAGGCTTTCATCGTGAGCGGAAACCCAATGCTGCCGTGCTTGCTACCGATACTGTGAGTCCATGCCACTACCACCCCTTTCAGCAAGAACCGCACGCAACACGGGAACATGTGCTGATGTGATCCAACCGAGCAGAACAACACCAATCCCAAATACGATCTGCCCACCCCGACCAAATCAGGAGCTCTAGATATCCCTCAATCCCCGACTTCGCCCACCTCTGTCACATCCAACGGCCACGCCATCGGCCCGCAAGGCGAAGATGATCCTTGGGGGAGGGTACAATGGGCCCCGCGCTTTGGCATGCCGGGCTCCGAGGATCAGGACGACGAAGAAGGCACGCTTCTCGACCATCAAACCTATCTGGAGGGCAAGATTGAGGATAAATTCTTCGGGGATTGGTACCACAACACCGGCGTCATCATCTTCGCCTGTCTGAGCTCCTGGGTCGTGGCCGTGCTGGGAGGTGGTTTGGGCTGGGTCTTTTGCATCATGGCCATTTGCGGCACCTACTACCGGACTTCGATCCGCCGCGTGCGACGCAACGCGAGGGACGACTTGAATCGCGAAATGGCCAAGGCGAGGCTAGAGACGGATACCGAGTCGCTCGAGTGGATCAACAGTTTTTTGGTCAAATTCTGGCCCATTTACGCCCCGGTCATGTGCAAGTCGATTGTGGCTTCCGTGGACCAAGTTCTGTCTACCTCTACACCGTCGTTCCTGGAGGGTCTCCGGCTCAAGGAGTTTGGTCTCGGTACCAAACCCCCGCGTCTGGAGCATGTCAAGACGTATCCCAAAGCTCAGGACGATATTGTGCTCATGGACTGGAAGTTTAGCTTCAACCCCAACGATACGGCGGATCTGACGTCGCGCCAGCTCAAGAGCAAGGTCAATCCCAAGATTGTGCTCGAGGTGCGTCTAGGAAAAGGTGTGGTCAGCAAAGGTCTCGATGTCATTGTGCAGGATATGGCCTTTTCTGGCTTGATGCGCTTGAAATTCAAGCTTCAATTGCCGTTTCCACATATCGAGAAGATCGAAATGTCTTTTCTGGAGCGTCCGACCATCGACTACGTCTGCAAGCCATTGGGTGGAGATACGTTCGGTTTCGATATCAATTTCATCCCCGGACTGGAGACGTTCATCATGGAGATGATCCACTCCATCCTCGCGCCCATGATGTACGCCCCTAATGTGTTCCCCATCGAACTTGCCAAGATGCTCTCGGGCGAAGCAATCGATCAAGCCATTGGTGTGCTACAGATTACCTTCCATGGCGCCCAAGGGCTCAAGAATCCCGACAAATTCTCTGGTACTCCCGACCCTTACGCCATGGTGTCCATCAACAACAGGAACGAGGTGGCCCGCACAAAGACAGTGCATGAAAATGCGAACCCGAGGTGGAACGAGACGATCAACATCATCATCACCTCACTCAAAGATACACTCACCATCAACATTTTCGATTACAATGATATCCGCAAGGACAAGGACTTGGGTGTAGCTTCTTTCTCCCTGGAACAGCTGGAGGAAGAGGACGAACACGAAAATCTGCACTTGGAAGTCCTTTCTGGTGGTCGGCCACGCGGTATCCTGCAAGCGGACATTCGATTCTTCCCTGTCCTCGAAGGCGAAGTTCTCGAAGACGGCACAAAGGAGCCTCCACCTGAGTCGCGCACTGGCATTGCCAAATTCACAATCGAACAAGCAAAGGAATTGGATCAATCCAAGAGTGCGATTGGCCTTCTCAGTCCGTATGCGCTCCTGTTGCTCAACGGGCGCGAGGTGCACAGGTCGACTATCATGAAGAGGACTAATCAGCCTGTTTTCCCCGACGCCAGCAAAGAGCTTCTCATTACAGACCGTAAGAAGGCCAAGCTCGGACTAGTCATCAAGGATGACCGCGATCTGGCCACCGATCCCATTGTTGGTTCTTACCAGATTACGCTGGACGACTTGCTGGAAATGAACGCCAAGGGCCACGAGTGGTATAATCTACACGGCGTCAAGACAGGTAGAGCCAAGATGAAGTTGGAATGGAAGCCTGTTGCTCTAAAGGGCGCCGTTAGCGGTGGCGGCTACCTTACCCCCATTGGCGTCATGAGACTTCATTTCCAAAATGCCCGCGATCTCCGCAACGTCGAGACCATGGGCAAGTCGGATCCGTATGTACGAGTACTTCTATCTGGTGTTCAGAAGGGTCGCACGGTGACCTTCAAAAACAACCTCAACCCAGATTGGGACGAGGTTGTCTATGTTCCTATTCACACGCCACGCGAAAAGCTCACGCTTGAGGTCATGGACGAGGAACATGTAGGAAAAGATCGCTCGCTTGGCCACGTCGAGCTCTCGGCGGCCGACTATGTGCATCAAGACGAGGACGGCATATACCTGACCAACGAAAACAAGGAGACCATCCCAGGTGGCCTACATCTCGGTCATTCGGCCCCTACTAAGGGTACTCTGAACTACACTTGCTCCTTCTACCCGACTTACGATGTGTGGGATCCGGATGAGTCGGACAGTGAAGACGAAGCGGAGGAGATTTCGCGCAAGGGCTCCGTCCGAACAGCAAACTCAAAGACTCACAAGAGAAATGTTTCTGGTATTTCGGGTGTTTCGAATGGCTCTCACATCTCCCGCTCGGAAACCGCAGGGACCTTTTCTTCCATTCGAACTGCGGGATCGATCCAAGAAGGCAGCGCGCTCGATTTGGCCAAGCAGCTCGATAAGAACGAGGGCGAGCAAGGTGTGCCGCAGAAAAAGAAGGTAGAGAAACTGCAGCTCAATGCTGACGGCCTTCAACAATATGAGTCTGGTCTTATCGTGTTCAAGCTCATTGATGGGGAGTTTTCGCACACGGGGACGTACGTTGATGTCATTATGGATGACATGGCTTTCCCCTGCTACTGGAGTTCCAAGATCAAGAGCAGGGCCATGACTTTCAATGAAGGTAATATTTGCGCAAGTCAACTAGATTGGATTTTGCTGACCCGTGACAGTTGGCGACACAATGGTTCGCGAGCTCGATTTCTCCAAGATCACGTTACGACTGGTAGAGCACGTTGACAACAAGGGCGAGGACGATGACGATCACGTCATTGGTAAGCTCACAGGCGATACACTGGATACTCTTAGACGTTGTTTGGTAAGTACTTTGATGATGTATTCATATAAGCTCAGCAGTGCTAACAGCCATTCAGTACACACCCACCCAGCTTATCATTAAAGACAAGCATGGTCAGGATAACAAGATCACCGTCAGCCTCAAGTACATTCCGATCAAGATGCAGCTGGACCCCAGCGAGTCATTTAACAACCAAGGCAATCTGCGCGTGGAAGTGCTTGACGCAGCAGACCTGCCGGCTGCCGATAGAAACGGCTTCTCGGACCCTTACTGCAAGTTCATCATGAACGACAAGGACGTGTACAAGACAAAGACCCAGAAGAAGACGCTTCACCCAGCCTGGAACGAGTACTTTGAAGTCCCCGTTCGGAGTCGCACTGCTTCACAATTTCAGGTGAAGGTGTTTGATTGGGATTTCGGTGACAAGGCAGACTTCCTCGGAAAGGCTGATATTAATCTCGAGATTTTGGAGCCGTTTCAAACACAAGAAGTGACACTGACCTTGGATGGAGAATCGGGGGCCATTAGGCTCAAAATGCTGTTCAAGCCAAATTATGTCATGCGCGCCAGGCAAGGTTCATCCACCTTCAGCGGCACCTTCGCAGTTCCTGGCAAGATCATCGGTGCACCAGTCAAGGGCGTCGGCAAAGGCGCTGTATTTGTCGGCGGCAACGTCATGCGCGCCGGAACTTTCCTCGGCCGTGGCTTCAAACGCCGCAAATCGCGAGACGTGCCCCGTGGCGACGAACCCGAGTCTCCCAGCCTCATCACCTCGGAAGACGACACGCCCAAAATTTCCGTCGAGAACGAAAACGGCACCGCCGTGACCCCATCCTCCAAACACGCGCGGCACCGCTCGTTTGGTGCGCAGAGCTTCGCCTCTGGGTTTGGTGGCCAGCCCGGCAGCGCCGAACAAGGCACCGCAAACCTCACCGTCCTAGGCGCCGACAACTTCGAACCCGGCACCAACCTCCGCGTCCACATCCGCCTCGAAGGCTCCAAAGGCTCCAAGGAAGTCCACAAAACAGATCACATCAAAGCCCCCTCTGGCTCCGTCACTTTTGAAAACGAATCCTTCAAAGTCCCTTGCAGTGCCGACTCGTCTTTCCGTCTCGTCGTCAAAGACCACAGCACCTTTGGCCGCGACGACGAACTCGGCGAAAAGACCTTCTTCGTCAGCGATCAGGGCTCGGGCGCCGAGCAGATCGTGCAAGTGGGCCAGGGCACCGTTACTCTCCGCACCAGTTTTGCCCCTGCCGACGCGTCGTCCTCGAATGGGCCCAACAGCCCAAAGTTGAGGAAGAGCCTGAGGAGTAGGGGGAGAGATAGTCGGAGCGTTACGCCTGCTGCACCCGGGTCGTCTTAGAAGGGCGTCAGGCTTGCTACGGCGAATGCGAGGTTACTGAGAGAGGAGGCGGGGGAGGAGAGTGTTAGTGCCAGTGCCAGTGCCAGTGCCAGTGCCAGTGCCAGTGCTATTGCTGAGTGATTGATACTTGGATTCATCGATGATGTGCGCGGGGGGGGATGGATTCTTTTTTTTTCTTCTTCTTCTTCTTCTTCATGGATCTTGGGCGGGGGGCGGGTTGCTAACATATTATATATGTGTGGTGTTTTCTTCTGGGTCGAAGCGCGGGCATGGGCGTGTTTGTTTGTGTGTGTGCGGGTTACCCAGGCCGGGCGTTCTTCTTTCGGTCACCACCTTCTTCTTTGTTAATATCTTTTTACCCTTTTTATCTTCTTCTTTTTTTTTTTAGTCTTGCACAATACCTATCTTCTTTTCTGCTTCTTATGTCTCTTCCTCGCCTTTTTTTTTCTTTCTACTTGATGCTATTCCTTCTTTAAAGAGGGGAGAAAAATAAGAGAGATAAGAAGAGAGAGAGAGAGGAAAGGGTGTTACTTAAATCTAGTACTGTCTTATCCTCTGATAAAATCTACCTCCTTTACATATAATCTCTTCTTTTCTTAACGCGCGAGCACTTGGTTAATTAAATCTATAGAATTCTCTTATTATGCTGTATTATGTAATTAGAAAACGTTGATATTGGAAGATTTTAAGTTAGGGGTTTAGGTAATTTTATGTATATATACACGCAGAGTGATAAGTAGTAATAATAGATAGACTAGAAAGAAAGGAAGTGAGAGATTACTAGAGAGGAAAGAAGATAAGGTTTAAAGAGGATTTTTATATAAAGCTGTTATAGAAGAGAGAAGAAAAGCGTGTATTATTTAGACGTAAGTTCTCTTTTTAGGGAGGTAGATATCTATTCCGCTCTTAATATTGATGCTAAAAGGTTTGCAGCAGGGCGTAAGTATTAAAGTAAGTGCTAGGATAAGTAGCATTATAAGTAGAGTTAATAGATATAGAAAGCTTTATGCAAACTCTACTATAGCTTTTATAGTAGAAAGTAATAAGTGTACTATAGTTTATAACTTTAATACTACAAATTTGTACATCTTTACTAGATTGTTAAGGCATTGTATACGTCACCACATCAAATGCGCTTAATATCTATTCCGCGTTGATGTTTAGGTAGCTTAGTTAGTGGTTTAGAAGCTTGTGTATAGAGGGATAAAAGCTTTAAGTTGTTATTAACTGCAGATTTAACGTAGTGACGTATGTAACGTCCTAATAACTAGTATAGATGTATAGATTTGAAATGTGCAGGATGTAGGGTGAAGGGGGTAGGAAGGGGAGGTTTAGAACTTACAGTGTTTCCTACGCTTAAAAAGGCAGACGAAAAAGGTAACAAAAAGTAAAAAAGTACAAAAAGGCTTAAGAAGGAGTTTTGCTTTCAGCACCGGGCCTAGTATTAAGGTAGTTAAAGAACTATAGTACGCTTGTTGCCCTCTGCTATAAAAGCTACAGCAGAGTTCTCACAAGGCTTCCCACTTCCGTCAACCCGCCTTGGGTCCTTGGATAGCAGGAGGTTTGCTGTACTATCCGTTATTCAAAAATTTCTGTCTAGAGCTCAAAGGCAGATTTATCGTGTTTTTACAATACTAAGTGTGTGTGCCGCATAGAATTGCGATGATCCACTACCGCGCGTAGTTATTTCACGAATAAAAGGCTCTGGTAGATTCATATCAGCTCTTCTATTCGCAAGGAAAGTTATATACACTATGCTCCCGCTATGCAACAACCTACATAGTAATGCGACATCCCCTGTACCTAGATAATGACGGCGCTAAGACCATAGAACCTCTATGTAAGTCTTTCAGCCGCGAAAGCGGTGACGATGAACGAATAATACCTCTTGCTCTTGCAATTTGCGGGACAGAACAGGATAAGGGAACTGATTGACGCCGCCAACATCTCTCTATTGGCTCACGACAGTGCCACGAACATGCTAACATAAACGTCGTCTTGGCGTCTGTGTGTCTTCCTTCTTCGTAGCTAGTTCTCTCTCTTCCTCTCTCTCCATCCCCTCTAATCAATCCACTGTTCCACATCGTGATCATCTGTCTTTTATTCCTTGTGAGCTGCGTCTCAATAGCGTAGATAGCGTTTAGCCTTCGATTTCTCTCTTATCGAATATTCTTTTTTTTTGCTCGGGGGTTGGCGTACCTGCTACACACACACACACACACACACACACACACACAATTGCGGCCATGGATAACCGGCATCTTCCTACCCGGAGCAGTCGCCGGACTATCGACGACCGAGATTTCTTGTTGCGTCTTCCGAATGAACTCCTGCTCAAGGTCTTTGAGAATCTCGACAGAAGGGATCTGCGGACACTTTCGCACGTCTGCAAGCCGCTGCAAACGCTTCTGCAATATACTTTTTGGACGGATTACAACGCTCTCCCTAACTCTATTTTCCCTTTTATGGGCGCCGTTTTATCCAATCCTCATTTGGCTGCTAGCGTGCGGAGTGTGCGGTCCGAGCATATTGCGGCGCATTATATCTCTCCACCTTACAGTCAATCTCTTGTCCAGAGCTGCTTGGATTCCTTACCGTTTCTTGAGGACCGTATCCGTAAATATCATTTCGATGAATCGAGATATTCGGAAGGAGAGAGGATTGTTGATGCGTACAAGCATGATATATACCCTATCATCTTTCCCTTCCTACCAAATCTCGAAAAGCTGGTCCTTTTGATTAATCGCGATGATACGGATGCATTGGCATATTCGTTGTTCGATAGCAGACCCCCAAAGCCTCTATGGCTGAAAATGTTTTGCTGGTCCGTTGAAAGTCCTGGTCTTATGCGTTCATTCGCTCATCTTAAATCGCTGCATCTGAATTGCACATATCGCTGCGACATGATCAACCTGATACCAGTGTTCAAACTTCCAGCGATTGAAGATCTGATACTCTTCCATCACAATGACCCCCATTGGCATTTCAATGACTTGGATATATCACGTTACATCAACTCCTTCAGGGAGCAGCTACCAAGAGGATGGTCTCCACTCAAAAGACTCAGTCTAGAGGGTTATTACCTTTCCATATGGCAGCTCGATGCTCTGTTGGAGAGTTTTTCCCGTCTCTGCAAGTTTGCAATACGCTCTGATGCTTATGAAATGCTTGAAGAACATGAGGATCCAAACAGAAGATCTTACCTTGACGCCATGATGGACTCTCTGGCACGTTCCCAGCCCACACTGGAAGCACTTCATATATACGTCGAAGGAATCGGCTATAAAAAGCGCGAAATTCCTGTAACATTCGGTTTGATAACGAGACGCCACTTGGGATGCTTCAAGCAACTCAAAGTCTTCCAAGCCAATATGAACTTGTTGGTGCGCACCGTCTCCCCCGAAGATATTCAAAACTTGACAGCGCGTGAACTGCTCGAGCTATTACCGGAATCGGTGGAGTCGGTTCTCATCGATTCATGGCACGAGACATCAATCCCAAATTTGACTTTATTCGATACGGATCAACTGATCCAACTACACCACGATATGATGGCAGAAAAGAAGGTGCTCCGCTCTAGGTTGAGACACCTAAAGTTCCGCAGCATACATAGGGATCCACCCCAATCAGTAAGAGATTTGCGCATGGACTTTCGCGTCAAGCCGAACGATGGTGAGAGCCAGTGGCTACATGACCCTTATCACAAAGGCGATCACATCATTGCGAGTTCCACAAAAGGCGAGGCCGAAAATGAAAAAAAGATGCGCAGAGAGTGGGAAGAGTATGCTGACAAGGAACTGTCTCGACGTCTCGCGCTCGGGGAAGATGTAATGGATATCCAGTTCAGCGAATTTATTGATGTCGACGACGTGTGTCCACCACATCCAAGTGTCTACGAAATGGAGATTGCTCGACGCCTCGCGCTTGGAGAATCGGAAGAGAATATTCGTCTCCGCAATGCGGAACGGAGGAAGATGATTTTGCAAGCTTGGCCCGGGGGTTATAATCCTCGGTTTTGAGAGGCACAGGCTCTGTGGGAGCGATGCAGAGTTGTTCACGGTTGATTGTGGAGTACACGTTGAGTCGAGACGCTACGAAGGTCATCATAAAATCTCCCATGGGGGAGGGAAGGGGAGTTCGTTACCGCACACCCTTTCCACTTCATGTATGCCCAACTCCATCTGTGCATTCCCCAGACGGGATAAAACGAAGAGGATAACATTCATTACGCAGAAATTTCTCGTGATCGTTCGTTCTTTTGTGACTTTCCATCCTTTATTTACTACTATTTCTGTTGAACATGTAATCACGTTAATCTCTGTTGAAAATGGGGTTGATAAAAGTCAAGGATAGTCCTAACGAGCTACTTGTTACTCTTCTAGCTGGCTTTTCTTAATTAATAACTTGGAAGAACGTAGAATCCATTGCAATGCAATATTGAGAGACCGGGATGAGTGTGCTGACGTAACCCTTTCTGCCAAGCTACATTTGTTCTAGCAACTCGCACTACACCTCAACACCCTCATATGCTCATCCGGCTTTCCAGAACACTGGCAAAGACTAAACTGACGAAACGCGAGGGTTTTCAACCAGTCGGTTCATTACACCACGATGGATAATCAAAAATCCTCTACTGCAAATCTCAATGGTACCGGTACTGGGCCACCTCCTACCGACAGCAGCAATCGGCACCCCTCTCCAATAGCCCAGGTATCACCACCCAAAGAGGAGAGGAAGTCTTCACTTCGGGAACAACACGCTATACCACCTGAGACCGGCACAAGTCCGTAAAAATCCATATCAATACGCGCCAGAAATGCAAACATGCCATGTTATCTAATACGCCTCTCAAACGAGCTCTTGGCTGAAATTGCAAGCTATCTCAGCCCTAGAGACCTCAGAGTGGTTATAAAACTCAACAAAAAGGTGTACTACGCAATCAGGCATCTATTGTACCGTTCGCTTCACGAGCAACTCCACTTCCAGGTTAATCTAATTCCACTCGCGCGAACACTCATGGAAAACCCGGACTTTGGTAGCCACGTGCGATATATGCGTCTCGGACCTGCATTTGTCGTCGAGACCCTGAATACTGCCAAACAAGCCCTCTTGAAAACAGCAGTAGAGTCTATGGGTATCCCTCCATGGCAGAAACTGACGGCTACTCTAAGAGAGGGTACAAAACGGCGTGTGTCCCGAGACCTTCTGGTCGCTTGCCTCCTCATCTACACGCCCAACATCATCTGCCTCAAGATTTCCAAGGATATAGATTACGGAACAAAACCATCGTTGGAGTGGCTGGATGTGATGCGCTGGTCCGTCACCAGGCCTGGTCGTATGCACTCTTTTGCACACCTTCGTTTTCTGCGCATGGATATGAAGCATTCCATCTCTATTCACCAATTAGGGCCTGTTCTTGCCCTTCCCTCGCTTCTGGATCTTAAAGCAAAAGGCATTCGTATCAGAACTCGCGAGGAGGAAGAAGCCACGAGGCTTGCGCGACGCGAATTTCCTCGAGGCACTTGCCCTATTGAGCGACTTCAATTGAGCTCACTTTCAGTAACCGGCGAAATGGCCGACATCCTATTCGGGAGCTTCATTGCGCTGAAGAAATTAAAAGTGGAACGTCTCTGTACGCTAAGGGAATGGGACGAGGCCGGCATCAGAACATTGACGTACCCCGGCCTTGTGAGGTGTCTGCACCAATCGAAAGCAACACTGGAAGCTCTATGCATCTTTTCCGGTCATGAAGACCACTTTATGCACAGAAATTTGCAAGGGTGTTTAGGAGACATGCTTCATAGTTTCCCGAACCTTGAGCGAGTCGAGGTTCCTTTGAAAGCGATGATTGATGTGTCGGGGTTAGACGTCGACGACGCCGTCAAGCTAGTAGACGATTTGGATGTACTCTGGCCACTGAAACTCAAGATTTTCACCTTGGACGCATGTGGTCTACCCGACGAACACAAAGATCGCTACTGTCGTCGACTAGTTGAGTTCATTGAAAACTTATCAGCCCGTCGGCCAAAGCCTTTTCCTTCTTTCGAAGAGTTCAGAATACGTGGGTTCGACGAAGGAATATTAGGTCTCAGGGAAACTGAAAGTGATGAAGATGAGTTGGGAGTGTGGGGTAACCCTGAGGATTCCTCGAGCGAAGCCGAGTCTTGGTCTGAGGAGTGGGAAGATATAGAAGAAGAAGACGACGACGACGACGACGACGACGAAGAAGAAGACGAAAAACAAGACGAAGACGGAAAATACGAAAAATACGAAAAAAAAGTCGAAGACGAAGAAGAATGGGATGAATCAGAAGAAGAAGACCCTTTTCCGGACATACCAGGTGTATCTATCTTCAGCAATAGGTGGGGAGTCCAAAATGTAAGCCGACTCTTTGGCCGATGAAGAAGTCCCCATCGACGCCACCCAGCCTAAACCTGCTATGAAACAAGCAAAGGTCTAAGCAATGCTATGCAGCTTGATCTTTTTTTTACATGTTATTCTCTTTTCGTCATGATATATCGGCATCGCATTTCTCTTCTCCTGAAACCCTTCCTTCTTTTTGGGATGCACGCGTGGCTGAGCTAAGCTCCGAAAATGCAAAAAAAAACCCCCATGTACTTGAGAAATATTGCTCTCTAGTCGGAAACAGCGGAGAAAACGAGATTTCGGCCGTCGGTGTTTTCGGTCGTCGTCGGGGTTATGAGACGCTGTCGGTGATTGCAAAGTCGGATCGGGTGAAGTTTGTGGGGGCATTGCGCGGATATTCTCGGGATGGTGCTTGGTACTGGCAAGATTGTTTCCAGGTTCGTGGCATCGTCATAGACGCAATGATATGCCAACGGCTATAGCGATATAGATTTCGGGAGACTATAGCAACAGTATGGTTGGAATTACTGTGGGGCAAATTTCGGTATTCTGAGACTCGTCGATCTCCATATAGACAAGAACGTTTGCTTAATGATATATATGGTCATTTTGCATTATTCTATGGCAATATATACATATATACATATATACATTGGGAACACTGTTTTTTACCGGGATTATAAGGACCAAGCGTGACTACCTACATACTAGAAGCTCCGCGCAAGAGATATTTATCCAAAGTATTACACTCTATTCCAAGAAAACACAAGTAATCATCAGCACTAGGAAGTTTAGATGCGACCAGAGCCCTATTCATCATTAGTAGCCCTCTGGTCCCGGATACTTGGCACCGATAAGTTTCCACCCTTTTGCAATGTTGAAATCATCGGGGTATCCAGCTCCAGTGAAAAGCATGTCATTACCATCATCTCCCGGGACATACGACACCGAATGGTCCTAAATATAAACATATTTAGCATAAAACCCCCTTTCCTGTGTCCGTTGCGTAGACGGCGTTACGAAGCCGGTGAGAACTAACCTTGCCAATCGTGAGCTGAATGGCGCCCTCAATCCAGAGTTGTGGTAGATATCGATGTGAGGGCCTTCTCCCGCGTATCAGTTCAAGCACATTATCTCTCACGATGCTGGCCTGCATGTAAACTGCCCGGGCCATACGCGGGCCTCCGTGTTCAGCTACATCGCCAAGGGCGAAGATATTCGGCGATGCTAGATCGTCTGCTAGCTGTAGCTGGAATGTCGGCTTCACCAGGATGCGACCGGTCTGTTTTGAGATTGCTTCGGGCAGGAGCGTGCTCAGGATTGCGGAATTCGGCGTTTGGCCGGTACAGGGTAACTGTGTGCGCTTAGATTTGAGATACGTCGGATGTGCGAATCTTGGTAGACCTTACCACTACATCATACTCCTCTGTAGATCCGTCTTGGAATTTGATGGTCTTCTGATCTGGAAGAGCTTGCGGTCGAGCATTGTATCTCACAACTACACCGAGCTTCTCCAAGATGCCGGCAACGTGGTTCTGGATCTTGGCTCCAAAACTCGGCATGATAACGTCCCGAGAGGTAAAAAGCTGGACGTCTTTTCCAGGGAAGTACGTCTTGATATCCGCAGCGATTTCAACGCCAACGGCGCCGCTTCCTAGAACAGCAAGTCGCCGTGCCTGAGCAATGCTACTCTGCACGCTCCGCAGCTCTTCACAAGCACCTTCACGATCCAACGATACCATCTTCGCTGGAGGGTCCTGCCGGGAGCCCGTAGCAACGACAAGATACTCGTATGTAATTGTCTCTCCATTAGCCAACAGGACCTGGTTGGCGGTCACTCGCGACGCCTCAGCTTGGACGCGCAATAACGAACCCCGTCGTGTCGCGCTGCCTAGTATCCCATGATACGGGATGAAGGCGCCCTTCTCATACCCCGGCAGGACAGAGTACCGTGGGAAAGCGAACAAAAAATTGAAGTGGCTGTTCTTTTCTACCAAGATGACCCGGTACCCAGTCGGCACTGCGTCAGCCAACCACTTTGCAACGTGGACGCCTGCGAAAGAGGCACCGATAACGACTATGTTCTTGGGTGTATCCACAGGCTTGTAGGTGGAGCGGTGGTAGATCGACGCGATACGCAAGCGCAGCAGGCGGATGCTCTGGGACACGAAGAAGCCCGTCACCATTGTGAAGAGGCGGACACCGTTGGCGGCTTTCCTGAGTCGGCTTTGGTTATGTTTGTCTGGGTTTTGGGATTCGCTGTCTTGCTTTGTTCCGCTAGACTCTGAAATTGCCATTGTCATGTACGTTTTCCTATCAATATTGGCCATTTTTTGGACTCGATGCGGCACTCTGCTTCTTACGTTCGCAGGCAAGGATAATAGGAAAGATTTCGGCTATCTTTTCAAACGCGCACTGGAGATGGTAAAATCCAATTATGGTAAGATGAAGATCAATAGCGATGGAATGAAATATGTTGGGGGCGAATCAAGCCAGTCCGTGACAGTATTTAGTAGGCTTTTGTCGGAAGTGGGCTGTTTGATATGTAGGCGCTTCGGTGTATTCGGTGTATTCGACGCATCGGAGTTAGAGGTAGAAGCAGAAACGGCTCTAGAGAGCATTATAGTTAACTAGAAGGTTATAATTAGTATGAATACTATAGCTGCAGATGCGCTTAAAAAAAAGCTTGTAGAGAAGTTAAAAGCTTAACAGGATGTGCTCGTTTACGGTAGCTACCTAGGTACCTACCTACCTAGGTAGGTAGGTGTACCAGGTGGTATAGCACGTGACATGCATGTCGTTCTAATGCTACTTAAGATTGATGCGTACTGTTTACGTCTAAGTAATATGTATTCCTTCATAGAAAATGTTTCCGCATCAAAAGATCGAGAAGGTCTACAAGTCAACATGCTATCCTTAGACAGTCGGCGGCCGGCCGGCCCCCGACAGTCACTTGGGTTCCAAACGAGTCTGAACTGACGTATCCATGACCTCGACTCCAGTATGCAACAGCAAGGGTGCTAGATTGTGGGGCGCTCTGAAGTCCGTGGCGAGCTTTCATGGGATTGGTGCATGTATACGATCACGACCGACTTAAACAGCCACGGATTCCATCCGTCCGTTCTTGCACCTACTACAGCCTCTCGGGCGTCTGACAGCTGCGCTACACCACATACCCTCTCTCATTCATCACCAATCCAACACGGGAAAAGGTTCAAGAAGTATAAGCATGGCGCAGCCTTCCCTTCCTGATTTGCCGCCTGACGAACTGGCAAAGTTGCCGCTGATGCCAAATCCATCAGGTGCACCACCTGACTTTGATACCAAAGATACCACGGGGCCCATGAACCTAGGAGTTACCTCAGTCTTCCTCGTTATTGCAACTGTCACGCTCTTCTTGCGCCTGTTTACACGATTCAAAATTACAAAACGTATTGGACTGGATGATCTTTCAGCAGGTATCGCGTTTCTTTTTGCAGCTGGCACCGTTGGACTTGAGTTCTACCGTACGTGGATAACCCCACTCTGATGCTGTTCCCATCTGATACAGTGTGCTACAGTCGTCGATCAGAAGGTATTAGGACCGCATAGCTGGGATGTACGGCTGATCACTTGGATGAGCAACTCAGTCATACGTGTATGTATTGAGCCCGTGGAAATGATCCTAGACTTACAAGAGATATTCAACAGTCTTACGTAGCTCTCCCGATAGTCAGTAACCTCGCAAACTTCTTCACGAAATGTTCGATTCTTCTGTTTCTGCAGCGCCTGTTCCCACGAGTTGCCTGCCCGAAAACCGCAGTTGCTCTTTGGGTTGGGCTCGCAGCAAACTTTGTTGCCTACGCAACCCTCACCATGTGGCTCTTTGTCAAATGCATTCCGTGGAAAGGTCAAGCTGGCGTCCCAACGTCATGCAGAGGTTCCTTTCAACTTCAAATCGGGATCGGTTCCTCTGTTGTCAATGCGACCACGGATCTCTACGCCCTGGCCCTCGCCATACCGTCGCTCTGGTTATTACGAATGCCCCTCAAAAGGAAGATTAGTGTTATTGGTGTGTTGGCTATCGGTCTTTGGTAGGATACCCGATGTGGTGTAATATTGATCCAATGTTTACGAAGACCAGTGCTTGCGGTATAAGTTTGTCTCTTTTGGCCTCCCTAGCCATGCGAGCCAAAACCGATCAGCTCTACGACCTAACCAGAAAGGAGGTTACTCCGGCTATGCTTGGGTATGTTGAAGCCCCATGTTCTCGACGAGAAGCTGTACTGAAAAAGAGTCAGGACGATAGAGCCGCTGCTTGCGATAACCACTGCCTCTTTACCAACTTTGCCTTCGTTTTGGACCTGGTTGTCTACAGAAGGGCGTGCGACAATCACACGTCTCATCTCGGGAGTCGGCACGACCACCGTCGGTATACAAACTGGGCATAGCAGCAAGAAAGGCTCACAGTTTCATATTGGCGACAATCACTCGTTGAAATCTTTGAATTCGCATGGCATGACGCTTTCTTCAGATGTAGAGCATATGCCTTCTGCTATTCAACATGATGCGCCTACACATTAGCCCCCACCGAGGACCGAAGCCACATTCTTTAAGCGGTGCTCTACCAGATCTCTTTTACACTTTCGTAGTAGCAGCTTTGCAGCTATGCAGCTATGTATTGTCAAATGAGATTGAAATCTGGAAGCAGTATGGATCAGCTACTCTCTTATGTAGTGTATCAATGGGGGGCATGGTAACTTCTCTGTTGTTTTTCCGTATGAACGGCTCTTCAACTCCTCTCCGAGTTCTAATTCTGACATTGCTTCAATTTTAATGTTAACACCGAGTATCGTTGAACCGAGAAGACTATGTAGAGCCCAGGATCTGACATGTTGTCCGCATCTGAATTCTTGCTGTTGTTTGAAAAGATCAACGAGAAAGCTGTTTTATAAGCACCGCAATAGCTATCTGCGTGGAGTTGGTGTTGTGCTTGCTGTAATGGATTTTGATCATTCTTACAGACGTCTAAATATGCCAATTTTCGAAGGTACAATGATCCTGGATTTCTTCGACTCTATTTCGTTCCAAAAGCAACAAGTGCAATTCCTCCAAGCCTCCCCTTTCCATCAGGGAACCTCCTTCCCAATTCTAAGATCATGAGTTGGACAGCTTTCTCAACTTCATCATCAGTCATTCCAGCTGTGGCGGCCTTCACGCTGGGAATGTTTGTCATGTTGAATCTGGTCATCAGCTCTGCATCATCAAACTCATACCAAACTTGCACCTCCTCAGCTGACACGTTTTTGAACCCTGCATCCTCTAGTTCCTGAATGGTTGAATTGGTTGACGCCCAAGATAGCGGTATAGAGCCAAGGGTCGTACCAGGCTTCACCAAACCGAGATGATTCTCAATGAAGTCCATCCATTCCACCTGCCGAAATGAACTCAAAGCCAGAATGCCATGGTCCCGCAAAACGCGTCTAGACTCCTGTAGCGCACATTGCGGGTTTGCAAGCATTAAGAACAAAAGACCTGCCGAGACGTGACTGAAGCTCCCGTCGGGTACTCCGTATAAACTCTCTGCATCCCACATCTTGACCTCAACCCTCTGCCATAGATTATTTCCTTTTGCCACCTCCTTTTCTTTTCTTTGCTGAACGACCTCTATCATGCCTTCACTCAAATCCGCAGCAACCAGTCTGGCACCGGACGGAATATTCTGTCCATACTTCTCGATAAGTCGGCCGAGAACCTGGCCAACCCCACAGCCATTGTCAAGAATCGCGTTGGCGGCGCCGAAGGGAGATATTTCGTTGATCTTGTCGAGCAATACCTCATTGAGAATGATTGTGGGTCCTTGGAAGGCCGTTTGGAGGAGACTATGAGCAGATTGCGACCATGAATCTGCGGAGCCTGGCTAGGGTAAGCATTAAGGTCACTGCAAATAAAATAAATTGGATGAACACGTACTGACTAAGTCTGAAGCCATTGATGAAATTCAGTCTTACACACAATAGATGGGGGTACAACATATTCGAGTCCGAGAAATTCACATTCAAGATTCTTTGTAGCTTTTATAGAATGATCGAAGCTTAGATATTGGTATTCATCATATTATGTCGTGATAGCCTACTTTTACCTTCATTTCGGTGCCCGAAAACTGCAATGGATTGAACTAACTAGGTCGACGTATCGAATACTGAACTGCTCAGAGTGATTGGATGTACACCTTCTCAGTACTTTGCTCCTCGCTACCACCAGTCGGTCAACCAGCCATGTATTCGATGTCTGTAAAGCCGATTAACCCTGTTCTTGGTTATCCTCCTAGGCAGATCTCTTGCTACTCCGGCACCAGCATTAGATCCTTGAAATATAGCGTTCGGTATCATCTTGAACGGACTAGCCGAGTCACCAGCAGCAAACACACCTGTAACATTAGTTTGATAGAACGGCATACTCGTGACAATGTCACCTCGAGCATTGGTTTCCAAGCCCAATTGGACAACGATCTCCCGGCTCACCCTTGTAGCCGACTGGTGAACGAGAAAGCTTTCGATTCGATCCGGTCCCCGTTCGAACGAGAGTTTAACATTGCTGGTCTGTAGTTCTCTTGTGATCCCTTTGATTTGTCGATCATCAACAGAGATGTTGTTTTCGCCCTTCTGGGTTAAAAGTTCTGAAATTTCACCAGCAAGCTTCGCGTCACCGTTTGTGTAGACGGTCACATTTTCTGCAAATTTTCCAGCATCTTCTCCAAGGATTATAGCGTGGGGTGGTGAGCTAGCAAGGTCGGCTGCTATGATTCCAGCAGACGCGCTGCCTTTGAATTCAAAACCGCGCGTAAACAAACAATGAAGTCTCTTAGGACATTAGCTATCTTAATACATCAGGATTACTAGAAGTTACTCACATCCTTTCAGGGAAGTTCTCAGTATATCCAGGAATATCCGGATATATAAAATCAACGCCTGTAGCTAGCATGACCTTCTTGCCTGACCAAACTGCTCCGCTCGAACTTGTAGCAGAGAAAAGTGAGTCGTGTATCTTCTCTACTTGGACAACCTTCTCATCAACAAATCTCACAAGTCCAGTAGCTTGTAATTCCCGCCTGCTAGCTTCACGTAGTTGACTTGGACTGCGATGCTCCCAGGTCGGCAAGACGTGTAGGGGTGTATCCCATTGATTTCTTGGCCTACCGTTGTCAAAGATAATCATGTCATGTTGGTGTCGCACAAGAGTAAGGGCCCCAGAAAGCCCCGCAGGCCCTCCACCTATCACTAGGACATCCGCATCAAGCTCCGACTTGTCGGTTAGCGTTGGGCGGTGTAGGTTCGGAGTCCAAAACCGAAAAGTGTATGATAAGAGGCAGACGCCAATAGTGAAAATAAGAACAGCTGGTGATTTAACGATGCTCAGAGTCATGATCAAAGAGACTTTGCGAAACGGCGTTCATAAGAGACTTAATATCCGGATTGCACAATTTATACATGGTTGATGTTTAATTCAGGTTCATTGGTTTTCATGGCAACGGCACCAGTCGCTAGCCGACGGGCACCGGGAACAGGTGTATGCCTATCTCGCCGGTGTGCAGACAGCTGGAGCACCTAGAACTTTAACCACGCATTTTTACACTCAAGTTCCCCTTCCCAACTCCTCACATTTTATTCTGATATGCTCGAAATGAATAACTCGTCCCGCTATCCCGCTGACGTACTCATCATTGGTGGAGGCCCTGCAGGCCTTACTACGGCACTTAGTGTGGCACGAAACGTCCATACCGCGATCGTATTCGACTCCCAAGATTATCGAAACGTACGGGCGAACCATTTCCATATGCTTCCTACATGGGATGGCAAGGATCCCCTTGAGTTTCGTGACGCTGCACGCGAGAACACCTTAGACAACTATGAGACCATCCAGTTCCATAACACCAAGGTTTCCGATGTCAGCCGTACTGAAGAGGGTACCTTCGAAGCAAAAGATGCAGATGGTGTGGTCTGGTTTGGACACGCTTTAGTGCTGGCTACTGGTGTTATTGATATCATGCTTGATATCCCTGGATTTGATGAGTGCTGGGGCCGAAGCATGTGCGCAACTATTCCATTAACAAGCTACTTTCTCTCTTGCTAAAACATATAGTTTCCACTGTCTTTTCTGCCATGGATACGAACAACGTGGCAGCGAGTCTTCGGGCGTTCTAGCCATAGATGATGTCGCACCTGAGCCTATCGCTTTGCACGTATCTCGCAATGCCGCTCAACTGACCAAAACTGTCACACTGTATACGAACGGGGACGAAAAACAGGCAGGAGCTTTGGTTGCTGCTGCTGGTGCACAGGCGCCCTTCATTGTTGATCATCGCAGGATCACCAGATTCACTCTTGGACGAGATAATGTTGGCTGCACCCTTACATTTGAAGATGGTACCAGTAAGGACGAAGCGTTTATTGCTCATAAACCAAAGCATGCGCTCAAGAGTCATGATTTAGCCAAACAACTTGGTTGCGAAATCACCCAACAAGGCGACATCAAGGTCAACCCTCCTTTCGGGGAGACGAGTGTTAATGGATGTTTTGCTGCTGGTGACAACTCCAGCTTTCTAAAAACAACCCCCAATGCCATTAATGTAGGATCAAACGCTGCGGCTGGAGTGGCAAGCTATGTTCAGAGTAGGAAATACGGCCAGAAGAGCTTAGGTGAATTTTTGAGGGGAACTGCGCCTCAATCCTGAACTTGATAAACCCTGTTTAAGATGTTTTGATGGACATGGACTACATTTTGGCTACCGTTAGCGTATATACGCCATCCTATACCAAAATTTCCCGGACTATTATTGATTCCAATGTGATTATAATTCATAGGTCTCCCTCTTTCCTCGTCAGTAGATTTCTTTTAGCGGAAGCAACTTATGATTCCTCACTGCCATTCTCCCTATATTTCAAAATTAACAATAGAAAGGGCAGGGCCAGAAAGCTCTGTTTGTAGGTCATATTTAACTACTTAGTTGCCGCGTGGCAATAGTTGCGACTGTTCTACTTCTTGTTATTTCAACGACCTTCATGATCCCAGCCGCTCAAAGCTACGGAAGACAACAAACAGCAATAGGGGGAGTTACCTTAAGGCCCAAAATAAATTTTACTTGTAACAACGGGTACTACGAGCTACAATTGCCACGTTGTCACACTATCGCTTAATTTACTCATGGAAGAATGTTCTCACTACGCACATCCAGAACTTTCACCTCGTCAACGGCATCCGCTTGTTTGTCATGCCCTTCCATGTCTTGCAATCCATAATCCGTGTCTAACTCCTTTCTTAATTCAATATGCTTCTCGCCGAGAACTAGAAAAAAACCGAGCAGGGCGAAAGCGATCGATGCTAACCATGAAAGACGTAAGGCCACCGTATAAAGTTCCAGAACTTGGACCATTGTAGTTGTGGGGAGATGTTGTATGTTGCCTCCAGCAATAAACTCATAAGCGCCTCCGTTGGCCATCAGATCTCTCACGATTGGATCGCTGATAGTGTAAAGACCTTTGTCGATGCGAAAGTTGAGGATCAATGATGGGATGGTGACCCCCCAGATGAACCCAAAACTGCGGAAGAATGCGTAAAGACTTGTGGCACTAGCAACGTCTGACTCGGGAAGACCGGCTTGAATTGCTGGAAGAAGTGTGACGAATGTGCATCCAATACCCAAAGCGAGAATTATTTGAAAGAAAACCCAGGTGACGGTTGATGATGCCGCATCGAGAGTAGCGTTAAGGCCAAGGCCAACTGCGACGAGTGCGTACGCTGTTATATGAAGTGGTCGATAGTGTCCAGTTTTGCTCATCATTACCCCCGCAATCATGGCGGCTGGCATTAGACAAGCATTGAAAGGCAGTGTGTTGATGCCTGAGCGTAGTGGACTTGCCCCTTTTAACGCCTGAAAATAAAGGGGGTAAAAGTAGACAATCCACTCAAGAAGCATACCCGAAAGGAAGCTAAGTATGAAGCAAATGGTTGATGTTCTATTCCGAAAGAGCCGTGGTGGAATAGTAGGTTCGGGACACCAAGTTGGAGACATTTGGTAAACATGGAAGGACACCCAACCGACGCAACCCAGAACGATGGGAACAAGAACGTGATACGATGACCACGGGTATGTAACTCCACCCATGATGAGACCCACAAGGATTGCCGTTATCGAGGCTACAAAGAGCGCGTTTCCAGGGAGATCGGTCCGAATAAGTTTCTGTCTCCATGATGGCTCTCGATCATGTTTCAAATTGAGGTAGATCGTCATGACGAGTAAGGCGAGACCAGAGAAAGGCAAGGTTATGTAGAAGACCCAGCGCCAGCCTGCTTTGACGAGTGCACCGCCAAGAACTGGTCCAAGGGTAGAACCTAAACCACCAGCGCCAACAATAGGACCAAGATATTGGCCACGCCAACGTAAAGGTACTAGATCGCAGATAATAATGTCTAGAAGAACAAATATACCACCACATCCTACTCCTTGTATAGCTCTTCCTATAATAAGCATCGCAACGTTACTCGCACCTCCTGCTATGCCGCTACCAAGGGCGAAGATTGTAACAGCAATAATACTAGGCACACGACGCCCAAAAATGTTGCTCACCTGGCCAAACAAGGGCATGACAGCGGTGCTAGCAATAACGTACGAGTTTGCGATCCATATATAGTGGTTACTTCCGCCAATAGCTCGAGTAATAGAGGGTAGGGCGGTAAACACGATAGTGTTATCGACAGCAGCCGCAAAGCTGATGAGACACAGAGAGACATAAATCAACCAGAAGCGCCAGTCCGGCTCGAAGGAAAGGTTTTCTGCTTCACTCATCGTAGGGTGTTAGCTAAGGCGTGGTATGTGTACGTAGAAAGATATGTAGAACGGAGGAGTCTATGGCGAGGTGGTGGGAAGGGAATTGGGAGCTTTCTATTGAAGACGAAAAGGTAACTTGTTCGGAAGCCGAGGTCACCCTAGTCTGTCTTTACAGGCTCTCTGATACGTGAAAAGCGTCGGGGCCCGGTCTCAGGGAATCGTTTTTCATGTTCAAAAGCAGATAAAGAGGTGTGCCTATGCATAGGTTAAGTATTAGTTGCAATTTGATTTGCGAGCGGACGTGCAAGCCCCACCTATCAAAGGGCTAAGGTTAAAATAAAGAGTCTGTTTCCTGTAAGCGTAGCGCAGCTATAGATGCAGTACATGCTAATTCCACCGCCTAACTGCTAGATATAGAGAACCATACTAAGTAGCATCAGATATAGAGTATAAACTAGTGCGGATGTAATAAGACGCTATGCAGCAACCTTCGCAGCAAGAAAGGTTATTCAATTTAACCTAGGTCTGTTGCGCTTAAACCAACTATGTAACTGTAGAATCTTCCAATACCAATTCGTCTGCCTTTCTTCCCCATACAACCCTCATAGGGTAGTAAGCACCAGTTTCTATCAACTCCTTGTGTAGCCTTTCTTCCAACGTGTCCATGTCTTCTCTGCTGATGTTGGCATCCAGCGTATCGCACACTGTTATTCGTTAGTACTCATCCAAATTATGTTGCGTCCATACTTTTTGCGTGCATGACCAACCCCTCCATCGCTTGTGCGGTACATCTCGCACTTCCTGCAGCTAAGTCTGGGTTTTCGTTCTTCTTGCCGAACCCCATATTCACAGTCATGTCGTGTACATCCACAGCCCCCGCATCTTCAAGCCACTGCTTCAAATTATCTGCATAGTGCCAGCCAGCACCTGTCGCATCAAATAAAGCCCTCACAAGGCCTAGGAACTCATGGAATACCGATCCTGCATCCGGCCCGGTTTGCTCTGCCTCAACCAGCTGTATCCAACCGCCTGGCTTCACAAGATCAAACAATTGTCTGACAATTGTGGCAAGTGGAGTTGGAGCGCCACCCGGGAGCGTGAGACGTTGATGGACTAGATCGAAGGTTCCCAATTCTGTTTCTGGCCATGGTTTGGATATGTTATGGATATAGAAACTGGTGTCTGGAGGTAATACCGTTGGGAAAAGCTTCGGGTTGAGATCAGTACCAACATAAATATTCTTTTCGGGGGCGGGAACCCGTTTGCGCAGCTCAGAAATCCAGTGGCATGTGCATGGTTAACGTCATGTTAAATAAAAATTAGGGGTAGTGGAAATACCATCTGCGGTTCCGGAGTCGAGGATTTTGAGACCTGGTTTCGAGAGATCAATCGGAGCACACACGAGGCGACCTCCCAGGGCATCTATCAGGACAGTATGCTGCATCATCAGCCTTTCAGCCTCGACTTTGTTCACGGGAAGAAAATACGACGATTCGTTCATGGTAGGCATCTGTGAACTCGAAGAGCGTGTGGGTGTTATCGTAAGTGATTTTCCGTGACCAAGTAGGCATCGGGGGCTTTATATGAATCAAATGCTCGGATGCCGAGACATAGTCCTCATTACCGAAGCTTAAATTTTTCTACACTAAACAAAGCGAGGTGAAAATATATGTTGCGGCTTGCGATTTGTATTGCTATCAAATGTTTCATAACGTGTGTTTGCGCGACTGACTGTCTCAGTACCCGCAAATTCCTAAGCTTCCTTCTTCGCGATCGCTATCTGTGCAACTCCTTCGAGGACTATCCTGCCCTCTCCATCCACGTGAAATCCCTTTTTCTGCATCAGAACTTTCTTATATGCTTCGATGGCTTCGTCCCATCGGTCCTCATCTTCCTGCTTCCAACCTCCCACTGGCTCTCCGATAATCGACCAGATAGCGCAAGCGAACTCGTCCAGGTCCTCCACTGGAAGACTAGTAGTACTTTCATATAGCTTTATGTCGCCAGAGTTGAAGCCGGCTTCAACGAGAAGATCGTGATTGAAAGTGGGGTCATTGTGCCTTGGGTGTGGCTCAACCTTCACTCTCGCGTCGGGTCCCCAGACTACACGCCGGGTCTCTACAGCTGAATCGCCTTGTGGAAGGCTCATCCAAAATGCAGTTACTGCTGTTCCTCCGGGTTGTAGTGTGCGATACATTTCCTTTGCAGCGGCGTTGGGGTCCGCGATGATAGGCAGCCCGAAAGAGAGAAAGGTGTGAGTAAAGGTAGAAGCAGTGAACTCGAGCTTCTGACAGTCCATTACTCTTGCTTCTGCGGGCCAGTCTTTGCTTTTTGACAACATATTGTATATCCCCACCATGGGCGGCGCGAGATCGGTAGCATGAATGGCAATCGACTTTGGCGGCAACGTTTGCAAGATTGAGTTTGTTACGGGGCCAAGACCGCAAGCGGCGTCGTGGATTATCGAGTCTTCAGGAAACGGTCGCAGAAGCGAAACTTCATACTCCGCAATGCTCTGGGTCATGTCCGCGCCGATAATGGCAAAGAGTCGATCATCACGGGGCATAACCTGCTTGGGAGTGAAAGGACTCATGTTTGCAGATGATGAAAGTTGACTGAAAACGCAGGAATCAAAAGAAAAAATACTCTGTGCTTTTCACTGCGCCGTTTCGGTGCAGATGCTTTGGTGAGGGGGAAAGTTGGTATGTTCTAGAGCTGCAACCCATCCCGGAGCACTCACTTTGCCCAGGCCCCATATCAAGGCTGTCCCTGATTTCGGAGCCCGACTCTACATTATGGAGCATTTGAAGGCCATCTGTGTTACTGTAACTACTGTACCGGTGACCGAGCGGTGACCGCATTCTCGAGCGCAGCCAGCGATCTGAGACGTATAGGCGCCGGGTTTTGTCCTGGCCGATTGCTCAATTTCCGGTCAAGGCAGCGAACTTCTATTTGAATGGCATTCCCAGTAAACTGGTTCGTCATACAAGTGCCTCCTCTGGTATTAGCCTAAGCATCATGCAGCGTGATTTTAATTTGTTCTTAGCTGCGGCTGGGGCTGCCTTAGTATGCCTTAGCACTGGATGGGGACTGGTAAACTTTTCCAAGTTTACGTAGATGTCGACTACCTAATTTAAGTGACGCAAAATCCGGATAGTCAGAAAACTTGATAGAGTAACTCAACGATTCGAGAGGTTATTGAAAGAGATTGAGCATACTTCTATTTGTTGGAAGCAGGAAATCCCCCTTGCTACGATTAAGCTTTCGTGTTACATTGTTTTGATGCATATACATGTATCTGGCGGTATGCCCACAAATGGCACGTGCTGAGAAAAAGATTATATACATGCAGATGTCTCACTTCCGCTCCTTTGAACCAGAATTCCTTGAAAATCCCCTCAAGATTTTCCGCCCAGCCTACAGATTCCAGTTATTGACCTATAAGCTCTTCAACAAGGTGGCAATCTCGTTGAATCGATGCTCAATGTCTTCGAAACAGTTTCGGCGCTCCATGGAGCCCGGTGTAGCAACAGCTGTTGTGTGATCCGGACCAATGCCCGCCAGGAGCTTGATCTTCTTGACAGCCTCGTAGCCTTGATGTGTTTCTCTCAACACCCTTTGCGCTTTCCACGCCAGCTCGTCCTCTCGGTCGTACCCAAATCCGCTGAACCCAAGACCGCCGCCCGGGATATGAAGGGTAGTGCGTCTCAGGCCATCCGGCGCCGTCATGATCCTGTGGCAAGCGTTCAGCAGTGCGATGAGTTGGTAACAGATTGTGCAGAATAGCATCAGGCATCTCAGATTTCGTGAGGCCTGTTGGGCGCTAATGAGTTCGCTCAACCTCTCATTCCCTTTCTTGATGATGGGGAACAGTATCAAAAATACCTCCAGGTCGGCCGCAATGTAGCTTTCGAGGTCACTAATGAGGTGGCAGCACTGCACGACGCATTCCATGTCTGTCTCGTTCTTGACTACCCACTCCTGCCGGGACGTGGGAGCTTGCGGCTCATCTGCTGATCTGGCAGGTGGAGCCGCCCGTGGGGACATCACCACTGGAGGCATGTGTGATGGAGAATCCCAAATGCCTTCCATATCAAAATTGAGGGTACCGATTAAGTCGGCTTCGGACACGGCAGGCAGACTATCCATAGAAGACGACGACGACGACGACGACGACGCAGATGTGCTGTTGACCAATTCGATGAAATTGTCACTGGTTGTTTCAGATGAGTTGAGTTGCGAGGTCACTGTCCAGTGACATGCCTGATCGTCAAGGTCGGGTATGGTAGCAATCTGCGTAGGCGCCTGCAGTCCTTCAGATTCCACTTGTAATGCTTCAGGCGGTTCACTCTCGCTTTGAATTCTTCTTCTCTTTGCTCGAATACCAGGCACTTTCCCGACTCTCGACTCCTGATAGACACAAGCTGTGCCCATGTTCACGCACCGCTCGCAACCGGTCCGATCGCCGCTGCATTTGACCTGAATCAACGTCTCAGCTATCAGGCAGGTTTGTAGTGTATCATGGTTTTGTTGATGTTGTTTTCAAGACTTGTTCTTCTGGTAGAGAAGTACCTTGGCTGCGCAGCATTGATTGCAGGCACTACGCAATTTCGGCTGTGGCCGAGTAGCGGCTGAGGTACTATCAGCTTTTAGCAGCCAACTCAAGTTTATTGTTTTATGAGCCTGCCAAATGACTCACTTTTGTGGCGAAGAACGAAGCATTTTTCCCCATAACCCGAGTCAAATGAAGGAAGCTCGAGACGATACTGGTAGTGCAGTATGGTGGGCGTATGACGACAGCTACGAGCAAGATGTGGGTATGGACTCCTCATCAAGGCAGTCAAGTATTCTGTGTCAGCAATACTTTTCCCCGCAACCCACTACCGAGAGTGGTGTAGGTGGTTGCCTTTTTGCCTTTTTGCTTGGCATCAAGCAGTACTGCTATCTGCATTGAGTCGCTTGCCTTCTCAGCCCAGCTCAATCAAACCACGGGGGTCGAGCAATCTATTGGTGACGTGGCCGCTTACTCCATGTCTCATTCATGGTATTGCGGTCCTTGGATGGCAGGCTACGTCATTCTGCGAGTGCATGATCCACATTGACGGATTCCGCGTCCAGCTCGTCTCGAGGAGTAACTCAAGCTCATACCCATCGAGTAAGTCGAGCATTAACACACGCATAACGACCAGATACCTCCCCAGACACGAGCGCGGGCCAAACCCAAAGCGCCAGTAGCAATATCGAAGCTCCGAGGCCGTGTGCTCAAAGAACCTGACTGACCGGTTACTCGCGCGGTCAGGGCCCCAGATCTCACCCTACACGTTAAGTTTGCATGCGTCAACCACCATAATAATGCCGGGCGGCACCGAGTATCCCCCAAGCCTGCGCTGTGTGGGCGCAGCCAAGCAAATTCCAGGATGCAAGCTGCAAGAAGCGTCGACGTACTTTGCATATATTTACTGCAGCTGCCTTCTTCACTGTGCACGACCTTGCTGTGATACTTCCGTCGTGTGTCACGTTGTATTCCAGGGTGGTCTGCCAGGTGCATCAGGTTCCATGAAATGCCGCCAATAGTCACGTCAAGGTTCGCGAACAGCATTTCATCCAGCGTCTGCAGCATCTCTTCTTGACTGGTCTTGCCTCGACGGACCGCCTCCTGCATGCTGCCGTTTTGGATCTTCGTTTGCGATGACACGGGTTATGTAAACGTCGTCGTTGAACCGGGCCTATTGCTGCTTGAACCCTTGCAGATCGCTATTCACCCTTGTTGGCTGGTAGAATCATGCGACCCCAAATTTTCTCTCGAAGCGGTATTATATCAACTAGTTTCCTCTTCTGACTCGGACTTATATCCCCAAAGAGGACATCAGCCACGATCCAGAATGGCAGCAGGCGCAAGTCTTGGACCGGGTTGATCCTTCGATCGACTAGATGGCCTTTCTCTTGCAGCTCCTGGAAGTACTGAACCGTGATTTCTCGCATCCTCAGTATGTAGGATGCGGCGCTCTTGTGCGAACAGTACAGTGCCATCACTTCACAGAGATCACGCCACCGGGCCCCGCTCACCAAACCTACGCATTTCCCAAGGAGTTCACCCAGGAGCCATCCCGAGTCATTTTTGACAGCTTTAACGTGCTTGTGCGAGTCGATGAACGCCGCGCGAACGTGTTCAGGGTCCGTAAGCACACTAATTAAACTCAGTCAGCGGCGCAGTCATTCATGCATGCTTCGGGTAAAAACCTCCAATTAGAAGGCAGACGAGGGACGAAAAGGCAATATACTTACATTTCGGAGTTTGAACCGCTCCATATCCGATACACACTCCCGTACTTTCTCTCCCAGTGGGCGCTGTTCTCAAGTCCTTCAAGAAACTTGCAAATGTCACCTTAGCCATTAGGCCACTCGTGCAGTACCGTAGGTAATTCGCGCTTGCCATCTACTAATCAGATCAGGATTTTTTATTTGAGGTAGGTCTATCACGGCACTTTAGATCTAGTTGAAATCTAATGTGTGTATCCCTGAAAACCTACATTTAGCCACATACACATTACTTGTTTGTATGCTACCCATATCGCGCTCAATGCCAGAAGGAGAAACATGTTGCTCGCAGGAGGGAAGTTGTTGCGATCTTCTTTTCGTTAATATGCATTTATATAGTATATAAAATTATAAAGAATGATATTAAGAAATGTAAAAGTCATTAAAAGTTTGGCTATTTTAGCTGAATGTGAGATATGCGCACATTTGTGTTAATATTACAAGTTTGGCCCATTTCTATAACAGATTGTTGCTGGTGTAGGTATGAAGCGTTTAATGAGATGGGAAACAATAAATACTAACGGAAGATTGGCATTCTGTACGAACTTTGTAGAGTTCTATCATGTGTCTAGAAAGGCATATCTCCATGTACTCTAAATCCCCGGCACCTCTCACATCCTTTCAAAACTTGGAGGAGGAATTGGCACCCAGCGCTCTACAAAACCTCTGCTAAAGCTATTCGGTAAGAGCGGATCCACACCCATCCGCATTCTCACAAAAGTATCGCCAACTAGAGGCAACCCCTTCCACATGACTACCGTGACCCAAGCCCAGCCCACGACAGTGCTGATCCACGTTCCTTCGCCGCGAAAGATGGGCACTCTGGTCGTCCTTACGATCCATTGCACAAAATCTTCCAGTGTAATGGCCGCCATTTGCCATACGAAGAAGAGAAAGAAGCCACGAGTCCGCTCCTCGGCGGTGATGTTGATGGGCGAGGGCATCTGCAGCTGGGACAGCGCATGAAATGTGCCTGATATGAGGAATGCGGTGTAGAGCTTTGTGTAAGAGGACATGTTTGTGCCTTTTCGTATTCGAAAGAAGGTGGCCACCGCATCCGAGTATTGTGTCAACATGTGGCGAAGCTGCTGGTGCCAATATGATCCCCAGAAATCTCGCACTGTGGTCGCGTGACTGAGTTTTCCGAAGGGTGAGGGCCAGTCCTAATGTTTTGCATGTCAGAATCTGGCCTTGGGCGTGGCCCGCGAGAGGCAACAAAAAGAAAAGCCAGACCCACTTCAGGTTTGCTAAGGCCTAGCAACACAGCAACAAAGGCAAATTGCGCATACTGCATGCTCAACATGAAATAGGGCGTAGAGCCGAACACGAAAGCTTTTGCAAAGCTCCAACGCCAGTCAGGATGCTGCAGGCTCAGATACTTGCTGTTCACAGTGCCCACAGAGCCATCGGGCAGCATGAACATCCACCGTCGGGTGAGTTCGAAAAGTAGATCTGCAATCATCATGCACTTTACAAATTGCCATGCTTGCCAAAAGAGAAACTTGGTTTTACTCTGGCCCTGCGGGATTAGCGGCACGTTTTTAACCTGGTGGTTCCATCGTACGCCACGCTGGTTAAATACCACCATGGACGCCCACACGAGTTTCCTCCATCCAAACCCGACAAAAGAACGAGCTTCTGCAGCGGGACGGTCAATGCGCCAGTATTGTGCTTCAGGACCGTTGGCAGAGAAGAGAAGCTTGGCCAGCGTCGCCATGTAGTACGACCATGCTATTGTGAAGGGTTGCGCTAGTGCGACATTGTTGGTGAAGTGCGGATTCAGGTGCGCTTGAATAGCGAGGGCTATAATGATGCTGCTGAAGAACAGGCGCCGGTACTTGAAGGAGGGTGATGCGAGCGCGACAAATTGAATCGCATAGAGAGCGACGTGAGGGACGATGGAACCTGTAGGCTCTCGGAGAGTCAGGTTTGCCTGGTACCTGTCGTTCTGCATGCTGCTCAAATTGAAGAATAGAATTATTTCACTTTCTTCTTCTTCTTCAGGTCGATTGTCTCCCCGCCGGATACTTCGTACATAAATCAGTTTTCACATCTTGCACCGGGCACCCACAGCGGAGTCGGGGCCCGGGGCAGTCCAGTCCCACCATATTTTGCCATAATGTCCTTCGCGGCCCCCGTTGATTACATTCTGTATCTGCAGTTACCTGTCTAAATGTAATGAATCAAAAACCCAAATAAGAGAGAAGAGAAAACCAAATCATCCTATTCTTCGTCTGTTTGCCCTGCAGAAACTTCTCCCGACTAGCCCCCATCGGACGGACTGAGAACAGTACATGGAAGCCATGAATGAAGTCAGCAGTGACGTTTTTCACGGCGCCCTTTGGAGCCCATATGCGTGGGTAGTGGCCTCGCTTCTTGCCATTATTTACTACATCAGTCTCCCTCAAGCTTCCATATACAGGAGATTTGTCCGCATCGGGGGAACAATTTGGAAATGGCGTGCCGTGCACGAAGTCGTAGGCGATGCATACCAGAATGTCCGTATACACGTTTTCGGCTGCCCCAGCCCGAGGTCATACCAAATCGTGCTGAACTAAATGTGAAAAAGAAGATAAAAACATCAGAAAAGCCAGTTGTGATACGTTGGTGGTCAAGAGACTACCTCATTATGCCACCCAAATACCTATTCGATCTCAGGGCGGCTGGGTGGACACAGTTGCACTTCTTCCGAAATATCAGCGATGCTCTATTCTTGTACAAGACAGTAGACGACTTATATACGTCTCCAGTAGCAGAGAGAATGGTGAATGTCGTCAAGAAAGGGTTAAATCCTCGTTTGCGTAAGGTTTTCATTGTCTTCACAGCATGTGTCCGTGTCAAGGGCTGTTCCAATCCGTTCACCAATCAGCTAACTTATCCAAATGTGCAGCCTATCTAACCCCGGGTTTAATGGAGGAAATCGAGTACGGATTTGAACAAGAGCTTAAGAACGGGAAAGAAACCTCTCGTGGGACCGAGGTACCCGCCATGCGATTTTTCAGCAACATCGTACACCGGAGCGCGACCAGACTCATGATTGGACCTGAGCTATGCCGTAATGAGAAGTTCCTGGAAGAAACAACCGCCTTGCTGGAGTCCATCTTCTTCACAGCTATTGTGATCGTGAATCTTCCCCTCGGCCCCTTCCGCAATGCCTTGATTGGCCTCTTCACGCTTCCGCACAAATGGAGACTGCAACGCTGCGTCAAAATGCTCCAGCCAGTTGTTGAAGCCCGACTCTCGGTACGAAACTTGGAAACATCCCAAACAAGCAAGCATACCGTGGGCGATGCTATAGATTGGACTCTTGACCTTGTAAACGATGAGACACCTTACAACACCCCGAAAAGGCTCGCCTATGAGCTCCTTCACAACCTCTGGGCTGCGTCGTCGGCCCCAGGTGGTATGATGACGGAGGTTGTCTATCAGCTACTTGCGTATCCTGAGTACGTGGATCTTATGAGGAAAGAAGCGGAAGTAGCGGTTAAAGAACATGGTTGGACCGAGAAGATGCTGGCAAATCTCCATCTACAAGATAGCTTCATTCGAGAAGTCAACCGTCTACTCCCCACAGGCGCCAGTAAGCCCTCTTCACTATCCCGCCTTTTTTTTTTTTGCTACTAAATAAAAGAAACCCCCTGCATTGCACTACACCTCACTAATACAAAACGAAAGTTACCTGTTCCCGCACTGTGACTACAGCCCCATTCACCTTTTCAGATGGCCTCACCCTTCCCGTCGGAACACGCTTCGGCTTTCCCATTAAAGCCATGCAATCCGACCCCGACCTGATTCCCGCTCCGGAGAGCTTCAATCCCTTTCGTTTTGCGCAGAGCTCCTCGTCCGAAACGCACCTTGCGGAAGAGAGTCGACGCTGGTCTTCCACGTCTATGTCGACGACCAATCTCGCCTGGGGCTACGGGAATCACATGTGTCCTGGTCGCTTCTTTGCTGTACGTGAGCTCAAGTTCATTCTTACCAAGATGTTGATCGAGTACGAGATTGGGTGGGACAGGGAGAAAAGGGACGGTAGGCCGAAACCAATCACGGTTGAAGGACAATTTGTGCCGAATATGAAGCAGAAAGTGTTTCTGAGGCGAAGAGATGTGTATTGAAGAAGAGTTCTGCAAGGAAAGTCAAAGATATGCTGTCAGTAGACGTGTTAGAAGAGGTTAGTAGGAGTATTGGGTTTTACAATTGATGTCTGCGCCTGTATCGACGAGCTCTTTCACGATTTCCACATGGCCACCTCTGACAGCACAATGTAATGGGGTATATTTGAGGCTGTTCTGCCTATCCAGTGCTTCGGGGTAATGCCGATAAGCTTGGATTAATTCAGAAGCTATTTTTCGAAAGCCGTACTGGCATGCCATGTGTATACCGGTCATTTTATTGGGTTTGAATGGACCAAGGAGTTTCTCGTCCGTTTTTTGTTTGAATCGAAGTGATGCTCGTGTGACTGGCATTTCTTTGAGAATACGAAGAAGATATAGCTGGTAGTTTGCGTCCACCAATAAGGTCACTTAATAGGCGGCCTCCACCTGTGAGTCTGACTTGAGAAGCTTTGTGGTTGGTTTGTAGAGTATTTGGTACTTGTGTTCTCCTGAGAACGTAGTATTTCGAAAGTGTGTGGGCCAATACCTAGCAGCATAGTCGAGAAGAGGCATTTTCTCCAATCTACTGTCGTAGAGTTTTGCGTCAGGGTTAACTCCATGACAAATTTCCCCAGCTGTAAGCAGTGTTGACCATCTCTTATCAGATAATATCGTCGCTTTATAACGCCATAGGACAGCTCAAGACACTACCCAGGGAATTTGAAGGCCTGAAGGGCGAGATCGCTATTATATAGCAGTGCATCGAGCAGTTAAGTCGGTTTATTACGGCGGATTACGGAACGTTCAAGGTGTTGCGACGCTTCCAATTTGCAGAAGGAGTGTGGATTCCCAAGTGAAATATTGTTCACTTCCGAGAATATTGCTAAGATCAAGGTCCCACATAATCTGTTATTCTGTAGGGGAATTTCTAGCCTTTAAACCGAATGACCCGATAGGTGATCAGATGAAGCCTAGATGTGATCGAACTGTACCTGCACATGTGGTATCGAGTAGGAGAGACATTATACACTAACTCATTACAGTCTAGCCCGTTTCCCCACATACTGCCTACTTAAAGTGCTGTAGTCACACTGACGATGCATCTTTCACGCGATCAACTCTCGGAGAGAGCAGCGGGGCGCTTCGTGACAGTGTTACAGGATGACCACTGCCATCTGATATGAGGGCCGAATACTGAAGCAGGTGGTGGAGGCTTAGCAGCATGCGTTGAAGCAGCTAATGCCCCCAAAAGTGTCGGGCCCAGACTTTTGGAATCATTGCCCAGATTTTCCTTTGGAATACAAAAGCTCGCAAGGCGCATGTGTGCACGCAGTGTTTGAGTAGAAGTTCGCGCGATATCGCAGGCTGTGCATTAACATGGCTGTATGTGTTTGCATATTAATGCTGGATGAAGCTTTGCTGATTCTGTGTAGGATTCCAACCAACCACGAATTCAAGTTGTCTCACCTGTACCATCCCATACCTCATTCGACGAAGAAAGTCTGATCGAAAGTCCTTCACTTCGATCACCGAGATCCCATTATCATTTCGACAGTGCCATCGAGATCAGCCCAGTATCTCCCTGCTCTGGCCTGATCAAGCCCGAGCTGATAGACAGCAGTCACTTTGTGTACCCTCCACTTATCACCGGCCATGGAAGGCTTGTGAGAGCTAGACAGACTGTACCGGGTTGGATCGGCGTACTGGTGATAGTGGGAATGCTTGCGTGGGTTATCTGGTGCGCTTGGAGCTTGCATCCCTTCGTACACGGTCGATAAAATAGGAGGGATGGATCGACACAATCTCTTTCAACCATTTATTTTGGAGGCGTTTACATGCGAAATATGTCGAACTAAGGATATTGAAACCTTGAAAACATTATGGAGATGCATGCAGCGCGTGTGCTTTTCGAAGCTGATGCGTGTCTAGACATGGGATACTAGACATAGATATTCTGGGTTATCATGAATGCCACATCGCATATCTTCGAGGAAATATGAAACAGTTATCGACATGGAAAATGAAGCGCAAAGAGGTTTCAATGAATAACAAATCGTTGCATTCATAACGGATGGTTAGTAGCAGTGGTTGAAGACAATGACAAGAGGCGCTAGGCCAAGTTGCGGGCCAATATCGGCTAAACAGGAAAGTCGAGCAGAGAGAATCCCGTTCACCACCTCAAGCTTCCCGCAAGCCAGCAATTGCATCCCCACCACACCTCTATCCATCATGAGCTCCCTCCGTGTCGCCCGGGCTGCCCTCCGCGTCAGGCCTACCGCCTTTACCCGCCCCCTCCAGCGCCGAGGATACGCTGATGTCGCCCCGGACAAGATCAAGCTGTCCCTAGCTCTGCCGCATCAGGTACGCAACGCCAGCCATCACCAAGGGGGAGGCGCCTGTGAAGCGCATGTCTTGTTTGTCACAAAATGGGATGGAAGCTAACATGTCATATCGCAGTCTGTCTACAAGTCGCAAGATGTGTACGTCCTCCGCTAATCCGACCGGGCTCCCGTGCTCCCACGGTCCTCGAGTAAATACTAATGGAACGGGAATATAGTGTCCAAGTGAACCTCCCCGCGGAAACCGGCGAGATGGGTGTTTTGGCCAACCACGTTCCTTCCATCGAGCAATTGAAGCCCGGACTTGTCGAGATCATTGAGGAGAGCGGTGGCAGCAAGCAGTTCTTCCTGTCTGGCGGATTCGCTGTTGTACAGCCCGGTTCCCAGCTCAGCATCAACGCCGTGGAGTCATACCCATTGGAAGATTTCAGCGCAGAGGTAGGAGTCACGACAGGCGATACGAGACGAGATGGATACTGACGGTGGCATAGGCTGTCAAGAACCAAATCGCAGAGGCCCAGAAGATTGCCAGCGGAAACGGCAGTGAGCAAGATGTTGCCGAGGCCAAGATTGAGCTCGAGGTGGGTCTGATAACGATAAATCGGTGTGCGAAGTACGACTAACATAATCTCAGGTCCTCGAGAGCCTGCAGGCGGCCCTCAAGTAATTGTGTAGATAGCTTTCTTTGCGTTATGTGTACACTACCCAGGCGCGGGGGGTACCCTCCTTCCGCGCGCAAAAGATAGAAGGTGCTTCTGAACAACAAACTCTTCCACGCCCCTCTTGACTTCGCTTTGTACCCACTCTCCTCGCTCATATTGATCACACTCGATTCCACCTTTATCTGAACTCCATTCATATACTCTCTCCTACTGTCAACTAACTCCAGAGCGCATCCCCTCACTGCAGCCTACTACGACCTACCTACTTGCGTTCGCATCATTTTTAACCGCCTGTTTTACGAAACCATTACTCGTCGACTTTGCGCAAGCACGTTACATGAAGCGAACACTAAAACCCTCCGCATCGAACCCAACCTTGTGCCATAACTCGAAGATAGGAGAAGGAGCGCAGGATGTCAATGTATCTTCTGGGCACGGTCAACACCAACGTACAGATAACCACGCAACACAGGATTCACCTATTCGCGGGTCTTCTCAAAGTCAGGCAACTCATCATCACTCACAATCAAAGCTGCCATCATACTTGAACGGGAAAAATCCCTACGGTCGCATTCTGGATCAAATAGACCATCCCTATCGAGAGCCCCAACAGATTTCGACATCACCTCCGTCACAGTTGGGTAGCAGTATTGAAGGACGACCAAGGACTTCTGGGGCTTTTCATTTCAAAACGCGGCCTGATCAGGTTACACAGCCCGTCCTCGATGATATCAAGCATAGTCCTCCCCCTCCTTCGAGTCAACCATTTCCTCGGCCAATTCAAAAACAATCATTCAATACTACCAGGAATTTCTTCGAGAACAAAGTCGATAGTCCTTCTCAAGCATCCGTGCGCGCTCCTGTGAAACCAACAAGAACGGGGACATTCCGAGCTGGGAAGGACTTCTTCGAGAGTAAATCCAGAGAGTCTGAAAAAGCATTATCTCCACTCAAAGGGAATAAACCTTCTCAAAGGTCAGATGAATTCGTAAAAGCCAAGCGTGATGCTGCTGCCCCGAAATTGGCGGTAACCGCACTGGATGACAGCCCAGCCGGAGACCCATCTCTGGCGCGCAGGCGATCAACCAATGTGTTCACTCAATCACGCCGAGGACCACACTTTCTCGGACGTAAACATTGTCATGAAGCTCATCACAGTAAAGTTAAGGACGAATCTCATACCCCAAAGGAACCTGCCGTGAGCCCTAGCCTACACTCTCAAGAGACCAAGGACGAGTCTGTTGGGTACGACGGATCAAGTGCCCATCACAGCTACAGCTACATTCCGAACCAGCGTACGCCTGTTCCGGATATGGTCTTCACTAACAGTGCCGACCTCCAAGACAGCTATTATTCTATCGAAGTACCTGATGATATTGACGATCGTGGCGGGTATGGACGTCGAAAATCACAAGACTTTGGTTATCCTAGTGCGCGTATCAGGCCCGGCTCAACGTTGAAAACTTACAGAACTCCTTTACAGGATCCAGGAAGATGGACCAAACGTTCGTGTGGGCATTTCTCATCCATTGGTGCGATGGAGTCTCACGAGGACGCTACGAGCAAGCCATGTAGCCAGTGCACTATCAAGAAGAACGCTGCTTTATCTACTCTCGCAAACAAACTTGTTCTCACACCATTCCCTCGTCCTCCGATTAAAGAGCAGGGTGCATATTCTATCTCTTCGTATGCTCAGCCCCAAACACAGTCAAAAACCTATTACAATCAATACATGAACCACAATGCAGCATGGAAATCTGGATAGGTCACAGAGATCTTTCTAAGTGATTGAAGCTGACTTTATAATCGCAATGCAGATCTTCGGATACAGACACGTTCGTAACACCCGAAGAGCAGCCCCCTTCGCCTCACCCTGGCTATCACCAAAGCCAAGCAGACCGCAGCTTCCACGCACCCGACCGATATGCAGAGGATTTCGTTCAAGACGTTAGTCGCCTCCTCGACTCGATTCTCGAAGAGCACCAGAACACGCTGCAGAAGGTCATCAACAATATCGAATCGAGTCGTCAGCAGCGTCGACCATATCTAGCGCCGAGCCGTGGAGTAACAGAGGGCAGCAAAATACCGCTGGTGACGAGACTAAGGCAGAAAAGCTGGGATCCGGACCTTCATCAATGGGGGTGTGTATAAGCTAGCATGAACACGCAAAGTTAGACTGGCGATTCGCCGAATTGATGAACCCTGTTGACGACCTCTTTGCTATATCATAACACTGACTTCGTGAAATCCCGAGCTTCTAGGCGTATGAGAAGACCTTCCCCATCTGCAAATAACAACGTATTCTCGCTACCACCATCACGGTATGTATCACCGCCGTCACCGTACATACCACCTACGGTCCCTGAGATCAGCCCTCGCAGCCCGCCACGGCCTCTTCTTTTCGATGCCCACTCAACACATTCGCCAGGCCCAACCTCACAACAACACTATCCTCTCTATGCACCGTTCTCGGGTCCACGTACTCAATCCCCCTCACGGGAGCCTTGGAAAAGGAAATCCCGTCAAGCTTACCCAGTACCGCCACCACGACTTCCCAATCAATCCGATGAGCCTCCAGCCGTCCTTCCAGACGATAATGATAAAGACTCGGCTGCACTGCCATCAGACTCAATCCCATCGCCTTCATCCCCTTTCCCCTCCTCCTCTTCTTCTTCCGTCTCGAAAACAGTTACACAGCAACAGCAACATCAGCAGCAAGGATACACATCTTCATCGTCGTCCTCTTCCCCATCTCCCAACAACAACCCCGCCAACAAACAACGTAATCCAGATCCCAAAAGCACTACTAACAACACCATCTCCTCTTCTCTCCCTTTTCCTACTACATCTCCACTACCCCCACCGTCATCATCGGCACATCCTCCTCCTTCTCTTCCTCCTGGAACAGTCGCAGACCTCATCTCCCTAATCGACTCCACGGCACTGGATCTAGGTCTTGATCTTGAACATGGGGCACCACGGAGATGCGATGATGAGGTTTTTAAGAGGGCTGTTTGAATTTTTATGGAATAGGGGTTGCGATAGATTGAGATGAGATTGGATTTTAATCCGTGGCTTTGTTTTTGTCTAGGAGGTTTGGAAGTTGAAGGGATAGATAGATAAAAGAGACGGATAGGGAAAAAATGCGTGATTAGAAGATGGGGGATATAATTAATTGAATAGGCTTGTTGATATTGTGAATGCTTGTGATGGGGAGGAGGTTCGGTCTGAAATACATACATGCATTACCTCTCCAATACCTAGAGAGAGAGAGAGTATAGACTTGGAAAAGATGGAGTTAATGTTACATGAAATGAAAGCACGCACGAATAGTTGTTTATTAGTAAGATTAAAAGAATGGAAAAATATAGATGTTACAATAGGTATAGGAATTCGCAGAGAGAGAGAGAGAGAAGTTATACAGATTTTTTTTGTAACATCAATATACAGAAAACCTTTTTTTTGGGGTACATTTAACCTCTAATCTTTCTTTTTTTCCTATCTCTCTTTGCTATTTCTTATGTTTATTCTTCTTCTTTAGTTAGGGATTAGTGGCTAGTAGTTCTGTACTGTTACTGTTCTATGCAGTACTTGTACTTGTACTATAAGTTAAACTTGAACTCAACTTGAATTCAGCTCGATTCGATTCAACCCACCGAGCACAAAAAAAAAGCAAAAGAGAGAAAAAAAAAAGGGGGGGGAGTTGAAGAATCTCACCTGGGAGTTTTGGATCCAACTTCACACACACACACACAAAGACTTACAAACACACAGACAGAGCAAGAGTCAAAAAAACAGCTAACAGAAAAAGAGCAATTCAAGATAATCGACTGATTTGGCACTACCCTACTCTGGATTCCCATAAACGTACATCTCTCTCACACACACTCAGACTCAGACTCTCGAGAAGAGAAGAAGAAGAAGAGAAGAAAAGAAAAAAAAGAGCCGTGTCCATCACCGAAAAAAAGAAGAAGAAGAAGAAAAGGGTAGTCGGCCGGGGACGTGTCAAACAATACTTCAGCCATACACCATTTGGCTGAACACATGACGGACAGACAGCGACGACGACATTCTTTCTTCGACGATAACACGGCACCTCTCTCTCTCTCTTCCCTGATTCCTCGAGCCCAAAACAAAACAAAAAGAAAGAAAAGGGGGAAGACGGGGGAAACAAGGAAAAGGAGGGAAAAGGGTGGAAACAAACGACAGACATTAGGCACGTCCACACACTAGTAGCGCACCAACGACCCAGATAGACCGCTCCCGAAGACCAAGAGGCTACCCCCATCCACGCATCCATGCTTGCACACTTCTCTGCGAACCTCTTCTTGCCCCTTCACCTCCGTAGATTCGAAAATCGACGTACGTTTCAAAAATTGAAGTATACATGACAAGCTGCCGTATGCCATTCCAACCGTTGCTATTCATGTCTTTTGTGTCATTCGACCAGAGAAGATACCGCCGCTAATGCAAGATAGTCTTGAACATGTGAACTTGAAACCCGCCAGGCGAGCAAAGTACAGACCATCCTGGACGCCAGTATGCCAATGCAATAGAAGAAGCGGAATCGTAGCATTCGTCCCCCTCGGTCGCGTATACGTAAGATGGGACCGAAGAGCGGTGGGGCAAGGATGTCGTGAGGATCAGGTGCCGAAAAAGGAAAGTGGGGAATGATATCGATGGATGCGGGGAAGAAGTCGCATAATTGATTCGGCATCGGTGCCGGAGGGCTTAACAATATCGAATCGTCTATCGACGCCCAAACCTGCTGCACGGGAAGTTCGTAAAGATTCATGGAGTGATGTGGGTCATAGCTAAGCCTTTTTGCGTGGCGACATCTGTCGACCGCCGCCGAGATGGGGAACGTACTTTTGTTTCTTCTCTGCCGGTTTCAAGATCTAGTATCTGTTAGCATACACAAGAAGGGAGCAGATCGGTGTAGACGTACCTGGAATGAGCAGAGCAGGCTCTCGTCCACGCTCATCATTGCGCCAGCATTGTCGAATTCACCGCAATAGTTGGGTGCGCTGAAGAGCGTAACAAGTTGGCGTTTCGAGAAGAACTCGTAGCCATCTTCCACGACCTGATGAGCTCGGCAGATGAGGTCCATGTCGTGCTTCTGCAAGAAACGGGACACGACATCCGGACCGAATGTGAAGCTGACACCTCGATCGTTTTCACTCCAGCCAGTGATATCCTTGTCAGGATCTGACCACAGGAGATCACAGAGCAATCCGCAATCGGGGATCTGGAGGCATCATGTTAGCAGTGGCCAAGAGACAACGATGGTCTCATTTGTTTTGAGGTAGCAGACTTACATCAGTGGGTCGCATGACGCGCCTGATCTGCTCCATGGAGTTCAGGTCGGGGCTCAGGCCACCGTGCATGGTGAAGATTTTCTCATCGATGATGGCAGCAATGGGCAAGCAATTGAAGCAATCAGTGAAGGTCTTCCAGAGCTTGATGTTGTACCTCCGCTTGCACTCGTCATAGAATCCGTAGATACGGTTGATGGAGGCGCACTCGTGGTTTCCTCGAAGGACGAAGAAGTTCTCAGGGTACTTGATCTTGTATGCGAGCAAAAGGCAAATGGTCTCGAGAGACTGCTTGCCACGATCGACGTAATCACCGAGGAATAGATAGTTGGCCTCGGGTGGGAAGCCGCCGTATTCGAACAGGCGCAGGAGATCGTAGTACTGGCCATGTATATCACCACAGATCTGCAAAAAGTTTTCATGTTAGCTAAGGCCCCCCTCTCTGCAGAGCTGGACTCCACAGTCTGTTTCCATGGCCCAGACTGACCTTTATCGGAGCCTCGAGCTCGAGCAAGATGGGCTGTGAGATGAAGATTTCGCGGGCCTTGGTGCAAAGGTATCTTATCTCCGTCTCCAACAGCTGGACCTGTTTGCCAGGTCTGCTTCCTCTAACCTCCAGGAGCCTGTCTATAATGGAATCGAGATCCACCTCGGTTTCGGCCATGGCTACGGGGTGCGAGTAGCTCGGAGAGAGGATGGGGGGGGTTGAAGGTGGCCTGGTTGGCAAGGGTTCACCTCGCGCACGGTGGCAGGAGGGAGAGAGGGTGTTCGCGAAAGACTTGTGGTGCGTTCCCTAGGGTGGCACAGAGTCAGCGAGAAGGAAAACAGTGGGCATGCAAGACTTTTGAGTAGCGCGAAGTGACGCAACCAGGCGGCCAGCGTCGGCGGCAAGGCGTTGTGGGGATGAGGTGTCTTGAACAGCAGCAAGTAGTAGGGGAAGGGCAATATACCTCTTGTTGCAGTCAGCTGGCTCTGGAAGATTGGATAGCTGTAGCTCGCGTTGGAGTCGAAATTGGCGCGAAGGCCTCCGGGCAAGGGCAGAAGGGAGCGGTGGTAATCACGCGACTTCTGTGGCAGCTGTGGTGGAGCAAAGATCAATTGCAGAGATCAACAACAAACGACGAGGGGCAGTCCGGCGGCTGAGGGGCAAACGCGCACAAGGAGATGGTTGTGGGAGGCGATGTGGTTGTGGAAATGGAGTGGGATGTGAGTTGACTTCACCGCCTTGACTACGGGCACGTCGGGAGGTGGTGGAAGTGGTGGGCAGTAAGGATGCAGATGGGATGAGCCGACTCTGGATTCTTGGACCTGGGCAGCGGGTGCAGAGGCTGGATCGAGTAGAGTTGAGCAGAGACTGGGGAGCGTTGCTGTTGCTGTGCTTGGAGTGTGCGGTGCAGGCAGAGGCAGAGGCAGAACGCTGGGGTGAAGTCTTTCCTTCGCTTGGGTCGAGCGGCGTTGCCAAGAAGCGCGTATACGCTAGGCCAGTCCGGGACGTCGTTGGTCAAAGGGCGATAGGGAGGGGGAGGGACTGACGCACGACACACACGAACCTCCTGTTGGGAAACAACAGAGCTGCTGCACTGAGTCGCGGATCAGATGGGGGGGGTTTTTTTTTTCTTCCTTTCCTTCGCTGCCCGGCCTGGCTGGGAACAGGAGAACCACCGGTGCCAGCGTCCAGCGCTCCTGGGCGCTACGATGAATTGAATCCTGCTAACACGGCACTAGGCAGAGGCCCCCTTCAATAACACATCAGCTCCATCCATTACAAAACACCTTTTCTGCCAACCAGCGGCTATTCTCTGCCACCGTCTACATATGGGCCCCCCCTCCCACGGCCTGCGTTCGACATGTTTTAAGCTTTTCCCAGACATTGTCCGAGCATTCGAGATATTACTCCAATTATTCATTCAAATCTGTTTCCCCTTGACCTTCCAGCCGGCCGGCCCTGTGTCTGAACCGCAACTAACGACTGCTGGGCTGCGGCCGGTCCTGAAACACTGCAGCCACCCATCCCAAACATGCTCGCATTCTAGCCTCGAGATCGCCGCTTATGCTCGTTCCTACCGCCCGTCTCGTGGGTACTTACTCCCCCTTAGGCATCAAGTCAGTCCGACCCTTCGCGCCACCCGCTCTGTCCCTTCAGCCCAAAGCTGCAAACAGAGTAGGGACACGGAGAGGAACAGAGATTGAAATAAGGACAAGAGAAAAAAAAATACTAAACTTCGCTAGCCCGTCCAGCCCGCCCCTCTTGGATCGGTTTGTACCTACTGACCTTTCCCTTTCCCGTCCCAAGTCCGCCCGCTCGTCGCCCGGGCACTTTTTTTTGTGGTTTTTTATTTTTTTTGCGGCTCTCTCTTTCTTTGTCAGCACCCCTGGCCCTGAAACCAATCAGCCGCTCGCTTTTTGTGTGCCTCGTGCATCGAAGCTGCTGCTGCTGCTCTACATACTGTACCCTGGCCGCAATCATACGTGACTGTGTACTATAGGTTACGAGATAATTTTAGTCTTCTGCATACTTGCTACGCATCCGGTACCTGTCACTGCATCAACCACGTATAGTTGCATACGTGTGTGTATTGCCTCGAACCAGTTGGCGTGCCACACCATGTCATTCTTTACTATTGCGTTTCAAAACAATAGGCCAACTCAAAACCTTGCACTGGGAGCAGTCGTTGCCTCCTCATCAACACGCTCGATTGTCGTGGTTGTTCTCTCAAACATTACATCATTCATTTATTCAGTGCAGTCACACATGCCCATATAAAAATGCAATCAATACTCGTCTTGTAATGTCATGTATGCAACTTTCAACCCATATATTATGCAGCAGCAGCGCTCCCTATCTTTTGTATGTGGTATAAACACCAGACCACCCCTTGTAGCATCGAAAACAGGCCGTTTTACCATCGTATGCGAGAAAGAACAAGAGCCTAGAGAGCAAAGAGAAGAAAAGAAAAAAAGTTGAAAAGAAACTGCAAGAAGAATCAAGTCGCTCAAAAACGCCCAACAAGATGAGTATGATACAAGAGAAATCGTAACAAAGTCGAAAGATGCCGGATCTTCCAAGCCAAATGGAAAGAGGAACATGAAAATCGGAAATGCAAGCAAGACCTTCTTTTGTAAAGCAATGCCGTCCCCGACAAACCATGTAAAAGAGGAGAGAGAGAGGACTATCCGGTCAACAAGCGTCGTTTCTTGTTGCGTGAAATCCCTATCCCGCTGGACGCCATGTATAATCACCTAGTGAACAATCGAGAAAGAGTAGGAACGCATCATGGGAAACAGGAACAGAAAAGACGGCTTGCCCTCATCATATTTCAAGGCAAAATGGCCAGGATACGACGAAGCGCAAGCATGGGGTATCGCAAAAGAATCGTAGTGAATCAACCAAGAGTCCTCCCAGAGACGATGCCCTGGCTAGGAGTGCGAGCCAACGTCGGCTGTAGAGCGGGTGAAAAGTCTTGCTCAGAAGGGAAGCTGGTTACCGACTTTGCATCCCAATTTTCGTCTCCGAGGGCACTCAACCACGTATTTCCAAAGTCTTGGCGAAGCGCCTCAATCTTCTTCTTGTAAAGATCGCCACTGACATCAATCTCGTGAGTGGGCTGCGTGTCGACTGCAGTATCAATCGGGGGTATACTTCTAGCAGAATCAACCGAAGCCGCTACAGCCTCCTCTGGTGCTTTGAGACGTGTGGGACTGGGCAGAGGTATGCCATTCGTCGCCGGCTCAGATGTACGACTCTCGGGTGCGGGGACTTCTTCGTCGGGAGCAGCAGCAGGTGCTACGGGCACGTCCATCTTTGCAGGCTTCACAGCATCACTCTGACTGAGTTCCACCACTCTCCGCTTGGGCGCTTTCTTCTTTCGAAGGGAACCCCCTTTGGCGCTTTTGGCGCTTTTAGTGCGATACAGAGAAGTACGCTGGGCTTCCTCCGAGTTGTCAATTGCTTTGACGACCTTGGGTGGAGAAAACGGCGCGGGCACATCATCCTCGGGTGGTGGTCTGACAATTGGCACGCTCGGCAATTCGGGCACTCTGTCAATGAGTTGCTTTCTTTCGCCGCTACTCGGTCCAGTAGCATCCAAGGTTACATCGGCTGTGTAACCCGGGGTTTTCCGAAAGAGGTTGAAGATGGTAACTCGGTAAGTGCTATAAGACTTGCAAAACGGGTTGCGGTGAACGTAGATATCAATCATGTTGGGCACAACGGTAAGCCGGGCGAGCTCTGTAGGATCAGTGAGCTTGTTGTCTCTAAGGTCTACACGCTCTAAAGAGAGCAATCGCTCGATACCGGCAAGGGCAGTCAGCCGATTTGACCGAAGGTTGAGAGTCGTGATGGCGGGCAAGGGATTTCTGCCCAACGAGTGCAGACTTTCAATCATGCAGTTGGACATGTTCAGTGCGCGAAGGCAAGACAAGGTCGCGATACTATCGGGTATCTCAGTAAAGAGGTTAGCCGAGATGTCCAGCGATTGCAAGGTATTAGCGAGAGGGGAGAGACTGGAAGCCGAGATGTTGGTAAGCGCGTTATCAGCCAAGCTCAAGTGTCTAAGGAAACGCCATTTGGTAGACGGAAACCACCCGAGTGACAGCAGATTCGAAGAGCTGGCACGCGGAGTAGTTGATCGGACGCTGGAAGCAGAGCTACCTGACGACCGACGGACATTGGCTCCGCCGTTCCTGCCATGAACGTGGGTAGATCCATGACGAGAACTAACGGGCCTCGTCGGCGATGTACTTCGCTGACGGTTGTGCGAAGGAAGTTTGGAACCTTCTCTGATCAGCGTGGAATTCCTAGGGCTCACGCTCTGCTTTCCTGACGTGGTGGGAGACATGGGAGGAGAGTTGGAGCGTGCCAGTTGGGCGTGTTTGGGCGTGGGGCTTCCGGTGGGCCACGGTCCAGGAGGGGAGGTTGGTGCTTTGGCTGACCGCCTTCGCCTTTTGTCCACATCGTCCAGTACAATATTGATGAGTAGGTCGGCGGGGTCATCCACACCTGCTCTTTTGACCGTCAGACTACGCAAATTCTCAGCAAGACGGTCCCAGCCATAGAACTGGCGAAAGTCAACATCGTAGATTTCTAGCGCGGTGACATTCTTGAATGCATGTAGAGGCACGGCACTGTCAAATGGAAACTCCTCGTAGCCAGCAATCAGGCGGGCCTTGTGGTCGGGAGCAAGCCTCAGACATGGGATCTTGGTGAAGGAAGAGTACAAGTACTTGAGATCTTCCTCGAGTTGGGCTTTTTGCTTTTCCATCTTGGACGCACTGTTGGAGGTGAGGCGAAGAGAAGACCAAAGAGAAGACATGCCCGACATCACACTGCGAATGCTGGAGACTGAGTGGATAGAGTCACGGTCAGAGGCTCTGGTCTTGTTGCGTTGCGCGTTGCTAAGGAATGAGACATAGTTTGTGGGAGAGACGTCAGTGTGGATGTTCTCCAGACGCACGTTCATGGGCCCCACAGAAATGTTCAAATCTTCAAATCGCGAGAGAAGGTAGAAAAGATGGTGAGGTGTGAGAGTGAGCTTTGCAGGTTTGATCGACTGCGATGTGAATGTGAGGGAGGGGAGAGAGAGAGCCGTTGCCCACACACTCGAGGTCGAGGATGCTGTATTTGTAGAAGCGGTAGGTGAGGTGGGTGTGGTGACAGAGGCCCGGCGAGGGGCTTGCCGTTGTAGTTGGAGAGCATTTGCAAGTGCCTTTTCGTGAGTTCGGACAAAGTATGCCAGGTTCTGGTAGAGCAAAGATGAAGGTTAGCTGAAGGAAACACACGGGCAAGACAAGTGGGGTGATTGGTGCTTCAAAGTCGGGGAGGTGCACATGTACACCGGAAGGGAGATGGCATATGGGCATGCGGCATGCCGCGTGAACTCTGTGCTATCAAGTACCCCACCAAAAGACGAAGGGAAATAGCGCACCTTTATGAAAACCTGCCCATCCTCTGTATCCATGATTCCTGTGTAGCGGGCAGCGATTGCATGCAGGGCCCGAGGGTGGATGTAGGGCGATAGGGGAGAAGCAGCGTCGGAGGGGGGAAGGCGGTGGCCGGAGGGAGAGGAGGAGAGTGGCCGAAAAGATTGTTACGGGAGACTTGGGGTGACGAGGTTTCTCGGGCGCGGTTGTTGATAAGACGGCCTGGGCGGCCTAGGGGACTTTTGGGATCATCAGTAAACAACAAGACATGGTGAAGAAGCAGCGGTAGCGGGCATGCGGGGGAAGGATGTGAAGAAGAGCGAAGACGGTGGTGCAAGCATGACTTGGCCGCAGCGGCGAAAATGATAAGTAGGATGAATTGATGGATGAGGGCAGAGTCACATACATACCTCGGAGACCCTCCTCTGGGCCTTGGGAAAGGGACCAAAGTTTGAGAGAGGGCGAGAAATCGGGGCGGAACGGGGGGCGGGCAGGTATTATCAACAAGCGTGGGCAGGTAGCTTGGACGCTGCAACGCTTCGGGTGGTATTGCAAGGCAGCGCGAGTAGTAGCAGGGCCAAGGGTGAGATAGGGACCCCGGGAGCTGCAGCGGCTCACGCACGCACTCACAGACGCACGCACGCACAAGCACCAACCCGCGACGACAGCTGGAGCAGAGAAAGAAGGGAAAAAAAAATGTGTATGGCACGGGAGCGGCTCCTGTGGCGAGACAAGGGACGTGGTGGAGGGGGGAGGGTTTGAGCCAACCGAGCAACAAACAAACAAACGAGCAGACAAATAGACAACAGAGGGGGGGGAGGGGGTGATTGTTATTGTTGGCGTTTGTTGTGTGTTGAGATGATTAGCAGGAAATTGGATGCAATCAGGGAGCGAACGGATTAGGATTCAAGGTGTGCATGTATGTATGTACGGGAGTATATATGGTAGAAAAGGGACATGCGGCGGGCGTCGGGAAACAAGGCGAGCCACTACCACTACTATTGCTGTTGCTACTTGGACTGCGCGGGGACCAAAATGTCCAACGGCTCGAGTGGAAGCAGTAGTGATGGCCGTGGAGAAGAAGCAGAGGCAGAAGACGGGAGAGCAAAGCAGGGCAGGGCAGGAGAGGAGAGAGAGAGGAAAAGGGCCGCGAGGGCAGGGAGGTTGATAGTCGCAACCGCATTTTGACGATATGGCGGAGTTGCGTCTGCCAATGGGACTGGGCAGCCAAGCAGAGTTCCGCCCACCATCATGGAGCGCTAACGGAGCGTGACGGTGGTTCAAGTGGGCGTCACCCTCGTCCACTCTCTACCTGCATACATACATGTGTACGTCCTGTACCACGACGCCCCCCCCCCCCCCCTTCAGGCGACCTGCATTCTCCGCTCAGCTTTTGTTATCTCCACAAGACAGCGTGGATGGTGGTGGCATGGAACGAAAGAGAAGGGTAAAAAAAAAAAAAAGAAAACAAGCAGAACAAGGTCCCAAGCCGTCCCTTCTTCGGAGAGTCTACCAGGTTCAGTTCAAAGACGACTCCCTGTCACGGGCGAGACCAGGGTGTGTGTACATAGCATCACTAGCCCAACCTCAAGATTAATTTTAAGCCCTCCCGGCCAATGCGGGACCACCACCACCAGGCCATGAGGGCCATGAGGCTGCAGAGCAAGCACCCGCCAGCCAGCCAGCCAGCCAGCCAGCCAGTCAGCTACCGGCCTGAAGCACGACAACAGCATCACCATCGTCATGTCTATCGGTCCCTCTTATGTCCACCTTAGGTCCGCCGTCAGAGGGCTCACGTCGACGTCTCAAGTCGGGACCTCTGCATAGTGCGCCCACACAGCCAGCCCGCAAAGACGAAACACAGTGCACGCCAGTTGGCCAGACGGAAACGCTCCAGCAGGGCCCCAAGAGGCAGCACGATGCTCAGCTGACAGTTGGATGTGTGGTGTTTTCCGTCTGTGTACATGATGTCTCTTCTGCTTGCTTGGCTGACTGCGGCTATCGCGGGGCTTGTAAGCGAACACTGGACCCTCGAAAAATCCTTCGTGCACGGTTCGAGCTTCCTACAGGGATCCACGGCCATCTCTCTGTTTGTCGTGACCTCCAAGATATTGGTCAACTGTAACTGGTGCCGGCCATGCCGACATGCTGTCCAACCGTTTGCTGTCCATCGTGTCCACGGCTCGAGTTGCATAGATGTCCATTCATCCCTACCATAACGTGCTGCAGCTGGATGCACATGCAAACCCAACACAGGACCACCAACGGACCGAACAGATTCCCATATCCCTCCCCCCACTTGCCTCTTTGGACACCAACCTACTGTACATTCCTGCCCCGCAACACCAATCTTCAACATCGTGGGATTTGTCAAAACCTCGCTGTTACGCACGCACCTCTCCGCTCTCCGTCGACGCCGGTCTTGTGACGGCCAACAGGATCAGCCTAACCCCGTGTGTATCTATGCATCGTGAACGCTCCTACTGCGCACGTTTTCCCGCGGCTGGCAATGTCAGCGAATTTTCCTTGTGAGTGGCCGTGCAAATCATTCAACTGATGGACTGATATGCCGTCGAGGCATGCATCGGCTTTGGGCTGCCCAGCGTCGTGTCTCACCGCCAGATGGACTTGCAGTTGCGTTTTGCCTTGGAAGCAAGCGCTCGCTGCTCGACAATCGAGGCGAACCGCCTCACCCAGCGGCCCGTGCGCCGCCATCTCACCAGCCAGCGAGAGCGAATTGCCCATCCAAGCTTTGTCCCGCTCCAATGGCAGCCCAAGCGAGCACGAGTTGGACCCCTTGCCCATCTTCGCCGCCCATGCCACCTCCGATCGCCAAACTCCTCTCCGAAAACGTCCCTCGACTGCCAGGTCCCTGCATCCACTCGCCCATCCAATCCTCGCATCCTTTCCCTATTTTCTTTGCGTCACAAGGGAATCCTTTGCAACTGCCATTGCTCTGCTCGTTTTTGATTGCCAACTCCGACCTCTGGAGATTGCTTTTGCCGCTCAACCGCTACAGGATCAATAACATGCCGGCCGACTCCCATATCAGATGCATCACAGCCCTACTGCCCCATTAGCGTCATTGCTCCTCTCACAAACACACACCAACCCAACGGCCACCATTGGCCACTACCTAACTTGCACAGCACCCACTAGCGACGTTGCATTCGTTCTTATACCGGACAATCCGGATAAAGAGCAGCTACTCGGTCAATCGGGGCTCTACAGAGGTCTAGTAGTAGTTCTTGCTGAGAGGACTTGTATTCACTCTAGCTACCCCATTGTGCGGCCAAGAGCAGTGGTGCAGCTATCAAATGCCACATCTCACAGTACTAATTCCTTTCGTCGAGTCGGTCAAGCAGAGAGAATAGCCCAAATTCCGCTACGCTTACTCGAATTGCAATTGCGCATCGTCGTCGCTGTGCCCAAGACAGCCCAACCCTGCCAAGCAACCAAGTAACGTCCCCACATCACGCAACAATGCTGGGGATACGCTGTCTACACAAGATACACCGCGATTCAGGCTGGTGACATCATCGCCTAAGAAGTCGGCCACCGTGTGTACATATGCAATTCCATGCCTACACGTACCCACAGTTTATCCAAAAAGTACCCACACAATCAAGCTTTTTTTTACACCAAACACCCCTGGGCGTACACATTCTCTCCGACTGTACCACTCCCCCGTCGATATCGAATGGCCGAACATGAAACGTTGCAACGGTGGGCATGTCCGCCTGTCAAACGGAAATATGACAGGTGAACGTGGCGAGTCACCGCTCATTACTCACCTGTCCATCCAACTGGCCTGCTTTCCCTAACCCACACACATATCACGTTCAATGCCGGGTACCGTGGATATTCGGCATACTACATAACGTGTAAGCAGGCAGGCCTTCGCAGCGATCATAGGATTGGCAGGCAGGTTGCCTAAGCCGATTGGCCGCCTGCCGCCTTTCCCAGAGCCATCAAGTTGTCCAATGGTTTTGCACTCGTACTATGTACGTGAGATCTAGGAACTCCCGGCACGGATGTCGATTCCTCCAATCCTACCCGCGCGCTTACCCGCACTTTCTGCTAGTCACGGGTGCGATCCTTCCCTCGTCCCTTACAGATTATCATCATAATTCTTGGGCACAAGTGTATATGATTCGTTGGCTGGGTTCGTTTTCCAGAATGATCGTCGAAGGGTACCTATTTCGGGGCATGTCACGCGAGCTGGCTCACCATGTCACAGCCGCATCGTCTCACGAGTAGGCCATTCTACCTCGGCTTCAATTGAAGCCCTCAGTTGAACACTCAGGCCGGTAGGTATACAAGTCATTGGCATACCGACATATGCAACCAAAGACTGGTAAGCTAGCCAATTAGTATACATTTGTAGCGTAGCATGGCATAGCGTCGTGTAGGTCGCCCCCCCCCTCTCTTTATCCGCCTCACTTCTTCCGCTTGCACACGCGTGGTCGGTCTTGTTGGAGCGGGTATTTTTTTCTTTCATTCTCTTCGTCTGCCATCTTCACCGTCTTTGACACGTAGACAACGAGGGAAAGACGGGACAAGCAAGGAAGGTCGACCCTCCCTTTTTTTCATCCCCCATTCCTATTGGCATTGCGTTTCACTCTTTTTTCTCTCCTTCTTCCTCATCTGTTTATCCATACTTCTTCTCTTCCATGTCGTGCCCAAGTCAATCTACCCAAATTCATCATAAATGTAGGTACTCGATTAATTCCTTTCCTCGATGCAACCAGTACATCACCGGGTCTATTGTCTTTCAAGCTCCATCCACAGTGGCAAAAAAACCCCAATAGCAGGATATCTTTAAAATTCATCTTCTCCTCCTCGTCTTCTCCTTGCTTTTCTCAATATAATATATGGATTTGTGAGACGTCCGCGTCATAAGACGATCCCTACGCCCTCTAAAAAAAGGTTGGGGGGAATAGAAAGATTGATAGTGATGGTGATGGAATTGACTGAATTTCTGCATAACTACCTCTTGTTATCTATTTTCCTCTACTGGTTTCTTTAGGGGGTAGTAGGGAGCGTCTTTTTTTTAATATATATATACATATATACATGTACGTGTAAACATTGCTCTTGAACTACCTTTTTACCGTACTTTTTTATTTTCTTACTTACTTATTTTTTACTAACACACACACAGAGAGATTGTCTTTTAAGTTTTAGGTTTTTGATTTTTTTCAAAGATGGAATTATAGAAAAGAGAAAAAGAGGAGTAGTAAGTTAGTAAAGTAATGTTTCTATTAAATAAGAAGGAAGAAAAGAGAGGAAGAGAAGAGGAGAAGAGAAGGGAGATAAATAAGTGTAGACGTTTAAAACTTTAATTTTACTTGGGTTTAAGCTTGGGGTTTAGGGACTTGTAATAGCATAATTTAGTTAAGTAAACTGTACCTCTTTCTCTTCTTTTTGCATTTTTTCTTTTTTTTTTCTAGGAGTTGTTTATGATTTAAGTGCACTACGCCTTTCTCACTCTCTTCCTTCCCTTTCCTTATCTTATAGATTTGTGGGTAAAGTGGATAAGTGAGCGAGCGAGTGAGTGAGTGAGTGCGAGACACGGTTTGATATAGATAGATAGAAAGACTGGATATTTGAAGACATTCCTCTCGTATATTTGCCTTGAAACTGGAATAGCATTCACAATTGCGAAGAGCATTCCCCTGATCTAATATATCTCGACACTTTTTACGGTCCACTGACCGTTGTACCAGGGTATCTCGAAGTGCAAAAACGCCGCGTGGAAGCAAAAGAAGAAGAGGAAAAAAACAAGCCCCTACCCCCAATGTGAAAATAAAAAGGAAAACTCAATCATCGTCATAAAACTGCTGCGGCGCCGCCATGCTCATCCGCAACTGCCTCTCCCGCTGCTTAGCCTGCAACTCCAGCGTCTCCACCGAATAGCTCAACCGCTGCTTCTTCGCCCTCAACTGCTTATACTTCATTTCCTGCACCGCCGTCAGCGCTTTCCCGCCTGTCTTCTTCCCCGCACCGCCTGCCGAACCCGTAGCGAATGCGGATTCCCCTGCTGCTGACGAGGACGACGTCGAGCCCAGCCGGCCGTCGTTGAGATCGCATTTGGCGATGAGCGATTGCTCGCGGCGCTCGAGCTTGTCGAGGTGGTTTTGCACGCGGAGGAGGAGGGATTCTACTTCGGGTCGGATTTCGGAGAGGAGGGTTGCTTGGGCTTGGTGGAGGTCTGGTTCGGAGATGAGTTCGAAGTGCTGTTGTGGGGTGTGGTTGTTAGTTTCTGGGAGATTGATTGATTGATTGATTTTGGTCGAAGTGGGGAATTCATGGGTTGGGAATTGGTTGGAGTAGAGTGAGAGAAGGGGACGTACTCTGGTGGTTTGAAGGACTTTGGCCAGGCGGGGGAAGTCGTTTACACCTTCGTCGAGGATGTTGATCGAGGAGTCGAGTAGCTGCATGCTACTGCGGAGTGAGGATACGCAGCCTTCCAGCGCCATTTTCCTCGGATATTTTTTGAAGATTCGACGGATGTCTCTTTATTCCAGTTCGTCGAGTGAAATCCGTTATTCCACGTGTTGTTGTTCTGTTGATTCGTGATTGTTTACAATATCCCCCACTTGCGTTGCTGTATGAGTTGCAGCTCCGGCAAATCATCGGGTTTGAGCCATCTTGGCGCGAAGTTCTCGGGGAACCGTCGCCGTCCAGGTTCAAGCTCAGTCTTCCATCACCGTACTCGCACCCGACCCGTCCAAATACTACCCGTCCATCACTCGTCAACATGTCTCTCCTCGGCAAGAAGTTCAACGGCGCCATCGGTACGTCAATTGGCCGCTCCACCTGCGTCAGGGGAGTCTGCAAAGGTCAAGGATAGCTGCTAACACAATGTCATTATAGCCCGCCCCATGTGGCCCTTCTACGTCTCCGGTACGTCGCACGCGCAAATAAGAACGATCAGGACAATTTTTGCAGCTGGAGGAGCTTGAGAGGATGCAATTGCGAAGCTAGAGGGAGTGGGGATAGCGCAGCATAACTAACGGAATCATATAGGACTGGTCGTCCTCTACGGAGTCAACAGCATGGCCAATGCCATGATGCTTTGTTAGTAACCCCTCCTCGACTACATTCATTCCCATCCGTGCAATCGAAAATCCGTAATGGCCGTATTATCTGGATGGTTTCGCTGACGGATTCCCTCACAGCCGACGAGCACAAGAACGACCCCCGCAACCAGCTCACCAGGAACAAGCCCGCTGCCCACTAAATCCGAAAAGAAACGTGCATGATTTGATATCCCAAAAGTGGAACGCGAGCATAGTGGTGGACAATGTACAATACCTGCGCGCACGGCGATCAGGACGAGGCGTGGAATTGTGGATATAGACTCTCGAAAGACCAATGATTACCTGTTTCGGACAAAACCGACTCTCCGCTTTTTATCTGTTTGCTTTCATACATTTCGTGGCCTCGGTGAATGAGCATGCTATCTATACGTGTACTGATTGAAAGCGAAAAGTTGCGGAAACGTATTACTGAAGTGGTTTTTTGATATCTTTTTGAAAAGATCGCACCTCGTACATCCTCTGGCCCTGACTATCCAATGATTGAAATTAGCTAGATTGTGCACTTCTATAACAGTGACAAGCAGATACGACCAGCAGCTATGACAACAACTACGAGCTTCATCATCATATATCGAGCCTCGAGAAGAAAACAAAGTATGAACGCATATCCTCAAGAGCGTGGCTTATAGCGACCCATCTTCTTCAACAGCAAGTAGGCATTATAAAATAGCATCCACACTTGGCATCATGAATCAAAACTACAGTCTGAGCAGATACTGTTTAGTCTTATTATAACTACCTTCCACTCTATCAAACTCTCACGTTCCTAACGATATGTTGTCCATTGATTCAGTGCTCACACTTATAGAGTAAAAAGTCTAGTAGCTAACGTTCTCGTGGTCATGGCTAAATGAGTAGTCCCATATTTTCGAACTGTTCGAGTGATGGAGTCTTCGGGTTGTTTTTTTGTTACCAACACGGTTAGAGTATGCCGGCTTGGAGTACAAGAAGCTATCAAGTGTCAGTGTACCGCCGAACAATCTTAATAAGAGTGTGATGTTGGCATGGTACAAAGAAGTGTTATTTATGAGGTAACGCGGAGAAATGTAATAGGAGTTTGACATCTGATCATGTTCGTGGAGTATGTCATGTCTGGATGTCTGGAGCTATTTGAATCATGTTTCGAGAAACGACGGCTGTCTGTCAGGAGTCATCAAGTATGAGCTGCATATCATGTCGTGACTTGTCTAGCTGAATTTCTTGATGTGTATTTGATTTTTTGGCGGAGGACTAGCTGTGCCCAGGGAAATATGGCAGTCAGTGGTCATGCATTCGCAATATATTTCGCATATCTTTCAGCCGGTCTCACCACTGCGTTGCAGCTCAGTCTTGAATTGGTGAAGTGGTTTAGAATGCGTGTGAATGATGCTGTACTTATTATATGGGGTGAAATGGGCTCCTGAGGTGAAAGGTCCGTATTATCTGTAATTTCATATGTAGGAGTTTGAGTGATTCTGGCACATATGATATTTGCAAACATGTGCGTACAAAACTACGAGCGATCACACAAGAGTTCAGTCGAAGGAGTGGCACAAGTGAGTAACGTACAGTTCGTCAGGTGTGTGACTTGCTAGAGCCAGGAATATCTGTAAACGCCTAAATTCTTAACTCACAGTCACCGTCCACGTTAAGGATGTACTCATCGATATCAGGCTCGATACGAGTGTCCTCTCACAAACATGTCTGGATTCTCCTGATTGGAAGTGATACACGCCGGTACTTTTTTCGGTGCCTCTATTGTTGTCAATATCGCTATGTGTAACAACACCCAAGCTCCGACTTAAAACCTATTCGTGCATAGAAGTGACACGCAATAGAGCGTTTCATCTGTCTCGATCTTCTAGTTCAAGTTGAGATGGAAGAGCAACACTCTGTTCCTCCCAATGAAAAAAACCACGAAAAAGGCAAAGTCTCTGGTATTCAAGATCCCTGGTTGTTACCGGGGCAAGGGCAAGCTCGTTCCCCGGAATTGAACACACATGCTAGTCCTTATTCTATGTCGTGAGTAAACGTCTTTTTGCTGGCGGACACGAGCTCTATATACGGAATTTCCCATGAAATAAGTATGTGAGGATATGATATGTACTTGCATGTTCGGTAACTCCGATAAGATGTCTGGGGGTTTGTGTTAATGTCCGGGTTTCCCTAGGTTTCGCATTTCTTACAGAGATCCCGACTCATGAGCATCTAATACAACTTTGTTTCATCGGGTACCTGTGAGCTACGATATACGACGTCCAGGCTCGTTTTTTGGCGCAGGAGTAGTGCAAGTGTCTTCACTAGTAATATCCAAATCCTGCTCTCCGATGTACTTGTCGCTCAGATATCGCAGACCTTCAATGCATTGTGGAATGTCAGTATGTACTAGGTAGCGTGACATTAAGATTAGAACGAGAAATAGGCAAAAGTCTCGCGAGAACGACTATAGGGACTTAGCATCACGGATGACCTGATGGGGATTGTGGGGCCATGATAGGGGTAGAGGTTGTTTGTCTAAGTAAGAGAAGATGGGGTGCATGCTAACGATTTTGAATGCTACTGCCGGGTTTTCTAGCTGTGTTCTGGCCCCTTAATGTCACCGTGCCAGAATGCAACTTATTGATAGTGTTTTGGCATGTCGTGAAGAAAAAGCCTGGCTGTCGTTGAATTCTAAGCTGCTTCCGGCAATTGGGATACTTAAGCGAATACATCTTCCTGCATCTGGTGCGCCGCAGTTTTCCAAGCTTCCTTTCGCCATGTCCGCAAGCAATCATTATCTCGAAATCTAAAATATCCAACTTGCCAATTTTCCAGGCAAACATCCTTCCCAGATAATGGTCTCCAAATGACAGGCTACGCGAGTGGCAAGGTCTTCGCCGAGACAACCGTCCCCACCAGCCAAGTAATCATCGAAGACACGAAGAAAGCACCCTAAAAGGCACGCGCACACCTCCCAAGTCAGCTCTTATTCGACAGATCTCCCCGCAGGAAGGCAAACTAGTTTGAAAACTATCATCAATGCGGAGACGGAACAGGGTGTTGGCCTAAGGCACGGTTCGCTTTCCAAGGATGTGAGAGTACCAAGACTGATGCTCAGTCGGAACTCGGAACGCAGATTTGCTTGACTCCTCTTGCAACCTTCCAGGAGCGTTGTGGTCGCCAATATCGCCAATACAATTCCAAGCACAAGCCTCGGTGATTGATGGATTTCCAAGTACTGATAACGACGGTCCTTCGAGACCGTTATCAGCCTGTCATGTTTGTGGCACGGGGCGAATACCAAGAGGTCGAGGTGTATAAGATGCCTTGGAGAGGTTCATCGTTTCCAGTCGCCTGGTTCTCGTCTTTGGCCTGCTCCTTGAATTCTTCCTTTGAGTTCTAAACTTCTGTCTCTTCGGGTTTCCTTCCCCATTCCCATCTCCCACAGAGCCACCAGCACAATGGGCGAGATCGATCAGATCACCACTGAGACCCGGAGGCGTCGAGATGATTCCACAAGCACCCCATCTACCGAGGCTCAGGCAACGGTGCCCGGGATGGAGGAACACATGATGTCGACGGAGCCAGAAGTGAAGAAGACCTTTTGGCAGCGTGTGAAAGAGCCAGGTTCAGTATGGCAAATCATCATCGCTGCCCTTTCGGCCATAGCCATCGGTTTGATCGTCACTACTCAAGTCGAGGAGGTGCACCCAGCTGCCATTGCGCTGACTGCAATTCCTGGTACTCTATGGCTTCGTGCGCTCAGAGCTGTCGGTATGTTGACACTTCACTGAAGCTTTATTGCAAATGCTAATCAACGCCAGTTCTCCCTATGATTGTAACTGCTATGATCATGGCAATCCAACGCCTCCGCAAGATGACCCAGAGCGGTGGAAAGGCTGGAAAACTCGCTCGCTGGACCATCGGGTACTACGTTGTCACCACCATCATCGCCGTTGCTCATTCCTGCATTCTCGTTGGCCTCGTCTGGTCCAAATTGATGCAGCCTGTTAGCGGCGACCAGCTCAAGGTAGCCGACGAGGACAAGGAGGACATCGAAGAGAGGAAAGAATTCGCTATTCACGACGTTGTCGTGGACATGTTCGAATCCCTCATTCCCGCCAATGTCGTCGACGCACTCGCCACCGACAGTTTGCTGGCAGTTCTCGTCACTGCCGTCGTTATCGGATACGTGATCAAGCCGGGCGGTGCGCTTATGCGTGCCGTTGAAGAGGTCGAGGCCATGATCATGCGCATAATCACCATTCTGATCTACCTTGCACCTATCGGTGTTTTCTTCTTGATCATGCCCAACCTCTTTCGACTCGACATTGCCGAAATTGGATTGAATCTTGGTATCCTTATCGGTGGAACCTTGACTGGCATGGCCATTCACCTATTCATCATCATTCCCATCATCTTCTTTGCCGTTGTCCGAAAGAACCCATACGCTATGTGGATCAAGTGCAGCCCTGCTTGGATTACTGCCTGGGGAACCGCCTCTTCGGCTGCCACGCTGCCCGTCACCATTCGATGCGTTCTCGAGCGCGGCGTACCTGTTACTGTCACCAAATTCACAGTCCCTCTTGGATGTTTGATCAACATGGACGGAACGGCCATCTATTTCCCCATCGTCGTTGTCTTCATGGCCGCCACGCAAGGCATCACGCTCCGAGTGACCGACTACATCATTGTCGTCTTGCTCTCCACCCTCGCTTCCATTGGAACCACACCCATCCCTAGCTCTAGTTTGGTCTTGACCGTCATGATCGCCCAGAGTGTGGGCGTGCCAATCACGGGTATGTACGCGGTTGTTGTGGCTATTGATTGGTTCTTGGATCGTTTCCGTACCGCTGTCAATGTCAGTTGCGACACCTTCGCGGCCATCATCGTCACCAAGATCACTGGTATTGCAGATGAAGACAAGGACATGCAATACACCGAGGAGTTGAGCGCTACCTCGGATTCGTTGCGCGAGGCTCCAGGACGAGGCGAAGAGAAGGTTTAAGCTCCGTGAAAGCTCTTGAGACATAGGGACCGTGTCGGTCGTTATACTCTAGGACAATTTTAATTCATAAACATATCATTACACTATATTTGGCAGGATGTCATGCAATTCGCTTTTGTGCCAAAATGCTGATGAAATACTACGCGGTCTAGGTACACTTCAAACATTGAAACTTGATATAAATTGATGTTCAATGTCTTTTGACATTTCTAATGACGATACGAACAGGAAAGAATAAATCACACAGGTGTTCCTACACTCCAACTCAAAATCAATGAACTACACAGCCTACTAGCAACACATATTCCCCTTCTACTGTATTTCTGTCACAGCTGTAGAACATCCACTTCAGGCGTAACAAAGATCAAGCAGCAGAAGCGCCCTCTTCCAACCAAACAGCAAAACCTACATTGATTCAGTCAGTCGACCCGCAACAAAAAGAACCAATACGTCTTCAAAAGTACAAAACAAAAAGTTGTAAATCAGACATCCAAGGAAGGTTGCAACGCTCATCGCCAAAATTGTAGGTTCAGTACGGTAGGCTAGCGTGGAAACTGCGAAGTAGGAATGTTTTTCATCATGGAAAGTGGACAAGAACCAAAAAGAATGGAAGATTGCTTTGAGACGTACCTGATGGCTGCTGCAAGCCTGCAGAGAACAGTCGGGTTGGACTGGACAAAGATGTCGTTGCAGGCTGCTTGGAGGAGGGAGATGGTAGAAGGAAGCAGGGCGTTGACAGCTGCAGAGAAAAATAAATACTTTCGGGAGCCGTGCGGTGACTGCATTAGGTTTAGCGGGTGGATGATTGGTGCTCGGGCATTTCAAGGCACACGACCCACAGTTAGGACAGCACTTCAACTTTACTGATGCAACAATGAGATTTGATCTAAACAAGAATGCTATTTACTATACAGTTGGTTTCTTACAAGACCGCTACGCTAGCAGTATGATACAGCATAATCTCCACAGCACAACTTCAGCTACCGTTCCGCAAGCATGTTCTTGACTGAATGCCAGTAGTGCCTGTCCACCTCATTCTTGATCTCATCTTTCACGAGCCATTTGAAGTCCGTTAGACCCAGTTTGTTGTCCTTCAGGTTGGCTTGACCGGCCATGATGCGTGCCTTCATGAAGAAGGTCTTCGCGCCCACCTCATTGAAACCGGAAGCAGTCTTCAGAGCGTCAAGGTAGTCACGTTGATAGTGACCGATGGGGGCGTTTCCAACAACCCAGGTGTTCATGTTCACACCGCAAGAGTCAACCAGGATGCGACCAGCCGCCTATTTATTGTTAGATAGAATTCCCTGGGGATTTTCTGCGGCCCAGAACTTACGTTGTGTAAGGTCTCCTTGCCAAAGGTGTCTTGAGGGAAGATCCATCGACCCTCCTTGTCCTTCACCAATAGATACAATGTCCTTTGCAGCTGTCTGCTGAGACTCTTGACATCGTTCTTGAGGTCTGCTTCCGTGATTCGAGGCATTGGCCTCTCGATCTTGTCAGCTTCCTTCTTCGTGCCTGATGCGTTCGAGGCGGGCGCCACATCCCCATCTGGTGAGCCGGTGTCTTCGGCATCCTCAATCAACTTTTCAACCTGATGATGGATGTCGCTTTCCTTGGCTCCAACGAGAAGTTCGTCGTTCCATGCCTCATCACCATATCCCTTGTACCTTCCAATGTCCCTGGCAGGGGTCAGCCGTTCTTTTATCTTGCGTTTCCACTCAAGATCCGCTGTCGTCCTTTTTTTGTAGTAAAAGTAACGCGTAAAAGGTAGAGCCGTTCGTTCGTTGAGACGACGTTGATAGAGGAAAAAGGCTGATTCGAGGGGGTGGAGATCGCGCGTGATCTGAGGAGGGCGAGAAAGAACTACGCCCGTGTTGATGCGAAAGGAGTCCTGTGTCTGGGAAACGGGAGGAATGTGTTGCGAGCTATCATCGGTTTGCACAGCGGCGGCAGCTGCAGAGGCGTACTTGCGGGAAAGGGTGTCTTTACAGGACCTGCAGACGGATCGACCTTCATTCATCAGCGAGACTTCATCAATTTTCCGAATGGCAATCACACACCTGCTCCGGCGGCTAACCGCCTCGTTGTCTGCTGTCCCGTGTTCATCGCTGCATCACCGTATCACGAGGAGTATGAACCAACATGAGCTGGTCTCCCCGAAACTTTTGCGCGGAGCGGAAGTGCATCTATTCGGGTTAGCGCAGCACGTGAGCCAGCGCCTAGCTTTTCCTTCAATTCAATCTCGCGCTCTGGCGAGGTTTCTCTCTTCTTCAATCTCATGGCTCTAATCCTTATCTCCAGCATGCTCACAACTTTATGAGATTCTGGTCATTTACAAGTGCCTATATTGAGTTGGGCAGTCTTTTCGCTAGCGGTACCTTCATATATAAACCAAGGCGTACGGCTAGATAGACCTTGCGCACATTTCATTAGACTCTGCAGAATCTACCTACACTCAAAAAGCTGTGTGGGAGGACTTGAAGAGACAGGCGGTAACAGAATGTTTCCCCTAGAAACTATTCTTTGGAAACTTTTTGTTATCGCCTGACTTTCCAAGCCCTCCCATACGGCTTTTTGAGTGTAGGAAACACTTCAACTTCCAATCAACAATCAAAAACCCCTCTACTAGGATGGCGGAATTGGTACTTTGGCTCATGAAGGATGAGACGTTGGGGTCTCGCAAAGGGTTCATTGGGACATTCTCGAGTATCAGATGCATGGGAGATGAAATAGATAATATAGATGATATCGAGTTTTTGGACTATGCCGTATAGTTGGGCTTTTCTCCTTTTTGCATCGCACATTTCGCTGTTATAGCGCATATTGTTTGATGACTAGATACGCAAGACCGCGTCGAAACATGCAGATCTATCTACGAACAGAAGATTTAAGACCTTGGTATTCTCACCATCTGTGACAGAGTGAGAGGAAAGGGTCGGTGTAGATTTCGCCGTGTGCCAAGCCCTGTACCTCGATTTTTGAAGAGTAGAACGCGACCCGCGTAGTTTTCAGGCAACACCCCTTCAACCCCAAGATACCCTCTTCCGCATACCGAAACAAACAATGTCTCTGTCAATACCAAACGCCCCGAACTCCGGGCTTTTCAAACAGGGCTACCAAAAGTACATTGCCCCCAAATCGTGACCCCACCATGTCCATGTGCTTTCCGCTAACACACCCCTCCACAGCTACGACGCCGAAGATGGAGCCGTTATTCGCAATATCGATGCCTGCCGCACAATTGCCCAGACCGTTCAAACGTCTCTCGGGCCTTATGGTCGCAACAAGATCGTCATAAACCACTTGCAGAAGATGGTACTTACCTCCGATGCGGCAACGATATTACGGGAGCTCGAGGTGGTGCACCCAGCAGCTAAATTGCTGGTCATGGCCAGCCAACAGCAGGAGGCAGAGATGGGCGACGCTACCAACATGGTCATTGTGTTGGCGGGTGAGCTGTTGAAGAAGGCCGAGGAGCTCATTCGGATGGGCTTGAAGACCAGCGATATTGTACTGGGATACGAGAAAGCTCAGAACGCCGCTATGCAGACACTAGAAGGTATTTTGGGCTTCTATATAACCTGAAAAGCCTAGGAAGAAAACTAACTTGTCTCTGTAGACCTCGTATGCGACAAAGTCGAAGACCTACGATCGCAAGGCGAACTCAGCAAAGCCATCCGCACCGTCGTAGCAGCCAAACAATCCGGCAGCGAAGAATTCCTCGCCGACCTCGTCGCCGAAGCTGTCCTCGCCGTCCTTCCCAAGAACCCCGTCAACTTCAACGTGGATAATGTGAGAGTTGTCAAGATCATGGGTGGCAGCTTGGAGCAGAGCAAAGTCGTCAAGGGTATGGTATTTGCCCGCGAACCCGAAGGCAACATCAAGAAGGCCACAAAGGCCAAGGTTGGCGTGTTCTCATGCCCAGTGGACATTTCGCAGACGGAAACCAAGGGCACGGTGCTGCTACACAACGCAAAGGAAATGCTGGACTTCACCAAGGGCGAGGAGCAACAGATTGAGCAGATTGTAAAAGAACTACACGACTCTGGCCTCCGCGTGATAGTAGCTGGCTCGACCATTGGCGAGCTCGCCCAACACTACCTCAACCGCTACAACATCCTCGTTATCAAGGTTCTCTCCAAATTTGAGCTCCGCCGCCTCTGCCGCGTAGTCGGCGCCACACCGCTCGCCCGCCTCGGTGCGCCCATGCCCGACGAGATGGGCAGCATCGACGTTGTCGAGACCATGGAGATCGGTGGAGACCGCGTGACAGTATTCCGCCAGGAAAACGACCAAACACGGACAGCCACACTGGTGCTCCGCGGCGCCACGCAAAACCACCTCGACGACGTCGAGCGCGCAATTGACGACGGCGTCAACGTCGTCAAGGCCATTACCCGGGATCCCCGCCTCGTTGCCGGCGCCGGCGCCACCGAGATGCAGCTCGTCGAGCGCATCAAGTCGCTTGCGGACAAAACCCCGGGGCTCTCGCAATACAGCATCCGCAAGTACGGCGAGGCCTTTGAAGTCATCCCCCGCACGCTCGCCGAGTCGGCGGGTCTCGACGCCACCGAAGTCCTCGCACGTCTGTACGTCGCTCACGGCGCGCAGAAGGGCGCTCGCAAGGACGACGAGTGGAGCGTCGGCGTGGACATCGAGAACGACGACGGCACTGGCACGCTCGATGCTAAAGCTGAAGGTATCTTGGATTTGTGGGTCAGCAAGAGCTGGGCTATCAAGCTTGCTACTGAGGCGGCGAGGACGGTGCTCTCGGTCGACCAGATCATTGTCGCTAGGCAAGCTGGTGGACCCAAGATGCCCGGTAAGGCTCAGCAGGGTAACTGGGATAACGATGATTAGACGAGTTTTTTCTTCTTCTGCCTCTTTTCGAATCTGGTAGAGAGAGATAGAGATGACGTCTTTCTCGACAGATGCGATAGAGAAAGAGAGAACTTGTGTATAATGAATAAAAACATCACACCCTCACATTCCTTCCATGCATTCATTCTTCTTCAGCGTGTGAAAATTCAAGACAATCCAGTAAAGTTCATTCGTTCTTGATCAATATAATAACTTTGTTTCATTTCGCATTTTTCCCATTTACAGCTATTCCATTGCCCCCACCTCCTGAACAGACTTGTCTTCTCCCCTTGTCCTACCACTGAAGGAAATAAGTTGTTTCGCTAATTATATTTGTACAAGGACATACACACACACATACACAACTTTTATATATCCTCCTCGGTCGCTAGAAAGAAATCCCGAGGGGGAACAGGAGGGATATTGATGGATCCAGTGTTTCGCCGAACCTTCCATCCGCATTCGCATGTTGCAATTCTCAGCTCCAAACTGTCCCCTTTTCTCGCCCGTGGTTGTCGAGGCGATTCTTCCCACGTTTCAATGGCTCTCCGCTAGTGTCATATCTCTGCGCTCCTCCTTCTCCTCCTGAGGGTGGAACAATCCGCGAGACCCAAATAATTTCATATAATACCACCACGGAAGCCGAGTTCCCACAGACGCTGATAGATAAAGGAAACCAAGCAAAAAAGACAAAAGAATGGTGAAGTAGAGAGAGGGCCGCGTATGTAGGCGACCTTCCCCTACAAGATTCAACCAAGCTTCTCAAGTAACTTCCTCCGCCTACGCTCTACGAGTTCATCGTTGACCTCCTCGAGCGTAGGAACGCGCCATCGGACGCCATCGCCAGCATCGCCCGGTAACTCGATCCACTCGGTCTGGGTCGTACTCTGTTTCTCGCTGAGGTCGTCGCCGAGAGTGATGAAATTATCGTATGCTTCTTTCTCCTTGGCCTGCTCGTATGCCAGCAGCGTGCCATCCTCTTCGTCCAGATTGTACCCGTAGTACCCAGCGTCGACCCTCTGTCTGAGTTCGCTCCGCTTCTCTCTCCCCTTTGCGATCCCCTCGTCGTCTTCTGGCCGTTGTTGCCGCTCGAATAGTTCCTTGACACCCGGTAACTCCTTTGCGCGTCCAAAATATCGGTATCCTTTGCCACCTCCAGGGACCTCTCTACCCTCCTCATCGAGTACGCGCCCACCTCTCATATAGTTCGGGCCACCCAGATTCCGGATCTGCACCTCCCACATGTGCTTCTCGCGCATGAGTTTGTTGATTTCATCGTTGAGGTCGCGGATCTGGTAGTCGGAGAGCGCTTCGTCTTGGATCTTGCTGACTTTGCGACTGATTTCTTTGAGAACTTGTCCGCGCCATCTCTCGCACGTCGGTATCGAGGAGACGGAGGTGATGAGCTTGGGGCGCCGTGCGCGCGAGAAGTCGATGATTCCCGCTTCGGCTGCCTGCGCGGCGCGGAACCGGAACAGCATCGAGTGCGCTTTCTCACTATTGCGAGCCATGATTGCGGTTGAAGGCTGCGGTTACGAAAGGGTTGGGTCGGATCGGATCGTGGTGATTGGGAGTTATGCGTGATGCTGTATAAAGAGACGATTGGAGAGCGTGTGAGTGTGTCGCAGTGAATGGGTGTTGTGGCAAAAAGCTGGAAGAATAGTCTGGGGTCCTCGCGATGCAGCCTGTCGCACTCTTGGCTTGGTCTGGTTTACCCCGTATTCCCCACCCCAAGTCGATCGTTCAATTAACAAAATGGTTCGCTGCCCGCAGTCGCAGAAGATAACAGAAAAGGTGACTCAAGGGAAAGGTGTGTCGTTGTTGTGTGAGGGTGTGGTGACGGTAGGAGAAGTGTCTGGATTGCGCCGACGCGTTGGCTGAGAGCGACTTTGAAAGTTTGGTGTTTGGGAAGCTTAGGCGGAAAAGTGGGGCAGAATTACTTGGCGTTTCGACCCCAAAGAAATGCTCGCCTTGCGTTCGGATGGAGGAGCGCTGTCATGCAGCCACGCATGGTTGTTAGGCAGATAGAGATTAGGTGGAGCCTGTCGTAGTCGCATACAGATTAATTCACAAGCATGCACCAAGAACGCATTTTCGCAATTTTCCTTTTCATTTCCACGCCTCCACCGCCAGCTTCATCAACCTCCTGTGCACACTGACCCTTTGGAAATAATTACAACATTATAGCACAAACGAAATGCGCAAACCAATACTAATAACAACCCAACAACACACACTGTGAGCGACTGAAGGGAATGATTGGTTGTAAAAAAAACAAGAGTGACAAGAAAAGAAAAACGCTAAAGGAAAAAGCCACAGAGATTATGTGAATGTAGAGTAGGGTAGGAGCGGAGAAGGAAAGAAGGAGAGAAGCAGGTTACAGGAGAAAGTCGTTAGGTATGCTTCCTGGGAGAAGCAATCGTCTCTGTGTTCCAGGCCCAGCCCCATTCGAGCTCACCAACAAAATAGCTACCAATCCATTGCTTCACCGAGCAACGCCGATTCAGAAGATCTTCTAGATCTAGTGTCAGGTCCCACTTCGGCCATGGCAAGTACGCCCAAACTGACAACCAGAAAATCCAGATCGAAAGTTGGAGAGATATAGACAAAGGAGACACGGAATGGTTCCGAGGTGTGACTAGAAAGAAATAGCTCGACTGTCAGTCAAACGAAACAATTGTAGGGACGATCTGCCATGCTGGAGAGAGGTGCAAGTGGAGGCTTATGAAGCACCATTGTTTGCACCTTCCACCTCTGCATGCGATTCAGTTCGAGACACAGTCCGAGACTCAGTCCTAGACGCAGTCCGAGATTGCGCCCGTGAGCTGATTGAGCCGATGAACGAGGGTCGAGAGCTGATACCCGTGTTATAGCTGTGGTGTCGATTTTTGGCAGTGTTGTGATGGTGGGGTATCTTGTGAAGATGGTGTTTTCCTGTAATCTTTGTCAGTCACATTGTTTCCACAATTTGAATGCATCACTGTGCATATATCCGAATGATCGTGGTAGATGGCAGTAAACCCAGATCCCTGGCTAGGATCAGAAGGCAGATGTTTGTGTACTCACCATTGCAGCATGCCCTCACGTCTTCCATATTGTCCGCGCTTTCGTGCGACTCCCACATCTCACGACCGAGATCGTGTGAATCAGCCATATCATGTTGCCCATCCGCGCCGGTGACTTCTTGTGTACCCGATTTGCTGAAGCGACTAGAGAAAGAACCTCTCAAGTTCGATCTAGAACGGAACATGGTGCTTAGGCGTCCAGGTCCTGATCCCTGGCCTGGGTCTCGCGAATTAGGTCGGTTGGGCGTCAACGTCGATTGCCGGAGAGTAGGATATTGCGAATGGTGACTTGAGTGAGTCACATAGGAAGCTCTCGAACGACCGGTTTGCCTTGATATACTCCTAGATCCGGGGTTGAACTCGTCCTGGATTTCCTCTGTCTCTGACCGGCCATCATCTGGACCTTGGTCTGTACGTTGAAGCAGGTAAAGAAGGGCATTCAACCACGTTTCGTGGCGTTGACTCGTTGGCGCGGTGAATTGAATTTCACGTCCAGGTGTAGTGATGACTATGCTCTGATGATGCAGACCGGGGGGCAATGGGTTATTATCACCGACCGTATGCACGCCCTCAATGGACAGACTCTTCGCCTTTACTTGTTGTGTTCCCCGTGCAGGACCATCTTTACTCCAGTACACAGTTCGAGTGAAGGGGTGAACCCAGAAATAACGACGATGACGGGTCTGGGACATGCCCTTCTGTCCGGTCCTCCTGGTGTACTTCCACATGAATTCACCCAACATGGTCTGTGTTATGGCTTGAATCATACGTGGGTCAACCTTGGCCGGATCCAGACCAGTTTGGCTGAGAGGGTTCATTCCTGCTATATTGAAACGATGGTCGATCTCCGAGCTGAACGATGAGATGGATGAACGGCGCGTGACGGGCGAAACTGCACCGCTGCGAGGCTGAGAACGAGGCCTTGGACGAGGTGTAGTCCCCCCGGTCTTGGGACTGGCCGCAGCAGGTGTAGTTTTGATGACTGGCGTCTGAGGTCGTTTCTTGTAGGCAGATGCTGGTACGATTGGCGGGCCCATGGGACCCGGAGTTGTCGGTGGCACGGGAGTCAAGGCAGGGGATTTGAGAGAAGCAGCTGCAATAACTTCCTTGTGGTCCGCGGGAAGCGGCGGAAGCATGGCACTACGTGAGCGGATACTAGAGGAAGTACTGGAGCGCCTGCTTAGCCGCTGTTGCTCATTGGCATGGTGCTTGCTTGGGGATGCTGGGGGCGACATAGCCTTTTCAACATCGGCGTTCGCAATGGTTCCAGAGTACCGTTGACTCCTTGCCATAAGCAATCTGTCGATTTGCTCTGAAGACACCATTGTCTGTGTGCCTCCATCCGCCATTGGAGTCTTTGGCTGTTCGACTTTGCCCAATGGCGTATCTTGAGGAATCGTACGATGAGCAGTGACTGGTCTAGAAGGCACATTTGGCGCTGTCTCGTGAGAAGCGATATCCGACAGGCCTAATGTAGGAGGTACCACACGGTTAGCTGTGGATGGCCTGCTAGGGCTAGGCAAGAAAGTGGGAAGTGTAGGCGATTCTGGCTGAGCATCGTGGAGAATCGCGACTTCGGAGAATGTGTGCTTCGGTTGAGGGCGAACGGGTGCTTCGACGGGATCTGTATGCTGCACATTCAACGTCGAGAAGGCGGGCAACTGCTTCTGCGCTTCAACGGGCAGACTGTGCTGATGAGACACACCCGAGAATTGTGGCGCAGCAGGCAACGGCGAGCTGATCGGCTCTGTCGTCAGAGAAGTGAGCAACGACAGTTGTGGGTGAGCGGGCTTCGCAATCTCAACAGGCCGCGTAGATTGGGCGGCAAGCCCAGAAAATTGCGGGGGACTTGGCCTTGCGGTCTGGACGGGTTGAGTCGCCTGGCTGGACAAGGAAGAAAATTGCGGGCGAGCTGGTTTGGCACTTTCAACGGGCAGAGTCGTCTGGCTAGATAGTGAAGAAAGTTGTGGTCGAGCTGGTCTTGTCATCTCCACAGGTGCCGTATTTTGGGCTGAAAGCGAAGACATTTCATGGGGGCGTGGTCGAGGAATCTCCGCGGGCACTGTACTTTGTGAAAAGACATCAGAGACATCCAGTTTGATTGGTGGTAGCTGAGGTGGTTCGCCTGGTACCGTAGTCTGGCTTGACAGAGATCCCACGCTGAACGGAGCCTGTTGATGGTTCTGCTCAGAATGTATATCCCTAGTAGTTTGCTCCGAAGGCTCTGAAGGCTCAGTCATTTGAGAAGCCAGGCCAGCTGCTAGGAGTGGTGCAGCAGCCGATATATTCGAAGTGGACTGTACAGGCTCTGTTGCCTGTCCCACAACTGTTGAAACGTTGAGAGGTGAAGACAAATGCTGGTGGCCCGTAGGTTCAGACGGCTCAGATCCTTGTGCCCAGTGCGAAGACATGGAAAAGGTGGGCCGAGGGGGTGATTGTGGCACAGTATCATGGCCAGATATAGTGGAAATGTTGAACGCTGGCGGAGGGGGTGAATGAGGTTCTGTCCCGTATCCTGAAACAGTACCTATCTGAAGAGAAGGAGCCGGGAGAGCTTGAGGAATTGTATTCTGTGAAGAAAGCAAGGACCTCTGTAGAGCAGGCCGAGAAACATCTCGAGGCTCCGTTGTCTGGTGCGGGAAACTAGCCATCGCCAAAGAGGGAGGTGGAACAGATCGAGGCTCTGTTGTTTGGTGTGGGAAGCTGGCCATGGCTAGTGAGGGAGGTGGAACCGACTGGGGTTCTGTTCCTTGTGCACTTAGTACAGCAAGTCCTAGTGATGGTACTGGTGCCGCCTGGGGGACAGTATCTTGAGCAGCGACCGAGGAAATGTGAAGAGCTGGCGGCTGAACATGGTTTGGTTCCGTGTTTTGCGACCAGATGGATGATCTCTCAAGGACTGGCACTGGTACGTCCGCAGCTGGTTCCCAAGGGTCCGTCATCACGCTCGAGTCTACCATCAGCACCGTCTTGGGAATGACGAAAGATTGAAGCGGTGATTTGCCTAAGGTGACTTTTCTGGACACTTCAGGCGAAGACTCTGGAGAGATGACACTTGATCGGCTCGGGGTTCCGTCAGCAACGCTACCGTCCTCGCTCTCTCCAGCGCTTAAACCGCCTAGCTCGGCAAATAAACTCTTGCCTTGAACGGGAGTGCTGCGGTTGCTGCTGGTGCCCGCGAAGCTAGCGGGGGAGTCATTGCCGGCGGGAGGTGTATCGGGAACGCCATCTGCGCTGCCTCGTGTGATTGATCTACGGTATCCTTGACGGACTTTGAGTCGGTAACGCTGATGATGGGCCTGCACAGGTGTCTGCACTTCTTTATCATCCCATTCATCGCCAGAAGTAGATGCTGTACTTTCGTAGGAGTCACGATGCCCTGACATGGACAAAGAGTTGGGTCTACGACGAACAGTTCCTCCGGAAGGACCAGCTTCAGTCTCGGTGAGATCATCACTACTGTTCCCATCGAGTGTCTCCGCGCCCGTTTGGAAAGCATCAGTCTCTGTCGCCGTGCCGTCACGTTCATTGGCAGTTTCGAAAGCAGCATCCGAGGTCTCATTGGCGGTTTCGAAACCTTCGGTGGTGCTAGTTTCAGCGGCGGAGGTAAAGCCACTAGAGGTCGCGCCAGGCACAGAGTCTGATTGCTTAGGTCGCTTGCTAGGCGTCGTGGGAGTACCGTCATGTTCCTCCCACTCATCCTCATCTAGAATGACCTCTTGGCTACCCATTCGGAAAGCACCTAAGCGATCAGGGCGTGGAGGCTTTTTGAATACATCCTTGTCGGCTTTCCTGCGTTTGCTAGCACTGCTTGGTCCGTTGAGAGCATTGCGATTCGTCTCGAGCTCGTCGCGCGTTTCTTGAAGCATACGCTTGATTTCCATCTTCTCCGTCTTCTCGCGGTGAATAGTGTTCTTGAGCTGCTGGATCATCCGGTGTGCATGGTTGAGAGAGTGCTTGAGCGTTTCAGATTCGAGTTGACCGTGGCGCGGAGTTGCCTTAGTGGGAGATGGAGGAGGCGAGTGTTCGGGAGTAATTGTGTTGCCCTCATCAGCGCCTTCTTCAGGTGAGTTCTCATCTGGAGAGGTTTGCTCTTCAGAACGCATGCGGTAAGCTACTGCTTTTGCGAGCTCTTGATTCTGGGTCGCCATTTCCTCCATCTTGCGTTGAAGAGCACCTCGCTCCGTCTCGCCCATACTGACGTTACGGCGCAGACCAGACAACTCGGTCTCATGCTGCTTGGTTCGGTAAGTCTGCTCGTCGCTGAGCTTGGCGAAATTCTGCTTGAGCTCTTCGAACTCGCGTTCCAGGGTGGCTTTCTCTGTCTTGGTAAGATTGATGGCATGGTTGAGACGGTTCTCCTTGTCGGCATGGGCTTTGGACTGTTGCTCAAACTCGCGCACTTGAGTTTCCAGGTTCCAGTTGACATCCTTCAATCGAGACTCGCTCTCATCCAGAGTCCGCATTCGCTGGGACAAGCCTTCCACTTCGATCTCCAGCTGGGAGCGGTCCAGGTCGGCTGCCTTGAGGGCTTCATCTTTCTCGAGCAAAACAGCCTGCAAATCCTTGAGTTGTGCGAGTAGAGAAGTAGAGATTTCTGTGGCAAGTGCTATATCGTTCATCCGACTGGGCTGTTGATTTCGCTGTTTCCGAGAAGGAACACTGACTTTGGAGGGAGAGTTCTGTGCTTCACTAGTGAAGACTGAAGCACCCGCATTGGCATCAGGTTCACCGCTGGGAACCCGAGATTTGGGAAGGAAAGCTCGAGCGGTTTCCCTACCAACCTCATTGAACTCCTTTTCAAGCTCGGCCAGCCTGGTGCGCAGCTCTGGACCGATTTCCGCATCCTTCTCCTGCTGGCCGACCTCCTGAAGTCTCTCTTCCAATTCTTTCCTCTGCTGAACAAGTGCATTGCCCAAATGTGAAGTCTCCTGTAGCCTCCGTGTGGTCTCGGCGAGGTGGGCTTGGAGCGCTTTCTTTGCTTGTTCAGGGGAAGAGCCGACGTAGAGAGAGAAGTCGGTATTGTCAAAGGCGGCGTATCGCTGCCTGTGGGCATCTTGGGAGTGGTTCACGAAGGGATCCGAGTCGCCCATGTCTTGATCCACGGCGTGGGCGCCGGGAGGGTGGTTTGCTGTTGTCGCCATCTGTAGTCGATAGTGGCGGACGTCTATTGCTCCATTGCCTGTCGCTGACTCGTTGTCTGGGTAGGGGACGTCGGGAGAGTGGTGCGCGTAGTCCGTGGAGGAAGAGAAAGAGGGGGGGATCTAGCGAACTAAGGACGTATAGTAGGGGGTAGGTGCCGGGCAAAGGCGAGGGAAGCGTATTAAAAAGAGTCTACAGGGAAATTGCGAGAAAGATAGGGTGTGTATGTGTGTGAGAGTGTATCCAACAGAGCCAGAGGTAGAGGGGTTGAAGGCGACGCCACGGGAGGCAGTTGCCAGCGAATCGGTCGTCGTGGTCGGAGAAGCGCTGGGACGCGTCTCGGACTACAGGGCCAGTGGAGAGCACTCGCACACCTTTCTGCGGCGCTTTTGGGAAGAAATCGGAACAGAGAAAGGAAAAGAAGGAAAAAAGAGTGGCAGAGGGTGGGGAGGACGACGGTCGAAAGTCAACAAACCAGACAGTCGGGCGGGTGGACAGCAAAGAGGGAGTGTTTTTGGGAAGAGAGAGACAGGCGGTCTGTGCGCCCAGATCCAGGTTTGCCGGGCATGAATCAAAACACAAACATCAACATCAACACTCGGCCCACAGCCATGCCCCGGTACGCGCCCTGCTCGGAGCTCCACACACGACTATGCCCAAAGCTACACCTCCTAGTTCATGCACGCCGTCTAGCATGTTCTCGCAAACTCAGCAGACACATGCACACTGGTCGACTACTACGCGTAGACTCAGCGTGGAGAACTGCCAGTCGCAAGTAGCGCCACGCCATCTCTGCTCATAGGCACTCAGTCCCCCGCAACACAATCGATCCCCTTGTTTGACAGTTTCACCCAGGCCTGTCATGTCCCAGGAGTCAGAGTTCAGTGTCTATTTAGACGCGGGCGCTGTCGCCTTGGATTGGCCTGGCATTTGACTCTGTTACTCTCCGGGTTATGCCTGTCTGTCTAACAGGTTGCCATCGTGGACAATCTTGCACCTGTGCCCTGCCTCTGAAGGCGAGTACCTTCACTGTGATGGAACAACTATAACTTCTGTGATAATTATAGAGTTCGCAACACCACCTTTTCCGGTACGCTGGATGTGACGGCGGTTGGAAGGATCGAAGATCGGCGAATAGACGCTTCCATGATCGCTAATCGATTTCTACGCCACATCCGAGACATTCACGTGCACTGACTGCTGGGTCTTTGCTTGAATGTTAGGAATAATCGGATAGATGTTACACTTGAGACTCCTTTTATCATACAGTGCGTAGCGCTACACAAAACGCAAGCATCTAAGCATCACCATAGCTACATTTGACCAGTCAAAAGTAGGAGCACCAAGTATGTACATATCTATGATTGCATAGTCTTGATGTCGCATACGTCTACCATGTACCTCCGAATGTTTCGTTGGGCATATTCATCGACTGGATAAATACGTATCCATTGGCTAGGCCTACGTCTCACAAAAACTGGTCATGTTGCCGCGAGATGATGATTCTGGAAATCTCATCAGTTGCGCTGGATCCGCTTACCTAAGATTCTTGAACTACGTACCTGGTAGATACATGCGAGAGCTCCGCAGCACCTCCGAACACCACTTTCTTTTCCCTCTCACATCTCTGCGACCACAGTCACATCCTCCTCTCTGCTTCATACTCTCCGAATCGCCTGGAAGGTTCCAATTTTGCCAGTATTTTCCTTCAAAACAGAATCATGGCCGACACAACAACACCCGTCGTAAAATTCAAGAAACGAGGCGCAAAAGCCGCTCCCCGCAAGGTCGCGCCACCACCTACGCATTCCGACTCAGACAACTCTGCCTCCGATTCAGAAGCCGACAACGATGGAAGAGTGGTAAAGCGGCGCAAAGTCGCTGGCAATGAACTCAAAGCTACCACAGCCAACGACACACGGCGATCCGAATTCGAGGGCAACACGACCAAATTCGAGGCAAACAGATCTGCCGTCATGAACGACGATGAATTAAGCACACAAAATCTCCTGGGGAACTCGCGTCTCGCTACCTCTGCCGCCGAAGACGTGCAAAAAGAAGTGCTGGGACCGAAAAGGCCTTCAAACGTGCGAGTCATTACTCTAATCGACTATACCCCCGACACATGTAAAGACTACAGGTACGACTTCTTCTACTTCCTCCTCCCATAAGAATAGTGATTACTTCGAACTCGGGCTGACATTTTCTCTGCAGGTTAACAGGCTTCTGCGGTTTCGGCGACAACTGCAAATTCGCACACATCCGCGAAGACGCCGCAGCAGGCTGGAAACTAGACAAGGAATGGGAGCTCTCGGGCAACGGCAAAAAAGCCAGCAGCGGCGGCACCATTGTAGCGTCGGCAAACCGCGACTCCAACACCGGCGAAAAGGACGAAGACGGCATCGACATTGCCGAATTGGAAAAAATCCCTTTTGCGTGCACAATTTGCGAAAAGCCGTATAAGAACCCTATCATGACGAAGTGCGGGCATTACTTCTGCGAGGCATGTGCGCTGAAGAGGTATAGGAAGGATCCGACGTGTAAGAATTGCGGGGCGAATACGTTTGGGACGTTCAATGCGGCCAAGAATGTGCAGAAGTTGCTGGATAGGAAGAAGAAGTGGGAGGATAGGAAAAAGGCAGAGGCTGAGGCGGCAGAGGAGGGTAAGAAATGAGTGGGAGGTGTTAGGTGGAGAGAATAAATTCCGAGGTACTGCTTTGGCGTAGGAGGATCGATGGAATCTCTCCGGAGTTGAGATCTAAGATCATGTAGTATAATTTCCAATGACGACCGTTCATGACAAACCAGAATTCATCCGTGTGCATCAACGAGTCACTACATATATATGTATCCATTACAGTCAGTTTCGTCTGTCACATGAGAGATCCAAGCAATTTGGTTTTTTTCACGACGGATTGATTCGGTGCGTGTGTGATGAGCTGGCAAGCAAGCAACGAACTCTCTTTTATGAATCTTTTGAATGATTACCTCTGAGATGACTTAACTCCCAGATATATCGCATGCACTATACAACAGAAACTAAAGAAGAAGTACAAGAGATGTCGTTTCATCATCCCAAATTGAGAATTGTATAATTAAGAAAAAGAGAGAAAAAAAAAACACATCTAAAACCCGCCATCCCTCTCGCTGACTTGCTCAACGCGATTCACAACCCTATCGACCAAACTAACCAGCTCATCGCCCACAAAAGCCGGACCATCCTTTTGTATAAAGTGCCCACACCCCACGCCAATCAACGGACCAATCGCTTTCCCATCCTCAGTAATACCGATAAGCTCCTCGTTGTACTTCTGCCACGCGGGATTCGCATACGTCATGGTCAAGGCCTTTGGGATATGCAGACTCCCCGTAAAAGACTGGTCAGCAAAGGTTTCCCAATCGTGGCCCACGACAGTGAGGTAAGGGCCTTCGCCGCCGTAGCCATCGAGACGCGGGGAAGAAGCTGACGGGAGGAGAGTAGCGAGGTTCCGGCGGTCAAGGCCTTCATTGTTGGGGACGGACGGGTGGAACATGAGTCTGTATTTCTCGCGGGTGTCGCGGACGTCTTGGATGTCGACTCCGGGGGGTAACTGGGCCGGATCGAAGGCGGGGTCATCTGGGTCGGGCCAGATGCTGACGAGATCGGAGTTGGCCATGATGGAGTCGAGGAAGAGGAGGCCGAGGACGGTTCCGGGGTAGGTCTGGGCGAAGAGGCGGGCGATGCCGCAGCCGATGCTGTTGCAGGCGAAGATGAGGGCTGGGAATTGGGTTGGGTTGGAGATGTTGAGGTGGGTTTTCCAGATTTGGAGGGTGAGTTGGCGGAGATCGTGGACGGCGCTCATGCAGTCGTGACCGTGGGATGGGGGAGGCTCGGTGTCATTTGGGTCGCGGTCGCTGTCGCCTTGGCCATAGCGATCGTAGGTTAGGAGGGCTGGGTAGGGGAGTTGAGCGTTTATTCGTTTTTCGAGGAAATCATGGATGGCGTTGTCCCATGCTAGTGCGGTCAGTACGATTCAAGTGTTGAGGTTGTAACTCGCATGTAGAGGGTAGTACTTACACGAGCGGGGCATAATCAAGCCATTGAGAAAGACGACGAGGGATTTGGCAAATGGATTCGGGCGGTTGGGTTTGGATGGAGAGTGAGGATAGTATGTGTAGTGGATTTTTGCACCATTTCTGTGTTCCAATTCAATAGCAGATATCTCTGGCTCCGGGAAAGGTTGAAGGTCGTCTGTAGATGATGCGTTGGAGTCTGGTGGGGGAGCAAGGTGTTGCCTGCCGTCTTCTTCGTGGAATCTGGTGGGACCTGCGATGAGAGAATTCATGTTTCCCGAGTATCAGTCACGCGACGCGGCCAACGAGAACAGAGATGTATGTATGCAGTGGAGTTTATTGGTGAGCTGTAGGAGGTATAGAGGAATACCCAACAAGGCAAGCGTACGGCAGGGTCACGCCAGCACAGCAGATGGCATGCAGTTGTTGAGGACTGGAAACGGTATATGGCCAAGCTGGAAGTCAGTGTTATTCCCCGCTCTCTCGCTCCTCTCTCTTTCTCTTGAGGAAAAAGGATTTTGCTGTAAACAGATCAACAGTAAGGCATCTTGGCGGTAGTACGTTCACTTAGGATTCAGATTCGCGATTGGCACTGACTATGAGAATGAAGACACAATGACCAGGAAAGAGGCAGACGGACACGGGAGTATGATTACATCAGACCGGCTCGTGGAGTGCTAGTACCCAGAGTTCCCGTCAACAGCCAACGACGTCAGCTTATGGGGCCCCTTCCCTAGCATGGTTCCCTGCCCCCAAAAACCCACGACGACGACGACGATGAACCAGCTCGGGGAAATCAGGAACGTCTAGGCAGATGGCTTTGCCATATGACGCCTCACTTGCCGTTGGCGCGTATCCGCATACTAGCCGGCAGCAACGTTAAATATGAAAAGGAGCGTGAACTGCGAGTCTGGCCCGATCGATTGGGGAGAGAGAGCAGAGTAGTTCGCGCCAAGCCAAGACGATGACGGCTGCGATGCCACCAGGGTCCATGGCCATGCCATCCTTCATTGCCGTGGATCGAGGGGGGGATCACCGCAGCCACAGCAGCCCATCTCCGCACCAGCTCGTCCACCTGCAGACGCATCCGTGGTGAGGTGGAAGAGGTACAGGACATGTACTGCCAAGCCAGCCATTCTGTCCATGACTGACAGACAAGACGGACTGGAGAGAGACAAAGCAAATGCAGCTGGCCGGCCAGTGGGTCTGATCTCAGGCACAAAACAGCAAATGACGTAGCGCGGCCCGTCGGTCAATCCGTCGGTCTGAGTTGTCTGTCTGTTCTCGACATTCACCCATCTCCAGAAAAATAAAGAAATAACAAAACCACCAACCTCCCACCTACCGCCTTCCTCCTCGCGCCGTTGACGGGCTGCCCCTCCAGTCTCCTTTCATCTCTCCCCCGCATGCATGCACACAGACACATGTCCAGAATACTCTCACCACATCACCAATAGCCACCTCTCCCGCCTTCCGACCATCCAATCCACCCCTCGCTAGAGTCTATTCGTTGTCTCGCGAAACCCAAATTCTGCACCGCTTGCAACTTCCCGCACGCTGTCGTTTGACAATCCGACGACTCCCAACATCGCCCTCAGAACAAGCCTACCACGGCACTCGCTCGGCTGATCCATCCACCTTCATCCTCGTCGTGCTTCTCCGCCAACGCCAGTCCAATCTGTTCCAAACCCAGGCCCTGCGCTACCGTGATAGCGCAACCAAGCCATGTCTCACTACGTCAACCAAGCCACCCAAACATATATAGAAGGCCTTGTCCACGATCCTGCTCACACGCCCGCGCCTCTTGTCTATCCTCAGTACCAGCCTGACAACACCACCCCTCCTCAAGAAGCCGACACAATGGCAATCGACAAGATGCATCTCTCCGCCGAGGCCATCAACAAGTCTCTGGCCATTCCCAAATACTACCCCAACCCGGCCAAACTCCTGCGCAAGCAAAACCGTCCCAGGCTCGAAACCAGAATCTCCATGCCAGAAGTAACCCGTTCCGAATTCGAAACCCCTCTATCCCCGCCACCCACCCAGGTCGCCATGTCACCGCTCCCAGCTGCCAACAGGCTGCACGCAGGCCACACACCCATCATCCCCCGAGCACGATCCCCGTTACCAGACATCAGCTCTCCAGCAACCCCCGATCCAGAATACGATGTCGACAACGGTCTCTCTGGACCCTTGACGCTGCCGCCTCAGCCCGGCGATGGCACCGAGGATACAATCTCGCTCAACGTTCTGGACGCGCAGCTCGAGAGGTTGCGAATGGAACAGGAAAAGAAGAGCGCCCCTGCCCTCGTCAATCAAGCAGATGTTCCGTTTTCCCCGCTATCTGTTGATACCTCGGCTCCGCTCAGTCCAACTGCCCACGAAGTCGAAGCCGTCGACGGCGTTTTGTTGAAGAAACCTCGCATCAATTTCGGCGCGCCTCTCGGCCAGGCGTAGAACGTCTCGGTCAAACATTACAGTTTGCTCATCACCGCGGACTCTTCACCGAATTTGTCAATGAGCATCATCACGTAGAAGATTGTCGTTTTTTGGCTTAGCTTCTGTGGGAAAGAGGGTCTTTTTTTTGTTTTGCTGGTCATTGTTTTTTTCTGGGGTTCAACACATGTCGCATTTAAAACATTGCCAGCTAAGGGTTCATGGGGGTTGGTGGGCATCATCATCATCATCATAGAGCATGCTTTTTGGGATTCGGGACCGTGCTTTGATTTTGGTTTGCAAAACGAAGTCGTTTTTTTTATTATCTTGTATTGAAGAATCGGGTGGGTTGGGGGGGGCGGAAAGAACTTATATATATACCATGGAGAAAATACCCCGTTGGTTGAACGTAACGGGATGATCACGAAGACAAGACAACTACTATTTAAAGGGAGCGTCGGCGTATTGGGGTTTGCCACAAGGGGGAAGGACCACAGAAGGACTGAAGTTTGAGAAAAATTGGTGGTGCATTAGATTTAAAGTTGCCAGCCAGATAGCGAGTCTCAATTAAGAAGAAAGCGGTTTTTTGTTCTCTATCTCTTTCCTACGCGTTTCGCTCCCTTCGTGCATCTTTATTTTTATAACAACAGTAGTACATGTAGAAAAAAGGCAGAGGAAAGGAAGAAAAGAAAGATTAATTGTTTATCTAACTAAACAAATACATGAAGAAGAAAAGGATAAACTTTTAGATAAGCTTTAAGTTTTTGTTTCCTATTCTTGCTACGCTATGCCTGTGTTATATATACAAGCTAATTTCTTTCTATCTTTTTTTTTCCAAGTAAAAAGTACTTAGGTAACAGTTCTCACACGCAGTCTAAAACAAAACCCAGAACTCTCACCTGCAGTTGTAGTAGTAGCACAGCCAGCTAGCTAGCTTAGAGTGGAAAAAATAACTGCATATTGCATACCTAGGTATATGCTTATGCATATATTCACATGTATATTCATTCACATGCCAGTCTGTCTCCCCCCTACCTTCTGCCCCCTGTCCTTATTTTTGGAATCTGGATAAAATTTCTTCCTTTCCCTTCTCCTCCCCCTATCTGATATAAGTACCTAGGTAGGTGTGTGCAGGACAAGGATAGGATTAGGGTAAGTTTTATACTTGGTCTTTTGATAATCAATTGATTTGTTTCTTTACTTTCTTCTGCTTTTTCTTTTTCTCATTTTGATAAAAAAAAAAGAGGGGGGGGGGGGGGGGAAGAGGGGGGAATCTTTCTGCTTTTGAAAGTACACATCTATTTCCCCTCTACTCTCTTCCCATTTGGTGTTTTAAAAAGAGTCATGATGGGTAGTTTAAAACAGAAGTCTTAAAAACGTATTGATTTCCCTCAGCACACACAAACATATGTATATGTTTTTTTTTATGTATATGCCTTATATACTATACTTAAGTCAGAAAGAAAACCATTCATCTTATAAACATGAGATGCATATCATTCCATACTGTCTTCTCTTTTCATCAACATATGTTCAGATTGGGTAATCTTCTTTTCCTTGCTTGCTTGCTTCCGCTTGCTTGTATATACAGTCCCACAGAAAGAGAAAGAGTTAGACGAATCGGCAAAAGAAGGGGAACTCGCGAGAGAGAAACTGGATAATAAGGATGATGATGATGATGATGGGGTGAAAATCTCCTCGAGGCCTTTTTTTGGGTTGTTCGTTTCGCGCGCGTGGGGATGAGAGAAGATGGTTGCCGAAAATGGAGTCGAGTTCGAGCCGTCCTGGATAAGAAAAAATGCAGGACAAAAAAGAATGCACATGAAGGAATTATCGTGTAAGAAGGTGGTTTTTGGATGGTGCGTGGTAGGGAGATGGATAAATAGCTGTGGTGATGGCGGTGGTGTTGATATGTGTAGGAAGATTGCGATCTCAGGTCTCCGCGCTCCCACGGGATAGATGCGTAGAGAGAAAAAAAAATCCGGTTCGCCGCGAAAGTCGTGTTCTCTTCTTTCGAATACTCGACTTTTCCGCTCTCGAGTGGATTCATTTTAGAACCCCTCCATATTCCCAATGACATCCATATCGTCGTCTCCCCTCTCAACCCCGCGTCCCGAGCTGAACTCGCCCCTGTTCATATCCATGTCCACATCTTCTTCTTCTTCCTCCTCTTCCTGCACGCCATCATGCCGCGGCCTCGCAGTAAACAATGCCGCGCTCTCTCCCTCGCTCAATCCAGCCTTCTCCGCCGCCGCCATCCTCACGCTCAGCGGCCGACTCTGCATATAGCTCTCCATGTAGCTAGCCCCCAGACTCGACGGAAACCCGAGCGAGCCCATTTGGTTGACGTCGTCGACGCCAGAGCCGGAGATGCCGCCGACGTAGGAGCTGAATTCAGCGTCGCCGTTGCTGGCGGTGGCCGAGCCGCGGTCGGGGAGGGAGGCGTAGATTGGTGCTGAAGAGGCGTGTTGCGGGATGTTGCGGGCGGCGATGGCTTTGGGTGGGGAGGGCTCGAGGAAGGTGCGTCCGGTGGTTGTTGGGGGTTCGTAGAGGAGTGGCGAGCGGATGGAAGAGTGGGATGTGGGTGATGGAGAGATGGGTTGGTTGTTGTATATTATCATGGCGGGTTCTTCGGTGAGCGTTGTTGTTGATGTTGATGTTGTTGAGCTACCAGCCATGTTATTATTACTGGTTTGGTTCATGGTGGATGGTGAATTGGATGTAGGAGAGCTTTCTTGCAAGACTTCTTGATATTCATGCCGAGGAGAATCGTTGTTGGCTATGAGGCGCGGATCTATCATTTCTTCTAGTGATGTAGTTGAAGTGGAGGCGCTTGAGGGGGCGGTATCGCTGGGGGATGTGAGGGGCGGGTCTGCTACTACATCGGCCGGAAGAACAATCTGGTCGTCAATCACCAAGCTCACCCGCTTCCGCTTGCTCTTTTCACTTCCCTTGCGGAGCGATGATTTCTTCGTCGTAGCAGGACGCTTGGTTCTTTTCGCCGAGTCGGACCTGCTTCGTTTCTCGGCAGCGCTCGTGTCCCCGCCGGAAGAAGATTCTCGGAGTTCTGCTTTGCTGCCCTTTTCAAGCACGCGCGATCTGCGTTCCTTTGGCGGATCGGCGTCACGAGGCGATGGCGATCGCATTTGGAGGTCCGGGGCGGATTGCGGCATGTCATGGCCCATGCTGGCGTCGCTCTTCTCTCCCTTCTTCTTGGCTTGCGGGACGTCTCGGGCATCCAGCAGCGGTAGAAAAATGGGCGTCACGAGACCAAAGAGCTCCTGCTCGCGCTTGTGCACGCGGTTGTGCTTGGTGCGCTTTTCCCTCTCTTCGGCGCGGGAGAGATGCTGAGGCAAGTCGGGCTGGGGAGAAGTCGGAGCAGGAGTGGAAGATGAAGAGGACAAGGCAGCAGCAGTAGAGGTTGGGTGGTGTGGAGTTGCGGTGCATTCCATTTCACGGTACTGGGCCAGAAGCTAGCCGGATTAGCAGATGTCAAGGGAGGGATCAACGGGACGAGTACCTCGTGTTGGTAGAGCGCGAGCTCGTGCTGCTTCTTCTTTATGTAGGCATTGATGTCGGCCTCGAGCTGGAGCTGCTTTGCCTCGACGCTGCGGCTGAGCTCGAGCAATTGCTCCGTGGTGAAGCCTGGAGCCTCGGCCAAGGTGGGATCGCGTTCCAGGAGCATTTACCACCAACAACGGTTACCTATGATGACGGAGTCACGAGAGGGTCGGTTGCGAATAAGGTTCACGTAATGGTCCAGGTACAGCAGCTATGTTTGGCATGCATGCAGCGGCAGCAGCAGCGGCAGACAAGGGCACCACCTGGGAGGGGCTCGTGTCAGTTCAAAGGCAAGGCATGGATGGGTTGGCGGGCAGAGTCAGAGTGGGCAGGCAGCCGTTGTCAAAACGGGCGGGCGGTGCGAGTGGGTACCTACGAGGCGGTTGAGAGTGACGCATCCGGAGCGCAGGTGATGTCGCCTCGCCTGATGGGGCAGCGTGGCTCAGATGTGTGTGAGTGAGTGTTGAGCGAGTGACTGGACGGGACGGGACGTGGGTGTTGTTCTGTAGCACGCAGCCAACGGTCCTCTCGTACAGAAGAGTAGTAGCAAACGGGCGGGGAGCGGTAGATGGTGAGAGCGGGCAGCAGAGGACAGGAGGGAGGAAGAGGAAGAAAGCAAGTGAAGACGGGGAAGAGGGACAAAACTCTGCCTGTTCACGAGTCACCGGTAGATGGAGTCAACTGTTGCTGCTAGCAGTAGGTTAGCATCAATCTCACTCACATCAACCATCGATAATGGCCGACAGGGAGGGTTCCCTGCGGTCCGAATCGGTACTGTCTGTGTACTATCATCCATGTACCATGTGTTGTGTGCTATGTGTTTGTGTGTGGGCATGCTTGGGTATTCGTTTATTCATTCCATCATGCATTCCTTCACCCATTCAGATAGCCATTACTCCCCTCGAGGGTCATGCTCCTGTCTAGCCGACATGTTTTTCCTTCTTCTTCTCTTCTTTGGCGCTGGTGCTGGTGGTGGGGGGGCACTCTTGGCTGGGTTCGGAAAGCGTTGTCGAGGCTAAGGTAGTCTAGATCCCTAGAGACGGCAGGCACCAAGGAACCAACCGCGGCTGCTGCTGTTACCTCTCTCTTGCTTCCACTTGCTGCTGCTATTTACATCTCATATCGAGTGTCTACATACATATCTATCTATGTGTGCATACCATAATCATTCATCATCTCCATCTTTATCAGAATACAACTCACCCCGTCATCTACCTACCAGTTATCCATCCATCGTCCGTCGTCCCTCTTTTTCTCCATGTAGATCCATCTGAGCACTAACACACTCAAGACGCGCGTACTCTGCACATCTATGATTCCCTATTATTTCATCCATCCCGTCATCCCCTTTCTTCTCCTTCTCCTTCTCCTTCTCCCTCACCCTCTCTCTTTCTTTCAATTCTCCAACCATTCACATTCTCCCCCTTCGACCATCTTCCCAACGCTTACCCGTGCCGTCTTCGTTCAATCTTCGGCTAAAAGAACCCAGAAACCCCGTCACGAGGCTGTCCAACTGTTCCTTCGCTACACGTCTACAACCACCACCAACATCCTAGCAGCCGCAACCCCAGAAGCAGTTATCCGAAATCATCCAAGAAAAGAATGAACCCCACGCGAGCGCATATTCGACGCCACAGAATAAACCCCGTTTGGATATGATTAGCCACACCCACGTCAACCACGTCAACCAAAGATGCAATGCAGATGCCCTTATTATCAAATCCTTGTTTTATCCGCCAACCCTCCCTCTTCACAGCAAACCTTCGTCCCTGCCAAGAACCTCAACCCGCGTCATGATTCTCCATCTTGATCCTTGCTGATTTCGTTCAACAAATGCTGACGACACATCATTCATCAATCACTCTCGCGCAGATTGCATCGCATCACATTGCCAGTCCGCACGCCCCCCTTTGATTCGCTTTCGACTTTGATTTGGTATATTCAAAAAAATGCACTCCCATCTCCGAACCCTCGCTTGAGTCCCGTCACATCGGCCCTTGTCGTCGTCATGTGCCCAGCTTGCCTCTCTGAACACGTCTTTTCCTCGTCATATGCTCAAAACGCTCATTCCGCCAAAGAATCACAACCCATCGTGCGTCGTCGTTCCTTTCCCATGCTAATGCCTGAAATGCAATGAGCCATCGCCCCTGCAATGCTAGATCCGAATCCCACATGGTCAAATACATATGCTGCCTGACTTGCTTCCAAAATCAATAGATGCCCTGCGTGCGGTACTGGAACGTGTCATAACTGCTTCCAAGTTAGCATACTGTTCTTCCTTCTGCGGCGTCCCCCGCGACTTGACTTTACTTACAGTCGGGTATAATAGCTTCCCACACTCTTCGCAATCAGCTCTTCTACAAACACTTCGGCTTCCTCCTTGCTCAAATGCAACATCATGCGCGCTCGCAATGAATTCGTGACGCCCGCCGCCCCCGCTGCAAAACACGGCATCTTGCTCTGCTTTCCCATCATGTCCACGAGCATGATGAACCGCTCGGCTTCTCTTCGCAGCGACTGGAATGCTCGCTTGCACAGGCTCTTGAACTCTTCAAACGCTGGCGATGTTAGCCCTCCCAGCACGTCCACGTAATCCTGTGTGAGCTTGAATGGCGCCGCTTCGAATCCCATGCTGCCTGGCGAGTTGGAAAGCATGAAGCCAAAATCAATGTGGATGATGTGGCCCATGTTGTCAATCAGCAGATTGCCATTGTGCCGGTCCTTGAGCTGTAGAACATAGCATATGATGCTGTACGCCGCCAGAGACCGTGTGAACGCGTCAACGCCTGCCTTGTATGTACTCGAGTCTGGCTCGCCAAAGGACTTGGTGAAATGATCTTGAAGACTGGCAATGCGCTTCCGAGGATTCGTGCCCGCCGCTATGCTGGCCAGCGTGAGACTCCGCTTCAACGAATGTAGGGATACTCCGTTCGTGATTGTTTCAATCAACCCGGATGATTCGCCTGTGACCAAGATGCGCATTCGCTTTGTCCACACCGGAACATTGGCCTCTTCCCAAATCTTGCCGCACACTTGGATAAGCTGGCAAGCAAAAGCCTCCTGTCGGAGATCAGCTCCCGTCTTCACAATGACGCTAACGAGGTCCCAGCTCTTCATGTGGCCATAGGGAGAGGATCGCCGTATTCGCTCTCGTTTAGCACTCCACTCTTCACCAAATGTTGCAGCACTGGGATCATCACGGTCGCCTTGGCGTTGCACGCCACCTGTCTTCAAATCGTTTTCCATGCGGGCTGCCCCTGCACCAGTGTTGGTAGGTGCTGCCAACCCATCCTCGAGCTCTTCCGGCTCGGCAGAAATTTCGGTTGCATCGCTTTCCGCCATGATGGTGTCGAATGTAGGCCCTGCCTCCTCTGCAAGGAAGTTTTGCTCTTCCATACTCTGCATGCTTGCAATAATCTTGGCCTTGATGGCAGCCACTTCGGCCTTGGGGCGCTTGGAACCGCTTGCTTCCAGCTGAGCCAACATCTGGGCCGCTGTTCTCATGTGAGTAGCAAGAGCAGAAACGTCCGGTTGATCACCGCTCTGGGTTCCACGGCTAACCGGGAGAGTCGTCTTTCGGGGGCCTGGACTGCTTGATCTGCTCAGTTCCATGTCTGAAGTTCGGGGGGTGGATAGTCCTGCAACGGATGACATTGTGTTTGCGCCGCTTGAAGACCTGGCAGGTGCAGTTTTGGCGGTAGCCGCCGCACTGGGCAGCGTGATACCTGCCACTCCTGAGGTGATGTCGCCTTCATCCAGCCCTTTGATGAGCGATGTGCTACCAAGATCACCGGTGGATGGCTCGAAAACGCTATCAGACCCATTCGTGGGAGTCCTCCCGTTACCAACATGATCAGAGTGAGTGATATCGAACAAACGACGCTTTGAAGTGCCCTTCTCCAACATTAGTTTTTCCAGAAGCTGCTTATTTTGCTCCGTTTCCGGATCAAAGTTGAAATCTTCTTGCAGAACTTCGACCATGAGCAAATAGGGCACACGTTCAGCACTGTTCAAACTGGTCGCCTCTGCGGGGTTGATCCGCACAATACGATGGTGCTGGCTTCGTGACGGAATTCCGTCTTCTAGGGTCGCGGGTGATATCACAGGTATATCAACCTCTGCCGGGAGATCTTGCGTGATCAAGGCGAGCTCGGCCCTCAGCGCACTCAGTCGAGCCGGTTTAGGCACAATCACGAGACGATTTGAAATGTCCTCGAGCGCGCTCAAGAACTGAGTTTGATTGCGGAAGTAATTGGATCGTAGTAGGCGGCGCTTCTGCGACAACGACAAGGCTGTTGGTGTCAGGGGCCTTGGAACATGCTGCTTATGAGACCTATGGTGATCCGGTCTGTGACCCAGACCAGCTGTAGGGGGAGGAGTGGGAAGAGGCGAAGTAGCGGGATTCTTGAAATCAGGCAGTGATGACGAGCTAAGCCGTGCTTCTGCGCTTGTAGCGAGAAGACTGTGTCTGTAAGGCTGCGCTGAAGGTACTCGATCCGCAAGTCCAGGTCGGGCGGCCTTTTTTCTTTCCAGTCGCTCCACATCCTTCGGGCGCGGCGCCGGTATCCTCGGGGATCTCCCATCCTCAGGATCAGAATTGCCTCCTGTAGGTTTCGAGCGCCTGGGACGCGGCGCCCCTCCCGCAATGGTGTGGCTCCTGCCGACTTTTGCCGTCTGCACATTGTCTGAAATCATGTCATCGAGGGGCCGCGGTTTGCGGGCTTGCGCAATTGCCAATGGACCTGCATGCTTAGGGAGGAAAGGTGCTGCTACACTAGCTAGCACCAAACTTGACAGGACGGTGACGGGGAGGATGTTTTCTTTGATCTTTTCGCGCCGTTGGGGCTCAGCCGAGCCGAAGACGATGCGCTGGACCTTGTTGTATATCCTCCGGCATGTCTTGAAGGAGTGCGAGTTGGGGTCAGAGGCCAGGTCGTGGAGGTAGGTTTGGAACAACCAAAAGGTCTGTGAGGGTGACGGTTAGCCGGTGCGAGGCATGAGATGGGCGGTCATGGATGTACCAGAAGCGCGCCGTTTACCGACTCTTCACATAGATCTATGATGAACTCCTCCAAGGCCATCGACTCGTTGTCGACGCTGATGAGCAAGTGGCATAGCCTGTCCCGCATAAGCTAGCTTGCCCGGTCGTGGGGCGGCGGCGGTGAACAACATACTGTGGAAGGAAGAACTCGATTTCCTCGTAGGCGAACTGGCGCAGCTTGGAACAGAGAACATAATGGATGCCGACATGTTCTGCATATCGACTGTTGGCAGCGTCAGCGGCGGGGATCGTGGGAGGCGTGCGTGTTGGTGATGTGTATATATATGTATATGTGTGGCCGTGCGGGCATCCACGGAGCGGGACGCAACGGTGGCTTTCGGAGGTGAACAGGTGGAAGGGGTAGGTGGGAGCACTCACGAAAGGTAGGCGACGGTGAGCGAAGGATCGTGGTTGAAGTGATCCGACTCTAGGAAGCGCTCTAGCAGATTCCAACTCATCTGGGACGGCTCATTGGGACGCGCGTGTTGGATAGACGGAGACTGGATGACTATGCTTCGTCGTCGAAAGGGTCACTTCCTTAGTGAACGGGGACTGGGGTCCTGCCAAGCCATGGCTCGCTAGTCGATCATACCTATACAGCCCACCTCCATACCTACATGAAATAAGTGTGTATGCTAACGAGCAGTGTGTCTCTGCACAGTACAGCCTATGTCGACCATTGACCAAAACCCGGGGGCCCACATCTCCATAATCTGGCGATGAATTGGAGTGTCTTGGAAATACCCAAGGTACTGATCGTTGGAGCAACGAGACCTGCCCTGCACAGTATCGGCCCCGTTTCGCAACGAGCAGTTCACGCCGTAGGGGTCAGCCAGTCTCTAAAGACGCCGATGATGGGTAGAATGGCTTTTCAGATGGTGAATCAAAGTAGTTGGGCTCGACAGATCGTATACACAAACGGCAATGGCCACGACGAAAACCTGGTATACATGTTTATGTGCTTCTATATCCTCTGGTAGTCGCATTTGGGCAATTTCCGCGTCGACTACTTTACCAACTCGTGCGATACATACGCAGGGCTCGTTCAGAGGAATATGTGCTGCAGCTCTACAGTTGCTGCAGCAGTGCTGACAAAACTACTTATGTGCCTGCGTCGGATGGCGGATGTCGGTAACCATCCTATCCGTTCCCGGATCATTACTCACCCCTTCCCCCTGGCCGCTTACCATAGCAACTCTCGCATTCTCCTCGCGTCGACATCAATCATCGTGCTATCTGTTGCAAATTTCGCAAACACTATGGACGAAAACGTTGATTTCTGCCATCTCGTATTCATGTCCGTTTCTAGTTCACCAGGAAATATTAGTCCGGTACTCGTGCGGCCATGGCCATTTGCTATGTAGCAGTGCGGGAGCTCACTGCTCATATTCCGCTAGATAAACATCGTCATGTACATGTGGTCAGTATAAAGACTGGACGGTCTTGCTAACTATGCTATGGTTTTAATCATCAACCTCCAACAATCATATCATCTTCGTCCCCGATCGAACACTGTCAAGAGTCATCCGACACTCCCAAACTGATATCCAGCCATCTTCCACTTACACATACTCCTGCTCATTCCACTGACTTCGTCGCATCGAGACATTCCATTATGGCAGATCAGCGCAACATTGTCATCTTAGGATCGTCCTTTGCAGGCGTCCAGTCTGCTCAGTACTTCATGAAGTACATTATGCCCACCCTCAACGCCAGACCAGGAGCCAAACACCATCTCTACATCATCAGTCCGTCGCCAGATTTCTACTACGTACCAGCAGCACCTCGAACCGCCGTCTCGGTTTCCCGCCTTCCCTTCGACAAAGTATTCGTCCCCCTGTCCGCAATCTTCGAATCGTTCCCAAAGAGTGACTTCACCTTCATCCAAGCATCTGCCTCTGGCCTAGACACCAGCCAACGAACAGTCCTCTACCGTCGAAGTGACAAGGCCACTGAAGAAAAGCTACCCTATCACGCTCTAATCATCGCCACCGGCTCGCAAACAAACCACGCTGCCTTCTCCAAAGGCGACTCAGAAGGCATCAGGAAAGCAATCCACGACATGAACGCAAAAGTCTCATCCGCAAAAGACATTGTCGTAGTTGGCGGCGGAGCCACAGGCGTCGAAACTGCTGCAGAGATAGGCGAACAGCTCAACGGCAAACCAGGCTGGTTCTCCACCCCTTCCCGAAAAGTCGCCATCAAACTCATCACAAACGCCAACCAACTCATCCCGCAGCTGCGCCCGTCCGTCGGCAAGTCCGCAGAAGCAGCGCTCAAATCCCTCGGGGTAGATGTCGTGTACAAGACCAAAGTCACAAACTCTTCGCAAGGCAAAAACGGCCGCACAATCCTCACGCTCGGCAACGGCGAAACGCTCGAAACAGACCTCTATCTCCCGCTTCACGGCGTCATCCCCAGCTCCTCGTACCTCCCCAAACCCCTGCTCAACGAGTCTGGATACGTGGACACGAACCCCGCGACTCTCCGCGTCGACGCCGCTGGACCCCGCGTCTACGCGCTCGGCGACATCTCGTCCGTCTCGCGCAACAAGATTGCAGATCTCAACGACATGCTGCCCGTTGTCCTTACGAACCTCAAGCGCGACCTCTACGCTTTCAACCCTGCCAATCCCTCCGCAAAGGCCCCCGGGAAAGACCGCGAGTTCAAGCGCATGGAGAAGGAGATGTTGGGCGTGACGTTGGGGTCTGGCGGCGGCGTCGCGGTCGTTGCTGGGTGGCGCGTCCCGAGCTTTTTTGTGTGGTTGTTGAAAAGTCGGGATATGCTGACGGGCATGTTTGTGCCAGCCATCAAGAGCGGCAAGTATGTCAAGGAGGCGCCGTGGAAAGGGGAGGAGATTGTGGCGTGAGGTGAGGTGGTTTTTGGCTGGAGCTGTCCCGTTCGATTTTTTGATATCCCCCCTGGATCGGTTTTCGTTGTTGGTTACATCGTGTTACTTTTTCCCTTTTGTAGATCTGGAATTATTATATACCAGCATTAGCCGGGGAAAGTAGAGTTGGGTATCAGCTAATATCAAATAATACTGTGTTAAAAATTGCAATACTCTAGTTGTTCACTCCCACAACAGCACTCAAAGCATATTCATCTTTTAGGTTATCGCCTGTTTTTTGTTTGGTTCCTCTATCGTTGCAATTATCGCTTTGCGTAGGATCACCCAAACTACAACCTAGAATATCAATTGATATTCACAAGCACAATTCATCACACCACACCTCCCCCCCCTTCCCAACCCTCAGCACCCTCGCAACCTCCTCCTCAAAGACCCTCACAACCTCCCCGTCCCTTTCCCCGTCCTCATCCCTCATCTCCTCCACACCCCTTCCTCGCCGCGACCCCTCAATCTCCCCCAGCACCCCCCTCCAATCCCCGCCCTCAAAAACCTCCCCCTCCATCCTGACAACCCCGCCATGCTCCCTCCCCATCCACTCCACCAGCCCCTTTTCCTCGACAAACGCCTCCCTAGGCACATACACAAACGGCACTTTCCCGTTCCCCAGCACCTCAGAGCACATCCCCCACCCGAGCTTGCCGAGCACGGCGTCGGACGCCGCGATCAGCGACGGGATATACGCGTCAGAATGGATGCGGTAGATGCGCGAGGAAGGGAAATGCAGCGTCTGCGAGAGGACTATCCAGTTGTGCGGGAGGAGGGGGGTGGCGGTGGATGAGGAGGGGGGCTGGCCGCCGAAAGTGTGGAGGAGGATCTTTGTGGTTGGGAGGAGCACGTGTGCGAGGTGCGAGGGGGGGATTGTGGTGGGGGGAAGCGATGAGAGTGTTTGGACGCGGGAGTTCGATGCTGTGCGCCGGTAGTGGAAGGGGAGGGGGATTGTGCGGCCTTTGTATGTTGATGGGATTGCGCCGGGGAGGAGGAGGAGGGTTGATGCTTGTGCGTATTGGGCCGTCATTTCTCTGACGAATTGTTTTACTTTTGTAGTTGTTTCTTCTTCTTCTTCTTCGTGTGGGTGAGGTGGATTGGTGGCAGAGAGTTTTTCAGATGTGGAGAGGTCGATTAGGCCTTGCAGGATGGTGTCGAAGAGGAAGTTTGTCACGAGGATACTAGGGGTATTCTTGATTGTGCAGACGATGCTGGGACAGTCTGATACTATGGCATCGATACCGTGTTCTTCTACAAACGCTTCTTCTTGCGCCAACGCTGCTGCGGTGTTGAAACGTATCACCGAGTCAAACGTCTGCGAGGCAGATAGCGTATAAGGATTTGTCTGCACGACGGTTGGTTGAAGGGGGTGCGTGTAAGGCGAGAATGTGATAGGGTGGGAGTCAATGTCTGGCCAGCCAGCACCGAGGGATGCGAGGATGCTGGGAGAAACATTTGTGCGGACGTAGATGTGGTAGTTGGGCCGTGACTTCTCCTGGTCTGTCTTGCTTGTGGTGTTGGTGGTGGGTTGTCTGGATGCGGTCGCCTCGAGTAGTAGTTGGGCCAGATGGACCAACCGCATGAAATGTCCTAGTCCATGTGCCGAGGGATAGAAGGCTAGCCGGATTGTTTTTTGATCTAATGGGGGATTTGTGGACATGTTTGAGTTGTTTCTTTAGCATATGCATGCACCAAGTGGTGGTGGTAAGAAAGTGGTTGGGTACATGTAGTCTACAGTGATCGGCACTCGGTGTACTTACTGCACAACCAGGGGGTTACTCGTAAGCGATGAGCGATTTTACGAGATGCGAGATGCGATCCGGGAAGTCCTAACGGCACATAACTCTAAATCGCGGTGTTTATTTAATCACTCAGATGGGCATGTAAAGCATAGTGTGTGCCATGAGGTAGAGCAAATGCCTTGCTCATCTGATGATGTATCATATTCAAAGTCTATCTAGTTCCGTTCCATGTGGTATAAAGCTTTTGTGAAAAATCGATCAATATCTGCCGTAAAATCATAACGCCATTTCCCCGCTTCTCCCACGCATACCCGCTTTTTTTCGGTGTGGGAGACTCACAATCGTCCCACCATGACTATGCGCATATGCATTTCCCCTCCCCCTACCCTCCAGTCGCTAGTGCGATGGTCCAGCCAATCCATATATTATATTACCGTTTGAGCCATCTTAGACTCACATAATGATGATAAGTTGAACAAGGTCTTGTAAAAGAAGCAAAAATCAAACAGCATCGAACAAACGATGCCTAAGTATGAACAGTGTTGGCCAACAGTCTTCCCAGACTTCCGTTGGCAGGAGAGATGGAAGGAATAGGGCTCTTCTCATATAATATCTCGCCCTCGATGATGCTCGACGTCCTCTCGATCGTGGGGGCAGCCTTCATTGAGTACTTGGGCGGGCTGAGAGGTGCGGTGGCCGAGTAAGGCCATGGTGTCACGAGCTCGATCGACTTGGACGCATATGTTGAGTGGTTCCTGGGTGGCAAGGGCCGCGTGGCTGGAGTGTAGGGCAGCGAGTAGCTGATGGAGCTTGCCGGGGTATGCGAAAGCGATGGGGTTACACTTGCGGTATTTGAAGTGGATGTGCGACTGTGGCCCGGACGGCGAGAGTAAAGAGTGGGTGTGGTATCACAGGGGAAGGTTGTGGCTTGGTACTGGCGCAGATACTTTGATGCTTCTGAATCGTGTTTTGCTTGCTCGCAGTCAGAGGCCTTGGTGGGAGTGTTGTCATCCCAAGATACATCGGAGAAGATGATGGAAGAGCGGTTGGAGGGCATGTGAGTAGGAGAGCGGGGCTGAACAATATCACGGAAGTGGTCGTCCGAGGTGGTGTGGGAAGGTGACATGGGTGGTGAGTAGTCGAAGGGAAATGACAGTTGTTTCTCAGTATCCTTGCGGCGGCAGCTTCATGAATGTCAGTACAGATGAAAGCAAACGTTGACGGTAGAAGAGGACATACGATTCAGAGCAGTACAGGACGAAATTGCTGGGAACGATGATTTGTTTTTCACAAGTCGTGCTGAGTCAGGGTGTTAGCAAGAGATAACGCAGCAAGAATGCAAGAGCGGGCAGGGCATACCAAAAGTTCAAGAAACTCGTGGCCATTACTTCCTCTTCTTCCCAGTCGTCTTCCTTGGGTGCAGACTTCTTGTGGGAACCGTGAGAAGAAGAACGTTTGGACAGCAGAGCAGGCTTGGAGGGCCTTGCGTGGGCCGGTTGAGGCCTTTTTGAGTGGTGGGACAAATGCCGGGTGTGGTGATGAGTGGCCATTGTATAACGTTGGGGGAACGGTGTATTTTAATGCCTCAATCGATGGGATTGGGGGCACGGATCGCAAAACAGATGTGGCAGAGGGGACAGTTTCAGAGCCTGTGCGCGACAAAACAATCCAGGTGGATGGATGGAATGAAGAAAAAGGCGGTCACAGAGCTGATATGATGAGATGACGACGTGGTTCGCCGCACTGGAATAATAACCTTATCTGCACCAGAAACGGTTAGCCAGGAACAGGCTTTGATCTGCCTCGAGCCACAGCAGTCGAGCGACAGAAGCGGAATCGAGTGCTATTATTGCGCTGGTCGAGAACAAAGAAGCGACTATTGATTGCAGGAGTGGACAAGCACCTACAGCGAGCGGGAGATAAGAGTCGCAAAAAGTTCTGGGTGTGGAGACGGTAGCAGCGATAATAGCAGCAGCAATAGCTGAATCAATAGATTTGACCGTGGCGCCGATCTATCGAGGGCCGACAGGGAGGGCGCGGATCTATGGCGGCGGGAGCGATAAGGCAAAGCCGAGTGTTTCCTCACCCCAGCCGGCAAGGAGCGGTTTGTCTGTGGCAGAAGGCTGTTAGATGCGATAACGGTGACAACAGCCCATGGGAGCATGCGAGATAAGTATATATAAATATGCACCCGGATTATATATCGCCGGGTGAATAGTCATCATACAGTACACACGTACCTTGTGCGGTGGTTGAACCCGACAAGCGGTGCGAGCAAAGGGTTATTTTGCTGAATTCGGGATCGAGGATGGATGGCAAAGTATATGTCTATGTGGACGTTTGAGGATTGCAAATGGTTTGTGCAATGATGATGATGTTGATGACGAGGAAGGGTATTTTGTCGGTTGATATGTGGGAACCAGGAAAGCTTCTTGCAAAGAATGGTGAGTTTGGGACCACGGATGACGAGCGATCAAGCGATGGGAAAGCTCTATCACACCATCCGTCGAGTGAGTCTTGTTTGACTCTTATACCGTAGCAGCTCGAGGGCATTGCGTGTAATGGGCAATGCGTACCCCCACCCAAACACCCACACCCGCATCCTTAGCCCATACAGCAATGTCCATGACAGCCAACCCACTAACCACGCTCCCTGCCTGCTGCCATCGAGTACCTGGCCATCACGGTGTATTTGCCGGCCAATCAATACAGCCCCGCCCTGCCAACACGGTCCATGTTCCGAGCCTCCGAGGGATTTGAAGTTCTAGAAGTCTTTGCGGGGTACGCGAGAGAAAGCCAAAATCTCACACAGCCTGTCTGCGACTCGTCATGCTTCGATATTGCGTAACCCCAATTGACCCCTTTTTGCGGTCACTTTGCCATCCGTACCTTTGTTGCCAAAACTCTCTTTCTCGCCTCTGTTGCATGACGTAAAAACCTGCGTTGGATGAGCCATATGACTAAAATCCCTCGCTCCCAGAAGCTGCTCTCGGCTGACTACTGCATGTCTACCCATTGCCCATACATCTCTAGCTACCGCAGAACCTGACTGATCACCGAGTCCTTTGTGTGGAAACTAGGGCGGTCACACTGCACCAGCGCAATTTCGATCCACTGTGATGGCCGCTGGCTATCGTGATGCGATTCGAGTGTGAGCACGCCTTTGCCTGATTCCACCTTCGATCTGGCCCCGAGCTCCAATTTTCCTCACGATGCGCCAATCGGGTCCTCTGTCGGGTGCACTCACCGTCCCATTCGAGCGCTCAAATCTTTTTTTCCTTGCAGCAATGTGAAACTTGTATTTCAAGGTTCCCTTTTAGCTACAATTCGTCACCATCAAACCCAACACGTGCTGGTCCAATGGCACTCGGCCATCGTGAGGCGCTTATAGGGCGAATGGGTCCTCGGGTTCCTGTGCCCGGCTCAATTCCCATATTTTGATCGGGATCGAGGTTGGATAGAAGGGTCCATCCTGGTGTTCCTTCACGGCAAACTCGACCAACGCAATGTTGAAGCGGTTTCGTCCTACCCCACAGCTCGTCAGTCACACTGCAGCGGCCGCTGAGAATCTTTCAACGCAGGACTGTGGGGATACCCACTACATGCAACGAGGAAGGCCTCGAACGTTTCTTCGTTGCGAATCGTCGCTGCAATCAGCACATGAAGAGATGCCTTCATATCGAACATGGTCCTCAGTGACGAGACAAGAGCGGGTATAACCGTTTTGTCGTACGTCTGCATGCGTGTTAGTCAGAATCAGGCCAGAAATAACCTTGTTTGGTGGATAGCTGACCACGTCGGCTCCCAACACAACGTCTGGAATGGCCATGCCATAATCTTCTGAGAAAGTCTTCACATCCAGCGGCCATCCCCATCTCAGAACAGCAGCTCTAACCGATGTCTGTGATTGACTTTCCGCATCCACACCATTCAAGAAGCTGTTAGTTTTGATCGCATCCACCACCGCCTCATCCCCATCCGTGGCCACGACGCCTGAAACTCCGAGACGTTTAGCACATAGAATCGACAGCATTCCTGTTCCAGCCCCAAGTTCCAGAACGCGTTTGCCCTGGATTTTCTCACGGCCCTGCTCAGAGCATAGAAAAGACCCGAGAAGCAGAGCAGCTTCCCAAGTTCGCAAGCCTGTGGTTCCAGATGATGAGATCACAGAGCGAGATTCTAAAAGTGTGACACTGCAATCTCGTAGAGACTTGTCCGCAAATGAATACGTCACGTAGGACTTTTGCTGCGCGGATGCAGTCTCCGATGGTATACCCGAGGCTAGCAATATCGAGAGCGCAGACATTAGATCATCGGATATCTCCTATTCCCCTCGAGGCACCGCGATGGTCAGTGATGGTCTTGAAATAGATCGACTTAGTGTACGTGGGCGAATAGGGAGTGTGACGCGTGCTTTCTGTAGGACTGATCGTAGAACACAAGCAAGGGAAAGCTCACATCCTCCTCTGGGTCGTCAATGGCTCTTTCCAATTTCGACACCAGAAGTTTCAACACTCTCAGACGATATCGTTCTGGTGGCAGCGTGGTGATGTTGTCCGAGTCGAACAAGTTGTGAAAAATCCACGACTGCACAGCCGGTTGCTTCAGCACAGATTCATGTGGCCACCTCAGCAGTGGCAAGTCAACCAGCTGGAGGTACTGACGGCGCAGTATTGTCAGTTCAGATGTGATGACCGAGTCCATTTCAGAAAAATCTGGGAATAGTTGAGAGACGTTTTTCAGAGGTTGACAACGATAGCCAGGTAGTAATGAAAGAAGTCGAAGGCACGCTCATGGAAAGAGCCGCAATTGCATAGGTCGACAGACAGCCAACCATATCAGGGTATTTTTGCTTTTTACCAACCGATACATGCATATTAACACATCAATTCACAGCAGAAACAACAACATCTTCATCAATATTCTGCAATAACCGTATCTCTACTTGTCTAATTGTTTGGATGCATCGCAGAAAAGTCGGTTGCTGCTGGGTTGATGTGTGATGAGTGCCGTAAGCAGTTAGTGCGCCGCCTGGTAGCGAGACTTGGCGCACTCGCCCGAAAAATACCATTCTACCGAACCAACGTCGTCGATATCCTGCGCCAACAGCAAATTACCACCACCACCTCGACAACGCGAGCAGGATCGATTTAACCTTCAGTACGTGGCAGACCATTTTCACTCTGTAAGCCGTCAACTAACCGCTAACAGATCGGCACAGCTCGTCCTCCATCATGGCTGATTCTCAGGTTACTCTGCGCACGCGCAAGTTCATCCGCAACCCCCTCCTCGGTCGTCGTCAGATGGTTGTGTAAGTGCAGGAACACCTCAATGGCAGAAGGAACTTTTGATGGAAGGATACAAGTCTGACGGTCACCCAGCGACGTCCTCCACCCCAACCGTGCCAACGTCTCCAAGGACGAGCTCCGCGGCAAGCTCGGCGAGCTCTACAAGGCGAAGAAGGATGAGGTCTCCGTGTTCGGACTCAAGACACACTTCGGTGGTGGCAAGACCACTGGTTTCGCCCTCATCTACGACAGCGCCGAGGCCATGAAGAAATTCGAACCCCGCTACAGGCTTGTGCGATATGGCCAGGCCACCAAGGTCGAGAAGGCGAGCAGGCAGCAACGTACGTCTCCACCTCCCGAAGAGGCACCGCTTCTATACAATCATGGCGGAGCAAGGACAAAATTGACAATCATACAGGCAAGCAACGCAAGAACAGGTCGAAGGAGTTCCGGGGTACGGCCAAGGTCAAGGGCCCGAAGAAGAGCAAGAAGGAGTAGACTTTACGATGACGATATGGTGGTCGGGATGGAGTCGGTTCTCTGGTTCGGGTGCTTCACGTTCACCCTGGACTTTGGAGTTGCAGTGGGGCATATAAACCATCGTGTACATTTACGAGGAATGCCTTTCAAAAACTACTCTTGCAATGGTCGGGGGCAAAATGGATGGGCGTTACAGATCTCTCATGTGTCGGTCAGCTAACCATCAAATGCATATCACGGACCTTTTTTCCTGCTCTGTCTCCCTCTCTTTCTCTCATCTTTTTTTTTTCCCTACTGCTTTACTGTTCTCTTCGGATCGTTTTCGCCACTCAGAGCACCCGGCACGGTGCACCGCTCACAAAACACAAATATGGCAAACCGCAGTGACGACAATACCGAACTCCCCAAGCGATCCGAGACTGTTCACACTTGAACACGTTCCCTCCGTCACCAATACCGACTACCACTCGAACCTGCCCATCAACACTACCTCACTGCTCACGGACCCGTACAGCCGCCACCAGACCCATTATGCCGCAATCACCATGATAATCTCACCAATCCTTCCCTTCTCCCTTCCCCCACTCCCTCTCTGATCATACACGGATGACACGCAAATCCCAATACCCAGCATTTCCAAATCTCCGGCTCATCCTCCGTCTGCCCCAATCATCTCCCCCAAATCCTTTCCGAATCTTAGTAAAAAAAAAACATGCATTTGTGCTAGATAGAGCAACACCTGACCTCTCTCCTATGTACACATAATCACTACTCCCAATGGTCCTCTCCAAGGAGTCTTAAACAGGTGACGGCGATAAATTCAATCCGATGCGACCCGATCCAACAGCAGCAACAACAACAACGAATGCTTTCATCTACATATGTACCCCTCGCCAAAACCTATATAACCTTCGACTCCCCATTTTTTAAACTATATCCCCATATGACCTTGTCTCATCGCTGTATCTCTTCCCTCCTTTCCCTCCCTTCCTTCATACACAGAAAGAAAAATATAAATTCAATTAATTAGTGTTAGTTTTATCAACCTGATATGTATACAGCTGTGACGCATGTGTGTACAAAGACAAACCCAAACGATGGCTTGATGACATTTGAGAGAGGGAGAGAGAAAGTATCGATTCGCGGGATTAATCAATTAGCAGCACCAGCAGTGTGGATTTCCTCTGTACTTGTGAGGTGAAGGGGGAAAGGATGGGGAAAGAAGTGAGGTTTGAGGTTGAGTTTGGTGTGGTTGGTGGATGGGGTAGGATGTAGTGGTGTGTTTGGTTGGTTAGTGGAGTACATGTATCTATATAAATATGAGTGTGTGTATGTGTATGGTGATTACTGTGGTAGATATGCTATGCTATCAAACCTGCGTGCGAGAGGATTCAATCGGTTGATTTCCCAAGGGAAAAAGAGAGTGGAATAGGTTTGCAGAGTGACGAGAGAGGAGTGGAAACAGAGACCTCATGCTACTGCTTGCGTGCAATCAATCGTGGAGGATGATTATCACAGGGTGGTAAAAAGTGTGTACTAGTAATGCTTTGTTATACAGATATATGTGCTACGGCTACAAGATAAATTACACAGCGCCAACGACGGGATTCTCCGGTTTAACAGCCGGTTGACCAGCAGGTGCAACAGCGGGAGTCTTCCCGTTCCCGTTTCCAGTCGTCACACCCTCGGAAACAACCACAACATCACCTCCCTTTCCCCCCACTCCATCTCCACTGCTACCACCACCAGCAGCAGGAACAGCAGCAGCACCTTCAGTATTCTTCTTCGCAGCCCCCACAACCTCCCTCTGCATCTCCAAAAACCTCTTCGGTACCCCTCTCGCGGGCGCCATGCCCAAAAACCCTTTCCCCATCCCGACCATCGGCTTTGCCCTACCACCAACGTAGCACCCAGCCTCACCACACCACACAAATCCGCCACCAACGACCCCGCGCAGCACACCAAACGCTCTGGAATCGTGGTACGCGATACCCGTCTCCGGATCGCGGTACCTCGCGTCCTTGTTCGAGACGGCGCAGAGTTCCTTGCGGGGCTTATTGAGCGCTTCTCTTTCTTTCTTGGTGGTTGCTTTTGGTGGGGAGAGCATGGCTGTGACAAAGGCAGTTGCATCTGGAAGAGACCAATTGAAGAGGGAGACGGAAAGTTGGATGAGAGAGGCGCGATCCTTCTCCTTAAGGACAGAAGCGGCGGCTTTAACGCGACCCGAGATGGGGGCCGTGGCTTCGAGATTGGGGAAGGAGGAGAGGATGAGGAGGTTGCGTAGGGCACGGGAGATGACTTTTCGTTTGGGAGGTTGGGGAGGCGGTGGAGGTGCGGATGGCTGTGATGGTTGCTGGAACTGGGCGAGGAGGTGTGAGGGGGGAATCGTGCCATCTTGAGTGAGGAGCGGGTCGTTGAAGGAGGACTGTGCTTGGGAGAAGGGGGAGGTGAACAGAAATGGGTTGGGTGGGAGTTCTGACGAGGTATCAGGGGCAAAATTTAGTGGGCCGTATTCAGGCTGCTGTGGTTGTTCGGGGTGAGCGTACTGCTCCATGCCAAAGAGAAAAGGGTTGACGGTTCCTGGCGGGGCACCCATCATGGTGTTCGGGAATGGCATGGAGGGGGGTTGCGATTGCGATTCTGTAGACAAACCCTGCTCTAGAGCTCCAGATTCTGGCGGAGGGGGATGCGAATCGTTATTCAGAGACTGATCCACTTGGGGTTGCGAGGTTTTATCCTGGTTAATGCCATTAGGAGTCACTGAAATAGAATCGGCCGTGGACGGTTCCTCAGCATTGGGTGGTTGGTCCGGTGCTGTAGGTGTGGGCGTAGCACTATCCTTGTTGAGTTTTTCCTCCAAGTCCTCGAGACTCGGGGCATCTTTGCCGGTGTACTTGACTTTATCATCGACCCAGATACCAGGCCCGCTGTAGTAGCGAATGAAGGGGCCTTCAATCTGGCGATTCTTGAGCGCATCAATCTTAGCTTGCCTTTCAGCGGCGCGCAATTCTTCCTCCTCCTCCCATCGGTGCAAGCTCTTGCTGTTGAGCTTTTCCACCCGGGCGGCTTCTGCCAGACGCTCCGCCTGGGTCAAAGGCTTGGGCTCATCCTTGGCCTTACGTGCCTCTGCGGCCTTCATCATGGCGAGAGTGTCATCCCGTCTTCTGTCTTTCTCCTTCAGTTTGGCCAAGGTGCTCTGCTTATTTGCCACTGTCTGTCGGCGCGAAGACGTTCGCGTGGGGCCATCTTCATCGAGCGGAATCCACGATGCCCTCTCCGACTTCTTCTTAGGACGCGGTACAGAGTCGGGTGACTCGGCAGACGGTACATCTAGCTTCACCCGCTTGCGCGAAGCGGCAGCGAGGCGAGCGGTGAAGGGGTTTGTGGCGGGTTTACGTTTCTTGATGCGTTCCTGGCGTTCGGCTTTGCGTAGCTCTTTCTCGCCCGCATCGTCATCAGCGCCCTCGTCTTCATCCTCGTCGGAGGACGAATCAACGTTGTAGTCCTCCTGGTTGTTGGCATCGTCGCCTACGAATTCCTCTTCGTTGGGAGCATCTTCCCACTCCTCACCCCACTCATCGTCTGGCTCTTGGGCGGATTGGGCGAGGAGCGTGGACATGCGGTTGCCCGCGTTTGATCGCCTCGCGCGCGAAACGACCATGAGGTCGACGGGAGCGTCATGGTGGTCGTCGTCGGCGTCGGAGGCCGAGGGATCGGAGGGCGAACGTTTGTGGGAGTGGGCGATGTTTCGCGCTGGCGAGCTCGGTGGCATGGTTGAAGTTGAGTGCTGGCAGGCTGGCGGTCGGTGATTCGGGGGATAGCGCGCCCGGGCTCTGCAACTGGAGAGAGTCTTGACGATTGCGCGAACAGACGAGCGAACAGGGCACGGCCGATCAGGGCAGGAGCAAGCGTGGGGGAAGGTGCAAGCGACTATCCTGCTTAGCCTCGGGACCGGATTGGGGAAATTCTACGGTAAAGACAACCACTCGCACCCCCGGGAGTCTCGAGACATGGACGTGCGGGTGGTCTTCCAGAAGAAATCCACCGAAACACGGGATATCATGCGCAAGCAGCAGTTCGCAGGCCGTTGAGCAATAGAAGGTTGCCGTGATGGCCGCGAGACAGGTGCCGCTGTTTTACGCAGCCAAGTAGCGCGTTTCACGAGGGCAGTCGACACGTACGACACATGGGATGGAGGCCGATGGACGGCAGCGAAGGAGTTGGACTGGCCGCGTACGCAAGTGGTGTATGGTCTGTTTGGAGGATGCTTTGGTGAGGTGATGATGTCGAGGTTGGAATGGAGACTCTCGCTTGATGCCCGCCCGGCAAAGACGATGGTCAATTGCCATGCATGCAGATCACGGGCAGCCAAGACTTGGACCGTCTGGCGTCGAGCGAGGGGGAATCTGAAACGTAGCTGTGTATCCGATTGAGTCTTGACAGACATCGACAAGTCACGACGGCCCCCTTCTAGAAGGACAGGTTGCGGATACTCTACGTGTCCCAACTATAGAAAATGGCAGAGCATATGCCGCGGGCGTTTGAAACAGGGTGGATATGCTGTTGTTGCTGTTATTATCATCATGGTAGTTATTGTCATTTGGAACTGCTATCAGATTTAGCAACAGCAGAGACGTTCGACTCTGCTCCCCCGGCTGGTTTCAGAGTCGAGACGTTGAGCCAGTGAGCAGCCGCCCGCCCACTATCCAGGCCAGCCTGCGCTCGGCGAGGCAGACCAACCACTGCCAAAATAACATGTTTCCCCTGAAGCAATCATCCAACGGGAGAGGCCATTGGGAAGGTGAACTGGGTTACGCGGACATGTATGGCCGCACTGCAATATCAAGCCAATCCTTCGTTCACCCGCAACCATGCTCGTTGCCGATTCCCGCACCAGCTTGAGACGCAGAGGTTGAAGCTATTCTGCGGCCATGTAGCCACGCACGCACGCACGCACACACATACATAGATAGATACAGACATACATACATATATAGATGGATGGATTGCGACAGGACATATACATATGTATGCATGCATGCACGCACGCCTGCCACAGCGAGTTCCGGGGCATTAATGATTACCTGCGATCCATTCACTCACTGATCAGTGCACGTCTTCGCCCGGTGCTTGGTGCAGCCAGGCCAGACAGCTAGCCCTTTAGCGAATCATCAACGCGCGACGAGCTTCACCTTTTGGCTTCTCTCCCTTCTTCCCTGCCTGCGCCTCCTCGCTCGCTCCCATCCCATCTAGCCTCGAATCTATCAATCTCTCTCTCTTCATCTCTGCTGCTGCTGCTTTTCCTTTTCCATCTTCCTCTCCTCCATCCTCCCACGCGTGCCCAGTCCCCTAATCCTTATTTCTTCGCTTCTCCACGCCCGCTGCTGCTGCACCCTCCCGCTGCCCTGCTGGCCTGTCTATTCCACCCCGGCTGTATCATAATCAGGACGACGCACCGACACGCTACCACTTACCCTGCCGCCCATCTATCCTCTGAACCCACCTCACCTTCACTTTCACTTTCACCATCCTCCTCCTCTTCCTCTTCCTCCTCCCTCTCCTCCCCTTCATCTTCACCTTCCCCTCCCTTCACGCCCGCGTCATCACGCCCGCTTTTCCTCCCCCGTGTGTGCTCGCCTCACATTCCTTTGGCAGGTACCAATCCCACATTTCCGCCGTTACCCTGCTGGTTTTGGTACACGAGAGTCTCTACGACCATTTCTTCCTTGCCCGACGAGCTACACGATTCCAACCATCTCGAACTGGGTCTGTAATACCTAATGGCTCCTACCTCACGACCGGAGCACCACATCAACCTCAACTACATCCCCCAACTCACGTCCCAGGCCCCGCCCTCGGCCTCGTCGACCACCTCCACCTCGCCCGCTGAACCGCCATCCTCGGGAGGCTCCCTTCGATTCCCAATGTCTACCTCCAATACCTCCAACTCGCTGGGCAATGCCGCAGCTGGTGCAAGACTCGGCGCTGGGTCCCCCTCGCATGAATTCGGGAGCAGGCTCTACTCTAAACGGTTTGTCGCATCCTGAAACAGGTACCCTTATTTTGGACACCAGCTAACATACGCATGGCAGAGCACGCGAGATTCAAGCTCAGGAAGGCTTGACTCCCCAGATGTGGGGTCCTCCCACGAGCGGCAATTCCACACCTCTGCGCGAGACCATCCCAGAGTCTCCCAGCGGGGATAGCTTCCCAGACTTCAACCAAGCTCCACCCGAGGCCGCGCCTACGGGTCAGACATCTACCCGTCGCGCTCGTGCCGGGACTCTCCCTTCACGATTCTCGCCTTCAGCAGCCCCCGGCGGTCTCATGTCTGCTTCTTCGCTCCTGCCCAAGACTTCCCGACCCACCCCCTCCACAAGCCCCTTCAAACCGGGCCCCAATTCAGCTACAGACAGTCGAGGCTTCATCGACCCGGGCTCTGCTGCGGCAAAGTCGGCTCTCCTGTCTCGCCTGCGAGCCGGTTCGATGCCTCAACGACCAGGCTTCTTGCCCCCGTCTACTTCGCCTTTTGGCAACTCCATCTTCACCACTGGTTGGAGCAGCAGCCGGGACCGCAGCAGCACTCTGCAGAGCATTGCGTCTCAACCTTCTAACGGCCCAGGCTCGCCCGTGTCTTCATTCTCTAGGGAATCACTTGCTGACACCGACGTGAAGACTCTAGATTACCTTGGTTTGGTGGATACTCCCCAGCCCGCCCGAGCGACTCTTGCTCCCTCCGATATCGAGCTTCTCCTCGAAGGCCAGAGGAATGCTTTCGCGCAAAATGCTCCCGCTTCTGCCAACCGCTTCCGCTCCTACTCGGTCAATGCAAAGGAGAAGTACGCCGATGACGAAGATGAGATGGATCCCGGTTATGGCAGCTACAGCGGTTCCATGACCCCGCAGGATGCGGCCAGTGCATATGCCATCCATGAGGCTGTTCGACAGCACAACCTCGAGGTTCAGGCTTTTGCCAATTTTGCCAGTGCTACTCGCCCCCGTGCTCGTACTGCCGGCGTTCTTGACTCGCCTTCGCAGCGTATGATGCGGAACTACCTTCCAGCCAATTCCCGCCTTGACAACAGCCTCACTGCCGCTGATCTCACCGAGGATGCTGAGTTCAGCCTGACTGAAGCCGTCAAGGGCCTTCAGTTGGGCGGCAAACCGAGCTCCAACCTCGGAGATGACACGCTAGAGGGTCCTACCCGCGCTCTGTGGCTCGGTAACATCCCTTCGTCCACCACTGTGTCCTCCCTGAACGTCATCTTCAGCGCGTATGGCCCAATTGAATCTACTCGGGTGTTGACACACAAGAACTGTGGATTCGTCAATTTCGAGAATCTTGACAGCGCCGCCCAGGCCAAGTCCCAGCTCAATGGCAAGGAGATCTTCCCCGGTGCTGGCCCCGTTCGTATCGGTTATGCAAAGGTGCCATCTGCTGCGGCCACCCCTGGTCACAATGGCATCTTCCCTTCTCCAAGCCCAGACCCCCACACAAAGGCCACCGCGGAAGGTGTGACTTCGTCCCCTAACAATGGAAAGGCTGCTGGCACTCGCACTGAGAGCGCAAATGCTCCTCTGACTACGCCCGAACTCACCGAGATCCGTGGCGACATTGTTCAGATCGTAAAAGATCTGGGTGCAACCGATGAGGAGCAGATGAGGATTTCGGGTCAGGTTGATGAAGCCATCCATTTCCACCAGTACCTTACGGATATTCCTCCTGTCGAGGAGCCCAGCCACACTCGCGTGCACGATGCTCCCCGCCTGCGTGAGATTCGCAAGCGAATTGATAACCAATCCTGCTCCCAGCCCGAGATTGAAGAAATTGCCATGAACATGCTTCCAGAGATTGCTGAGCTGTCTTCCGACTACCTTGGTAACACTGTCGTTCAGAAGCTGTTCGAATTCTGCTCCGAGCCCACCAAAGAGGCTATGTTGCGAGAAATCGCACCCCACCTGGCCAAAATTGGTATTCACAAGAATGGCACTTGGGCTGCACAGAAGATCATTGACGTCGCTCGATCCCCCGCCCTTCAGAAGATGGTTGTCGACTCTCTTCGTCCATATGCTGTTACACTGTTCCTCGACCAGTTCGGCAACTATGTCATGCAGGGATGTCTGCGATACTCTTCGCCTCTCAACAACTTCATTTTCGATGCCATGCTCAGCCGCCTTTGGGATCTTGCTCAGGGCCGTTTCGGTGCTCGAGCCATGCGAGCCTGTTTGGAGAGCCACTACGCTACCAAGGACCAGCAGCGCATGGTGGCCGCTACCATTGCCCTACACAGTGTTCAGCTTGCTACCAATGCCAACGGTGCCCTGCTTCTGACTTGGTTCCTTGATACTTGCACTTTCCCTAGGCGACGCACAGTCTTGGCTCCTCGCCTTGTCCCCCATATCGTGCATCTCTGCACCCACAAGGTCGCCTACTTGACAGTGTTGAAGATCATCAACCAGCGAAATGAACCCGAAGCCCGCGACACCATCCTTCAAGCTCTCTTCTTCTCTGCAAACGATCAGGTCTTGGAAGACATTCTCATTGATCAGAATTGCGGTGCCACCCTCATCTTCAAGGTCCTCACGACTCCCTTCTTCGACGAGAAGATTCGTGCCGATGTGGTGCAGAATGTTCGTAACGTCTTGCTCCGCATCAAAGCGCAGCCTGCTCAGGGCTACAAGCGTTTGATGGACGAGGTCAACCTCTCGACTCGTGGCGGACCTGGTCATCGCGAGCACTCCCAAACTCGGCCTGCATCTTCCCGTGATAGCCCTGCTGGCTCCAACGCTGAGCCCAGGCAGTTTTACCAGAATGTTGCCCCCGCTGGTTTCGATCCCGTCGCCTTGCAACGCACCGCAAGCATGGACTCCAATGGATTCGACCAATATGGCATGGGAGTCAGTGGCCCCATGTTCATGCCAAACATGCCCGCTATGAGTGGCCCGCAGCAGATGCAGTACCAACAGCTCTTGGCGTCTCGCCCCGGCCCATTCTATCCTCAGATGAATGGCTTCCAGCCTCCAGTCTCTGGTGTTGATGGCTTCCGAAACGTCGCCCCAGTTGCTGCCCCTGGATTCAATGGCTCGCCCATGATGCAACCCGCTGCTCTTGGACAACCGGTTCCCATGTATCCTTATGGCATGTATGTTCCGCAGCAACAGCAGCAAGCCGCTGGTGGGAACCAACGACGTGGTCGCGTAAGTCAATCGGCTGTCGATTATTCACCAATGCAATAGCTAACATTCAAACAGAGATAGACGTTGTCTTGTAATCGTCCACAGTTGATTGGTATCTGGTATCAACGTGATCTGTTGTCGAACCCCAACTTGTATTCGCTGTGCTCTCGGCGCGCGCGGTACTGTCTTCTGTATATGGATGTTCAGGTACCCTGTCCTGTACACTGCAACTTCCAAGTTGTCAAATCGATAGGGCGGGTCAAAAACCACAATTCTGCATTATTCCAGATTTTTCTCCTTATGTTTCTGCACCATGTTTTTCTACTTCATTCTGGTGCGAAAGGAGTAAGGCTGCTTTTGCATGTTTTACCTTTTTCACGATCTGGATGTCTTTTCCCCTTTGTTTTCCATCTTGCGCTATCCTGGCCATTCACCGCACGCTCGTTATACAACGGAAATTTCAAGGGGGGCTCTTTCAATTTGTTGCGGATCTCAGCTTGACTGCACATATTCCCCCTGTCTGTCGCACACTACACAAAATGCATGTGCCCTTTCTTGTACCTTACTTCAAGCCTCTATAGGCTTTTTTACGTCTCACCTCCTCTTGCTGGGCCCATCATCCAGGGCCTGGGCTGACCTTCTGAGTGGGCTCTTAGTTCGCTTATAGGTTGACATGGAAGACGGACAGTGTGTCTATGGGATGTTTTGTCATTTTCTGTTCTCTTCTCTTGCTCCGATTGTGTTTTTTTGCTTGTACTCCAAGATGGGACGGGGGTGGCGGCGTACAGGGTTGATGACAAGAGTAAAGGATAAGCCAGGAAAACAAGCACGTGTACACGGGATGGAATCGATGGGAGCAATTGCCCCAACGAACAATAAAGTTCCAAAAATGTGAAGACGGGGAGAATGAATACGCAGAACATGGTCCCGTGTGGAGATGTAACTGTCCCACTTCTCTTTTCTTCTTCGGTAGTTGCTAGTGGCGGAAAAAAAATCGATGTTCCTTTCTTCTTTTTCTCAACGAACAGTGCTTTTGGTCTTGTACCTTTTGTTCGCTTCAAATGCTCCTGTAAGGTACGCCCGACATTTTTAAGTTGGTTGCTTCACGTCGTGAATAGTCTAGTACATACCCATCCACAGCAGACGGACAAGCATTGCATCTAGTTATCTACAGGTATCGTGGCTTTTGTATAACCCGAACGAAGTAAAATAGGCCCTCCAACTATAGAGCATCCAACAAGTTACGCACATGGAAGTGCAGAATTGTGAAATGTTGTAGGTTATGTCTAAAAATAGTGGACGAGTGTAAAATCTTCTATCAAATCTCTAGTGGGTGAGATATTGTGCTGACTGGGTCTCTAGTTATTTTCAAGGTCTGTGATGGAATAGAATAGATAGTTTAATACCGGGTTTGAAATGGCGATTACATGTAAGTGTTGATGAAGGACTTGCGCTCCAATAGGTGGATTGGGCCGGCTTACGGGATGGGGATGTTACGTTGGTGGGTGGAAAATCTGCCGTCAATGTTAACGACTGATTTAAACTGATCAACGCTCTCATTGGAAATGGATCTGAAAGATGCATTATAGAGCCAATGTGAAAGCGACTGAATATGATCACGCACTATCCGATCAAAAAGAGACCCTTTGATTACTTCTGTCTCGACGGATACCAAAAGATTGGCGTGTGTCATTGGTCAGCGGGATCGTCTGTGCCAGCGCTAACCCCTTGAGACCGCCTGCGGAGCTCAACGCGAATCTTTCCGATACCCAACATCTTTCTCTCACACCTCGTCAACCCCCTCCATCCTCTTCTCTCCTCCGGCCAATTGTCAACATGCTTTCCAGGACGATCAGAAGGAATCTTGCGACTCCTTTCAGGCGCAATGCCTTTGCTGTCCGCCGAGTGACAACAGACGCTGCCAGCTCTCACGCCGACAAGGAAGCTGTGCCAAAGGTAGGGACAGTTTTGCTTGGTGCGGTCAATAACCATATCGGGAGACATGGCTAAATTTCAACTCATCAGGACAATGATGCTCCCTTCGAGGTCCGCCTCTCCGACGAGAGCTTCGAGACGTACGAGCTGGACCCGCCGTCTTACACCCTCAACACCACCAAATCCGAGCTGAAGCAGATGTACTACGATATGGTCGCTGTACGGTACGAGCGAACCCTTCCCGCAGCTTGGAAAAACATGATGGCATAGAGACAAGCGGGATGCTAACTGGAACGCTACAGACGCATGGAGATGGCCGCCGATAGGCTTTACAAGGAGAAGAAGATCCGAGGTTTCTGTCACTTGTCCACCGGTCAGGAGGCCGTCGCCGTTGGAATGGAACACGGTATTGAGAAGTCCGATCACGTTATCACCGCCTACCGATGCCACGGCTACGCCATGATGCGCGGAGGAACCGTCAAGTCGATCATTGGTGAACTTTTGGGCCGCAGAGAAGGTATCGCCTACGGAAAGGGTGGTTCCATGCACATGTTCGCCCCCGGTTTCTACGGTGGTAACGGTATTGTCGGTGCTCAGGTTCCCGTCGGCGCCGGTATCGCCTTTGCGCAACAGTACGAGAACAAGAAGAACGTCACACTCGCCTTGTACGGTGATGGTGCTTCCAACCAGGGTCAGGTCTTCGAGGCTTTCAACATGGCCAAGCTATGGAACCTCCCTGTGATCTTCAGCTGCGAGAGTATGTGGTATTCGATGTTTTCTACGAAATTGGAAGGCTGACATGTCAATAGACAACAAGTACGGTATGGGTACCGCTGCTAACCGCTCCTCTGCCCTCACCGATTACTACAAGCGTGGTCAATACATCCCCGGTCTCAAGATCAACGGTATGGATGTTCTCGCTGTCAAGGCTGCTACACAGTTCGGAAAGGAATGGTGTGCTGCTGGAAAGGGACCTCTCGTCTACGAATTCGTCACATACCGATATGGAGGACACTCCATGTCCGACCCCGGAACCACCTACCGAGTGAGTTTTGCGCCAGATGCCCATTATTCAAAACGCTAACAGATTCGTCAGACCCGCGAGGAAATCCAGCGTATGCGTAGCACCAACGACCCCATTGCCGGCCTTAAGCAGAAGCTTCTCGACTGGGGCGTCACCTCTGAGGAAGAGCTCAAGTCCATTGACAAGGACGCTCGTGCCAAGGTTGATGCTGAGGTCGCCGAGGCCGAGAAGATGGATGCCCCTGAGCCTACTGGCACAACGCTTTACGAAGACATCTATGTCCGCGGCTCAGAGCCCGAGTTCTTGAGGGGAAGAATCCCTGAAGAGAACTTCTACTACACCGAGGCCAACCTTGGTGGAGAGAAGCCTGCCGTCGCTAGGACCTAAACGTGTCAAGATTCGAGGCCAAGGACCTGGATGACGAGAGGGAGAGACTGTAACACTACTCACACATTTTGGTGCGACTGTTTCTTGCGCGTCTGAGGTTCAGCGGGGCATGGAGTGTATCTTGGGGTATTAATGTAACAACTTCTTTTGAACTGGATAGTGTAGGCTAAATAGATTCTTCTTCTTGATATCCTGCTCGGTGTATTTTTGTGTCATACAATCCAAAATAAGAGACCACGCATGCTGGGCTGTAGCACGATCGCTATAAATAACAAGCCTTGGAAATGAACGGGCAAAGTACAACGTAGAAAGTATGAAAACAGAGAGTGTTCGCCCTCCACCTGGTACCTTGCATCGTGTTATATATTGAAAATAATGCATAGAATTGGAATCGTGATGTCTATCATATCGCGGTGTACAATTTCCCCAGAACATTTGTTTTGCAACAATTATCCCAATGGATAGCCTTGCTTGGATAGACCTCAAGACTTCAATTCGGATCGTACGTGAGACCAAGAGTGCTGGTGCAATACTATGGTGGTAGTGGATTGAGTAGCAGATGGCTGATTGGCTACCAAAATGGTTATGTCATGGATCTGTTAAAGAATACGGGTGACGACTAGACCCTTGCACAACCACGCGCGATCCCCATTGTTGCGACCGCCAAACTTTTTGCCTCAGCCATTCAATTCCCTCCAAAATGGCACCCGCATACATGTGTACTATCTGCTCGAGAGCTCTGACGAGGCAGTCTCCTTTACTGATTGAGGTTTGTACAATCCGTCTAGTTAAAATACCCTTTGTCGCCTTTTCTAACTGTTGCAGGCTTCGCAGCGTTCCTCATACCGTGCATCGCAATTCCGTCGTCACCTTTCTACCACGACCCCAGCTTTCTACCATGCTACACAATCGCTCTCGGCCGTGGAATCTAAATCCCGCAGAGTTACAGATATCACGGGAAAGCAAAAACCAAAGCTCAACACGGTGACTGGGTTAGCGGCGAAGCTTCGTGAAAAAGCTCCTCTGATGACGGAAACGTACGTCGCATACGGTGCCATGCAGGAGCTCATCAAAGAATGCGCGAGACCTGGCGATTACACGATACCCCAGGCGAATGAGAAGAATGCGGAGATCCCTAGGGACGAAACGGGTGCACATCTGGGTGTCGCAACGGGGTGGTGGTACGACAGTAAGAGCCTCCCAAGTCCCTAATTCATATACAGACGGCTGGCTAACAAGGATATCTGCAGCGCTTGGTCTCGCCCCGACGTTTATCAACTGGGCTCAAATTACCTTCATCCACATGTACATGCTGCAGGTCCGGTTCCGCATGCTCCCCAAAACCCATGCCCCAATCTGGATCCAACACCTCACCAACCACGCCTTCTATGCCGCTGAAGACCGCCTCGTAGTCTGGCATCAACTCAACGCGAATTCTATTCGTCAGAAATACCTTAAGGATATGTTTTCGCAGTGGCGTGCTGTGTTGCTCTCTTACGACGAAGCCATCGTAAAGGGTGATGCCGTCCTTGCGGCTGCCATCTGGAGAAACTTGTTTGCCGCCAAAGAGGACGTAGATTTTGAGAAGTTGGCGCAGATTGTGGGGTATATGAGACGGGAGTTGTACCGATTGGATCGAGCGACCGATGATGAGGTGGCCAATGGGGACTGGAAGTTCAAGGGAGACCCGGGAGAGGTTGAAGGGCTTGTGAAGCCACCCAGCAGAGGTCTCTCTCAGGTGTGAATGTCAGAATGGAGAGGTATTTGCATTATTGTATTTCTATGTCACAACATTGTATCATTATTGTTTGTAGAAGTACACTTGTATTCTATTGCAACACGAAGAACGAATGTTTGTTGATTTCTCAAATGATTTGGGTAGTGATGTATCAACAACCACTTGCTCATAGGTCACTCTCGTTGTGCGATGTGGCGTATACGAACTGCCGCGCCGATACCTCCATTTAAAACCAATCCTGACAATGAATACTAAATGGGGAGGAAGCGTGCACAACTAACCGCAAGCACAAATGAGCCAAATCTACTACGACATATTCATTCTCAACGCTTACATTCACGATTGTGTAAATCCGACAGACTGTGATTTCCCTTGTTTCTGTTCCATCGTGAAAGATTCCGCGTAACATACCAACATGTACGTATGTCGATGCAAATTAGTCGAGCTTCCCGTTCAGGGACTTGATCTTCTTCTGGATACAATTGGTAATCATGATTGTCAATCTCAATTAGCAGAGTGACTTTGATTCGGCACTCAAGTTCTTAACTGTTGCATTATGGATTTCTAATAAGCTTACTGTGGTTGGCATTTTATGCGGTACTGTTCTTACATATTCGATTGCGGTCCATGTATATCGATCGCGTGGAGGTTTTGAGGGGTCATATACATACATACCGGTGACTGGTGATTGTTGCGATGACTTTAGTGGTGGTCGGATTGGCTACCTACGGCCGTAAGCATTGCTATTTATATCATACATGATCCCACCACATGTTCGACATCGCTGTTGCAGCTTGCTCTCTTAGGAATGTGAAGTGTGACTCATGAGTATAGGTGTGGATTTCCTTATACCTGATATACAGCATTGGTCAATCTTTCGATATTTACCTAGGTAGTCACTCGAGTGATAATGTTCCTTGGTTGAGTATACATCCAGGGATGTACCATCCTATAACATTCAATACAGTTGAGATGAGCCACGACTCACTCAGAAGAGGTCTAAATAGCACATACTTGAGTCACTGACGTTGTTTGGTACTGTCGGCCGATAATGTACAGGACAAAGTATTTAACTCCATCGCCCCCCGTCTTCCCTTCTGATTCTTCACCCTCCCGGGACTTTTCTTCATAATAGCTTTCAGCACACACTATCAATAATCGAAACACTCGCTGTGTCCAGTCTAACGCCATTTGCGCTTACTGGTTCACCACTGTAGATCAATCACTACACTGCTCGGTCGGATGGTGCCCATCACTCACTGCCCAAAACGACCTACATCAACCGACATTGTCGGTTCTCACGCATCCTTCAAGGATCATTGTTCCCGCCAGTCTAATGCCATTTGCGCTTACTGGTAGCACTATCCCGTCGATCAGATCTGGCGCCCTGATTGGCCCATCTCTCCACAAAGCAAATTACTGTATACGGCTAGCCTATGCCCTTTGCCCTACGCATCTCAGGCCGCAGCCAACTATTGTCTCCACAATCACAACTGCAACCACCTCTTTCCTCTTTCATCATGGCTGTACACAGCGGATCTTCCGCTCCGCCCTCGATACCTGGCTTTCTCCTCAGTGCTCAGGACTCAGAATCGCTTAAGCGAGACGTTGCCCAGCTCCTTGAGCGCGACAACATACGATTTCCTGGCGCCCAACCAGTATCGTTTGCGCGCAAGCACCTCGCCGAGATCCAGCAGCGCGAGTACTTCCTCTGTGAAAAGACAGATGGCATTCGCTGCCTGCTCTATCTTACCTTCATCGATAGAGGCCATGTGATAGAACCACTCACCATTCTCATCGATCGCAAGAATAACTACTACGAAACCGAGGTTCCACTCCGGTTCCCTTATCATGCAAGTATCCAGAACCCTGAACAGTTCCTTTACGGGACTGTCCTGGATGGAGAGCTTGTCAACGATATCACGCCCGATGGCGGTCGTCAGCTCATCTTTTACATCTTCGATTGTCTCGCCGTCGACAACACCAACATGACTGCGAAGACGCTCGATAAGCGAATCGGACACATGCAAGAAAGATGCATCAAGCCGTGGCAAAAGTACATGAAATGGTCGCAAACCGGCCCTCAGCGAAACCCATTTGTCGTCAAAGAAAAGCAATTCCAACCAGCCTACCATTTATCAAACCTCTTCGACAACGTTTTGCCCAATCTCAAACACGGCAACGACGGTCTGATCTTCACATGTAAATCCTCTCGATACGTTTTCGGCACAGATCAAGGCATCCTCAAATGGAAACCTCCCCATGAAAACACGATTGACTTTCGTCTCCGTTTAGGTGACTTCCCGCTCTTTGATCCAGAAGACGGCGAGGAAGGCCTCATCCCAGACTACGATGCGATGCCAGAGAGCTTTCACTTGCTCGTAAACCATGGCAGCCGCGACTACCGTCACTTCGCCAACCTCACAGTGACGCCTGAGGAATGGACCATGTTCAAGTCACTGGAGCAGCGCCTAGATGGTCGCATCATCGAATGCTACCGCACTGTCGAGGGTCAATGGCGCTTCAAAAAGGAAGACGACGGCACACCGCGCTGGCGCGACGACAAAACCGATGCCAACCACATCTCCACGGTCAACAGCGTGCTTGAAAGCATAGAGCAGCCTGTTACCGAGGACGATCTGCGTCGAGCAGAGTACGTAATCTTCCGTCCCCCTCATAAGAGGCATCCTCCTCAACATGCCCAACATCCTCCTCATCTACCCCCAACTCCTCCTGATGATCCACCTCGAAAGCGTGTTGGCGAGGTGGATTCATACCGTCTCAATCACAACTCACGTCCCTAAGAACGTCCGCACAATCATCTCACCAACTAAAAGGGCTGAAAGTTCATTATTCGTTAACATTTGGGACCTTGCAGATCAAAAGTCAAAGAAGCAGTGTATCGCTTGCGCAAGGAGGAAGCCGCGCATTTTCAGCACGAGCAACAAGAACACGCCAAAAAGCGAAAGATTGGTGAAGTCCATAATTGAAATCTTCATGGGTTAGGTTTTACGGGCAGCCGGAATATCCGTAGTTTTGTTTAAGTTGCATTGGTTATATGAGTACACGGGGATTGCAAGACTTGATCATGTTATTGGCGTTTGGTTGTTTGAGTTAATGTTCAGCGTGTTTGGGAATCATGCATTTGGTTTGCTTGGGGTTGGTACACAGGCGTTTTTGTGCCTCGCGATTTCTTTGTTCTTGCGGTCGAGGTTGGGAGGTTGGTTGAACTTGCTTTGAAGCTTGTATACAGTGGGGTTGAGAATCGTTCTTGTAATGTTAATGTTCATTCTCCTTCCGTTTTTCGTCAAACTTTGCTTTTGAAATGTCTTTTTTTGTCTTCATTCTATACACAGGAAATGATACCCCCCCGCCCCCTTCTCCCCTCTTCGCCGAGTCACTTCCGTAGTGACATGAATACAATATCATACAACCAACCCAAAAATTGCTTACAAGTGATTTTTCTTTTGTGACTCCGAACTCGCGTTTGTGACAAAATCAGCTCTGGAAAACTAACTACGCATTCTGCACTCCAGCAGCTAGACTCTCCGTCTGAGCGGCAAAAAACTCCTTCTGAGCTCGACACCTCTCGCTCACGCAGCCGGGACACCTCAGCGTCATCTGCTTGCTACACGCAACCCCGCTGTCCAAATGCGATTTGGCGAGATCAGCAAGCGCCTCAATGAAGACGGGATTCCCGTTCAGACTCTCGACGCGCTTGACGCCCTCGTGACCCTCTGCGTCCTCGCCAATAACCTCCTTGTCCAGCTCGTACAGCGTCTCGATGTGGTCGCTGGTGAAGGCGATAGGAATCAGAATCATATCCGTGTTCCCCTTCTTCATGAAATTCTTGACCGTGTCGGACGTCTGCGCGCCCAGCCACGGCTGCGGGCCGACCTGAGACTGCCAGACTAGTCGATACTTGTGCTTCATGCCGAGGCGCTGGTTCACGGCGTGGACGGTGGCCGCGACCTCGGCAGGGTACGGGTCACCGCGGTTGACTACCGACATGGGCAAGCTGTGCGCCGAGTACAGCAGGATGACGTCGTCGCGGCGCTCGGGCGGGTACGTGGCGAGGGTTTTCTCGATGTTCTGCGCAAAGGCTTCGACGAGGCCCGCGTGCGTGGGCCATCGGTCGATGACGCTCCATTTGATGTTGCCGGCGTCGCCGTCGACGGATTGGCCCGCTTTTGCGCCTTCGAAGCGTGCGCGCCATTTCCAGAGCTCGTTGAGCGACGAGCCCGTCGTCGAGCACGAGTATTGCGGGTACTGCGTGAATGCGACTGCGCGGCCGCCTTTGCCTTGGCCGAAGCCGTCGGCGAGGAGCTGCTTGTACATGTCCTCTGTCAGCGGGTTGGCGTAGCGGAAGGCAACGTAGGGCTTGTGAGGGGCGGTCTCGGGGGATGTTTTGTCGAGGATCTTGCACATTTCTGCTGCTTGGTGTTCGGACCATTTGCGAATCGGCGAGCCACCGCCTATGTCGGCGTATTGCTTTTGGATTTTGGGGGTGCGTCGCTTTGCGAGGAGGGGGCCGATGTAGTTTTGGAAGCGTCCCAGGGGGATCAGGTCGGCGTCGGACTGGTGGTTGGGAAGGTCAGCTACTCCGAAGACAAAAGTGATGCGACGGTTGATGTGTGCGTGGACATACGAATAGATTGCTGAGAAAACTGTGAACTTCATCGGTTGTTGAGGGGCCGCCCATGTTCATGAACACGATAGCAGTAGGGCCTTTGGAGCCCGCTGCGCTCTGCGTCGCTGGCGGAGCTACCGTTGCATTTCCTCTTCTCCATCGCGGAGCACATGGGACCAGAAACGAAGCGGCAGATGAGCTCGGGGTTGCGCGCCTTGCGGCAAACGCAATGGGGGTACGCATTGCCATTGTAAAATTGTAAATTACAATGGGTCAGGTCTCATACAGAGCGAGATTCAGGACCAATATTGCAAAGAGAAGACGTGTGTTTGGAGAAAGACAGCACAGCACAACTCGTGGCGTGTGGTGTTGTACGTATGGAGTTCGATGACGCTGACCAATAACAGAGACGGCAAAACCAAGCGATCGGAGCTGTAGATCGAGCTCCGAGCTGCCTAACCGTTCTACAGTACACACCCCTGCCACTGATCAGGTGAATACGCGACGCGAGGCGCTGGACCGACCTGTTGCCTAGCTGGTGAGCAAACCTACATGTACACAAACGGGCCCGTCGTCCGCCAGATTCTGGCACCGTACTCTCTCTTTTCTTGAATTCTTAAATCACCTTACAAGCAAACACAACACCTAGAATCCCACAATGGCAGCAGATTGGCAGAATAATCGCCCTGGCGAAGAGGACGAAGATGACGAAGAAGTCGATGATACGGTACGTCAGTATTTATTCTAAAACGTATCGATTCTAACAGCCTCAGAGTTACAAAGCGATGAAAGACGCTGTGCTCTTTGCAATTGATGTCAGTTCATCCATGTTGGAGCGTCCACCACCTTCAGACGACAAACATGCCGAGCGAGACTCCCCAGTATCTGCTGCTCTCACGTGTGCCTATCAATTGATGCAGCAGCGCATCATCTCAAACCCAAAAGACATGATGGGCATACTGCTGTATGGCACGGAAAAGTCCGACTTGAAAGATAACGACAACACTTTCCAGCATTGCTATTTGCTTTCTGACCTTGACATTCCCTGCGCACGAGACGTGAAGCAACTTCGGAATTTACTAGAAGACGAAGACGAGGCAGCAAAGACTCTCAAGCCATCCAAGGATAGGGTGTCCATGTCCACGGTTCTCTTCTGCGCAAATCAAATATTCACGACCAAAGCCCCCAACTTCTCCTCACGGCGGCTGTTCTTAGTCACGGACAACGACTATCCAGTCAGTGTGAAGCAGGACAAGGACACAGCAATTACACGTGCGCGAGATCTGTACGACCTGGGTTGCACGATCGATCTGTTCCCAATCTCGCGTGCTGATCATATGTTCGATCGCACAAAATTCTACGACGACCTGGTCTATCCTACATCTCCTTCAGATCCTGATGCACCGATAGCATTACCTTCAACCACCAAAGTGGCGAAAAGCGGAGATGGAATAAGTTTACTGAGACAACTTCTCTCGTCCATCAACTCCAAAGCCGCCCCACGGCGGGCACTTTTCAGTCTTCCCTTCGAGATAGGCCCGGGCCTTCGCATAGGCATCAAGGGCTTTATTCTCATCAAACGACAAGAGCACGCCAAGAGTTGCAATGTTTGGGTAGGAGGCGAAAAGCCTCAAATCGTCACGGCGTCAACCACTCATATGGCTGACGACACAGCTCGTGTCGTAGAGAAGGTGGAGCTCCGCAAAGCGTACAAATTCGGTGGTGATACCATCACCTTCACCGCCGACGAATCTGTTCAGCTTCGTCAATGTTGGGGCGAACCAGTCCTACGCATCATTGGCTTCAAACCCCTCTCATATCTACCTATATGGGCCAATGTTGGCAAGGCTACTTTCATATACCCATCTGAGGTCGACTTCGTAGGCTCAACACGGGTCTTCTCTGCCCTCCAGCAGAAATTACTGAAGTCAAGCAAAATGGCACTATCTTGGTTTATCGCACGGAAAAACGCCGCACCGATCCTCGCCGCCATCATCCCTGGTGAAGAGCGTGTAGACGAGGGTGGCGAACAGACCTGGCCACCAGGTCTGTGGATCGTTCCTCTCCCCTTCGCCGACGACATCCGACCGTGTCCCGAACACAAATGCGAGCCCGTCAGCACTCCCGAACTCACCGATAAAATGCGCGTCATCATGGAACAACTTCAATTACCCAAGGGTGTATATGATCCCAGTAAATATCCTAACCCCGATCTGCAGTGGTTCTACAAGATTCTGCAAGCTATGGCGCTCGAAGAGGAGATTCCCGAAAAAGCCGACGACAAGACCGTACCGAAGTACAGGCAAATCGAAAAGCGGACTGGCCCGTATGTGATAGAGTATGGCGAGCAATTTGAAGTCGAGATGGCCAAAGTTAATCAGCCTTCATCATCCCTGCCTTCCCGCGGCAAGACGGCTGCCAAACGAACGAACATAGAAGCCGATGATGACGACGAGCTGAAACCGAAGAAGCGGGCCAAGAAGGAGGACGCTGGTGACGACGATGAAGCGTTGACCAATGCGCAGATGGAGACTCTATGTCTGAATGGCTCTGTTGCGAAGCAGACTGTTGCTGTGCTGAAAGCCTACTTGAAGGCGAACGGATTGAGCACGACAGGCAAGAAGGCTGAATTGGTTCAGAGGGTCTCTGATCTCTTTTAGTAACGGTGGGCATGAGACTCAGGGCATAGGCCCGCTATGCAGTGTGTATATCACGGGTATAATATCACGGTATATTGAAATACCTTGTGGTGCAGTAATTCGACGCACCGCTGGTCTAATGAAGCATATTTGCGTGGGCTATGAGCAGTTGACTTTCAGGAGTTGAGGCATACTTAGGAGCGTTGATCAAGTCGGAGTTTAGTCACATCGCAAGAGAAACTGGATGTCTTTTGTTCTCCCTCTCCATGAAGAGAGTGGTGATTAGAAATGCGAAAATCAATGTCATCTTCTATCCAATTCTACAAATAAACTTCTCACCACACAAATTTCAATGAATCAATCTTCAGTTAAACCTTCTTCCCCGCCTCTTTTTCTCGACCTACTCCTTCCTCCATCTCAATCACCGCTTCCTCCTTCCAACCAACCCACTCCCTCGCTCCGACTTTGCACTCAAACATGCGATCAATCTCCTCCACACTCCTTCCCTTCATCTCCGGCACCACCAACCACGTCACCAAAACCCCCAGCACACACGATCCAAAGTACGTGAACCCGATCTTGCCACGCAGGTCGATGCCGTCCGGGTTGTAGATATAAGTGACGCCGAAGCCGGAGGCGAAGAAGGCTGCCGAATTGGCAAGCCAGCCTATGGCTTGGGTGCGTGCGCGAAGACGCAGCGAAGAGGTTTCCGAGGAGACGGTGTAGGATGCAGGCCAGACTCCCAGACTGCAGATTACGGCTACGAGGATCATGAACGCGCCGGTCCACCTGTGATCGGTTCATATGTGTCAGCAAAATAGGTCAAGTCAACTATTGAAAAATTTCTGACTTGTATCAAATGCGACCAGCAGGGTATGAGGGGATGAGGAGACAACATACCACCCAACCTCTTTGTTGGAAAAACAGTTTGCGATCCCCATGCCCAACCACGATAGAGACGCAAGCCCCATTGTTACCATGATAAGCTTTTTACGCTCTACGCGCGCTACTATCCATATACTCGCGATATTAGCCAGGAAACTCAAGACGAGCCCCACGATTACAAATATGACGCTCTGTTTGGGACTCAAGCCGACGAGCTGCAAGAAATATGCTGCCTTGGATAACATCACAAGCCCGAAGACTGACTGCAGTGACTGCGCCCACATGACGATGAACGTGCGGCGCCGATTTATGCCTGAGAAGCAATGCATGAATCGGGAAGACCTGCGGGCGTGCACTTGAGCATCGACGTTTCGTTTTACTCTCCGAACGGCCGCTTCAGCGTCGACGTCTGGCGGGCTAAGCCGGGCTTGCGCCTCCCGCGCTTTATCGAGCTTGGAGTTACGAATGTAGAAAGCTGGGGATTCGGGGATGCAGAACGCGACTATAACAGGGAAGAGCGAGAACAGCCACTGCGAACCAAACGCTACAACGTATCCGCGAGGTTTAGCCAGAGAGGTGTAGACCACCAACGCCCCTACGATTTGACCCAGACAAGTGAAGATTGGAAACAGCGACATAGCGCTCGCTCGTAAAGAACGCGGTAGGATCTCGCTGAGGTACGTCTGCGCGGTGGACACGTTGACGCCGATAGCGAAGCCCTGGACGATCTTGCCCATGAGGAAGAGCACGCGTCGACATGTGAGGCTGGCAGATAGATACGACGGAAACATTATGGCTACGCCCATGGCGCAGAGGAGTGATGAACAGCCTAGCACTATGCGTCGTCCGTATAGGTCTTGCCATCTTCCGCTGAAGAATGTGCCCAACATGGCTCCGCCGGGGGAACCAGCTGTCCAGCCGGAGAGCCACCTCGAGGGGAGAATCCATTCATTGTTGTACATTTTCCCTAAGTCTTTTCTAGGGTGAAGACGTGTTAGAAGAGTAAAGCTCATGAATGTTTGGAATGGCGAAAGAAAAAGAAAAGAAAGAAAACTCACTGGAAACTCTGCATGCCAGAGATATTGGATACGATGGCATAGTCATATCCATAGAGAAGAGCGGTGCTAGATAGTCCTAGCGTGATGAAGCAGATTTTGCGATATTTCTTGACATTCTGCCATAATGTTCTGTCGTTGTCGCCTGATTGACTCACGTCATCATCGTCCTGTTCCTCTGCAACTATAGAAGAAGTGACGGAACCGCTTGTCATGCTTTCTGCTACAGGACTTTGATGTTCTGTTTCCGGAGCGTTGATCTCCCGACTGCCTGCCTCTTGGGTATCTTGGACGGATTCGATGTCTCGGGCAATAGATGCCATTATACCGTTTCTATCGGTCTATCGCTACTCTGAGATGACAAAATATAAGAGAAACTTGTTATAAGAGTGAGCGAATTCCGAAAATAAGACTTTCCAACGAGGTTGCGGTTCCTATATACTTCAGCATGGGAGATGAAAGCGCAGTGTTGGCATGAAGGGAAAGTCTCGTGATGTTAGGCATTGAACAACACTGTTGAATCTGACAGGTGACAGCACGGTGATTTAGCCTGACGAGAAATAAGACGTGATAGAGCACCGAAACTGCGGAATGTGATGTCCGGATTGGTGTAAAAAGTAGATGTATATGTACCCTGTCGTGCATGAACCAGAGTTGGACGAGACCTTCCAGGCCATTCTTACCCACGGATTCGTGGACAACTACGTACCATGAACTGCTTTGCATGCGATATCGGTTATGTACCTGCTGACACTATCTTAACAGCTCGCGCGAAATATACCCACGATGGCTATAGAAATGAGTGAGACATGAACGGGACCAGTGTCATAATGGGCAGGATAGGGCATAGGTTCAATAATCCAGTCATATCAAAGTGGAGATTGAATGGGTCGAACAGGAACAGGTGGCACCTCCTTTTGGAATTAATGTTTGTTTAAAAATACAGTTGTGTTGTCACGGGGACCTTGAAACCCAAACGAACGCCCGGCAATGCTGATGATCGCTTATACAAGAACATATTGAATAGTTAAAAAGAGAACAACGGGTGGCGCATCACCAAAGATGGGATGAAGATCCACATAGCTGTTATCGACCCAAGAAGTCCTTCACTGCTCCTCCAACATTCTCTAGATCCAGCAAGAATGTGTCGTGGCCGAACAGACTCTTCTCTTTGCCGAGCTCAATGTGCGTCACATTCTTGTTGCCAGCGCGTCGAAGAGCAGTGGCAATCTCCTCTTGTTGCCACGCAGGGAATAGACTGTCACTAGCCACTCCAAGAACAAGAGCCGGCGTAGTTGCCAACGGCCGTAAGCCAGCCACCAAGTCTGGAGAGGGCTCATTCGATGAGATCTCACCATTCACGGAAGCTTCATCCACAGGCTGCTCCTTTTCCTCATATGGTTTTTCAGGAAGTACCAGGCTGCAAGTGTCGGCATTCTCTCCAGAGTCTAGGGCGTGGCCTTCCAGAAAAGCTTGTAATTTTGGGTGGTTTTCTTGGCGCACTTGATTGATCATATTGCGATGTTCCTGTCCCAAGTCGAAGAGATCCATAGCTTTGGAAACGTAGAGTAGACTGTTGGCGTCGTATTGAAGACACCATTTTTCTCCAGCATGATCCAGATAGGTCTCAATAAGGAAGTCTGGGCACAGAGCTGGGGGTCGCGAAGGATCAGCTCGACGGCGTCCGAAGCGTTGTTCCCATTCGGGTCCGCTTCGATAGGTCACAGTCGCGATTTCGCGGGCCATCTTCATGCCAGTGTGTGGAGGTATACTGTCATAGTAAAATCCGCGATTCCAGTTGGGATCCGTCATGAGCACTGATTGAGTGTTAGCTCGATCGTGATGCAAATCGACTGGTACGTGTTTACCTTGACGTTGGATGTGTCTCATTGCAATCGTTTGAGGGTGGCTACGTGCGCAACCACTGATGGAGACAACCCGACCTACGCGATCTGGGAACAGTACTCCCGATGCAAGACTTTGCATGCCACCCATACTCGAGCCTACGCTTGCATACAACTTCTCGATGCCTAAGTTATCAAGCAGACGGAACTGTGCCCGCACCATATCTTCCATAGTCAATATGGGAAACCTCGTGGCGTAACGCTGCCCGTTGGCGGGATCCTTTGAGGAGGGTCCTGTCGAGCCATAGCATCCACCTATAACGTTGGTGCATATGACAAAGTATTTGTCCGTATCAACGGGCTTCCCGGGTCCTATAAACTTCTCCCACCAGCCTGGCTGTGGATTGGCTTCGGTGCTATGTGCGTGGCTAGAGGCAGACAAGCCGGTATAAAGTAGAACTGCATTGGTTCTGTCGGCATTCAAGGTGCCCCAGGTTTCATAGGCAATGTCGAATTCCGGCAAAATCCCCCCCCAATCGAGTAGTATAGGTTGCGTAGAATGAAAGTTCAGGTGCTTTCCTGGTGTATAGGACGGCTCTGGCCCAGCTAGGGAACGACGGGAAAGCGTCGCGGATCTGGTTTCTACAACGTCGAGACAAGGGAAGGATAAGGCAGGGTTCGTGGATTCGTGGGTGGAATTCTGGTCGGTGGCAGCAGCTTGACCCCGTCGCGGAGTCTGTTGATGTATGCTCCTAATAGTAGCATGCGGTCGCGTGAAGGCAAAGAGCTTTTGTGGGGCGCGTCCAACACATGCGGAGATAGACGGACGTTTTGATGCTGAAGCGTGGACAGAAAAGAGCAATCTACGGGACGCACTCATGACGAAGGTAGATCTCCCGAGCGGAGACTGAGCCAAATGCCTCTTGAGGAGAATACAGAATGAAGTTGAAGGCCCTCATGACGATATGATTACAAACGCTTTGGCGTATACATGGAAAGTGTGAGGAATTAGAAACAACGATCCAATCAATCTGCATGGAAATTGCGTGCTGGCGGATGTGGCTAGTGATGGGCCAGCCACGTTCCAGCCGCATCACGTGATGTCAATCTCCATCATCGAACACGTGCATGGATGTTTACGGTAACTTTGAACATTTGAACCTTAGACATGTTCCTACCTCCGTCGTATTGTTAGATTCTTGTGGGAGGTGCTAGTCTTAGACCTTTTTCTCGCAATATAATCATATAGAGATCTTGCTGTATGAATTAGGGCGACAGCAAAATCCCTTGAGAGCAGCGAGGGAGTCATATACAAGGAAAGTGTATAACTGTTTAGATCAGTCCAATATGAGAACGATTTGGATAGTGGTTTTGCGAGACCTCGGGATATCTGAGCATCAATCTATAAGTTCAAGCCCCTATGGCCATTTCCTTGCCTTCGTGTTTCCATCTGATCGAGTGCTAATGCTAGCTGCTCTAAAAGACTGCACACACATACCTCCGTAAGATCAGGACGCATAATCATCAATCGCATGCTATTACGGATTTGTAATCGAGACTCTCTGCACTGATACCTTATAACTTAATGAAGCCGCTGTATTCTCGATCGGGAGTCGTCCCAACCGATTCAGACGTTTATCACGTACCACACCAGATTTATTGCATGCGTACCAAGCCATGTACCCGCCGACGTCACTTCAATCTCGGATGGCCTGCTTTCGCTGTACCTGAAAGCACCGTCTTTCCTGAATTGACATTGGGAAACATGGAGGCGAACACGACGCCCACAAGTTCAAAACAAAAGTTCGGCAGCGAACCAGGCACGGACCGGGATTCCGTTATTAAGCAATCTATCTGCAGACCTTCATATTATCCAGCAACCCACCAGATACCGGCGCTTGGTTACGAGCCCCGCATTTTCGAATTACTTTGAGCCGCAAAAGGAAAGTAGTGACGTTGATCAGATTGGGGCATGCTTTGATCCCGTTCATGATTATGCCTCCATACCTCGTGATGAGAGTGGAAGCATGGTCGATCAGCTGAAGTTCGTCGCTACGGAGAGACGCCAACATCCAACGCAGAATCCAGACGAAATAAGGGAATTTGAAGAGAACACAACGGCGTAATTTGCCCAGCCCAGGAAATATTCTTCCCTTTAATGCAGGTCCCCACTGGCTTTTGAAACGCGTAAAATATCTTTCTTCCCCAGCGTTCTAGTGCCGGCAACCAGCGTCGTTTGCCGCCACGCTATCCGGGATGCGCAGCCACCTTTAATATAAGTGAGATCTCGACAGCCCATATAGTATGGTCCTCGTTATACCATTCGTACGAAATCTGATTGGAGCATAATTGTTTCTGGCGCGCGATTGGTTCGAAATTCCACGAAAGCCTCCACAATAGATCAGGACAATATAGGTCAGCGGACGCCAAACCGGGTCTTTGACTGGACAGGAACAACCATACACCTGGCACTGCAACCCTATGCCGGTAGCTTGCTCAGACACCTTGAAGCAGGTTGGGATATCGTGGATATGAAGTGCGGACGATGGGGTACGTTCACCCTGTGGGTAATATATATCGTGGCACTGGGCAACCGACAAGGTTAGGGTACGAGTCGTATAAAGAGAAGCAAATGGCACACTCCTAGATCCACTACATCGACATTCACTTCGACAATCGTTCATTTCACCTCAGTATCCCATCGAGCCTTTTCAGCCAAACCTTAAACATGAAGTTCATCTCCACCGCTGCTCTTGCGAGCGCCCTCTTCCTCGAGGCTGTCAACGGTCACTACATCTTCCAGAAGCTCACTGCCAACGGTGCTCAGGGAGGTGTCTACCAGAACATCCGCAAAAACACCAACAACAACTCTCCCGTGACGGACCTTGCCGACAAGGACTTGCGCTGCAACGTCGGTGGTGGATCCGGAGCGGACACCACCACAGTCTCCGTGGCAGCTGGATCAGCTTTGACATTCGAAGCCGACGTAGCTGTCTACCACCAGGGCCCTGTTGCTTTGTAAGTTTTTACTCCTTGATGCTGCCCAGAATGAATAAACGGGGCACGAAACACGAAATGGAAAAGTAACTAACCACCACCCCCAACAGCTACATGACCAAGGTCGACTCCGCATCCGCCGCCGACGGATCTACCCCATGGTTCAAGATCAAGGAGATTGGCCCGACCTTCAACGGCGGCCAAGCCACCTGGGACATGTCGACCAAGTACTCTGTCAACATCCCCTCGTGCGTGCCCGCCGGCGAGTACCTCGTCCGCATCGAGCAGCTCGCCATCCACAACCCCGGCTCCACCCCTCAATTCTACATCTCGTGCGCTCAAGTCAAGGTCACTGGCGGAGGCTCCAAGAGCTTCAGCGGCGTCTCCATCCCGGGACACGTCAAGAGCACCGACCCTGGATACACGGCTAACATCTACAACAACTTCAACTCGTACACTGTTCCCGGACCGGCTGTCAGCACTTGCTAGATGGGTTGGCTTGTGTTTTGGTTTACCTCGTAGCTTTTCTTGTTCTCATCCCGCTGGATGGCCCGCCTGTCCGTTCTGTGAGGAGATCTGGCTGATATAGAGCAAGTAGTCGAGGGCATGAATTCTTGTATATACTTTTTTTTGATAACGATTGTTGAAAGTTGATGAAGGTGGATTGGGATATACCATGTGGTAGTAGATAGAGACCATTAGAATGTCACGGATACGTCAAACTACTTTTATATCTCTTCTCCGTACCGGTGATTATCGTGTTCTGTGCTGCACGGAAATATGTAGTTTCGAGTAAGTACTTGCCAATCTACGCAGTTATCTGTTGTGCGCTGATACAATGCGGGAAACGGATATGTATTCTCCCTTGTATAATTGAAGAGGTAGCCGTGATATCGTCGTAGTAGATTCTAAAACTGCAGACATAGTTACTCCACCACTCGTAAGCTTGCAAATAGTGCGCGATAGAACAACGGCATACATTGTCTTGTTGCTAAAAACCAACAAAAAGCGATCGGGATTGCATTACATCAAACAAGCAAAATCCAGCATCCGTTCCTCACTGCATCCAAGTTTTTTTTTAATACTGTCTTCATGCGCTTCAGAGCTAATCAAGCCAGATGCGTGATGATGAAATGTATACATGAAGTCGATAAATCGTACATGAACATGGCGTTCATCATCGCCCCTCCCCCACCCCACATCATCTCGGATGCTACCGAAAGCGCCGGGCATGCATACAGTTCTGCATTTATATTCTGCATGATTTGTTTTCTCTCTTGGTGTTCGTATGGTTGCAAAGTATGACGTAGTGGGGAGGGGGGAGGGAGAGGGCGCGTAAGCCGAGCTAGGGCCAAAGCTAGTTTGGCAGAGTAAAGCAAGTTGAACCTTGGATGGAGGGACAGGATTGTTGTCATTGCAATTTCACGGAACGGGTGGGCCATGGGATGAGAAAAGAAAAAAGCATGTCATGGCAGCGGGTAAGAAAAGCCAGGCGGGTAGACAGAGCAGCAAGCAGGTGGTTTGAGATGGCGTGCTAGCCGGGACGGCCCCGTGATTTGACGAGTATCAGATGGTGACTATAATTAGCAGTGAATGGGTGCGCGTTTGTTTTCTTCCAAATCATTGCCTCACGTGGCTTGCAGACTACATAACACGCTTTTCGTCTGGGGTTGCAACAAGCAAGTCAGCGTGGCGCCATAAGAGCCCGGTTGGGGAATCCATTGTATACTCCAGTATTGATATATGTAGAAAGAGGAGACTGGAGCGGAGCGAGGGGGATGCAGGGGAAGGGGGAAGTGCGTAAGTATGTAGTACCTTTTGGTGCTGGTACTGGCCATCAGTTGCCAAGACCCAGTAACACAAGTTAGCCGGCGAGAGGGAGAGGGAGGGAGAGATTCAGCAGCACTTGGATATACCTACCTATACGTACATACATACATGAGATATACCGTACACATGCATACATAGATACATGTATACTTGCATACATACCTACCTACTTGTGAGCGCATGCTGCTACCTAGCCACTTGGCGATTTTCTGCCGCTTGTTTTGGTTCCTGCCTTGGTTCAACGTCTGGCTGGCTGGCTGGCTGGCTGGTCGGCGCCTGTTTTTCGCTGATCTGATCTGATCCCCGATCCGTCTGTGTACCCTCTGTAACTGTACCTGCTCCACTCCACACTCCACCCACGCACTCCATTCCCGCCCAATTCCTCCCGCCACGCCTCTCTCCCACAACATCTCTCTCCCGCGACCGCCTGCAAAGCCTTGCAATCTGACCTCCCTTGTAGTGCCTTTGTTTCTTGCTGCCCGCTGACCCGCCAACCCCCCGGCTCTGCTGCCCTCCATACCCTCGACTGCACACCGAAACCGCCCTCGCTGCACCCCCGGCCTGCTTTACCGCTCTGCGACCTCGTCGCTGAAACACTGGCACCCCCTCGCCGCCAGCACTCCTGTACCTTTCCACCTCGACCCTTTGCTACCTGCCTGCCTCGCAAGTCCACCCTCTCGGTGCAACCTCAAACTTTGCCCGTCACCCTTCTCCGCCGCTTGTGCGACTTCCCACCTGCAGTCTACTCACACCCTTCCCGGAACCTCGCCCACTACTACTACTACAATACCTCTCCTCTCCCTCCCCCTCGACCGCCTCGAGAGGAATCACCGGGGACCATGGATAATTCTCTCGACCAAAGCGGAGGAGGAGGAGGCTATTTCGGCTTGAGGTCCGAAGCAGACGCTTCGTCTCCCTCTTCGGCAAGACCGGAGCCCATTCAAGTGCGCAAGCAGTCACGCATGTCCCGATCTCAAGCGCCGCGACCCATTATCACTCCTACGAGCCCCAGCCCTCTACCCTCGACCATTTCCCACGCTTTGCCCTCTGCACCGGCATCCCCGCCCACTCCAGCGCCCTCGCCAACCCCCACCCAGCGCGCTCTCGACTGGAGCACCGCCGCCGAACATGAAGACTCAAACATCAAGGATATACGGTCGCTGTTTGGTAACATGAGTCGGCCGGAGCGTCTGCGACTGTTGGGGGAGCTTTTGAACCAGTGCGGCAGCCACGAACTGAGTTTCGTCGCCGAATTTGTCAGCCCGAGATTAAAGAAGGATCCCTTCATGGTTCTGCCCACCGAACTGTGTCTACGAGTGAGTGGGCTGTCAGCGTCCTCCCGTTGTTTGTTAATGTGTTTTGCAGATCCTGGAATGCGTAGACGACCCGACCACTCTCGTCCGAGCCTCCATGGTTTCCCAAAAGTGGCGCGATATGGTCAACGACGATGGCGCGTGGAGAGCATTGTGCCGCAAGTTTTCGTTCCGTGGGCTGCCGAGACCTGAGCGCTTCGAGGAAGATGAGCCAGGGACGTCAGAGTGGGATGCTTCAGAGACACAATGGCTGCACCCTAGCCGAGCTTCACGCATAGAGGACGCTACGATGAAGGAACAGATGGACGGCGCATCGAGCACTACGAGCGAAGGTCTGCGGACACAGAGTCTGGACCGAGCAGTGAAAAGCCCATTGGCACAGCGGAGACCGAAGGCTGCCACATACCGGTCGCACTTCAAAGCCAGGTACATGGTCGAGACCGCCTGGCGACAAGGAGGACTCTGCGATTCCCGCCAGATCACACCTGACCAAGGAGTCGTTACGAGCCTGCACCTCACCAAGAAATACATTGTCGTGGCTCTTGACAATGCCAAAATACACGTCTTCGACACACTTGGGAATCACCAGAGGACACTCCAAGGTCACGTCATGGGCGTGTGGGCGATGGTCCCTTGGGGCGATCTGCTGGTCAGTGGTGGCTGTGATCGAGATGTGCGGGTGTGGAATCTTGAGAACGGTACCTCGGTGCACACGCTCCGTGGGCACACATCAACTGTGCGGTGTCTGAAAATGTCCGACTCGAAGACGGCAATCTCGGGTTCGCGAGACACGACTCTCAGGGTGTGGGATCTTGAAAGGGGTGCTTGTAAGCATGTCTTGGTAGGCCACCAGGCTAGTGTGAGGTGCCTCGAGATCCATGGTGATATTTGTGTGTCTGGCAGCTACGACACAACGGCCAAGATCTGGAGTATCTCGAGCGGCAAGTGTCTGCGCACACTCACGGGTCACTTCAGTCAAATCTATGCCATTGCTTTTGACGGGAAGAAGATTGCGACGGGAAGTTTGGATACCAGTGTCAGGATATGGGATCCAACCGACGGGTAAGTCTTGCTGTGATACAATGGTCGTCCGCCGTAATCGGAGTTTGTGTGAGCTGATCAATATTGGCGTTCAGGAAATGCTTGGCTGTGCTGCAAGGTCACACTTCGCTCGTTGGCCAGCTTCAGATGCGTGACGACATTCTCGTCACCGGCGGGTCCGATGGATCGGTGCGAGTATGGAGTCTCGCCGACTATCAGGCTATTCATCGACTGGCAGCGCACGATAATAGCGTTACTAGCCTGCAATTCGATAATTCTAGGATCGTCAGCGGAGGCTCGGACGGTCGGGTCAAGGTCTGGGATTTGAAGAAAGGAACTCTGGTGCGCGAGCTCTCGCAGCCAGCCGAAGCCGTGTGGCGCGTCGTCTTCGAGGAAGAGAAGGCTGTCATTATGGCGTTGCGGGCTAGTCGGACCATCATGGAGGTAAGCTTTCCGGTTCTGGTTCCTCTCACCTACTCTGGTGAAATTCACCTCCACAGCTACTGACTCTGGGTCTCTCAGGTGTGGAATTTTTCGCCTCCAGATGAAGCCATCGAGGAGTTACGCTCCGTCAGTCCATTGAGCATGCCCGATCACCCCGACTTCGACTACAATCGCCCACAATCTGCGGCCTTGCCGTCAGCGACAATATCAACACCCGCGCTGCCGCTCCCCCTGCCGTCGGCGGAAGAGGATCGCAGTGATGTCACCATGTCTGATGCCACTGAAGCTTAGCCATTTAGGAGCGACAAAGCCAAGTCAAGGAACGGTACCTCAACCACATTCCTTTCCACCGACCATGGATCTGAAAACCCCCACTGTGAATCGTGATTGATGTCCAGCGGAAAGGTAATTGTACAGCGTGCTGTGGAACTTTCAAGAACAAGGGCATATTCCAGGCCTTTGCTATGAGTTCACCCACGAAAATAAAAGAGGAGGTCGAGTGTTACTCTGCAAGTACATGTCATTTTGTCGCCTCGCCGCCCTCCGCCATGGTCAGCGCTCGTGTTGAGAAGGGCGGACCCAACATTGTCTGGAGATGTGCTGTTCACAATGATGTCACAAAATCTCTACATACCTAGGCAAGGCATACGAAACAAGAGAAATGAATGAAGAAAATCCATCAGGAAACCCAACGAAAGAAACATGGCAAGATAGACGGAGAAGGGAACGAGGGAAATAAAAGAAGGATCAGGGAAAACGTCAAGTCCATGAAGAAAGCTGCATCAAGCAAGCGAGTCTTTTCTGCATCGGGTCGGTTAATCCATCGGAGCATGGAACAACGGGGATTTCCATTGTGTATGTGTGTGTGCGTGCGCGCGTTAGAAGGGAAAAGGGGTATTCCGGGTCCTTGAACTTGGATCCAGAGAAGTACACGATGTCAAGGAAGGGTGACTGGCATGGGACACTTGTGTGTGTGTGTCTGCGTGTATGCTTGAGGTTCGAGTTGTTGGTTGGTTGGTTAGGTTCGCTATAGATTATTTAGATACCCGTTTTTTTTCTCTTATTCTTTACTTCTTCGTCTTCTTCTCTTCATAATTCCTTCCTTCTTTCGTTTCCTTGTTTTCTTCTCTCTTGGAAAATGAGAGGGACTTTTGGGCTTTGAGAGGTGATGATTAAGATGAAGAATGAAGAAGATGGAAGAAGATGAAGTTTTCTCTTTTTTGTTTGTTGGTTTGTTGGTTTCTCGGGGTCGAGTGATTAAGAAAGGGTTGAGTATTGTCAGGTTGGTTTGGCGCTGGTTGCTTTTGACTGTTTTTTTTTATTTTTTACCTAATTTAGTTACCTTGAAAGTATCTATGTATGTATATAGTACCTCAACCAGGTATATATATATACCTAGGTAGTTAGTATAAGGAACTGGGACATTACGATCATTGCATTCCATCTTCCCCCCCTTCCCCCCTCCTTTTATATTTTACAGCTTGCTGATAGATTCAGTAATCCTTACTATTTCACCATCATATTGCTAAAACCTTGATATATCATACCCCCCCAATCCAATCCACCTACGACACAATCTTCCCCCCCAGCCACCTCCCCTCCATCGCCTCCTTGACCCACTTACACTCGACAACCCCACCGCCCTCGACATTCTCCCTCACGTAGTTAATTAATGCTTCTGTCCCCGGCGCTCCTTCCAGGATCCCCAACGCGGCGATGTGCGGGATGTGCAGGGCGGACGAGAGACGCGGTTCGCTGGGGTTAAGTGGGAGGGATAGAATCTGCGTCTGCTGTTTTGCGTTGGAGGATGAGGAGAGAGAGAGGAGAGGGGGGATGTGTGCGTGAGGGAGGGAAAGCGAGGGGTTTGCAGGGGAAGTGGTTAGGAGGATGATTTGGGCAAAGGGGCGGAGTTTAGGCTGCTCGGGGGTCTCTTTGGCGGTGGGTTGGGCTTGGGGTTGGGTTTGCGGCGGGAGGAGCGCTTCGAGGTGGCGTGTTATACTGTTTAGTCCTATCAGGATGTGGGATGATATTTCCGGAGGAGGAGGCGGTGGTAGTGGTTGATTCAAATCATCACTACTGTCGTTTTTGGGATTAGATTTGGTGGAGGGGTCAGAAGATGAATGGTGTTGTTCGTTTTGATCTTTGGTGCTGCGTTTCCGTTTTTTGGTCCTGCTTTTTTTGCCTTTGGATGGGATGATGTGGGTCCTGCGGTGGTCGCCTAGGGGTTGGAGAAGGCTGTGTGTAAGAAGGAAGGGATCAGTTGTCTGGTTAGAAGGGTGGTGAAGATGGGGAATCGATTGTGAAGAATTCGAGGCCTGGTGGATGGACGTGAAGACGAATTTGAGAGAGTACATTTGGGACCATGAATCGGGGATGGAAGAGAGGCCCCGATATGGAATGAATAAAGTAGAGAGAATGGGTTGCTTACTGGCACAACAAATCGACAATGTTATCGCGGACATCTGGAGTGATGACTGGCCTGAGACGGTTAATTGAATATACACTTGATACAAGACGAAGAGAATGTGCAGATGAAGTGCAAGTTACCATTGAGTCTCAGTAAAAGGAATTGTGCTCTTGAAAGCGGGCTTCGACGCTTTGGGAGGCATGTGGAGCAAGCTATGATGACACTTGCATTCGGTTGTGTTTCAGATACGATGATGCGGGGACGCAGGAACAGCCATGGGCGAGACGGAGAAGAGTTGAAGTTTGAAAAAGCTACGGGACTTAGTGACTGACATGGACGGCAAAGGTCCGATCGGGGAGGGTCCAGGCCAGGGTAGCTAAGCGAGACGGCTAGAGCCAATCGGGGTATGACGTTGTCTTGGCGGGACAATGTGGGGTGCACGATTAAGCTCCCGCAAGATAGTTCACACAGCAACTAGGTAGACTGCCTGCAGCCGCCGGACGCGTTCACCATCAGCTCCACCGATTTTGCAGCTAGCATAGCTACTGTACATAACCGTCTCCGAACAGCTTCATGCTCTGTTGCGTCCCGACGCCCATTGTCCGCCGTGCAGCAGCCCATGGTCCTGTTTGCCGCGTCTGCGCCTCCCAGTGAGGTTGTTGCCCTGTAGAAGTTTAGGCATCGGTGAGATTCATCCCCTCCTTCGTTCCATGACCCTCCGAGTGGCGGGCAAACAAACAAGCAAGCCAGCCAGCCAGCAAACAGGCACGCATTCAAGCATTCGAGCCAGCAATCAAGCCAGCAATGAATCAATCGCCATCCACGACCAGCCAGCTAGCACGTAAAAGGCTGGACAACCACCGAATTGCAACAGGCAGCAACCGCATGCACTCGCAACAGCCCTGTCCGCTTGCTTGCTACCCCTGCTGGCTGCCCGCCTTTACTTAGACGACTACACGACCTACCTGCCTGCTTGCCTGCTTGTTTACTAACTCACCTATCCTCCTACCAGACTGGACGCACCAAGCAGGTACATACCAGACCTTGCGCCCGCGCCCGCATCTGCCTGCTAGGCTTCACGGCAACCGCCGCGTGCCTTGCCTGCCCTCCCCGCCCAAAACCCTCCTCCTCACCTCCTCCTCGCAAACAATCCCTCTTGCACCGCCATGTCGGTTGCGGGCGACGACGCAATCAGCAGCAGCAACGCCGCCTCTCCTCCCTCCCCACTACCCAACCCGCCGCAAGACTCTATGGAAATTGCCAATCGGGATCACAAACGCCGACGACTCAACTCGGAATCAAAGGACGATTTAGATATTCTCGCCATGTCTACCGACCGTTCCGTTCCAGACTCGCCCTCCGTTCCCCACCTCACATTGGACCCCTCCGACCAGCAGGTCGAAATGACAATACGTTCCCAGCCCCCGTCATCTTCCAACCCCCAGGAACAGGACGAGCTTGCCACTACCTCCGAAGATGTGCTTGCATCAGATACTGTCCATGTCGACACAAACGATTCCCCTCTTGGCGGGGGCGACGCTTCCGCAGACAGCCCGCCCGTCATTGAATTGCTGAGCGACACCGATGAAGCAGCCAACGACGACGACGACGACGACGACGACGACGTCGAGATCATGGCCGATTACACCCCATCGGGCCCAATTCACATTGAATACGATGTCGAGTCTTATTTTTTGAACTTTCCATACACCAAAAATGACGACTTCGTCGCCGCTGTTGTCGTCGTCACGAACCATTTCCACGCCAACACGCATCTCGATGGCGCCGTACTGCCCAGCATCTCAGTTTGGTTGGACGGTATACCCGACCAACCGCTCCCGCGCAAGGCTTTCTTCACCGAAAAGGCCCCGTTTTGGGACGAGTTCTCCAATTTCATATTCAGGCTCCTCTCACGGAGGATTCACTTTGGCGATACCTTCAGCGATGACCAAGGAGAGGAGGACATTTTCTTCACTCTCTTCACTGCATATGTTCGCGTATGTGTCCATCTAATCCAAGCTGATGCACAAATGCTCTCGGAATGGTCTGCATCAGAGCCCTGTTCTCTCCCCATCGTTGCTTACAAGCATGTTCGAAACCTACTTTATATCCTTCGCCCGGAAAGGACCGCTCTCTTCCACCTTCTCAACAAAGACTATGGGATCAACGTCAACGCCATGTCGAACCGTCTGTTACGTTTATTCCTGGAAACGGGCGGTCTTCCACATCTCCTCGACATGGCAGATCATGAATGCAGCAAAGCACCACCAATGGTGCTGACTTCTATCGCAGCATGGACTGCTCCTATATTAGAAGCAGTGGGTTGGCATCTCGTAGCTATGCCTGCAACATTGCAGCCACTCCAGCGGATAAAGTTCAATCAAGACGTACTGCACTTTTTCCAGAGCTACGATGTTCATTTGCAGATACCCGGCCAGGTAGTCGACATGACGGTAGCTAGGGATGCCATTGGTCACTTTTCGTCACTGCTGTTGAGTCTGTGTCAGTGGGACGACCTGATTGCCCGGGAGCTCGTTGATCATATGCTGGATTTCAAGGATCCAGAATCTCCTACCGCCACGATCTCACCGGCCGAACCGAACCCAATCAATGAAGATACATATCGGCGAGACCCCGCACTGTATCCAGTACTTGTCCATAACGCCTGGAAATTCAAGCTTCTGCGCAAGTATATCGTCAAGGGTCGAATGGAACTGCGCGTTATGAGCATTGGTGCCATGGATCATGCCCTGGTGGATATATGGAGAGAATACAATACCCACGCACACTCCATTCATCATCCGGTCATGCAATATCTCGCCGACTTCCTACTTGACCAAAAAGTGGTCAACTATATCATCAGCGTGGATTCGCATCCTCAACTCATCTCCCGCAGCGGAAATATCGTCGGTTTTTTGGTTGTCACCCGTCGCTATAGTGAGGGCGAGAGCGACGCTATCTGGAACACCGTTTCGAACAGTTCCGATCCTCGCGTGGTATCTGCTACAATGACTATGCTTCGCAGTATCATTAATCTCATGCAAAATCCCGAGCTCCTCTACCTTTTGACGAAGTTGTATGATATCCCAATCGACAACTGCACTTTGGACGTCATCCGGTTTCAGCGGGATATTGCTGGAAAGATTAATTGCGAGGATTGGAGCGAACAAGACTTCAAGTCTCGGCCATGGAATGTGAGCGTTCGGATGTTGCAAGACACTTCTCCTACCCAGGAATCAAGCAAGGCCACCATGGCTCTACATATGGAGGCTTCCGAACAGCTGAGTTCTATGACACACCTCATCTGGACGGAAGAACGCCACTCCATATACCGAAGTTGCGCAGAACACATAGAATGCCGGTCTTCCAAAGCCACAGGCAGTGTGCACGCAGTTTGGCTACTTGCAACAACCTCTGGTGTGAAAGACGTTGGCTTTTTCGAAGAGAACCCCGAATTGACTCGTCGAATACTCGAGGAAACATGTGCATATATCGGCGAAGGAGATGGTATCGCTTTCGGTACCATGCAACAATACGCCGCGCACTATAGACTCGATCTTCTTTGTTTTCTAATTCAACGAGCGACCACGGCGATTCCAATTGATCTCTACGAGAGCATATGGGATCATCTGATCGGAAAGTATGCGCACAAAGACGAATTGCGGGACATTGCTTGGACCAAGTTTTTACAAGCCATGAGGTTTCGACCAAACAATGAATTCTGCACAGCACTCATCTCAACATACGTACCGAAGCTCGACCCCAAGTATTATACTCCAGGTCTGCTCGAATTCGTCGCAGCGTACAATTTTGCCACAGAACGACAGATGGTAGAGACGATGGATGGCGAAAAGCAAGAAGCATTGCAGGTGCCGGGGGCACACCTTTTGTGGCCGATGATCCTCTCGGCACCTCCGCGTACAATCGAAGACCGAACTGCAAACCTACTCGCTAATAGATATCTTGAAGTCGATCCAGTTCATGGTATTACACTACCAGACATGGAAGCTGCTCACATGGCTCTCGTGGAAAAGTGTATTCATGAAATACTGTCATCCTACAGAGTACTACGGGGAAAGTCCTCTCGCGGTGACGATGAGATGGATGTCACTGTCACTGCTGTACTCAAGCAACAGAATGAGCGTCGGCTCACTCGGACTGTTCTATTCCTGAAACTACTGCTCATGTCAATACGTACTCGTGCGGACTTCAACCGGTCAAGACGATCGGATTCCAAGGTGGAAGCTCTTGAAGACGAAGATCGTCCAGACGGAGAAGTGGTCGAAGTCAGATATCAGTCCGGAACCAACGAGAAACAGTCAATCATAGTTGGTACCAGCAATACGATGCAGGATGTGTACAGGCGTCTTTGCCACGCGACGGGCTATTCCAAGATCAACATATTTCACAAAGGAAGAAAGATCGATCTTAATCATGATAGGTCGAAGACCGTCGGAGACCTTGATCTCACCAGCCAAAACCTGCAAGTTCAAAAAGCCCAAGGAAGTGAGATCATCTATCCCACTGCGGGCAATGTTGCCTCCTGTTCGGTTTTTGAGACGGCCCTCTTGGACCGATTCGAAGAGCTTTTTACATGCATGGATGCAGAGGATGCAATCAGTGCAACGGCAAGTGTTTTTTTTTTTTTTTTAAATTACGCTGGGGACCAGGATGCTAACTGATCTTTAGCTTTACGACCTTTTGGTCCATCTCCCATTCCAGGAGCGGATCTTCAAATCAGTCACGACCGGTACGATATCTGCTGCCGATCTTTTTCCACCCGATAGACTTTATCAAGCAAAATATGCTGCATATGCTCTACACTGGAAGCTAGAACAGCAATTGAGGGTATGTGAAAATCGTAGTAGTCATATAACGCGTATATTCTCATCATGCTTGCAGAGTACTCTCGACGAGAACTATTTGGCCAACGCAGTACAAATTCTCGAAAAAGCGCTGTTGAATCCCTCTTTGATCTTGGACGCTTCTTCATCCTCGCATGTCCAGTTGGCGGGTGTAGTAGTTCAAGTTCTTTTGAAGTTTCTGAAAGGTATGCTCAACTCCCGCGACTCATATCCAATCAAGTAGCCAACGCCTAATCTCAAGTGCCAGAACGCCCATCAACAGGAGTATCTTCTTCATACTTCTCAAATAACACTGCTTTTGTGGAACGGCTTCTGGAACTAGTGTCGCTTTCTTTGGTAGACATCACTTCCCATCCTGTCGCCCTCGCTTCCTACGCAACTATCATCGAGGCATCTCTCCATTCTCGTGGCGTGTGGGATGCTTTTGTGACTAATAACAAGTCCATGCCTTTGCACAGGAAGCTTCTCTTGGACGAGCCCCACAAAGAATTGCGACAGGGCATTGCCAAAGTCATCTCTTCTGTCTGTGGGGGTGGTCTGTCACCGTCGTCCGCACTCACCGAAACCGAGACCGCATCCAGCTTCTGGAAGATGATTTCTCCTGTTTTACCATATGTTGTTGAGCACCCTGACCGGTCTCTCCAGATTTTTCAGCTTGCGGATGAGGTGTTTAGGAAATACGACGAAAGCAACAGAGACGAGGCGACTTTGCGATCATATCTGTCCACGTGGAGTGACGTACTCCTGCACTATCGCCAGGACGAAGAGGTTGGTCAAGGGGAGGTAGACTTTGTTGTTCACGGATTTTCGAAACTTCTTCTCAGCTGCATATCATCACTAAAATCGCTCAAGAAGCCTTTGGACGCTGGCCAACTAGTGGAGAGGTTGTGGAGTAAGTTCTTGTTCGTGCCCAAGGTCGTCGACCTGGACGAGCAGGCATCTAGCCCCGAAGTGCCTGTCTTGGAGAGCAATACGCGTAAACAACTGCTCGATCTGGTGCTTGCTCTAGCCGATGATCGAAATAGCTACAACAAGCTTCTCGAGTTAGCTGGGGATCTAGGAACGAACGACACGATGATCTCAAGCTTTGATGTCGACCGCGAGGACATGATAAGATCGCCAACTGGATACCTGGGATTGAACAATCCCCGTGCTATATGCTACATGAACTCTTTGTTAGCTCAACTGTTCATGAACGTAAATTTCCGCAAATTCATGCTCAGACTTGATGTCGCCGAACCAGCAGCATCTCAACGTCTGTTACATGATACACAGACATTATTTTCGACAATGCAGAATAGCTATCGCAAATGGGCTGACCCCCAGGAGTTTGCAGCATGCGTGCGAGTGCCGGACGGAGGATCCATTGATATCAACATACAGATGGATGCGGATGAATTTTACAACCTACTATTCGACCAATGGGAAGCTCAGATGCTCTCACCGGAGGACAAGGCCGAATTCCGCTCCTTTTACGGGGGTCAAACCGTGAACCAGATCAAATCAAAGGAATGCGAGCACGTGTCGGAGCGCCTCGAAAGTTTCTTCGTAGTGCAATGTGATGTGCAAGGAAAGAGCAACCTGCACGAGAGCTTGCAAGCTTTTGTAGAGGGTGATGTCATGGAGGGTGAAAACAAGTACAAGTGTGAATCTTGTGGTGGAAAGCTTGTCGATGCAGTAAAGCGGTGAGTTCCTTATTTATTGAAAACATTTCACATTATGGACGTCGAAACTAAACCGAGCTGTAGAACTTGCCTGAAACAGGTTCCCGACAACCTCATATTTCATCTGAAGCGGTTCGACTTCGATCTCGTTACGCTCAGCAGGGCCAAGATCAACGACTATTTCGATTTCCCTTCGACTATCGATGTGAGCCCATATAAAATTGACCACCTCAGCGATCCATCGCAAACACGCGAAGAAGACTGGTTCGAACTCGTTGGAGTGCTCGTTCATCAAGGCAGCTCAGAAGCTGGGCACTATTACTCATATATTCGCACGCGACCGGACTTGGCAGAGAACGTGACTCGATGGAGTGAATTCAACGATAGGGATGTGGACGCTTTTGACCCACAGTACATCCCTTCACGCGCATTTGGTGGATTGGACGACAAATTCCAACGTCAACTGAAGAACTACAGCGCCTACATGCTGTTCTATCAACGTCGATCCGCTATCGCCAAGGATCGAATGGACTACATCAACTCGCTGCAATGCGGAAACGTCAAAGTACCCATTCCGTCAAACATGAATCGACAGATCAACATCGACAACGATAGATTCATCCGGGATTACTGTGTGTACGACCCTTACCATACAAAATTCCTGCGTCAAACACTCTCGAACCTACGAACAATCAACCAGGGGACATGCTCGGAAGACCACGTGCAAGAGACACAAGCGCTCCACATCATGCTCAAACATCTTTTCCATGTCCACATCCGTGCACGAGCGCCGGAAAACTTTGAAGAGACCCTGCTTCAATTGCGGAAAATTGCGTTGTCGTGTTCGACATGCTGCCTTGTCGTTATGCGTTGGTTCGCAGATGACGATTCTGCTCTGCTCAACATGCTCTTACTATGCGAAGCACCCAAAGTTCGCTTGTTGTCCCGAGCCTTCCTGATCGATTGCCTTCGATTCCTTCGCGATAGAGAGCCCGGAGCATATGGCATTGAGAACATGGAGATGGAAAATGACAATGGCTCCGCTCCTCCGGTCCAAGGAGTTCTATCGGCTGTTGTGGCACAACTGCGAGTAACCGCGGACAATTCTTATTTGGCCGTTCGCAACTGGGACGACTTTTACCTCACCCTATGTCAGATATGCGACTTGAGCCGTGCAGAAACTGCCGCATTACTGGATGAGGGTTTTCTGACGTTCTGCCTGAAAATCTTCTGTATGCCCGTGATACGGAGCTTGCAAACTTCTTTCCCTGGGATGTGGAAGGTTACTGAGAAGCGAAAACGCATCTACAATAGGATGATCGAGTTTGTGTATGGGCTACTTTGCAAGACTGATTGCGGACTTCATAACGCTCCCAACGCACGAACCCCTGGTGCTAGTCGGTACGATACATTTGATCCGATTCTGTCCAAATTTGCAATCTCCAGCGAAGAACGACGATGGCTGTTTCATTGGTACGAGGACAATAGGGCATATGCTGCTCTTGACAGGATACTAGAAACATTTGATGCGAACAAAACCGAGATATTCTATCCCGGCGAAATCTTAAGGTTGATGCTGAATACACCGGATGACCGCGCCCAGCACCAGCTCTTCCTTACGGTTTATGACGGAGTTGTCCAGTTCACGCCACCCCATCAGGATCCTTACGTTCGGGCTGCATTATCTTATTGCAAGTATTCTTCTCAGGTAATTGAGATAATGAAGGTTGCGGACGCCGTCGTCAAAAAAGTCGCCCGGTGTAGCAAATATGGTGGTGAAGCACATCTGCACTTTTTTGCGGGTCTGCTACACGTCGAAAACAACATCGTTTCGGATGAGAAGGGCGAAGACTACTTCTACCGCCTTTCTTTGATGTACGCCCGAAAGATAGCGGTACCACTACTCATGAACGACGACGAGAATGTGCGCAACTTGGCAGTGACACATTTCGCTGACGTATTCACTGAGGAAATGAATCGTAATTCCGACAACGGGACTCTTGAGCTTAAATACCACGAAGCCCGATCTCTGGCATCCGAACTGCAATTAAAGATCGAGCAAGAACACGAAGTAGGATCGTTGCGTGGCTTTGTGCAGCCCATGATCGTCACATGCACCATGTTGGTCGGAGCAATCTTCAAGCTTTACCAAGTCGACGATCCCGTCCTCAATCGATTGAAATCTGATTCGGATGAGAGCCTCATTGACGCACAACGGAATTTGGATGTCATACTGAGGAATTGGTCTTTTGACGAAGCGACCCCGCAGTCGATGGCAGAGGGGTTTGATCAATCAGACTATGGCAGTGAGTCCGATGTTGATGCTGATGCAGAACCATATGACGTGTGATAGCCATTCTGAAACTTTGTGCTGACCTGTGTAACTGAACCTCAGCGTTTGGCACATTGAACGGAAATTCATGGGCGCAAATCGACATGCCGATACGGACTCATAATATTGAGCTATCTTCCTCGTCGTGTGGCTCATCACTCCCTTCTTCACCTTCTTCTTCAGTTGGATGAACGACTTCACGAAACACGACTTTTATTTTCATTCCTTAGCGCATGCTTTAACTTTTGCTTTACTCTACTATAACGCTCCCTGTTCCATGCTCAGGGGGGGAATGGGAAACGGGAAACTGGCCTCGATAGAAGGTGGCGTCTTGGGATTGTTTTCTCAAAAGGGCTTTGGCCACTGGCTCGACTTGGGACTCCTTAGTCACGAGTTTGCTGCGACACGGTCTTCTCAGGCTTCGGCACAATACTCACAGTCATCGTCGGCCTGCGTTTTCGCTCGATTGGAGCCTTTATAGATTCCCGAGGCTCTTGATGGCATAGCGAGGGTTGGGCTCTTTTAGGACTGGGTGTCGGGTTGATTTTTTATTTGGGAGGTTCTCTGGATTAATAGCGGGGAAACGGAACGGTCCTTTGCTTTCTTACCCTGGATATCAATACAGCGAGTGATGCTTTTCTTTTTTTTCGTCGGGATTCTCGCTGTTCACCCTACCTCTGTGTTCTCCACTGGAGGTTCTTGTGGGAATCGCCTGGTTCAACGGGACATGACAGAAACAAAATGAGGGATTTCATATTTGCGATGCACGCCTGCGAGTTTCCACGTGTGGCATCGCTACGAGTGACGATTGATGAATGGCCGATCGGAGCAAAAGCCTTGGAGTCTTTGACATATAGAAAACGGGCAAAAGAAGGGAAATAGAAACGTGCACTCGTACACAGTCACTAAGCATTGTTCATCCCTTTGTATTCTACTTTTTATGAATGTTTATTTTGAACTGTTCTACTACCACATGAGGGAAACGGAAGAACATGGTGGAGGGAATTCTGTTAACTTGTTTCCTTTTGCACCTCTCTCCCTCTCCCTCTAGTAATGCTAAAAAGGGAACATTGTACATCTCTCTATCCGCGATGTATGATCTCGTTCTACTCAATTATTCCTCTATCCCTCTCCCGTTTCCCTTGTCGTGCTTTTTGATTTTGGAAGAAGGGAGGGGAGGAGGGTTGTATAGCAATCCATCACACACTGACGAATTCCATGACTCCATCTTCGACGTTATGAGAGAGCTTATACCATATATATACTTCATCTCTCTCTTTCCTTCGCTCTCTTTCCACAATGGACTTTTCAGTCGCAGAACTTTCACTATATCAATAACAAATTGTAAGTTGGAGTCTGGGTGTGATCTTACACATAGTGATATAGTTCTAACAATAAATGTACCAAAAAGGAATCAGGCGATTACCAAAATTCACTCCATCAACTAGGCAGGCGGATTCTTACATTGTTCACTTACTTACCTTCATCTGTATACAGGGCAAAGAGCAGCATGATCAAGAAGAATAATCGAGAAGAATTAGAGCATTAAAGGTGTTGTAGTTTTAGTAGGAAGAAGAGGAGGAAACAAGACATCATGCATACACAAATCCCCCTAAAACCCAACTATTGTTTCTTCGACTCTAACTCCCCCCGTTGTGGGCATCTTGATCCATGGCCACCAATCCATCCCTTCCATCTTACTAAGCCACGCACTTCACAGCTCTAATTCCAACGCCTCGAAATTCTCCCATCCTCGCTGCTGCATCGCCGCAATTTGGCGCAGACAAGGCAACTCCTCACCTGACTGCGTCCCTCGTGTGTTGGGCTGCCATGAGGAGGTGTGATGTCATGAGATGGAGTGATTGGTTCAGAGGCAATGGGAAAAGAAAGGTAGAGGAGGGCTGTGGGCTGATTTTGGGCGCCGATCGGGGCGTGGGTTGGTCTGCCTTGGGGGTCATGTGACGTTGCTTGGTGTGATATATATATTAGGTTTGGACGGTGGTCGTGAAGGGAAAGGAGTTTGGAGATGGGAGTGGGGGAGGTAGGGGGAGTGGAGTCTATGCGTCACAAGGGAGGGAGGGGTTTTTGGACGTGTGCTTAGCTTTTGCTGGTGTTGATATTGTTTTTGGGTTGGCTTTTTGTAGTATACTTGATCTCTGTTCGCCTCTGTGTGCCCTCTGGTGTGTCTCTTTCACTGTGGACTGGACTACTTGCCTAACGCTCAACTTCTTCTCTTCTCTGCTACGTAAATAAGGTGTTTATGTTTTCTGTGGTATTTCCCCGCTTCTAGTCCCGTCTGTCCTATTTCTTCTTCTCGCTCCTCCAAGGGTCTCTGGATTTCTGTAGCCCTACTATAAGGAGCATTTATATTATTACCGCTCCGACTTATGGAACAATTGGAAATTTTGTACGTGAAGCGCATTCACATCACGAATACCACGATGGCCTGTCAGGGTCAGTTTCGACGATTTCTTTATTTGCCTCTTCATCGGATTGGATATCGGATTGGATATGAGTGTTCTCATCATGGTCGTCTTATTCGGTTCCACAAATCACGACCGAGTTGCGACTACGTGTTGCACCAAAATGAGATTCGGAAACATCAGAACAATCCGTTTGTTTGGCCTTTTCGCTCCGTTATTGCATCTGTGAACGAACGGCCAACGCGGGTGAACATTCTAGTAATACTGTCCAAGCTTGGATTTCACCAAGATCTGTTGCTTGTCATTCTGATTGATAGGTAATAGACGATAACCACGGCTGACAGTATTTGGTTATGCTCCTTCACGTTGCCAATTGAACAGACGCGAGGAAGGTATGGCCGGGGGAGGGGGATTTGGGTCCAGAATAGCGGCCAGACACGGCGGTACATGAATAATCATGCATAAGTTCTGGGAACAGTGAATTGACATGGATCCTGTCTCCCTCTCAAGTCGATTCGTCTGAGCTGGTGTTTGCGCTAGAGTCGATGATGGCAGAGAACGTATGGGTTTCGGTGTCATAGGATAGCCAGCGATTGAACTGATAAGAGAGTGTTAGATTGGAGGAAAATCAAAAAGAAATAACAAAGATCAGGTTTCGAAAGTCAGTTCCAAGAAGAAGACAGTGTGGACGGTACAAGACACAGAAAATCAGACAGCGAAAGAATTAAAACATCGACATCAAGGCCGGCAGCACACATCAGATGAAGATGCGAAAAAAAAGTAACTCACTGTTGATAGGCGATAGCCGAGATGCAACACTCTTTCGGTCCGAGCTCGACTCGTGCTGGCAAGCTCCAGATATCGGTCCTCTTCATCATGCTCTCGTGCAAACCATGTCTCGGGGAAATACCATTGACTCCATATCTGGCCCCGGACATGATAATCTTCTGGAAGTGGCAGTGCATCCACTTGATCTGTGGGGAAAACAGCACCAGACATAAACTTCTCGGGTCGCTCTGAACTGAGAAGGGCATTAAGAAAGGCAGCTAGTTCTGTCCATGGGCCGTGGTCGAGAAAGTGGGCAACATATCCTATAGAGGCGAAGCTGGAAAAGAAGGCAAGAAGGATATGTACGTGAGGAAGCACGTTCTTGTCTCCGATACGTCGAAGGACAAGAGAAAGCGTCGTCATCGTCAACAAGTAGGCTCGGGAGAATGTAAAGTCGCTAGAAAGGGTGGTGAGTTTAGCCGAGATCTCGGATTCGGACATATTAATTGAATACTGGTCGGGCTCCGCTGGGGAGGGTGAGCGACTCTCGTCGTCATAATCGGAAGATGGATTGGCTGTTTGACTCTTCTGCCTGCTGTGAAGGTCGATAATCTGCCTTAGAATCGAATCACTGTTACCATAATCGAAGAGTCCGGCCAGATTTGTAATAGCTATATAAATGCCTTGATCTTTCCATATGGCAGTCATGCGGCCAATGTGGTGATCTAGCTGGCTCTGAAAAGAAAGGCGAGCGTCCTCAAACCGATCCGCTGATAATTTCTCAAAAAGCACGCCGTGTGCCTGAATGAAGCCAGTATCGACGGGCAGGTTTTGTGAATAGGTATTGGCGGTATTGGCGCGATTTAGGATGGGATCCAATAGAGTCAAAATTGATTCTCGAGCGCTCGGGAACGGTCTGACACAGTTTAGAGATCTAGAATAGTAGTACAATTGCTGGAGCGCATTGGGGCGTGCCAGAATTGCCAGGTGATGGTATAAGCGGCCGACCGAAGGGTTTTTGTCGGCAGCCTTGCTGTACCATGAGCGTGCAACAGCCGCCCAGGTCTCTCGATCCCGCGGGTTTTCGTCTTCTATCGCCATGCGATAACGACCCAGGTCTCCCAAGCATTCGATCCAGGTATCTTCAAATGCCGGCACTGTTTCGTAGAGCAAGGCCATCATTTGGTAGGCTAGGTAGATGAAAGCGAGCATGTAGTCGATGCTCTCTGGAAGGCGCCGACGGAGAAGTTCAAGGAACGAATGGATGCCGTGTTTCCACATCCTTGCAGGCATAGAGTACTTGGCTGCCAACCGCCGCAGGGCAGGAGACGCGGAGGGGTGTTGGGAAGCGAGAAAAAAGTCGTGGTGCTCGTGCAGAAGGGTTCTATGGAGAGCAATCAGTGCTTGCCAGTGGTCGCTAGCAAGCTTAGGGTATGATTCCGAACCATCCTTCAAAACAGCAGCCTGGCCCCGGTCAACATGAATGCACTTGCTTTCTACCATGCTCAAGCCGGCATATATTGACTTGACTTCCGAGGCCAGCTGCTCCTGGGAGATTGGACGAGACTCGGGTTGCAGAATCAAGTCGGGATAGCGGCGGTCACTCCCATATATATCTTCGGATCCCGATGCATCATGGGGGGTAGCAGGTGAAGCGGTTGGCTTGGGCTGATATGTTTGGGCATGTTGTGGTCGGCGCAGTCGAGAGGGACGGGATGTGTGGGTAGAGACATTACTTGATGGATCTGTATTGGATGGCTTCGGAGATGGTCTAGATGCTTTGGAACCCTTGGTGTCGTAATGGCGATAATCCCTTGGTTTTGATTTGAGAGGTTCTGAGACATGAATGATACCCGAATTCTCTTGCGACAGATCGGAATCGAGAACCTCGGGATGGCTTGGTGGCTTGGTTCGACGTGAATGAAAGGCAGCTTCGGCGGGTCTCTTCTTTCCAGAGGGGGAGTGTCGATCCTTGGCCGTGTCCAGGGTGAGTGCGGTCATGTCCGGAGTGGAACCCCCGCCAGCAGTAAATTCGGAGGATTGGTCTGTTCCGGAAGTCTTGCTATGGAGAGGTCAGAGAAGACAAAGGGAGGGGAAAGTCATGTGACGTTGGCATGGCGTTGTCAAGGCGAGGCAAAAGTTGACTTACATGCGCAAAGCGGCTTCTTGCAAGTGAGCACGAGCGTGCTGGGGATCCAGGGAAGTCAGGCGGGGAGCATGATCCGATTTGGCATGGGCAAAGAGCTGGTCGATGGATTGGAAGATACGGCCATGATGGCAGTAAGGGCAGGGCAGAGCGTCTGAGGGGATTGCCTCAGCCGTCTTTGCCTGAGTCAGCAGAGCCGTCACATATCTCGAAGGATGGTCGACATGGGTGGACATGTTGCGGGGGACAATTTATGGAAATTGAAGGCCGAGAGAAGCGTGGACAAGGTAGACGAGGGTGAAGACTGCTGGCCCCACTCGCTCTGTACGGTCGCATTGGACACGGGTTGGAGCAGACGTTGAGAGGAATGGATATAGCAGAGCCCGAAGCGGCCTAGCGCACAAGCGAGCAGACTACTGATTGGACGCGGGACGGGTGAGCATGGATTCCGGGAGTGCGGGAAGGATATGTAGATGTGTATCGAGATGGGGGCGCAAAGCGAGCAGATGGATGATGTAGTGGGTGGTGGGAGACGATGAAGGAAGAACGGGAGAGGGTCTGGGTCCTGCTCTGCTGCGTCGGTGGCGACAATTCCGGTGGCCGGTGGTTGGTTTGTGTGTGCGTGGGCGTGTAAGTGTGTGTGTGGTGGTGGTGGTGGTGGTTCAACAGATCAGATGACGAGATGGGCCGAAGTGGGTAAAAGGCCGGACAGGACAGTAGCGCTGAGATATGATCTGATATGGCGGCACTCTATGACCACGACAACAAGCAGCAGCAGCAGCAGCAGTAGCGAGCAAGCAACGATGGCTGTAGGGAGCGAGGTTCGGACGCGCAAGAGATGGTTATAATTCAAGAGAGGTGCATGGTGAGCAAAGAGGCGATCACAAGGCAACCGTCGCGGGTCTCATGTGGTCTGTGCGCCAGGCGAGAGGCCGCCCACTTGCACTCCACTCTCACGCAGCCAGCTGCATGCATTCGTATCAATGACCTCCTTCACACACACTCTATTCCCCGGCCGCCTAGGATTCCATGTCGACAGCCTTGGTCACCTTCTCGTCCCGGCCGCCCACCACTAGGCAGATGCCCCCGAGCAGGATGCGCTACGCTATCAATTTGCGGGAATGCCAGGCGAAGAAGGTCTGACGCCTCGTTCTTATACTTTTTCTGTTCCATAATCGCCAGAGCCTCACTCACATCTCACGGCTACGACTCTTGTTCGGGTCCTCCTGCGTGCTGCCTGGCTGGCTGACTGACTGATGGATGGTTGGATTGATTCGCAGTCCAAGGGACAGAGTGCAGCCACCCCAAACAACAGCAATGACAAGAATTGACCCCCTTCAGAGTTACATACATCATGTATGTACTCTATGAATATCCCATCTGTACATCTAATGCGTTTTGCTTTCGAGACATGGTTATCTATTTGGGACCTACATACATGTATACCTCCCTTGCACGTACATATGTACTCAAGTACCTACCCCAGTGGACGTCCGAAGCTGCCACGACCCATGGATTGATTGCACATCCGAGTCTCTGTCAATTTTCCCTTAATGGGTCATCATTCCCCAGTGTCGGTTGCTTCAAGGATACCCGTCATCTCCTTGAAAAGTCTCTCCGATGCTCTTCTCAGCTGAACTGGCCTACATAACCTCGTCTCGACACCGCTGACCATTTCCGTGCGCTGCATCTACCCATCCATCCGTCCCTTCACCCTTTTTCGCCTTATTTTGTGTACATCAATGCGTGCCGCACTGTAATGACCGGCCTCTTCAGCGCTCATGACTGACTCGGATACCTACTTTACCGCATTGTTTGTACCAAGTGCGTGCACAGCCGCAAACAGTTACGCAGCCGCCCGTTTCATCGATACTCTGCCAACTCCACCTACGTACTGTTATTATAACATGTCGAATGCTAAAAGTAGAATCACTCAATCAACACATCGATCAATCAACTCAAACCGTCTCACATGCTGTGCTAGCTAGCTAGGCAGAAGGCACGCAGACATTCCTTGCTGTGGGTTGGTAGTCCATTACGTCCACGATGACGGATCCACCACCCAACAGGTTTTTGTTCCAGCCGAAAAATCAAGCAAGGGATCCATCCACCTTACCGCACCAGTACTAAGAGCGATAGGATACCAGATTTGATCCATTCAGCCGCCCGTTGCCATATGAAGATGGATTGTGCATCCAATATGCCTGAACAACGTCGAGCATCACTTTTTTATGCCACTTGGCTTCGCCGCCTGCCAGCCAACGTAGCCTTTGGGCGCCCACTACTTGGTTGTCTGCCTGCCTGCTTGCCTGCTCATGCTATGCTTCATTTTTATTTATTTATCGATATTGTTTCCAACTCTCATTTGCTTGGTTAGTCCCAAAGTGACACATACCTATGTAGATACATGGGCGCTAATTCGTACCTACGCGCTCTAGGAGCAAGGCAAACGTCGACCATGGTTACTCCTGTCAATGTTGGCCTCGATGCGCTGCACCTGGATGAAGACGTGGCGGCACCTCGAAACGGGACATGGACGATTGCATTCTAGTTGTCCTGGAGCGAAAACGCCCTGCAGCAGGCCAAGTACATATTCTTCGGGGGGGTAGATATCGTATGTTTTCGAGGGCCGCGAATCACAAGGGAGTGCAAGCACACTATCTTGGTTGAATGCGGCCTCGATCTCCATGATGAATCAGATGTCCCGCCGTGGCCCCGAGAACCCCGCCTGGGATTCACAGCACCAAACGTTGTCAATCCATTGCTCCCGAGGCTTTGCGCGATATTCGATCCAAAGAGCCGTTGCTAGCTCTGTCCGTGGCTATGAGCAACGGTGGTGGTGGTAGCAAAGGCTAAGGTAATTTCACCGACGACCAAGGCCGAGTCGATGCTTAGTCCAGGTGGGGTTGTCCAATCAACCACGGATCGATCCCTCAGCATAATCGTACATGATAGTTACTCCATGTATGTACGCGTGCATCCCGGGCTCCATGGCAACGGCCCATCATCAACAGCCGTCTTACCTTCGCAGCCTAGATTTCAGATTCCTTCGGCTCTGTCGCTTTGCCTGAATCCAGAGTTCAACGTTCCTGTCACGGAGTTTGCCGTTGCTCATCCCGTCACTAGCCTCCTCACATTGGCTAGATTCGACACACCGATGTGTTGCTGCCTGGCTTCCTATATACCATACTATCCATCATGACACCATGACCGCAAACCATCTCGTAGCGCAAGCAGCAATCCGTCCTTGTCCTGCTCGGTTCACTCGGTTGCCTGGGCGTACATGGTGGGGGTGGTGATACCGCCAGTGTGCTTACTTACTACAAGTAGGCATTCAGGGCCTGGCGGATTCGCATTTGCACAAAGTCAGACTAAGCATCGTAAGCGTATCATCCTTGGATATACCACGCGCTCCGCTCTTACTTTACTGTTTATCCTTTCCACCGCGGCCAGATCGAGGGACAATCAAGAAAGAACTAGGCAATGTCTCATATTCCGCCTTCCCGTAAAAAGCAAACCGTCGTCAGGGCTGCCGTAAGGCTGAGGCCATGTACTGAGTCTGAGTCGACTTCGCTCTTTTCCCTCCGAACATCCTGCAAGGCAAACGATACCAAGCACGAGCTCATTGACCCCTCAATACCTCGTCTCATCCTTCCGGAATTGTGATTCGAGGCAATCAATCCGATCATCCGGGGATTGCAAGGACACAAAGCTAATTCTGCGCGTCCGCAAACCCCGCTTTTGACTTGAACGCACTTTGGTGTAGCCGTCATACCTTAAACATAGAACCTACACCGAAATGAAACATGGTCCCCCGTTGATGCGTTGCGCTCTTTAGCTTATCGCAACACGTGCGAATTAGGCCTACACCATACATACACATGTAATCTTAAAGTGCACGCGGTGCTAGTCTTTCATCCCTATTCGGCGCGCGAGAAACAGCATAACCTCCGATGCCTGCCTTCACAGCTGACAGCTAACAATATTTCATATTGTACATAGGAATATCCAAATCGTACATGTACACAGTCTCTCGAGAAATAGAGAAAACGACGCTTACTAGCAGGCTAGTTGAGGAGCAGAAGGACTGAAGTCACCGGAGCAACGCCCATGCGCAAGCAACCTCTTTAGGCAACACGAGAGCCTCCCCAAAAGTCCTCCACCAAGTCTGCTCCTCCTTCGTCCTCGATTTGTATCGGTCTGGTGCGACAAACAGGCTGGATTTGACCGCCCACTCGTTCAACCATACCATCCACCCATATCCACTGCATGTGCCTACTTCACTTGCAGCACCTGCTGCGCTCACGTTCGACTACCAAACACCCTGTTGGTCGGGAACTTCTTGCCCTGGGTAAACTCACCTCGCAGCAACCCCATGGCTTCCTTCTCCATCCCCTGCACAGACGCACACAGGTCCATAAACGTTATCATGCCCCTCTCCCATTCAATCCAACCTTTTCCAATATTCAATTACTGACGGCCCGCAGCCATCCGTATGGTGGTGGCTCATTCTAATCCCATTCCAAACCTCTGGATCTGCAATACCCTAATTTACCATTGTCATAGGGCACACCTGCCGCGAGAACCGTTCCACATGATTCACATTAAATGGAACTGTGTCATTCGCATAATATCAACAGCTACTCAACACGCAAGAGACATATCAACGGGGTTACAAATATATCAAAACACCTCAACTCAAGCTATCCTTCCCCGTCCTTAGCAGACTTGAGCATAAAAACACACTTTCACAAACCCAGTAATAAACAGAAGAAATTCAAATTCGTCAAATAGAAAGCAGGGAGAGAAATACTGCTGCCTAACTACCCACCCATCCCGCAAGCGAACTTGAACACAGGACAGATGGATGGATGCGTTCAAGGGGCCTGGCTAAGTTACCCCAACTGCTATACCCTACCCCTTTGCATTTTGGGGGCCAAAAATGCGGGACGAACCCCTCTCCTCTCCCCCTTCTCTTACATACATCCCTAGCAAATTACTCTACAAACGTGGAATTTCTTCTCTCCACACCCCCCTCCGCCCTCCGCCCTACCGTTGATTCCCAGCATCGCGTTGAAACCACTATCGGTTCGGATATTGCCCACACTTCATAGCATACAGATGGTTGCATGCGGTGGGTATTCATGCATCATGCAACATGCAACAAGTATATATATGTGGGTTCTGCATAGCCTTGTCTGGCCTGGGTAGAATGGATGGACGGATGGATGGCTGGCTGGACTGCTGTTACGGGTTGCGCTAGGCTAGGCTGCACCCTTTCGCATATGGAGACATCTCATTCATACATGACAGTGACACACCATCTCGTTTAACTCGAAGAGGGTGGGGGATGTGAGTGAGGGGATCCGCTCCATGTGCTGTGGTGATGCATGTGGGTATGGGCGATGATTCATTAATTTCATCAGAAAGAAAGTTAATGGCTCTTCTGTAGGTTGCGATCATCACCTGAAGTGAAGGTGGGAATACATAGTGTTCGCAAGTATTGAGATTTAGCAAAAGTATACAAAGGCTAGGCTTGTGCAGAGAAGTCTCGATGTCTTGGTGGATTACATAAACCATAATACCCTTGTTGTCAAGTCTCAACATAAAAAGTCGATAGTCAGTGACAGTTCAATAGAGGCCTTGCATGTGTTCGAGAACTTCGTTCTTAGAATAACTAAAAAGTAACTTCTGGGTTGGGCTCTTGTTTCTCCCTTCCCCTTTATTCGACAAGATGCTGGCTCGTGGTATTAGATTGATCCCAAATCTTCGGTTTCTCTCGTCTTATGCTATTCTTTAATTTGGAAAGTTTCATTTCGTGTCGGGCAGCGGACGCGCTTAGGAGTTGGCTCAAGGGCGAGTATGATGATATTGACGATATAAAAATAACACACCTTCCCCCCTCGCCTCCAACACCCTCGATGCGTTGTCAAATTTGATTGCTGGACGCCTTTTGTCCAAGTTCATGTATGCATGCCTTAGGACTGTCTTCCTCTCGTATATGTGATTGGCAATGGAGTTTTGTTACTGAGATATGTTGGGTTGATGGATAAGCTTTCAACCGCTCACTCCGAGTCCGCGGAAATAATAACGAGGCATGTCTCAAAGGTAGGCAGATGAAAAGCAAGGGGTTGGACAGAAGAAGGCGCTGTTTGCAATCAACTTGGAAAGTCACTAAATCCCATAGCCACCCTTATCTGAAACCACCCTTTGTTATACAGCTTTTTTTTAATTCATCCAGTCTAGGCAACAGCATCAGTTGCTCTGCAATTGCAACAGTCATCCGAGAAAAAGGCAATTGCGTGCTCTGTTGGGTTTTACCTATCAACAAACGCCCGTACCAAACTTCCCCAAAATCCTCAGCCTGGCGTTCCTCCACCAACTTCTTGCGCAAGCCACAAAAAGATATGTCACAAAGCTTGGAGCAAGGCAGCAATGTAAATCATCCCCCACAACTCGTATCGCTGCTCTCTTGTCATTCCCCAAAACGCACAGTTTTTCTGCACGTTTACGCGCTTGTTCGTTTGCCTTGTGTTTGCCTTGTTCGTATTCTATCCCCTTTGTGCCGCCCTCGCTTCCCGTCCATTACATTTTGTTTTGCCTTCTTTTTTCTGTTTCGGCCAGGCTCGAACGTCGAGCTTTTGACATAAGACATGGCGTTTAAGGTAGGTGAGATCGGTGTGATGGGAAAATCCCCCTTGGTCCCTTCGAAAATTACCGCATTTGGAGAGAGGGGAACTATGACGCCAGGAACAATCAGATGCTGGGGTTTGATTTATTCGGGTTGTTTGTTTCGAATGGCAAGGATCGACAATCTATCTAAACGCAGGGGCGTAATTCGAATTCGAAATTAACTGCAGCGGGCGAGACACACATCAACACGTGAAAGTTCCTTGTTCCACGTTTCGCCCTTCTTGAAATGCCGGATTCTTGTCAATTGACAGGTACATGGTTGTAAGATGAGTACGAACGAGTGCGACTTCGGTCAAGCACGGCGTACTGCATACCCTTTCGAGGAGGGTTCGTGGTTGCACGTGGTAGTGGCAATACGAGGACGTAAATCGATGCAGTTCACCAAGAAACTCGGGCTCTAGATGCTTGCGGTTAGATACGGGGCTACACACTACTCATTCTCGTATACCAAATATCTGCCTTTTGATTCCATCGATCGTTCGGCGCCCAAAACAGCTTCGGGGAAGTTTTGGTATGTGGGAACTTCCGGAATCGAATCTTCGTTGTCGTCCGAGATGGCGTTATCTAGGTAGTGTAACGATAATCCACATCCCGAACGACTTTGGGTTTTATGCAATGCAGACAGACGTATGCTTTCAGACTCCGAAGTTCGGACTGCTCAAAACAGGAGGAGGCGTAGGACAGACGACGCAAAGCCGTGCAACACAAGATACAAGTCTGCTCTCAGCAGCCTGGTTGGGCTCCCATACCGCCGCGGCTCAGGCGGGCTCCTCGAATATCCGGACGAGAAGCAATATCACGAAAGGCGACTGCTCAATGGCTAAAAACCACCAGAGAAGAAAAAGAAGGCTACGAGCCCAGGATATTGAGTAAGCAACTGCTTGTGCAGACCCACGCGACCTTGATTTCGGCGAACGGTGAAGAAATCGAAAAGAATGGTGTGCAGACATCGATCAACTCCTTCCCGTGCCGTGTGGGTCTGCTGTCTTTCTCCTCAGCCCTGTCGCCTGGTGCCAGCCCGCGCCCAGCGCAGCCCAGACACTTCAAGAAGCAATAACCGGCGTGAGTGTGGGGAGAGATGCAACGCGACAGGTCGATCGCGAGCGTGAGAACAAAGTTCAAACTGTCAAAGCTGCATTGATCGGCGAAGTTTACCTGACTAACCGACATGATCGACGAGCTGCTGGTCCCGTTGAATGGCAGGCGAACCATCACTCCGCTACCTTGTACGATATTCTTGATATTTACTTTTTATGTTGACGAGGCAAACGCGCGAATAATGGCCCTGGCGTATCAATATCTCGTGTGTTGATATGATCAGGCAGCTGATCTAGTCACTGAGTGGATTCGATGACGGCTCGACTTGTGCAATAGCAATCACATATTTACTCATGTCATCAAGACATATTGAAATGGCTTATTGGGCTGATGAATGGGTCAAGGCCTTTTTGAGGCTGAGAAGCTCAGTAGAGGAGGCTGGAACAAAGCATACGGGCAAAGCCACCATCTCCTACACATGTGTGTTTCTGACATGCACGAGAATCCCGACACGTACACGCCTGCGTTCGGGCGTAATGTCCATGTAAGCATCCAGTGCAAAGCGCAAAGTGCACAGTGCAGATAATTCCGCAAAACAATGATGATGATGAATCAAGTTCGGCATCCGGAACTGTAGTGTCCGCTCAATACGACCACGTTATGCCCAGTATTCTCCTCCATGCAAGTCGACCACGGCGATCGGTTCCAGCATCGTTAAAATCAATCGGCAAAAGAGACACCTCCGTAGTATTCGACCACGCCTAAATTAATTGAATGCAATAATTCAACGCAAACGAAGATCGTATAGACACGGTCATATGCATTACGCGAGCTGAAATCTGTGGCAATTAAGAGTATCAAATGGAAAAAGCAAAGAACAAAGAAGGCAATTGAATTGAACTTGGAGGTTCGCTCAGACTAGGCCTCCCGTCTCTCAGCCGCCAGTAACATGAACATGCATCTTTCTTTGAAAAAAGAAAAGCGAAGAAAAAAAAATAGGGAAATCATTCCCAGATGATGAGCGCGGTGACGCGATTGGCGACAAACAGCAAATTGCCTGCAACTGAACATGCCAATGTCCAAGCCTCGTATGACCGTCACTCTACAATTTGCGCCACGATCACAACACGCGTCGACGGCTACCGATGTAAGCAACACTATAGCCAGCCATCAGCATTATCATCAGCCAGTATTATCATCATCAGCATCATCGTCATCTATCATCAGCAATCATCATCATCATCATCATCCACTAATAAAAAAAACCCCCAGGCTAAACATGAAAACGAGCAAGCAAGCGCACAAGGCAAACCCTTATTCATTCATTCCGCACCTCGACGGACAAACAGATCCACAGCATGCATATTCGGAACGACCCCAACCTTCCTATCCGGGCTCGCAATGGGTGACTGAACGAACAGATGCGGCCGACCACACCGCCAGATCGCATCACCACCTCTCACGCATGATACATTGCATGTGCGTGCGTGCATTGTCATCAGCCGTGTCAGGCAAGCAAGACATACATATTCCTTATATTGTCGACTTGCACGGCCCGGCCGAGTAATGTCGGTGAGAAGAAAGTTGAGGAAGAGGGTGTTTTGACATGTCAGCTTGCTTGGGAGCAGAGAGATGCGAGAGGCCTTCACTCACTCTCTCTTTCTCTTCCACGCACACGCTTTCTCTTTTTGGATTTCATGCCTTGATACTAAGGCATCGAGAGATTATTCTGTCTCGCTTCTCGTAGGTAGGTGTTACTGCCTGTTACAATCTCCCACAAGCTTCCTATCGTTCTGCAACGACGACTCCAGACACTTGGAATCTCGAACGCGAAAGAAAGAAAAAATTACAAGTCAAGAGAATCATCGTTTCTACAGGCTTGAAAGTATGCGGCAGATATATGCCGGTACCTTAACAAGAGTTCCCTGCGCCATAGAAAGAGATTGAAAAAGAAAAGGAAAGATCAGAGACGTTACAAAACACCAGATCTGCTACCATCAACGCCCTGAGAAATTTGAACGACAACATGTTCCGCGATATTCATCCAGGCTTTGTCAAAACCGCGATAAAATTTACATATCAGCCCAAACACCAGCATCTCTCGTTTCCCCTTCCTACACACGTGATACCCTTATACTACCTACGTATGTACCCAGGTAGGTAGAGTAACTTCTCACTCACTTATCCCTCTCCGTCGTGATAAAACAATATCTTCAAATCCCAAAATCTCAAAATTATGTTCTTCTAGTGTGCTATAATCCCCTGCATTCCCAATCCCAAAAACAGTAACAATCCGTGATAGCATGAAGGGCGCACCTCAATCGTGACCAGTAAATCATTTCGTAATTTCCAACAAGCAAGTATTAGATCATTGGATGGCCGTGAATATTCGAATCCTGGATCGATCAAGCCGAGGTACAAAGAATTGTATTTTCATAGTCTATCATTTTCGTGTTATGAAAGGGGGTGAGCAATAAAACTTCAGATTAGTTAGAATGTTTAATTTGGGGAAAAAAAAAGTGTGGTTGATTCTGCAGAGGAAGATAACTAGCTAGTATGCTTATGGGAAACTTCAAGAAAGCGCTTACAGAAATGTCACGTTACTCTTGGACTTCGTGGATACATGTGCAAGCTCAAATGAGCCCGCTAGTGGGACGATAGCTCTGTCCAGGAAGAGATATGCGTCTCTTCTTTTTTTTCACATAGAAACAGTGGTTTCAAATAACCAACAACGAGTTGATGGAACCTTTGGAGGTGTTCCAAACACTGCGCGAATTTAGTGGGAGAACGAAAAGTGCCCGCACGAACACGCGATGATTAAAACAGATGCTGAGAGACTTGATAGATAATCAGAATAAGCCCCTTGGGACAATATGGATATACCACAGTACTCTAGGATGATATGATTAAGTGGGGAAAAAAAAGGGACATCACATTGCAAACGTCTCCATCACCAAGATACTTTATCGCATTGAACTAATACGCGATGGGGTACTACCCAGTAAGATAGAATGGGAAAACAATTAATTCAAAACTACGAGAGCCGACAACTTAGCAAACAGAATGAAAATAATAATGAAAAAAATACTTCCCCGAGACTATAATAGAGAAAGCGATATCGTAGCAAAGAAAAGATGGGCCCACCCCCCTTATTCATTTCCATCATCATCATCATCATCATCCTCCTCCTCCTCCTCCTCTCGCGTATCTTCAACATAACCATCGCCGGCATTCTTCTTTCTACGCTTCTGTGCACCTTTCTTCCCACGTTTCGCTCCACGTTTCCTACTAGTCCCACCCTCACTTCCACTTCCGCTTGCGGTTCCATTCCCACCACCCTGGTGAGCCTTATCATCCTCAATTAACGCTTTGATAAGATCCGGCTTGTTCCCCTTCGCCGTAAGACTTCTGCTGGCTAACCTCTGCTTCAATACCGCCACCGTTTCCGTTGCATACTGACTATTATCAATCTCCGGATCACCAGAGTTAACGGGCCGTCCAGCACCCCTTCGCGTTGGCGCTTTTGCACTAGTTGACCGCGCGGGCGGTGGTGGGTCATTGGATCCACTGTCTGTAGCTTCTCTGCCTCGAGTAACTGTAGTTTTGGGTTTTTTCTTCCCACTCTCGTCTGCGTCTGCCGTGGTTGTCAAACGTGCATCGGTTCCTCCACTTGCCACTGTGCCTTTCGCTGCTTTTCCCGGCTTCTTTCGCGGGGAGCGCAACGATGCGGCAGTTCTAATGATAGCAGCTGTGGTAGCAGTTCGTTGAGAAGCATGGACAGTTGTTTGAGTGACAGCGATAGCGGCCGTGCCAGGGTCAAATGCCTCGGGATTTTCAAGTTGGGAGGCAGCCTGGGTAATACTCACACTCTCGACCGTAGAAGTCTTCATATTTATAGCATCATCACCCTCGTTGTCGGGTATGCGCTTACGTGGGCTTTTTGGGTTCTCTGGCGGCTCTAGCTCGTCCTCTGTTGGTTCTGCAGACTGGTTTTGACTATCTGGGATTTCCGCCGACGTAGACTGAACCGAACCGTTCGTGTTTTCTTCCGAAGTTGGTGGTGCGTTTGGAGCAGTTGACGTTTGTGTAGGCGCATTTCCTCCTGGAGGTGGCCCGGTTGGGACTGTTGGTCCTTGCGCAGACGCGGTGGCCGTTGAAGCTGTATCATTCTGTCCTGGCGGAGAGTCGGAAGTGCTTTCATTGTCAGACACTTGGTCTGGTACCAGCCCAATATCTTCCACATAGAGATTGTCTGGTCGTCGGAAAATTGTATGATAAGGAGGGGGCCGAGACGCATACCTGCGCAGCATAAGAGAGAGATGTGATGCATGATGGGGAGACTCTTCGACAATCGTAGCATACTGTTGGAGTATGGCACGATATTGATCTCCCGCAATGTTACGGAGATGCTGAACATATACGCTAGAGATTGGCGGGAAAGTGAAGGAAGGTTGGGTGACTCCTGCTTGCTGGGCTTGACGAGTGGACCCAGGCCCTTGGCTGGGGTCAATAAAAAGTTCATCAAGCCTCCCACCTTCGATATTCGCACATCTCTGAGCGAGTTTTTTAGCTTTATCAGCCTGCGCCTTCTCAAGAGAATCTATGTCCGTCTTAAAGTAGGCTCCGACCCGATACCCCCAATTTTGACGCTTCCGCGGAGCGGGATCGAAATCGGTTCCTTTTTCTCCTGGGCTGTATTCTCGCCATACCCACGTCCTTCGGACAAACGGTCCAGCGGACCATTTCTGCATCAGCTTCTCATGCCTAAACTTTTCTGGTCTTAAGCTATCCCCCCCCGCTTTTTCGATCAAATCCAGTTCGGTTTGTGCGTGCTCCACCTCATTCGTATACAATATAGCTTCCCACCCAATCTCCGGCTTGAGTAATCTCGCGAGTCGATAAGACCAGATTCTGTCAAAGTATTGTGGCATGCGCACACGCAACATTGTTAACCCGGTGAATTGTGAGGCCATCGTGTTCCAGAAACGGTGCCAGCCATACATTTCGCGAGCAAAGACTGCATTACGAGCCACACCATGCATTGATCGCCCGTGATGATCTGGGTCTTGGTCCCCATGAGAATGCAGGTCTGGAATCTTACCGGGTGGTGGGTCTCCTTCGAACATCGGAGCAAGCTTTACCTCCGGTGCAATTGCACTCTTGCTTGCCCTCGTCTGCGTGCTTGGGCCTAGGGAATGCAATCGGCCGAATGGACAAGGCCGATCGTCATCCCACGGGCACTTGCGTTTGGGACAGTTTCCAGGTAGCTTCTCTTCTGATTCTATTCCCTCTAGCTCTGCCAGACGGTCCCGATCCAGTGGGTTCCTGATATCGTAGAAAACGCTCAGGGTATTCACGTACGGCGCAGCAAGATGCAGATTACCTGTGAAGATGCTGTTGCCTTCGTCCTCTTCAAGCTTGGCTCTCCAGTCTTGCTCTGTGTATGGCCACCCCCAGTAACAGCTGGACCTCCGAGGATCACGCCGACCGATAAGGATATGGACTGGAATCTTCGCCTTGTTCATTATCTGGAAGCAAAATCTGTTGCTCATCAGTATTTATTCGCACATGAAATTGGCCTTCCTTACGTTACACGCTCTAATTGCTCTGGAACGGGTGAATCCCTAGCGTCAACATCTTCATATTCTTCGACTCTGTGCACATTAAACAGCCTGAAAGGATTCTTTTCTTAGCATTTCGATGTCGTTGAGTGGAACATACCGAATCAAGTATCCATGGAAAATAACTTACCGGTCCCAGTCAAAGACTGGCTGCCACTTCAGATATGCACCTAGCCACCGATAAATCTCTTCTGTGAGTTGACCGTCAAAATTGCTACCATGATCCTCATGCGTGTAAGTTCGCTCTTGAACGAGCGTGAACGGATTCAAAGGGTCAGTACTTCGGGCCTTTGCCTCTGGTTGAAGCGCATAGGGCTCAATATGTTCCACTGACGTAAACGCATGATGAAGTTTCCTGAGCATCCTCGACAGCGTTGTAGCTCTATTTCTTCCATCCAACTCTTCATGAATGCCATCAATGTTACATTTGCCATCACATTCCGAAGTATTGGCGACGCGGGGATCAAACGGCGTGCCACTTTTGTCGCAGAAGAAACTACTGTTGTCGTCTCGACTGACTTGTGATATTGCGTCAATAGTTCTCCGATGAGCTGCGATAACATCTCCATTTGATGAATGGATTATCTCTCGCACTGAGGGTATATTCACGTTTTCGACATAGGGAAACGTCGCAACAGCGTCGACAGCGGTTTGTGCCGCATCCTGAGCCTTTTCACCTATTTGGAGATCTTTCAAAGGTTTCCTCGACTGAAACCGGAAGGGATACATTTGCACCCACGCTCCTAAGTCTATACCGACGCGCTTTACGTGCGGTTTTGATTTGCGTATGTATTTCAAGAGAAGAGGCATGAACCCGATGGCTACACGCAGCTCGAGGTTCAGCACTGAGTCAGGTATGATATCGACTACCCATTGGGTGAAGAAGTATACGTTTTCATGATGGTAATTGAGTCGAGAATCGAAGTCTCCGTCGTATAATCCTCTCACAGATAGTGTCTGGAGATTGGTGCATTCTTTGAGTATATTGCGAAATTCGGCGTCAATGCAACGAGAGTCAGGAATACCGAGCCAGTCCAGCTGCCGTAACAATTGCGCGAGCGTACGGACGCGGTTGTCGCTACTGGGAAAAAGTTTCATTTGAGAGTCAAGTGGGCTTTCGTCCTCCAGCCTGTTTAATAAAAATTCGCTGTTAATGAGACTCAGATCGAGGAATCGCAAATTGTGAAGATTTTTGACCACCCTATAAATTACATGTTAGCTCATTCACGGTGAAGCTTAAAAGTCGAATGTTTATAATACCAATCAAGATCACCTCCATCCATCCACCCTGCGAGCGCAAGCCTTGTTACTGCACTCCTCTTGTTTTCGTGTCGTTCCACTTGGCTTTTGAACGAGTCCCACTGTTGTGGTGGCGTAGGGTGGTAATGTCTGATATGTCTCCACTTTTGGCGTTCTGTTCCAGGGTAATTGTCGTCCTTTTTAAAAAAAGTTCGCTCTCTTTCCCAAAGCAATCTCCTTTTTCGGCTACTTGTCAATCCTGAGTGGTCCCGGGGGGCTTCGCGGCTCGCAAAGTGGTAATAGTGGCCAACCCAATCCCAGTAGTTGAACGGCTCATAGAAAACAGCTGAATCAGCTATCTCCTGTACTTCGGTTTCATTCTTGGGGATGGCAATTCGGAACGAGGCGGCAGCCTGCCGCCCAGCGTAGAGCAGAATTCGCCGACGTATGTCGTAATTTCTGGGGCGGTCAATTAATTCATTGATGTAGGTTTGATCAGGATGCCGGCCTTGAAGAAGCGTGCGGCGTGTTTGCGTTCTCAATTGATCCGGGTCATCTAGGCGTAGGAACCGGTCCCACAGGGTCCCCCCTTGAGGGATGTTGACTGGGGCCATATGGGAAGTGTTCAAATGTTTGGTGGGAACCTTTGGATCCTCGGATGTCAAGTATCAGGAACGCGAGACAGAAACCAGATTGTGTTGGCAAGAAGATTGTAGCCCACACATCTGCTTTTTCATGAGACAAGAACGATTTGAACAGGGACAAAGAAGCTGTGACTCGGCTCTCGTTTCCAGCCAGCATGGGTAGGTTTTTCTGGGCCATCGCTGTCTCCGTTCGCGTACACAAAGAATGTGGTGTCCGGATTGAGATTTTGCCTTCAGCAGGTGGTGATGCTTTTGGATGGGGAACAAAGAAAGCAACATTATCTGTGTCTATGTATCACCAATGATTCGGTGAGCGACTTGTATAATCGACACGCTCTATTTCTAGGGTCCAAGAGGGAAGGCGACAGACACACGGCGTCTGAGACCCAGGGAGATATCATTATCATTATTGTTTCGAACAGGGTGCGGTGCAGTACTGGATATCTAGAGTCGTGACAGGGAAATGCCAAGATTCGATTGTTATTGCGAGGAAGCACCGAAGAGAAAGTAACATTCCAGAGGTGGATCTTCCGCTGGCTAGTGTTGGCGAACGAGGCGAAAGACAATCATGGAGATGTCCAAAAGCGAGAGAGAGAGAGAGAGAGAGGAATAAAAAAGGGCAATTGAGAGGGGAAATAGATGATGCACACCAAGCAGGCACTCCCAGATGGTGGTGGTTATTATCATTAGTCATGCAGCCAGGAGAAACTGGGGGACAGGGCCCACTTTGGCGCCAGCCAAGATGGAGCTTGGCCACGTCTGCCACGGACCCTGCATTGCGCAAATCGCACCTAGCATAAAGTGTAATTCGGTAGAGACGAAATGTTACGTGTGATGGGCGGAACCGTGGTAGGGAGGCATAGAAGAATGTATTTGAGGATTTCGAGCTCGTCTCCCACATGGATCGAACCAGACAAGCTAAGCTGCAGAGGGAGCTGCAAGCAACCGTATCGTACCCCAACCACGAAGAGGAGACGGATTCGCTACCAATAACAAGAAGAGATCAGCCTGGCTACCATGCCAACTGCAAATTACACATCCAAAGCATTCAATCCATTGTCCCTTTACTTCTGCATCATGAGCTGGACGAACTCGTTGTCTGTGTTGACACAGGTTAGCCATCGAAACCGCGACGCGACATCATGTTCTACAGCTACTCACAGTCGATACGCCCGTCGCCATCTTGATCAGCTTCTCTGATCATCTCATCAACCTCGTCGTCGGTAAGCTTCTCGCCAATCGAGGTCATGACGTGGCGCAGCTCAGCAGCGGAGATGAAGCCGTTGTTGTCGCGGTCGAAGACCTTGAACGCTTCCCGGATCTCTTCCTCGGAGTCGGTGTCCTTCATCTTGCGGGCCATCATGGTGAGGAATTCTGAAGACAGTTTAGCTTCGGGCCGCTGCCAGGCCAAGGAGGCATGGGCGCCGTACCAGGGAAATCAATGGTTCCGTTGTTGTCGGCATCGACTTCGTTGATCATGTCTTGGAGCTCAGACTCGCTGGGGTTCTGGCCAAGAGAGCGCATGACGGTGCCCAACTCCTTGGTTGTGATTTGACCTGCGACAGTGTGGCATGGTCAGCCTCAGGGTTGTGGTGGCAGCAGGAATGAATTGGCCGCGGGTACCAAGGTGCACGTGTCGATGTTTCGGTCGCGAGTTGGTGAAGAGCGGAGAGGAGAGGGGCAGGGGGGAGAGGTTAATAGATAGGAAGTGTACTGACCATCGCCATCCTTATCCTGCAGCGGTTGGTGGCAGCTGTCAGCAAACAATCTGTGCGGCCCCCAAGAGCGAGGCTGGCTAGGCAGCACCGAACAGAGATGGGCGCGGGGAGAGGAACAGAATAACGTACGAAGAGGGAGAATGCCTCCTTGAACTCGGAGACTTGCTCCTCGGTGAGAGAGTCGGCCTGGACCACAATGTCAGTCAGTCAGTCAGTCAGTCAGTAGATATGCGGACAGGCATGTGAGGGGGGTGGCGCCAGACGAGGTGTTTGGCCAGGGCGGGGTATGCGAATGGACACGGCGGGGGAGGCAGAGGCAGATACGCACCATGGCTGCTTGGGAGTGGTGGTGTCGGTCTGGGGATGGTTGTGCGGGAGAATTCAAAGGCAATTCCTGGGGAGGAAAGGAGTGGTTTTGCAGGCGGGTGAGACTAGGGAGACAGGCGGTGGTGGTGGTGGTCGTAGGGTGTTGTTGCGGCTGGTTAGGTTAGTTTCGAAAGGAAATGTGATTGAGGGCTGAAAGCCACACCAAACTGTCTGCGGCCTAGCGCCAGCCCTCTTTTGCTCCTTCTCGCTGTCCCTGTACTCCAGCCACGACCCTTGCTCCTGCTGACATAAGTTCGTACTTACCTATGTACCAACTAAGTACTTACATACATACTTACATACGACCAGAATACACTCAGCCCGTCCCCGACAGCAACGACAGCATCCTCCCCAACACGAAGCAGTCATTCAATCAATTGCTCTCCGTGGAATCATGACATAGTGTCCTCCACATCTACCTGCCAACCATGTGGCGGGACCGAACCAACCTGTACGTCCAACTGCTGCTCTCCGTCTTTCTCTGCCCGCCCGTGCTTCTTGCGCTGACGTAGCCTCACTGCACAGCTTCATCTCCTACCGCCAGTCGTACTCGCACCACCCGGCCAGCAAGACACGCTATGGAGGCCCGCCGTCCAATGGCTTCGGCGATCCCCGCCGCATGTCCGACGAGCGCCTGGGCCTCATGGCCACGGGCGCCTACGAGGACGACGGCGATGCCGTGATTGAGATGGACCTCCTGCCTCCGCGCTGGCTCGACATCCAGGACGAAATCACCGAGACCCTCGCCGACATTGCAAAGCAGACGCGGAAGCTAGACCAGCTGCATCAGAAGCATGTGTTGCCCGGCTTCGACGATGAGGCTGTCAAGAAGCGCGAGGAGCACGAGATCGAAAACCTCACCCAGGACATCACGCGATCCTTCCAAAAGTGCCAGCAGGCAATCAAGCGCATCGAGCGCATGGTGCGAGAGTCCAAGCAGCAAGGCTCCATCAGTAGTGGCGAGGAGACAATGGCCAAAAATCTCAAGATCTCGCTGGCCACAAGGGTCGGCGAAGTCAGCACCATGTTCCGCAAGAAGCAGTCCGCCTACCTGAAAAGTGTGTACTCATTCGACGTCATCTGCTCTCGCTCCATATAATCCTAACATCTGTTGCGTCTAGAACTCCGCGACCTTGGCGGCTTCGACTCCCCTTTCCGCTCCAGCACCCCAACTCAAAACCCGTACAACGACCCTGCGCTTGCTGACTCGGAAACCGACCGCTCCTTCTCACAGTCCACACTGCAGCAAACAAAACAGCACCAACAACGCCTTGTCCACCACAACCCCAACGACGCCCTTATCGCGCAGCGCGAGCGCGAAATCGAAGACATCGCCCAGGGTATCATCGAGCTCGCAAACATCTTCCAGGAATTGCAGACCATGGTCATCGACCAGGGCAGCATGCTGGACCGCATCGACTACAATGTGGAGCGCATGGCCACGGACGTCAAGGAAGCAGATAAGGAACTCAAGGTCGCATCCGGATATCAACGACGCAGCGTTAAGCGCAAGGCTATGCTCCTTCTCGCTATCCTCATCGCTGGTGTCTTCATCTTGCTTTCTTTAAAACTCGGTAGAAAGAGTAGTAGTACTCCCGCGCCTGCTTCTCCTCTCCCGCCACCTCAGAGTAATACCGATCAATCTCCGGATTCTGCGGCGTTTTCGGTGCGAGAACGGCGTTGGTCCTCTAGTAGCAGGAATGAGGGTGGGCAGGCTGTAGCAGTCGCCCGATGGAACCGCGATTGGCATCGTCGGAAGAGACGGATATGGAGGTTGCAGAACGTTGATTCCCTTCCTACAAGTACCACTCTCCCTTCCTCTTCTGAGACTATAATGTCGTCGTCACTTTCTATAGATTAGATTCCAGCCATTCTTGAGCTCTTTTTTCTTTTTGTTCGTAGCAATCCCATTTAGTAGTTGGTGCCTAGGTGTGGAGATGTATATCTATGCATGATCCAAACAAAAAATTCTCACCGAGTTGGGAATGAAAGAACGAGGAACCTTTCTCTGCTGAGGTACTAGTGCTTATTCAAAAGATATAGCTCCGTGATGCTGTCGACACTACATACCCAATCGTGGACTCATCACATTAGAACGCACATGCTATGATTCAAAGGTGGTTCATTCATGTGCACAGATAGTCATACCTGTAATCCAGCTGAAGCGAAAGCAAAGCCTAATTCAAAAGACAGGCAAAGTCTCCACATGAATTGATATGCATCGTACCATATCTCATCTCACACCCTTGACCGCTCCCTATCCAATAACTCCCTCCATAGAACACCCGCCACCCAAAACACCAAAGGAATGGGGAAGAATGTTCCTTGCTCAATGAAGCTCATCCCGGCAGAAACGCAACCGACTCCTTTTGCTTTTTCTTACTCACGATGTCCACCGTCTGTGAACAGGAAGAAGATGGTGGAAAGAGGGGGTAATTTGCATTTTTGGAACCAAATTCCCAAATACACGTACAAACCACAGGAAAAAAGCGAGGAATAGTCACAATGAAGGGGCAAGGGGAAATGAGGGGGCAGGTAATCCAGAATCCAGATTTCCGAAACAAGGAAATAGGTCAGAATTTCTCTTCCTTTCTTGAGTTAAGCCCCGCAGAAGTGTGTAGCAGAAAGGAATAATCAACAAAAGTACAAATTTTCATCGTGGTACAGTGGGCAGCATTGTACACAGCAGTCGTACCCTTGATCAAGCTGTCTGTGGTTAAAGTTATACCAATCGACATGAACGCGCCTGCTTCTGCCCACGGTGGTATCTCTATAACTGTAGAGTCTGGCGGTATATAGAACCTTTCCGCCGGGTGAAACGCGCAAAACGCTCTTTTGGGTAGAGACGCTTACATCCTGGAGATACGGTCAATAAATTGCAGCCAGACGGAGTGCAGCATATCGTCGGAATTGCCAAATGCCACTGCATGATCCCACAATATTGAGCGACTATGTGTCTAGGACATACGTACATGCTGCTTGAGTATGCTCTACGCATTATTTACCGCTGTGAACCCGCCAGCCCCAGATGCGGCATCAGTCATCTCCGTGTCTCCATTCTCAACGTTCTGTGACGATGGCCGAGCGGCACCGGAGAGGGCTCGAGCTCGCGAAGAAGGTTCTGCTTCGTTGTCACCTGTCGTCGGTCGCTGCTCGTCTGCCACGGGGTCGAAAAATGAAGATCGTGTTGCGGATTCGGGTTGCCGTTGGGGTTGTAGAGGAGGCACCGATAGGCTGGTCGATGTGCCGTTGACTGGGGGCGGCGATGTGGCAGTGGCCCCGATTGTGCTGAAGAAAGGAGCTGTACGACTAGGATCCGGCGTGCTTTGCGCCGATGACATTGGGTTTGCGTGCGCGAGGGTTTGTTGTTGATGCGTGCTTCCCGGGCTCGCATGCTGCACTCCGGAGGCGCCACTACCTGCCGGAAGACCGCTGGTGGGTGAGCCCTTTCGATGGCTTCGTTTGCTTCGGAGGGGTTTATCTGTGGGTGTGGGGGGTGTGCTGCTGCTTTGGTCCGAATCGTCCACGTTGTACTCCATCAGCTTGTTCAATGCGTCTAGGAGGAATGCGCGCTCTAGGCGCATCTTCTGGACTCCGCGGTTGAGTCGCCGGATTCGCAGTTTCGTGGCGTCGTTGTTTTCTTCAATGTCATTGATGCGACGGCGTAGATCGATGCACTTCCGGTAGTATGCTGTTTCGACAGATGGGGGGAGGTCTTTTTGGGAGATAGCTCGCGCAGTCGGAACTGGCGCTGGCACTATGGAATTGTCAGTCCTTCGTTCAATGATAATCTGTCTTGCGCAGATTGTATTGAAAACAAAGCCGAAATATTTGCAAATATGCGAATGCTGCGACGATAGTCACACGCTCCGAAGCCAAACTACTCCGACGCGCAACCTCCGCTCTTTGAACTAAATCAGTCACATACCAGGTTGAGGCATATTGGATCTCGAAAGGGCAGCTTCAATGAAAAATGACAGCTATGTGTTTTCGGGGGTAAGCGTGTCTTTCGAAGAGTTGGGCTCGGGGAGTGTTGTTGAATGAAGTTGGAGTTGGAGATGAGGTTGAGGAGCTGAGGATCGCGACTTCCGGTATGATGGGTCGGCCGATGCGCTAAACTAAATTCGTCGTACAACTCTACATGCATGTTTAGACTCTGCAACTCAGGATTTCGAGATGGTATTTTCCTCTGCTGGTATTTGTGCAAATGTCTGGGCTTGGATTTCAATTTGACACCATGAAATACAATTCTGACTTGCATACCTGTAATTGCAATCCACATCAACTTCACTGAAGATTCGCAATTGTATTGATTAGAGGAGACGCTGTCGTAACATTCAACAACGTTTCAAGTTGTGTCTTATATAGTAAACATTGGCATAAACTTCCGTGAGCTTTTGAACGTGGGTATCATAATTCTTGAACTACCAGTCTGACTCCAGTCCTCCTCCAACGCACATATATATATCGATATGCCTCTTCCACATTGTTCCATCTATCTAAAAGACGTCGAGGGCTGCGCATTACTCCGTAGCTTGCCGAAACTTGGGGTCGTGGACGTAAATTCCAAATATCGGCCAGCGGTCATGGCACGCATTCCAGGCGTCTCAAATGCGATATCTTCGTTCCCAGAGGCTTCTTCATGTGGTGAACAACGTGTCTTCCTCTCGTAAGTATTCTCCAATATCCGCCTGTCTAAATGCGACGACTCCTGTGGGATCCAACTTCCGCGCCTCGGCCGTGGAACGTGCTGAGACTCCGAATCCCTATAAACGTGGATTAGTCTGGCGCCTTGCAATTCATACCATAATTTCCACTTACCAGATATGTGTCGTTCATACTTAGTACTATGACACCCTGATGCTCGGGACAATCCTCACTCCACCTGCCCACATGTGCCTTCAAGACATTTCCACCATACAAAAACGGCATTTCTCCATTGGCTTTGACCCAGATCTTATAGCGTGCGTGGGGTGCGATTATCGACAGCGCGGTGATGTGCAGCCTGAATTTTCCGGTCTTGGTGAATTTTCCAAGGCAGGTACCGAGGGAGAGAAGATTATCGCGCTTTACAGATGTGGCCAGGTTGGCAAGCGACTCGCGAACATAATATACTCTAGAGCCCTAATAAAGCGGTTAGGATCTTGGGCGCAAGCTGCCAGTGGAGATTTGCTTTACCTGCACGCGGAAGACATGGCGATCATCTGTGCCACCAGCCGTAATCAGATCTTGAATACCTTTGCCGCAGTAAGCAGCAAGCTTTTCAAATAGCGTCTTGGTCTCGGGTTCTGTGAGAGGTCTCATTGTGGAAGATTTGCTGGTGGAACGGTTTCGGCAGTGAAATCTGGAGTAGCGCGATAGAAATATCTCAGAAAATGCGAAGGGTCGTCGGCGCTCTGACTTGCCGACATTTCGCCAAGACACCTCTTAAAATTATTTTCGGTGCGGATTGCGAACTCCTCGACGCGAACATCGCGTTTTTACGATACGCCCGTTTTCATGCTCCCAATGTCTCGTGTACCAGCTGCAAAGAGACGGAGACTGTCGCCTCCCGAGGCCGATGGTGCTGCTTCCCCGCCATCCAAGGATTCAAGTTCGAATATCGTCGCCAATGCTTCCAAATGGAATCTCGAACAGGATTACGAACAGCGTCCGCGCAAAGTCAAGAAACAAAAGGAAAACGGGAAATTGCCTGTGCGGACTGCAGATGGATGGGAAGCACCAGCCATGGCGCCTGAGCAAGAGAAGCGGGAGGATGACTCGGACAGTTTTCTGGGATCCGGTGAAGATGAGAGTGCCGAACAAGAAGCCCAACTCGAGAATGAGGCGGTAGAAGAGCCCAAAATACCGCCGCGGCAACAGATTCTCGAGGCCAAGGAGGAGCTTGCGCGAATCGCAGGCCTGGTCAACGAAGACCCTGAGGAGCATATTGGGGCTCTGAAGACATTGGCAGCCATCGCCGCATCCCCGAACGTGACCGTCCGGAAGCTTGCACTCATGACACAGTCCGCGATCTACAAAGATCTTATCCCCGGCTACCGTATACGACCGTTATCCGAAGAGAACATGACCGAGAAGGTTTCCAAGGAAGTGCGCAAACTCAGGAATTTCGAGCAGAAACTTGTCTCGGGTTATCAAGCCTACATTGACAACCTAGCCAAGCTCGCGAAACCGAATGGTCCGGGCAAGCGCGCATCAGAGCAATCGTCGGGACTCGCCTCGGTGGCCATTACCTGCGCATGCAGCATGCTGCTCGCTGTACCGCACTTCAACTTCCGTGGAGATCTTTTGCAAATCTTAGTGGGCAAGCTTAGTACGAGACACGTTGACAAAGATTTTGTGGCGTGCAGGAAAACCTTGGAACAGCTTTTCAGAGAAGATGAAGACGGCACTGCGTCGCTGGAAGCAGTCACAATGCTCACCAAGATGATGAAGGCGAAAAATTACCATTTTGACGAGAGTGTTCTCAATACATTTCTCCACCTTCGACTACTTTCGGAGCTTTCTGTGAAAGCTTCCTACGATTCGGTTGATAAACCTGAGGAGCAAGACTATGCTGGAAAGAAAATCAAGCAACAGCGGGAATTCCGGACGAAGAAGCTGCGTAAACAAATGAAGGAGAATAAGAAAATCGCAAAGGAGATGGAGGAAGCGGACGCTGTTGTCAGCCACGAAGAACGCGATCGGATGCAATCGGAGACTTTGAAGATGGTGTTTGTTGCATATTTCCGGATTCTGAAAGCTCGCTCACAGAAGCTTATGGGCGCTGTGTTAGAAGGATTGGCAAAGTATGCGCATCTTATCAACCAACATTTCTTTGGCGACATATTGGAGGCATTGCGTGATATCATCAGTACCGCCGAGCTCTGGGCGGCGGCGGCGGCTGATGATGATGATGAGGAAAACGATGAAGAAGAAGACGAGGACGACGAGTTGCCAGAACGAAACCTTACACGTGAATCGCTACTTTGTGTCATCACGGCTTTTGCGTTGCTCCAAGGCCAGGACGTGGCAAAATCGGCTTCGACACTCAAACTTGATTTGAGCTTTTTCATCACTCATCTCTATCGCACGTTGCATGCAGTGTCTTTGAACCCGGATATCGAATTCAGCGTGAATTCATTGCACTTGCCTGACCCTAACGCCCCAGAGGCGCAAACACCGACAACGAACAAAGTCAACGTACAAACCACTATAGTGCTTCTTATCCGCTCGTTATCCTCGGTTCTTCTGCCGCCCACTGCACTACGTGCTGTGCCTCCTCTTAGAATAGCTGCTTTTTGCAAACAGCTCATGACGATCGCGTTGCAGCTCCCAGAGAAATCGTGCACGGCTATGCTTGGCCTGCTCACTCAGGTCACTAAAGCTCACGGACGCAAGGTCAATGCTCTCTGGATTACCGAGGAGCGAAGAGGAGATGGTGTATTCGATGCGCTCAAGCCTGAGATTGAAGGAAGCAATCCGTTCGCAGGGACTGTGTGGGAAGGGGAGTTGCTACGGAAGCACTACTCTCCGACCATCAGACAAGCGGTAGTCGGAGTGGAAAAGAATGTCTTGGATGCAAGGTAGCTATGTTCATATAAGAAAAGATCTGAATACCAGCGTTTCATGTGGGCTGCTTACGATGGCACTGTTTTACGCTTGATGGCTTATATCGTCCGTGACCTCTCCCAATATTCGGAAACATTCTCTCCGAAGCGCTAAGGCCACCGATCGTTCCGTTGCATCTTAAGCAACCATCGTAAGCGCGGTACCCTACTGCGGTGTTTGGGGGCGGGTTTTACATTTTGAGGCTGTTAACCCGTATCACGTTAGTTGTACCTTCGCACGGCCTAAAATAGCCCCCAACGTGTGAGTAAGATGTGGACTATGCTGAGTTCGAAGTCCGTTGCCTTCCACAGGAGCTCACTAGCGCGTCAAGTAAATTCTAACAAAAGGACATGGGCAGGCCGCCATGATATTGCATGTGGATGTCTCACTCTTCCCACACAGTTCCCATTTCGTCGTCGTCATGGGCTTATATCTCGACCAGAACAGCTGGTACCATCTGTACCACAAAAATGAATCCTCAAATGCCATGGTGGGGACGATTTTGTACGACAAGACCAAAGACGCAGGGGCTGTCTACTCAGCGCTCTTCAATACTTCAGACACAAGACAATTTTGGCAATTCTATCCAATCGACTCGGAATACTATGTATTGCGCTCACAGCAAGGAGGGGCAGAGGCGGTTCTGGGCACAGGGCTTAACGACGTAGAGGACACACCAGGTGGATTACGACCTCGCATGACACGCATCAACGCCAACGATGATTCAATATATTGGAAATTGACTCCTTCGGGGGATGGAAGCTTCTATTTCAGCAACAAGAGGAACCAAACCTCGTGGCGTCTCGCGCGCAAGCAAGGTGTTGATGCGAAAATGATTATGGATTCGAACATTGAAGGGAAGTCAGATCTGCAACGGTGGAGATACGAAAAGCTGGATACGAGCATCAATAACTCCAAATTCTCCTCGCTTCCCGTATGTACATATATATGCCTACCGGTGGTCTGAGAAACGCAAGGCAGCTAATATAAAACCAGTTTCCAATAGCGAGTTCGACTACATCGTCATCAGGCTCGACTTTCAGCACAGGCACACCACCACCTGATCCGCACCCAAAAGAGACGACGAGCTCAACAGATGCATCAACAGGTTTATCGACAGGCACCAAACTCGCAATCGGACTGTCCATTGGTCTCGCTGCGCTCATTGGGCTCATAATCCTCGGCTTATTCGTATGGAGGAAGCGCAGAAACACCCGGCATCCGAAAACCCAGATGCCATGTATCGCCAATGGCAAAGACCTCGTTATGGCGTACGAAATCGATCAGGATAGCACAGTCAAACACGAATTGGCCTCCCAACAACAATTCTCGGAAATGCCATACAACCCTCGCCCGGTGGAAATGCCTATGAATCTTCCTCCTGCTGAGCTACCCAGCTCGCCGCTGCAGAGGCGTTAGTGAGCAAATCGGTCTCCAAGAATCAAAAGTCGAGCAATGATGTGCTATCATTGAGTTGAAAGCTAGAGATCATCATTTGCAGCATCATTTCCCAATGGGTGCCGCGCAAAGCGCACCAGACGCAAGAAGTAAGGCCGATGTGCTCCATATCAGATAGGCAGCCATCAATTTCTGCGCTGCGAAAGAGACAAAAACCGGCCTTGTCACTCCGAATCTGCCAGAAGTAGCACACAAGGAAGAAGGATAGACTAGGGGGGAATAGGTGCACATGGAGGCATGGAGAAATGACTCCGAGGATTTCCGACCCAATACCCCGATCTATCGATCTCGATAGTAGTCGAAAAAATCCAGCGACGTGCAAAGCATCTTGGCACATACACCGACATTTTCATTCATTGCAGCCTGCGTAGATCATACGCGATTGCACAGAAAATGAGAAGATGCATCGGACCTTTCCGCACCAATCAATAGAAAATCATATGTACCAATACTAGAATAGTCACAATAAAATAGATTAGTTGCTACCGCAGATTCCATCCGACAACCGACGTTTCCTTCTATGGTACCTGCTGAAACGCTTGGGGCCAAGGACTTGCATGTCTGTACATGCAGACGAACCCAACTACCATTATTGCGTGCTGTCCAGCAATTTCGCCCCGCAAAATCTTGCATGTTGTAATATGAGAGCGCCCGGGTATAGTGGTTGCACAAGCAAGATCAAAATTTCAACCTCCGACCAAGAAGGCATCGCTTCCTCTAGATACGCAGAATCACACTTTCTGTGATGTACTCGCTACATCCTGAAAATGATATGTTCTATGCTCATAATTCTATACACAGTCGTCAGTTTCCGTCTCCAACATTGAATCAAGCCACTTTCCAAGTGATAGGCACTTCAGCTTGGCATGTCTTCGGAGGTACATTGTGACCGGCATTGTTAAATGAGGCTAACCTACGCTGCCGGCAGAATTGCATCGCACGCACGTTTATAGATTGCGTCCCAGCGAATCAAAATCTCCGAATACGGATCGTTCCAATCATCAACATACTTCTCAAAGATGTCGCTTCTCGCAACCTGAAGGGAGCAAAATCACAAGACGTTCATGCCATTGTAATCCGGAACGATCCGACTCTGGAAACTGTGCCCTTGACAATTTGAGAAAGGTGATTGGAATTCATTCATGGATCCAGCGCTAGATAGATGAGAGAACGAAAGGATGCTCCAATACCACTCTTTTCAGTGCATCTGTGTTCGCAGATTCTGACAGCCTAAGGCTTGAATATACGAGCCTCGTCAAAGTTTCGGTATCATCTCTCCTACGACATGGTTCATGAGAGCTCGTGGCATTGTGCAGCTCGCCGTTGGGTGCTTGGGCTGAGGCTCAGCCAGTCATCACAGGCTCCAGGATTAAGCTTAAATTTGATGGGTGAGAAACATTCCGATGCTCGTATATTCCAAGGTAAAGGGTGCCGACTTGGCGCTTTGAATGCTTGGAGAAATGCTGTCCCCAGCCGCTTGATTTCCTAGTCGTAACAAATAAACAAAGTCTAGTTTTTGGAACGCGAGGAATCCCTTGATCTCCAGTATTAGTGCACGTCAGATGAACTCAGTGCAGAAGTTCGTAATCCCTTCTTTTGTGAACAGAATGCAGACACCCGTTGGTCTCGTGTAAGCTTGAGAAAGCAAGCAGACAACTATTTACTGCATTACATTATGATTTTGTCTGACATATGACCCAATATCCCACTTCCTCCCCGCGTTTACCAGCTTTCGGTATATTACACATCATCTGCCGACAGTACTATGCACACGTGTGTAGTTGAGTAACCCTCCTGGGACCAGAGACTGCGCCTCTTCATTAAACGCCTTCATCTACAATGCCCAGGATGTCACATAATCACTGCCGAAATCGACTCCCTGGCCATCTTTTTTCATATCAGTAGTGTACCGATCACTGTATCTTTGTAGATCTGTGTACACACCTATCCTCACTTTCCGTCCTTATCAAGGAGTATAAGTGCAGCATTATGTTCCCCTAGATTCCAGTCGTTCGTGAAATTGGTACGGTGGACGACTTCGTTTTGCTATAGTCTTCTTGATTGATTATGGCTGGAGGTCTAGGGTTCAAAGGGCTCTACGCCTTACTGCTTTCGCTGAGTTTGCTCTCGGCGCTCGTTGGCGCGGATGCAGTGGGGGATCTTCAGACAAAAGGGCGAGCAGCCGTCGACGCCGAGATTGCGAAGTCTACGACATGCACAAAGGACAAGGTGAAGGTGCGAAAGGAATGGTATGTTTGATCCACTACCAATGCTATCTGATTTCGTCGGTCAGCACACTAAATGGAACTAAAGGGGTGACATTACCGCCGCAGAGAAAAAGGCATACATTGCCGCCGTACAATGTAAGTCGGCCTTGTACTTCCCAGAAGTTGAGAGAGATGCGTGATATACTAACTAGATACTCTAGGTATCATCAAAGCACCATCAAAACTCTCCGCAACAACATATCCTGGCGCAAAGACTCGTTATGACGACTTTGTTGCTATCCACATGAAGAACACAATGACCATTCACGGCACAGGCAACTTCCTCTCATGGCATCGCTACTTCACCTGGGCCTACGAACAGGCTCTAGTCAAAGAGTGTGGGTACACGGGAACTCAACCTTACTGGGACTGGGGAAGATGGGCCTCAAGCCCCGAGACGTCTCCGATCTTCGATGGAAGTGAAACGAGTATTAGTGGACAGGGCGAGAAAGTAGCGCATTCCAGTAACGGAATGAAGCCTGCAGGCAATGGAGGAGGCTGTATCTCTGGACCGTTCAAGAACATGACGGTCAATCTAGGGTATGCACACATCTCATTCGCTATACTTTACCATTCCCTCCTGATAATCGCACCCCACATAACTAACGAGCGACATCCAGACCACTAGCAGCCCTAGGTGATACCACACCGCCCCGAAACCCGCAAGCCAATGGATATGGATATAATCCTCGCTGTATTAAACGCGACATCTCCAATTATCTAACCAGCCGTGATGCTACGACCGCAAAGATCGCCGCTCTGATCACGAGCTCAGCCAACATCGCTACGTTCCAGAACACGATGCAAGCTGCCAACGGTGTGCACTCCGGAGGACACTTCACCATCAGTGGAGACCCTGGATCTGGTAAGTCTCAACGTTATCCCTCTTCCTTACCCACTGTCTTCTTCCTCTATAAGAAAACCACGAAGAAAGTTATACGGAATCCTGACAGGAGCCGAACAGATTTCTACGTGTCTCCCGGTGATCCCGCCTTCTGGCTACACCACTCCATGATCGACCGCGTGTGGTACATCTGGCAGACGCAAGATTTCTCCAAGCGCCAGCAAGTCATTGCTGGAGGTACCACCATGTTTGGCGGCGGCCGAGCGCAGAGCTTGGAGGATAACATCGATTTAGAGGTGCTGAATGTCGATGGTAAAGCTTACAAGATCAAGGAGTTGGTTAGTACGGTTTCGGGACCGCTTTGCTATGTTTATGAGTAGGAGAGCGCTCTCGTTTATTGATTGTCGTCAAGGATGTATACACTTGTAGATAGGCACATGAACAATACCATAAACTATCGAGGGAAGAGAACAGTAGCGCGCGAATCACTGAATGTGAATATTCACGGAAGAGCAAAAAGTTCATCTTTGCAAAGGAAATGAAATGATGGCCTATTCAACTCTATCTATCCCAATCTATCATCCCACACACATCGAACATCACCTCTCTCGTCTCCCTTCCAGACCCTCCCCGCTTCATTCCTCCTAGCCACACCAGCCCTGATATCAGTCCCCAACTCCGCGGGTCCAGATCCAAGAACCTGCGTCCGCCCTTCCTCAACTGTCTCGTCTAAGAATGAAGAAAGCATACTTTCTACGCCCGGTCGAATATGATCGAGATACTCAACTTTGAAGTCCGGGTGCGGTGCAATAAGTTGCTGAATCTCATGGCTGTGCGTAGGTTCCGACGCCGTGCTCGATGCCGAACTAATCTCGAGGTCGCTTTTGGGCGCTACTATACTAGTGGAAATCACAGGGTGGACATGCGTACGTGTTTCCGGGGCACGAGTGACGAAGATGCGGATGCGGAAGCGCTTCTTCTGCGAGCTAACAGTTGTTTGTGCGGATTTGAAGTCTGACGATGACGACGGAGAAGAGGCGTCGGATAGGTAGGATCTCAGTTCCGTGAGTTCGGGGCCAATCCAGGAAAGATTGTCGATGTGTCGGATAATCCACACCATCTCGATATTCTGTGCAATCGAGGTTGGGTCGGCGAGTGCGCTCATTACAGTGGGGAGAGTAAACGAGATTCCTGTGCCGCCGGCGATGGCGAGGATGTTGGTGGCTTCGGTGTCGACGGTGGAGAGGCCGTAAGGACCGAGCATGACTACGGGAGTCTCGAAAGTGTTCTCTTTCTCAGATGTGCTGGATTCGGCGAGGGCGCCGAGCTTACCGGTTTCACCATTTCGCGCGCGAATGATGTAGGTGTGAGTTGGATGAGTGCCCGACGCTGATGGGACCGAAGCCGGAGTGAAGGGATGAGATTGCCAGATGCTCAGGGCAGGGAAGGTGAGGTAGAAATGCTGACCTATCTTCCAAGTCCGGTGACTATGTGTGAAGGTCATGCGAACGATAGTGCCGGAAGGGTCCTTGAAAGTTTCCACTTTTGAGTTGATTGTACGGAAACCGATGCCCTTGTTGCCGTCTTTGTAACCGAAATGAATGAGGCAGAGACGTACGACGCGCATGCCGAGCTCGACGCCTAGAAGTCCCAGCGAGGCGATCATCCAGCATGCTAACTTGTCCCAGTGGCCCCAGCAAGCGCCAAAAAATAGACCAGCGAAGATGAGGTGTGTGATCTTGAAGAATTCATAGCCTGTCCAACGAATAACGGGGCGAAGGCTGAAGACGAACAAGAACGTGATGAAGCTTTGCGCAACAACGCCCCATATGGCATACGTCTGCTTTATGAAATCGGCGTAATACTTCGGCTGCGGCTGGTAGAGACGGGCTTCGATGATGGTCCATCCGATGGTATGTACAAAGGATTGGACAAGAATGATACGTCCAGTCCATCGATGCAAGAAGTTGAAGTGCTGATATGGGATCTGAAGATGACGAGTATTCAGTCAGTAAAGTTCAACTGAGGATGTGAGAGCTGCGAATCTTAATTCTACGCACGATCTCGTGATGCAATCGACTTTACATCAAGAATTTACTTACCCCAGTGAGAAGACTCAGGATTGAGTCGCGACTGCAGAGAGCAACAGTAAGCGGCGTGAGGGCATATGAAAGCGCACCAATGCGGTTGCTAAAGCCAGCTAGACCTGTTCGTATGCTGAACTTGTCGGTCCCTTTCGCCGGTGTGTACCACTTCTTGTATTCTATGCCCAGAAATCTGCTCTCGTCAGAGTTGATCAAGTACTGAGGCTCAGGTAGAAACTTACGTGAAAAGAGTGATATAGACGAAGAAAATCGAAAAAATCAGCACTTGCAACCTCGTTGTGTTGGGAAACAAGCTCTGAAACCCCTCTGGAAGCAAAGCCTTCCGACTAGCAGCTGCCAGAGACCTTGTGCTGCGATATAATGTCGACTGCTTTTCGTTGTCTCCGTTCCTTCGGTGTGGCCTCAAAAGACGTCCGAGCATGATGAAGAGGATGATTCCTCCGATGACAGCCCACAAAACGAATGTATAGAGCATCGACTTTGCTTGCCCCTGGTACACTGCGTCCAAGTAGTCACATAGCACTGGACCACCTTGACATGGAATAGCCTCGGGGTCGTAGCCAAAATACTCCTTAAAGCTCTCAGCATTGCTGTGGTCCGTGGAGTGTCGAGCGACGAGCTCATGCTCGATGCGTTCAGATGCGGCCATATCGAAAAAAAAAAAAACAAAATTGGCTCAGAAGGCTTGCAAAATGGCTATATGCTGTAAGGCTTCCTGGAATGAAATCTCGACGTTGATTTCCTCTTTTAAAAGGTGCAATGGGGACATTGACAGAGTATGTTTTGATGGCAACCAAAGTTTATGGCCAAGTGTATCGAACAATTTCGCCGCCGCGGCGGTTTATCACGAGTACCTATTCATCCTGTTCACGCAATCAAATCGACTGCACAATTAGATTATATGTATATCTATAGCGTGCAGTTTGCGCTGGGTTTCGGCCCACGAGGGTCTTGACCATGTGTGTTAGGCGCCGATGTTACCAGGGTCGGCACACATGTTGCCGGCATATGGAGAATCGTGCAGTGCATGAATACGCTGATTACATACTTGAGCCTCGTATTTCGATGGTTGTTCGGGAAACTTTTACTCTAGAATTTAATCCGGCAACACCGTCTTTTCCGCGAAGTTCGGCCACTTGACCTTCAGGAATACGCATTGAGGACTGTTGAGGATAGTGAGACGTTCCACAGAGGCATTCATCTCCAGGGCTTGGAGCCGAGGCGGACCAAGTACATATGTATTGTAAGGGACGGAGAGCATGGCCAGGTAATATGGGAGGCATGTAAGGATGCCGGCACTATCACTGCAAGAGGAAGATTGATATTAGGGCGCTTCTCCGAGCTCCGATTCTGGTCCTCTAGGTTGAACTGATTAGTTGGAAACAGGTAGGCTGCATCGAATTCCTCCAATATTTGTAAGGGCGTCAACTAGTCGATTAAACATGCGAAAGAGAATATTGCATGTTTCATATACGGGAAAATGTACGACAACATGCCCGAAGTAGTAATATCTTGCAAAAGCGTGGAAAACTGGCTGCATCCCGCATCAAAGATCCGTCACATGCAACTCGCGGCTCTGATTGCTCAGGTTTCGGATTAGTAAGAGAGAGCTGTAGAGTACACTACTTTCCCCGCTAGGCAGGGCAGGGGCGTGACGTCGCGCCTGCCGCCGCTAGTGACCGTCGCGTCCTTACTACTTGGACCCTCTCTCTCTCTCTCTCTCTCTCTTTCTCCAACACCACACAAGCTTGCGATGTAAGTATTTGAAACCCCTTCCATTCCCGCCATTCCCGCCATCCCCCCTACAGAGCTTCATCATCATCTATGCCTATGGCAGAAAAATCTGCAACCTCACAGCGCAGCGGCCGCGCACGTTCACTCGGCCCATCCTAACGCGCAGCTCAGATCTCTATGACTGAAAACCAGAACGGGAGACCAGCAAACCCAGGACGCTAACCTCGATCCCGCGGTCTTGCGCTGTCTCACACAAAGAACAGATATCTGAGAGAGGCACCTTCGGGTGTCTGTTTTGTGCGCTGTCTTTCAAGTCAGCCATGATCCATATCGCTTGTTCTTCACCACCATACCCTTTCCTTTCCTTCCCCTTCAGCTCACCTGCACCCCAGATCGGAAGCGCGGATTTGCAAGTCATAGGGGGGCTTGAGAACTTGACCACTCTTCCTGCTTCCCTTTCCCGAATGTGTACACACATAAGCCCCGCGCATATGAAGGAAAGAACCTTGAAGTCGAAGCGCCTTCCCATACCAAGGGAAGTTGCTAGCTGATGACGCTTTTAAATTGTAGTTTTCAATCCGAGCGCGGGGTGGGATCACGGGGAAGCAACTTGTGGGGGGGTGACTGGTCCGACATGCTATGTTCTTGTTGTCGGGTTTCTCTGCTTGGCCCTCGTGCATTTCTTCGTTTTTCGGCTTCGGGGTTTGGATGGATGTTGGGTGTTGGTTGGGCTGGTTTTGGTCGGATGGGGTGGTTGGAAAATACTTCGGTCTTCCATGCTTCTGACCAGTATATGGCAGAGCGGGGATCAAGGGTCCAGTGATGATGTCTCTCATAAGGAGAGGCATTAAAGCCAAAGTTGAGCGGCAGCCTGGGGTGTAAAAACCCTGCGGTTGTACATGCGAACAGTCAGGAGAGCTAATCTGAGGACCAGTAGAATAGTCATGTTTAAGAGGCAGTTTTCTATATTTTCTTGGTCAATTGCATTGGACTGTTTACATATCGAGAAATGAAATCAAAGTGTATGAACAGATTTTGTGATGTATACATACGCTAGGAGTAGGAGAAGCAAAAGGAAAACGCTATCAATGCCATCATCTATCCACCGCCACCGCCAAACATCGTACCCCGTTTTGCTTTTGCCAGTCTCCCTGCTTGCTTCATCCTATGCTACCCCGCCGACCAGCTCTTCCCCTTCTTCACTTACAACCTTGTCAAGCTCCACGTCTTATCCAACTCAACCCATTCAACACGTCTCCACCCGCAACATCTTCGCTTTTCCCATCGCGAACCCAAGATCGCAGTCCAGCTTTCTAGAATCGGTCCCGCTGCCTGGCGCGATAAATCGTAAACCCGACATATCCACCCGTAAGCGCCAATCCAAACAGCACAAACTTCAAGAAGAACCAAGTCCAGCTACCGCCGCCTTCCTTGGGCGCTTTCACTTTAGCCTTGTCCTTGCTCTTGCTCTTCTTCTTATCTTTGCTGCTGGACGAGGACGAGGAGCTGCCGGGCGGGTTCTTCTGGTACAGGTTGAGCGTCTTGACCGAGATAATGTCGTGATTATCCGAGAGCTCGCCAGTTTCCGCGGAGAAGCCGAGGTAGGCTACAGCGGGGACCTTGTAGTCTTCGATTTCGAAACATTGGGTCCATTCGTCTTCGGACTTGTATTGGAGTTCGAGCTTGAGGGATTTGTCTGCGAAGTAGGTGAATTTGGCTTTGGTGGGGATGTTTGCGTTGCGAATACCGCGGGCCTTTTCTCTTCATTAGTATCTTCTTCTGTGCTGCCCTTCGGGGTTGGAAGATTCGATAATTCCATGGTTGTGTATGCGGATGGAAGAGAGATACGTACAGAGCATCCAGCCACTTCGTTGGCCTTGCCGTCGTTATCCTTGTCGTATTGCGTCTGACCATCACCCGTCATGGCCATGATGTAGGGGAATACGGTCCCAGGGCGATTGTTCTTGTAAGTGTCGAAGAAGACACCAAGACCCTCGAACTTGTCCACAGCGCCGAAGACATTACCAGCAGTGGCGCGCTCCTTCGTGAGCCACATGGCGAATCCGTCGCCGAACAGGTTACCTTGACCGTGAATCTTAAACTCAAGCAGGATCTACTCTCATGAGCTGCGGTTTCGAACGCGAAGAGTGGAAATGGATCAACGTACCTCCCAGTTGGTAGCGGTTAAGGGTACGCGCGAGTATATCCAGCCGTCGCGCGAAGCCTTGTCTGATGCGAGGCGGACGTACTGATCAGTACGAATGATCGTATCGCCGCCATAGTCCCACCATCGACTCTGCATGTCCGAATCGAGATATGGCTGACAGTCTATGTTAGAAATGTCTTTCTCATAATTCCTCTCAAGCTCGATCGTAATATGACGATTATGTGCGAAGATATATTCATAGACTTACAGGCTCGAGACTGTGCGTGCGTAGCTATTCCATCGTTAGCAATTACCAATTAAGAATCTCGCATCTCATGCGTCACGCAGGACTCACCGAGATGGCCTTGATATCGGGATCCTCCTCTAACCCCAATGCCATAACCCCACTCAAACTCCCCGCCAGCAAGCACAAGCTGGTCCATGTGCGGGCGAACATGGTTGCACCAATTCCGAATCAAAAAGCCCTCCTTCGTGTCACTGTACTCCGCGTGTCTTCCGCCTCTGATCTACGGAGCCGCGCCGGTAAACTATACGCAGAATATATGGGGAAAGGAATGGAAGAAGACTACTGCTTCTATAGAATGTGTTTCGACCGAAAGATCACGGGATTCGAGGAATGGCGTAGTCGATCGGGGAGGGCGGCGACATGGAAAGGTGGTGAAGTTGCGGGCGGAGGTGGTTAGCGAAGTACCGTGGATCGATGTGAACACGCTGGAGCTCGTGCGGGCCGCCTGTCGTAGTGCTCACTCCAACCAACATCAGCGAAAAAGAGCCGAGGAGTCGCCGCGCCGCCGTCCGTTCTTTTGACGTCGTCTACTTTTTTAACTCTCCAGTAGCTAGCCTGTTGACTACCCCAACATCACTCCCCATCCATCGCATCCCTTTCCCTGAGTCGTTCGCCAATTCGTAATCGACCCATCCACCGATTCCTCTCACCATCCTCATAAAACTCCATCTTTGCGACAATGGACTCGTTAGGCGACGCGAAGACGCAGGTCATGCGCCAGGTGCAGCAAGAAGCAGCCATGCAGAATGCGCGGATGCTTGTAGAGGTACTTACAGACTCTTCTATCCTACCTCCGTACTCTCAGCACTTTTACAATTTCTAACTCGCCTACGACCCCAGAAACTCAACGAACACTGCTTCGAACGCTGTGTCCCTAAGCCCGGCACTTCCCTCTCCAAGGGCGAGGAAACCTGCTTCACATCCTGCATGGAGAAATACATGTCCGCGTGGAACACCGTCTCCAAAACTTATGTCGCCCGGATACAGAAGGAGAGCCAGCAGGGGGCTGGATTGGCAAACACGTTCTAATCTTGCGCGGGATAGCCCGGAACCAAGAACTGTGATTGGGGAGAAGGGAAATTTTTGGATTGAGAGAACATGGAATTGAATGATGCCTCGAGGATGACCGAAGAGGAGAACGGCGATAAATTTTCGATTGATGTGTAGGATTCCAAGGATGAAGGGACACATGTGAAAAGGTATGCGAACATACATGTAGGAAGGCACGGCGCAGCTTGTGTCTTGCAATCTGTTGGCATCCCAAATGTAATATATGTATCAACAAAACCGGTTCAAGAAGGACGACCAGAAATAGCAAATGATATCGCAAGCTAAAGATTGCTTTGCAAATGTCCAAGACTCCGTTTATGCTATAATATGATCTTGACTAAATAGGGCGTACATGTTAAATACAGGCTTTCGGGCTAAGTGTGCTAACGTCACACTCAGTTCTTGCCAAAGCTCTTCTGCTTCTGCGCATACTCCTTGATGATCAAAGAGCACTGGACGTCCTGACACAGTCGTTTTCTCCTTGCCGGCTCCAGTTTGTTCGCGAACTCCAACCCACTGGCACGTTCTACCACCTCGACCGGAACCTCAAAGTCCACGAGTGGCTTGTTATTCGCAATCACCGCATTCGGCAACACGAAAGCGCCCAGCGCAACCTTGCCACCGGGCTTCCCATCTTCAGCAAAGATGACCTTGTAGAAATGCGTAGGGACGGCTACGTTTGGTGGCGTTCCAATAACCTCGTAGCTGACCCTCCATTTCCCATCGGCGTCCTTCTTGGGCAAGTAGAGAGGACCCGTCACCACGCGAACCGACGGGTATGATGTGGTCAACCTCCTGCAAAAGTCCTCGAAATGCGCCCAGTAGTCACGGTTGAAACCGTTGCCGACCTGAGGGCACATGTTGCTAAGCGCAAAGGTATCGTCCATGGCCTCCTGGCTCCACTTTGCGTCCGCGGCGGGCACCTGGTGACCACGATCGTATCCGGAGCGGAAGTAGTCCTTGAGCTTTGCACGGAACATCTCGGGGATTGAGACATCCTCAACAAAGACGGAGTGCTTGCGATCGGCGTTATGGGCGGCGAGCGACGCAGGGGTGATGTGTTCGGCGACCCATGCTGGGTTTCGAGTACGGCGGTCGAAGGAGGATGTTAGGGAGGCGGCAGGGCGAAGGTCGGCAACCGGCCCAGGGAATCCATATTGAAAGATGCCGCTGGGATCAACGGGTGCTGATCGGGCTGCGGTGTAGGGTGAGGGAGCGGCCGAAAACGCGGGCGGGGGTGCTGGTCGTGGTGGGCCTGTGGTGGTAGTGGTAGTTGTCGTAACGGTTGGTGGAAAAGCATCTTTTTTGGATGACGAAGAAAAGAAGGCTGCTGTTGCGGCAGCACCTGTGGCAGCTCCAGCCGCAGCTATTATAGCGAATGTGGCTTTGGACATATCTGAGGAGTTATGTCGAGGATAGATGGGCGGATGTGTGGATGCGCGAGAGACACCTGGTTTGCAGCGGCAATGAGGTCTGTTTAAGTAGCTCCGAGCTCCAGAGCTGTATCAGCTGCCCGAGCTGCGCGTGAGAGATGTTTCGAACGCGTCCCAGAGTGGACTCGTGGTTCGCTGGCGGCTAATATGTGTAGCAAAGGGTCATCTGCTCCTGGTCGTCCAGACAGAAATTCGACCTCGGCGCCTATCCATTTCGAGACTAGCCTCAAAACGGCCTCGATGAACATTTGAAGTTTCCGACATCAACCACCATCTAGTCATTACCAATGGACTCCCTTGCCTTCCGTTTCCTATCAGTTATCTTCTAGTGTGAATGGCTGATTTTTAGCGAATCTATTGTTTCATAAATTGCCAGTGAAGCATAAGAATCGAGATGTCCTCCTGGATATCTCGGGCGACCGCGAACCACAATGCGCAGCTCGTCACCACTGCCGTTGTATCGGGCGTAGTCGTTGGAAGCGCCATTCTGGGGTTGCAGAAAGCAAAACGTATGTACAGAGTTGCTGATCTCAAAGCATCAATACCTGAGGCAGAGGAAGGCCATCATTCAAACAGAGTAAGTAGAAGCTTGGCGAACTCGTGCATCATCGTTCAAGACGCGCTGTCGTTGCCTTCCATGATTTTCAATCCGCCAATTATTATAGAAGCTGACATGATGTAGTTGACAAACTATGGTGCTGCTTCTGATGCATTTCCAATAAGCAAGGAAGATGAAAAGAGCATGGCGCTGGCCGCGAGAGCACGAAAAGGCGATTACGATGATGGTGAATTCCCTTGCGGCTCTCAATAGATCCTCGCTCTGACGCTGATAGATCTGGTTCTGGAACAACTGGCTCGAAACCGTGTATTTCTTACCGATGATGGTCTTGCAAAGCTACGTGACGCCTTTGTCATCGTTGTCGGCTGTGGTGGTGTCGGATCTCATGCCGCATCAGCACTGGCTCGCTCTGGGGTATCTAAACTACGCCTGATTGACTTTGACCAAGTCACACTCTCATCTCTCAACCGACATGCTGTTGCTACTCTAGCAGATGTGGGAACTCCCAAAGTTCACTGCATTCGGCGAAGACTGCAACAAATCACCCCATGGACCAATTTCGATTGCCGGAACGAGCTTTTCGGGGAAGCCACGGCTTCGGCACAACTCGCTCCCCTCAATGGCCAAGCACCCACTTTTGTGATTGATGCCATCGACAATATAGAGAGCAAAGTAGCGCTGTTGTATTACTGCTCTAAGAACAAGATCCCGGTCATTTCTTCGATGGGCGCGGGATGCAAGTCTGACCCCACGCGAATCTTCGTCGGCGACATCTCTACTAGCACAGACGACGCTTTGTCAAAGTCTACAAGACGGCGGCTTCGAGCACTGGGAGTCAAAGATGGCATTCCCGTCGTCTTCTCCACAGAAAGAACTGCCCCAGGGAAAGCCCAACTTCTACCCCTCGCAGAAGAAGAATTTGCCAAGGGCAGCGTTGGCGAGCTCGGCGTCCTCCCCGATTTCCGCGTCAGAATCCTTCCAGTGTTGGGAACTATGCCGGCCATCTTTGGCCTTGCGGTTGCAAACCACGTCATTCTCGAGGTTTCCGGTTACCCGCATGATTATCTACCTTCTAAAGCGCGCGACAAGATGTACGATGGCATCTTGGGCTCGCTTCAAGGTGCAGAGGAGCGCATAGCTCGTGCACAGGGCTTCGACTCTCAGGGCCTCAAAATCCCTATCACGCAGGACGACGTCGGGTATTTGGTTGAGGAGGTCTACCATGGAAGGAGCGTAATCAGCAACTTGTCAACCCGTCTGGTTCTCGTGAGGTGGAACAAGCCTACCCAGGACTTTATCGATAACCGCACACCTGGCCAGAAGAACTCTCTGCTACAAATGAAAGATCTCGTTCTCATGACCAAGGAAGAGGCAACAAAACACGAGAAGGAGATCCTGAAGGGCGATCAGAAAGTAGAGGATCTGTATGATCAGAAGATTGTTGATTTAGTACGGGGGAAGATGGATGAAGAAAGCAAGTTTGAGAGATTCAGGTGAAAGGGTTGGGTTTGATTTTCCCCATCCTTCTATCTACCTCGTTGAACACTGTACCAATACCTCGATTCCCCCTCAATAGAAAAGCAAAATGATATCTTTTCACCTTTCTCTCTTTTCATTAAGGCTCTGTAAACTTTCCGTACATCTTGTTCGCTACTACAAACAACTTCCATACACATGTCAACATCGACTTTCATATGGTCCTGCTCCTCTCTACATTGGAAAACTCGCCACTCATTTCCTCCCTATTCCCATCCTCACATCTTCCCCACCTCTATCAATTCTCAGTAAACTTTCCCTCCACAATCTCCATGTCCCTAGCTCCATCCCGTCCACTCAGCCGATATTTCTCAAACCCACCCAATTTCAAAACAGCAACCCCGCAAGCCCTCAAGCACACCGCATACCGATCCATCGCCACTCTCGCCGCCTCACGCTCTCGAAAGACTTCTATCACAGATGGCGTGAAATCTTTAGCCGGGAGTGGATTGCGGATGACAATTGCGAAACTAACAGCGTGCACGACCGCATGTATAGCCGGCATTGGGAACAGTCGTGGTTGAAGGTAGTGACCAGAAGATGGAGAGGGTGCAGGGAATTGGCGTGGGATAACAGAGATACCTGCTCGCGGCTGTCGAGTTCCTGCTTCTTCTGGAGCGCGTGCTGGAGGTGTGCCTTCGGGTGCATCGCTGCGGGATGGTTCTGGAACTTGGACTCTTGATGATGCTGCTACTACGGGTGGTGGTGCTAGTGCTGGGTATCCCATGTAGTGGTATCCATACATTGGCTGGTGATCAGGTGGATGACTTAGACTGAGACCGCTGGGATGCACAACAGGTGTACTCAGAGCATGATAGTAATGTGGAGTTGAAGTTGCCGGTACGAATGAGTGAGCATTTGGGGAAAGCAAGTATCCAGAGGGCGGTGCAGGTTGTGGTGCTGGGGGTAGTGTGGCATCGTGGGCGCCTACCGTTGTTGGTGGTGTGGCTTGTGGGAGAGAAGCTGGGAACCTATTCTCGGGGAAGTAATTCAAGGGGCGTGCGGCTGGATTAGGAGTGATAGTAGGTTGATTGTCGGTGGGTAGTTCAGCGATAGTGTTCGTGACGTCCCCAGGTGGTGCTCCTGAGTCATGCGGGGGGGATCGGGGTGTTGGGGAAGGTGTGTTGCGAGGATCTGATGTGTTTGAAGACATGATGGTGAATTTCGAAGTCAGTCGTCTTGCGGGTTGTGAATCTTCGGAGTTTCTGTAACTTGGGAGATAAATAAGATGCTAATATACCAGGTTGATGTGTGTTTGGGGTGAGAGTTGCTTGCTTGGTGTTTGAACAAACTAGTATCCTCATGATTCTTTCTTTCTCTTTCTCTGAAAACAGTGGAGATCTTGAAGAATAGTACACATGACTACTTACAATTGTTCCTTCAGCCTCATGAGCTGTGGCTTCTAGATTGTACGTGGAAACCAACCGATGAAATCTGACAGTTAGCTCTGAACTCTCATCTCCCTTAGCAAACTCAGTCTGTAAGCACAGTCCACTATCAATCAACATGTTATAGTTCATTCAGGATATAAGAAGAGCGATTTTCAATATAGAGATATATGCGTAACTAATATGGATTGTGTAAGTCGTTCTGAGAATCAATTGGAGCTTTGTATGAACCGTGCAGGTGAGGAGTCGGCAACATCCGGGAGTCCAATACGTCCTTTCAGTCATACACGTCATTCACGGTCCTAATATTTCCTGTTCCTAAACAATCGTATTATGAAGTTACCTCTAGAAAAGAAGACATTGATTTGCAAAGAGTTATGGTAGCAGCTACTTATGCGAGCAAAAAACGTATCCTCCCAGAGGAATATGCTGATTGATAAATCCACGTGACATCAATTTCCCGACCTCAATCTGATATGCTCCAGGAGACGCTTACGTGTTGGATCTATACTAGGCCGAGAGTAACTAGGTTCTGGATAGGGATCCACGTCATGGGTGTGCTTTGGAGCGTATGTCTCTTCATCGAAATTATTTTCAGTCGAGTCGTGAGAGCTACTGCTCTCGTCTTCGTCTTCGCTCTCATCCCTTGTTACTGTTACGATGTCACCACCGTCACCTTGCGACCCATGATATTGGATCGATTTGGACCGTGCTCTCGAATGCTCCCTCGATGATTGCTCGTGGGGAAGTTTTGGAGAATTATGATGCGAACTCGGCTTGGACGTCGAGCCTGAATGAGTCGGTGCTATAGAAGCACGTCTCTTCGGCATCTTCTTTGCCATCCAGCTTTTCGGAAAGATCCCACCCATGAAATCATCTGTGATAGAGCGTCGAAGGGGGGGCTTTTCTTCATGGATGCCGAGACCTTCTTCAGTCCACGTGCCAGCTTTGCTAATTCCCGTGGCTCTTCCGACAGGTTGATCTCGCTTTCCATGTTTCGGGTCAGGAGCGCGTTTTTGTTCATTTACGGAGAGTCTTCTCCTTCGAGAGCGCTTAGGTTGTTGGGAAGGAGAAGAGGCTCTTGATTCCAGCTTTCTCGGACTCCTGGAACGTTGGAGTCGACTCCTATTAAAAGCTTCTTTATAGCTGAGATATGTTTGAAAACTATCTTTGTCCCAAACCAGAACGACAGGTTTCACTATGGGTAAGTTTTTCTTTTCCGTGTGAGAAACTCGATACATCCCAGGAAAAAGAACACAAAAGATACCGCGCGTATTTGCAGGGTCTCTCTCTCTCAGCTCCACCACGTCCTTCAACGTACACTCGTGCAGTCGATGGTCCTGTTTATTCGTCGCACCAGGCGATAAGTTGAGCTCGTTGATGTCGTATACGATGGACGAGCATGCCAGACTTTCTTGTAGACCAACAGCTGGATACAGTACACTTGTAATTAATGCCTCCAGATGTTGGTCCAATGTAGGACGGTAGACAAGCTTAGACGTGTGATTTTCCAGATCATTCCTAAGCTCTTCCAAACGGACGGCTTTTCTTCGCTGAAACTCTCTTGTCGACATCAAAGTGGCCATTGCTTCGGCTCTCCATTTATGAGCTTTTTGTACGGCTTCTGTGCCTGCGCTGCATTAACACTCGTGATTTCCAATGATGACATGTCGTGGTACGTACCGGTACCCTGCCCACCTTCCCAACCTCCCGCAATAGCTTTCCCAATGTACTCGATTCCTTTTCCTGCGTCGGAAACTACTCCTGACGGGCGTTTTTGGAAAACATGGCGGTTTATAAAACACCATATATGACGGGACAGAACCACGTGTATACAGCTGCCCAGTGTGCCGAGCCATTTCATCTTCGCATAGTCGTCATAGTGAGGATACGACGCCGATTTTCTTTCTAGTCTATCATAGTCTTGCTCTTCGAGACCCAGCTGCCAAAGCAATCCATCTGTTGAATCTCCCGCAAGCAGTACTTCGAAACTATCTTGGCGGAAGTCTCGGGAGTGTTGTGCCAAATCCACCTCGATATTCGTTACCCAGTCTTGGGTGGCGATCCATAGTGACTCGAATCGCCTCTTCACATGCCCGTCTGATATCTGGTCCAGACCACCCTGTAGCTTCATCAGCTTTGCGACCGTGTGGTTTAATGTCTCCTGGAGCTCTGCATTTTCATCTCGAAGGTTTTGCATCTCCCCCGAGGACTGCGGTGATAGTCCGTCCGAATCAGGAGGCTTTCGCATCATGGTATAGAGCTAGGGAATCCGATTTTGTGCCTATAACCCTCAACACAATTCGACTTAGGGATGGGGTAGAAATGTCTCATATACCTTGAGTTCTGGATCTTCCTGGGACGGTCAGGATCTGAATGATTATGCGGTTGGGAGAACAGCTCACTGGAAAGGCTGAGGCTAAATCGTAACGACTGGTCAGGATGGGCAGTCTACGGAGGGCAGAGACCTGGCTGCGCTCTCAAAGATAGGGCTTTCCCAAACGACTGGCGATGAGGACTTAAGAAAAGGAGGATAAACAGCTTTCATTTACGCCACTCGTATAGATACGTGGCAAGCTTTAATTTGCTAGCTGAGTCTGACAGGCTGAGTGCTTGTGGTACAAGGCTGAGGACCGCAGACAATGCTAAACCCCCCTTTTCAATGATACAGAAATGGCAGGGGTGGGCAGCGACACATCATGCTATGAGATAAAAGACAATCTTTGGGATCGATCCTCGTAGCCTGGTCTGTGAAGAATCCGCAACCTTCCTCCAAAGTCTATCCAGAGATCTACACATTATCTTCAATCTTTTTCCTCCACAACTTATCTGCGTTTCTATCTTGAGAGGACTTGAGTTAAAGATCACGCGATGGTCAGGGGTCTACCATATGCCTCTGGATCTGGCGACAGCGGCGATTCTAAGCAGGGTCGAATGAGGATTGTCGTGGCAGTCGATTTCGGTAAATCCCCTTCCGAGCTGCAGAAAGGCTGAATACCGATCAATGCTCTAGGAACAACATTTTCATCCGTGGCATGGGCAAACATACTTGATGTACGCTACAAAACTTTATGTGACCAATCTTTTGACTGTGTCGCGGCTTTACTAACATTTCTTGTGAAACCCTAGCCTCGAAGACAGAAGCTATTATCGAATTGGGGCGATGGAGGAGACATGACACAAGACAAAGTGCCTACGTATGTACGAATCGGTCCCTTCATGTTCTCAGATAACCTAATGGCGCCCTTAGAGTTCTCCGGTACGACAATGATGGCACTTCAGGAGCCTTCGAATGGGGTTACCAAGCCCAAGAATTTGCCTTCCAGGGAAAGAAAATCCACGAATGGTTCAAGCTCGGACTTTGCAATGATTTTGAAGAGCGCCGTGCCCGAGAGTCCGAACTCATGCGAAAATACAAAAGTCATACCGCGCTCCCACCCGTCAAGGGTGATGAATGCATGGATCTCGTTGTCAATTATTTGTCTGGAATCAAAGGGGCTGTGGATAGGTTCTTCAACGAAAACTATGATGCTGCAGTCGCTCGATGCCCGAGAGACTATATCATCACTGTTCCATCTCTTTGGGATCACGCCGAACAGGAGAAGACCCGCACTTGTGCTGAAAGAGCTGACATGGGTGAGGCAAGCCACCTCCAGATCATTTCTGAACCTGAAGCGGCATGTATATACGCCATCCAGGAGTCTATATCTGCGAAGAAAGGTGACACTTTCGTCATATGCGATGCAGGTGGAGGGTGAGTCCTGGGCCATCTTTGCGCAATCCGAGAAAAGAATCGACTGACAATTTTTACTATAGCACTGTCGATCTTGCTTCATACACCATTACATCCATTGAGAAAGGGCAGACTACCCACTGCAAACTTGCTGGAGCAGCTCCAGGATCTGGTGGGCTTTGCGGAAGCAATTTTCTGAATCGAATATTCGAAACCTATCTCGAGAATAAGCTGAAGAACTATCGCCATTGGAAGCCAGCTTACATGTTGGAAGCTTCGAAAGCTTTCGAGGAGAGAATCAAGCCGCAGTTCACAGGTCAGAAAGTGGGCAATGACCACATCAGAATCCACGGACTGGTTGAAAGCAAGCATCACGGTGTAGGCGAAAACTATTTGTTCCTGACAACCAAAGAGCTACGCGAGAATGTTTTCGACGAAGTAGTACTCAAGATAAAAAAACTGGTCCGCGACCAGATCAAAAATACCAAACCAACCGTGACTGCAGTTCTGCTCGCTGGGGGTTGTAAGTGTATCCAAAACGATCATTTCATAACATCGCTTGTATGTGCTAATCATTTTATCGTGATCTTAGTCGGAAAGAATCCATATCTCAAGAAGAGGTTGGAAGAAATTGAGATGGTCAGTCGCAACGAGACAAAGGTAGTAGTGGTTGAGAATAGGCAAGTCGCATGCACCGACTCATTTTCTTATCCCGCAACGATGAATACTGATAACCGACAGCGACACTGCTATTGCGCGAGGGGCTCTAATCGCTGGTCTGGCTGGACTGGGCCGAATCCGCAAGTCTGAGATTGGGTATGATGACACATTTGACGCTACCACTGGCGATACTGTGGAAGTGGAATCTCGCCAGGCTGGAAGGCACTATGGAACAGTCGCCAATTTCCCTTTCATTGATGGGAAGGACCCAGAAAATAAAAGGTAATCTCTGAAAGCTGACAGTGTTGTCCGCCAGCGGCTGACTGGGTAGCAGACTATCACGAGACAACGGGGACAGGATTCAAAAGATTCAATGGTTTGCTAACATTGTAAGCTCACCCGCTTCCCGTCCCATTCCGCGCTTTCTGACATCCCAAACATCTGGGTCTCAACCATGCTCATAAACTTCTCTAACCTGCAAGTTCTAGGGGGAGAACATCCCCGAAGATCAACCCAAGTCGTTTCAATTCTCGAAACTGTCGAAGGTGATCGCTGAGGTGCCTGAGCACGAAGCATGTGCACCTGTTGTGCACATTTATAGTTGCGAAAAGGAGGTTCCATCCACTTATTCAGATGATCCAGGTAAACCATCTTACGCTAGTATAGCCTCTCTCGCTAATTTGAAATGCCATAGGAGTTCGAGAGATTGCGAAGTTCAAGATCGATCTCCAGGGCTTGAAGATCCCAACCAGATGGATCAAAGGACGACAGTATTACGAGGCTAAATTTGAAGTCGAGATGACACTGCACTCTGCTAGTTTGTCCTTTTGTGGTGTATATACTCATAACGGGGAAAAGAAAAGGTTCAAGGCAACGGATGTTCGTTTCCACTAACATATGTTAGCGGATGCGAGGTGATTGATGGAAACCAAATTGAATGAATCGTGTGATTTCTCTAGGGAAGCGAGGATAGTTTCTTGTAACTTATATTCAAAAAACTTTGAATTGATCGGGCCTCCATGAATAATTAGTGATCTGCAATATATACATACGATAGTTCTTGGTGTTTAGAAGCCAAGTAGGAGCATTCGCGATCACCACAGACAGTGTTCGGCATGCGCCAAAAAGTGTCGCCCAAATAGCAAGCGCTATTAGAACTATTGCAGGATAATTTCTATGAGAGCGAGGGAATTGCATGACCCATCATCGGGTCCGCGAACTACGCCCCCCACGTCCACCACGCACCACCGCCCTGGCAGGATGTGCAACAGCCCTCGAACTACCTCTATTGCTCGCAACATCAAATCCGCTATCATTCCCATCACTTTGTCCCGTATCCAAAACTGCATCGAATGTCTCACTGCCAGCATCAAAAGCCACGCCGCGACTGTGGCTAGCTGCCCGCCTACTATTCCTATTGTTTCTGCCCCTGTGGTCGCCCCCTCTTAATATCCCCCCTTCCCTTCGTGAAGGTGGTGGGCTCGCAATGTCAAATTCTCCATCAGTTGGTGGTCTCCCCGAACCGTGTGGACGTTGTGGTTGTACAGGGCGGCCTTGAGGGACAGCAGTACCACTACCTGCCGTTCGGACATCAAACTCGCCAGGATCAATCTTGGGTCGAGGGCTAGTAGGGCTGGTCCTCATACCCCCGCCTCTGATTGATGCGCGCTGACCGGCGTCGAATGTATCATCGGCATCGAATGTATCATCGGGTTCGTATGGACGTGAGAGAGGATTGATAGGAGGTCTGATAGGGGGTCTGATAGGAGGCCTAATAGGAGGCCTAGTAGGAGGCCCTGGATCAGGAGGTGGGCCCTTCCCAGTACCTGTTTCCTCGTCTGTTGAGTAGGGATCTTCGGGTGGCCATAAGCAATGCCCTCGGAAGCAGCGTATACCTAAAAACTCGATAGAGTAAAGAAGGTTAGTTGAACTATCTATAAAGAAAAGTATGCTGTTCTCATCACGATGCATACAGCAGAGTGACGTTCACTAGACCGCTCTGCTGCTGAGTCTCTCTTAAGGGGGATGCTACGCACATAAGATCAGAACAAGGAAAACAAACACTAGGATCGTGACAATTATAGCGATCCCGTCATTTTTTTCAACCATCTGTATGTTTGCTCTTTGAAGGATGTGTGTTGGGTGGAATTGGGCCTGGTGCAATGCGAGTTGCAGTGTCGTTCGCAAGATATGGAGGGCGAAATAGCCTTGGAGAGCCTCAAAGTCGCGCCATGCTCAAGATTAGAAACCGAATGGGGAACTGAATTGAAGACGCGTCATATTAGACAGTTTGGTTTCGTTCTGTATCATGGAATTTTCCATTACATGTGGAGGCTTGCGTGGAAAATCCGGTGACATGGGCATACACGGCTGCGCAATTTTTTGATTTTTCATCTTTCTTCTGTCAGGCTGGATTTGGAAGATGGGGTCTAGGGTAAGCACAAATGAGGGAACATCTAAGCAAGCAATACGAAGTGGGGTATACAAGTGTGCGCACAGGAGTGTAAGAATTTGTGGATCATTGCCTTTACATGTTTCAGCTGGGCTGCGAACTGCATGTGGTTATGAACACGAGTGGTTCGCGCACTCACGGTAATCATGATCTTCTGCGTTCGCCTGTTCCCGAATACATTTCGGTATGCCGAAGACGCACGCTCATTGTAGTACCCGGTTCAGCTCACCTATCTCCTTCCAATCAATGAATTTGTCCCTTCTCCATCTCGCTCCACGCTGCTATCAAACTCACCGGAGAACCATGTTTTGTATAGTATTATTGGATAAGAAATTGTGTGCAAGCGAAGTTTTGATGAATAGCTGCACGTCATCGCCGGAATTGGATAGCACAACCCCACCTTTTGTCCTGTAATGATTGAAGACCAACATGACACGAACAGTTCTGTTGGGAAATACGGTAGTTTGATTGTGAGAAATGCGTGATACGGCCTGGGCCCTTGCTGTGTGATGGTTATGCGGCTCAACTAAGACCAATGGCATTGGCTCATCAAAGGAAACACAGGATACGAGGGTTGCTTCGTGGACAGTGGAGCTGAAAGAAGCTGAAGTACAGCAGACTATTCTCTTCTGATGGGTCGATATCTGCATGATGGTATCTGCGATGATCATGACAGTAGCCTGATAAGATTATTTCGCTGATTTGGAAGTTCACCGGTTTCACCGAAGGCGCAATACTTCGAATCTGAACGACCATTCAAGCCTATCGCTCGTCGACGACTATATTTCGAGGATTAGTTGTGACGCAACACTACATACATCTTTAGCATGGGTTTTGACGCGTTTTTGAATGTGTTTCTACAAAGACAAAACAGACAGGCCAAAGCTCTTATCCACACACAAGGATAACTAGATTCGATCCGAAATGTTTATACGAGGATAAATTCGAGTCTTAATGTTATCTGTAAGCTGCACATAATTCAGCTAGTTCTTAATCAATTCAGTAGCTTCAGCCTGGCTGATATGTGCTGGTTTCTGCTGTATACCATCCACAGCAAAATCCCGATTTTCATATTCGCTGTTGGTAACGGAAGAGGTAAATATCCGGCAAAGGCCAATAAAGCTCGCCGCACGCCCACCGCGTACATGGTTCTGATTTCAAAATCTGTGATAATTAGTTGAGCTTACTTCAAACTGCCACTGTTCTATCTTGTATCAGGCACATGTCGCCAGTCCATTGCTTGTGATATTAAAAGAATAGATTCGGATTTAGAGTGTGGGTGACCCTAAAGACAACGATATAGTAATAGGAAATGTTTTTTTGGGTATCGCTCGGGTTGTTTTTGGTACTTATATTGCTTTAAACCCTTCGCTGTGTGTAGGATCACCTAAACTCCAACCCAAAAAAGAAAAATAGTAATAGCAAGGTATCTGTGATATTAAATATAAGGATCTATATAACGGTGCTGTGATTTCAAGGAGAAAAGCAAGTATGGGACATGTATGCTAAAAATGGCCATTGGTTGGAATCAATCCAGATGCAAACGTAGATATCACCTCTCCTCCAATTTCGCCTCTATTCATCCTGGCATAGTTGGTAAACATATAACGCAAACGCCGAAAAACATCCAAGTACGCAATGTACTCACTGTCCCGCAGCGAGACAGATGTAACGTTCAGGGAACATTCGACCAAATGTGTCCCAGCAAAATAATCACCACTGGCGAACAAAAAATTCTGAATGGCATAGGGCAGCAGACCCGAAGGAGAATAGCTTGCTCAGTTGTAGCCCGATCAATTCTCGATCTGACTATTTGCGCCACTCGACGAACGTTTTATGGAGCCCTATCCTTGCGTTTTCAAAAAAGTTATTTCTGTCAAGCAAACGAGGTTGATCAGATGCACGCGAGATATGCACTTCAGAGGGAGAGGAAGCAGATTGGGCCGAAGCGGACGACCCAGGACATCCCAAATCGAATTTCGGCTTCTTGGTCGCGGGGTCCAAAATCCCCCAGTCAAAATCATCAAGCGTGTCCTTCTCGAGCTGGAACCACCAGATGTTCTGCTTTCCGAAAGCCTGGCAGCCGACGTCGACCCAGTACTTGCGCATATCGTCCACGGAACCTGATCCTGTGCCTTCTTCTTTACCGGACGATGGCCAGCCTGTTTCAGTGATCCAGATGGGTTTATCGGACGCGTTTTTTGCGACTTCCGCCAGGGTTTTCGCGGTGCTTTCCTGGGCTTTATCGATGGGCTCGTTGCCCCAGAAGGGATACACCGTTGTACCGATGAAGTCGAGACCGTCCTGAGCGGCGAACTGCGCGACGTCTGTGTGACCAATGGGTGGTGGTGCTTTGAAGAGATGGTCCCATTGCTTCATAGCGTCGCGCACAGCAGTGACGTTACTTTTGACTTCCTCGGGAGTGGCTTGCATGGGACAGGGCTGGTTGTCGTTATGCTTTGCGCACTCTGGACTGGTGCGGTAGATGTCTTCATTACCCACAGAGATGCCGACGACCAGGTCGGCGAGCTTCTGACCATGGGTTTCAAAGGCGGCATTGAGTGCTTCCAGCTCGGTGGGCATAGCGGAGAGCCATAAACCAAGGAGAAGAGTCGTCTCTGTCTCTATAGCTGCCTTGAAAGCCTCACTGGGTTCCGTCGGCTTTTGCCACTGGGCTGTCTGAAAGAGACGCGCACTGTTGAACGATACGGAGGTACCAGGGAGGCTTTTTGCCTGGTTGAAGAGACGAAGGAAGTCTTCGTAGGTTTTTGGCGACTCATCTTTGGGCCAGAACGCTCCGTAGGAAAACCCGGCATGTGCCGTGGCATTAGAAGTAACCATTCCCGTAGAGTTGGAAAGCGAATCAGTTCGAACCACGATAGGAGCGGCGATCGCAGGTGCCAGCAGAGCTGCGGTGAATGCAAACACGGAAGTGCAGATCATTTTAGAAAAAGCTTAGCCAGTAAGCTTGCTTGGATTCGCGGTATAGTGGTGAGTGGGTAGTGAGGGCGAGCAAAGTGAGAATGGGGATGTCATTATATATGAAGCTCTTCGGCCACGGCATGTTTGACCAAGAAGAAGGATTCAGTGATGGGGGTATGGAGTGAATAAGAAGAAAAGTGGTCGTCATGGAACAAATGATATTATTCCACTGTTCAAGCACAAGATGTTCAAGGGCGAGAGCTTGGTTTGAGCGTTGAACAGAGCACTATTGAATGAGGATCAATCGATTGAATGAACAGATCAATATGTGACTGTTTAATGGATAAACGAGGGAGTAAACGGATTCCATGACGAGAGTAATGAGAATGGATGTATTATCGAACAGACATGTGTAGAGAATAGATGGACTGTGTGGAAGGACTGTGTAAGCTAGACAAAGTAACTAAGAGAGCTCAGCAAGACAAATCGGAGTGGAGATACGAATGATACACATTGGAGGTGGCTATGCTTGCTTGGAAGATTGAGTTGAATGCTGACGTGAACTCATAGACGTCTCCTGTTTAGAATGAGTGAACAACTTATCATTGATGCTTACATATGTAGTTCCTGGCAACACAAATAACATGTTACTTGGAAAACAGTTCGTCTTCTGTAGAGTGGATTGCGAATACGTCATGCTGCGATCAGTAGATACATACCTATACTATGTATATCGAAAGAATCATAGGATCACGATGGGACTCAGAGACGGATGAAATGGTGTTGGGGTTAGGTTTGGGGTTGTGGGGGGATGACGCATGGCTGGTAATGCAACCCCGCTGATTGGCTGACGGGGGTCGGGGAGAGAGCGGCGTCTCCGATGGCCGGCGATTTATTATTATTAAAAGTGACTGGCCTCGTCGTCCGCGATGCTTGATTCCTCTCACCCTCTTTGAGCGGGCCGCCCACCATGAATTCCCTCACACGATCAGCAGCCCCCTTGCTGCGCTCAAGATGCTCTCCGCGTCTCCAATGCCTCCAGACGTAAGCTTGATCGACCCAATTGTGCACCCCAACCCTCGCCCAACGCCAGCGAATGCACAGGTGCTAACCAGAGCTTACAGACGAGCTCTCTCCAGCGCCGCAGCCCGCTGGGCAAAGGCCGACCATGAACTCAACTCGGTCAGCAGGAAAATCACACAGCCCAAATCGCAGGGCGCCTCGCAGGCCATGCTGTTCGCCACGGGAATGGACGAGCAGGATATGAACAAGGCCCAGGTCGGCATCTCGTCCGTTTGGTACACGGGTAACCCTTGCAACATGCATTTGATGGATTTGAACAACAAGGTCAAGGAGGGTGTCGAGCGTGCGGGTCTGCTGGGCATGCAGTTCAACACCATTGGCGTGAGTGACGGCATCTCCATGGGTACAAAGGGCATGCGATACTCGCTCCAGTCGCGCGACATCATCGCCGACTCCATCGAGACCGTCATGGGCGGCCAATGGTACGATGCCAACATCTCCATTCCCGGCTGCGATAAGAACATGCCTGGTGTTATCATGGCCATGGGTCGCGTCAACCGCCCTTCGCTCATGGTTTATGGAGGTACCATCCAGCCCGGCTGCGCGTCCTCCATGCCCGAGGACAAGCAGATTGTCGATATCGTTTCCGCATTCCAAGCCTACGGTCAATTCATCACTGGCGACATCTCTGAGGAGCAGAGATTCGACATCATCAGGCATGCATGCAATGGCCAGGGCGCCTGCGGTGGAATGTACACCGCTAACACCATGGCTACCGCCATTGAAGTAATGGGTCTCACCCTCCCCGGTTCTTCTTCCAACCCGGCCAATTCCAAGGCCAAAGTCCTCGAATGTCTGGCAGCAGGTGGTGCCATCAAGAATCTACTCAAGGAGGATATCCGACCCACTGACCTCATCACTCGCCAATCCCTGGAGAACGCTATGATTCTCATCAGTGTGACCGGCGGTTCCACCAACGCTGTGCTGCACTTGATCGCCATCGCTGACTCGGTTGGCATTAAGCTTACCATTGATGACTTCCAGGCAGTGAGCGACCGCATTCCCTTACTCGCCGACCTTAAGCCTTCCGGAAAATATGTCATGGCCGACGTAAACGACATTGGCGGCACGCCCGCCCTCTGCAAATTCCTCTTGAAAGAAGGCCTCATCGATGGCTCCACAATGACAGTGACTGGCAAAACCCTGAAAGAGAACCTTGAAAAATCCCCCAGCTTCCCCCCCGAACAGCAGATCTTTAAGCCCTTGAACAAACCCATCAAGGAGACCGGTCACTTGCAGATCCTCCGCGGTAACCTCGCGCCCGGCGGCTCCGTCGGCAAGATCACAGGCAAAGAGGGTACCAAATTCGTCGGCAAAGCAAAATGCTACAACGACGAGGACCTCTTCATCGAAGCCCTCGAGAAGGGCGAGCTCAAGAAGGGCGAGAAAACCGTCGTCGTCATCCGCTACGAGGGCCCCAAGGGTGGACCGGGAATGCCCGAGATGCTGAAGCCCTCATCCGCCATCATGGGTGCGGGACTCGGAAACGATGTTGCCCTCATCACTGATGGTCGCTTTAGTGGTGGTTCACACGGTTTCCTGATCGGACACATTGTGCCAGAGGCGCAAGAAGGTGGTCCCATTGGCCTTGTGCGCGATGGTGACGAGATTTCCATCGATGCTGAGGCCAACGAGTTGAACCTCCATGTTGAAGAGGCCGAGATGAATCGAAGGCAGGAGGAGTTTGTTGCGCCGCCGCTCAAATACCAACGCGGCACGCTGTTCAAGTATGCGCGGTTTGTCAAGGACGCGAGTCATGGCTGCGTTACAGACGCTGCTTGATTCTCATCTTAACACGCAATCTATGAGGTTGAAAAGTGAATTTGAAAAGGGTAAAAACATTTGTATAATGAAAACAAGATTCCTAATTTCCCATTTGAACTTTTCTGGTTGTTCTTGCTCTTGGAGTGATTGTTGCATCGTTTGCTGAATTTTATGCTTTTCTTCCCCATCTTCTTCCTCGTTGGCTTTCTTTTCTGTATCTTGATATGTGTACATACGTATGAAAATGCATGCATACATATCTCACATGTTTTCACATGTCTAGCTTTGATCGTATACTGTGCAAACTCGTCTCGATGCTTGTGTTACCTGCCATCGACCAACGCTCCCACCTGTTGCTACATAGTGTCCTTTGGTCCCATCGACACAAGCATCGATTATCAAGGAGAGGAATAGAGATCATATATAAACGACATTTTGTCTCCCGTTAAACCCAGTAATCTTTGCTCTTGTGCGATTGAACATACTTTTCTTCTAATGCTCATCCATGTAATACATGCAGACTTAGCAACAATGATATGAAATACATGTGATTCACATGCACATGCATGTGTTCCTATTTAAGCATGAAAGTCATTCTAGTGGGAGAAAACATGCGTCCGAGGATTCACGTAGTAGGGAAAGCACAATATCTATAGGGATTGAAAGTGCATACATTACAGATGAGGAATAACTTGATAAAAGAAGTTCTGGAAGCATGATTTACGTAATTTGAAGGATCGAAGGACATGAAGAACGGTACGGGGTCTAGCATGAACAATGAAGCAACAAGTAACATGCAGGGACAGGGGGGAATTGTCAGCACCAGCTCAAATTGGAAAGTTGTCTGTGAACGCAGCCAGAACCATGCTCAGACACCCAGAGTGGCGAATGATACGAATTTATTAAATTATATAATTTTTTTTGGGTTTCTATCTTAACCGCTTGCTGATAGCACATGGCACATTATGCAGATATGATCGTGCTCTATCTGCATGAGAAGAGGGGGATGGGGTTACCTAGGATAGCGAACGGGTATGGTACCAGATTGGCGAAGCCAACCGCACGTCCACGTACACATGCAAGCAGGCGACCAGCACACATGCAAGCGTTATCGCCGTTGGATTAACCGTATGTTTAATATGTGGAACACGATAGCAGCCCAGAAAAGCAACGGGGTGAAGGGGGAGCAAAAGCCAGCGGTAATCGCGCCATTCCGAGGCAACACGCGATCCTCGCAATCTCTGCTTTACACCGGACCTCCCCCTCCCCCTAACCCCTCACCATCTTCGCTTCGTATTCCATCTAGACCACAGCCATACGCGTCTTTGCATCGACGGAAGCCCGCACAGTCGGGTTGCCGCACATCCTTCAGGCGTGTCCAGCCCGGGCCAATCGTGTTGCGGCGGAACATTGATTGGTCCCCGTTCGCGTATCGCCTCGGAGACCCGACCCGTTCTAGTTGCAGCAGTTGCTTGGATGTGCCCACCGAGAAGTAGATGAAGACGGCGAGGTCCAGCATGCGGAACATGCAGCTTCTATTTTTCGCGGATCCCGAGCTGCTACCCTGGTTGGGCAGCCTGATGAAGCGGGCTGGCCAAATTGGCGGACAAGAACGAAAGACTGAATGTAACGAATCCGTGGGTCTCCGGTATGTTCGCCTTGCGCGCCGTCATATCTGATAATCTGCAGTAGTCACCCGAGGAGAAGTTAGGTGCCTGGAAAGATCGTCTTGAATGGTAAACTATTGTATCGTAGAAGTTGAATATTGAGACTCGGAAAGTAAAGGTAGTCAGCTAGGCGCCAGAGATACAAGCGGCGATTCGACGAAATTGAAATTGAATTCCTGGTTCCAATCGTGTGGGATGTTATAAGTCACAGGAGGAAGTAGGTTCGCAGCCTCGCCTGTGGTAGCTGCATCGAAAACGTTCCAGCATTTCATCGAGCTTGACGCATCGACACCGTGTTGTTGGTATGCGTAGAACCCCTCGACCGGTTCTCCAATGGGTGTGAGTGGTTTTGGAACGAGGGCCGCCTTGTGCGCTAGGAAATCGGTATACTCCTTCTTGACGCCTGCAAGCTCTCGTTCATACTCCTCGAGGCAGCGCTTTGCCACCGTCCATCGTTCGGCCACGACCAGAAAACAAGCGGAAAAACAACCCATCCATTGCTCAATCGTTTTCCAAGGATATAGTTCGGATATCTCCTGTTTGCAACGTTGCAGCGCATGCAAGAAAATGTCGGCGCTGTTGAAGACGTGATGGCATGGGTGGAATACATATTTGATCCTGCCGAAATCGGCGTTGTGCTGTTTCCAGTATCCCTCGGCAACTTTGACGGCGTTGACAAAAGCGGTCATGAGCTGAGCGGTACTGGGCGTTGGGTTGAGCGACGAGGGACGATGCAGGACAACAAAGATGTATGGGACTGCAATGTCCGAGTACAGCTTCATTTCCTTCCATCGCTCATCGAACCCACGATCCTGGTTTGCAGAGGCGTTGGCGTATATTTCGCTTTGCCAGTCGATGATTCGCTGCTCGCAGTCCTGCATCCAGTGCTCGAAGGAGTTGAATTGTTTGGGTACCGGTTGACCGTGGCGGGTGACGGCAAATATTTCTGCTTCGACCAGGCGGAAGAGGCAGATTCGGCGGGAAGTGAATTTGGATATACGCCCGGTAAAGTCGATCCGGTCTCGGGTAACGGCGACATCATCCACTTCGACTGGGAAAGCAACTTCAATGTTGCGAATAGGGAGGTTGACAGGGCGCTGGAATATGCTGCAAACGCCGACTTCCATTTCCCAAGCGCACCAGAACAAGCGACGCCTCATGTCGCGCTCATAAGCTGATACTCCCGGGTTCTCAGGTAATCCAGAAGCCGGTCTCTTTTTTGGTTCGTCAGGTAATTCGTGATGCAGACCCAAGTCGATGACGGCTTGACTGATCAGCCCCGTCAGGAGCCACAGATCGGCCATCTCCGGGTTGAGAAAGATGTATTGAGTAAGGAGGAGGATCGCTTGCAGACCGCTGATGTCGTTGGTTGCGACTGAGGGGATGTATTGCATAGCTTGATGAACCAGAGTATAAGCGAGAGCGTTGGCCTTCTTCTGCTGGGTGCGAGCAGCTGTCGAAAGCGAAATAGCCATGATGATGCTAACAATGAAGCGATTCCGGGGGGAGTCATTGTTAGGGTTGGAGGCAGGGTAGTATATGGAGTTGAAAGCGGCGGTGACATCGCTTCTATGATAGATGGGGTACTGTGTGATGACGCGATCAAGGTAATTGTGAAAGAGGCCATTCGCAATCTTGTGGTCAATGCGTTCGAGGGTATTGGCCGAAGGCTGAGGATTCATTATGGACTTGGGGTGGTTTTCATCCAAGTCGTTGGATCCCATGGGGCCCTTGCGTGATGGAAGCTGGGTGCCTTTGACGACACAGCTCAAAATGGGAGTGGTTTGTGAGATGCCCAGGAAAGAAGGGGTGATGTCTTGCATGGCTTGGCTGACCAGATCGTCGGCATAGGTAGATTTGTTGGCGTGCAAAATCGGGGGACGAGCTTCAGAGTCGTTGGAAGCGGTTGGAGAGGGGAAAGCCAGGCTCGGACGAGGTGGTGGGATGCGTGTGGAGGTGGGACTTGCAGGGTTATCCAAGCTCCGAATATGGTTCTCCAGGAAGTCGGCGAGGCTGCGGGGAGCCTCGCTTTGAGTAGAAGAGTCGAATCCTACGCAAGGCACGCTTGCGTCGAGACAGCGGGTGCAAGAAGGGACTTTGCCATCACACGAGAGTTTTCGTTTCCGACAGCGGGCGCATGCCAGCACTCTTCGACGCACCTTCAGACGGTTCTGCATGGTGAAGACTGGGGAGAAGACGAAGAAGATTGGGGTAGTGGGTGGTGAAGACGATGATGACGACAGTGACGCTGGCAATGGCGGGCAGATGGCAGCATGTCGATATCAAACAGCTAGCAGCGGGTGGATTCGAATTCGTGGGGGATAAGAAGAAGGTTGGTTGGTTGGTTGGGGAGTGGACGCCACTTGGGTGTTTGCAAGAGGTATGTATACACTGATTACACATGCAATGCCCAGCAGTGGTGATGCACAGGCATATCCACATGCATCATCTTGTGCACAGTCGAGTGCCGCACAGTGCCGCTGTAGGTTCAAGAAGAAGAGAAGAGAGGAAGAAGTGGTTGTCGCCAAAGATTGGATCAGTGATTGAGGGAGAGTGGAGAGAGAGAGAGAGATAGGACGGCGCTGGCTGGCTGGCGGAAGCGGAAGCGAATCCTGGGTGCAGGAGGGGCTAGCCGGCAAGAGCGCTAGTTCGGGGGGAAGGATCGACTCGAAGCATGCGTCAATCAGGGAAGGCGCCACTAGCCCCTCCCACATGCCTGCCTGCCGCGACGGGGGGTGTGGTCGAGGTCGAGGGGAAGGCACCGCGCCGTTTGGTGATTTGCTCCAATCGCTATCTATCTATCTAGGTATCTACCAACCACCACTCCACTCCGCCCTCTACTCTATTCTACTCCACTCCATCCCAACTCCACACCTCCTCTCGACTCTGCCCATCTACGCCACTCCCGTTCACATACATCATATGGTACAGCACGGGTACACAAGAGACAGTCCACCAGCAATCAATCAACAATAAAGTAACACAAGCGCCAAACATAGTCCTTCTTCTTCACCAACCATCTCATCTGGGCTTGCATCCCTCGATCAATCCATTATCCCATCACCACCACGGCCAATCCATCCGCCGCTTTTTGCACTCCCCTCCCTTCAGGCATCCAGTGCCACGATTCATTCCACTGATTCATCCATTCGACAAGTCCCAGCCCCATGGCGTAACATGGCTACCGCTACCACTGCCCCGTCGTCATCATCCTCCAGCCGCCATGTCGGTAACAGCAACAGCATGGCCACTGTTACCCAGTATCCCGTACCCGGCCCGACTGTGACACCCTTGAATCTCGAAACCTTGATCCAGAGCTTGCCAGCCTGCCAGCGCTGTCGTGAGTGTCGCCGTGGGTGTGATACCCTCCTTCCAAAGTGCAGGTTCGTACAACCCATGTCTTGCCACACGCTCCAACAACTCACATCTTGCTCTTCGCAGACAATGCACCAAGGCTGGTGTCAACTGCATGTACAATGACCACGGCCGCGATGAATTGGTCTCGAGAAGGTAGGTGCGCCCACCCATGAAATGACCAGCCATCTTCAATGGTCCATCAGACTCATCAAGTACGCAGTTACATTTCGGACCTAGTCGACCACGTGCGCAGACGATATGCACAGGCATACAATCCCTCCCCGCCTGCCTCCGGTGGCACTCCCCAGGAACCACTTTCTGCTCTGTCAGTCAAGACGGAATCCATCGACTCCGTCTTGCCCGAGCCAAATCGTCACCATGAGCATTACTTTGCCGAGGCATGCGGCACCTACCGCTATTTGGGCGCGGAGTCGTGTCTCGTCAAGTCTCCTCGTCTTCAACCCGTTGACTACCATAGCCCCTTCGGCAGAGATGACGACGATTGGGAAATTAGCTGGAACCAATCTGCTGCCAAGAGCTATGAACTTGTCGAGGTTTTTCTCGACTGTGTCCAGCCTCTTTATCCTGTTCTGGACTTGGAAGCTCCTTACCTGGCCCGCCAACCCCCCTCTACCATGAATTCCGTGGAGCTCTTCAGCTTGAACATGGTCTATTCTATTGCTTGCCACGTTATGCCTGGAACCACGCGAAGGCGACATCCACAACACCAGTGGAACCCTTCGGGTAATCTCAGTTACCACATGGCAAATTCTACCAAGTATCGTGCCATGGCAGAGAAATTCCATGGCGTGGCCGCAGAGCACCTCGAAGCTTCAACATCAGATTCCTCTATTGATACCCTGAGGGCAATTCTCTTACTCGCCATTAATAGCTTATTCGACCCAAAATCCGGGAACATTGGACAGCAGGTTGCCCTTGCTACTCGCTTGGCATTGGCGCTGGAGAGTCGTCTCGAGGGTCACGATCCGCTGTCCAAAGAAGCTTTGATAATTCGTAACATGCACTCCACAATTTTTTGCATCGAAAACGAACTTGGCTCTGCGCTGGACAGACCTGCTACGTTTCCAGAGCCTGTAAGCGTTCATCGCGCTCGTGCATCTGTGCTTCGTTGTTATTAACACATCTCAGGAATGGGCATTGTCCTTCGATCCGTCGCGATCCTCTGACTATCTTTGCTCACTCTATCGTTTGCAGCACCGGTTTCGCAAAAGTGATGCTGGTGGCCGGGAAGCGGTCAAGAGACACCTTCCACTTCTAGACGAGAAAAGTGTGCTCCCCCCGAGTCTTCGTTTGAACCTCCACCAAACCCACTTTCTACTCAACCCTTGCTGGCACACAGCATGGTATGTTATTGAATCCGTTGTCAGCACTGGCAGCATTCATACATTTTTAACCCCGCACTGGGTATATCGAGCAGGTACATCACTAATAGAGAACATGCCCAGCATCCTCCCGGGAAATCTGATTCAGTTGTATTCCAACGCGCTGGTTGTATTAGAACTCTCTTCGTGGAAATGGCCAAGTGCATCAGCGTTATCCGCCTCCTTGTCCGAAACCTTACAGCGCATGAAATCACAGCACCAAGAGGACTGGGATGGTACCTTGCAGAATTACGAGATGAATCAATGAAATGCGTTTGGGTCAGCTTTCGCACTATCTCCGTATTGTACGAATCGATCTTCCCAAACACGAATGAAGGCCTGCTCAGGTTCAAATCAACCCACAACGGTTGGATCTTGTCGTCTCTTCTGTCAGAAGAACTATTCACAGGGTTCCGATGTTCACCGTCATCCGTCATGCAATACAGGTGCGCTTACTGACTCATAATTCCAATGCGATGGTCTCATCCGATTGCGTAGGCCGTCCTACTCTCACAATCCCTCGTCTTGCCTTCAAGTCCATGACTATGTTGAATAACGTCTCACTTCCACTCTCCAAGGTCTCTAAACGGCATATCGCGCTGGGCAAGTTTTCCTCGTTTTCGAACAGCGAGCTGATGTCAGTCCATTCGGGTGTATCGGTCAATTTGTCCATGCTCCGTCGCATGGTTTGGAGACGAACTAGAGAGTCTTTGAGCCACACGGTATCTCTTTCGTTGGGGTGCGATTCCAGCAGATGGTTTGTATGAGTTACTATTCCTCTATCATCTGAGCGGCAGTGCGCGAATGTGCTTTTTGTAAATTCCAAGCCTAGCACGTTGATGGGGTCTGCCAGAAGAATGTGCGACGAAGCTGCCATGCCATTTTCTTCCAGCCTCTTCACAGCTTCGTCTACACTGGTGCTCTCAAGAGCCATACGCAAACCAAAGTGCACGGGCAAGCGCGTGGGGTCGACTCCTGGGACTCTGATGGCATTGAGTAGGGTCCCGACGCCTGAAGAGTTGAACCCGATTTTCCCAATAATGCCAGCTTCAGTTACTTGGATAATAGTCGGGTGGCCAGGCTGAGTGATTCGAACAATGACCAGATTCGTTTTCTGCTCCTTCATCCACTGCATTACAAGGGATTAGCACTGTACATTCCATAAGTACAAGTGAAGGGGAAAAAGGAAAGAAGGCTGGAAATAAGACTATAGACATGCAACACCATGAAATCAAACAGTGAGAGTACACATACATCCCAGTTCTGCGCCAACCACACTTTTTCTCCTCTTCCCGCGGTCCGCCACCCGAGCGCCGTACACCCATCCCCCCACATGCCAAAATTGATCTCTGTCCGCACGTTGATCGCCACGATATCCAACAGATCCTTGCCGGCACCGTCTGCAATCCCGCGCATCTCGTCGTGATAGGCTTGCCATTTCTCCTTTGCGGTTTCCTCGAATGCCCGCGCGCGCAGACGCACTTGGGGCCAGGTAAGGTTGCAGTTTTTGAAGAAAAGGGAGGCGTAGAAGGATATTGTCGAGCTTATTTGAGGGGAGAGGGCTAAACCCTGTTGGTTACCTATCTGTGACGAGTTGGCGTTGGATTTATGGAATTCAAAAAAGTCCCTCGCTGTACAGTGATGGACAACGTATGCTTTGATAGTTTGTAGATAACATGTACGTACCTCGTAGGGTGTACCTTTGCATTCAATCTGCAGCATCTCTGTTGAAGTTTTCTTTGTGTGCCGACGTGTTCCTGAAGTTGTGTCGTGTGTGATCTTTATAGTACGGTATCCTCACTGCAGCAACCTAATACACCCAGAACCTAGGTAATCTACGCGAGATGTGTGTGATACAGAGACACTTCCTCGGTTGTCCTTCTCTTTCTACTGTATCAAACTTTGGCGATGCGTTCAGAAGATGCCGTGGGACGAGGTGGGATGAGGTGCTTGCTTGCGTCATCTGGTACAGCAATTGTTGGTTGATATATTCTTAGACGGGCAAGGCGGGGCCCCGCTATGAGGAGAAAGGGGACCGAGGCTCTCATCACCCCACTTTTGTTTACTCCCCACATGGAGGTGGGTACAGATGTAAGTATGTAAGCGTGGAGTAAGGGGTCCCGTGAGAACTACTTTGGAGTGGATACCACGGAGTTCTCATTTTCAATATCAGTGAAAATCCCAATTGATGGAAGAAATATATATCGAAACATGAAACAGTCCAGGGGATTTTATGGCGCATCTTTCAAGGCCAATTCTGGGATCCACCACCTACAGCTTTCCACGTCACGATCACAGTGTAGTACGCAATCAAATATACGTCATATCTACTCTAGATAGTCCCCGAAGTTCCAGATTCCATTCCCATTCCCATTCCGCATCCCATCTTCCTTCACTTCTTAAGCTAATCAGCAACAAGACAACTCCAAAGTTCCCTCGCCAATCCTCTTTCCATCCGCCTTGGTCTCTTCATCAACACGTCGTTGATTCTAGCCCTTTCCTCCTCTCTAGCTTGCTCCTCCTCCAACTCCTCCAAAATCTCCGCGCTGATCATCCCGACATCATTGCCGCCGCCTCCATTGAAATCGAAATCGAAACCGGCATCTCCGGCATGGGGATACGATGTGCGATTATGTGCATGCGTTGGTTGTGTTATGTGAGTGTGCGGAGCTGTGCTGGGATGTGAGGAAGTATGTGTAAGCGTTTGCGTTATCCCCAACGCGTTTGTTGTATTTTCGTACGTGAAGTCCGGGTTCGGTGCGGCAGCGGTGGCTGTGGGAGACGTCGGGGGTGATATTGCTGCTGCGGCTGACAAAGGCCCTTCCCAACCCCATGATGCCCCCGCTGCAGTCATGCCATGGGATTGTGGTATCGAGTTCGCAGCCATGGTGGTGGTGCCGATTGGAGCGAGTTCTACTGGCGCTTCGTTGTTGCTGGTGTTCCGATTGTGGCTGTAATTGTTGTCATTGGAATGCTCGGGATACAGGTGTGGAAGATGTTGGTTGATAGTCGCAGTAGGTTGAGGGGAGGAGAATGGCGAACGGGGAGTGGATCGCTCCAGGGGCGAAGGAATCTCGCCTAGATCAGAGAGGACATAATCCGAGGGCGTGAGATCTCTCACGTCAACGGCGCGGGAATGAGGGTGAGTGTACTTATAGGAAAGGTAGAGGCCGGCGAAGATCAGTGGCTAAAATTTGGGCACTTGTTAGTAGCTTCTTACTTCAAATACGATTTCCGAAAAAAAAAAAAAAAGACGTGGGAGGTCCCAAGGGCTCATATAGAAAGCGGAGATGGGGAGTGCGAGGGTTAAGGCAGAACTCACACCTATCCAAGCCCCCAACACATCGCAACCCAGCGCAACTTTGTTTTTCAGTCGAGGTTCTCCAGGCCTGTTAGAGCATATAATCCATAGAGCAGGTACACCGGACCAGATTATAATGAAAGAGCACCCTGCGATACCAATGTACGCGGGGAGCGGTTGCCAGCGTGATTTGAACATGCGAGATATGTACAGGGCATCATTTCGGCTCAAGATCTGACGGCGTTCAAGGCGTGCTAGACTGTATGCCACTATCAGTACGACCCATGAATCCAATATAATTCAAGATCGTCCAAACGAGAGACAGAAAAAGGGAGAAAACAGGGTGGTAATGAGATTCCAGCTTACCCGGCCTTGAATTTCAAGAAAGTAACACATTCGCAAATATAAACAGTCGCAAGGGACCCCGTGTAGAATGAAGACATGGTCTGTCTAGGTTGCGAATAAGCATGGTGGCTTAGTCCTGACAGCGCGATGAACCCAAATGCGGAGCATAGCAGGATTGCACGGAGCGGTGTGTGTCCATTGTTCGTTTTTCCGAAGACATCGGCGATGCGCGGGTGTAGGTACGTCTGTGCGAGCATGAACACGCTGCGCGATGCCACGTAGAGTGCCGTATTACCGGCTGTATATGCTGAGATGATGAAGAAGAGGTTCAAAGATTTGGAAACGCCACCAAGGGCGGAGGTTTGAACCGCGACTACAAAGGGAGATAATGTAATGTTGCCATTTTCTGCACCCCAAATGCCAGAAAGGGAAGGGTCGGCGTAATTTACGTTTGCGGCGGCAGACATGAGAACGAATGGATAGAGAGTCAAAGGGACAAGATATACGAAAGACATTACTATTGGAACGTCTTTCCATGGTTCCTTGGATTCGCCGGCGGTCATGGCGGTCATTTCGCCACCCACACAGGAGAACATTGCGAAGGTCACAGACGTGCTGGACCATTAGAGCTTTAGTAAATATACACTCATCTTGATGAGCAACGGAGGCTACGCACAGGAAACCAAAAAGGCGACCGCCGGAGCCAGGCAGACCAAAATCGCTGTCAGGGACGCCAGAGGGATGCACCGATACATTGCTTGTGCTGTTGAATCTGGCAGGTTTCAGACCAGGAGGGAAAGCATACGTGGTGTAGTCTAAATACACATCAGCAGTGTATTGAAGAATGCAGAGAAAATCGACATACTGCCACGATAAGAGCCTGTACGCTGTCCAGCACCTATACATGTCTCGTGTCAATCATTGCTCCAATCTCAATTGTCTAATCATGTACGACATTGCCGACATATAGGTCATCGATCTCAATGATTTCACATACCTCCGGCGTTGACTACAATCATCAAAACACAGCATAGAACAAACAAACATAGCTTGAAGACCATTATTACCTAGTGGAAATCAGCATGAAAATGGGAGTGTGAGGGAGTGCGTAGGTACCCTTTCTATCCTACCGTATAGCTATCACATCATTAGCTGTGTTCTCGTATGGGGTGGTGGGATTGTGGGGACGCACCTTGACTCCCATACAATGCGAAAGAGTGGTGAGTGCAATAAAGGCGATGTTTATGCCTACTTCCACTCCTGTAGGATGTTTCTTTTGATCATCTTTCAGCAATGCCGTGACTTCTGCAGAATACGCCGTAAGTGTCGCCATGGAAAAGATGTTGGCCAGCCTTGCGCAAGTTAGATATTCCCATCGCTTTCGTGTTCGAGTTGACTTGGGAGAAGCAAAGATCTTACGAGTAAGAAGCAGCGACTGCAAACCCGGCGGCAGGGTGGAGAAAATGATGAGGGAGATCAATCAACGCACCCGTCACTAGATTTGGGAGTGAATAGTCAGTCACTCGCAGACAAGACGTTTTATTACAAAGAGATCGAAACTTCAGAAACTGCAGCAATTGATGTCTTGTTATGCTGAGGTGCACTTGGGCTAAACCTACAGGGGCGGCTCGCTACCATCTCAGTGAGTGTATATAGAACACATGCTGAGATGATGCCAGCGATAACGTAGCTGAGAGGTCCTCCTAGCGACCCTGATGTCGTGATCAATTGACCCGAGGTGACGAATATTCCGACACCGATACATCCAGATATTCCGATACCTAACTCAATTCATCAGTGAATCGAAAAACGATAAATATGAAAGGGTGAGGCACCAGTGAGTTGGGGACGATTTAGAACTCGATCAAGATGCTCAAAATGGTCCACATAGTAGGGGCTCCTGGTGTGTGGGTCATAAGGTCAGCAAGGGCTAATAGATGAAGAGAAAGTAAGCATGTTCCCATCATACAGAAGACACAATGCAAAACAGTACAGCCTGAGGAAATATGTACGCACCGGTCCAAGGGTCGTTGCTGTTTTGTCATGTTTCAGTGTCTCTAAGAGTCTCGCCAGAGAGAAAAGCGCAGTTGTGGGGAAAGGTGGAAAGCTCGGAAGAAGGATGATGGAGGCCGACCAACTGGAACTTGTTTTATGCGAATACAATCTAGAGTTGATAGGCCGGGCATGTGACGAAATACCAGTGTTGGTAGATCAGGCAGTATTGTAGGCATCCATCTCGTATCCAGATGGTGCTTAGCCCTTGGTTGCTGCAGCTGGGCGGGGGCTTAGACGAGGGCGTGCAGGACCTGAACGGTTCTTTACCGTGGTGCGTGAGACATGAAGCCGCAGAATGTTGGTGAATACGGGAACGTTGATGCTATGCCGGAGCGCAGATTCCAAAAGGTTATTATGGTTTCGATTTGCCTTCATCACGGTGGGGGCTGTATTGAGGCTCGGAGCAGAGGGTGGCAAATGGTTGGCAGAGGAGCGATGACCGACAAGCAACTGAGGGACGCCTGAGAGACGGTGCGGCATTTATGAATCCTTGGGTTTGCCTCATTTTCCAATGGGAGCAGTGTGAGGCGTGCGACTCGAGTTCGGGGAAGAGTTCGTGTGTTGTAGTCGAGGGTAGATTAGTTCCGGCCCCGAAGGTGGCGTACGCTTGCCTTATCTATTCTACCGAGAGCACGCGGAGTGGTCAGCCCTTGCATACCTACACATGTACATTTGACACCTCACCCCCCCCAACGCCCTGGCACGCGTAATCCATCCAAACTCCAGGCAGTCATCTCGAAATGTGGGATAAGCCCCCCCGCTACCTTCAAAACATCCATCACCCTCGATCCAGCCTGGTAACCCTCCTCCACCCTCCGGAATTGCTTTGATATGGCCCCAGATAAGGGACGCTTCCTCAAGCATCGCAAACAATGTCTCGATCAACCTCCTACTCTTCTTCCAGCGCGTCGCACGGTGGGCTGTCCTTTCCCATGTTGAACGAACACTTCCACACCTTGCCACCTACGTTGGGTGCGACGACCGAGGCCCGGTTGCAACAGCATCGCCGCCGGCTTTCCTTACGTGACTCCAGCCTAGTGATATCTACCGCCTTGTCGGGCACGGCATGGTTAGCCACAGCAACAATGACCGACATCGTTTTGTACGATTTGAACAGCCAAGATCGTACCCAAGATTTCAAGCCCCAGCGCGAGATCCCCATCAAGATGGACTCCAAATACGAAAAGATTCGCGCAATCGCTATTTCTGATCATCTTCTTGCTGTTGTGACACATTGTCGTCTGCTAGTCTACGAATACGCCCAAGACGGCGAAGAGAACCTGGTAGATGATGTGCGCATCGACGTGAATCAAAGCTGGACCCCCAAATCTGTGGCCATCTTGCAAGCCAAATACTCTTCCAACATACCGCAAACCGATGTAGCTTGCATCGCTGTCGGTGGCGAAGGGGTGAATGGTGTGAAGCTTTTCAAATTCTCCAAAGCGACGTGCTGGACTGCCCATCGCAACCATCGCATCATCTTGAAATGCCATAGCGCCACCAGTTCAATTCGAGATGTGGGGTTTTCGCAATTCATCCACGCAAATCGTTTCGTGGTTTTCGGGGTGACATCTGATAACCGCATCATGTGTTGGGATGTTTGTTCGGATGGGTCTTCAGCTCCAACAGTTCTACGTGGCTGGGTAGTCGACAGTGATGCAGGGCGCAGCTCCCTCGTAAGTGAAACCGTGGTTGACAAGTTTCAAGACAGGCTAAAAATTGATTAGTCACATAGAGCAGAGATAACATCTGTTTCCATCTTTGATTCCCCATCTGGCCGACCGTACCTCTTCTGCGCGGTGAACCAAAAACACGGATCACAACAGCTACGGAGCTGCGTGGTACCTTTGAACAGAGAGTCGATCAACCTTTGTTCGGACGCAGTATCCTTGCCTAGCCAAGTGGCTGGGAGACACGTACTTGCCGGTGCCGTATCTAGCAATGGCCGTTTCCTTGTTACTGTGCAGGAAAACAGTATGAAGCTGTCAACACTCCGAGGAGCGTACCAGGGAGGAGTCACGTGCCTCGAAAGTCATCTGGACTGGCATTCCCCTCTAAAAGGGACCGCCAAGGACATGACTGGAATATCGCTGTTTCTCAAAGAAGGCCAGAGTCGCCTTGAAATTACGGCAGTGGACGGGCGAGGCCATCTGTCATTCGCAACAATCAGCACGCCCTGCGTGCCGATTTCTCAATCTTTGTCACTGGGACCCCGATTGCGCAGAATGACTCCCGAGCTAGCCGCCGAACCGATCATCAGAGAGCTGGATGGCGAGGGCATGGCAGACGAGATTGTAGTTCGCCTTGGCTAAAAGCACATTGTAAGTAACAACGCGAAAGCCAGTTTCTGTAATCATGCTTAGCAACTGATTGGATACTAATGCAGAACAAGTAGAGGTATATACTACTGCTCACTTCGCTCCCTTCAAATCGGCGGTTCCTCCCAGTACATTGGACGGAGATCGCCCAGACTGTATTCTTTCGAAGACTCTCAGAAATCATTCATAGCAGGATGTTTTCCAGCATCGGTCAGCATCTCAGAAGTCCATTGTTTGATAAACCCCCCCCCGAAAATGCGACAATACAATCGCCTACCAGGTTGCGGACCGAGAATACACAAAACAGACGTATTGAGGAGCAGTTGAATTTGGACAAGGTTTTCATTCAAAATTATTAAACAGTTCACACCAAAAGAATATTTTGATATCATGCGGTGGACCCCGTAACCATGGGAGTCTTCCAGATTGCCTTCTTTCCAAATGCCGGATCCGGGCGACAATCGTCACCATATTCAATAAAACCCAGAAAGTAAGTACGTGCTTGCTTGCGCTCCTCAAATGCGTTGTACCAGATATATTGCTCATGTCGGTCGGGTATTGGCTTTTTCGACTGACTGGCGGCTCCACTCTTAGATCAGGAGGTATGCGAACATACCCATAGCTCCGGCAAAGGCCGAGCTGTACTGGAGAGTAGCAGCGCCGTTTGTGTTCTCGGCGGGACCGGTTCCGTTTCCGCTAGCGCCACCTCCGGCAGCAGAGCCGTTGGATGCAAGGGAACCACCGGAACCAGCAGTCGATGTGGGAGAAACGTTGTCGGAGGCGTTCTTGGAAGCCTCGATGAACTTCTCGACAGTGTTTCCAGAGGTACTAGTGATTGTTAGAATGGATCTTGATCATGGTGAAGAATAACGACGATGCTTACGGTGCGTTGATGGCGCCCACCATACCGCCCTGACAATGCGAACCCTGGGTGCAGTAAAACCAGATGGGGGCACTGGCATTCTTGACCTCATATGTGAAGGTTGTCGCTGCGGCCTTCTGGGTGCTGGGGATGAAGCCAGACCAGAAACCGTTGGCCAAAGGCTCGCAAGGTTTGGCGAAAGCTGCCTGTGCCACGGAGTGGTTCTTGGGCCAGAACTTGAAGGTAACGGTGTCGCCAACGACGGCTTTGACGTTGTTTGGCTCGAATGTAAGGGAACCGTTACCGACAACGACGAGATGATCGGCGGCGTAGACGGAGCTCACCAGAGCGGTGGCAGCAGTGAAGATGGAGAAACGCATTATGATTGGTTGTGTGGAGAAAGAGACTAGCTCGATTGGGTAAATTGAATAGAAAGAATTAGAATCGAAGTATAAGGTGTGAAACTGTATGTGTGAATGATGGGATTGACGGGCCTGCCTGGGGAAGAAAATGCAGGTGAGGGCATTTGAGGTAGTTTTATACAGTATGCCAACGAAACGCCTAGGCGGGAGAAGAGTCCAAGAAAAGGCTCGACATGAGGAAAAACCATGGTCCAACACGTTCGCGACACATGGAGTCTCGGGAGCCTGCCCCAGTGGCGTTGCACACGTAGTCACAGGAGGCTGGGAATGCGGACGGAGAAACGAAGCATCAAGGGAAACGAATATGATTGGAGACTGCGGCTACAAGGCACTGGTTTCCCGCTGTTCGATATCTGAGAACCACTATGTTTTGCCTGAGGTGCCGTGTGTTCAGGCTAGTCTTCGAAGCGAAGCTCGAATTGGGCTGTCTTGAAAGGGATGAAACTTGGTGAAGGCGGCTGCATGCAAAACTTGAGACGTCGATGAAGCAAGCTTGGGCCAACGTGAGCCGGTAACCGGAAGCTCCCCACAGTGTCGGCCAAGTCACAGTTGTCAACTCAACAGTCACAGGATCCGTCAAAAGTCGAAAGGGAATAGGAAATAGAGGAGGCGAACCGTGTTTGGGGTTGACAGAGCTATTCTCACGTTCGTCTTAGCGCCTGGTGAGGAGTGGGAGAGAGAGTGTGGAGCTCCAACGGCTCGGAGGATTTTGGCTGCCGTTTCTCCTTAGCGCGTCACGGGGCGGACGTGATGACTAATGCTAATGCGTGACTCTGCATGTAATTGATCTTGTACACATACATCTGATCACTGAGTTTCAACGTATTCGAGATAGTCGTCACGCGTGAAGCTTGCGGGACAGAATCTGGTCAGTGGAAATGGTACTGGGGCGGAGGTCGTTCGAACGATGCAAAGGAATTCGTTTCAACAGGCGAATGAATGTCCGTGGTTTACTTAGGTGCTATGTACACCGCACCGATGATACTGCAGTCCTCTGCTCCAAGTATACTCTATCTAGAGCAGCTCGATTTAACAGAGAAGCAATTGTTCTTAGTGCTCTACTCGAAAATTTGGAGGGTTATGGAAACACTAGAGATAGATCGTGGCCACTCACCGTAAGCTGGAAGATCATTACGAAACAATCATGATAATCATGTCTCCTTTTCCATGTGAGAATGAATTGTGCATGAATTTGCCGAGAACGTTTGGAGCAGGCCAAGATGATATCAATCGATCTGTACCGAGGTGTACTTTTTGCCCAATGGAATCTGGTTTGCGATCTACATGAAGGCTAAGGGGACGTTTCGTCCACGGACATTTGGCTAGAAACATCAATAGACTCACCCCTTGCTCGTATGATCTAAAATAGAGACGTAGATATGATTCTCACACGGTCATACTTGCTTCTTCGTCTACGTGGGAAGTGCAAACATGCCTTATCATAACACTGTTTTGCGCCTAAGCCAATAAATCTGCGCCATTTACAGCCTTTCATGTTTCAAAGAATCTATCTAAGCAATTTCAACGCATATTTTCGGTTGGAACTCTGTAGCGGTTACCTCGATGTGATTCTTTGGGTGATTCAAGACTCGGTAGCCAAATCGGATCCTTCTGATAGCTACAAGTGGTGCATAATATCATTGGACCGAAGCATGCTCCGATTGTTCATCATGCGGCCCTTTATATTCCCCCAACTTCTCAACCTGACATCTAAGCGTTTGTGAAGGTGACCGCGTATTCTGTTTTCTTGTATACACCGCCGGGTCTCGGCACAACGCACTCCCGACTTACAGAAGTACTCGTATCGTGGGTGGAATCTTCAAGCTTGATGCTCGGATCTAGGATTCGGCGCAAATCTAGTTTTCTGGAGAAAATACCAGATATGTGTCTGGAGATGGGGTGAATAGTTCGCCCCCAGGAAATCTTCTTCAGAAGCGGGCGTAAAGCTGTGAGTGATGCTGTAAGAATCGTAAGGCCGAGTTCGGCGATAGAGCTGTGCCATCATACCAGTCAGCCAGTTGCTTTAGTTACTATTGGCCGCTCTGGTACGTATAGGGGTGGTCAAGTGAAACCTACTAGACGAACGTCGTAAGATATGCCTCCATAGCCTCATGACCCACCGAAGATTGCAAGTTCGCGACATCGACCAAGTACTTCAACCTCATGATTGTTGCCACTGAACTTACAATCCCCATCCCCAACAGTACAACCACTGAAATCTTGGCTTGCAGGCTAAGCTGAATCCCGCGAAGCAAAAATATAGGCAGCGACGCATACAAGAAACTGGAAAATATATCCATAGCAGACACGGCGAACCCTGTGTTTGCCAGCAATTTTGGCGACAAGCAAATCCCTGTTCCCTCGCCCCAGGCATAGCGTAGTGGTTGGCATTGGAGACCTACAATTATGGAGGTGGCTATGGTCCATAATGTCATGCAGAACATAGATATCTGGATGATGAGGCGTATCGCGGTGTTGTTGTGTCTAGCAAGACGGAAAAGGACGAGTGCGACGCTGATCTTGGCAACGAAGACAATGAGGACGTATTCTAGTGTGGAAATAATGAAAAACTGAATCATGTGATATTATTAACGGTTGGAGGCCTCTTGGATATCGTTCGTTGCGTGTAGGTGATCTGAGAAGTAGTACTCACCTTGACCGCCGTGACTTCCAAATCTGAATTTAAGTCTTGTGAGCCATATCCTGCCCGTAGTGAAATTGAGGTGGTGATGCATAACGCCACGAAGCCGCCCTGTAATTGAATCTATCAGTATACATAGACTATCACTTTAAATGGAACACCGTATGTGTAGGATCTAACTCACATACGCCAATATCAAAGCCCAATCATCATATCCGAACGACTTGCTCAGCCACGCTCTGACATAAACTCTCAGACCCACAGAAATGCTGTCTAGGGTTAAGAAAGCAATAATGATTGCTTTCAAAATTTCACGCGCCCACATATAGTCGAAGGCGTCACGCGAGATACCACAGTGTAAGAATAGACAACAATCAAGATCGAGAGAATTAGAGTTGATGATCCAAACATAACTGACCAAAATTGACTTTAGGGGCGATTGTATAAGTTCAAAAACATGCAGACCTCATATAAACTTTTAGACTACCTGGCAATCTTGCGTATCATGTCCATGTCTGTAATCATTCGTTTGTCGCATAGCATGTAAGCGTCGAGATACTCAAGATCCAACGCACTTGTGTTACTGTACGACTATAAAGAGTCCGAAGGTGTTTGAGGAAACCATCACATTTGCTTGTTCACCAATAGGTGACGTGAAACTTTCAATAGTTCGCACTCGTTTGTTAGCTATGCGATAGTTTCTCACCGATATCGTTGAGCTTGTTCGCTCTTGGTATCCCGCTCACCCGTGTCAGCATGAAAACATGCAATGATCGACCATAAGCTCGCATAAAACGCCCAGCTCGGATACAGCCTTCCCTCTCACCGCTGGTTTGAAAGGTAGCCAGGAAACGAACATGGGCTACCAATCTCGAAACAAGAAAGAGGCTGCCCTTGCACCCATATATCACATGGGAATAGTTGCGTGCAGATTTCAACATACTCACTAGAAGGTCGAATTGTACACAAATACTCATATATGAACTCTATCCGGAAAGGCATATCAAGCGGCCACCATATTGAACACCGCAGTCGATGAGTACAGACGAGGCGAAACATCTACAACCACTCCACCTTCGCGCTCGCGAGTACGCCAGTATAAAAATATGGCGTTTGCATCTGAAAGCCCCGACGCATCTACACCAGTTGCCACTGTCGACGACATAGATACTAAGAACAGTAATAGCCCCTCTGCAGACATACAAGCAGGCACAACCCCATCTTCAGAGGTTGCCTTGCCCACTATACCCTCAGAGATAACTGTCGCATGGCTTTCCAAAGCCCTCGATCACGACATTCAATCTGTAAAGGTCGACAAAATCGTACCAGGAACAGCCAGTAAAATCTTCGTCACAGTGACCTACACCACCACCACCACCACCTCTGCCTCCAATCTTCCACCCAAAACACTATGCATAAAAGGCGGCTTCGACCCCACGATCCTCAAAACAATGCCCTGGCTGCTTAAAATTTACAAAAGAGAGTGCGACTTCTACACAACCATCGCACCAATGTTGCATTCCACCATGGTGCTGCCGCGTTGTTGGTACGCCGGACACACGTCCACACAAGGAATTGTGATTATGGACGACCTCGCCTGGAAGGGTTACTCCTTCGGAGATCCGGCGCAGACGTGGAGTGTATCTCTCGTGAAGCAGGGTCTGACGCAGCTCGCGGCGCTGCATGCTAAAACGTGGGAGGTCCAGAATGATAAGGGGAAAGAGGAGAAATACGCACATTTGACGTCAGAAGACTACGACCAGGCTATTCTAACGCTGATGCAATCATATGATGTTGTGGTGAATGGCGAGGACAGACCAAATATACAGCCTTATCTGAGGGATCAAGGACGCATGACGAGGGTACTCGAGAAACATTTTGCAGGAAGGAATCCCAGGTTTAGATGTTTACTGCATGGGGACGCGCATACGGCAAATACCTATCTTGAAGGTCATGAGGGTGAGATTGCGGAGGCCGCCCCTCGTTTTCTGGACTGGCAAATGATTCACGTTGGGTCATGCTTCCATGATGTGGCTTACTTCGTGGGTGCGGCATTCAGTGTTGATGATAGAAGAAAGTATGAGTGGGATGTGCTTGGGCATTATTTGAAGATGTTGGAGAATTTCGGGGTGCAGGGTTTCAAGAAGGAGGATAGAGAGGTTGCGGATGAGTACAAGAAGGGTTTTTTGGCAGGCGTAGGATGGATCATGTGCCCGTACGTCATGCAGAAGAGGGAGTTCGTATTTCCGATGGCGAGAAGGTATGCGGCCGCATTAGATGATCATAAGGTGATCGAGTTAGTGGAAAGTATGTCTGAGAATTAACACACAAGATACAACCATGTCAACTGTTTAATCCGTGCCTTGAAAACAAAAAAGTTTCTAAACAATAATGCACTGGGAAGACATTGGTCTTTTGCTTTATATGAATTTGTTTTTAGCAAGGCTCTATTTATACAGTTTCAAATTCGATCCCCATCTTCTTCCGCCGTAGTCGATAGAATTTCTCTAGCATGCGTCTCCTCTCTTCTTGCGTCATGTCCTCTACAAGGAGCGCGAACTCAACGGGATCGCCATTGCCAAACATCTTACTCATCTCGCTAAACTGCCGCCTTCTCACATCTTCACTCGGCCTATATTTGTAGTGAATCTTGAATTCCTTTGAACCCCGAGCGCTCTCACCAAGAAATTTGACATCTTCGTCCTCACCAGAAGCTTCGGGACTGTAATCGGCGTCCTCAGCGAACTGCAGGCGGCGTTGGGATTGAGACTGGGACTGCGATTGAGAGAAGAAGACAGGTTTTTTCGAAAGCTCAGTGTCATTGCGCAACTCCATCGCTTGCTTGGAAAGTTTGGTTTCAATCTCTGATCGGCCAATGACTTCACTGTTCTCGTGTGTGTATTGGACACCCGCTTTTGCCAAAATTGCGTGAACAGGGTCGATTTCCTTTCGTCGTTTGACGCCCTTGTTCAAGCTCGATGGCTGCTCGGCAGTGAACGACTTGGCCAATTTGTTCATTTGCGAGGTCATGCTGATATCATCCTCAGCGATTCCTAATGCTTGGTTACTCAAAATCTCGTCGTCGTCATCAGAGTTGATTTGTGTGTCTTCGAAATTTATTGCTAATGCACTCACGCCGGCACGTGTTTCTGCAACGTTTGTTTGATGCATGATCTCGCGAAGTAGAACATTATCCTCTTGGAAAGTGAATAAATTCTCGAGGCCGAATAACTCGCCCTTCTTGCCAGCGAGATCCATTACCCCTTTAAAATATCGCCGCTCGTGGGATGCATTGTAGCCGATGTTGGCTTGCTGCTGTTTGTAGATCTGACGTGCGTATACAATTTCCTCGATAGTACCAGCAGATACGAGACGGAAGACTTCGACATCGCGCGTTTGACCAATGCGATACGCTCGATCTTGCGCTTGCAAGTCGTAGGCAGGATTCCAGTGTGGATCTACAATCACCACTTTGTTCGCTGATGTGATATTCAGACCTACGCCACCGGCTTTTGTGGAGATGAGAAAAACAAATTGGTTTGGGTCCGCGTTGAAATCGGCAACAGCATTGGCTCTTTCCTCATATGTCATCTCACCGTCGAGATAGGTTAAATTGTACTTAGTACCATCCATGTCAAACAGAGCTTTGAGCAGTCGAAGCAGCTTCTTGGAATGGGAGAAAACAAGGACTTTGTCGCCATTTGCATGCCAGAAGTCAAGCAAACGCTTGAGAACTTTCCACTTGCCACAGAATCTGCGCTGAGAAGGAGTCATTATCTTATCGCGGAGCTTGTCCAGTTGTCTCCAGTCTTGAGGACAAGCCATTTGCAAAACGGCAAGGTCTTTGTTTTGCTTGTCAATAGTGTCGTTGGAAGAGGGGATCAGGAGTGCCAGATGATTTGCCAGTTTTTGCAGTGTTACTATACAAGGAAAAACAAACTTGTGCCAGTACTCGTCTTCATCTGGGATCTTCTGATAATGACACCACCCTCGTTTCTTGCCTGAACCACAGTCGCAAGGCTCCCGAGCTAGGCGAAGGAATTCGCACCACTCACTGTCAATGAATGTACGGTAGGCTTCAGATTGGAAGTCCGTCATTTGACAGAAGATGACCCGATCACTTTTTTTGGGTAGTTGATCGGCAATCAGAGTTTTCATGCGTCGAAGGAAGATGCTCGGCAGGATGTCGTTGGCCAGTTCGTCTGCTTTGCTTCTTGCATCCGCGAGTTGCTTGTGACTCGCGTCATGAGCCTGGCCCATTTTGAGCGGGATACTGACCATCTGTTTCCACTCTTGAGCCGAGCCGTAGGCTCCCGGTCGAGCCCAATTAAGCAAGTTCCAGAGTTCTTCATACTTGTTCTGGATCGCGGTTCCTGTTAGACCAATGCGGCAGAGTGCGTTGACTTTGTTCATTGCTTTCGTGATGGCGGAGGATTTATTCCGGAGTTGATGGCATTCGTCTGCAATGACACAGTCCCAATTGATTGTATTTATGTTACCTTCATTGTTACGGTATGTGTCATAAGTCGTGATAACGATCTCGAGAAAGCCCTTCTTGGCTGAGCTCAGGACTGCCGCTCTGTCGGCGGGTGGGCCGTGGAATCTCGAGATGTGCCACCAACCCCACTTGTCCAATTCATTTTCCCAATTCTTCATCAACGTTCCAGGACAGACGAGAAGGACTAACGGATACCAACGTTCCTCATCGTATCGACGTATAGCACGCATATATTTAGAATCTTGGGCCCTCCCAATCTTTCCAAATGCTGCAGTCAGAAAAGCAATGACCTGAATTGTCTTCCCCAGGCCCATGTCATCTCCAAGAATTGCACCGGTTTGTCTAACAAACCGTTCATGTAGGAACGAAGCCCCATCAACCTGATAATCCCGCAACCACTGTGCGATAGGGGCTGGTATAACGCCTTTTGAGTCCTTGAAGATGATGTCGCGCTTAGGTTGCTGCGGCGAGATGTGTCCCTCGAGGATGGGTTTTTCAGAGTCGGGTTCCGAATCAAAAAATTCCAGGTCGTCCAGATTAGGCGGGTATCTTAACCCAGCTTCGTGTAGGCTTTTCAATGTTTTCCGTCGACTTTCAATGTACTCTGGGATCGGATCATCCAAAAAGGTGTCGTTATGGTCCGAACCTTCAAGCACAGAGTCGGTCTCGTCCATGGGCCTATGGGTATCCTGCTTTTTGACGCGAACCTTGCGACCGACTACACTGGTCGCAGCTTCAGCGCGGGACTTCTTCTTGGCACGAATCCGGTTCGTTTCGGCAGCCGCACGCTTGCGTTTGGTGGTGGCTCTGGTTTTGAACTGTTCATAGACATCGTCGCCGTCGTCGAAGAAGTCAAATACATCTTCCTCTCCCGACGCGGTATCGTTGTTGGTTTCATGGTCGGATTGCCGGATATGGCGAAGGCTGGATGCCCGGGGACTTTCATTTTGTGATTGTGATTGCGATTGCGTGAGCTCTTGGATGTATTGGGACAAGTCCAGCTCTTTACGAGTGGATGCCAGAATGTCAGGACTTTCGTCGTCATCGCTGCTGGGCTGGCTTTCGGCGATAGCTCGGAGAGCGCGATTCCATTTTTTCGAATCTCCCTGGAGACGCGACATATCGAATGGGGCAAAGGCAAAGGCAAAAGGACTCTTATGGGGGATTCAGATGAAGCAAGGGACGAAGGCTGGTCCTAAGTTGGGCCTTTTTTATCATAGCGTCTAGACAGGTCGAGGTGTGATGTAAGGAAGAGGAACAAATAGTCAGTAGGATGGAATGGAGCAAGGGATCTACATGAGTGAAGGAGGGGAAGATGAAAGAAAGGCGCGTCCCAGGCGTCCAACGCGCCAACAGGTAATCACGAGTTCAACCCGCGCGCGCCTGCCCCACTGAGCAAAAGCTATGACCACCGCTGGCAAAATCGTGAACAACGAAATCCATCTACAATCAATCCACCATCAGCAAACACAGCCACATCAATTGCACCCGCCCGAACACAGCGACGGGGAACCGGAAACAAAGAAACAAGAAATGCCTCTAGACACCTCCACCTACTCCCTCGCTCTCCTTCGCCTCGATGGCCGCCGTTGGAACGAGCTGCGGCGCATCCACGCGCAGATCAATACCCAGGCCGCAGCCGACGGATCCTCGTACCTGGAGATGGGCAACACAAAAGTGCTTTGCACAGTGACTGGTCCAGCTGAAGGGCGGCAGGCGGGCCAGCGCGGAGCCAAGGATAACGAGGCCAAAGTCGAAGTGGAAATAGGGTTTGCTGGCTTCAGTGGGCTCGAACGGCGGAAACGAAAGAGCGACAAGTATGTGGTACCTCCAACACGACATGTTCGATTGGGGCGCCGTCTCCCTACCCACATTTTGATGCTTCACATCTAACTCTCGGTCTAGACGAACTCTCGAAATGCAGCACACGCTTTCAACAGCTTACTCCTCGCTCCTCCTCACACACCTATATCCTCACTCCACCATAACACTCACCTTGCACATCCTTTCGCAAGACGGCTCAATGCTCGCCGCCTGCATCAATGCTAGCACTCTCGCCCTCATCGATGCGGGAATCCCCATGTCCGATTATCTCGTAGCTTGCACCGCCGCCTCATCTGCCACCACCTCCGACTCGGACAACAGCGATCCTCTGCTGGATCTCAACAACCTCGAGGAACAAGAACTCCCCTTTCTGACTGTTGGCACCCTAGGTAGGAGTGATAAGGTCAGCGTGCTGATTTGTGAGAGCCGTGTGCGGATGGAGAGGATGGAGAGTATGTTGGCAGTGGGTATCGATGGGTGTAAGCGCATGCGGGAGATACTGGATGGCGTGGTAAAGGAATACGGGAAGAGATTTTCATGAACAGTGAAAATTCGAATTGGTGTTCCATCGTTGGTGCTTACGTGAGGGTGTATGCTCTAGAAGGCATGACGGAGAGATGTGCAGCACAGTACCTTGCGTGCATCCGCGACCCGACTTACACGTCATACTTGGGAAAGGCTAAAGAACGTATTTCCTGAGGCTATCTTTCTACTCGGATGCGAAGCGGTCGTACTTGCACCACAGCCATGCGCGATCCAGATACGAGATAAGAGGGGGCGTGGTGCATGGACAAAACATATCCGAAGGTGCTAGTTGCATGCAGCTCCTTACTCCACGCAAACCTGCTTGGCCAGGTCAGACCCGGAATCAATGCCCCATCGGTATCAAATGACAGGTTCTTGGACAATCTAAATGATTGGCTGTTGTGCTGTCATTGACCTAGGTCATCTTATACCGACCGGTTCTGTTTTTTCGGGACCTCACACCGCCAGATTTCCTGACGTGAGAACGGCAAGGCTATACCTTTATCACCTGCCTGCTATCTAAACCGAAGACATACGTAGCCAGATATCTCAAAAGGGCATTCCTTGGGTGCTCACCTCATCCATCTCCATCCGAAACGTTCTCGAAATCAGACAGTCCCCTCTTCACGATCCCTAACCTCTACGACCGTGTCCCTGCTTTCACTTTGACCCACATCCTGACTGGCCCTCAATGTTCCCATTCTCACAAGCCCACTCTGTCTCCCGTCCCCCATAGCTTCCACCATCCTTTTGATGTTCGGATGACTTTCGTTCTCACCTTTTCTCTCTCGGAAACTGAACCCGCGCTCCCTCGTCCTTGTCTCGCTACCACGACGAGATCGCTCGCCCATGCGCAACTGCATTTTCTCCTCGGTGGAATAGGTGCGATTGATTCCGGAACCGGAGGGTTCGGCGTTTTCGGATGCATTAGTATCCTGCGTCTTGGGTTTGGGCCATAGCCATCGGTACAACTGTTTTGTTTTGGCGGCCCAGATGCGGTACCCGAAATTCGTTGACAGAAACCCGATGAGCGAAAAGAACGGAATACAGATGGCAAGCAAAGTAACACCGAAGGGCCAATAACTCGCCGGATTTTCAGGCATATTGGTCATGCCGAACACGGACGTCACGAACGTGAGAGGCATGAAGAAGAGGTTTACGATGGTGAGCAGTTTGATGTTTCGGCCCTGTTGGACGGTGATGTCGGAAAGTTCGACGGATTTGCGGGATTCTTGGATGCTGGTGCCTGAGAAGAGGTGGTCTTGCAAAGATTCGATTTCGTGGCGGCGATCGTTGTTTTCCTGGCGCGCGTTGTTCGCATCAGCTGATTCCGACTTGGTGCATTCAATGCATTGGTAACGAAGTATCCGGAGAGCACGCTACGCGTTGTCTCGATTGATAATGATAATATACAAGTGGGATAACTCACACGTTGGAGGATACGAAGTTCCTTCATTTCACGCTCGAACTGCAGGCGAAGGAGGCGTAAACGCCTTTTCCAATGATCGTTGCGGGGAGATTCCTCGTACAGGGGCCAAAGGACCTTGCTTTTGCCCTCCCACACTTCATCGGTAAACGTATCTTCGAACGCATCGATCATGGATTTGATGCTGTCATTGACATTCCCGAGCTGTAATTGGTCAGTTGAGTTTGGGAGCTTCAGGATCCGTGCAAGACTGTGACCTACTGCTTGATGCGCGTAGAAATACCGTCGTGTCCACGTGAACTTTCTGTCTTCGAACAGCCGTTGGTCCCGCAGCTCTGAATCGAATAGGAATCCGAGTGCGGGGGTGATGAGCAACGTGATGCGTTTGTAAATCTCATCATATCTCTTCCTAGCGTCTCTATACTCGGTAAGTAAGGAGTGTAGGAAAGCTTCCGGGCCGTTGAGGAAGCGATGTCCTGATTCGAAAGTATCAGACGTAGCTCTCCAGTCTGGAAAGGTTTCCAGTTGCAAGACCTACCCCATAGCTGTTAGCACAAGAACTTAAAGATTGGAGCAGTATCTCTCACCTGCCATGGCGACCAGATGTTTTGTACATAGCCATTTTTCGTTCTGGCTCTCCTGCCCCTATTCCTTATAGGTCGCGGTTTGTCGTCGAACAGAGCTAGCGCCACCACAGCACCGCATCGCGAGAGAGGAATATGCGTATCATCCTTGTCTTTGTCTGATCGTTGCCACTCCATGGGGGAACAGTCTTCTCCCAGGACAGTGTAATATTCAAACGTGAAGAAGAAGGTCCTTTGGTGTTTCCTGTCTTCTTGGAACGCTCTGTGCATATGTGCCGACGAAGCATCGGTCTTAACCAGATGCCGGAATATTTCGTCCATATCGAATGCATCATGTAGCGTAAGATGCAAAGCGCCAAATAGGATAGGTGCCGGCTCACGAGCTATTGTAATTCGGCCAACGGGCTGCTTGTCCAGATTTTGGCCTATGTTTCTGATTGAATGCCATATCTCTGTGGCTTTTGACATGTTGTTGCCACTGGTCTCGACAAGCTCCGTGTATCCGTCCGAGTCGACATCGTAAACTTGGAAGTGGGAGTAATGCGATCGGTCATCTGCAGGCCCAGGCCCCAAATGAAAGAGATGGGGCTGCTTGGAAAGTTTCCCAGGATTGGTGATGATGGGGGCCAAGATTGCTCTCCCATGTTCTTGCCAGTCATGCTTTTTCAGGTGTTCCCGCAAATGTTCATGGTCAAACGATTTTGCTGGTAACTGCTTTTTCACAAAGTATGAATCGTCTTCGTCCTCGTCGTCAGAGGATACAGTCGAGGTATCGGCAAAAGCTGCGTCGTCTCGGGTGTTTGCTCTAGGGAATCTTGGGGTCTCCGGCAAGTCGCTGGGCGCAGAAAGTGTTTTCACCAACGCATCATGTGAGCGCTGTAGGGTTTCCAACTGCCTCCGAAGCTCTTCCACCTCTTTTGCTGCCATGCGTAGAACAATTGGGGGCCAAGCGCTACTAGACCCCGGGCAGACTGGGTTGGTAAGCAGGCAACGATGTAAGACTAAAAAGCAGCAAAGCAGACATCTGCCATCACCTTACAGATGGTGAGGGATGATGTTCGGAAGAGAGTTGGACTTTCTATTCGGAGAAGGCTGAAATGGATTCACCCCAGCCCCCACGTTAGCGCTCCCGATGCCGAGCTTTGCTTGCCCACAAAGAGACCATTTGATGGCCAATGTGACATTTGAGCCAAGGGACACATCCGAGCTTGCGCAAGCCGTGGCAGGCCATCGAGGCCGAACGAAAACATGTGTTCACCGCTTCTCCTCATCGGGCCAGTGGAGTTGAGCGCCCGATGGCATTGCGGATTGTTTAGCATCCACAAGAACCGTGTGTTGAAGCCTGATTTGCATAAGTATCTCAAGTCCTTGATTAATTGTGGAACGCGCGTGATGTGGAGCAATAGATGACCGTTGAGTGTTGTTGAGTGTACTCCATCTGCCAAGTGGAGACTACGCCAGCCCTCTGTCACTGATCCACACTTACGCTCACCCCCAACTGAGGAACAATAGTCGTCAATCGATGGTGTATTTGTCAGGGAAGAGAGAGAGAAAGAGAGACGTTGTGGGGAATGGCGTGGTATCTAAAGTTCAATTAAAATGCACGGCAACGCCCTTTGAGAATTACGACTTGATGAGAGGTGTACTATCAAGCTTTCCCCATTGGGCACTAGAACATCGATAAGCGGTCTGTCTATGACTCGCTAAACACTTCGTTGACTCTCAACTTAGCTTTTCACGTCTACATCCTCCATCGCATAGCGGACTCCACGACATGGCTCTTGTTGGTTTTGGTCTGACTCTTTCCGTGCTCATTGTTCTCGTGGCTGTGGTGTTTCAAAATGCAGAGTCGCCTTTCACGCCCATCATCGGGCTTTTCGGTTTTCTACCTTTCCAGCAAATGTTAGGTGAAACGCACTGTTACGCTGCAATCAAAACAAATTCGGATGATAAATCACAGAGTAATTGCTTTACCGTGAAGAATGGTCTGTTTGAAAGGGTATTTTCGAACCAGTCGCTAGGAAAGAGCAACACTAAGACTGGTTACGTGATCCCTGGATTATGGGATGGTCATGGTCATCTCCTGCAATTGGGTGAACTGAGAAACTCGGTGGACCTCTTCGGCGCAAAGGCCATGTCCGAAGTTCATGAAAGGATCATTGAATACCAAAGCCACCATATATTGGCAGGTACTAGCGAACAATGGCTTCGTGGAGTTGGCTGGGATCAAGCCACCTTCGGAAAGTGGCCATCAGCGGTAGGTGTCGCAATGCAATTGCGTTCACAGCTGCTGATATTGGAGTAGATCGACCTCGAGATTAATGATAAATTCAGAGACCTCTACGTCATGCTCGATCGCGTGGATGTGCACTGTATATGGGTGTCGAAGAAAGTATTGTCTCTACTTCCAAATCCTCTACCAGAGGTCCCAGGTGGCGAAATACCTGCTGAAGGCATCTTCTGCGACAATGCGATGGAGATTGTTCTGAAACATTATCCTGAACCAACTGTCGAGCGCAAGACAAAATTTATCAAGGACGCCATGCACGAGCTCAACAAGTTCGGTGTTGTCGGCATGCATGATGCTGGTGTTACGCCGTCACACCTCAAGCTTTATGAGACACTCTCCCTTGACGAAAATTGGACTGTCCGTGTTTACGCTATGATAGAATGTGAGACGAGGAATACATTCTGCCCCAATGAAGCCATCAAGGTTGAAACGCCCAACGGCAAGCTTCGCGTACAAAGCGTGAAGCTTTTTGCTGGTATGTCGAGAGTAAGCTTCTTACTTGTGCTCATGCTCACACACGCCAGACGGTGCCCTTGGAAGTTGGGGAAGTGCCATGATAGAACCTTACAGCGACAAGGAAACGTCTTCGGGCTCACTTCTGGTGAACTCTACCACGCTGACCCAACTTGCGGTTGAGTGGGCTGGTGCCGGCTACCAGGTGAACATACACGCTATCGGGGATCTTGCGAATCGTCTTGCCGTCGATGCATTTGAGGAGTCTCTGAAATCTCTGTGTCCACATACTTCCCTTCGCGATTGCCAAAGTAGGCATCGATTTCGTATCGAGCATGCGCAGATCATCCATCCAGATGACCAGCGCAGGATCAGAGATCTGGGGATCATTCCTTCAATACAGCCAACTCACGCTACTTCGGACATGTATTATGCAGAGTCGAGATTGGGGAAGAAACGCACAATGGAAGAGGCATATCGTATGCGCTCCTTACTGCCACTTGGTCCAGTATTTGGTAGCGATTTTCCCGTCGAGCCAGCCAACGTATTTGAAGGGATATTTGCAGCAATGACACGGCGCAACCCACGAACTGGGCTCGATTCCGAAGGGCGCAAAGATGGATGGTATGCTGCGGAAGCAGTGACGCTCGAAGATGCCTTACAAGGTTTCACCGTCAATCCTGCATTTGCTGCTTTTCTTGAGGGCAGAGCGGGAACGATTGAAACGGGACATTATGCAGATTGGGTGGTACTTGATGAGCCCCTCGAGGCGTTGGATGACGAATCTTTACGCTTTGCGACTGTCAGGGAAACGTGGGTGGGTGGCAAACAAGTTTATCGCAGGCCTGGGTCTGAAGATCTTCCATCTGATGCAGTGTGAGCAGGTATGTACTGTGGAAGAGACAGCATCTGTGTCCATCATGATTCATATCACAAGCAGCCCAATCTATCGAAGGATCTATTTGTAAGGGCACTTTGCAGTACTCTCTGCATGCAACAAGCCCCCCTGCGTAGGAAGATGAACACAGCGCCTAGGGACAACACAGTACTCTAGGTTACCCCTAAAACTTCTCGAAAGCAACCACAGCCATAGTTATAAGATTCCCCACACGAAATCCAGCCTCTACACCGCTATTCTCGACTTTTTTCTTGTTTGTTTGTTTGGCGATCTACTGATCTTGAGAAGAGCGAGTGATTAATGTGAATGCTCTGCCACCGCTCGCAGAAGCCCTCACCCCACTCTTCAAGACTCAGCGTATCTTGATTTTCCTTCTTCATGATAATTGTAACAATGAACACCCACAAGACATCCGTCGGAGCGCTGAAATCGCCTCAGAGCGCTAAGGTGTTGACACCGCCAATTACGCCGACGCTGTTGTCCACGGAAGCGCACCAGCTCTTCGAAGAACTGCGCATCATCCACCAACGGCTTAGCGAGTGTGAAAGCCTTTCGCCGGGAGAATTAGTGAATGGCTTGCTCACAGGACTAGTGAAGCTTTGTATTGAGCCATACAGCACCGAGTTCGCGACCCACTTTCTCAACATTGAAGGCATCGGCACACTCTGTTCATCACTACAATCCATCTGCGCACATGCAGAAGGTCAACTCGAGGAATATTGGGCGGTCAGGATCCTAGAGACTCAAAACGCGGATAGTATGTGTACCATGAAAATTGCTCGGATCGTCCGACGTGCTGAGATCAACTGTATAGCAGTTTCAAACCTTTCCACCCATCGAGTGCTTCACCGATTCCCATATTACACAAACTACATCGACTTGTCTCGGCTCGAGTCCAATTTACTCTCGGCCTTTCTGCCCTCGCCCCAAGCCACTACTACCAACATCGCCTTCATCGGATCTGGTCCCCTTCCATTGAGCTCTATCTGCCTCTTAGATAACATGCCCAAAGCCAAAATCGTCAACATCGACCGCGATGCACAAGCCCTCGGGCTCTCCAAGAAACTAGTTGAATATCTCTGCATCCCCCCGGACCGTATGAGTTTTATTCTCGAGGACGTCGAAGAGAGCCTCGCCACCAATGGGTCACCACATCCAACACGCGACGCGATAGCCTGGAATAGCCTAGACGTTGTTTTTCTAGCTGCTCTTGTGGGCATGGGTTCGGCTGCTAAGGTCCCAATTCTAGCTTCGCTGGCAAGACGGCTGAAGCCTGGGGCTTTGATCCTGGCGAGAAGTGCTCGAGGACTGAGGACAGTTCTATATCCGGTAAGTCGACGTAAACGTCTGTTCACCCACGACGACAATGGTGAAGATGATGCTAACAGTGTTTGTGCTTGTCTAGGCTCTGGAGCTGGGAGAGGATATTTCAAGGTGTGGGTTCGACGTGCTCGCTGAACTGCACCCGCATACCGACGTAGTCAATTCGGTGGTTGTCATGAGAGTCAGGGGATCGGGCGTATCATGTGGTTGATATTACCTACAAGGGTGCCAGGAAACACAATCATTGTTGGACGCACAAAGAGACGGTTCCAGCACAGTCCTACAGGACAGACGTGAAGTCATTCCAGGTCCAGGGCCATGGGGTGAGATGACTACATACGTACTCACCCGGGTACGCAGCGAATCAGAGGGCAGCCAAAAACTAGTCTTCAACCGTCCGACTTGGGCATATATGTATGTGAATGAAGGAATATACATACTATTTTCGCGTTGGTGACGTTTGAACATGCATTCATTGTACAAGCTTCGAAGATGCCCTTGCACGACTGCGTGAAAGAGCTTTGAACGTTTGAACATTCGAGGGTTTGCCCCACCCCTCACACGTCATCAAAGAACAGGCAGTGCCCCTCAACGCCAACGCCAATCTTTGGGTTAAAGACGAGGGAGTACTCGACCTACCAACCCAAAAACTTCAGCCACTGCGCAGCCCAGAATCAACCCTGGAAACGGATACCAAACACCCCAAACATTGAATTTTTTACAGTCCGTCAGGGTACACACAACACTGGCTCGTTAGCTCACCAGACGCAACCCACTTCGCAAGATGCGCCTGCTCAAACAGCAAATCGAGAGAAAGGATGGCTCAGGCTTCGCCGTCCTACTCCCGGAGGAGCCAGAAGATATGGTAAATATGAAGACTTGCCGCTACCCTTCTAAACATTTGAATCAATAGCAAAATCCCGTGCTAATCAGCTTCCCACAGTGGCATGCCTATAACCTAATTCAACCCACCGATACCCTCCGTGCGCGCGCAATTCGCCGCGTATCCAAGACGTCCGACGCGGGCAGTACCGCTTCTCAACGCATCGCCCTCGACCTCAGCATAACCGTCACATCCACAGACTTTGATATCGCGTCCGGGCAGCTCCACGTTGCCGGGCGCGTCGTATCCGAAAACGAGCATGTGAAGCTCGGGTCGCACCACACGCTCGATCTGGAGCTGAACCGCAAATTCACCCTGGAGAAGGGAGAGGGGTGGGACAGCGTGGCAGTTGAAATGCTGCGCGAAGCATGCGACACAGAAAAACGGGCCGAACTCTGGGCTGTGGTCATGGGTGAGGGCATCGCCAACATCTGCTTAATCACAGAGCATCAAACCATTCTGCGGCAGCGCGTCGAAGTCGCCGTTCCCCGTAAGCGCAAAGGTGACATAGGTGGTCATGATAAAGGGATGAATAGATTCTACGCGACCGTTCTCTCCACACTGCTGCGACACCTCGACCTGTCGAGTTCCTCTTCCACTCCCTCGTCGTCCGCAGACAAGACGATCCCCCTCCTGCTCGCATCCCCAGGCTTCGTTGCCACCGCTTTTCTCGCCCACATCAAAGCCGAAGCAACGCGCACAACAAACAAACCGCTCATGACCCTCCTTCCCACCATCCTCGTCGCACACAGCTCAAGCCCACACGTTCACAGCCTCTCCGAAGTCCTCGCCTCCCCCGCCATCACCGCGAAACTCTCTGATACAAAATATGCGCGAGAAACAGCGCTTATGGACCGTTTCCTCATGCTAATGCGGCAGGACGACGCGCGCGCTTGGTACGGACCGCGGGAGGTTGAGCGAGCCGTCGCCAAGGGTGCGGTCGGCAGGGGTGGCGGCGTGCTTCTGATTTCAAACGCTTTGTTCCGCGCGCAAAATGTAAAGGAGAGAAGGAGATGGGTGGGTCTTGTAGAGAGGGTCAAAGAGGTGGAAGGAGGAGAGGTGCGAGTGCTGAGTTCATTGCATGAGAGTGGCAAGAGGCTTGAGGCATTGGGAAATGTGGCTGCTATCCTAACGTACCCCGTCGAGGATCTAGATGAGTCTGATGATGAAGGGGAGGAAATCAGGAATGCCGGGGGGGTCAATGGAGCTGAGGAAATGATAATATGACCACCCTGCATGTGAATTTGCTTGAAAGGCAGGCGGATTCGAATAAGTGAATGATATTTATAATGGGATACCACACGCCCTCCATACCTCTAGAACGGTAGTGTCTCCCAGATCGGTGTGGAGAACAAGCAATTGCGCCAAGTTATGCTAACCAAAACGGACCCAATAGCTAATAGCTTCGTCAGATGTTATTGTACAAATCCTCGAAACCGGCGTGATGATCACCCAAACCGTCACAAACCCGGTCACGGATCATGTCGCGTGTCAGTAGGCCAACTTTTTGACACAGACATTCGAGCAAAGAAGATAATTACATATGTAGCTTCTGACGGTAGCGAATAATTTGCTATAGCGTTTTCATAGGACATGATGTGATTGTTCAGTGACTATTTTGCTGGCTTTTTCAAAGCCCGACCGTATACACTTGCACTTTCAAAGTTACCATTCCGCTTCAGATGCGGGTGTTGCGTTATCGAAGGGGCCGACGTACGAAGCGGGTCCGTTGCCGTTGGTGCTGATATCACTGATCTACCCGAAGACTTGGGGAGGCCTACCTTCGACGGCTGTTTATTTGAAAATTGCTTAGCCTCAAGCAAGTTCTGGGAAGATTCGGCCATCAAATCCGAAGGAGAGAAATCGAAGTCTTGCGGGGAAAGTGGAGCTGTGTCCTTGGAAGAATGACGGCAAGAATCAAGCGTGGTCGGGATAGTGGACGCATCCACAGGTCTCGCACGAGAAGTCTGATCGCCGTCAAGTTCTCGGGCAATTTGGGTACTGCTGTCAAGAAAGTCGGCCCAACCGTCGAACTCCGAACTGAGCATGTGTACAGAAGGCTTTACTTTGCTCGCCGGTATACCAGGCAATCTGAAGCCAGGATTGCGTGCGGAAGTCGTGTGTGACTTGGTCGCAGCCGCTTCCAGTGGGGGCTTCTTGATCATATTGATCGAGGCCTGTGATATATCCTTGGTTACTAATGGCAGCTTGGATGAGCATGGCAGGGTTGTGTTGATCACTTTCTTAGAATCGTAATCCGTCGAGACTTTGATTGGAAATTGTAGTCTTTGAAAAGGAAACAGCTTATTGTTGTGATGGCAAGCGGGAAATGCCGTTCGTGTCAAGAACATTTTTGCACCCTCCAGCTGACCATCAAGCACCAGGCATTCCAACCTATCCTTGTCTATCCTAAGGACCCGGAGGTGTTGACTTTTAGAGGACTGACCACTGGAATTGAGGTCTCGCAACAGCATGGCTACGCAGCCAACTTTGATGCGCAGACGATGTGGAGGAAGGCCTAGGGGATTGAGCTTGTGTAAGAGAGACACGGCGGGATCCCAGAGGATTTGGTTCGTAGGTGTATCCTCTGACAGGAACTCTACCAATGAAGCGGGGAGTTTCGTCAGAGCAGACTCGATCATCTTATCAATCGGGCCGTGGAGACGAATAAATCCTGGCTCTTCCTTCTTGGGTGCTTGTGCTCGCGCCGGTTGTACAGGGTGTTGCGGCGCAAAGACCTTCGTTGCGGGGGTAGAGAAGCTCGGCACTGGATCAACGGGATCTGATAGAGCCATGTCATGTGCTTCTATCAATGCGTCATCGTCCAAATCGTCATCCAACCATGTATCGCCCCTGTTCCCATGTGTGGAGTCCAGGTCTGGCAATGCTGAGTCGCCTTGGTCATCCCACGGTTCTTTGGACATGTCTTCGGTGAGAGCTTCTATACTCCTGCGCATTTCGGCATCCTTATGTTCCTGGGCCTTCCTATCCTCGTCCGTTTTTCTTTTGCTGTATCCTAGAAAGGCTTCCATGCCCTTCTTCAGCTGCGCTTGGGTATGGCTGTAGCCAATCATTTGGGTGGCGAGCCCCACGCCATTGCGCTCTCTAGCTTGACGCTCTTTTGCCTCGCGTTCCTCGCGTTTCTTCTGCAGAAACTTGCGCCTTTCCTCCTTCTCTTTGAAACGTGTCGCGCGCTCGTCCAGTTGGGCGCCGCGCTCCAATGAGCGCTGTTTATAATATGATATGCCGTGCCCAGCGCGTTTGTACGCAATCTTGGCCTCGGTGGAAGTTTGTACGACGTGACGGGGGTTCGAGGTCATGGCATGCGCCTGTTGAATAGATGCACGGTTGACTATTGTGAGCGTATATACATATGCCCAGGCATGTAGGTGGAGAGGGGGACTTGACCTGGATGACGCGCGTAGATAGATGGTCGCGGAGCTAGTCTAGAAACGATCAAGTGCCCCGCGCTATCACGTGCGCTCTTCGCAGTCATCCAGATGTCTGCATCCATCCCAACATCAGCATTTGAACATTCAATCAATTGATTAAAAGCTGCACACACCCTCTCGTCAAATTTGCTGTTTCGCTGTATCTCTCTCGAAGATACAGTTCCATGAATTCATAATCTGCTGATATCTGTCTGCAGCATTCCTATGAATCGTCAACTGTTATCAGCAAGTTCATGAGCCGAGTCATGTGCAGCGACCCAGCGGGCTCATCTGACTCGCTCCAACAACAAGTCTTCGGAGTTTCTCCGCACATCGTCAATTCACTGCGGGAAATGAGTTCCTATTAGCACACACTCTCATGCGGTTGAAACATCCGTCGACATAAGAATCCGTACGCTATTCTAGGCGCATGCGGGGTCCCCGCAGATGATACCTATACATACCTATCCATACACACAGCACAAAGTTCTCAGTCTGTTCCGACAGACCAATACCGACATCCGCTGCACATTGCCTTGTGTCTCCAATGCCCGCGAATAGGTAGCCTTGAATTCAATGATCTAATAGCCATCTCCCTCGATTTCGACTCTCAAGATTCCTTGTTACGTAGCTATGTCATTCGCTTTGAAAGGAGTCGCATACATCACCGGTGCAGGATCCGGTACGGAGTCTATCGCCGGTCGCATATCTCTTTTACTTCATCACTGCTGACATGGTAGCAGGTATCGGTCAATCCGCTGCGTACTCGCTCGCTCGACAAGGAGTTCGCCAGTTTGCGTTGCTCGACCGCAATCCGGTCACAAGCACCATTCAAGAGCTCAAGAAGAATCACAGCAATATCGAAATCGATGATATTCAAATCGATGTAGCTGACGAGAAGGCTGTAGACCATAGTGTGGAACGCGCGGTCAAGAACTTTGGCCGCATTGACTATGCATTTAATAATGCTGGGATTGGTGGCGCGCTCAACACGACGGACAAGATCGAGAGGGAAGACTTCGAGCGCGTTTTATCTGTGAACACGACAGGCGTGTGGTTGTGCGTCAGGGCACAGATACGGCAAATGCTCAAGCAAGAAAAGCTATCAGACTCGTACAGATCCTACCGTGGGTCGATTGTTAATATGGCTTCCATGTACGGTATCATAGGGCCTTCAGCTCAAGTTCCGACCACGGCATATGCCACTAGCAAACATGCTGTAATCGGCATGACCAAAGCAGACGCTGTAGCTATGGCGCCCCAAGGCATCAAAATCAATGCCATCTGTCCAGGCTATGTTGCAACGCCTTTGGTCGGAACCACAATGAACAAGGGTAGTTTGATGGACAATGAGCGATTGAAGGTACCCCTCACGCGGTTTGCAAACATGGAGGAAATTGCAGATTGCGTTGCATTTCTACACTCGGAGGCGAGCAGTTACATGATTGGCACTTCTCTATTAGCGGATGGAGGCTTCACTATCCAGTAAATTGATGTATTTCGAGTTCCTACTTCATGGAATCGACAACGAATTTGCCTACCGTCTTATCCTATCTGATTCTATATTGCAATTACCCTGGAACAATTTATAAGGCAGCAATTGGGTAGATGATGAATATCGCAAGCAAGCACCACGCTCCTTGTCTTCCACTGGTACCGTATTAATGGCGGCTGCACGGATCTTCTGAAACCCTAGTCTTATGGGGTGGAACAGTTTGCGAGTTTTCTCGGTATCTGCTTCTTATATTTACTTACTTTCCGATTTCAAAAACGTTCATTCGATGATGCGTCATGCTCACCCCAGACCGGAAATGCTTTGGCGGACGCGAAGAGGAACGCTAGATTGCCCTGGCGTTTCCCCAGCATCTGGCGCCATCAGTCTCCGCTGTACTATCGATCGATGCTGACTCGTTTTGGCGGAGAGTATGCCGTACACCTGACACGAGTGACTGTCACGTATCCAATCCGGATCGAACGTATATATAGTTGAAGGACAACGGCCACCCTCTCGGTTTCATCCTTGATCAGTGACTCCATCCACGCCTACTTCTCGATACTATCTCTTTTTAGTGTTATTATATACAATGGCGGATTTCGTTGTGCCTTCATCTTTCAGACCAGAGACCGACGCACAGTATAGGTTAAAAGGCCCTATGCACGCTCAACGCCATGTACGCATTATCTGTGTTGGCGCCGGTGCTTCTGGTCTTTTGATGGCATACAAATTGCAACGACACTTCTCCAATTATTCACTCACAGTCTACGAAAAAAATTCAGAGGTTTCTGGTACATGGTACGAAAATCGATACCCAGGGTAGGCATTCCCGTTTCTTTTCGCCTGTCTAGACTCAAAATGAGATATTCCCAGTGGTATTCCTGCCTGGACATTCGCAAGCAATGCTCGTCGAGGGTTATCCCAAACCAGAATCAATCTGGTCTGGCGAGGCAGTGGGCATAGGGCGCAAGAAGCTAACACCACTTGCGGACAGATGTGCTTGCGACGTTCCCTCACACAATTACACATGGTCTTTTGAACCAAAGCTCGATTGGTCCGCCGTATATGCTAGTTCACGAGAAATTTTTCAGTATTTCAATGACTTCGCCCATAAATATGGTCTTCGACGTTTTGTGAAGACGCAGCATCAAGTCGGTGGTGCTTTTTGGAACCAACAAAAGGGTGGCTACGATGTACAGGTTCAGGACTTGAGCACTGGAAAAACTCATACAGATCATTGCGATATCATGATCAACGCTTCGGGTATTCTAAACAACTGGGCATGGCCTGCTATCCCAGGCCTTGATCGGTACAAGGGCGTCCTCCTACATACTGCAAACTGGGATGAGAATGTAGATCTTGAAGGGCGTCATGTTGGCCTGATTGGTAACGGGTAAGAGACGTCTCGTCCGCTCGTCATAGTCCTCCGAACATCAATGCTGATTGTGTACAGTTCATCGGGCATTCAGGTCCTTCCCACAATTCAGCCTTATGTGAAAAAGTGTACCACCTTCATCCGAGAACCTACCTGGGTGTCCCCTGTTCAGGGGCTCGAACAACATGTCTTCACTGACCAAGAGCGCCTCGAATTTGCAACCAATCCCGATGCTCTTACTAAATACCGACGAGACATCGAGCGAGGCCTAAACGGGCAATTTGGCCTTTTCCTCAAAGGCACAAACACTAACAACGACACCGAGACATATTTCCGTGAACAGATGTCTGGAAAGCTTCAAAATGACTATCTCGAAAAGCGACTCATTCCTGACTGGCATGTTGGCTGCCGACGCCTCACACCAGGCATCGGCTATCTCGAGTCGCTGGGTAAGGAGAATGTCGAGACCGTATACGGCGAAATCAACGAAATCACCGAGCGCGGCTGCCTTTGCGACAATGGTCAAGAATACCCCGTGGATGTTCTCATCTGTGCTACGGGTTTCAACACGTCATTCAAGCCTCGCTTCCCTGTCGTTGGCCCTGGAGGCAATAACCTGCAGGATGCTTGGGCAGATGAGCCCCGGTCCTACTTTGGCATCGCCGCCCCAGATGTGCCAAATTATCTGATCTTTCTGGGTCCCAACTGTCCCATCGGCAATGGCCCCGTGTTGTCCGCCATTGAAGCACAAGCGGACTACATGTGCAAACTCATCGACCGTTTCCAAACACATAATATCGCGACATTCGCGCCTAAAGCTGAAGCTGTAGACGACTTCATCGCGCACAAGAATCAGTTTATGAATGGAACTGTATGGCAAGACCCATGTCGCTCGTGGTACAAGGCTGGCAAGCCGAACGGACCCATCACAGCTTTATGGCCTGGATCTACACTGCATTATATCGAGGCTATGATGGAAGTTCGCCTTGATGACTGGGACGTACAATACTCAGGGAACCGGTTTGCTTGGCTCGGCAATGGGTATTCGCAGACGGAGCTCGATCCCACGGCCGATTGGGCATATTACATTCGCGAAAAGGATGACGATGCACCGCTTTCAAGAAGGAGAAAGCTGCAGCTTATCAACAAGAGTGGCACAGTTTCGCAAGTCGATAGTGGAGTGAATTTCACGGGGAAGAGGGAGCAAAATGGAATGGGGATTGCAGAATCGAAATTATGAAAGATGACGCGCGCAACTGTCTAGGTACATATGTGCAGGAGACTAGACTATATGATAAGCATTTAAACGTAATTTGGGTATTGTACGATCAAGACATAGACCGGAGTCCAATAATCCACGATTTTGAATGCTCCAGGGGTGTGGTATAATCATATTATTTCAATTGAATGTTCCAGCTGTCACCGTTCATCTCTGAAACTCACAATTTGCTTTTTTTCCCTCCATAATTGTATATCCCTAGCAACTCAACCTTGTGTGTACGCCTCGACACTATCTTGACGGTGTCCCATGCTTATTTCGTGCCCCTTGGTTGCAAAAATCGGAGGCCTTCTTCCTTGTTTGCTTGCCTTACATCATTTCCTACTCCGTCAGTTCCTCTTCCGTATACTACCTATCGACGAAAATTTCGGGTAACAATTCTTTAGTGATGGCGTTTCGGGACAGGGAAAGAAAAAAAAACCAATGTGGAACTCGGGTCTCCACTCGGGTAGCCTCTAACATTGTATAATTTGAGGTATTCATTCAGATAGCTTATTAATTCTTTTGCTTCTATAGTAATGCAAGACGGGGATGTTGATAGGGAACACAGCATTTATGGGGGGCGAGAGAGAGAGAGAGAAATTTGTGAAGACCTGCATGCGTAAATTGCGTTCTCGTATCTTATTAGCTGGAACAATATGTAAAATATGTGTTCAAGAGGCCGCTTTGACATGCCTATTGATGCTTGCGCTTATGAGAAAAATAAATTCCTTTGCTGTGGAAGGTGCATAACGCCACATGTTGTATCCTCTAAGACGACGAGGATCATCGAAATGGCCATGTCTGGCGTGAGGATCTTCAACGCCGTCAATATCTCGGCAAAATACGAATACTATCAATAGAGAAAAGCAATAGTCAAATAAAAGGAGAGAGGAGGTCACCAACAGCAACTATGGGAACTCGGCATACATATAAATCACCCATTTCCCGTTCAAACTAAGACCAATCCACACACTCACTCATCCTATCTTTTCACTGCATTCTATCATACAAGAAGCTGCACGAAGCTACATTTCACACTCCTTCTTTCCGTATTATTCAGTCATAAAATTCTCACCAAAGTCTCTCGTTAATTATCCATAGATATCCACCATGAAGTTCACCATCACGTCCCTAGCACTTGTTCTCCCAGCATTTTCCGCTCCCATTGCGTACTTGGGCCAAGCAGAAACCTCTCCTGGGGCGCTAGATGCTGCACCTGACCTTGTAGGGTCAATCTCCACAGTGGGAAACCAAAAACAGGGTCCAGACGTTTGTGACTTCCTTGGACGGGACACAAGTGATGTTCATCGCCGGGAATTGTGTTATTTGCTCAAAAGAGGAACTGGTGCTGGTGTTGGTTTACTCCATTCTTTCTGTCGTCTTGATGGAATACGAACAGTTAATTCGTGATTGCAGGACGAGAAGGATCATTCGCACAAGCAGGGGAAGGAGGACGATGCGCTCATCAAGGTGGACATCAACGCCGGAACCACCGCAGATATCGGATCAAGGAGTTTGCACAAGCGACATGATGGGCACGAAGGAGGCAATATCAAGCACAAAGACGAAAAGGACAACAATCTGATCAATGCCGGTCTCAAACTCAATGTCGACCCTGACAACAAACTATCGGAGCTGTACAAGAGGCACGGCGGCAATGAAGGCGAAAAATCTGAGTACGTGGGGGGAAAGGACAACGACCTGGTCGCGGTTGACCTCAAACTCGGCGCAAATAACGGTCTCGGAGATCTGGGAGTGAGTATCGCCTACTGTATTTTGGAAGGCCGAGAATGGCGAGGCTGAATGAAGGCAATCATAACTGACCACAATATTAGACTCAAGAGAAAAAATCCCAGTGGCATGAGGGTGATGAACACGAAAAAGAAGAGGGAGGTGCTTTGGCAAACGTGAAAATTAACCTGGGTGCAGAGGACAAGGACGATTCTTCGGGCAAGGTGAGTTGCATTTATTACTTCATGTGACATATTGATACAGAGATGGTCAAATCCTATTAGTAGACCCGGTGAGCAGATATACAGCGCCTGACCTCATTTTTAGCCTTCTTATGAGCATGTCAACGAAGGCTACTCGTCGGTCCAAGAGTCTCGCAGAGACACCATTGTGCGTACACTCAACCATGGATATGAAGATTCGGAGGTTGACATTTCACCAGAAACGAGCTCCTTTCGAGGCCGGTACCGAGGCAAATGCCAGCGTCAATCGCAATGAGTAGCGCGGCATGTTTTTCAATCTACTCGTAGGCTGATTTTCAGAAATACAGCACGATACCTAAGTGTGCATTTTATAAATGGAGCTATTGTTCAACAGTTGCGGCGTTGTAATGTTGGTGGTCAGGATGCAGTGAGTGGTTGCGGCGGCAGGGTAATACGCACAGCATGTTTCTTCGATTTCGGTCCCGACAAGGCCTTGTACCATTATTTTTGGGAGTCTAGCATAGAGAATGAAGAGTTTTGGGGAAAAAGTCTCCTCTAAGCATGTTTTCCACACCTCCAACGATGCTTATGACGTGTGTGTGTAAGCCATTCCGGATTACTTGGATTAGCCCTTTTTCCTTGTTTTGCCCAACCGCCAACAAACGGATAGCCTAGGTACACAACTGACCCAAGCATTTTAGACGCGGGGTAGATGTTGAAGCGATGTTGATCAACAGGCACAATCGGCCGAGTGTTTCTCAAACCACGTTAGCACAGGCGAACCCATCTGGTTAATCTCCGTTCTTCGCCCCGCATCACAAAAACCTCTCCACACTCAGAGCAGTTATAACATGGTCGCCATGCTTATTGGCAAAGAACGGAAAGGCTTCGGGCTTAATTTATCCGTCTTTTCGGTGCCAATGGCAATATTCAGCCATGCTATAAATTCGCCACCGTCCGCTAGGAAACTCAACATTAGCTGAACCATCTCGCCTTCTCCCTACAATGCTAGGACCACGGATCTTGTTGACCTATGTTCTTGCCGGTTCTGTCGTGCAAGCTGTAGACCTGTCTGCGGCAAACCTGTATACGCGACACCATGTTCAGAATCGGGCAGAGTCTGAGTCGACCTTCAATGGGCCCTATAGCACCCAAGGAAGGCATATAATCGACAGCCGAGGGCAGAAAGTCACTTGGGCTGGCGTCAATTGGCCTATGAGCGGTATGTCTATACGAATGGCAAGCTTTGGGAATTCTTGCTGATGCTGTTTGCCAAAGGCGAGACTATGATCCCTGAGGGTCTCGAGTGGGCTTCCGCTGAAGACATTCTTGAGGATATCAAGGGCGTCGGCTTCAACTACATTCGAATGTATGTTGGGGTTTCCGTGACTCCTAGCATTGCTGACACGTAATTCAGGGGCTATGCCATTGAGATGATTGATCAAGTCTATGACAGGAATGGGTCCGATGTTTCTCTCCAAGTTGCCATGATCAACGCCCTTGGATCTGCCAACGGCACCCGCGTAACCAAAGAGATAGTCGCAAAGAATCCCGGTTGGACCTCTGATACCACTCGCTTCGAAATCTGGGACCATGTTACCCGCATTGCCGCAGAAAAGGGAATCTTCATCAGTCCAGACGTACACATGAGCAAGGCAAAATGGTGCTGCTCTCATATCGATGGAAACGCTTGGTTCGAGGACATCGAATTTCCCGTAGACAACTGGCGCCGCGGGCTTGCCTACGTAGCAAATTGGGCAAAAGACCACCCCAACGTCGTCAGCATGTCCCTTCGTAATGAACTACGCGAGTCCTGGAACGACACAACTCTCATGTACAACTGGCAAACTTTGGTTGGGAACATGACCGAGGGAGCAAATTCGATTCACGAAGCCAACTCAGACATGTTGATCATCTGGGGTGGAATGCAATATGGTCAAGATCTTTCAGCGCTCACGAGTGGGAAGAATCTCTTGACTGCTCCTTGCTACAAGTGTCAGGCAATTCGCGATGCTCATCGCCGTGAACCAGAGTACTTCAATCTCGACGATCATCCGTGGGCTAACAAGCTCGTTTGGGAGGTTCACTTGTACGAAATGAGTGAAGATCAGGATACTGGTACCTGCCCCATAATCGAAGCTGGTCTTTATAGGAACGGGTTCAACGCGCTTGGGATTGAAGCGCCATCAGCGTGCAACGTTACTAATGATTGCCCCGAAGCTGTACGAGAGACGCCAGTAATATTCTCCGAGTTTGGAAGTGCTCAAGACGAATCACTCTTCAACCACACGCTTAATAATTGCTTGCGCGAGTTCACGATAGAGAATGATATCAGCTGGATGATGTGGTCAATCGCTGGTTCTTATAGAATAAGATCGGGTGTTCAGGGCATGGCTGATACCTGGGCCTTGACCAACTCTGCGTGGAACGGGTGGAACTACAAGCAAGGAATCGAAGAGTGGTGGAAGCCATGGGTTCAAGCCATGAACGTTACGTGGGTTATTTGAATGATAGCTGAAGAAATGATATGATTACGTCTTTCGTATTTGCATGATAAAGCGAGCGTGTGCACTTTGTTTACCCAAATCTTTCACAACCCGATAAGTTTATCTCTGCTGAAGTCTACTGAGAAATCGGTTCTCTATCGAAGAACGCAGTGACCAATTTCCAGAAAGTCTCGGGATCTTCCCAATATGCCCAATGGCCTCCCCAACTAATGCTAAGGCCCGTGGATGTCCCACCCCCTTCGTTAACAAGTCGGGAAGCTTCAAGCACGCCTTCCTTTGGAAAGCAACCACTCCTATCACTTGCCATAACAAACACTCTTTTACCGCGGAAGCACGTCTTCAGAACATCCCGCCAATCCTTAGCGGTATGGTCCTTCATGAGCTGTGCATACCATATAGGGTTCCCACGTCTCGCCTGTTCCAAGAAGAAATTTCTATCTTCTTCCATTTTCTCCCGAGTCACGCTGTCCGACGCTTCAGGATGGCTCCGGTAGGACAAACATGCATCAATGGTCGACAGATAGACTTTATCAGGGTCCTCGCTCATATCCTGGAACAATTGACGCACGGCGGCCTCGCAATTCATACCGCGATTTCCCATGTCAGGGCCCCAAGACCCGTCGAAGGCGTAATTCTGCATAGGTGCCTGATCTACCCATACCATGGAGCCAAAGACATGCGGGGTGAATAGCTCAGCGTACGACCATAATATGGAGCACCCTAGAGATCCGGCTACTACATTGACGCTCGATTTGCTAGCGTATTCTAGATGCGAAATGAGATTTTGGAGGTCCATGGCTAGTCGTGACACGTGATAGCCATACGCTGGTTTTGCAGAGGCGCCATGGCCACGCAAATCAGGCGCAATGACGCGGAATGCTTGTTGGATATGTGTTGGGAGAGCTTTGGTGAAGCAGAGCGATGTACCAGTAAAGCCATGAAGCTGGAGCAGTACGAGTGTTAGCGATATTGGTTCAAAGCTGCTGGCTTGGATAGGCTGGGGGGTCAGACACACAAGGATGAGAAGAGGTTGAGAGGGATTGCCAATATCCTGATATGCGAGCTGCTGATCATCATTAGAAGTGAAGAACTTGATGCTTGGAAGTTGTTGAGCCATAGTGTACGCGCACACTCTCGCCACGTTGAGAAGACATGTTCGTAGACGGAGCGAAAAAGTTGCATTGTGTAAACCAGAGTACTTAGCCGTGACTCAGCTAATGACGCTAGGCGCCTACCGACATGTTGACCAAACTTTGAACTATAATTTAGCAAAAACCGTGACAAGCACACCAGCTCATACGCATACCGTACACAACACAAGTGCAACTGAATACTACATACATACATACATACTACCCTCGATTTCCAAACTAGTCTAATAGAGAAGGAACAGGTCTCGCTGGAAAGTGTGCTTCATACGCTGACATGGCACGCAGAACCATGGGCTCATCATACCTCTTTCCAACAAAAGACATGCCAAAAGGCAAACCAATCTCATCCTGGCCCACGGGGACGTTGCCGACGGGAAGGCGCCCAACGGCACCCAAGCGGGATGCGGCACCCTCGGTAGGCACCAGCAAGACATCCAGGTCATAGTGTCGGAAGACGTACTCGATCCCCTCTTCATTGAGCTGCTGTTGCTGGAACTTGCCCCACCAGTATTCTGCCGAACTGTTCTTGGATCCGAGCTGATCGGCGGCCACGAAAGCGTCTTGGCAGCAGATTCCCGGGGGGAATTCAAGGTTGGCGTGGGCGTCGTTGAAGGAGATGATGTCGAAGAGGCTTTCCATGCCCGTGGTGTTGGTGCGCTGCGTAGTCAGGTAGTTGGCCATGTCGGTTTTCAGGTCGTACTCTTCGGAATCTACGTCAGTCATGGACATGGACGTGCGAGGGACTCGACCTACGTATCTGAGCTCGCCCAGCAGTATCCCTCACGACTCCCCCGACAAATGCGTACCTCCAGCGGTCGGCATTCGGCATTACCACGGGATCTATCACCTGTGCACCCAGTGATGCCAATCTCTCCAGGGTTGCATCCACACCGGGGTTGATGGCGCTTCGATATCCAAACTGTGTCTCGTTCCAGAAGGGTTCCCGAGGCACGCCAATGCGCAGCCCCTGAAAACCGTTGGCATCCAAAAACTGCGTGTAGTTCTTCTGTCGGAAAGGGTCCGCCGCCTCTGAATAAAGGTCGGCTGGGTCGTGCACCGCCATGATCTCCAAAATAGCGGCAATGTCCCATACAGACTTGGCCAGCGGACCCGTAGTATCCTGGGAACTGGAAATGGGTATCACACCCGTCCTGCTCGTCATGCCAGTCGAAGGACGGAGGCCAAAGAGGCCGGCTCGGCTGGCCGGGCTTACAATGCTGCCTTCGGTGTCCGTACCCAGGGATGCGGCGGCGAAGCCAGCAGAGACTGCCACGGCAGGACCGCCAGAACTGCCACCTGGGTCACCACCGGCAGCAAAACCACCTTCGACGTAAGCCGCCGACATGCGCCCTCCACGCGCGCTCCAAGCAGAAGCGTTGTTCGCGCCACGCTGTCCAGACCACTAGGAACCTTGATCAGTGCTTGTTGTTTCGCATGTGGCAACGCGTACATGGCTTTGTACAATGGGTACCTACTTCGTCCTGGTTTGCCTTGCCGAGGATAATGGCGCCAGCATCACGCAGCTGCTTGATAACAAAGGCGTCTGACTTTGCATGCGACCCCTGCAAAAGGGCATAGGACCCAGCCGTGCTGTTCATACCGAGCTCCATGTCCGTGTTATACGCTACATGTGGTTCCACCCTCAGCAAAAATCTTGGAAGCACCAGGCCCGAGAACCGGAAGAGAGTACATACCATCTTTGACGACAATAGGAAGGCCATGGATAGCACTGCGAACTTTGCCACTGGCACGCTCGGCATCTAATCCCCGCGCAATCTCGTGTGCGGTCGGAGCGATCTCAATGAAGGACCGGAGAGTCAAACCTATACAGAAAGAGTTGTTTGTCAGCGAAGTGGCCTCCGTAGGTCAGCACGAAATGTATCCGATATCTTCAAAGTCGACTTTACCTTCTTGGTCATTCGCAGCGAGACGTTGTATGTATGCGTCGACTAGATCCAGAGATGTGACAGTCCTGTTCGCCAGCGCATCGGTGATGACTTTGGCAGAAGCAGTTTTCAAGTCGATTCCATTCACAGACACCGGGTAGGACTTGGTAGAGCCCTTTGTAGAGAAAGTAGAATCTGCCGTAACAAGGGCCGAGGATAATGCCAACAGTCGGCCTAACAAGACGGAAATTCCCATGGCTGCTAAATGTGTTGGCTTGGTCAATCAGGCAAGCGATGATGGATACATTTCAACAAAGTTGCGGAGCACATCATGTATTTATACCTTCTATCCTACATTCAGCGCGAGGTATCCTGGCCGTTACGTCAAAGCTATGACCTAGTTCGTTGGTCACTTATCTTCGGCGCAAAGCAGCTAACACTTGAACTTGACTCGGTCTTATCTTTGACATGAGCTAAATTGTTCCATTGAGCACATCCCCAGTCTTGTCTAGTTTGTTCATATCTACAGCTGCCATCCTAGATTTGGAAGACCCACATTGGAAGATGTGCTTACTTCAAAAACACGGCAATATTGTGACATCATTGTATTTCGTAGCGAATCAAGGCAGAGGTATACGGCAAGAAGTGTAAGCTAAGAAAGGGAGGTTCACTGTAACAGTTTCATGCCTAGAATCTCGCCTGGACGTATAGCGATATCGTGGGCGTGTGATTGAGACACCAGCTGCTGATTATCAGGAATGTGTCAAAAGGGCGAGAGGGCAGCAGGAAGTTGAAACTCGAAAAAAATTGAGGAATCACGCGATTATGCAGCAACCAGGATGGAACATGGAAGGCTAATAGCATGAACATGTTTTCATTGCCCATCAAATGCCGTGATTTCTGTGAACGCGATAAGACTCTTCAGCGCTTGGCTCTTTAAGAGGTCTTCCAATGGTCAGATATCTTCTAATCTTGCCTTTACTAAACAGTTGACATATCTGTGAGCTGCTGAATAGTCACTTGATGCCAAGGAACATTAGTCCCCATGTCCTGAGGAATGTACGTTGGGAATCCAAGGTTGATGTTCTGGAAGCTTGCCCATGAAACCCCGTTGTCCGCATTATATGTAATTCTGGGGAATGCGGTGGAGTTGACGGATCTATAGACAATAGGGACATCTGTGTACGAGTCGTCGTCGTTGTTTCGGGTCCAACGTGGGTTGGCTCCGCCGGGGTAGATGGTGGAAGATCCAACACTGGTCAAAACAAATGCTGTATTGCCGATATTGGCGTAGGAATGAGCGAGAGAAACGATGACTTCGGTAGCCTCATAATCTAGGGTCTTGTTGCCAAACGGTGGGGTCAAACTGTTGTTTCTGTTAGTGGACGCCGCATTTATTGTCCAAAGATGCGGGGGGGTATCCTTACGGCCAGGCACCAATGTGTATATCTTCTGTCTGTGCTTGCATGATGAAGTTGGCCTCCGGGTATGTGTGTTCAGCGCAGGAAAGCATCCCGATACGTCCAATAGGAGTAGTTACAACTTTGAGATCGTCGAGTTTGCCATCAGTCCACAGTTCTCGTTCGCGGCCTCCTGGTCGAATCTTGTGCCTATGAATCAAGATCTTTCCGCTTGGAGAGATAAGTAGCTGTGTCATGAAGAGGTGGATGGTATCCTTTTCGGAGAGTGAAAGCGCCTGACTATGTTAGAAAAATTCACTCAAATACAATCTCATTGATGTGACTGACAAGGTAAATCTCGTTATCAATCGCTCCTTGGACGAGTTTGTTCCAGTTGACATCACCGGCAACAATCGAGTTGTCGATATAGTCCGACGCATGCTTCTGGAGCCACGAATTGGGGTGATCCTCGTTGATAACTCCCTTGGGATATCCATGAAACCATACTTCGGGAAAGGCAACAAGATTTGCACCATGTTCAGCTGCTTGTTTCATATACTGAAGACCAAGATCGACAGTAGCGTTGATGTCGAATTTGACTCCATCCCAGTTCTTACTTAGAATCGGCAAGGGCCAATTCACCGGCGGGGAGCGAATGGCTGCGAGCGTGATGTTACTGAGATCCCACTTGGAAATAATATCCTCGTCAGACCGCTTCGCTCGCTGAGACGGCGAGTTCTGGGCAAGCGGAGAAGCCACGGTCAGGGACGCGGCGAGAGCAATCGAGATAGCGGTACGGATAGAAAAGGCCATGGTCGATAAATCGATAAGTGTTATTCGAATTATAGATATGAATACTCCATGTCTTTCAGGGTTCTTATACCCCTCTCTTATTAATGTTGAACAGCACACTAGGCGTTGGGATATCACTGCCGATAGATCTCTTGACCACAAGAAGTCTCCGCCTCAAAATCAAGGGCGATAACGTAGTAGGCGCACAAGATAGGATCCGTTATCTCGGATATGATAGACAACTCGTTTGGTGATTACGTGCCATATTGACTGTTGGTGTTGTTTATCATACATAGAAGTGAATACTCCCCCAAAGCAGCCTAGCATTCCCTGGATACTAAACAACTAGTGGCGGATGTGATCTTGCTGCTGTGATAACCACATGGTAGTTATAGCGGCAATTATCAAATTTGCATTCTGAATGGAGGTATCACTCCCCTACGCGCTGCTGTGCAAGAATTGCGCCTTAGGATACTGCTTCTCCTAACTTAGTCCTCTCTATTTATAACAGTCTTGCTCGCAATGACCTAGCATAATGTAATGTTCACCCCAAAAGTTTCGGTTTAAATGGGTGAGGTCATATATGGCAGGACAGAATATATAACAGTTAACATACTCTCAGTCTCTTATGCAAGACAACACAGGCAGCTAGATTGTTCAGTATGTATTGTAGCCTCAACGCGATTCAAACTCAAATTCGCCGTAGAAATTTTGCAGTTAGCTCTTGTACCAGTGCTCAACATATAGGTACAAGATTACTGCTCACTTATTACGCAGTGTTATTATTGCAGCAAAGGTATCGGCCCGAGCTAATTACAGCCTAATCTTGGCAAGAAGGTCAGCACCTATTTCGGCACAGTATCTAAGAGTTTATAGCTAATCGCACAGTTAGAGATGCTAAAGATGCCGCAAATGCCGCAAATGCCGCAAATGCCGCAAATGCCGCAAGTGCTAAATGCCGCAAATGCTGCAAATGCTGCAGATACTACTAATGCTACAGATACTATAAATACTATATACTTCTATAGCACTAGTAAGTATTTACTAATAAAATACCTAAAAAATATAAACTAAAATATTAAAAAAAACCTACTAATATATTTTAATAATTTTTTTATATTTTAAGTAAAAGTTATTTATTTCTTTTTTTAAAAAAATAAAGTTTAAGTAATTCTGTACACAGTAATAAGTTAATTTTTTTTTATTTATTTTTATTTTTTGTGTTAAAGTTTAAGTAATTTTATATATAGTAATAAGTTTATAGTAATAAAATAAACTAAAATAATAAGTAATTACTAAAAAAATAAAAACTTTTTATTTTTATTTAAAAATAAAAATTAAAAAATACTTTTTACTACTAGCTAGTTTAAATTAAAATAGTTTAAAGCTTATTTAATTAAGCACTAGTACTAAAACCTAGAATTTTTTATTATAAAAGCTTTCTTTAATACTATAATATAAGGCGTAGTTATAGGCAATAGTGCTTGCTTTACACTACTAGTAATAATAAAAAATAGCTACTTTTAAAAAGTACTTTTTTTTAATAATTTAAAATAATACTGTAACAACACAGGCATAGTACAGCTCTAGTATAGCTATAAATTAACTTAATAAAAAAATTATATAAGGATAAAAAGTGCTAAAAAAATAACTAAATTTTTATAAGTCTTATATAGTAAAATAATTAAAACTATTTAACTAAAGTTAAACTATTTATAGTTTTTATACTTATAGTTGCTAGCAAGCATCTAAGTAGCGTTTTTTAGTTATTATAAGTATTTATAGTATTTTAAATATAAGTAAGAAATAAATTAATTTCTTATATATATATTTAAAAGTAGTATATAAAGTGCTTTTATTAAAAAGCTAAGCTATTACTAAATAGTACTTAAGTAGAGTATAGCTAAGTTAAAGCTTAACTTAAATATAGCTAGTAGCAAGTTAAGCTATTATTATAATAACTTAAAGTGCCTTTAAGTGTAGCTTAAGTATATAGTATTATATTATATTACTTTTTATTTATAAAACTAATATTTTTATTAGTAATAGTTATTATCTTCTAAAGTAAAATAAAGGTAATTTATAATATTAAAATAGTTTTGTAAGTAAGTTATTATATTTTTATAATACTTAATAAGTATTTAAATTAGGTTTTGCAACACTAAAAATTATTATAATAAGCTATAAAGTAAATTTTCTAGCTATTATATTATACTAGAATTAACTTACTTATACTATTACCTAGTATTACTGCTTAATTAAGTATAAAGTACTAAAAAGTAATTTAGCGCTTTTAAGCATAAAAGCTGCGCGCTTTTTAGTTTTAAACTTTTTTTTTAATTTATAATTTATATCTTGTTAAGCTTATAATAGATTATACTACTTCTTTACTATTTTTTCTTTATACTATCTATCTTATTTATACTACTATACTTATTTTTATTTTACTTAGTGCTTTTGCAGTTGCTTACTATATTATATATATTTACTATATTTAGTAGTACGCTTGTATTAAGTAAAGTAAAAAAAATAATAAAGTAAACTATAAGTTTATATTAGTTTATAGTAAAAAGTGCAACTACTATATTTTTAAAAATAAGCTTTATGTGCTAGTTTATATATTTCTTTTACTTTAATTTAAACTTAGTGCTAACTTTTTACTTATAAGTTTTAGCTTATACTAATAAAAAGTTTTGTGTGTTTATAGTTGCTTATAACTTATAATGTAATCTATTACTAAGACAGCTATATTACTAAGCTAGCTACTTTTACTTAGCATAGCTATCTTTTTATTTAACGCGTTATGTCTTAATAAAATAATATAATTTTTGCTAAATAAAAAGAGAAAATTAAACTTACCTTTTAAGCTTATAATACTAGTTAATTTAAAAGCTTGTAACGCGCTACTATAGCCTTTAATATTAAATACTAGCAACTTTTTAATTAACTATATAAAATTACTTTTTAACTCTAAACTACGCCTAACTGCTAGAAGCTATTTTTAATAGAGAAGTATATAATTACTTAATATATTTTTAACTTTAATTTATAAAAGTTTTTACTTAAGCTGTGTAAAGTTATAAATATAGTAAATAAACTACTAAAAGTGTAAAGTAAAGAGCTAGTAGGCAAGTGCTAAGCTAAATAATTTATATTATATTTAAATAAGCTTAAAACAGTATTTAATTAAGTAAAGAACTGTTAGAAAAGTCTCTAAAAAGATCTTTAAGTTATAAGTAAATAGTTTAGGCTTATAGCTAATATAAAGGCTAAGTATAGTATTTAAAATAATAACATATATAACTTTAATAAGAGTAGGTTTTAAATAGGCGTAATTAAGTTAATAAAAGTTATTACTAGTTTAAAAAGGCGTACTTAACTAAAACTTATTTAGCTAAGTAATTATAAGTAAGTTATAGTTATTTAAGGTATCTGCGCTGCAGAGTATGCAATTCTACTTTTTATTATTTATAAAAGCTACATTTACATTTCTGCGTAGTATAAAAAAATAAATATACTAGATAATTAGAAGCTTTTAGTCTTAAAAAATAGCTAGACAAATAATAAGCTTAGTTTTAAGTAGTTAAAGCACTTTAACGCGTGTATAAAGAGTTAAAAAGTAAAAATATATAAGTTACTTATTTTAAATAAGCATAAAAGCTACTTTAACTAAAATTTTAAAAACTACTATAAGAAGAACAAGATTATAATAGTTTATATACTCTTTTATTTATTATATATTTTTTAGCTACTTAATATAGTTTACTTTTTACTATTAAAGTAAAAGTACTCTTAGCACGTATAAGACTTAGCACATTAATATGTCTTTTATATTAATAAAAAAGGCTTTTTACTAGCATTTAAAAACGCGTTTTTTAATATATGTATAATAGAAAACTATAAGAAAGCTTTTAAAGCAACTAAGCTAGTTTCCTTTAACTTATTAAAAGTTTTAAAACATTTTAAAGTATAACACTAAACTCTTCTAGCACTTCTTTAACTAAATAAGCTATAGCAGTTTAAAACACTAAATAATATATATAAATTTAAATTTTAGTTAAGGCTTATATATAATTTAATTACTTAGTTATTTATTATAACGTAAAAAAGCTTTTTTATACTTATAAAAGGTACTAAGCAAATACTTTATAAAAACGCGCTTAAAAATGCCTGCATCTATAAGCTTAAAAAGTAATTAAAAAAATAACTAAGCGCAAAGCACATAAAAGAAAGAAAATTTAAAAAAGTAAAATATTAAAGTATAGTAAAGAAGCTTTACTAGTACCTTTAATATTACTAAACACAGCTTAGTTAAAAAAAAGGCTTAAAGTAGTAAAGGTACTAAAAAAGCTTAACTAAGTATATAGCACTATAGAAACTATAAAGAGCTTAGGCACTACGCTATAATATATTAAAAAGTTATAAAAGTATTTTTTAATTTAGAGCTAAGCAAGCCTAAGAGTAATTTACTAATAAATAATAATAAGAATTAAAGTTAAAAAATATAAGATAGTTATACTAAGTAAAAGTAGCTAGCTTAGTAATATAGCTGTCTTAGTAATAAATTACGTTATACTATTATAAATAATAATAATAAGTGCTACTAAAATGCTTTTAAGACTTACTAAGCTGCTACTATAAACTACTTAAATATAATTTTAGTAAATTGCGCCTAAATAAAAAACTATAATAATTAAAATATTTTAGTAGCTATTATAACTACGCTCTATAGCTTGCGCGTAAATATAAAGCTACTTACTTAGCATATAGCTAAAGTAAATTTAACTATAAAAAAGATATAAGCTAATTTTAACTAAGCTATAGCTATAAAGTTTATATATAAGTATAGTAAAGCTATACTAAAGATAGCTTAGCAAAAGCTTATAACTAGCTCTTTTTATAATTTTACTAATAAAAAGCGTAAGCTTAAGTTAACTTTAACTAAGCCTTTTTATAAAAGTAAGTTAAGCTTAAGCTTTAGTAATATAAAAGCTAAAAGTTTAAACTTAAATATACTTATA